CAAACAACATCGCGTCGGCCTACGTGAAGATCAAGAAGCATGCAAAGGAAATGCGTGAGTATGAGCCCTGAGGGAAACGTCACCCGCTGCGCCATGCATTGTGAAAGCGAAATCACCCTCGTGTCAACTGTGACGCTTTCTTGTGTGTCAATGGAAGCCAGTGCTTGCTAGAAATACCAGGATGATACTTAGGTGGACTGTGATTATTGGGCTGAGAGCGTGTCCTACGGAATGGCAAGGACAATCGGCTGCCAATTCGGAACAGCACAGCAACAGTAGAATTTCTACTGTAGAAATTGCGCCAGCAGTTCAGCATCAGCATGGTGGGTTCTTCAGCACAGTGTTGCATTCTGTGCTTGCTAAGTGATTGTGGTGTGTCACAACCTGTATCTGTATCAGGGTGTGCGAGAGAACTGGGGCTTGGGCCCTCTTTTGTCAAGATCTTACAGATCATAGCTTGCAGGCGCGTGTCAGATGGTCAGATGGTGATATCATCAAACTGAAGGTCAGGTAAAGTACTTATGTCTGATCAGCTTGTCAATTCCGTATTATACTCTGGGGCGTTCGTCAACACCATTGGTTGTACCTCCAGCACACGTTAGATCCAGACAATCCAGTGGCAAATGTCCTTATGGCTTCCTGCAATTATCTTGAGCTATCATACAAAACCATCTGCATCTGCATATGCAATGCCATTGTACCGTACATGTGGACATTAGCAAATACTCTCACTAAAGAGGATCACCAAGAAAGTTGCACACTGCCCAGTTGGACACAGTAGATCATGCTGTTTAGTGTTGAAAGCGGCATAAAAGCTGGTTCGTGACACTTGAAAAATTGATTTGATATTGCATGTTTTCTTTTGCATGTTGACTTGCCAAGCAGTGCTATGTATGCGATGCTGCCCTGCCGGGCATCAATAGTGTCAGAAAACAGCTTGACTGAATTTGTGTGACAAGGAAATATATATGTCGAAACATGAAAAAATTTATGTAAACACTCAATTTTGCCATCGTCATCTGCCACACATTTGCACATGTTGCTTCCCATGCAAAGTTCAGAAGGGACGCCGTTGCCTAGACCGCTGCGTTGGATGTGTCATTGGCGACGCCCCTCATTGCCATTTCCACATTTGCCAATCTTGTCAAGACCAATTTCCCAATCTCGAGGCGTCCTTAATCTCACATAATGCAGACATATCCGGAAACGTTGAGATCCAGGGCACTGTCGCACCCCTGAGCGATGGCAGCCGTCCAAACTGTCCGAGGTACTTCTTGCCCTGGACTGTGAAGGAACTATCTAGCGATTCATCAATATATATACGTTACAGACGTGCTTATATGAATGTTGCAGGTGTTCCAGGTGTTCATGCAAGCTTGGGTGCCACAGGATCCCTCCCATTGCGCGCGCCGTCGAAGGGGCGCTCAAAAGCAACAACTGGGTCCAGGTAGTCAGCAGTGCACCCAAACAATTATTGAGACATCCTTTTAGATTTTTGAGCATGTCAGGAGAAGGAACTATTCCACGTCATAGCGGCTCTGACAATTCTCGTTGCCCATCCATCACAGGAAGGGATCGGGGAGTGTGCCGCAGCGCTTTGGAGTACCGAATCTGGGATCCTCAGCACTGAATGACACAGGGGCTCTCAAGAAGCCTGAAATGAGCCGAGGATCTGCCCTGCAGGCCTCCCCAGGTATTGCAAACACTGACCTTCAAACCCTAGCAGCCTCACTAAAGGATGTTTCACAGATGACCATCTAGGTCTCCCCTAGTGAGCCAGTACAAAGGTGAATTCAGACCCCAGCACACGGATGTAGCTTGGCCAAATATGCAATTGCTGATGTGCTTTCCAGCAGTGTCCTGTGGAGTCACTGATAAGGTGCAACAACCAAAGCATCGCTATTCACCTGAACCTTCAAACTGACCCCTGTGCCTGTGTCTGCTACAGAGCTTACACAGGAGAGGCTTTGGGATGCAAAGGGTGACAGGGCTGGTGCTATCAGCCAGCTCGTGGCGTTTGGATCCTTCCACGGCCTGAACAAATTCTACCACTGGGCGGGGCCCGATTCATTCATCTCTCACATCTCTCTGTTTTACAGCGCGATGGCTGCATATAACATCGTGTCGGCCCACTTGAAGATCAAGAGGTATGAGGAGGAGATGCGCGAGTATGAGAAATGAGGGAAAAGTCACTCGCTGCGCCATGCATTGAAATGTCACAGGGCTGTCCAGTGGTCTATGCTGTGCTGGTACCACAGGGCTGTCCACTGTGGCACTCGCATGTCTATCAATACCTGTCAGTCTCTCCTAGGGATGCCAGGGCGAGACTTAGGACCGCTTTTATCAGTGAGGTAAGAGTGTCGTATGTCATGGGGAGAAGCGAATTATGTAGCTGCCAATACTGAACAGCACAGCAACAGGAGAACGAGAGCCAGAAGCTAAGCATCAGCATGTGAGGACCTTTAGCACAGTACTACAAATCTGTGCTCTGTAAGGCCTTGACAAATGCGGGGTCCGCACAGGGCCCCTCGCACATCCTGAAACAGACACAGGAGGTGACACATCACACACAAGGTCATAGTAGGCCAAGGCCCCAGTGTATTACACGGGATCAGGACAAGCGGATCCAGACAAGGAGCAGCCATGTTTCCATGGCGTTACCTCCTTCCTGTTTGACACACACACGCAGCAAGCCTGTGCCTAATTCAGTCTGCTGCTCTGCATCAGCACTCAGCGAATAGCCACCCAATGCGGGGTAGTGAGAGGAGAGATCAGCAAGTGAATCTTTTGGTCTAGGAAACCAAGGCCCTGACGAGGAAGCCTGACACACACAAAGGGGTCAAGTGTCAGCATGCAGGCGCGCTATGCCTCCTTCCTCATCATGTCCAGACAATGTCTGACACCCTTGACACCCTGAATAAACATCCTTCCAGCTTCATGCAATTGTCTTGAGCTTGCATCACAAAACCAAACTGCATATGCAGTGTCATCCATGGTGCATCTGCAAGAGTGATCTAATGTCTCCTTAAGCAGCCTCCACAGTGGCCAATATTGGCCGCATTTCACGGCTCTTAAATCAAACGTACACTGTAGACACACAAGCTGCCACATGCGCTGCAGATCTTCTGCATCCTGTCAAAATTACTGAGACAGCCTGTTGCTGGCCCATTTATGCAGTTCTAGCCAGGTCAGAAGTTGCACACTACAGAAGTCAGCGTTGGCAGAGCTTTATCTTCCTGCCAGAGGGCATCCTAGAGACCTTGAAGTAGGCTTAAGGCTGCTGCTGAGAAAGCTTGGATGAAGGAAGGAAGGAAATTACACATCAACTCCAGCCGCCCAGGGCTGATTGGATGTACTGACAGCATCCAAGTGATCAAAACAATCCATGACAAAGTGTGCAACACTGACAATATCCAACTGCCACATGAACTGTTGCATGGTCTGAATGGCGGTAGCAAACAAAGCAGGATATTGGTCCCGAATGGACTGCACAGCAGGGCACTCAAAAACCAGATGGCGCTCATCCCCAAATGTTCTTCTGAATCATTCGGGCCTTTATATTCAGGGTTAGGGTTCAGCGTTTTTAAAAAAGAAAACCGGCAAACATGCATGAAGACATGCATACCTCTTTCTGCAGCGTGGCAATCACCGTTACAACTGCTTCCATCTGCTGCCCTCTGAAAGCCAGCATCTTGCCCAGCTGAGCAGCCTTGCGCTTGTGTATTCTTCGGCTGCTGTACGCGCATCGCTGGCAGCATCGAGCTCCTTTGTGAGCTGTCCCACTTGCGCGTTGGCCCGCGTTTCCTGAATGCAGCACATCAGGCTCAATGCCTTTGTCCCATTGACACACATAAATCTTCAGGTCAACCACGGACATTGCACGGTGGCAATGCTAGGCGCTCACGCAGACTGCGTGATAATTTAGCCATCAAGGAAGGTGTTATAAACTTTGGCCTGCGAGGATTTACGGAGGCGTGAAGCTTGAATTTTGAAACCTGTATTATGACATATCCATCCGAACTGCAAGACTGAAGGTAAGGCTCGCAAGCAGACCCGCCACTTTTCTTGGTGTATCCGGACGCCAAGACCTGCGCAGTGCTCGGGGTGTAATCGAGGATGCTCATCCCGGACTTCAGGCGATCTACAACGGTTCTTGATGTGCTGGAACGCCCGCATGCTGCTTCGTCCAGGCCTTGTTTTGCTGAAAGGGAAGACTGAGGAAGTCGATGCCTCTGCACCCTCTCAAGTTTTACGTCAGGGACGCTGACAGCACGGCACAAGAAATAACCGTTCTGATTGAAGGCTTGGATATGTCGGGCTGGAGAGATGCTAACAATCGGAATTTTGCAAGCTGCTTGGCGACGATTTCGTTCTCGGGAAGAAATACATCAACGCATTTCCCTTTGGCATCTACTTTTGGGGTTCCAGGCCCTTCCTTGAATGGATAGTCTCAGCAATTGAGGTCTCTTTTTCAACAGTAGGCCTTACATTTATGGTCCCTCGCAACATATGAGGCCAGAAGGATTTTTAATATTGACCAACTGTTTATCCCTGCCTAAATGTTCATTAATGCACTAAATGCAACAACTCTGGATCCAGCTGGGCCTCGGGCAAGCTCCAACGTTGAGTGATCAGGCAACCTAATGATAATGAATAGTGCAGATACAATAAAGGTTCAGCTTCACTACACTTGTTCTGGCTCTTGCAACTGGCCCGCATCCCCATTGCACCTCATTTGTCAGTTTCTATTGTAGCCTGCTAGCCTCAATTTCCGGGCGGGCCAGGCACGCTAACATGCTCTGTGCTCAGCTGCAGCACCGCTTCCAATGTCATTAAAATCCAGTGTACACAATGTGTCTCCTGCAAACCCTTAAAATATGCAGCTGTGATAGAGCCTGCACTCGATGTGTACGCAAAGGTGCTTGGTCCTCCAATCATGCATGCACATGGTAAAGACAGTGGCCTCCCCCCATCCTGAGAACCTGGAGGCCAAAATTCTATCAGAATTGGCCAGGTAAAAGAGCATCTTTCTGAGCAACTTTGTTCCTGGTCTGCCCATCCGCCCAACTCTCATAGTCCCTGCCCAGCAGTTCTAACAATGTTGGCATCAGCGCCTGCAGCACAGCTGTGGCCACCAGGCCCCCCGTGTAGCTCAGCAGGAAGCCTGGCACCACAGCCAGTGGGGGGCCTAGCCTGACATTTGCCACTATCTTTGCTCGCGCCTGCAAGTGTCCAGTATGCCCCTGAGCAGCCAAGCTCTCCACAGTGCTGGTAGGCACAGATACCAAGGCTTGACTCGTCCCCTGAGCTTCAGAGTTGCTGAGTGTAAAGCTCCCATCTCCAGATTTTCCAGGAGTGTGCTCCTCTGATGATATGCTGGTGGCTTCACAGCTACCTATGATTTCTATGTCATCCACAGTGCCATTGCCACCGCTGCTGCTACTGCTGCCACTGCTGCTGCTGGTGAAAGCAGTCATCTCACTATTGCTGACATGGCCGTTGTCAGTCTGTGTCAGTGGCTGTTCTGCGCCTGCGCGTTCAACGGCATTGGCATTTTTGTGAGGAGCCCTTTCGCCTTCATACGTGAGCGTGCTGGTGAAGGAGAGGCTGAACTTCTCATCCCAGGCAGTATCGCCCAGAGATGCGCGCTCGCTTCTGAAGGAAACAGACCCGCTCTCAGGATCTGGCGTCACCGACACCCAGACAGTGGGCTCCAAATCCACCCCTGCATGCATGATCCGCAGAAGAAGTCACACCTAGCATGATTGAACGTTGCTCGATAAGAAAAAGCATGTGTGGATTGCAGGACTGGAGAAAGGTAGTTCTCAATAAGAAAAAGTATGTATGGATTGCAGGACTGGAGAGAGGTAGTTAAAGAGGCTAGACCTGTGATGCCGCGCAGGGGAGCACTCAAGCAGAAGGTGTCACTGCCAGGTTCCCTCTTGATCCATGATGGGTCCAGCAGTGAGTACTCCTCAACAGGCAGGGCCAGATAATTGGCCACGCTCCTTCCTTCAGCCCGTCTTTCTCTCACAGCTGCTCTCCCACGGCCTTTGACTGAGAACTTCACCCACTTCCCCTGCAGGCAGGAGTCATGATCCATCAACATGCGTTCAATTAAAAGCCACAATGTCATCTTATTGAATCCACTAGTGACAGGTCCAAGTCACCTGTTTCTTTTTCTGGGCGGGGATGTCCTTTGCAGTGCTGCCCTGCGCCTTGCTCAGAATTTTGTTGATGACTGATACAGCACGCTCCAGAGCAGCCATAGAAATTCCATTTTGTGCCATATAGAGCGAAGGCAGGGCGCTTCCAAAGCTTCAAGGATCTCCAGATCACATCGTGCCGTATCCACCCTCTAGAACCTAGGATCCCTCATGCTGACTATAGCATGCCTTCAAAGGCCCCCAATCGCCAAGATTCACAGTTTTTCCTTGCGATCCTTTGGATTCTTCCCTTGTTTGCAGCACGTGCGTGCAAGCTGTCCTCCAAGTGGTCCACTCAACCTGCAGGGAAGTATTCGCACATCAAAGAGCACTTGGCTTACCTTTTACTTACATTGAGAAATTCTCTGGTTCATAGTCAATTTTTTGGCTGAAGTAAGGCAGCCTTGAAAGCGCTTTGCCAGTTGAGGGGCTGAATATAGCGTGACGGTACCGAGATTTGCAATGAGCTGCAACTTGATCGATCCTTATTCATTTCCAGCGATATAGACATCAGGGGGTTATTTGATCGGCAATGTATCCTTCGCAAGAGTATGTCGCTGAAGCTGACCTTTTGTTATTGTCACATCGCTTCCTTTGTGCTGTTTGCCCCTGCCATTCCTGTCTGATCTTCGACTGTTCGTGTCACTTTTTTGTGATAAGACTCCGGGAAATCGCACTTCTTCACTGAGCACTCTCTTCCTCCCTTTGCAGGCGCCTGAAGCAGACCACAGAACTAGTCACGGAGGTCCCTGGTTGCCGACCGCTCAACCGTGATCAGTGAGTTCCTCAGTCTGTTCCACCTCTTCTTGTTCTAGGTTTTTTTTTTTTTTGATTGCAGCGTGCCATCTGCCACAGATTTTCCATCCTCCATTGCCTGCCTTCTTGTGTCCTTTGAAAGCCAAATCCCACATGACCGCCAGCAACTTTACTTGTCAAGCTTGCGAGCTTATATTTTCATGCGCAGGTCGCTGTACGAGGTGCCAGTGCGAATGCGCGACGGCCGCATAACAAACCTGCGCATCAGCCTGCCGCCAAACTTTCCCCATGGTAGGCCAGCGCTGTCAGTGACCCACCCCATCCGGCACCCTTGGGTGGATTCCGCGGGCCGCCTGTCCTTCCCTGCCCTCGACGGCTGGGCCCCCGGCCGCTCCAGGATCGCCGCCGTTGTGGCCGAAGCCAGCACCAGCCTCTCGGGGCAGCCCGCCCGCTCTGATGCATCCCCTAGCCCCCAGCGGCCCAGCGGTGAGTTTTGATCTTGTCAAGGCCATGCCACCTAGCTTGAAACTTCGATCGTCACCCCCGTAAAGCCGTTTGCTGTTGTTTCATGAGACATGTGATCCTTGGCCTTGCGCTGTGCAAGGCATGTCATATATGCATCATTTTGCAGGAGCACTGACACAGCCGAGCTCCTGCTGGGCCCAGTCTCACAACAGAGTCTGTGACTTAGTGTAATGAGACATTTGCAGCCATAACATCAGGGTCCTCTGCGCACACTAGTCAGCAGTCAAGATATGAAAGCGCAGCGATGTGTATTCCTCTGGACCCTCATGCCACAGATGATCTCTTAAGTGGGGCAATCCATCACATGATACGCATGGCAGGGATGCTTGAAGACAGTCCCGTATGACAATGTAATCAATAATTTGCTTTATGTCAGCAGGCGCCAGCCCGGCCTTGGCCCCGGTGCCGCGGTTGGCGGCGTCGCCGAGCAGAGCGCCGACGGTGCCGAGCGAGTTCCAGGAGCTGGCCGCCATGAGCATGGACGACCTCACAGAGTTGCTCTGCGATGAGGCCAAGTACACCACCTTTGTGCAGAAACAGACCGCCAAAACCCACATCGCCCAGGTGCGGTACATCGTATCTGAGAGAACAGCTGGAAAGTTGCCAGTCAATAATCGGGGATGTTTCCAACTTTACCAATGCGCAGGCAGCGTTGGTGACTTTCTGGAATGTTGGATGACCATGCGTTCTGCTTTGATTACGACGGTTTAAGTTTCTTCTGGAGAAGCTTATGAGTCGTGCGGAACCATGTGCAAATCGCAGTCACATACATTATTGTGACATCCTGCATGCACTTGCTGACCAGGTGAAAGCCCAGCTGCGGCGTGGGAATGCAGAGCTCGCTCGGGCAAACCTGGCAAAGGAGGGCCTATTGGGAGAGCTGCGGAATCAGATTGCCATCATCAGGTGTGGCGAGCCGTGCACGCTGTCTCAGCAACTGATGTGCCATGAATAAGTGCATATGTCAAGCTTCTTGTTTTCATTTCTTTTCTAGATGCCATGCTGGGCGCTGATGTTGACAATGGCAGTCAGGCATTGGATCAGCCCTAAGTTGGATGGAAGCAATGTAATTTGACCTGACTAACTGCGGCTCTTTCTGGCAAGAGTGGCAGTGAGTGAGAGTGTTGTCTGGCAGGTCATCGGAGTATGCGGCAGTGAAGGAGTCATTTGATGAGAAGTACAAGCGCCAGCAGGCAGTGATTCAGCCGCTGCAGCCGTCCGCACTCATCGCTACTCTTGATCGAGCCGCCAGCCAGGCCGACAAGGACAGCGACCAGGTGGGGCCCTTGCATCACCCTCTGGCCTTACGCAAGTGCTATTGAGATCTCCACTGGACCTAAGGTGCCAGCTTGACCTGCTGTACATGGAAACATGATTTTGTGTATGCACCACAGCTCTCTGAGTTCCCTTTTGAAAACTTGATTTTGGGTATGCATTACAATTCCCAAATGCCAATTATGTAGCAGCTGCTTCGAAGACAGACACCCATGCGAGCTTCACGAGGGTGCATTGTGTCGTGCAAGGATTGTGCAGGAAAAAAACGAGAAGTGATCATGTGATTTTTTGCCAGGATGGGAAGTAAGCGGCCTGCATTGGCTGATGCAGGTGTATGAGAGCTTCCTGAAGGGCGATGTCACCGTGGATGTGTTTGTGCCTCAGTATGTGAAGGCGCGCAGCCTGTTCCACCAGCGCGAGCTGAAGAAGCAGGCAGCACAGCAGACCCTCTGACAGTGATGGTCGTAGTGAGCCTAGAGCAAGGCACAGTTTGGAAACATGGCGTTTTCTAAACATATTAAATACTGCAGATGCAGACATTGGCAGTTGCCGTTTTGCATGGCGTGACTAGCGGGTGGGTGCGGCAATTATTGAGGTGGCATTTGCTAGCCAGAGCTTGCTGCTGGGAACATCATTGTTCCAGATATTGGGCATGTACAGTAGAATGAAACCCTGAACCATGCATCGTGTCGTGTACATTATCGTCTGTAATGTCAAAGAGCTGGCCCAAGGGCTAGCCCTGAAAATAATTTCATCATATTAGCATCATTACCATTACACGCTCACAAGCCGAAGATACCTTACAATTAGCAGAATGCTGGAATACGATGTCCTGCTATGATAGCAGCGCCACCTTGATCAGCGTGCTGTCTTCTCTCAGCCAGTCCTGATGTCAACAACAATGCTCCTATACTTCGCTCATGTCTTCATCTTGCGCGGCTTGTCAAACACTTGCTCAGTGCCTGTCAGCTTCTTCTCCAGCTTCTCCCTAAGCGGGCGCGCCTCAGGAACCAGCAGCTCGTCAAACTTGCTAGTGTCCACGTCCACCAAGTGTGTGTGCTTAGTGCGGCCGCGCCGGCCGAAGTTCTTGACTTGCATGACCTGCGCAGACACATGCAGAGTTACCACACGCCCCATGCCACTTCTGCAGTGGAAGCCATTACTTCCTATCATTTGCCATACAAGCTGATCATGGCAAAACTGCCCATCATGGCAAGTGCGACCCAATTATCACCATGCGAGCATTGTTCTCAGGCAATTAAAAAAGGCTGCTTGGGTCCTGCTTGGATCCGTCAAGGAGTACGACGCGTGGCAGCCTTAATATAAGCACGTCTGCAGACGCACCTTGCCTCTGGCAAGCTGAGCTTGTAACAGTTGTAAGAAGAAACATATTGCAGTAGTAGTAAGAGTGTCAGAACTATGAGGGGCGCGTGCGCACCTTGGGCAGCACGGATTTGTCCATCTTGTCTTCGCCGGTGGGGCCGGAGTAGTCGCGGCGGAAGATGTCGTCCCCGCCGACGGCGTCCATGCCGGCGTCGCCCGCGTCCTGGAAGAAGGCGCCCTTGTGCCAGTACTTCTGCAGGAACTTCCAGCTCTTCTTTGGGGCGTTTGCGTCCACCTGCAACATGGGGCATGGATGAACTTTATGCACAGTCCTTGCACAGTCCTGCACGGCACCCTTGCCAGATGTCTGCAGGCCGGCACACAATTTTATGGCCCATTGCAAGAATGGGCCGCATGTTGAAAAGATAGGTGAGGACCCTCCAACACAAGGGCCGCCCACAAGTGAACAGTCAAGAGGTAGCAGCCGTGCCGACCCTCGAACCGCTTGGAGGTTCCACAGCGTCGTTTCATTGCATACCGGTTTTGTACAGTACTTGGCAATGCGTGGCTCATAAGAGAAACAGACAATGGCAGATAGGCAATGTCCGCCAATGAGGGGTGTGTCAGTCAGGTAGCAGGAAAACGGTGTTCCCTACTTCCCTCAAATGCAAAACATTTCCGTCGGTGAGGGGTGTAGAGGGTGAGTCACCTTGGGGTGGGTGGCCTCCCATGCGCGGCGTTCGGCCTCGGTCATGTTTTTGAGCGCCTCCTTCTCCTCAACCTCGCGCGCCTCACGTTCACGGCCCTCCTTCTCTCGCCTGTGTTTTCACAAGTGCAACACACTCCTCGGTTTCTTCTGGACATAACCCTACAGTCATCAAAGATTTATTTTCTAATTTAGTATTGGAGAAGTTCTTCGTACTAAACACTGCTGGCCTGCAGGTGTGCGATGACGCCGGGCGCCATATTAATCACTGCATGCCTCCTTCCCCAGGGAGTGAAAGAGGGTGTCTGGGCATGCATGCACGCAAGGGCCCCTGCATTGCTGGCTGCGTCGACCAATTTTTTCACCCTTTCATATATATATACAAGCGGTCTTTCTTGTACAGAATGGAGTCTGGTGCCAGAAATGCATGGGATAGAGCTAGAAAGGGTGCTGGGATATTCAGTGCACCTGATGCGCGCCAGCTCCCTGGCCTTCCACTGCTCGTACTGGGTCTCCTCATCCTTGTCATCTTCGGTGTCCACGTCACCAATCTCCTTGGGGCCCTGCATGCAGCAGAGACCCAAACACTCACTCAACACGCTTTTTACCATTGCAACCGACAGCCCTTTTGCAGGAAAAATTCTTTACAAGTAAGTCAATCTTCACACAAAGGCTCAACATCACGGAAAGTACAGCAATTGGTATCTGCAAGCCCCTTCCATGAGCTCCCTCCACTTGTGGGAAGAATGCTTGACAGAGGCCGTGTCATGCAAGCCTTGATGATAGAATGAAGGGCATGCATGGGTTTATCGGCGAGCGAGCATGCTCGACAGAGGCAGTGTCAAGCACTTTTTAAATAAGAGAATTCAAGGCATACATGGGTTCCCACGGTTGATTGGGTTCTGCTTGGATCTGGCTAATCCCACAAGGGGTGGATTTTGCCAGCCTTTACCTGCAGCTTGTCTCCAGACTGACCTTGTCTCTGACAGGAAAAGCGTGGAATAAAAGAATAGGAAATTTCAGCGGCGTACCTCCGCGGCGGCGCGCGCGGCGGCTTCTTCGCGGGAGATTTGGTCGGAGACGATGTCGCGCGTCTGCAGCTTGCGCGCCTCCAGCCGCTGGCGTTCCCTCTCTAGCGCCTCCTCTTCTTCCCTCTCCATCGCCTCCCTCTCCGCTATCGTGTCCCGCTCCGCCTGCCGCACACCAGACCCCAATTTCATCTCAACACTCAGTGAAATGAAAAATATTCCCAAAAATACAGGCGTGCTCTATAGGATGAATGAATAGATAAATTAAGAATGCATTATTCTCTTTGGTGGCACCGCTCGGTGCCCAGCGGGCGTTGTTCGTCCTTAGCAAAACTGCTGGCCGTCCTGAGCGTGGGATATGCGAAGAGCTTTGGTGCGGCCTCAGGACAGCCAGCAATTCTGAAGACGGACAAACAGGGTGGAAGGCCAGATATGTAAGATCTGCGCATGTGGAGTGCGAAAAGCAACGTTTGGGGAATGAGCCGGCCAGATACCTTGGGCACGAAGACCGGTTTGAGCATGGCGCGGCCGACGCCCTCATCTTCGCTGTCGGTCTCATACTCCGACTCATCTTCATCCTCTTCCTCTTCTTCCTCGTCAGCCGCAGGGGCCAGAACTTCCTGCTCCTGCTGCCTCTTCAACCTGCCACACCCAGCACCCTCCTTCAGCGGGGTCTGCCGCCACATGTCACAGGCATGCGGGCTACAGTCAGCACGGAGCAAACATGGATACTCTGTGTGAGCACGTATAAGCATGCAGCTACTTCTGTAAGGTTTGCATGTGTCAGCCCCAAATGAGGACAAGGAGTGTCTGTACTGCAATGCGCAAGGCTGCAGCGTCAAGTCCGTCCATTGGCTGCCCCTAAAAGGCAGATTGATTGAGCACCAGGACTCCTGCAAGCGTCCAAAGCCTGCAGCTGCTGCACTCAGCTGGACTTGAAAAAGAACAAATCTCCAGGGAAACTCACGCACCGCTCGCGCACTGCAGCACGCCGGGCCTCCCTGTCCTCGTCGTCATCCTCTTCTTCCTCTTCGTCTTCGCGCTGTTGTCGGCGCCGCGGCACATCCCCCGCCACCTCGTCCTCGTCGGAGTCTGCCGCTCTGTGGCGCGCGATGATGCGCGGAGCCGCCGTCTCCTCATCGCTGCCCTCCTCCCTCCTCTACACACAGATTGCGTGAAAGTCAGGTGTCTGTGTTTGTATCAGTAAGCACATATTCTGCAGGTCCCCCAGCGACCAGGTGCTGCTGCCTAGATCCCACTTTGCTGCATGTCTACTTGCAGGCTATCAGCGAATTGTCCACCAGCACTCTCCGCTATTTGCTCGTGACAGGCATGGGGACGTCAGTTGGGGCAAGTGCAACATGGTTACATGCAACACATGATCAGGAGTGAAGCTGGTTCATGGGTTCGCCTCTAGAAAGAGAAACATGTGGAGGCTAGAACGGCCGAAGCATCAAGACACAGTGTGGAGCCACACCTCTGCCAGGCGCCTCAGACGGGGGTCTTCTGCAGCCTTGACTATGACAGGTGGGGCGACGGCGGTCACTCCTGCCTCGTCATCTTCTGACACATCTGACAGCGCCTCCTCCTCCTCTCCCTGGTACCAGTCTGGGGCCTTCCCTGGCCAGTACCTGCGCAGCAGAAGGGCAATAGCTCGACAGAAGCTTGCCACCCGCTTGATCTGCAAAGAGCAGTCTTTTTCTCCAGCATGCATTTGATCATCAGCTGGAAATTCTGAACAGAGCATGGGCTGGAGAAATACCTCTTCACGGAGGCCTGCTTCACGCGTCCCTTCTCCTGCTCGTTGTCTGCTGTGCTGCCAGCCAGACCGCGCGCAGACATGATTGATTACTGTACAGTGTCAGTGGCTGTCTCAGCAAGAGAGCTCTCTGCCCCTGCGAGGCTCTTTGATGTGGCAGGAAAATTGCAAATTAAAAATTACTGCCGAGCCATGAAGGCACCTGCAGGAGTCATTCGTAAATAAGTCATCTTCTGGATTGGGAACGAAAGGAACTTTCTACAGCTTGCTGCACACCGAAGAGATTGTCGTTGTAGATCCAGAAATTCTTGAGATTGCATGGGACGACTCAATGTGACAATACACGTGAAGAAAATAATAAGTTACAATATGATCTCTTTTTGATATGAGCTGCTCAGGCTCATCATCAGCAAAGCACCAAACAGTCTGAGATGTGGAAAGCAACTTACCACTGCAGACTCCAGCTTCGAAGATCGTGGATCAACAGCTCAGCTACTGTTGATACAGCTTCAACAGAAAATAGTCTTCGGAGCGCCTTTATGGCAAGCTTCTCCATGATCAACTCCACAGAGTCGAGTTCTTCAGGTTCATCAAATCCCTTCGTCTATTGAACCTATAGCTATCGATGTGGACTTCCTGTGGTCTCGGATCGAAAGATTGCTGCTTTGAAAGGAATATATGAGCCTGTACAGTGAGCTCAGCACACAAAGTAACACCAAATCAGCCAGTCAAGATAGAAATTGGATTTTGCTTGTCGATTTGGCTCTGCTGCCGGTCTAGATCATGTCTCTGCAACAAAAGGCATACACCGGATCTCTTCGTCGCGGGTGTTTGCATGAGTTTCCATCCTTCAGAGTCAAAAGTACGTCCAGGCCCAGCAGAATTGTGACACGCGCCCTAAAGAGCAGGGAGCAAGTCAAAAGCAAGGCCCCGATCGGCCGAGGAAAAGAAGAGGACGCAGATCGATTCAAGTAAGATTATATGCGATGCTTCAGGCCCCTGAAATGTTGTATGAGTGGCCGTTGCTGTCCAATATATCATCTGAAAGGTATCGTTGCTCCAATGCCCAGCGAACAAATTTTTGCTCCAAGCTAAATATGGCCCTGGAACCTGCAGATGGAACCCCGCTACTGCGCGCTGGGCAAGAGTTAAGGCAGACAAAGATGTGGATGGTACGTCAGCACTTCTGCCATTTCGTTTGTTCCGATCCAAATTGATTTCAAGGCCAGTTGTCCACCTAAACAAGGGTGTTCAACTTTGTTAATGACTCGCAGGTAAGTACAAGACTGATACGTGGGAAGAGGGCGGCGTTGCTACCATCACACCTCTTTCAGGCTCGCCCTATGTGGTGGGTTCCAGCACACTGCCATTCTTCACCCCAATACAGGAATTCTTCTTGCCAGGTCGCTTCATTACAGATGCACTGTGCCTGGCAACATATCAATGCAAGATCTGATATTGTTTCAGGTGTGGCCAGTCATCCATTCAAAATTGGTGAAGCGAGGCCTAAAGTCCATTACTCCCAAGGAGGTGAGTTGGCGCATGCATTATGACTGTATGCACTGTGCAATTCTATAGGAATTATTCAGCTGCCCAGGACCTTCTCGAATTAGTTGATGTATTGGGATTCTGCTGCAGGCCTTCCAATTGCAGCAAAGAGGAGCTACACTTCTGGACATGTAATCTCCTGACCGTACCTCTTGCACTTTCCTCTTGGACGCTGTTGTGTAGTGGACCATCTTTCTCTTTCTATAGGTAGCTGTCTATAAATATGGTGCTTTTCACAGCATTTGCGGTCATGCTCTGAAGAGAGGCACCGGCAAAGGAGGCAGTCTCTTTACCAATAGGCAAAGAAATCAAGGTGGAAAGGAGAGCAAGGAACGATGTTCAGGGTCGGTAAGGATGAGCGTTGAGGAGTGATGAGGGTGCGCTGGCTGCAGGAGGCCAGAGTATCAGTATGAGTTGGAGCGCATTGAGGGGGCAGTCAATGTGCCCATGTTCCGGAAGGTGGCGGGCTCCTCTCCCTGGGATCGCCTGAAGAGAGTTGCCATGGGCGCACTCGCCATGACAGCCACCGGTGAGCGGCTGCTTTTCTTGGGCTCCTGTGCACAGGGATTTCATCGATGCCTTGAAAAGGACCCACAAGAGTCCGACGTGCTTCACATAAATCTAAGCCGCAAAAAGACAAACCGCACTCAGCAGCCACAGGCTATTACTTCGAGTGTACATGCTATGAAGGCAGTTATGCCAACAAGAAATTACAAGGCAAGCCTACAAGCAGCAGCAGGCATGTAACGATACTGTATACATGCAGAGTCGGATCCAGACTTTGCTGCCAAGGCAGCAGCACAGCTGAAGTCGAGGAAGAAGGTGATTGTGTACTGCGGGCGGGGAGGCACCATCAAGACTGGGTTTGGGAACGAGAAGACCGGCAAATTCTTCAAGGATGATCCTGAGCGCGCGTTTGGCATCGAGTCACGCTCGCTGAAGGCCTGCCATGAGCTGTTTGAGGTGGGCTGACCCTTGCCAGCCTCTCAATATCACCACCAAATATCATTTGTTGCCCCGTATCCAGTCTATGCTTTGTCCCTCTCATCAGAGACGCTGGAATATGATTGGTCGGCAGTGAGGTGTTGTCTTACAATTTTCTTGATGCAGGCTGGCTTCAAGGATGTGCTTCATTTGGAGGGCGGCCTTTCGCAGTGGAGGCATGAGGGTTACCCTATTGAGTGATACATGTGCTGAGCACCGATGCTCTCCAAGAACAGTATAGATCTACTACTGAATACTACATTCTTTATTGATTGGCCCTGCGGCTCCTCTTCGAAGCAGCGCTCGGCTCCTTACTGTAGGTGACCAGCTGGCTGCAGCTGTGATTCCGCGGCCGCAAAGTCAGTGTTTACATTCATGATGAGTAGTCTGTCTGGACAGCGGTGTGGACAGCGCTGTGGACAATAGCCTCAGCTGATGCATTGAATTGGAGTCATCAAATAATGATGACCAATGGATAATTTTGTCTTGGTAGGTGGCAAATCAGCTGATATTGCCACGGAATTTTAGCCTGGGCTTGATCATAAGGTCAACAACACGCGAGGCTGTTGTAGACAATAGTCGATGTACATGTGTACTGGGAGTCCAACAGCCATGGCACTGTAAATTTAGAAAGTAGCAGGAAACGCCGGAATGGATGAAATCTCAACACTACTACTCAGTACTCAGAGTCTAAAATGCAGACTGTGAGAAACATGGCACAGGTTCATAATAATCCATCCCACTCTCTGTAAAATTCAGTGACAAACTCCTCCATGAACCTATGCCTGTGCTGCGCCATGCGCTTGCCCGCATTTGTCTTCATCATGTCCTGCATGCGCAATAAACACCTTCATTTCACAATGACTATTTCATCCAATCAGAGCAGGACACACTACAACATGGACGCTGCATGGTTGAAGTGTTCGCCTCACGGTGGTAGCATCAGTGCAGAGAAATTAGAATGAGCCAGGCTGCGTCATGCACCTTCAGTTTAAGCAGCTTCTCGTGGAAATGGTTGATGGTGGTCTGCTGGAAGCTCTTGTCCATGTAGGCCTGCTTTGTCAACCCATCCCTGGGCTTCACTGAGGGGTCATGCAACACCCTTTTAAAACATCCCCCATATGTGAAGCATCTGGCGATGCCCACAGCTCCGATAGCATCCAACCTGCACCACCCACAACTTGACAAACTGGTGCCACGCCAAATGGGTAAACGCGAGGCATGTTCCCACAGACGTCTCTGAGATGTTCTCAAGAATATCTCAGCACACCCGATCTAGCAGCTGCGCACATCACCTGTCAGCATCCTGCACTACAGCAAGCTCCCTTGTGACATGCTGGCAGCCGCTTGCCAGCTCATCCTGCAATTGGAATAGCATTCACAACTTGTTAGACAAGAGAAGGACATGCAGGGCAACCCTAAATTTTGCACGGTAGAAAACGCGCTACACACACCTTAAAGCCAATGCCAGCAATGATCCCCAGAATGGAATTCATCTGGTCCGGCTTCACATTCTGTGACTCCAAGAATGCCTGCCAGGCAACACATTGTCAACGCGGATGTGGTAGACGACGTCATGCTCATACCAGGTATGCCTCTGGGCAATACCTGGACAGTAGTCCTGCCAGCATCTTTGCAGCCGCTGTATTTCCAATCAGCCACATCATGCAGAAGAGAGGCATGCTCTATGATTTCTAGCGAGGCTTCCTGCAGCAAGGACAGGCATCATCAGCAAAGCGCATTGATTGATTATCTCTGTTGTTTTCAGGACCACAACTATTTCATCCTCTGCAAAAACAAATGGAATGACGCTATTTGTCGTGATGTGCAAAACACCTCCAGATTTTCCTGTTCTGCTAAAGACAAGGCCAAATTTCTGACTCGATCGATATGCCTGCACCAACAAACGGATGATGTGAGATTGGAGAAGTCGTTGATGACCAGCACTTTGACACGTAATCTGTTTTTAGAGTTGCAGTCGTTGAGTACCCACCACCAATCATGGCTCGCATCTGGCCCAAGCTTAATAAGTTCCTGGCGCACAAACTCTTCTGTCACAACTACATCAAGCATTTGCTATTATTTCGAGAGAAATTCCGCTGGAAGTTTCCACGCAAGCTATCACAACGACGCCATCTGATAACATACGGCCAGCCGGGTTCACACTGCTTGCTCGTAAAGGTATTTGCAGCGAGTTAAGAAGCATGGAGGTATCGATTGTATGGATCCTTCTGTGTATCCAGCTTCTGCATGGCATTAACGCACCCCCTGAAACTCTGCTGCATGTCCAACTGTCATTGCAAGATGATCAAGAGAAGATTGGGACATGTTGCCAGAAATGCGAATTGGTACCAGTACCCTTGAGCACATATATATGCATGCGATGTTGCAGAGCATGTTGACACGTGCCAAGCTGGAGATCCTTTCTTCCCATGCCAATCTCTCACACAAGGAAATCTAGGGAATCTTATTTGTCCTTGCCATTGCCTGCTCAATGTGTCACACAAATGCTGCGTTTTAGGTTGGGTTGTCATGGCCTGCCTAGGGACACTGGCTCTTGGGCCAGGACTCCCGAGCTGACGGGTACCGTGCTTGTACATTGTGTGGACCCGGCAGTCTAGGCGATGAGAAACATTTAGTGTTCGAGTGCCCACACCTGCAACTTATTAGGGACAAGCCATCCTTCACTATTTCAGTATCCTACATATATGTTGCAGTTCTTCTGGCAGACTGACTTGATTGGGGTTACCAAATTTGTATCAGATCGTTTGGATGTGATGCTGGGCGCTGACTCTGACGATCAGAGTCAGACATCTGATCAGCCTGAGGTGGCTGGAATAGATGTAAACGACTGACTGACTGACTTACACATCGTTGCACAACATGAATATGCTGAAAGCTGCGAAACCTTTCTCGTTGAATTTGCATGATCCAAAATTGCTAGTGCACTCCCAGAGGACACCATCATTGATCCAGTGATTTTGCATCTTAGAGGCCATGCTCTTAAGGAAGCTTCTACTCAAGTAGATAGGTTCAAATATCTAGGCATTATATGCTCTGCAAGTATCATACATGATGTCAATGCAACCAGAAGTAGCCAGCAGGCTGAGCAGAGCAGCTGAAGCATACTATAAGCTGAAAAGATTGAAAGGTTGGGGAGACAAGGATATCTGTCAAGGAGTCAAATTGATTTGGTATAAAGTCATAGTCCAATCCACTATGTTAATTACGTTGCAACAATTGAATGCATGTGAGACATGGGCCATCCAGATCTAGATATATAGTCATGCAAAAAAAATTAAATTTTTAAAAAGTTGAGATTTCCAAGATGAAATGCTTGAGAAGCCTCTGTGCACACGTGGTATTAGTCTGTTGGATAAGATGGTCTGATGGAGATTCGTGCAACCTTAAGGTGCAAGGTACCTCAGGTCTCATATTTGCTCAGGTATAGACGCCTTCAATGGTTGGGACGTGTGGCTAAAATGGATCCTGCTAGGATCCCATCAATGATTGCATGCAGATGATAATATTATGATTAATCAGTACAATTTTAGGCACGGGGCTAGATGCAGACCATTGAAGAGTTGGAATGCCTATGTGAGAGATGACCTTGATGCTATTGGGCATCCATATGACTGGTGGATCCGGGTCGTCGTCATAGTCGGAGGAAGTCCCAGAACCGCCGATTCGGCGAGAAGACAGGAAAGCAATTATTCAGGTGTTTCTTGAAGTACCTCGAGGACAAGAAAACGTGTATCAATCTTAAAAAGAAACCGGGTTGCACATACCCGTCCGGGAGATCGCAATATCCCGATCGGTATCAAGCTGCACTCTAACCATTTTCACATTACACCTTGACATGATTGTCACAATAAGAGCCGTCCATAGATCAAGATTCCTAGTTATATATAAATGAGGACATGCACTTAGGAAACCTAAGTTAGGATATCTCCGGTTAGGTGACATTCAACCCAAACTTAAGTATGAGCAAGAGCCGCTGAGTACTGAGTACTCAGGCCTGCCTTGCCAAAGGCTGTAAGAGAAGTGTTACCGTCCTCGCAGTTATATAATATCATATATGGGCCAGAGCTTTACATACTAGACTGCGCAGAATGCATAAATTACCCATCCGAAATCGACTCTACCCTTTCAATTTACCTGAAAGACGACCTCACACTTCTAGATCGACTGCATGCAACACAAGGCTATTGCAATTGACAGGTCTTCTGTAATTCGCAACTAACAAACGCTGTCCCGGGCCCACACAGCGGTAAATACTCTTCCCTACTCGAAAAGGTTGATTAAGCTCCGCCTAATGGGAAACTGTGCTTGTGCGCGAAAAAGTAGTTTGTTCACATGGTGACACCCGTACGGTTACTAAGAACATTCCATCATAGCATGATGCGACATTGCAAATATTTGCATCAACATAGATTCATATTATGCATGCACGTACACCTTGCATTTCATCCATTGGCAATGGCGACCTACTAGGTCGCCATTGAAGTCCTAGTAGGACTTCAAGTTCTAGCTTGACCCGGCCCAGGTGGGTGGATCCCGAGGATCCACCCACCAGCGATCAATATTGTTGACAATGCGCACTTATCAACAACTTTCGAAAAATACGCAAGGATTGGAATCAGCCCCGTATAGGATGTAATTGCAAACGCTGTCCCACGAGCAAAGCGTACAGCCATTGCTGAGTGGCGGATACACGACAATTTTAACACTTATTAATTCCAGAAATGGGTCTCCTGAAGAGGCCCCATCGAAGCATTGTCCCAACGTTGATAGTCCAGAAATGTCAGAAAGGAAGGGATTGTTGTTGATGTATACGCATGTCTCAGCTTCCGGTGTAAATGGGACACAGGACGTTATATTTTGGAGCACCTACAAAAGCAGTCTATAAAGTTAGATCACAAGTTCATATAGTGCACCTCCAATAAAGTTTGCAATGAATGGTGTGGGTTTAAAGCGCTAATTCTTTGAGGTTAAACTTGCGTTCTAATCAGTTTAAAATTTCACGATATCAATTCAATTGTTGCAACCGAACAGGAAATTAATCTCCATTCTCTTCGAAATCATCAACATACGGGCGAATAACATACCGTGAAGCCAGTGATACTGGTTAGCACATTGTTAAATGTGATAGTGAGAGGCCCATTTATAGTCCTCAATACCTGGTAGGATGCAACATGATGGTCCTCAACACATTTTTGTTATTCAGGTCGAAAGTTCCATTTTAATCTGATTTTGTTAGCCCTAGCTATCTCTATTTCAGTAAAGAGCGAAATATTCAAACTTGGATTGGTTACGGTAAGGTTTTGTACTTCAGTCCCCGCAAAGTAAAATCTTAAAAATACATCATGTTCCCAGGAGTGTCCCAAGAATCATTCTCTTACCGGAAATCCGCTTATGGTGGTCGAGACATCATTGCCAAACTCATCGCCCTTGATTAGCATTGCTCCGTTGACGGTATCTAGGGCCTAAATGGAATGCGAAGGGAATTAGTTACAAAATTTCTAGTATATAAGTGTGCCAAGCAGCCACTATTCATGGTGCCAACATTGAATGCATCCAAGGGTTGCAAGGAATGCACGCTCACTGAGGCAATAGGCATATGACCAACAAACCGCATAATCACTTTGAGGCTAGATTATGTCTCTAAGAAATGCACTGTTACATGCATAAATTATTGATATGTAGAGCGGTGACGGAATCCGGGATACTCACGTGTTCAATGGTGTGCCGGTGGAAGTCGGCGTGCTAGACTGCAAGAGGATAGCAGTGGTAGAAGTTGATTGAGGAAACTCCGGAGTGCTGGAAGGCAGAGGGGTGCTCGTGACAACTTGAGGTAGACTCGTTAGACTCTGCGGAGTGGTTGTTGGGGTCTGCGGTATGCTCGTGTGAATCCCTGGACATTAAGCTGAAGTTAATATCAGCCAGAGCTTGCAACAATTGCCGCACATCCTTGTCAAGGCTTTCAATCAGGGATGACTTTGCAGATTTGCGTCAAAGACTCTACTCGGAGTAGATGGCCAGTCCAGTCCAGATTGCAGAACGGAGCGCTATATATGCCCCTATTAGATTAAGAATTCCGCCTTGACATGCCTGCATTTCAGAAATACTGGGACATCTGACGACGTTTAGCTTGTTCGGAGTGATGGTCTCACCTTTCACGAGAAGTTTGTTGACAACATTACCCTGCAAGACACGCGAGTATCCATTGACTTGTTTAGCCAATATTTAACACAAAAGAGCAGATGCAAAGTCCTGCGAGGCATTGCAATCTCTCTACGCAAAGCGTTGTGAAATGTGTAGGACAAAGCGTTCACAGAGACTGCAGCGCACCAGTTTGTCCACACCAACTGTTGCCTTAAGGCGAAGAGCCTCAGGAAGCGTCAGCCCTTGTCCAGTTACCGGGCTTGGGGACAGACAATTAACAGCGAGAAGTAGCAGAAGTAGATTTGAAGCCCGCATTGCTCTTGCACACACGGCAGCTGCCGGGGTGCTTGTGAGGTGTGAGTAGTCCAAAGCCTACTTTGTGACTGCAGAGGCCAGACTGCTAGAAGTATCTTGAAGAGACTCTCTTTCACCTGTCCAGTCAAATTTGACAGGGTCAGGGTTCCGTTAAGGCTCGTCATGTCATGTCAACATAGGGTCAGTTGGTTTAGAGTCCCCTGGTCAACGGGTAGTTGAAGAACAATTCGTTCTATTCATTACCCCTCCAGCAAATTCCCAGATCATATTGCCGATTTGCTGCATGCCAAGCAGTGCATCCTACTGCATCTCAAACACAAAATATGTCTAGCCTATTATCATGATGGGCTAAAGGCTGAGGCCAGTTGTTGGCTATGTAGGCTATGCCGTATGTTGGCGCCGCGAGCCGCTTTGAAGCTGCCTGGCAGGTGCACCCGTTCAAGCATCTGTCTTGCCCTCGGATTAGAGATACAAAGTACTAATATGATCCATGCACAGTAGTCTCAGGAATTACCATCACAGTAATGCCAGGTGGGTTCCGCACGGGACAGCAGTAGCTGATGCAACTGTTCAATTGAAGGCTACATTGAAGACTGCTAATACATGCCATACACAGACCCATCTGTAGACCCAACTTTAGGTTGTTAGTCATCAAATAGCCAGAAGTGTTGTAGTTGCGCAAGCATGCTAGAATCTGTGTTACTCTTCACGCTCAAGGCAGAGGCACTGACCAAGACGTAACGCTGGCCCCTGACAGTGCCACTTCAAACTCCCATGACACCTTAAGATTGAATTAGGTGACTGCAGCGAAGGCAACCTCAACAAAAGTAAGGCCATACACCCTGCGCTTCATCCAGGGCTGGGATCCCCGCTTTAGTGCGTGCGATCACTTCCGCGTTCAGCAGGCGCAAAAGCCAGCGCTAGGAGAATGAGCAGGTGGCAGCCCAGCAGCGCCAGGGAAGTTTCTGGAGTTGAGGGGAATATATTGAAGATGACCTCTATGCAGAGCCACAGCGACAGGCGCACTGTGGTGGGCAGCCGCGTGCACCAAAGCAGCAGTGGGATCGTGTGGTAGTACCTGCAGCAAACATTCTTGTCAATATTCCACAAGACTGTTGGGTTACTACCGCAATGGTCAGAATAGGCTCCTTGTAGGCATGCACTGCTCACAGCATGCATTGCAGCAGCTGGAAAATCTGCAGGAACGCCCCATAGCTGAGGTCATGTCAGGCACATCTTGGGCACTCAACCCGAGCAAGCAGAACTCTTGTCAAGAACGCTAGGAAAAGCAGGGTGGGCCCACATCTGAGATTTGTTCAGGGCTGGGGTTCACCAGGAGTAGAACTGGTAGTGCAGCGTGCGCGCGCAGACAATGCCAATGAAGTTCCCGCTGAAGACCAGGAACAGGATGTGGGCTGCTGGCAGCTGCGGCAGCTTGGGCAGCCGCGTCTGGTTGGCCGCAGGCGCAGGTCTCTTCTGAGCCACCCTCCCTCGCAGGCCTCCCCTCTGCTTTTCCTGAAGCTGCACAGACAGTACCAGCCGATGCATGACTGATTGTACCACCGCCCACAAGCCCCCTTCCTCCCTGCACCACCTGATACGCAGACAGATGACAGCAAGTCAGCAACAGCATGCCCTGATCACCCTCGCCCACCACTGAATTTCACTGACAACACGCTGCCATTGACTGCACTGGCCTGCCCTCCCTTTAAGGCACAGAGCGCTGTCTTTTTGTTGCATATTCCTAGTTATATATAAATGAGGACATGCACTTAGGAAACCTAAGTTAGGATATCTCCGGTTAGGTGACATTCAACCCAAACTTAAGTATGAGCAAGAGCCGCTGAGTACTGAGTACTCAGGCCTGCCTTGCCAAAGGCTGTAAGAGAAGTGTTACCGTCCTCGCAGTTATATAATATCATATATGGGCCAGAGCTTTACATACTAGACTGCGCAGAATGCATAAATTACCCATCCGAAATCGACTCTACCCTTTCAATTTACCTGAAAGACGACCTCACACTTCTAGATCGACTGCATGCAACACAAGGCTATTGCAATTGACAGGTCTTCTGTAATTCGCAACTAACAAACGCTGTCCCGGGCCCACACAGCGGTAAATACTCTTCCCTACTCGAAAAGGTTGATTAAGCTCCGCCTAATGGGAAACTGTGCTTGTGCGCGAAAAAGTAGTTTGTTCACATGGTGACACCCGTACGGTTACTAAGAACATTCCATCATAGCATGATGCGACATTGCAAATATTTGCATCAACATAGATTCATATTATGCATGCACGTACACCTTGCATTTCATCCATTGGCAATGGCGACCTACTAGGTCGCCATTGAAGTCCTAGTAGGACTTCAAGTTCTAGCTTGACCCGGCCCGGGTGGGTGGATCCCGAGGATCCACCCACCAGCGATCAATATTGTTGACAATGCGCACTTATCAACAACTTTCGAAAAATACGCAAGGATTGGAATCAGCCCCGTATAGGATGTAATTGCAAACGCTGTCCCACGAGCAAAGCGTACAGCCATTGCTGAGTGGCGGATACACGACAATTTTAACACTTATTAATTCCAGAAATGGGTCTCCTGAAGAGGCCCCATCGAAGCATTGTCCCAACGTTGATAGTCCAGAAATGTCAGAAAGGAAGGGATTGTTGTTGATGTATACGCATGTCTCAGCTTCCGGTGTAAATGGGACACAGGACGTTATATTTTGGAGCACCTACAAAAGCAGTCTATAAAGTTAGATCACAAGTTCATATAGTGCACCTCCAATAAAGTTTGCAATGAATGGTGTGGGTTTAAAGCGCTAATTCTTTGAGGTTAAACTTGCGTTCTAATCAGTTTAAAATTTCACGATATCAATTCAATTGTTGCAACCGAACAGGAAATTAATCTCCATTCTCTTCGAAATCATCAACATACGGGCGAATAACATACCGTGAAGCCAGTGATACTGGTTAGCACATTGTTAAATGTGATAGTGAGAGGCCCATTTATAGTCCTCAATACCTGGTAGGATGCAACATGATGGTCCTCAACACATTTTTGTTATTCAGGTCGAAAGTTCCATTTTAATCTGATTTTGTTAGCCCTAGCTATCTCTATTTCAGTAAAGAGCGAAATATTCAAACTTGGATTGGTTACGGTAAGGTTTTGTACTTCAGTCCCCGCAAAGTAAAATCTTAAAAATACATCATGTTCCCAGGAGTGTCCCAAGAATCATTCTCTTACCGGAAATCCGCTTATGGTGGTCGAGACATCATTGCCAAACTCATCGCCCTTGATTAGCATTGCTCCGTTGACGGTATCTAGGGCCTAAATGGAATGCGAAGGGAATTAGTTACAAAATTTCTAGTATATAAGTGTGCCAAGCAGCCACTATTCATGGTGCCAACATTGAATGCATCCAAGGGTTGCAAGGAATGCACGCTCACTGAGGCAATAGGCATATGACCAACAAACCGCATAATCACTTTGATTGATTGCTTGATTCAATCCAAGTTGGACTCCCTTGGAGGACCCTTGTACGCATTTGTAAAATGACGTGTAGGGAAACACACTTGAAACACTATCGTGAAAATGCTTCAAAAGCTACGGTCAGAAATGAGATCCACACCGGGAAGCCATCGATGGCGGTAAGGGCAATATTGTTTTGGAGAATGAAGTTGCCTGTCGAAGTCAAACGCTGCGCAAATGTATAACCACGTGTAAGTCACACATCATAAATCGCAACCAAAAAGTTTGAACAACATGATCTTTAATATGCATCTTGGACAAAGCAACGTCATAATCGCAACAAAAGACAAGAATGTGGCTCCTTAATAAAGGCTCATGAGTGGGCAATAAGACTTGCCTCAAGGCCTACGAGGGATGTCAAGTCGGGTAAGTTCTCGAGGAAGAACTCCGCGAAAACAATTCGAAGGCAAGAGTTTTAAGTCAAATCTTGAACCCCCGCATGTTCAACGAGGTCAAGGATCACGTCATCAAGCTGACTGCATCCGCAAAAATCAAAGGGCGGATTTGGAGGCAAATCGCACGAATTAGCAACACAATTGGTCCTAGGAGAGAACGGCGAGCACCTGCATGTCAAGCAACTTATTAGCGCTAAGCTAGCTAAGGATTGAATCCCACTTTAATCACCGTGGACTTTACTAAATTCTTTCACTGTGACCATGCCAAAAGGTAGGAAATTGAACTGCAAGCAAGCTTCGAGGATTAAGCGGCGTTTAGGCGCAATGTTAACGTTAACGACGCAATGCTTGCAAATGTGTGACCATGGCGCCACCAAGAAGGTCCAGACCTCTCAATACCCGGGCTCCGAAGTCGTGTTCAAAGGATGCGCTTTGGCACTACCATATGCATACTATGTGTAATCTCAGACTCGTGATCAATGATACCATGTTTCAGGACTTCTTACTCGTCAAATGTTGTTGTGGGCGGAGGCAGAGTACTTGCGGGCGGAGGCAGACTACTTGTGGGCGGTGGAAGAGTACTTGTTGGCGGAGGCAGAGTACTCGAAGGTGTGGAGATGGTGGTTGAGGTAAAATATATCCTGGAAGGGTTCAACCAACAAAATGTCAAAAAGTCTTGATTACTTCCCAAATGTTTAATGAGCATCCTAGCGTTCAACAATGTATGCCCAGGCAAAATGTAAAGTTGACTCGCGAGCTTAACATTCATTGGTCTCGTCAATCCTCTCTCAGAGGCTAGATTATGTCTCTAAGAAATGCACTGTTACATGCATAAATTATTGATATGTAGAGCGGTGACGGAATCCGGGATACTCACGTGTTCAATGGTGTGCCGGTGGAAGTCGGCGTGCTAGACTGCAAGAGGATAGCAGTGGTAGAAGTTGATTGAGGAAACTCCGGAGTGCTGGAAGGCAGAGGGGTGCTCGTGACAACTTGAGGTAGACTCGTTAGACTCTGCGGAGTGGTTGTTGGGGTCTGCGGTATGCTCGTGTGAATCCCTGGACATTAAGCTGAAGTTAATATCAGCCAGAGCTTGCAACAATTGCCGCACATCCTTGTCAAGGCTTTCAATCAGGGATGACTTTGCAGATTTGCGTCAAAGACTCTACTCGGAGTAGATGGCCAGTCCAGTCCAGATTGCAGAACGGAGCGCTATATATGCCCCTATTAGATTAAGAATTCCGCCTTGACATGCCTGCATTTCAGAAATACTGGGACATCTGACGACGTTTAGCTTGTTCGGAGTGATGGTCTCACCTTTCACGAGAAGTTTGTTGACAACATTACCCTGCAAGACACGCGAGTATCCATTGACTTGTTTAGCCAATATTTAACACAAAAGAGCAGATGCAAAGTCCTGCGAGGCATTGCAATCTCTCTACGCAAAGCGTTGTGAAATGTGTAGGACAAAGCGTTCACAGAGACTGCAGCGCACCAGTTTGTCCACACCAACTGTTGCCTTAAGGCGAAGAGCCTCAGGAAGCGTCAGCCCTTGTCCAGTTACCGGGCTTGGGGACAGACAATTAACAGCGAGAAGTAGCAGAAGTAGATTTGAAGCCCGCATTGCTCTTGCACACACGGCAGCTGCCGGGGTGCTTGTGAGGTGTGAGTAGTCCAAAGCCTACTTTGTGACTGCAGAGGCCAGACTGCTAGAAGTATCTTGAAGAGACTCTCTTTCACCTGTCCAGTCAAATTTGACAGGGTCAGGGTTCCGTTAAGGCTCGTCATGTCATGTCAACATAGGGTCAGTTGGTTTAGAGTCCCCTGGTCAACGGGTAGTTGAAGAACAATTCGTTCTATTCATTACCCCTCCAGCAAATTCCCAGATCATATTGCCGATTTGCTGCATGCCAAGCAGTGCATCCTACTGCATCTCAAACACAAAATATGTCTAGCCTATTATCATGATGGGCTAAAGGCTGAGGCCAGTTGTTGGCTATGTAGGCTATGCCGTATGTTGGCGCCGCGAGCCGCTTTGAAGCTGCCTGGCAGGTGCACCCGTTCAAGCATCTGTCTTGCCCTCGGATTAGAGATACAAAGTACTAATATGATCCATGCACAGTAGTCTCAGGAATTACCATCACAGTAATGCCAGGTGGGTTCCGCACGGGACAGCAGTAGCTGATGCAACTGTTCAATTGAAGGCTACATTGAAGACTGCTAATACATGCCATACACAGACCCATCTGTAGACCCAACTTTAGGTTGTTAGTCATCAAATAGCCAGAAGTGTTGTAGTTGCGCAAGCATGCTAGAATCTGTGTTACTCTTCACGCTCAAGGCAGAGGCACTGACCAAGACGTAACGCTGGCCCCTGACAGTGCCACTTCAAACTCCCATGACACCTTAAGATTGAATTAGGTGACTGCAGCGAAGGCAACCTCAACAAAAGTAAGGCCATACACCCTGCGCTTCATCCAGGGCTGGGATCCCCGCTTTAGTGCGTGCGATCACTTCCGCGTTCAGCAGGCGCAAAAGCCAGCGCTAGGAGAATGAGCAGGTGGCAGCCCAGCAGCGCCAGGGAAGTTTCTGGAGTTGAGGGGAATATATTGAAGATGACCTCTATGCAGAGCCACAGCGACAGGCGCACTGTGGTGGGCAGCCGCGTGCACCAAAGCAGCAGTGGGATCGTGTGGTAGTACCTGCAGCAAACATTCTTGTCAATATTCCACAAGACTGTTGGGTTACTACCGCAATGGTCAGAATAGGCTCCTTGTAGGCATGCACTGCTCACAGCATGCATTGCAGCAGCTGGAAAATCTGCAGGAACGCCCCATAGCTGAGGTCATGTCAGGCACATCTTGGGCACTCAACCCGAGCAAGCAGAACTCTTGTCAAGAACGCTAGGAAAAGCAGGGTGGGCCCACATCTGAGATTTGTTCAGGGCTGGGGTTCACCAGGAGTAGAACTGGTAGTGCAGCGTGCGCGCGCAGACAATGCCAATGAAGTTCCCGCTGAAGACCAGGAACAGGATGTGGGCTGCTGGCAGCTGCGGCAGCTTGGGCAGCCGCGTCTGGTTGGCCGCAGGCGCAGGTCTCTTCTGAGCCACCCTCCCTCGCAGGCCTCCCCTCTGCTTTTCCTGAAGCTGCACAGACAGTACCAGCCGATGCATGACTGATTGTACCACCGCCCACAAGCCCCCTTCCTCCCTGCACCACCTGATACGCAGACAGATGACAGCAAGTCAGCAACAGCATGCCCTGATCACCCTCGCCCACCACTGAATTTCACTGACAACACGCTGCCATTGACTGCACTGGCCTGCCCTCCCTTTAAGGCACAGAGCGCTGTCCCCTCAGTGGTGCACAGCAAAGGACATGCAGGCAGCTACTGCGTGAGAAGCAGAAGTCAAAAATTAGCACAGGTTCAGTCAGTCAGGGCAATTTGCCGCAGCACACGCGCCTGTAGTGAGCAAACAGCAGCAGCAGTGCCAGGTGGGCGGCCAGCAGGGAGGAAGCAACGCCCCTTGACAGGAACAGCGTCTCCGGCAGAAATTTAAAATTGACGCTCCACACGTGCTGGAAGACGCGCGACAGCTCAAACGCGCGGCTCAGGTACGCGCCAGCGTTGTGCAGCAGAAATGGCGCCCCCAGAAACATCTGCAGCGCCAGCCCCTGCATGACTCCCTCCACTATATCCTGCATATCTGCTCCCTGTGCCATACCATGCAAATCCCACATTAGTCTCCTACTTGTTCTCCAGGTCTCAGATGCACACCCCATGCTCTGCTTGCTACACAAAGGTCTCTGTGAATTGTCTGCTCCCTCCTGCGAGATTGCCTGATGATTGTTTGAGGTGTAGTATGTCAGCAGAGCTAAATGCATACCTCAACATGCAAGCTGTCATCAAGCGGTATTGGTGTGCTTTGCATGCCACAACATCACAGGATGATGTGATGAAAAAGGATGGGATAGACGTGCCTTCAAGAGGACAACAAGGACGGGCGGGGCCATCAGCAGAACGTTCATCTTCACAGACACTGCTGCGCTGTACACCACAATGGAAGCGCGCCACCGCTGAAGCAGCAGCAGCCCTGCACACGTGCATGCATGCAAGTCAGCCCTCTTTATGAAAACGAAATTGCCACCTGACCAATGGATTTGAGATAGAGAGGGGTCTGTGCTGCCTGATAGCAAGACCGCCGCTAAGCATAATTTTATGGTTAGCAATGCTTAGCATGGTTAGCAGCTTACGTTTCCTGCTCGTACTTCTTTGTATTGCGCCCAAGGGCCAATCTTGGAGTAAACAAGGATCCAAGTTACCGGTATTTATGACATCTCATTTGGAGCATGGACGCACCTGTGGCAATGTAGGCCAGCAGCATTGCCACGCAGTCGTTGAACAGCCGCAGCACATAGATGGAGTGCAGCCGCTTTGACAGCGCCAGCAGTGTCAGCGCCCACGGTGGCACGACCTGAAGCAATCAGCTGAGCTCATGTCAGCGCTAAGAAGCCCCAGAATGGAACATGGGTCCTTAGCTTCTATACAAACTATCGTCACACGCCCGCCTTGGAACGGTAATGATGAGCGTTCTGGAGGACAATATGGCAAGCAAGACTAAGGATGAAGCCTCACCTTTGCCTTTATGTACAGCCACAGCATGACTGCCTGGGTGGCCACATATATTACAGCAAAGACGTACTGCGCAGCCCTGATGTTCCCTCCACTGGTGAGCCAGCGCAGGAAGGCAAACACATACACGAAGCCTGCTGGGTAGACCAGTGGCCCTGTCTGCCCCTTCAGCTCCCTGTAATCCAGCTGCCCCTGCTTTCAGCAGCCAACTCAGCATCTGCACGCAGGCAAACGGCTGCCTTGCTGGTGGAGCCAAGTGCATTTCCCTGATGAATTTTGCAGCATTCAGCTGTTGAGGTGTGTCTCTGTCAAAGGGGCTGCAAGATGGAAGCGTGCCTTGAGAAAGCCCTCCACCTCTTCCATGTAAGCCACCCAGTCAAGCTCTGTGTCTGCAGGCACAAGGCAACAGCTTGATAATCGTCGGCGCTTTGCATGATAAGGAAGACTCTAGCACAGCAGAATAATTGCTTGCAGAAACACGTGACGTAATGATGCTGCAGACCATTGTCATTTTGATGGCAGCAGATAACAGCTGTGGCGCACAGGGTACTTTGGCGATGATGAGTGGGCAGATGACAGCCTCAAACAGTAGGATTCCAGCTGAGACCCAGATGGCAGCCCTTGTGTCAGAGGGATCGTTCAGACGGTGTGCTAGGCCCTTCAAAGTCCCCCATGGAGAAGCCTGCTGGCTTCTTATTGACCTAGACCCCTTCTTGGGTGCCATTGGTGGGGTGTTGTGTCTGAGCAGAGAATGGTATCACTGTGCTTTCATGCGTTCATATCCTGCAGAGGCAGAAGCTTGTCATAAAGATGCCTGCAATCCATGCTTTCAACATGAACACAATCAATGAGCAGGTGCCTTTATCTCGATGGAGACTACAGATCACCATGGTCACAGAATGACAACGATCGCGGACAATAAAATGCAACGTCGGTGCCGAGGAGCTGAAAAATCTGAATTAATTGCTCACCTGAGAAATGCCTGGATGAGCTATTCTTTGGCGTCAAAAAGGCTCTCATAGCGGCTCAGAAGTCAGTCACATCAGGATGGTCAAGGGTGGCCAGACATGATCTAGGCTTCATATCTTGATACTTTGAAATTGGTTATTAGACTATGGACATCACTGCATCCGATATAAAATTGGAGATTAATCAAGGCTCTACAGTCCTGCACTGCATCAGAAGCTGCTCTTGTACTGAGAGGTTCCTTCGATACAAAAGCAATGTGCTTCAATGCGCGTTGTTTGATAATACTGTGATGGCTTCATGGCCATCGACCTGATGATCGAGGTGAGAAATTGCTTCTGCATGCATTGCCGGAATAGGCAACTGCACGCCAGCTCTGCTGCAAGTCTGCTTTAAAGTTGCAAATTTGCATCTATTCTTCACCAGGACATTTACGTTCAGATTACTCTTAAAGCCCTCAACGTGGATATCGTTGATTGCAGATATTAATAAATTGCTTCAGTGGTACCTCTTAAAGGGAAATTTCACATTCTAACCGATGCACATCCACTTGTGAACTGTGGAGGATCGTTAGAACTTAGTCACTGAAAAAAAGAGATAGTTGTGGATGTTGTGTATATCTGATAACGCCATCGCTGCCTTGCCAAGCCTGTAATGACTGCACTCTGTTCATAAGTTGCCTCTGCAGATTCCTATAAGTCCTCGAGGATCACGCATGCTTTATCTAGTCGAGTTGGAGAGGGAACTGGAACTCCAGCCTCGATTCTTTGGACCTCGCTTGCGTGAAGTCTTGGAACAGAAGTTGATCTCAGAGGTGTGGTCAGCAACATTTTCGCTTTTGAGAATCACAGACTCACCAGAATTCCAATGTGAACATTGATTGCTTTTGTTCTCAGGTGGAAGGCACATGCAGTGGGAAGTATGGCTTCATCATCTGTGTCACTGGCATGGGCCATGTTGGTAAAGGGAGCATCAGGGAAGGCTCTGGCACAGCACTCTTCAAGGTGCAGTACAGCTGCGTGGTTTTGAGACCCTTCAAGGGAGAGGTCCTTGACTGCGTGGTGTCCTCAGTTAACAAGGTACGCCGTTTTCAATGTCATGCATGCAACCTTGACTTCAGCACAATGCAGTGCTATGCATGCCCATCAACATTGCCCATTCAGACCAGTTCTATCAGAGGCTGCCATTAACACGCTTCACTGTAGCTTTCCTTTTTGTTGCAGGTGGGGTTTTTTGCGGATGCTGGACCTCTGCAGCTCTTTGTGTCCAACCATCTCATTCCAGAGGACTTTGAGTTCAATGCCACTGGCGAACCGGCATTCGTGAGCACAGATGAAGCTGTCAGGGTGCAAGCGGGCGCAGAAGTGCGCCTACGAATAGTGGGCACGCGAATGGACGCCAGCGAGATTGTAAGCCTTCCCTCTCTTTCTCTTGCATTTTTATCAATCTTGCAACATGCATAACTTAGAGAGATTTCTGAGATCCATTGCAGCTGCTCTGAACGTTGTTGCTTGCATGCATCGCATCATCTGCTGGGCACTTATATTCTGGCTGCTGTCATCTGCTTGCCTGACCAATTATACAGATCAGCATCTGATGATGCCATTTCTGTCATGGCAGTTCTGCGTTGGCACTATAAAGGAGGACTACTTGGGGGTGATTAGCCAAGCTGCAGGCCTGTAGTGATGGCAGTCTGCACAGATGCGGAGTGCCTGGCAGCCAAGATCAGCTGGATGAGGTTGGGGTGTCCTGACAGTCTGAGTCTTTGAGCTAGGCAATGCACGAGCTCTCGAGAACTCCATTGATTGCGTGTTTCCTCTGCTGTCAAGTGCCAGGGGCAGTGCAGTCGTGTGTGTGTTTATTGCCTTTGATCACCATCATTCGGAATGCAATTGTCTCCACTTGTTGTTGTCACCTAGAAGCTTACCTTACTCTTGAGAGTGCTGACCACTCATGATGACTCATTCGGAATTGAATTGCAAATTTCCAGCACGTGAGGTCTGTGACTAACATTCAGCTTCCTCTTCTGCGGAAGCGACCTCTAGCCTCGTAAGCGGGACTTCGATCCCTTGGATCTCAAATTCATGATACTGGGTGTAATCTTGCTTTCCTCATGACTTGTGAAAGAGTACCGTTTCCCAATCATTCCCCAGACAATGCACATGTGAAGTAATGATCCTTTCACAGACACTCGAAATTGCCGTGCCAATTGGATCGGCAGCTATGACGGACATCGCTCTAATTGCCATCTTTTGCGTGGTCTTCACGTACATTGTCAGATGTGTGTTCCAGTACACCCGATCGAAGCTGATTGGGAACAAGCTACCAGGTCCAACAGAATCCTTTTTGTGGGGCAATGCAGCAGACATGCAGGCCCAGGGCGGCCTTGTGCTGTTCCTCGATCACCTCCACGAGAGGTGTGGCTCATGAATTATGCACCATGATCAATCCCAATCCTCAATCGCGCGCGCGAGGGCGCCTTCCTTTGGCCAGTCCGATGCCCAGCATCACCTCTACAGGGACCAACGGACAATCTGGATTTCCTTGAACTTACTGCAGAATAAATGGGATTTCAACTGAGAGACTTCCTGTTCCAGATACGGCCCCATCGCGAGGTTTTGGGATGGCGTGGGGAGCCTGTCTGTCTCAATTAATGACCCAAAGCTGCTGCAGCAAGTGAATGGCACCAGGCTGGAAAAGAGAGTGGATGGCCTTGACTTCTTGAAAGGCCTGCTGGGTGCCCGCGGGATAGGGTGCGCTTCATTGCTTTTGAGCTGGTGCCATAATGTCAGTGGTCTGCGCACTAAATAGCTCCGTTCCTGATGTGCATGCTTGTTATCCAAGAACACTTCAATGCGTAGGTACACAAAGGGTGCCCAGGCAAAAGCACGCAGGCAGCTGTGGCACGGTGTGCTGTCAGGGCAGCCATTTCAGCAGAGCATGCTGCCAGCGTTCAACAAGATGGTGGAGTCAACCTTGGATGACTGGACAGAAGGGGAAGGAGATGCACAGGCAAGGAGTCGGGAGGATGTGTTTTTTATATGGGTTACAGCAATCGATAGGCACCTGAGAAGCACTCTTGATGTAGAAGATTGTGCTGCTTTTCAACAAATTCATGCGTGCAGGGAGAAGGCGTGGTGATTGAGTTCAACATGGCAGCGAGAATGCTTTGGTTGCGCCTCAATCAGGTCTGAAATGCTTTTGAGGCATCCCTTTTTCTTATTCCCCAAATTTTGCACTTGACAGCAAATTCTACAATGCTCCTTGTAAGGCAAGTAGCTCAATAGCTGCTGAGCTGCAAACTTGGATTTTGCCAGGTCAATGCATTTGGCTCACAAGCAGGAGAGAGCGCCACTCAGCTTTTCCGAGCATTTGGGGAGGCTGTGCAGCTGCTGCAGCGCCTCCGTTACTCATCCTTCCCTACTCTGCCATTCAGCCCAGCATGGTGCGGCACCACATGCCTGGATACATACTCTGTTTGCACTTGACATCACTTTTGCGTACAGTATGAGATGGAGTCTGGAACCAGGAGGAGTATTGATGGAAATGCAGGAGGGAAAAGCAGAGGCTGCTGACTTTCATCCACCAGGATGTGGAGAAGCTGATCAATTCTGCAACATCCAGGGGAAAAAAGGCAGGCAGTCAATCCGCAAGCATGTGATTCTGACAGTGATGAGTGCATGCATGCACTCCACCAATGGAACAGCATCCTTGTATGCTTGATTTCTTGGGCTCAATTGATTTCGTCAATCAGCTTGTGCGAGCAGGAAATCGAGGGGCAGAGCGAGTGGGGCACTGGCGACCTGCTGAGCCTGCTCATTGCTGCAAAGGGCCCTGATGGCAGCCCAGCATTCTCCACTGCTGAAGTACATGATGAGGTGCACATCTGGCCAACTGACACTTCCTAGTATGACACACCGGACAATGGACCCGTCTATGGATGAAGTACATATATTATCTCGTGGATGGACAGCGACAAATTTTGTGGGGTCCATGAGGCAGGCAGGCAGTGACCTGGGACTCGTCTTTGCCATGCAGGTGTTGACGCTGCTGTTTGGAGTGTACGACAATTCAAAGATCCTCAGCCACACACTGCACCAGCTTGCATGCCACCCTTGCGCTCAGGAGGCTGCCAGAGAAGAGGTGGATGCTGCCTGGGGTGGCCGGCCACCAAACACCCTCCAGGCGCTCATCAGCCTGAGATATCTGCATGCCTGCCTCCAGGTGCGAAGTGTCCATGAAAGACCAATGCTTTACCTTGCCATTTCCCTGCCATACCATTCAACAGATTTTAGGGGCTTTCTTTTGCATGGGGGCACAGCATGCACGCATGCAGGCATGACGCTGCCTGCCTGGTGGTGGCACACATTCACATGCAAATTTGGGAAAACACCGAAAGAAAAAGATAAAGCCAAAATATTCAAATCATGGTATTGTGGACATCTTTTATGCATGATGTGCAGGAGACTCTGCGGATGTCAGCCGGGAGGGGAGTGATCTGGCGGGTGCTGGAGCAGGATGTCAGGCTTGGCAAACATGTGCTACCCAGGAATGCCACCCTGGTGGCCCCCAGTGCATCCATACACAGCAACCCAGAGTACTGGCCTGAACCCGGCAAATTCAAGCCTGAAAGGTTTCTGGAGGCAGATTCTGGCACAGGTGCAACTTGCTTTCTTGCTGGGCTACATGGATACATTTGTGATCTACAGCATGGGCCCTTTGCATGCGAGCTTTCAGGCATGATACAAAGATTGGGGATTGCAGACTGGGGATTATCATTGCAGCATCAATATTGAAGGGTTGTATTGGTGCAGCAGATAAGAGTGACAAGCTGTGCCCAGTGAAGCACCCAGGCGGCCATCCGCTGGCTTTCATCCCCTTTGGATTTGGACTGAGGTGAGGCCCATGTAATGCCCCTCGAGCATCTGTATTTTTTGGATGACATGCCCGAAAATTGAATTTTCAAGTAATGAACCGCATGTTTATACATGTGAGAAATCCAGCATCGATAGCACAGTGAGCTTGCACAAATTTCGTGAAAGTACGGTCGCTTATGAAAAAGGGAATGTGTTTCTGTGCAGGAATTGCTTGGGGCAGAAGTATGCGATGAACACTGCCACGCTTGTCCTCGGTCACATTCTCCAGAGGTTCACAGTAGAGCTTCCATCCGAGGCAGACAGACAGCTGCATTTCAAAGAGGAGAACCTGAGCCTGGAGTCAACAGATGGCATTCATCTGCGCCTGAGGCCGAGAGCAAAGCATGTGTCATAGGTAAATCATGAGAGAGAGAGATTATGTTTTGTGAGTCGAATTCGAGGACAGAATATCCGTTGCAGGACATCGCAGCAGTAGGAATTGCAACATTTGCGGTAAAGGCCATTGAACAATGTCTGAATTGTCAGTATCAATTGAGGAGGCAGTCAACAATCCCGACGCTTCAGGAGCTCGCAGTCATTCATTGTGTCATAAGTGCTGAGGAGAACAGCTCCACCAAACTGTGCAGCAGAAAGGACGTTGGATATCAGAATCTGCTCATGCAATCTCTAATAAGCCACGGTCAGCAGCACACAATCCTGCTTCAGCCCTGGAGCCTGATCAGGTTGTGTACTCTGCGTTGATCTTCACATAGTCATAGCTGAGATCGCAGCCCCATGCAGCGCCATTGCCGGGGCCAGACCCCACAGAGAGGGTGATGTACACCGTTCCATGCACGGCAGTGGTGGAGGTGAGATAGGCGCTGGCAGCCTTGGCGTCAAAGGCCAGCGGCTGTCCGGCCTCCATAAGAGGGATGTCCCCAAGCTGGATGTTCAGCTCGTTGGGATCATAGGGCACTCCGGCATACCTGCCATGCAAGACTGCTGTTAGAATGTCTGCATGCACCTGCTTCATCTGCTGTACATCTGTGGGCTGACAATGTGCATGCTAAGCAAAGCTCCATTCCCGCCCATCCATTGCCCCATGCAAGTAGCTCGGAGATGTGTCTCTCTCTGCTTCACTTGAATGGTAGACCAGGTGATCCTCACATGCTCAACTTCTGCATGCTTGATTCATGACACTGTGAACAGGCCCAGAAGCCAGGCTCTTTCAAGTGGCAATAAATGTCCAAAAGTCCAATCATGCAGCCTCATCTAATCGGCGGCGCTTGCTCTGCCTTGATGTTCAAATTTGTAAATCTCAGATATGGTATGAGGGGCGCACCCGGCAGCGCAGGCAATGCGGCCCCAGTTGGGGTCGTGCCCGTAGACGGCCGCCTTTACAAGGGAGGAGGCGACCACGGATTTTGAGATTGTGCGTGCCGCCTCATCGCTGGGCGCCCCCGACACTTGCACCTCCATCAGGCACGTCGCCCCCTCGCCATCCCACGCTATCGACTTCGCCAACCCCTGCGCATTTTATTCATCCCCCTTCATCACCTAGGCAGAGTCGCAGATATCCCTCACTGCTAGTAGACAATTCTTATGATCACTCATAGCCCATCCCCGAGCCAAGCACATCCAATCCTCCCTGTATTTCCTTACTTGCATTCTATTGGTGTACTTGATAGCTAGGGTCCCTCAATCCCTCTCCAGAATTTTGAGATGTCCTCTTTTACGCTGCGAAAAGCAATAGCAATGGCAGAGTGGCTAAAGAGGCAGGTGGCAACACATGCCTGCAGCAGGGCGGTGACTGCGTCCTCGAGCTGCTTCGCCTCTGGGCTGGCCGGGTCGCTTATGAGCGCGTTCCCTGCCGCTCCGCTCGCCATTCCAATCACTGTGTCATTTGTGCTCGTGTCTCCGTCCACCGAGATCTGCATTCAACACTCTGGCCCCTTGGTCCCAGCGAATCAATGCAGCGCTGCAGTTGATAGAGCAACATACATTACATGCACAACACCACTTCCAAAGGGTGCCAGATCTGTCACTTGCGCCACAGGATCTGCACAAAGAGCAGCACATGCACTCCTGAAGACAACCACCAATACACGAGGGAACATGCATCACACGGCACACATTGGATAAATATGTAGAAACTCGTGTATAGAGCAAAACCAGGGCTGACCTGGTTGAAGCTGTTGATGGCACCCCGCCGCACGATGTCTGTCCAGAGGGACTCGTCTACAGCGGCGTCCGATGTGATGACGCTGAGCATGGTGGCCATGTTGGGGTGGATCATGCCAGACCCCTTTGCGATGCCCCCCACGCGCACCTTCGCTCCGCCTATCTCCACCTGCGCACAGCACAAAACATCTTCACATTTGGCATGATGCGCGCGTACTGTGCACAGCTGGCAAGCACTGCTTAAAAGGGCAGTAAAGGTGCAAGTAATGCAATGGAAAGAAGACCGTTTGCATACTGGGGGGACCCATCTGCAAGAGAATGCACCGGACTTAATAGGGTTTTGCAAGCTTCTGTATGCTTTTACGCAACTGCCTCTCGTTCATCAAGGGCATGGTTCTGAGAATACTCGCAGAGGTGCAACTCTCAGAGCCGCTCTAGCAAGCATCAGGATGATTGTGCTATATGCTCTGACAAGCTCCACCATGCATTGAGCAATAAAATCAACCAAGAATACGAGAGAGTATGATTCAGATGTTGCTCGACATGTGCACACCTTTGAGAGTGAGAAACTATTTATAAAAGTAACGTATAGCCTATGACAAACCAGGCCGCACCTCCAGCGCAGCGCTCTTGCTGACAAGGTCCGTGGTAGTGATAGCCACAGCCGCGTGGTGCGCATCCTCCACACCGCTGCCCAGATTCCCGGCCAGCTCCGGCACGGCCGACTTCAGCGCGTCCAGCTTGATGCGGCGGCCGATGACGCCCGTAGAGAGTAATAGAACCTCCTCTGGTGCTATCCCGAGTGCCTTGGCCACAGCATCCGCGCTCTCCAGGCAGTCCTGATAGCCCGCGTCCCCCGTCGCCGCGTTTGCCTGGCCCGCATTTATGAGCACCTGTGCGCACATGCATGCATGGCCGTTGCGCGCCAAGACACCGGCTGTGTTTGTCCTGTTGTATTTCGGCTGTGTTCTTCCTCGTCATTCAGTACAGCGGTGGTCACAAGTCCTGCCTGGCAGCTGCGTGACCGGGCAGAAGTCTTATAAGCAGTGCAGAATGCACCACTGTACTGAACCTGCTGTGGCTGCAGTCCTGACAGCTGTGCAACCAGGTGTCTGCGTTCCTCAGGATTTACTTCACAGCAATGTTTTACGGAGACAGTAATATCCCAGAGCAAGCCAGCAATAAAGCGCAGGACTGACTGGCAGGGGTTTCCGGCCCTGCCGCAGGGAGATCTATATCTATGCCCAAGTTTAATGTGTAGATCCCCCTGCTTGCCGGATGTCAAGGGATGGGCGAATGCACAGTTGCTGTGGGTTATGTGGGAGTGACTAACCGCCTTGGAGCGCGAACTCCGAGCAAGCATTTGGCGGCAGTAGGTGACGGGTGCCGCGCACATTATGTTGGTGGTGAACGCTCCAGCCGCGGCCGCGCCTTCCTCCGCCACAATTAATGCAATGTCCGCCTTGGGTCCCGATGCCCTCAGCCCGCCGTGCATGCCTGATGCCCAAACAGGCATCACGATGCTGTGATCCAGGAGATTACTTATGCGAGGAATAGCAGTGAAGTGCTTCAAGCAATGAGGTATAACACTTGAGCCCTTCTGGTATGTTCAGCAGGAGGGTCTGGGCCCAACAGGTGCATGCGAACCCATTACATGAGAAAAAGCACAAGGAAAAGCTGGGGGAAGACAAGGCCTGACCTTGGGCTTTGAAGCCCTTGGCGGCATTAACAGAGCCCTCCACCTCCTTCCAGGGTCCCTCTGGTATGAGGATGGGGGCTGCTGGAATGTCAAAAGCAGATGTGGGTGCAGCCAGCGCCGCTGTAACCAGGCTGTCTGCTCTCCTCTGCCATCTCAACTGAGGCTGCTGCGAAAGAACTCAATGTGCTGAGTCCATTCAGTTTTCGTTTCCGTTCAAATTCTGGTGCACCAGATTGATACACAGCATGTACAGCAGCAAATGCTCACCTCGCCATAACTCCTCCTTTTCTGCAGTGCGTGTCTGCCCACAAGTACCTGCTGATAAGTACCTGTGCGAAGGACAATGTTTCACGCACTGTTGTTACCAAGTAGTCAAGATTGGGTCCTGCTCTCTTGCGATGTGGTGTGTTCGGATTAGGGCTTGTGTCCACCAACTGTCACCAAAGGCGGCAACAGATGTAAGGACTTTGACATTTGGAAGAAGAGATTTACAGGCAATAATTCTAGATCTTCGTTGCTTACCGGGAACTTTGGCAGCCCCTGTCGGTTGGAAGGCGAATCGGTTGCTGCACCGCAGCACATGTAGTGACGAGTCAACACCTGATACAACTTGCTTTGTAGCTTGACTTAGATGCTGTGAGATCATTGCAAGTAATTTAAAGGGGGGCACTTCTTTGCTGGGCGTTGCGTTTTTTCTAGATCACGATTGCCTTTATATGACAGTACTGTATCATTACGAAAATCAACTTCCCTTACTTTCTGTGTGCAGCAAAATTTAGATTGGTGGAGCACTGTGCTATAGTGTGTGCTCGAAAGACATTGTCTTGATCACATGTCAGATCACATGTTGGAAGCTGCCACTTTGGCACCTGACTTCACGTGCTGCGCATGCTTCGCTCCGGAAACTCCAAGCCGACGCGTTCGGCAAACTAGAAGAAGTGATCTTGAGATGTTTACAGTTGAACAAATGAACATGACACACTCAAAGGCAGGCAGTGAGCAGTGCGAACTTCTTAGATGTGACGCCATCAGATGTGAGCAGGGAACTTCCTGAAGCCACACAACACCACTGTCAAGGCAGCATATTACAAAAAATAGAGACTTTTGCGAGCATCAAGCAAGGGTGCTTCTAGATCTGCAATTTTCCATCGAGGTTTTAGGCACCGACATCAAATCAGCTGAGCGATGTCATACAAGCTGTCTGTTCTCCCTCACTGCAGTATGGCCGAGGATCAAGAGCAGACACATCAGGAACAGCAACAGCAGAGGGGCCCTCCCCAGTATGAGTACAAAGTACTGACTGACATCCTGGAGGGCACCCTCCCAATGGAGTGCAACCTCTATGCAGTGCTCATTGAATGCAGCGTCCCACGGCCAACAAGACGAGTCGGTGCGTCGAACACTGCTGCTGCCGCAAGGGCGGCCAGCTGTTGCATCACATCTTAGGCAGCTTGACACGTCCGGTGCTGTGCTTGTGCAGACTGGATGTGCAACGCAAGACTGGTGGATCCAAGCACGCTGGGTCACCCGTACCTGCAGGAAGGGGTCGAGGTGCTCATTTTTGGTCCCCCACAGCTGCTGCCAAATCCAGACTGCGTTGGGGACATCATTCGCATCCACCGACTGACGGTGTGCACACTTAGCACGAATCACAAAAAATAGCAACAGAAATTCTTGTAGGATTTGCTGGCTCTGTAACGTGGATGTCTTGGTGTTCCGAAGAATTGCCAAGCGCAGCACTTGAGAGCATGCCTGTCTGCACATCCAGGTGCAGGAATACAAGGAGAGACCACAGCTTGTGGCCACAATCGGCCCCAAGAAGAGGTGCCAAATCTGCGTGTTCAGAGGCGGAGAAGTCGAGGTGAGCCCACCGCCCTCTCCACAAAGTGATCACCCTGCAACACCAGAAGATCCTCAAAAAAACTCTGAATGCAATTGCTAGTTCTCAATGTGTTGAGAAATAGTCAAGACTTCTCTGCGGCTTCATTTGCAGGGGGAGCCGATTATGCCATACCGGGCGTCCACCCAGGGGTTCACAATGGGAGACCGAGAGGAGAATCTTGTGAAGCTGCTGCGAAATGCGATGAGCCTGATCAACAACCCCTCTGGGAATGCAGCCCCCTCCAAGTACCTGAGGAGGATCAACGAGCTCGACCCTCGTGACATGTTCACAGAGGCTGCAGATGGCTCCCTGGCACGCAACACCTTCTTTGACATCTGCTGCCAGGTGAAGCTCTCCCCATCTCATATTCGTCTCATTCCTCTGTCTCATCTCTGTCTTGTCTCTCTGTCATTCCCAATTTATCTCAGCCGCAGGAGCTCTCTGCAACAAGGGTTTCTTCTCACCCTCGGCATAGCCCCAGGTCCATACAGCTATCACCTGCTCTAAAAGGTAAGCGAGATAGCTTGTTTGGAAGGCTGCGATGGATGGCAGACACTCACAGGAAACACCACTCCGGCACAAGATGCGCAGGTCTTGAAACATCAACTTTTGTGTGTGCACAGGTGCTGCATGTGCAAGGTGAGGGGAATCGGCGAATCATGTACGTATGGGATGGCACAGATGCGCCACCCTTCCCCAAAAGGCAAGTCACACCCTGCATGCAGACTCTTTTCATTACACACTGAGATGCACATGTCTCCAAACATGTCTCCAATTGCCCTCTCGAGACCAAGACAGGCAGTCAAATGCGGGCCAGAGGCAGACTCCAAATGATGGCAGTGGCAGCCTTGAATGGAATTTGTAAATTTGTGGGGATGCATGGTGCAGGGTAGACACGCGGCATGACTTTGCAGAGGACCAGAACGTGACCCTGGATGAGGACACGGAGCTCCTTCACTACAACACAGTGTACCTGCCTCTCCAGGTAAGGGCAAAATTGAATTGAGTTTCATAGAAACGAAATGTGCTGCCTTGCTCTTCTGTTCTTGAGTTTGCACTTGCTCGGGCATCCTTCGGTGCATGTAGTACGCATGATATAGATGAAGCTGGGCTGTCGTTAGAAGACATGTCAATCTGTTTGTCTTGATGAATAAACAAGTGATGACCCACCTCAAGGCATGTGCAGCAAGGGTGCTTATGCAGTGAACCCACCGTCAGCGCCACTGGCATCTGTCAGGCAAGCAAGCAGTAATCCAGATGACGTCCAAATGATTTGGCACGGTCTCTGAGAGCATAGCATGTCCCAGGGGTGTGAGGATGCCCCGCGGCTGGGGACTGCAATGCCGGTGCGCATGTATGGGCTGGAGGGGCTGCCGCAGGAAGTGCCCCTGCCGCAGCCGGGCGCCTGGGTCAAACTGCGCAACGTCGCCGCCTGCATCATCAACGGCCAGCTGCAGGTGCCTCGATGTCCTTCTGAACCACCTGTGACTCTCAAACCTTGTGATGTGTCTCCCACCGTGCTCTTTCTATTGGCGCATGACTTTGTCTTTGACATGCACTCACTTGGCCACGACCATGCATGCACGCGTACTTCTTCGTGGAAAGTGGAAGACTACTCATGGCCAGCTGCAGGTGTCTGTCCCTCTGTTTCACCTCTGCACGTTCAGCTTGTCCATCAAATATTTCGCTTGCCGCTGTATGCGCATGCATGCATGTGTGCATTTCGTTAGAAGGATTATTTTGGTGTGGGGATGATGGGTATTTTCAAGCATCAAGACAGGGATTTGTAGATTGTCGCTCCATTTTAAGATGAGGCTGCGTGGGCAGGGGTTGTTCCGCAAGAGCAGCAAGTGGTGCCCTTGGGTGCCGTCACCTGATGCACTGCAGATCTTGGACAGGAGGGAAGCCGAGGGCAGGATCCAAGGTGCATGCCATTTTTTCAACCTGCCACTTTATTGTCACATGTCACATCCTCCCTCTACGCTCCACATGCAGACTGTGACAAATAACAGCGATAGCACAGAGCTTGCAGTGAAGCCTTGAGAGTCCTTGCTGGCACAAATTGCTGGAATTGGAGTTAGACCGCTTGGAGTCTGATGTGATGATCCATGTTTTAGATCAAAGTTGTGTTCCTGGGCTGAGGCGGTGCCATATCATTTGCAGAGTGGGCCCCTGACAGGCGTGAGCTAGTGGCCAGCTCGTCCCATCCCAATGTCCCCTTTGAGACTCTGCGCCAGGTGCATCAGGCTGGAGGTAACAATTGTGGCCAATCTGCCTTGACATGTAGATTTGAATTGAAATACACTGGACTCCAGATTCCGAAATGGAATCCGGTATCCATGTCTTGATGCATGTGCTTGTCGTGGGGGTTTTACAACGAATCCCCAAAATCACTCTAGGCCACCTTTAGGACAGCTTCTATGTGGGCGGAATATGACACAGCATCACTTGAAACTGCAGATTTTGATCGTGGCACCATGCACCGCTGCTTGGTGCGCGTAGTGGATTACAGACCGGAGGACCCCACTGAATGGTGCTCGCCAGCAGACGCCTGCAATTTGACAGGCACGCAGCTCACAGCTGTCATCCTCAAAAAAATCTTTTCTTGAAACTTTGTTAATTTCAGGAGCAAGGATATAGGCTTGCATCAGTGATGCAGGCATATGCGTGATGTGTCTTGACATCTGAGTGCACAGAAAGGAATGCATGCATGCAGGTCAAGGAGACTGGGCCTACACGTTCCACCTGATTCTCCAGGACGCCACTGGCGAACTTGACGCGCTCATATTTTCTGATAACGGGACCGTACTTTTTGGGGTGAGCCATTCCAGTGTGAACGATGAATGTAGCAGCCAAGCATGGAGCTCAGCAGTGCTCGTTTAATGCCTCACAGTGGCATTTTGTTTGCGCATCAGGAAGATCAACGTCTATTCACTCTTTTATGTTGCTGTGGGGGACTTGACTTGTCAGCCGTAGTAAGATCCGGGCCACATTGGGGGTTGCAGCATGTGTGCAAGGATGTGACCGTGCTGCTATGCGCAGGGGATCCATGCTGAAGACCTCAGCACAAATGAAGCTCGGACAGAACATATAAAGAGCGCCTTGATGGGCCTCTTCAGGTGGGCGTCTATTATGTCTGGCATTTATTGAATCCATGCATTGTACAGGATGACTCGGTACTCCCACAATTTTAGTGTGCGCCAAAATAATTTGTCTTGGGACCTGCAGGGATGGCAATGCGTGGATTGACTGCTGCTTGATGGGTTATACAATATATAATCCGGAGCGCACAAGATGTCACCGAATGTTTGGCACTTCGCTGCGGCCAGCTTTGCTTCAGATTCCTGCTTAGTTTGCAGCAACTCAGCGCAGCCACTGCAATCTCAGCAACATGTTTGTACCATAAGCTGCTGCAAGTCCCCTGCTGTTGCCATTTGATCACTTGTGTATCTGACTGGTACCAGAGATTCAGGCAGCACGTTGGCAGCCAGCCTTTTAGGCAGCTGCCATGTCAATGTTGCAGTTATAGTGATTAGTGATTGGAATGCACCTTGTACATTTATTAATCGAAGGTTGGTTTAATGATGGCCTGATCCTGCCACCGATTGCTAGGGGATGACATTGAAAGTCGGATTCCCCATAAGTCAACATTGGTTATCGAAGAAGTGAAGTCATTAAGTCTAGCAACTACTGTGTAAATAAACCAACTTTTAACTTAGAAGACCTCAGTAGAGGCCCAACGTGAGGGCAGCGCCGTGTACTTTCCCAACATACAACCATGCTTTCAGACCAATTACATGCAGGAGAACAATGAACAGTCAGTCGGCCCCATATCTTGATCAATACATTGTTCCCTACATGTGACAGAGTCAGGCTCATCGCAATTAGTCAACAATATGGGGATACTAGGAGAAATCGTTTCAGAAACCTCCTGCAATGAAATTTTAGCTGTCAGATATCCTCGAAGTCCACCACCATCCCGCTGCGCGTGCGCTTCCGCTTCATTGCCCCGTTTCCATTCGCCAGCCCTGCACCCCCATCTTTCTCCCCTCTCCCTGCTCCCCCGGCGCCTGCTTCCTCCTTGACTCCAGCCGGCACATCCCCAATTTTGCCTTCTGCCACTCCCTCCCCACTGGCAGCATCTCCATTCACACCGGTAGCCCCCGACGTGCTAGCTGCACTGGTGGATCGTCCCTGCTCTCTGGCTGCAGCAAGAGGGTCCTTCCAGGTGCGTCTCGCGACCTCTCGCGCCGCAACGTCGGCCTTTGCGGCTGCCACGGCTGCGGCGGCTGCCGCGCCGGACTTGGGCGGCGGCGGTCGCTCGGCGGCCGGCTGCTCTCCGCCCGAGATGTCCAGCACAATGGGCTCCTCCTGGCTGCCGCCAGCTTCATCTGCAATGTCGTCCTCGTCAATGGCCTCTCCTGTGGATCACATTCTTTGTAATTGAAGTTATCTTCTTATATATTCCATGGGTCCCCCGAGGGGCAGGCTTCACAAGGCAGCCATGCCGCACAGGGCAATGCACTTGCTGTGACAGAACTTATCAAAATTGGGCTGGTGGGTTGTCAGTTTTTTTCAGAGGCTACATGAGGCTCTACAGGCCTTCATACTTCAGCAATCAAACAGGAGGTAACGTGGGAAGAGAATATCAGGAAAGAAGGCATCAAAGGAGATGAAGGCAAAATGCATGGCGCACCACTGGCAGTGTCGGGCTCGTCAGCGTAGTCGCCCTGCACCTTTATGCGTGTGAAAATGGATCGCAGCAGGTTCCGCCAGTTGGCCTCTGCCGTGGCTCGCGCCTTGTTCTCGGCCTTCTCCTGCCTCTCCCTGCATTCAAAGATAGATGCACTCTTGAGACTTCCAAATCCCCCCCTTGCATAGGGAGACCTCTGCATGCAAGCCCCTTACAGTCAGCTCACATGGCTTTATCACTGGCAGAGAAGATAGAAGCAAGACATAGAAAGCAGTGAGAGCGCCAAGTGTGGGGAGAAGGGGCAGCCTCGTGGTGTATATGCAGTGCTAGTGACATACAAAACACCTCACTCGTATCTCGCTGTAAAGTTCTCTTACTGCAATGAATCAATCTGCATGAGCTAATCCAATGGTGTCTAGCATGTGGCATATTCAAATAAATTACAAAAAAGGCTGCTGTGGAATATGGCATCCCCTCAATATCATGAAAGAGGCACAGGGAGGCCGCCTGACAGAAAGAGATTGGCGCACCTCACGGCGCCTTTAAAGTGAATGGGAGCACTCCCCAAGTATGTCTTTGCAACCTTGAACCTGACATTGGCATGCACGGGCGGTGCTGGACAGAGCGCTTCATAGTCATGATCAGTCATGATGAGTCATGATCGCCCGTGAGCAGCGCACCTCTCGGCGGCCCAGTACTTGTCCCTGACTGCGTCCGCGTGCTCCTCGCAGACGACAACGCCGTCAAAGACCGGCACGCTCTGACCGCCGCGCGTCTCAAAGCCGGTCATCGCGACCGCGTAGTCAACCTCCAGCGCCTTGCACACCAGCGACACCCGCGGCATGTCCGACAGGTGCACCGTCCCCTGCGCGCACAGGTTTTCATTAGCGCCCCATGACTATAAAAAAAGCTTCCTCTCATTAACAGGTCGCCGTGCAGCTTTGCACAGTATCGTGTGACTATCTCAAGGAGAGCACCGTCCCTTGTGCACATAGAGCGCCTGATTTGGGCATTGCACAGTCTCACTTTCTTGCCACTTGGCTATGCCACGATGCTATGCCGAGATTTCTGCATCGCTTTGGGATGAAAAATTCTCATTTGTCGCATGCATCGGAAGGCAATGTAAGGCAATCCAACGGCATTTCCTGCAGATATGATCAGCGCACACAGCAGCAGCAGGTCATGCTGTCTGCAGTGACCAGAACTTCGTGCAATATCATGATATCAAGATACTCGTCACAGAGATACAGTGCGCTGACATACTCCCACCGCAGCGCCTTGCTTCACGTCAGCGGCAGGAAAACTGCTCCTGTGCTAGCATGGCAGCCGTGACAAGCACAAGAACAAGGATCGCAGGGAGAAAAAGACTGCAATGCCGTAAATGTGAGAAGAGTGCGCCGGTTGTAAGCAGGACCTCACCAGGGGCAGGGCGTGGGCGAGGGGTGGGCAGAGGACATTGCCGCGCTCGTTCTTGGGCACGACACCGTCCTTGGCCTGGGGAGGGATCCACTCCACCGTCTGCCAGTGGCCGTACAGCTTTGTCTCGCTGGAAGCCGGCGCCTTGGGCGACATCGGCTTGAAAAGATCATCCTCGTCATCCTGGAACGCCTGCCAACATCATACTTCATTCAAATCAAGACGAGCACTTTTCAGTTTGACAGGGACCAAGCGTTCAACTTTCAGATCACCAGGCATGTTCGCATGCATGCCCGTCGTCTGCTACTGCAGGTACCTGGCTTGTCCAATGCAGAAAGAAGTGATACTCCAATATTTGTCACGCGCATGCCCTCTGGTCACCCACCCCTAGTAGCGCCATTTTTTCCGGCGTGCAATATTAGGACAGTCAACAAAGGAGAACATTTGCAAGCCCGGCAAATGTACCTCTGCAAGCTCCTCTGGTGTGGTGGCAGCCTTGGGATCGTCCTTGGTGCCGCGGCGGCTGACCGTTTTTGCAGGCTTGTCCAGCTCAGCGTCGATGACATGGCGCCCCTTGCGCTGCCATATATCAACCTGCAGCGCACATGCAGGAGCGGCCACTCAATCGTACGCCAGTGTCGATTCATGCTTACAAAAAACTCTCAAATCACTCAACTGCATGTATATCCATTCCCCACCCCTGGCACAATCCATGTGGCACAGTTGCAGCAGGGCTGCTTCCCCAAGCAGAGATGAGGCAACCATCCACATGCAAAGGGCAGTAAAGAGCACAGAAATCCTGTCACACCAACGTGCATCACAGTGTGGAGAAGTCAGGGGGACGCGCACAACGTGGAGATCATGCAGGGCGTCAGGCGAAAACGTGCCATAACAATCAGTCCACTTCAAATGACCCGCCTAAAAGGATTTTTCCAACACGTAGCACACTCGCGGAATATGGTGTCTTCAGGAGAATTGTAGGGAGACGCACTGTGTGGAGGTCTTGCAGGGAGTCGCGCGGGTAGAAGGGCTCGCCGCGGTGCAGGCCCAGCTTGGAGGTGCCCGGCTTCAGCGCCTGGTAGCGGCCTATGTGGCGCTCCAGCACGTAACGTGGGTGGCTCCTGTGCATGCGCTGGCTGTCAGCTCCAATTTTTTTGTTGGTTTCATTCTCTCAGAGAGGAGAAAGTGAGGGAACAGTCTGAGATCAAACATAGAAATCTTTTTGGGTTTGACTTCTTTTGAGCTCAAGTCAAGTTCCTCAGAAATGAAGCCCATGCAGCAGCCCATAGAGCTACATTTGCAACCCAAGGGCAGCACCGCATTTCTGTCATACTTGCGCCTTGGGGCCGCCCACAGGCAAAATAATTGGATAAGAATTGAGTCAGGCAGTAGCAGGACGCACTTGAAGGCTGGGATGGTGTTGGGGATGTCCTGCAGCTCGGATGAGAATTTCTGCTGCAACTCCGCATCCTCCCGCGCCGCCACCAAATCCACCGCCCGCTGCTTCCCCTGACACAAAAGCGCACTCATGACTAAGTCCACATCGTATCTTCCATTTGTTATTGCTGCACAGTCGACTTGAAACATCAGCAGCACAGCAGTCATGCAAGCCCAGTCATGCTGAGAAAACATGAAAATTGCCAAACCGCAGGCAGCGTAGGCACTAGCACATTTGACAAACCTTGCATAGTGTGCCAGACTGAATGCAACGATGGCGAGACCACTGCATGAGCAGCATGTACCTTGGGGCCGCCAATGACAGGCTGGGTAGTGCTGCTGGATGGAAGGGAGGCTGCCTTTGGAGCTAGAATGGCCGTCTGCGGCCGAAGAGGCTGCAGCGTCTGCTGCCACCACTCCTCGTCGCGCAGCTTCTGGACTGCCCTGAAGCTCTTCACATACCTGCACAGTGACCATGCGCTCGGTTAGGTTCTTCAATAACTGCAGCTGGAGCCTTCGGTTCGTCAAAACATGCGCAGCAAGTTTATTGACACATTAAGCAACTTGTCCATCACGGTGCGCCCAATTCCTGGAGAGAGAGGCACCTTTGCGTGACATCCTTGGCGCTGTTGCCTGAGAACGCCACGACGTACGCCATGGGTGCATCCCTTATGCAGCCCTTCTCCACATCTTGTGCCCTGTTGGCCACCAAGATCCACCTTGTCAAAGGTGAATATGCAGGCTGCATGCGCGCTGTTGATATAGTGAGTGCTTCACCACGCTTTTCGCATGCTCACAGCACAAGGCGAGGGAATGGCCTAGTGCAGAGAAGACATTTGGCGCAGTCCTAGGGTAGCCAAAGATCCAAGAGCACAAGCAGCATTTACATTCCTGGTGAGCGGGGACCAGGAACTAGTGGAAATGATGTAATTGACCTGTCGACCATGCCAGTCAGGGGGTCCACATGCACCCAGCTGCCGGACTCCGCCGATCCGCAGTACACCTCGGCCCAGCAGCGGCCGTCCAGGCCCCGCCGCGACCGCGCCCACATCGACCCCGCCAGCCGCCTGATCAGGCAATACCACAATTACCTCACTGATGACAAGTGACGACTAATGCGACCAAAACCCTGTCTGAGTTTGGCTTCGACTGTCAAGATATGTCAGCTGCCTGATCAAGACGAAGATCATCTGCTTGATCACCCACTGAGCGATAGAGGACACAACACAGTTCATGCTGCTCACGTTGGTTGCTGCATGTTGGAGGAGAAAAACGAGCATCGCTTTCCACCTGGCTGAAACCAATTAACCACAGCAATCCTAACAAAGAAAGGCTGCTCTCCTCTCATGAGGTGCATGGAAATGAGGCAAACACTGAGAATGACAGAGGTCGTAGCTCAACCGCTGCAAGAGCGCTTTAATTCGAGATGATCAGATCAGTGCGCACCCCTGGGCTGGTGAGGTGGCTTTGGGCTCAGCCTTCTGCACGGAGCTGCTTGCTGCGGCAGCCTTCCGCTGCGCGGCTGCCATGGCCTTGGCACTGACAGCCTTGCCGGCAGCAGTGGCCGGTATTGCGCCCGTCTTCACGTCTGCAGACGACGGTGCCGCTTCTCCAGCACCTGCAAGAGAGGCCTGCAGGCATACTGTTCATTCAGCAGATGAGCGCACCAATTCCGCAGGTCCTTCATAAAATAATCGTGCGTAAGAACAAGTTTGCTAAATACAGCTTGTCCGGAAGCCCCACCTGCAAGGCCATCGCGAGCTGGTTCTCATACTCCATGTCACCCTTCCGCTTCCTCTGCTGCTCAGACAACGTCCGCTCCATTGCCTCCTGCTTTACAGGGTCATCATCCAACAAGAGGACCACAGCGTCCTCCTCAAGACTGCCTCGGCTTCGGCCCCTGCCTTGCCCCCTGCCTTTCCCGCCTCTCCTGCCACCTCTGCCCCTAATGACTCCACGGCCCTTCCCAGACACATCCCCTTCTCCATTGTCTACTTCCCTGCCTTCACCACCCCCATCACCCTCAACTTCTGCAGCTGCTGCTGCCGCCTTCCCCCTGCCTCTGCCGCGCCCGCGGTTGCCTTTCCCCTTACCGCCCCGCCTGCTGTCCTGAGCCTGTGCTGCCTGCTCGTCCACATCTGCAGTGTCCTCGCTGGGGGCGGCAGGTCTTTGTCGCTTTGGTGATCGGCTTTCCCTGGGCGCCCTCGGAGCGCTCGCGGGCTTTGCAGATGCCGGCTTGTGTTGTGACGGCTGGCCGCCGGCCCGGCCGCGCCCCCTGCCTTCGCTCCTGCTGGGCTTCAGCGGCAGCACGTCCAGCGCTCTGCAAATATTTCCAAACAAGATTGCATGAGCACTAATGATTGGCCATAACCCGCCCCTGCTGGCTGAATCATTCCTCAATATCATTGCATCAACATCGGATGAGCTTACGGAACTGCAGGATCACCTCTCGGTTCGCTTGCTCAGGCACTTGTTTCATAAGAAAAATGGCGGCCCGGCCCTCTGTATATTTCCAATGGACAACGCAGCACACTCACAGAGGCAAGATAGAGCAGCTGCGCACCTGACAGTGCGAGCCAGCAGGCCAACAGAGCGCATGATGGCCACAAAAAGGGCTACGAGTTCCTCGCCGCTGCCCTCTTTCTGTGTCGCCACCTGCTGCAGCCTCTCAGCAGCTGCATCCACCCCACCTGCCTGCCCTTCATCTCCCTGCATCGAGGTCATTTCATCAATGCATGATCATCAGTGCTGCAGGATCACAAAATCCGTTAGTCATCCCTGTGGAGCAGAAATGCATGGTCAAGAAACTCCCGCCCGCCCAGTTGCATCAAGATGTATCTTGCGAATATGTTCTCGCCAGCTGATGGAGCAGAGAATGTCCTGGAGAAGCTCACCTTCTGGGCAGCTTCATCTGCAGAGAGCTGGCGGAAGGCGCCATTGAACCAGGTTGTGACAGGCACCAGGCTGCTGGATCTGATGCCCTTTTTGGCATGCACATCTGGCACGACATCATGGTCTGCCAGCGCCAAAGACAACGCCAAGCCCTGCACCGCGGACAAGAGAAGCATGGAAACATTAAACATGTCAATATTGCCAGCGGAACAGCATAAGGGCATGCATTGCCTAGATCACACACCGTCATGATCACAAATGTCAAATGTAGCCCCGTCACTGTGTGCACTTCACCTACTAGAATAGGGAATTGAAGAAAAATGCACGTCACTTCAAGTGGACATGACCTGATCACATGCCTGCACAAGGGGCTCATTGGCAGCCTGGTCCAGCAAAATCCCATGCGCGAGCAGGCACAGCAGGTTTGCCCTGTGCAGCTCCCGTTGCAGCTGGGCCTTCTCCTTGTTTGCCACGCTCTTGTAGTATTTCAGCCAGGCATGCATCATCTTCTCCTCCCTCGTCAGTGGCCCCTTCCTTGCGCCGTGAGGCCCTTCGTCCTCACCATTGTCCCCTGCAACAACTCAAACATTCTAAATACTCAATACCTCTAATCTGATAGCACCTTTTCTCCCACAATGTTCTTAGCATGTCAAAGTGAAACGGATAAAGAAACAATCCGACATAGTTGACACCCAAGTCAATGAGCATGCAGGGCATTCAGTGCATCAGGAGGAGCGCAAGCAATCCCTGAGCACGTGTGGGAACTGGGTCTTACTTCCGGGTGCATCAATGTTGAGTTCCACGTTCCCATGTGGGAAGGGGTAAGGAGGCGGCTGGGCAATGGCCTCCCAATCATCTCCCTCACTGGATGATGCATCGCTCTGTCGAGAAATTTTAAACAAAAGTCAGACTTGGCAAGCATCTTCACCAATGCCCCTGTTAACCACATCAAAAAGCAACAAGGGTTGTGCAAAAGATGATAGACATGCTCATGCCAATTTCATGCCAATTTCAGCAGCTCGGAGTCTCACTCCATACTGATCCTGCTCCATTAAGGGCTCCTCCTCGCTCAAGCCCATGCCTGTCACACCAGCCTGATATTTTCGCCTGTATGTTGATGTGGTTCAGAAACTTCGGAATGCATAACAGGTGCCCTTGACAGCTAGTTTAATAGATGTTGACCCACCTTCTGAAGCCCCTTGGTCCCTGTCACGCCTTGCCGGCGCACCGCAGCTTCCAACCAGGGTTGCCTGACGCGCCCTTGGTAATCCATCAATGAGAGCCTGCAGGGCGGACCATTGTCACACTTTCAGCTTTCGGGATATGCAAGTGCCATTAATGAGCACCAAAATTCGAGATTCGAATGTTTCAGGGGTGTCTGAGATCGAGTTTTTGAAGCTGCAGTGCAGGAGACTCCTTACAGCTGCACGCTCGATGTCTCCAACGGATGAAGCTGCACTGGTATGCCTGCCTCTACGTTGTCTTTTGGCAAGCAAATCCTGCAGCTTCCGGCCGCTCACGTCCGCCAGTGTATCACCTAGCGCAGAGAATAAATATGGATGCTTACTACAGCGACTCTCCACAGTCCGAGTGGGTCGATCGGGACAGTTAGATTACAGGGTTTTCAGAAGCATTTTCAATGTACGACTAGTGTGTAATTAGAGTGTCTGTAGCTTTAAGTTGCTTTTTGCAGAAGGCCACCGATGTTGGATCACCACCAGTAATATGATAATATGCAGGGCGATTGTACGCGGAAATCCATTGATATACAATCTGACATCATCGATAATTACAGATCATATGATGAAGCTAGCAACGTACCGGGATCCATTGCAGAGAGACACCCAGTGTTATGTGCGTTATCACACGAGCCTTCTCATCTTTGACTTGGCCACTCACATTAGAAATTCTGCGTATGATGTGCCTTTTATCTGAGCAAAGATACAATTTCACGGTGGACGGCGATATCGAATTGACCGATCTGCAGCTTCACGCGCAGCATGGGCAGCACAAGGATTAGTCAATGCATGACTCATGCCAGCTCAAGCAAGCAAAGCACTTGCAAAACTGCTCTCTGTCTTCAGCTTTACAAGTCGTTCAACATCTCATTTGCAATTCAGCATTCCGTGCATTTCACACCTTAAGAAAGATATCATAGCACTCGTGAGGCCTACTAGGCGCAACACCAATATATTAAAATTTGCCAATGCGCATGCATGCAATTGCAAACCAGTTCTCAGTATGTTTCAACGTCACGCACAGGTCATAATACACCTGATCTAACACCTAAATCTAGCACATCAGGCGACGATGCATGCATGATGCTGCGTGATGCTGCAGTCCTGGCTAGTGCACTCATTGGTGCATCACAGGCATGCCTTGTCGCTATTCTCTTTAAATTACTACGGTTCGCAGTTCTCCATGCAGTGGTGCTGGTGCTCTACTCAGCGTCCCTGCATCCACACACTCTTCTGTCATTCTTGCTAAGTCTATCCTGCTGGCAGGGCTTTTAGGCATCAAAGTCAAGATACCCTGGAGAGATGTCTTAATTATAAGGGACGCACCGCAGAGGCACCAGTTTCTACAAGCGGAGGGGGCTTGGCCGATGGCGGCAACTTCTCTGGTTGGGTGTAGGGTCATATACCCAAGGGGTCAGGTAAATTGCTCCAACCACCAGTTCACCTTGCTCCATTGCACCTGCGTGCCTGTCATTTCATGTAGTCTTTTGGCCTGCAGTTCCTTATATGTGTCTCCATTCTGTGAGAAGATCTTCTGGGTATGCTTTTCCTTGGCGAGCTGCGGTTACATCTGCACCCGGTGCCTGCGTTCCTGTCATCTCATGCAATCTTGTGACGTGCAGTGCAGCTACATTTGCTCCTGCCTGCCTGTGTTCTCATGCATCTTTACTATCTGCAGTGCAGGCATATGCTCTGGCCCTCAAGCTCGCTGCTCCAGTGCTAGATGTGTGAGGCTGTGGAGCTGCTGCAGGCATTCACAGGCTTACACCAAAAAATCCTCTTGGAAGTATAAAGTCACCAGCAGCTGCAGCCCAGCAGAAAGAGGAGTAGCAAGTATAGCACCTGATGACATGGATGAGCTGGGTGTACACACAGAGTCATTTGGCAGCACCTCATTGCAGACTCCATTCAGAGCTCCAACAGGCTGCAAGGCTGGGCCTGAGTAATTTATTAGTCATCTATTAGTCATCATCAACTTACTTGGGCAGGAATATACCAGCCACTTGTTTGGGGATGTGCAGTGGGACAGTAGTTTATATCAGTGACACCTGAAATCATCTCCTCCAATGCTGTATGATTCTGAATCTCGCTTTATCAAGGTTCCATATAATATCCAAAATACAGGAGGCAGCAAAACCCAAAACCACAATAAGAAGGCAGTTGCTGTCATCAGGTCAGTTCAGAGGAGAGCTCAATTGTTCCATAAGGAGGCTTAAGATCAGGCAATTTGGCCTTGATTAACAGGTTTTGGACCCACATATGCCTTTAAAAATCACGAGGCAGTCAACTGCCAGTAGTGGGACTGATCTGCGTCTTGATCTCCTCAATGTGCGTTGCTGGAAACCCTGACAGCTCCGCATGTTTCTTGATTGCCTCCTCGTTCTGCGGACGTTGCAGAGTCTTCCTCAGAAACACAGTCAGCATTTGAAAGACAGAGGAAGGACTTTCGAAAAGTTGTACGTCATGTCAGGGTCTCCTTGTACACCCGAGGTACTGCAAGATATTGCAATCGCAGTACATCCGATGTCGCAAAGGCAGGTCAAGGAAGCGTGCTATCACCTTTGCCTGGTATATGCAGTACGTTTTATCCGCTACGACAAAACTGTTCACCCATTGTACCTCGCCCTTGAGCTCATCGAGGGCTTTGTTCGAGACCTGGGCAGCTTCTTTCAATTGCTCGTTCGAAAATGAGTCAACGCCCGGAAGGTCTCGAGTGACGACGTAGCGCTTTACCGACATGCTTGCAACGTTCTCTTTATTTGTGAAGCTTCTTTTAGGCTGACTCGTGATGGAGTTCGACACGTCTTGCGAGCCAGACGAGAAGCTGAACCCCGCACGTTTCGACGTATGCCGGCACGCGCTGCCGTGGGCGGGCCAAGCAGTTGAAGATTTTCGCAGGATATTTCCCATGCAAATGTGCTGATTTCTAATACTTGCTGTTTTGACGCCCTGCAAAGCTGGTGGCTTCTTAGCCAACGCTGGTCAGGCGTCTGACTATAGTCCCCATAGGCCGGCCAGAAATCCCTACCTCTGTGCAAGTGTGAGGCCCATGTGGCTAGCTAGGGATACAAAAAAATTGTCGGGCAGTGGTAATGAAGCAGGTTTACAAGGGCATTGTTGCAAGTGCATGATGCATGCAGAATGCACGTGATCACAATGTCAGAATGGGTGATATGAAAAGCAAGATCGTAATTACAAGCAGTTAAGAACGCTTGCACAGCATTAAAAAAAAATGAGTACCCCAAAATAACCAGCCAAAAATTTGCAGAATCTTCCAGCATACTAGCCTTGGACAGCCCAAATAAACCTGCAGCCACATCAGCATAGAGTGCACCCCGATAGAACCCTTCACAGCTGGATAAATAATGTGCAATTAAGTCAATTAAGGCACAGCATCTCGTGCACCGCATGCATAGCACGTTCCAGACCTGCAACGTACAGCCGACATTGTACACTCATTGCAATTCTGAGTACCCAGAAAACTCACTTGAACATTACTTGAATATTAATACAATTCACTGATCAGTAACCGGCGGCTTTGCCATCGGTGAGGACATCGATCTTGCTGTCAATCTCAGGGGCCTCGCCATTTTGTGGCGGTTTGAACTCATCGCTGGGGAACTTGTCCTTTTGCAGCTGCCCAAGCTCTGTGGCTCCGTTTGTGTGCGCGGCTCCATTTGTGTGCGCTGGAGAGGAGTTGTGCAGAGCCTTGTTTGCCCTCCTGCGTTCTGCCAGCGGGCCGAAACCGAAGATGGCATAAAAGATCTCGCGCGACTCGATGAGCGGGTAGAAGATGACTACCAGCGCTGCAAGGCAAAAATCACCCTTCAGTCCTAATATTTTTCTCTCGTTATAAGTAATCCACTCCCTTTTTACACCCTCATAACCACCAATCAGATGGCAGCAAGTGGCATCAAGACCCTTATCTCAACCAGGACCATTGTTAAGAGGGTTGTGCACTGGAGAGTGTCATCATGCTTCAGCCAGGCAGTATAGAATATGCACTGGTTGACGAATTTCACTGAAACACCCCTAATCAGGCAAAGAAGCACGGGAAAGGTACCAAAATTGGGCAAGCCTAAAATTCAAGCTACCCCTAAAAAGAGTACTTCTTTTCACATGGGCGACAGAAAGTTCACCTGCCAGGAAGCCCCAGATCATGGCGAGGACGATCCAGAAGGTGAAGTAGGACTTTGAGAAGACCCCAGCAGGCAGTGTGAGCAGAGGCCATAGCACGAAGACCACCACTGAGAGGCAGCCCGCCCATATCCAGGTCATCTTGTATGCGTACGCCATCTTGGCTGGATCCTCCTTCTCGCTGTCAATCACCTGAGCAGACAGCGAAAGGGGATAATCGCTCCTGTCAAGCCCTCAGACATGGGATCCTTCCCATGATTCACTGGAAGAGTCACTGGTGTCGAGCCAGGCAAAGAGCGAGAGGGGTTAAATGCAGCTGCCTCCCTTCAAGCCCTTAAGTAAGGCAGGATCCAATAACCGGGCGATGCTTCACATGAATCTGGTAGAATATGGGCAGGCACCAACAGGTAATGAATTTGCCTGAAGACCGCAAAACATGGAGGTGCAGGCTGCATCCCACAGCCAAGGCAGTGCTTCACACGAATTGCTCAAGGCCCTGTCAGAAGCTCTTCTGTCAAGGGATTCCAATATCGTTGTTTATCTCCATGCATGCAATGCGGCTTTGGTTGCAGTAAGGACAATGCAATATGCACAAGCCAAGTGCGGGTGAGATACCAGCGTTTGTTTGTATGTGGAAGGGTGAGGTTTAAAGCCTCACCTTGGCATTGTCCAGGATTTCGACCTTGTCATGCAGGTCTGCACGCAGCTGTTCCCAGGAGGCGTTCCTGTCTGGGGCTATCAGCGTCCACACTATCGCGATCGCCGCGCTCACAATGATGGCCACCTGTGCAGAGCCAATTGATTGGAAGATTACTCATGTGCCAGCTGGCATTGGCAAGTTGGCCATTCTCACCAGGGGAAAGTCATTTTGGACAGCTGTCCACCGAGACGTGCATTCCCAATTTGCCACCTTCTAGGCTCTGAGCAAATCTCACATGCTTGCATTTCCATGTGACAATCCACTTTCACATCAAAACGTACATTAGTTTTCCAAGGACGTTTGATCAAGTCTTCCCAAATGACAAGTTTGGCAAGCACAAGCTCTGTCACGTGCGCCCAATTTAAAAGAGTGCCAGTCAAAGAGGGCCCATCCCATTGTCATGGCCTGCCCAACTCCAACAGAGCTGCAATATCGGGGGTTCGGGAGCTCGAAACAACAGCAAATTCACACAGATGAAGACAAGAGACTAGAATTTGTTCAATCAAACGCCTACGTGCATCCATCTCTACTTTGGGGCAGATGTGCGCACCAGATTTCCAGCCAGGCTGGGGCCTGAGAGGGCTGTGGTGGTGATGGTGACCTCGCCATGCAGAATGTGAGTGCTCACGAGCCAGGCAATGATTGCAGCCGCCTGTCCGCCCAGGGCTGAAGCAATGGCTGCACCCTGCGCATGCACATGCACATGACTTTGCACATTGCTACGTCGAAGGCTTCTGGCAATCAGGAATTTCTGAGGAGTCTGATCTGTCAGGCTGCAGGAGCCTGGTGGCCTCTGATTTTCCAGAGAGAGCTGGGAAAAATGTGCAAAGATGTAGAAAGAATCCTTACAAGCAGGAATATCAACGTTTTATATGGTTAATTCTTAATACCTAAGTGCTGATAGATATGGGCTGCCTAGTATGCCAACTTGGTGTGGATTGAATCACCTTACTAAACACAAGCTGCAAACAAGAATTTAGGGTTTTGGGTTCTGGTCTTTTATGCATGCAAATAATGAAATGAGCATGTTCCAGGAAAGAGAGTGTAGCAGAGCAGATCATGAATCTCTCACCTTGGGAACAGCGTTCCAGGTGAGGAGGAAGGAGATTGGGGGGAAGACAGACGCCACGAGCAGGCCGATGACAAAGAAAAGCCAGTTGATGTCGATGCCAATCTTGATGAGCGCAATTGACCACACGCCACAGAACAGCGCAAAGACAAGCACTGCCAGCCTTGACACCAGCAGCAGCTGCGGACACACGCCTCTAATCAGAATTTTACATTAAGCATCATAGTTTCACACGCTTTTCCTGCCAGAGGTAAGGTGCGTCTGCAGACAGGCGGCAGGTACAGGCTGCGCACATCCTACTCCTTGATGGACCAGGCAAGACCCGATCAACGCAAGAAATGCACCCCGCCAGCAGGGACCACACCCAAAGCTTTCTCTTGCCACAACTTCACCACACAAGACAACAAGACCCACAGTCTCTCCGATCACGGCAAGGTGCTGCAATTGAAATTGAGCTTTTCATTCTGCAGAGGTTGCTCATCGGTAAACAACAATTTACCTGCTTGCCAGAGGCTTTGGGGCGGATGTACGTCTTGTAGACGTCGTAGCTGCATGCACAGCATCCCTGTCAGCAACTTCCTGTTTGTGTTCAGCGTCAGCGCACTTCACAGACTGATCCGCGTGAGAAGCAAGAGATTGCATACAGATGTGAGTGCGCTCAAGCATGCGTACCTGAAGAGGGAAGAGACTGCCAGGAACTCTGCACTGCCGGAGCTGGTCACTGCACACACAAAAACATCTGCCTTCAAAAGCTATCCTTCCAGCCCTCTCCGCATGCTGTTCACAAGCTTGCAAGGAGGGCCGCAAAATGCAAAGACATGGAGGCTCATCACGGATGAACAGCTCTTTGGGTTCTGATGGGCAGCACTGGTTTGATTACTCACTAGTTGCTACGTAGCCACAAGCCACGAGCGAGGTAACCCATTCATCATCCAAGACAGGCAGCAACGGTATGCTGTACTGAGCAGTCACTGAGTAGTCACCGCTAGAAAGTGAGGTAACCATTACATACCTGCCATGAAGACCATGATGGCTATCAGGATGACGCCGCCCTTGCCAAACAGATGGTAGGCCACTGCCGGGGGCACCAGTCCAGAGGCGACCTCCTTGGCAGACAACGGGAGGTCCAACGCCAGAGCAGTCAGGCCGAGCGTTGTGGCCAGCGTGTAGGGGACTGCAAACCACAGCAGACCCCCTAGGATGTACCCCCTGCATGGGAACAGGACTTCGATTTAGTCAAGTGATGAGTCATTTAAATTTGTGTGGAGCAGCTAGGCAGGGTCTGAAGCAGGCTGTACTTTGTAGATGTTCTGTTTGGAGCTTGCTCCGACAGTTTGCACTGTTCTGAGATGGCCTCTGAGGCTAATTAGATTTCCAGCAACCAAAGCATGCTGGGCAAGTGAAGGTGGCAGGCCCAGAAATCTCAAAAATGCAGCTGCTCAGTTGATAAAAGGGACAATCTTTGTTACCGGAGGCTCAATTGACGGCAGTCATCATTTCTATGTTCTTAGGGTTTTATGGGATCTTTGTACAGACTTTAGGATTTAGGGGTCTCACTTGAATGCGGCGGAGGGGCGCGCGGCGATGGCTGACTGCCAGAACCCCTGGTCGGCCCAGATCCAGCCGAAGCAGGAAGCGAAGAAGATGCCGCCAAACTCAAGGCCATTGCCGCTCCACATCGTGAGCGCGCTCCCGTCCCTGTTGCTTGTGTGCGGCACCGCCTGCGCAGCAGCAATCATGACATTCCAGATCAATCCCCTGGACAAGATTCCACCCTGCCACCCGTCACTTTGTCACTTTAAATTTGATCAGGTCATCTGTATGCTCTCTGCTTTGTTTGCTATCAAGTCAAATTTCGGTGCTGCTGACGGTAGGTTCACTGCTGATTCACCCTCACTGCTCGTGTTTTAGGCCGATCATCACCCGTCACATCGGATAAAGGTTCCTCAAAAGGGAATTTATTCTGTTTTCACTTCAAATAAGAGTCTGCAGACAGAGCAACAAGAGCTGCTGTGACTGAGAATAAATGCATGGTTGGTTGAATGATGCCGTCTGGGCAGCAGCAAGAGCAACCTGTCACATGAGGCTGCCCTGGTGACATGAGTTTCTTTGATAAGTGGCTCAATGAGCCTTCTGCAGACAGGGCAATCAAAAGCTGCTGTAGTGAGTCTCAGCGCAACAAATATTTTGTGGTTGCCGCCTCTAAAGCCGCTGAGTAGGTGAATCTGTGCTACGCGGCAAACAAGATGCAGTAGCAGTGCTCCTACACAAACGGCCCATTCAGTAGCCCATTTTCTGAACATGCACTCACGGCTCTCTTTCAGTCGCACCTGGTGCTAACTAATGATATGCTCTGCTGCAGAGAGAGGGCATACTCTTCTGAATATGCTCGCTAAGCGCGCAAGGCACTCAGAACTAGCAAGTAGCAAGTACCGGACCAATGAAGATGATGCATGCGTAGTATATATTTGGATGAGTCAGATTACTCACCGCGCTGCGCACGACGAGGTTGTCGTAGACATCACCGATGCTGGAAATGGGAGCGCCGTCCGAGCCGGAGTACACATAGACACTGAAGAGCACCACGCCCACGAAAATGATCGACGAGTGCAGGTAGCTCGATGTGAACACCGCCTGCATGTGCAACGAATATGCTTCTCTTTATTTATTTGACTGATACACGCTTGTTCCAGCCCTCAGGGCTAGGCGCGATGCAGCAACCTCTCAACCTTTTGAACTATCTTCAATATTAATATTCATTCTGTGCAGTAGAGCACACGAATTGCAAGTCATTGTGCTTTGCCGTTGCATGCAGGATTTGACAAGGCCTTTAAATGACCCAGTTTGGCCCCTGGTCAGTCTCAGAGCCAAAGGGTTGAGCCTCTGGGCAAGAGAACAATCGCCTCTGGGCGAGAGAGCAATCGAGGTGGCCGGCCACCAGAGACGGGAGGCAGAGATTTGAGACGCAAGAAGTCAAGATCAAAATTGAAAACGAATATGGCAATGGGCTTGCCTTGATGCCGCCAGCTCCGCAGTAAACCAGGACAGAGAGGGGGATCAGCATCGCGCTGGCTTCCACAGCAACGCCTGCGCATGCGTGCACCTTATTATTTAAGAAAACATCATCATTGATACACGGTTTTTCTGTTTGAAGCAAGGCGCATCTGCAGACAAATTACAGGTGGAGGCTGCCCCCCCTTGGTGGACGCGCCAGATCCAAGCAAGACCCAATCGATCATGAACACGGTGCCCAGCAGGATTTGCACCGCCCACGCCAGCCGGGGCCATGCATGCACCTTTCTAGCCTGCCCAATCAGAGGAGGGCCAGAGAAAATATGGGCCATCTTATTATGGCCTGCCCAAATCCAATCGAGCTGCAAAGCAGGGGCAGATGCTCTCGAAACAACAGCATATACAGCTGGTCAAGAGCAGAGACTACTAAAAATTCTTCCAGCAAGTGCCTCCGTGCAGACCCTAGTTTCCTGAGACTCCTGATAGCCTGAGCTGGCCCTGCAGATGACACAAGCCCAATTTTTAAATTTGAATTGAAAGGATGCTAAAAGATGCACCTGTGAGGGCGTGGATGACTGCGCCGCCTCCAATGATGAGTGTGCTGGTGATGAACAGGTTGTTGATGAAGAACAGGTACAGGAACACCTGCGAGCACCCTTGTTTTCAATTTCAGAATTCGATTTTGAACAGACAGAATGTGCTTACCATCATTGAGATGGAAAAAATGTGCGCTAACAGAAAATATAATCTTGGCAAGGTGCAGAGTCGAGGAGAAAGCATGCAGGAGCATGGACAAGCAGTTGGTGGCGGGGCTCCTGGGGTTGCCGAGAGCTGGTTTGTCTCCAGGGTTTTACAGCCCCCAAGGGCCCTCCAAGGGATTGGCCAACCTGCTTCAAGGCTAAGGGCGACATTTCACGGCAACCCTGGAATGAATACAGATTTGGCAAAATATTAGCAGGGCAACGCCCCGAGCTACTCGGCTGTGACTGAGGGGAACCCCGAACTTTTCAGGCAATTTGAACCACTTGGAGGCCAATTTAAGGGAATACCTGCATCTCCCTGTTGAAAAAGTTTGGAAATCCCAGGGATGCAAGCGAAGTTTCAGCTACTATCACGGCAGCCCCATAAAGGGGCTGGCCTGAGATTTTCAAGGACCCCTGTCAAACCCTGGTTGTCTCATCTTCAATACTCCCCGGGAGTGCACCGGGAGTACTGTATTTATTTAGATAGATAGACCCCCTAAGAAGTGGATAAGCTCACCAGGTGGGCGGCCTTGCCCCAGCGCAGTCTCACGACTTCCAGTATGGTGTGGCAGTTGGGAGCCTTGCGCTTGATCTGGATGGCCATGATGCCAAACAGCATTATCTGCAGCACAGCCCCGGCCGAGTACCTGCATGCATGCAAAAAAAAAAGTTCATTGCATCGCAGTTTGTAATTATTATTACACACTTGTCCTGCCAAGAGGCAAGGTGCACCCTGCAGACAAGCTGCAGGTAAAGGCTGCAACATGTTCCATCCCTTGCTGGACTCTCCAGATACAAGCGAGACCAACCAAATGCCAGCGTGGTGTTCAGCACCGGGATGCTGTTTCAAGGTTAGGAACATGAATGGAGTGGTCATTGTGGGACTCAGTGGCATCAGCGGGCTCGCACCAGAATGGCCCAGAGATGCCATAGTTCCAGGCAACAGTGGAGGACTGGAGAAGTGTGATGCTCCACGTCCAGTGACTGACAACGTCAACTGCATGCAGAAATACACGCTTGATCGGCTGCTTTGATAATGCTGCAGCAGCACTTTCATGACACTACATGACGAAGGAGCAGAAGGGGAGATGTGGCACCTGCAATGAGGCCGGTCTTGATATTCCGACTGGCCGTCTGAAAGTGCTCAGACGTGTCTCTGTTGCCAATGAAGGTCACATCGAACCATGCGAGCAGCGAACAGACGAGCGCAAAGAACGCTCCAAACCCCACCACGATACCGTAGCCCACTCCCTGCGTGTGCAGACACTCTTATAAAAACGGGGAAAATTGAAAACATGAAAATATTGTCGTACTAGATTGCCCTCTTGTTAGCGCATGAAACATGTTGTGCTTCATTGCAATCCGCTGGACGCGGCATGGCCCGGAAACAATTGTGAACCACCCACCTGACTCAGGATAGCACCATTGCCTGACGAGTAGAAGAATGATGTCTGGTTGTCATACTGGTGCAATCCTGTGATATAAAGACGGTCAGCGAAACCCCACCACCAGGTCATGGGATACGGATCACGTTGAGTTTCTGATGTCTTTGTCTGAGGCGCCCCATGCTGTCGAAGGCTTGTCGACAATGCAATATAACCGCGTTCAATTTACATGGATCAGAATGTTGCATCAGCTTTCGATGAAACACTGGCGGCTCTCTAATGCATGGGAAAAGTGACGTACCGAAAAGATTGAGCTCTCCAACAGGCATCGCAAAGATGCCTTATTCGTACACTGGTATACTTTAGATGGATATCTGAATGCTTGATGGAGGAAAGGGAAGGTACGGCAGCTTTAGCAGAGCCGCGTCGACGTCCGAGGCTGTCAGTTGGTGAGGGACCAGTCAAAGTTTTCCGCGTAAGGTATGGTGTAAGTCTGTACCAGGGTGATCTCAAGTGATCTCAAGTCAATGATGTTAGAGATCGACGCCCCCACTTTGAGCCTGACGTTTGAAGGAAGGCTCACACGGACACATCCTGTCCTCGCGTGTGGGCACGTGCCCTCGTTGAAACCTTGTTCCTCCATGTTGTCCGCAACCCAACGCGTTTTGGCCACGCAAATTGACTTGCGAGACTTCATTCAAGGCTTCAGTCCTACTTACTGACTCTATCTGACTGCGTGCAACGTAGAGCCCAGCATGCCGAGGAAGATCGTGACGGTCGACATCTCGAATTTCGAGGAGAGGAAACAAGAGATCGCATCTCAGCTCCTGGAGGCATCCAAAGATGTGGGCTTCTTCTACATTGGAGGTGCGTGCTCCTCCTCTAACGGATTCGCGAACGGCAGGTGGCGATCGTCCCGTTCGGCCATGGGACTGGCACTGTGAGGCCAGCAGCCTATCCAATGCCGACTCGGCAGATATGACCCAGTTGAGATATTTTAAGTGTGTCTGAATTGAGCTTTCAAATGCTTTGCAGGTCACGGAATACCTCAAGAAGACTTTGAGAAGGCATTGAAAGCAGGTCAGCGGTTCCTGGCACTGCCCAACGAAGTCAAGGCAAAGTGGCCGTTCAACCCCGACACCTACCTGGGGCATCGAGGTCCAGATGAACTCGAGACAGTGACAGGTGATCCTGTACTTCTGTCGATGGTAAACGGCCTGCAGTTGCACTGTGCACAGATGCCAAGATGGTCCAAATATTTGGCGTGAGCAATGTGGATCTCTTGGTGGATGACAGGAAACCGGCTGTGGGAGTGGTGGTCTGTGGGAAGGTACGGCACCGGCGGCTACGATTTCAAGGTCCAGAAGTTTGATGGCGAGGAATGGCCCGAGGTGAGTCATCAGTTTTGCCACACACCGGCCATTCTTCACCCAAGCGCCATGGATGCATAAGCACCTTTTCTTGCTCCGGACGCTGCCTTTGCACACGACAGCTGCGGCACTCACCAAACCACTGATGCCCTGATCAACGCAGCCTCTAATCTGCATGCCTCAAACGGGAGGTTCTCAGGACCAAAGGTTCACTTCCTCCCTGAGGCCCTGGCAAGACTATAAACTGCAGTCTGCGCTGCACATGCTCATAGGCTCCCAAAGGAAATATTGAATGTGCAGGTGCTGGGCAAAGAGTGGGCGCAGACAGCGCTGGACTTCCAGGAGAAGGTGCACAAAGTGGCAGTCACCATCCTCAAGGCGCTCTTCATCGCCCTGGGCCGCGATGAGATCATCATCGACGATGTAAGCCCACCACTAACACACATCATCCCTACACGTTGTGCAATTCTGTGGAGCGTGCTTTGTGCTCTGGCAGCAATCCGACGGTAGCCTCAGAGTGACTGGATGCTTCTGCTCGACATACCTGCTGAAGATCCAGTGCCACATATGTATAAAGCAATGCACTGCAGCTGACATGACTTGCATTATAGTTGAGTTTGGAATTTTGGGTGCAACGGTTTTGTCTGGCTGCATTGCAGGCTTTCGACATCACCTCAGAGGAGAACCCCAGCTTTGTGGGTGAGCCCCTTTTTCCCTTCACACCCACACCACATACTGCATCTACAAGTCACATGCTCTCAGCTTGAAGCATATTTGCTCAAGCTCTGGGACGGCAAACCCCTTGCCTGCTGAAACATTCAGCCTTGCTTGAATGTGTGTGTGATGCGCAGCCTGGAACTACTATCCGCCGGTGACTGAGGAGCAGGAGGCGGCCGCCACCGGCAAGCTGCCCCCTCGGCTGCATGCGCACGCTGACATGGACGTGCTAACCATCCTCTACCAGCGCGAAGGTGCCTTTCAATCACTCCCCACTGTAAAAACAGGGCATGTGCTTCGGAGTACACATGCGTTGCTTGGAGGTAGAGGGATTACTACTCTTATTGCACGTTTTCCAATCATTAAGGACTAGGTCCGTCAAGGAGCACTTGAATTACTGGTCTCCAGTCTTCTCGATTCTTGCACTTTCCTCACCAGTCATGTGCATGCCCGATGGCATCAAGGTCATGTCTCACATGGTCATTCCAGCAGAGGGATCCCCAACTACGTTCACAGGATGTATAGCCCTCCATAGCAACCAGTCCGAGAGACTCAATGTCCTCGGGTGATACTAGTGTTGCACAGTGCTGACACTCTTCAAGGATATGAGGGAGCCTGTTCCGCAGTGCCTTGAAGTTTCAACGGCAGCTTCACGCCACTGGAAGCACGCGTAAGGAATAAAGCATTCACTGCAGCGGTGCTGCATGCTTTTTGTAAACACCAAAATTGCAAATTTGCCACTCTGTAGCTGGAACCTCGTTCTTGTCCGGTCATGTGTGACACTGCAGTTGCAGAAACTGCAGTGTGACACAGTCTGCGATTGTGGGGGAAATAAGCGCCCATTTAAAGATTCCTGCAAGGGCACCTTGGTGATTTCTTCCAGAGTACGTTTGGGGCGATTTGTGCTTGGCTGACTGCAGGCGACATTGGGTTGGAAATAGCGCCTGGCAACGAGATCGAGGACCTGTCCCTCATTGAGGACATCGGCAACATCTGGAACCATGTGCCTGTTGCCCGCGAATGGACTCCCCTGGACCCCAAGTGAGTCCCCCTTTGCAGTTTTCTAGGCATGATTAGACAGACTTAGACAGAATAGCAAAATGGCTGGCTTAAGGTGTATCAGCTGGCTTTTGCGTACCAGTACCTGTGCAGGCATGCAAGGCTCTCAGGATTCATCACGCGACAAAGCAGCGCATGCATATTCGATGTCAAGTTGCACCATGACAAGGTTCTGTACAAGCACTGTCGAAACAAAATTTGCTGTGGTGCCAGAGCAAACAGCGCAAGTCAAGCATCAGAAAGGCAGCAAAGCCCTCTCAATGAAAATTGGCACTATGTGTCTCTCTGCAGGCCGGGCCTTCTGACGGTGAACATTGGGGACGGGCTCACTCGCTGGACGGACGGGCTACTCAAGTCCACCTACCACCGCGTTCGCGCCCCCAAGGAGGGGGACCCCAAGGTGACTCACCCACGACTCAAATTTCATGACTCACCCATGACTCACTCCCGACAGTATTTTTTTCAGAGAGCAGATCTGACTACAAGGCCCTAACGGTTCCTGCTTCTGTCGTGACTTCCCTGGACTAGCTATTTGTCAAGCAGTGCCATGATGCTGTCTCCGTCATCTATTGGCATGCGGGGAGCTTTTCACATGCATCTTGAATGTCACATGTGCTCCTCGGTGCCTGACGCAACAGATCTTTGTTATGACCAAACCTCAACAACTAATGCAGGACCCAAACAAAGCGCCATGCTGATGCAATTTTCAGATCCTGCAGCGCAGCGTGACATGGAAATGTGAGAGGTTTTCATCTTGAATTACAGTGCTGAGGCTGGGGTGGGGTGCAGGGTGCGCGGTACTCGATCCCCTACTTTGTCAACCCCAAGCTGAATTACGTCATCCAGGGTCCTGAGAAGCGCTTCACCCCAGTCACCGGCTTTGACCTGCTCTCGAAGACCGGCAACGCCTACGTGGCACGCAAGAACGGTGCGCGATGCCAAATCCTGATGTGATAGCTTTAGTCCCGTTTTGTGATAATTTATCCGCGGGTTCTCCTACAGAGGCTTGGCAATCTTGACATGCAGAAGAAGTGTTCTCAGGATGTTGGCAGCATTCTTTCAGGCCCAGTGACTCACAAGCATGCATGCTTCCAATGGAATGGATTCCTTTCAGTAATATAGGCTGCCTGATTTCATGTGCCAAACAGCAGCTTTAGGAGATCTTGAGTAGTATTTTGGAAGCCTCTACATCGACAGCTTGTGTGCATACGCACTTGCCTCTGGCACTGGAGGCATCTACAAAAGGGGGAAAATAATAGCAGCTTTACTTTCTGGTGTGGTGTGTGTGCAGATCCTGAGAAGACCTGGCAGAAGAAGGCCTACACCGACGAGGGTGCAGACCTGTCAATTGCAGCAAGCCCTGTCACAGCCGTGGAGGCCTGAATTGGTTGGAGCTTCTGATGTCCACTCAAATATTCTTGCTTGTGGGACCTGGGTGTCCTGCAGTGCAGTCTGCATGGTTTTACCTATTGTCAGGATCCTGGTGTCAGATTGCAATTGTGCAATTGGAGTTCCGTAATATCCTTTGTGATTGTTAGCTGCAGCCACTCAAAGGCCGTCAACTCTAGTAGATAGATGCTACGGCCGCAGGCCATATGCATGAAGGGAGATTCAGAGATTGAGTGCAGGAACTGCTGTACACGCCTGTCAAGTATGCATCATTATTTTCAATTTTGTGGTCGAAATTGTGACTTCCAGTCTGCTTTCTTTTGCAGCCTTACAAATAACTGTGCTGAGAGGAAGGCTTGGTAAGGTAGCTAAAGCTTCTGGCCAACTTACAGTTTTTCGTGTAATGAGACGCATGAGGATCTGTCAGGGCCTTTGCAACAACATTTGTCCAAAATTGCATCCCAGACAAACTCGCATACCTCTTACACTTTATCTTCACACATCAAAATCTACGCCAGTACCCACGCTGCAGGACTCTTTCCAAGTGGGTTCAGATTGGCACAAGAAAAAGACCTCATACTTCTTCTGCTCAGGCTTGCGCATAATGTACAACCTACCACAACCACAATAGCTGCTGTTTCCAAAAAGCACAAGTGTGCGAAAATCACTCAGCTCCTCGTGGCTGCAGGACTTGCAAAAGCAACCTTTCCTGGCAGGAAGGTAATCAATACGTCACCAAAAAATGGCAATAGCAATGCTAAACTCTGTCAGCTGCTTCTTTGGCTGAAGACTGACTAGACCTGGACAAATCGCCCTCAAAGCTGCACAGCTCTTTTTTGTCACCTTCTCTAAACACTGAGCCTCAGGGTCCTCTGATCACCTCTATGGCTCTAATTAAATAATTTTGAAGCTGAAGCTGCAACAGCACTGCAGCAGCTGCCATCAAGAAATTTTTGGAAAACTAGGACTCAGAGCAACCACTGGCTTATCATGTGAAAAAATTATAGCTCAAGATTCTTGATTAAAAGACTGCTGGCGCCACGCACTCGTCCATGGTGGGCTCATAGGTGTCAGTGTCATCGAGTGTGTACCTGCACACAATCGAATCTAAATATTCTAATTTTAATCATCAACAGTGAGTTACATTTTCTAATTTTAATTTCAAACAGACTGCCTCTTTCAACTCCACATGTGCTTACTCTCACTGCTTCACACAAGAGTGGTAGATTATCTGCTGTGTTACTGTATCATGTATGTTACTGTATCCATACTGAGCCATGGTGCCTGCAGGAAATTCAGACAAGCATGCCCGGATGCAGATGGCACCGTCACATGATGTGAGTCACATCTTGTCGCTGTGAGGATTGGCCAAGAAAGGCTTACTTGAAGGTGTGCAGCTCGCCAGTCTTCTCCCCCTCCAGAGTGGCAATGATCTCGAATGACATGTCCACCACATCCGCATGCAGGGTGGCTGAATGCTTGCCGTTCTTCCATGTCACCTCCAGGCAGTGGCTGTCTGTGTCCTGGCTGATCGTCACCTGCACACCACCAGGAGCAATCCTACGCCTCTAAAACTCAGCATGCATGCCCCGCCAGTAGCTACCGCACAAGGCTCTGTAGCCTCAAGCAGTCACCACCAGCCTGGTCCGAGTCAGCAGACAATGCTATCTCTCCCATTATGTCCGTGCGCTGCATCCGAGGCTGGCAAGAAGCAGCGTTTTCTTACCAGGGTTGCAGCACTGGACAGCAAGACATGACAAAACATTTGCTGTTCACGATGAGATTGACCAGGAGTGTTTTTCTGCCTTGCATGTCAGCGTTGTTTCTTGCTTTCAATCCCACGATGGCGCTCGCTCTCTGGCTTGCACGTCTGCCATATCTTTCCTCCATTCTCTTCTCAGCCATGCATGACTACTCAAGGGTGACAGGTGCTAATTATACAAATAGCAATGCGCCAACCTGCCAAAATTTCGCAACTGCATTAGCCAGTACATGAAGACATAGCAGTGCAGGGGCCTTGCCTTGCCGTTGAAGGCGGGGTGCTGGTTGCGGAAGCGGCAGAGGTCAAAGAGCGCCTGCACCACCGGCTGCTGCGCGGCCTCATCAGCCTCCTCCAGCGAGAACTTGTGCCGGTTTATGCCGCGCGGATTGTTGTCCCGGTCCGCCGACTGCGCCGCAAAATCACAGCAGAAAACGCGTCAGCCAAGAGATCACAATAGCCTCAACTGCCACCGCCGCTCTTCTAGCTCAGTTTAGGGGTTTGAGGTGGGCTGCTGGGTCATGCTCAGCATGTCATGTAGCCCTGTAGCTTCTACACTTCACTTCGTGGGTCCAGGGCAGTAGGAATCTGCCCCTTGGGCCCAGCTGACAGCATAGGAACACAACCTGGACAAGAGCATGCTTCACTTCTTTGAGAATGAGAAGCACAGTCGGCATGTCACCTCTCTTCATCTGCAGCAAACTTCACGGCTCCATGACCAGAACAAAATCCGGACGGATCCCATCCATTATGTGCAGCAAAGACAGCAGTATCAGTAGTGTGTTCACCTCATGGTCGTTCCTGCCGGCTAGCAGGCCGACGTAGTAGACCATGGGGAGGCCGGGGGTGAAGAACTGGATCGCGCGCGCCATGAGGTAGTGGCGAGCGTTGCCATGCAGCGCGGAGAAATATGTGCAATTGTACTGGTGCGGATTGCCCACGTATCCGCGCTGGCGGCCGCTGTAGAGGTACTTCATGTTGGGGTTGCAGCCCAGCCGGTGCTCCACAACCTCCTGCAGCTGCTCCACGTCGCACACCTGGCGGCCACGTCAGCACTGATGTGTCAGGGACTCATCGCTGATCAGCGCTGTCTTGCCTGTGGCGGATTGGCCCAGCCGGGCGCAACATAATGGCTGGTTGCACGGTCGTCTGGAGTCTCATTTCGCTGTTGCTGGGTGCATTCATCATGATGAGCTGGCAGTTCAGATTGCACAGGATTGATGCAAGGCCCAGCATGTCCGGTCTCATAACATTGCATGGGCTAAGCAGAGCATCTCAGAGCACTTCCTGCCGAAGTACTGATACAGCAGGTCATGCAACGAAGCCTGTGAAAGGACAAAACTTGCATGTGCCATCGACGTGCCAGCCTTCCACACTATTCTCTCGTATCCAAAGATTTGCCAGAGGAGCAGCCTCCCTACCGGACTCCATATGGGTCTGGTACAGCTCAAGCTCAAAACTACAAGAATTTCAAACATTTAAAATTTAAAAGTTTCGAACTTCCAATTATTGGGAAATTCAAATTGAAATTCGAAAAGGTGCCCACCTCGGCAAGGCCGGCGATGTCATCGATGCCCATGCCGTCGTGAGTGTCGAGGACGGTGATCTGGCGGCGAGGGCAGATGCCGAGCCAGTGGCGCAGGTTGTCCATGGTCTTGAAGGTGAACGCGTGCAGGATGAGCAGCGGCAGGCTGAAATCATACACCCAGTAGCCGTGCAGCGCCAGCGCTATGTTGGTCGAGTACTCCTCGTGCACCTCGCACAGCAGCCTGCGCATGCATGCAAAGTGCTCCTGAATTCAAATCCGAAATTCAAAACCAGCAGGCTTCTGCGCGTGTGGCTGTGTGCACGTGTGTCTGTGTGCAAGTGAGCCTAGAGAGACGATCCCGAGGAAGGTCCCTCTACCTTGCACAGCAGCGTGCCATGCCCATGCGGTGCATTTGACTTCAAATTCTAAGTTGGAAAGTGCAGCATGCAGCATCAAAATGCAGGTAAGCCTGGAGGGATATTCAAAGAATGAGAATGCCTCCAGGCTTGCATGGGAAGCATGTGAGGGCATGCAGTGCCTTCCAATTTGGAAGTGAGAACCTTCGGTTCCCAGCGGGACCACGTTCGTGCAAAAGTGCTAGGGCGGTGACAGACAGATGTGCATGGCACTTCGCTGTTCATTTCTCGCTGTATTTGTTTCAGCTGCCTGCCTATGGGAAACTAAGTGTGCTTCGACATCTACAGTGATTAGGATTATGGGTATCAGGGAACATCAAGGCAGAGGCACGACAAGACCACACCTGCTGTCATACTCGTCCGAGATCTTTTCGAGGTCCTTCAAGATCTGCCAGGCCTCTGGCTCCTGCAGCACAGCCATCATTTTCATGCATGAAGGAATTGCCCTGCCAACTACACTCAATGATTCCTGTCTTCTCTGGAAGACTGGGATTAGGGGAGAGGCCCCAATGCACTCCATGCCACATTGCTGCATACAATGCAAATGCTGCTTTGCAAATGGAGAGGGCTGCGCACCTCGAAGAAACACCTCGTCCCTGGCTTCTTGGTGGCATATCCATAGGCATCCAATCGGACCATGCGAGCGCCGCGCGAACACAAGGATCTGAGTGAGTCCTCCACAAATTTGCGCCCTGCAGGAGCAGAAGCTTGACCTGCTAAATAGAAGGGGATTCCTCTTAATCACACTGCTGTCCAAGACTGATGCCCACTGTCTCCTTCATGGTTTGCTTGCATGTTGCAGCTCAAAAGGAATTGGTGCTTGCTGCATTCCGGAGACGTGAGAGCAGGATCAGAAAATGGGCTCAGGCCTTTGGTATGCCACTGGTTCAAAGTGTGCTGGTAGGCCAGCTTTAAACCTGTGTGGTCCCTTGAAACCATTGAAGACGGGAAGTAGAATTACCTGAGGGGGAGTCAATGTCAATGTCAATCTGCTCAGGGCCAAAGGTGCACCAGAGCTCCCGCTTGGACCCGTCCTTCAGTGTCACTGGCAGCATAGGCATGTCTGCCTTACGCGTCCTGATCTGTTTTAAGTCTTCCTCGTTTGGTCGGTCTGCACAGAAGGCATACGCCCCTTTAAAGCCACCATTATTCACAGTTGTGCTGCTTCGCAAGGCCATACAGACTGATGAGAACCATGCACTTTTTGTGAAGGTAATATTGACAGGAATCGTGGCTTAAGAAATTGCCACCAGCCGTTATGCAAGCCAGAGGAGGGGCAGCAAGGATACATCTGCTGGACCCCTTCCCCATAGCAGCCTTCAGTTGGCCATAGAAGGGACAGGTGAAGCGTTTACACAAAGTCAGATGCACACCTGGCGAGCCCCAGAACTTCTGCCAGTCGATAAACATGCTGGCGTGCTCTGAGGCATCCCCCTTCTCGAGGAAGTCCTGGAACTGGGCTGATTTGGGGGAGATATGATTTATCATAAGCTCCAGCATGAGGTCATACTCCTTGGCAATCGCCTCCACATCCTCCCACTTGCCAAAGTGTGGGTCCACGTCGTCATAACACAACGGCGCAAAGCCCCCGTCTCCGGAGGACGGGTAGATTGGCAGCAGATGCACGCCCCCAATCACACCTGCGCATGTGCGTCTTCATTACAACAGCTCATTCCAGCAACAGGTGACGCGCACTTTGGGGTGATATCTGTGCTTAGTCCTCAGCAGAGACAGGATTGGACCTGAAGATCATCTCCTAGTGGTACTAATACAGGTCTGAGCTGAATGCAAGAAAGCAGTAGTATGAGTACGGATGCATGAGGCCATTGGAGCATGGAATATTTAAACGGACTCAAGCAGGCGACTCACCCTGCAAGTTGTTGTCAATGAATTCTCGGAGTTCTGTGAGGTTCTTGCCCAGGCTGTCTCCATAAGTACTCAGCTGCACCTGTGGCAGTCGCAGGCACACCATGTGATTCACTTGCCAACATATTGCTGACAATCTCAATGTCCAGATCACCTGCTGCGTTGAGTCTAAAGCTCTCAGGTGCAAGCTAAATAGTGATGCTGGAGCAAGCTTGCCTTGTTCTGCACTTTGGGCACTCGATTTGGATCTCGCGAGAACTCTTGCTGTGCTCTTGCTGCCTCCAGTTCCTCAGTCAAAGACAGCTGGCCAAGCTCACTGAGGGACATCTTGGCCCACTTGACAAATCTGCGATCATTCTTGTCAGCCTCTGATCGCGTAGGCGATGCACCATTCCCGTTACTGGTGGCACCATTGGAGGTGCTCCCATTGGAGGTGCTCCCATTTGATCCGTTGCTGGCAGATGCCCTAGTCTGCTGCTGTGACGCCCTCTTGATGGAGCCACAGCCCTTGGGGCGCTTGAAGCAGCCCAGGCTGTGTACCTGTAATTGTGGCAGCACATATCATCTTTTCGCAATAACAATACACCATCAGAAAAGCTGCGTCTTGGCATTTTTGGCCGCAAAGTAAAACCTACAGTCATCTGAGCACAGAGTGATACGAAAGGATCACCTGAAGCTGGTTTGAAGGCAACACTGGTCGCCTCATCGTTGGACAAGGTCCACTGCCTACCATACTGAGATCACTCTTCACTTTCCCTGGATAAAGTAATATCTTACACGAGGAAGAACAGCGTCGAAGCTAGCTGCTATAGGCAGCAACGAACAGACAGAGCAGGCTAGCTACAAACTTTAGATTGACGATTGTAGATGACAACATCAACACGATATTGGTAACCTGTCGTAGATGTGAGACTTAGGGCCGCGGCACCTTCCAAGTTGTCGAGAGTCAGATGCAGCTGAGAGGAAGCTCAGGGTTTTTATGACAACCCTGAGAACCTACGAGATAGCAGAGTACTTGCGGTATCGAAACACGCACGGGTGTCCCAATTTTTTATTAAGGAATTTACAAAGCGTGCGTTGCATAGAGCACCGTTGTTGTTAATAATGGATGATAGCACGAGTACTAGCGTACGCGGAGTGGACAGACAGGGAAAGCATGCTGCTTTCAGCAGCATGGGGATGGGCATGGTAGGCATTTAGCTCCTTGCGTCATATATTTGTACCCTTTTGGACCCCCCGTTTACATTGCTATTGTTTGTGGCTCACTGCACCTTTCCTAGAATTACATTAAAAAGGGCAGAGCCAAGTAGGTGCAACAGTCAGAATCACTTGAAGTCCTTGGCAGAGGGATGATCGATCGCGTTCAATTGACGAATTCGCTGGATTAATGTCAAATTACTACCAACATGTCCAATCTACGTTGACTGGTACCGTGCAGGCGCTCACGCCAAAACCCAACCTGCACTTGGGATCCCACGCTGGCCTTGCTCCTGGCCTAGCGAGCGCCAGCAAACGTATGAAATCGACACGTTCTCCACAGAGTTGGAACACAGAAACAATTGCCGACGTGAGGGCGATCATTCCTCTGTGCTGCGCCCACCGACACTTGTGAAGAATCATTGCTCAACAGATAATTCCTCTTTATTCATGCGCAGGTAATTGATGTTTCCGAATGCAGTACATCGTCTCAGCATCTATATGAGGAAGCTCAAAGAGGTATGTTTCCTTCAAATGGGTTCTCCAGCAGACTGTCTGAACGGCTTTACAACGGCATGCATTGGTAGTGAAAAGGCGCTTTATTCACCTCATCTGTGCCAACAGGGCAGCAATGCGAGGAAGATCTTTTGCAAAGTGGGAGCATTCAAGGAGATGGGCACAATGCTCGATGTCCCATGTGCAACAGTGCACTTCAAGTGAGTCCTCGGTCATAACATGTGTCTGCAGGCGCCTATACATGCCGGGCCATCAGCTCTATTGGAGTTGCATACCCTCCTTCTGGGTGTGAGCAATTGCTTCGTGTAGCGCCTGCAAAAATTGCCTGAAATCTAGTGCATGCAGGTCGGACCAAGGACAGGAAGAAGGCTGCCACAGCTGTGGCTTCATGGACTGCCACGGCCTGCAGTCACACCTGAAGCCTTGGTGCAGCTCCTTTTCCCATCAGCTCCTAACAAAATCTGATCTACTGCCAATGGGCGTACTGAAGATAACCATTGCATGCGTCATGCACCTTACCTGCAAGCTATCTGGGTTTCAGTAAGTGGAGTAATTCTGTCTGCCTTGCAGGTGGTGAGTGGCTGTGCAGTCCTGGTGACGATTGTCAGTACCTCCCTGTTGCGCTGGGTGTATGGGCTTGCAAGGAGGATGCTGGACAAGGTGTGCATTTTCCCCTGACGAACAGGCTGTCATTATCCATGGTATCAGATCCTGGAGATCAGCAAGGTTTTTTGCACATGACAAATGCCGAAACATGCCTTGGCTAGAACAGGAAGGAATTATGAGTGAGGAAGGAGTAGTGAATCTGGCAGGGCGCTGTCCAAGCAACAAGTTCTGCAATCACTGCATATTCTTCACTACTCATCAACTTGAATGACCCATTTTGGTTTCGAGCTGCTGCAGGGGCACGCTCTTCCGCGCAGAGGTCACAGAGAGGCACGCAGTGATGATCCGCCGCGCATCAGCGAGCAGTGTGTCAGAGCTGAACAGAGCATATCACCAGCGGAGGCTCCTGCTGCATCAGAGGCCTCAAAGAGCAGAAGGCGGCCGACAGCTGGCATGCGGATCACAGACCCCCTCTGGCAATATGCGGCCCTTGCTGTCTATCCAGAGAGGCTGAAGCCAAGGGCTGCATCTTGTTGAAGTCATTGTGTCCCCGAGAAGAGCTGAACTAACAAAGCGCCCGAGGGCAATAGGCCGCTCGGGAGCTCCTTGGTTTTATGGCTTTGTTGAACTTGATCGGAATCTCCCAGTTGAGTATTTGATTTTGAGTGCAGAACACTGGTGGAGTTAGGATGAGGTTCCTGTATGAGATGAGACTACGCTGTGTGTATACATGTACAGTATAATGATTCCAATTTTGCCATGGTGATTGCAAGTAAGTTTGCAATTAGGAGTAGAGAGTGGAAAGCCACAGCAAAGGTGAACGAATCGCATGCATGCGAATCGCCAGTGATGCGGTGAACAACGCATTTGCACGGAGGGGACCTCAAGGCCCTTTATGTGCAGATGCTGACTGGCTCGCTGCCTTACAGCCAGAGCTTGATTTGCCTGGGTGTGGGTCAGTAGGATTTGCGCATGCATGATTGGTGTGCATGCGCATCATTACCATAAATGCACTGTGTAAGTCAATTACCTCGTGAGGAAGAATTGAATTGATTGAACTTGAGTGAAATTGAACCCCACTCTCCATTTGTATAAACGCTGGGACATGACCTCAATGCCAACCTCGTCAGTCATATTCCAGCACCTTGTAATCTTGGAAAGGAAGGTTCCTGTCCTAGTAGGACACAGGGGTGCTAAGTTGATGCAAATGGCACAAGAATGGAAGCCGCTTTTGCAGGAATTCTGTGACGGATAAGCCACCGCACCCTTCACCTCAAAGACGATCACGGTGTCATTGTCAACTTGTGCTGGCCCCAATTGACTTGCAACAGCTTTTGATGACGAGCCAGATCGTATGCAGACTTAGGTCGCCCACTTGATCATTGCGAGGCGCCCACGTTCTGATGCAGAGCGGCGTCAGTCTCACAGCACCTCACCGATGCTTCTCAATTGGGTCCAAGCCAGCCAAGGTATGCGACCTTTTGGCCTGCTGAGTGTACGTGTGTTTCATGTGCGTCTTTTTCACTCTGAAGTGGCGGCTGAATGCGGTTCTCAAGAGAGCTACTATTAGGATCAGGATAATCGTTTATTGTTGATGAGTTGCTAAAGAAATAGATGGCACTCCCTCCCTTCACCAAGCATTGCAGGACACGAATGTGTTCTCGTCAGGATTGAGGGCCAGGCATTGATGCATGCATATGCTTACACAGGCAACAAGGCTGCTACAGGAACAGGGCCTGTACCTGCCTCCCAGACACTTTGGGAAAATGAGCAGGACAGGGCGGTCCTTCCATGCTATGAGGGCCTCATCAGATCATGACGCTGCCCATGGTAAGCATGCATTGCCCCCTGCAGTGTCTTTAACCATAAAATTCGTGAGAGCTTACTTTTATCTGGACACATCAATTCAGCAAATCTGAATTTCCAATTACTCTGATATGTTGCAGCCACAATCCAGGAAGGTCGGCGACTGGAGGAGACTGAACGCGCCAAGAGGGGTGCTACACGTGCAGCGAGGCTGCAAGATGAGGGACTAGCCCTGCATGCTTCTGCATGGCTAGCAGTCGTACCAGCATGGCTGCCAGCTGGACTGACGCAGGTGAGCACAGGCTGCCTTACTTGAAGCTTCAGAGCTGCACAGTGGGTGTTCAAGCATTGGACTCTCCAAGGAGCCAGAAACGCTCAGCAGTCGCCTGAGGGATTGGTTTAGATAGTGGAGCCAGAACCGCCTCCATTCCATCCGGGTCTCTCAAGGATTGCTTGGCATCTCTGAGTCTGGCATTAACGCCCATCGAGGGCAGTCATGCCATGCTGCAATGCGTGCAATACTGCTTTCTCACGTACAATTTCCCACAAGCCATTCTATGCAAAAGTGCCGGCACACATCAAATCATTGCGCTCTGCTTGTAGAATATTTAGACATCAATCATCGATCCACTCTCTATGACCTGCAGGTGGCGTGCGCAATTCTGGCAGTGGCATTTGTGTTCCACATCTTCACCGCCTTGCGCAACAGGCCTCGAAAACCACAACACGCCACTGCAGCGCCGCCCACTCCCACGCCACATGTCACCCCTGGTCCAGGCCAGTCAGCAGCAGACATTGGACACCCCAGCACAGAGGAGGTCTGGGAGCAGCTGCTGCAGGCAAGCTTTCTCTGTAGGGGCTTCAGTGGATTTTCGAAACTCCATTGCTTTTGGTGGCATGTATCATACCATGAGGTCATTTTGTGGCCTTTTGGCAACGACTGCATGTCGGCTTGGATGCCACCAGTTGGGATTAATCGAAAGAATCTCCAGCTGCAGCACGCCGCACTCACCCTGGATTGAGCTCTAGATAACCCCAAAACCACACCAGTTGAGACAATAGCTTGAAGATAGCTTGAAGCTGCGTTGGCTTCCAGCAAAGATTTCCTTGCAATTCTCGCAAGAAAGAAAAATTTAATTGTACTTATAAGAAAGGCTGGCTGCAGGAGCAGGCGCAGCGGATGCGCGCGACTGCCGAGGCCGGGGCCGCCACATTCGGCGCAGCCAGTGCAAAGCCGGCAAAACAGCGGCCGCCTGATGCCCTTGCGCTGCTGCAGAAGCAGCATGAGAGCACTGCAGTCAACAGCAATGACAGCAGCACTGCGGATCCAGATGCAGAGCATTCCGGTGAGACGGCTGTGCGAGAGAGTCCCAGTGAGCGCTTTGCCAGGGACTACAGAATGTGGGGTCGACAACCCAGCCCAAACTCAGCTACACTTGACTCCAAAACAACCCCCGCCGGCATGTAGAAAGCTGAGGAGGGTGCTCCCCAGAAAAGCATGCCTGCTCATGACGGCCTCCAGGGCAGCGGACATGCACTAGCAATCCCTGGCAGCCCCTCGAAGAGTGCTCCAGGTGCAGGAAACAACAAAGCGTGGGCAGCTCGTGAGCAGGTGTCAGAGAACGCTGGCAGTAGAACAGCAGTGGGAAAGCCTGCAGAGGAGACAGGCAAGGCTGGAGCCAGCAAGCGGCAGGAGAGAGCTTCCAGCAGGTATAAGACTGAGGGCAGGGAGATGTACATCAGGAGTGGGGTGTGGCAGTCATGGGGACCCGTAGCAGCAGCTTCTGAGGCAGCTTCAGTGAAGCCGCCTAACCAGAGTAACCAGAGGGAGGATAGGGATGGGGTGGTAAGTGACTTGGGCAGCAGGACGCCTCCAGAGAGTCCAATCAGCTGGGGCCTGTATGCAAGGAGCTACGCCAGTGTGCAGGGGAAGCTGAGCCCTGCTCTGAGGGGCCAGCCTGGCATGGCTGCAGCTAGGAGAACTGACCAGCCGCAATCTCCTGCCACTGCTGAGACTGTGGAGAGCACAATAGACCACGCAGGTGACTTGACTGTCCCACTTGCTCCTCACACATCTCACAGAACCTCAAGAAACATGCATCACAACCCCAAGAGTATCCATGGTTCAAGCAAGCAGTCCAAGTTTCCTCCACTATTGGGTGATGCCTGCCGGATCAGATATCAGCTGATGCAATGTTGTGCAGGAGGGCATGCAGAGGCGCTTGGCAACATTGTTCCAAGCCGCACGGCCCAGACGGATCGAGGCAAGCATAAGGCTGAACCATCAGAGCAGCCTGAAGGCAGCAGAGGCTCTCCAAAAGGCAATGGCGAGATGCAAGCGGAGAAGCAAGAGGGGCGTCAGGGTCATGGCAATGCAACGGGTGCATCAGGATTGCAGCAAGTGTTGGGCAAGGAAGCAAAGAAGATGTCACATGCCCTTCGCAGCATCTAATTCCCATCTCTGATGGGTTAGTAGCTTTAAGCAAGAGAGGATGTTACGTGAACCGTGCCTGATCGGGCTATAGAGTGCAAATGGAGGAATACGAACCACATTGTCTTGCACTCATTTGGCTCTCAGCTATGAAACACTTGACCGTCAAGATGTCGATCAGGTACAGATTCAACCTTTGGCAGAAACATTGTTGACTGGTGAGATTGTTAAGACATTGCACTGCAATGCAGCAGCATTCACCCACGTTCAAAGGTCCAAGATAAATCGATATTGCTTCTCTGCAGACATTTGTCCAAGTCAAAATTGCAGCTCATGCTGACCAATAGATCATTCAATTTGCATGTAAAATGCATGTATTCAGCACGCCTTGTCAGGCACTGCCCACTCAGCCACTCTCACGCTGTTCCTCTGGCCTTCACAAAAACCCCTCTCCCTCACTATGAGAGAGCCTCAAGCGATTAACTACTAAGGGAACAAATGCGCTAACCTCACTCTGTCGGCACTTTGTAAGACTGCTTTTGGCGTGCCACGCATGCAGCGCGCTGTTCTGGGGTGGGCTCTGCCCTGCAGCGAGTGGCCTCGTCCAGAGTCAATTGCATGCGGCTGGAAGTTTGCTGCAGCGAGGTTGCTGCACCGCTCACTGCACCCGCCACCTGACCAGCATGCATCCTCGCTCAGACCAACGCATGCGCCAAGTCCCTGCAAATCCTGACCCGTATGATACAAAAATACTAACAACGCATGCACTGGCACGGGTTAGTTTTCACACCAAGAAAGGAGCAGGATTCATAGCAAGGAGCAGAGTGAGACCTTCTGTTCCACAGCAGATGCTCCCTCCTCCAATTGTCTGAATGTGCCTCCAGCATTCACAATTACCTTGGAGGGACCCTCCAGCGCCTGTCAGGATCAAATATCTCAATCGTCAGCATTTGCAATTCTCCATGAAAAGATAACAATTGCACTGCCTCAAATCTAAAAGAACCTACATCTGCAGACATCTCACAACCTGACCTCGAGGCATGCCACTCTCGAAGTTCCAGTGCACGTTGCAAATGGACAATGAAAACACCTGGTTCATGGGCTGTGTGGTCCTGTCCAGGACATCCCCAATGTTCCTCTGCAGGCCGCTTCCCACCTCACCTGCCCGCTGCCCCAAAGACTTCAGGGGGCCCTGCACTGCCTGCTGAAAATTGCTGGCCTGCTTCTGCACCTGCACATCCAGAATTGGTCTCTCAATGAGCCATTCAACTGCACATCCTCGATCTGAATCAAAGCACAAGGAGTGGCTCTGAATAAGCAAGGGCAATTACAGTGTATCAGTTCATCTGGCGGTAGTGTTTTGAGTTGTTAAGCCTTCCTTTCCCACACGCAGTGAATATTGGGCTCCAAGGGTAACACCACTACCTACACCTTGATTGTGGGCCCTCAATGACGCTGCATTCAGGGCGCTGGAAGTCACCTGAACGATGGGGGCTGGCAGCAGGGGCCGCAGGAAGGAGGGGAGGTTGGGCACGCCCACCAACAGAAAGAGCACCACCAGAGCAATGAGCAGGTATGGGCTCAGGATTATGGCCAGCCCAATGATGATGGCAGCGCTTGCCTCCACTCTGTGCCCATCCAAAACTGCACAGACACGCTTAAGCTGTCAAGCATTACCTTGCCAGACCACGCTCTCCAATGCATGCCGTACCTATACTCGATCTGAAGCGCAGAAGTCAATCATGCCCTTGGCAAAAGAGAAAAAGGCTGGAGGACTCACAGCTGTAGACCCCCTTTCCGAGGCCCAGGGCGGCTGAGGGGTTCTCGAAGATCACATAAGCCACCAACGCCAGGACCAGAGGCAGCACCAGCCATCTCACGAGGGCACGAAATGCCCTGGGGACAATGTAGTACAGCGCTGCTGCCACAGCCAGGGTCACCAGTGGGTTCTGCAGGAGGAAGCTCAGGGTGCTCAGGGGACTGAGATGGATGTCTGGGAGAAACATCAAGTCCCCAAAGCTGGCTGATTCTGCCAGGATAGACTGTAGCTCTGCTGGGATCATCTGTTCCTGGAGCAAGGATTGGGGACCAGAATCTGATGCTAAGGCCAGCCCTGTCAGACTGAAATAGCTGCCTGTGCCCAGTACGAGGGCACATGAAATGCAAACTGGCTTAGCTGCCAAGGATAATTCTGGCTTGGCTGTCCCTTCCGACGTGCTTGCACAGCTGTTACTAAGCTGCCTGCTGTCTTCGTGGATTGATTGCTGGCGCACTACTGCAGAGCAAGTCGCTGACCTACTGCCGGACTTGCCAGCCCGTGTCTCAATCTCCTCAAGCATGCGCACTTGTATGCGCGGCTTTCTGCAAACATTGGAGGCAGAACAGCCAGATCGGATGTGCATGAGGGGGCCAAAATCGTAATTAATCTTGCTAGATCTCGTGTGGCGTACATTCATTCCCACAAGTCCAGGTGTTGTCCAAAGGGATGTGCCCATTGCACACTATCTGAGTCATACGCGATAGGGAGGTGGGCAGAATGTCACAGCATTGTTACAGCATGATTTCGTTGTTGATTATGCTATGTTTTGCATAATTGGAAGATGGCATGTGGCAAAAAGTGTGTCTGACCCAGCTTCCAGGTGCATGGAAGCTGCCAAGGTCCATGCTTTCCTTGGACTGATTTAATCACAACAGCCAGTCTTACATTGATTCTTGTTGAAACCAATATCCTTATTGTCTTATATATAGAAACTGCAATTGTAAGGACCCCAAAGTGCAATTGCAGTCTTTCTACCCAGCCTCAAATGAGCAAGCGCTAATCAGAAAAAATTGACTGGAACGCTCAGACACTGTCAAAAAATCAGGCCAAACATATCACAACCCTTACAATTGAACAGATTTGTTGACCACATCACCCAGCCACCAGGTAGTCTGCTTCAGGCGTGGGCTTTAAAAACTTTAGCTAGCACTACTGCCCGGCCAAGTCCTGCAGCGAGACGGCCGAGGGGCGGCGAGGCGGAAATCTGCGCGGAGGCGGTGACGGCCGCCCTTCGTCCTGCCCCACGCCGCGCATGTAGCTGTGCGACGCCGCTGCCACACAGGCCGCCCCAAACGCCGACCCGCCCGCCACCACCCGCAGCTCAAACTGCGCGTCTACAACCTCCCCTCAGCCCCCTTCTGAGAGAGAAACAACTGCCCGGCAAGATGGCAATCATATTCCACGATATGAGTGTCAAGATTTGTAAAGTGGCATGCATCAAGAGCGCTCTTCCTTTCAGCACAGCACGAGTGTCCATACAAGTTCCCCCTAGGCTTCCAGCCCCGTGATACACAGGAAAGATGCTCTAAGATGCCTGAAGCACGAGATCTGAGCAGTCCAATGAGATAGGTAGAGGGTGTGCAGCGCGCCTGGTCTGCAACAGCGTCCCCAAGGATGTCGCGCACGCCCTGCTTCAGGAGCTCGCGGTAGAAGCCGTAGCGCACGAAGATCCCCCCGTCCACCGCAATGCAGGTGCGGGGGGGCGCCCCCCCCGCGGGGTCCCCCACGTCCCGGCCCAGGTGGCGCATGATGCCGCACACAGCCGCCGCCACCAGCCGCGCGCTGCGCACCGTCACCATCGCGCATATCTCCTTCACCTGCACCAAATTTTCAAAGGTTTACTGATTTGGATGTGCGCCGTGTAGGTCACACGGACTGGCAATAATCTTGCGCAAGAGAGGTGACTGGGACAGCAATATCACAGCATTAGAGGCAGTGTGACAGCAGACGCAATACTGGCATGCCCAATTAATCTTGCAACCAGATACACATCTAATATACATCTTCTGAGAGGTCCTGACTGCAAGCCCACCTCCTTGCGATCCTGGGGGCTGATGCTGTCCGGGTCGAAGCCAAAAGCTCGATGCAGGACGCCGGCTGTCCTGCTCAGGTCTGGGGTGTCATCCTGTGCGGCGATGCCAACAAACTTTGTTGGGAAGGTCTCCATCGTGCGCAGCCCCTCTGGCACCCGCCCATCAAACAACTCCCTCTCCTCTGCCGCCCTGCACACAGCACCCATGCTTCAGTCTTGCAGCTCGACTCTGCATGCGCGTGGCATTGTACCCAACTGGGCTGTTCTTACAGGCCATCAGGCCCAGAAAAGCATATTTGCGAGCCAAACCTGCATGAGCTGCTATGCAATCAATTGGCGAGTACCATTTATCAAGTGTGAGTCTGAGGGAATGAAACTGGACGGTCCAGGGGTTCCAGGGCGTGCAGTATTGTACAGTGGGGTGCACTGTTGTCGGAAGGAAGGGGCCTGAGTATCCGTAAGCAGAGCTGTGGAGCAATCAATGCATTCACCTGAGGATGATGCGGCGCGCAATGTCCCCCATGTAGAGGCCGGCAGTCAGCTTCTCAAAGCGCTGCTGGCCTGGGTTGTTGGACTCCTCATCCAAGTGCCGGTCCTCTTCCAGTATCGGCAACTCCGCTGCCTGCGCTGACACACTGCTTTGTCAAGCCTACACTGTGGCAAATAATGCCTTCCGGATTCTTATGGGTGTCCTGACAAGCAGATTGGCGGACTTCCGCAGAGCCCTTTTTGCATGGTGCACTAGGTTGACTTGGGTGACGAAGAGGGAAAGTTGCACACCTGGAATCCAGGCCACTCAATGTTGACAACCATGTCTGAGGTGCGAGGCCGGTAGTGCGGCAGCCACTTTGTGATGCGCCCCAAAAGCTCCATGTAGCATGCGTTTGTGCCTGCATGCGATCCGGCAATCAACCTTGTGGGATGGCAACTACTTTCGTGCAATTTGCTGCTGTTCTCCCAGAAGATATCACTGGGTCATTGAAAGAAGTATTATAAAATATCATTACTCCCTATTTGATCCAGGACATCACACGTCACAGCGCTTACCCTTTGCCCTTATCAGATCACAAAGAGCTCTGTGAGCAGATACGAGAAATGTAGTACACTGAGACATGCGGATTGCGCCCCAGCACCATCTGTATAAGGATACATACGCGAGGGGATCAGGGCCGCACACACCTGTGCCCATAATCATAGCAGCAATTGTGTCCTGCCCATCGACATATCTTGCCGCAGCCAGTGTGCCCACTGTGTCATTCAGCAGCGCTCCTATGTGTACATTGACCCCCTGCCAGAACCCACGCATGTCAATTACCGTACTGCGCTGCAACAAGAACCCTCACTATTTACTTCATTTTGCAAGGTCAATCATATGTCAATTTGCAGGTTTGCCTCTCCACAGCACATGATAGACCAACATTACTATTGGTTTAAAATTGGTGCTACAATATTGATAAAAAGGCTTACTCTGCGCTTGAATGCCTCATGTAGCAGTTTGGCAGGGTCTTTGCCAACAGCTCCAGGATTGGTGTAGCCCTTGGTCCACCTCAGCAGCGTCCCTGCATCTACGGCTGTCTGCTCTACCGGGAAGCTGAAGCAGAAGCCGATGATGGGCACTTCTCTCTCCCTTATGCTACTGCGCAGCACCAACCAGCATGCATGACCTCAGATCACCCATCGAAGCCACTCAGATTAGCTGGTCGCCTCACATTTGCATGAGAACTAGAGTTGTCCGGATACTAGTCTCTAATTGTCATCCACCTGTGAGTTCCTGTTGTTTCAAGCTCCCCAGTCCATGTCTTTGGAGCTTAATTTATATACGGGCAGGCCATAATACGAGGGGCCCATTTCCACAGGTGCTCCTCTAGAATGGGCGGACTTATAATCACTGAGATTCCATACCATCATCGAGACAGGCGGATAGCTCATTGGTGGAGGGGAAGCCAAATGCTGCTCTTACTCAGAGGACTCAGAGATGCTGGAGTGTGAACTATGGGGGCACAGTTGATCTCACCAATGGTGCTGCTCTGACCAGTCGATGAGGTGGCCTGCCACATAGTCCATGAGCTCTTCCACAGGGCAACTCTGCATCTCTGGTGGGATGGGCGCTGAGTTAATCGCCTCTGCCTCCTGCAAACAGGAAGCGTCACATTCCCATCAAACCCTTGTGCAGAACGATCCCGCGCCGGTGCAAATTCAGAGCTTGACGCGCACAGCATGTTTGGGGGATATGAATAAACCTCGCACCACTTCCTTAGGACCCTTCCCCAAACGGGTGTAAAGCACTCTCAGGTTTGTGCCTCCCAGATCGATTGCATAATAATCGCCACACTCATGCCTGGACCACACAGGCATCACGTTGGCGGCAGTGTTTGCACCTACCCGCTCATGCTCATGAAATGAACTTTGACAAATACAGAATCTCAAGGGTTGCAACATCTTCCACAGCAATTTGAACATGGGAGCATCACCCTTGTGGAAGCATGTCCACCATGGTGGGTATCATCAACAGGGAGCTCTTCTGCTCCAGGCCAGCTTCGAGCTCATCTTGGAAGGCATTTGCCAATTGTTTCAGAGCCTCCGGCGACAGGTGTAGCCGATCCCAATACTGCAGGGACAGCCAAGACCCTCAGTCTTGGTTTTTATGAGGTCAGAGGGCTATCATTGTCTGAATCTTTTGCATGCATCTGCCGCAGGAATTCCTCAAAATTTTCAGACCATCGCGGTTTGTATGATCTCAGGATTCATACCTTTTTTATTTCAGCATCTCTGCGTTCCACGTCCATCACAGAAAGTCGCTGGCTGAAACACCTCACGATGATGTGCCCACGTGGTCTCTGCTGAATATAATTAATTTTGTGGCGAGAAGAACAAGATCCGTGGGCCAAACACCAGCTGGATCTACATCTGATGCTTCCTATCTGCGTTTGAGGAAAGCTAGGCAATGGCAAGCGTCCAACAGCTGACCACATGCCAGTAGCTAAGTCCCATGGTCAGTAGGGAGGCATCTCATCGATCTCGACCGATTCGCCCGATTGTACTTCCTTGATTTCTTTTTTGAATGTTCAAATCACAGTTGTCTCGTCTCCTCAAGAAAGGAAAAACGGCTCTGATCATGTCCAAGTCTGTGACTTCTCGGCAACTGCTTGTCAGTTCGCTGGCGTTCCAATCCGTGCATGCATGCTAAATCTTGCTATGTAATTCGGGCTGAAAATGTCTATCGATGGAGGCAACTTCTAACTTTTCATGCAGTTTTCTGTTGAATAGAGTTTGCTTGACTTTGTTAAGACCTACGACACGAAAGTCTGTACAGTACTTACACCTGATGCCTCATTGGCTTCAATCAATTACGCTTTGCTGCAGGCCTTAGCACTTTAGATTTTATTATTGGAGAGGTTGATTGTGGCTGGACTTTTGCTAATGGAGATTGAAGCAACAAGGGCGTACAGTGTGCGTCCATACGATGTCGCACTGTGTACACTGATACAATTCACCTCCGAACCAGACGAGGTGCGACTGCAGTCTAAAATTGATAATTAATGTGGGAAAAATAAATTCTGAAGTAATCTATGATCTGAGTGCTGTTGTGAGCTTGACTCGATGGTGATGAGTCCATGCCTTCAGCTGGAGGATTCTAATGATGACAGCCTGACAAGCGTCCTTCTGAAGTACGTGAGAAATACATCAGCATGTCCGCCGCTGTCCGCTTTTCTGCAGCAACTGAAGGTACCGAGATCTTCACCTACTGCGGACCCTTCCCATGGGTGTGTTGCCTCTTCACTATTGTTTTCTAATTCTCTCACTATTTTACCTGTGCAACAGGTGGACATGGGAGGAGGCGAGGATGGAGATTGGGCAGCAGATGTGGTGCTAGACCAGCTGCGTGGCCTCCGCAGCCCAGATGATCTCATTGTGCTGTTTCTTGCACTATTGGAGCTTGTCACAGAGAGACCTGAGTCCGAAGAGGGAGAGATGTCCGGCTTTGATCCCCAGTCAGCTCTGGGCTCTTACCTTCACCGGTGCAATATTGGCTTTGCAGAGCTTCCCTTCGAGGTCTGCATCTCTACCCCGCTCTCCACTGAAGATATTGATCGGTCCCGACTTGACAAAAGTCATGTTTATTGAATGAGTGATTACAAAGGGTGCCAGAACATTAGGATACTCTAACATCAATATACAGATGGCCAGGACTGACTGTTTGTGCATGCACTGGTGTGCAGGGAGTGTGCCGACTGTATGCTGATGTGGCGTCCTACCTTGAGGAAGCAGCCAGCCTTGCATTGCCCTCGACTTCTGGTAGTGACCCAAAGGGACAGGAGCCATCAGGTGCAGGTAATTTACCTTCAATCCGCAACATAAGAGAATAAATCGAGCTGGCATGCTCAACACACATACTCAAAGGTGGGGAAGTCTGGAAAGCACAGTCTGTGAGGCGACCTAGTCACTCTTGCAGGGACCACTGGAGACCCCACCAGACCTGATTACGCTGCCCATACCGAGGCACTGGGAAGAAAGGATGTTTCTGCAGCCATCTCCACCCTTCATCAGTATTTTGACCATGAAGGTGCGCATCAGTCAGTACAATCAGAACATCACTCATGAAGTGCTGTAATTCCTGCAAAATGCCGTGTATCATTCATTACAATTACACGCTTTTCCTGCCGAAGGCAAGATGCGTCTGCAGACAAGCTGCATTTAAAGGCTGCCACATTCCACCCCTTGTTGGACTCGCCAGATTCAAGCAAGACCCAATCAACCGTGGGCACGGTGCTCAGTATTTGTGCCGCCCCCCGCCAGCCGGGGCCATGCCGTGTATGACCTAGATTAATGAATGTTTGCGAATCCACAGGTGGAAAAGCAGGGGCCAGTGCGACTGGCCGGCATCAGAGTGCATTGCTGAGCCTGGGAGCGGTTCATACACAGCTGGGGCATGTGCAGGTAAGTCTCAATCACTTCCTCACAGATCGCGGAAATTCTGCAAGACAGGTCATGTCTGGAGTGTTGTGATCGTGTCTGTCAGGCTGTGAGGTCAAAGCACCAATCAGGTATTGGTATGCTCAATCCTGCCTTCTAATATATGAATTATCAGGAAGAATCTTAGCGAGGGACAGCAATGTACAGATGGATGCACATCTTCATATGCACATCTTGCCATTTCACACCAGCTTGTGTATGAGTGAATGAAGCCTGTAAGAAAAGTGAATGCATGCACTGGGCACAGGAGGCTACTCTGGCGCTGAACGAGGCGCTGCACATAGCCCAACAAATCAACGACCATGTGGCACTCGCTCACACGCTCGCCACGCTCACCTCTCTCCTGGATTCGGCCTCACCGGAACTCGCACCGGCCGTCCAGGAGACGCGTGGCCTGCCCGGCCCCCACACCAAACACCTCCAGCTGCTGCGCCTGCTGCGCAGGTCTGTACTCCTCCACTGGTTCTATGGCTCTGAATCTTGGAATCTCCAGGTTTTAATATGATGAGAAGGACAGGAATGTACAAGACCGGCCTGGCTTGATCTATGGCCCATTCCTTAAATTTGTGGGCCACTAGACGTCTAATCAACAATGAGAATAGACATCTGCAACAAAATATGCGCCAGATTGTCAGGCGCCATAAAGCAAAGTCAGCTGGTGTTTTTATGGTCAGTTGATCGGCATAATGACATCTGGGTTACCTTGGGTGATTTGTGACCAACTCAGTGAGGCAGGCCCAATCATGCCAAGTGCCCTTGTCTGCAGGTGCGAGAAGCGAGGCGTCGACCTGCAGCTGCCCCACATTGTGGCGTATGCGCGATTGGCCCTGGCCAAGTTCGCCCTGCTGCACCACCCGCAGGCCAGCAAGACTGACGGCCTCTCCGCCAGGGGCGCCCTGATAGAAGGTGCTTCCTGTCATGCATGTTCGCATGCCACCTCCATCGGATATGACAATTCAAATGAATCTGAGCGCTATGCATGCCCGCAACTCAGGTCGCCAGCCGATCAATCGCATGAACGCCAGATTTCTGCAGACAAGCTCGAATTGCAATTCAGATGCAGGTTTGAATCGATCTTATGGTGTCTGCAGAGGTGAGCAGTCCAATGGTGGAGGTCGGAGCGGCCGCGAGGGAAGTTGCGCATCTGCACACAGCGGCAGCGCAGGCGGCAGCGGTGCCGATCCCCCCGCTCCCCCCAGCAGGGCCACCGCCGGGGGGCCCTGCAGCAGCCAACGTCCCCCGCCCAGCCATTGCCGACCTCTACAGCGCCGGGCCAACCGTGTTTGATGCGACTGCAAAAGGTACAGATCTCTCAGCATGATTCAGAAGCAAAGCCAGCACAGTGTGTCAAGCCCCTTTCATCGTGTGCCTTGTTTGTTATTTTTTTGGGATGTTCCAGCTGCTATCTATATGGATGGCAGCTCTCAAGGCGTTGTGCCCAGGAAGTCCTCTATTTGTCAGACCATGGCCATTTTGGGGTTGTTTCTGACGCGTGCAATTACCTGCTTATGAATGCCAACGTCTGTGAGGTTGCGCAGAGTCACAGGCGGCGTCGGCGTCGGCGGTAGAAGCCATGGCAGGCTCAGCCCAGCTCCTGAAGGCGGCCGCCTTCGAGCGCTGCGGCGCACCGGGGCTGGCGCGCACGGCCGCTCTCGCCCGGCTTGCCGCCGAGCCGGCCGGCCCCGGCGACGCCGAGGAGCGCTGCATTGCGTACGCCCAGCTGGCAACGCACGCCGCCGACCACTTGGGCTTCGGGGCCGCAGCTCAGGTACATGGCCTTGTTCTTGCACATGCACATCGACCACCTCAAGGCACCTTTTTGAACATGCAATGCGATTGATAACACCACAGCAATCTGCCAATCACACGTACCCATTGTCTTAGGGTGTAGCAAGACGACTTCCCAGCAAGATGTGCGGTCCATGCAGGAACACAGCAGTCCCAAGAATTAAGCTGAAGACTCAGTATAGCATGGCATTTTGAGCCAACTCTAATTTTTTCTCATGCACATCCATTACAGTACAGCACCAGTTGAGTTGGTAACTGCACAACATGTCGACATTACACTCTGCCTGCCTATCCAAGGACAAGGACTGCGCAACACGTGGGGGTTGTTTTCTGATTGCTGGCCGCTGCATTGGCCCCGGCTGGCGGGGGGGCTATACACTGAGCACCGTGCCCACGGTTGATTGGGTCTTGCTTGGATCTGGCGAGCCCAAAAGGGGTGGGATATTGGCAGCCTTTAATTGCAGCTTGTCTGCAGAACGTACCTTGGCTGCTAGTGGCAGGGTAAGCATGCAATTGAATAGTGATTGCTGCATCAAGGTGTTGGAGGTGGCGGACACGGAGTTCCCAGACGCGCAGAGCCGGCCCCTGGCAATGGCGCGGCTGGGCATCGCGCATCAGCGGTCCCTTGCGCATCGTGACATCATCTCCGCTCGGCAGCTCGGGGCCGCCATGTCAGCGCTGGCCGAGCCAGAAGACGCTGTGCTCCTGAACCTGAGGTGCGCTCATACGGCCACAGCCGCCTTTTTTTTTTGGGTGACATCCACCTGATTGATGAGAGACTGTCATCTTGTTCCCTCAGGTGTTGTCTGATGGCTATACATGGCTAAACAACATGGTGAGGGCAGCAGGTGGCAGTTCCCATCAACCGTGTGTTAGCCCCTGTGCGCAAGAGTAAGATGCGAATTTAAAAGAAGTCAGTACATTTTTCCAAAAATCCTGTGGATGGACGGCAGCCATGGTGGCACAATGAGATGGTCCAATATATATAGCCGTAGAGGGAAGCTGAGCGCTAGAGTGGCTGTGGTGAGCAGGATAGAAGCGGAGACAAGGAATGTGCAGACGCTCGTCAAGGCCGGCAGCTTGGAAGATGCTGCGTCTGGCGCTAGCACCCTCTTCGAGACCTGCCAAGAGGCTGGCCTTCTGGTGAGCACTGTCAATGTGATCGTAAGAATTCACACCGAGTTCGCTGGCATTTTTCGGAAGTGTGAATGACTGATGCCGGCAATCAGTGATAAAAACTGTCATGCATGTTTGCTGGGGTGCAGGCAGAGGCGGTGCGGCTGCTGATAATTCTGGCGGACATCCACATGAGGGCCGAGCAGCCGTGCACTGCCCTGCCTTATGCCCTCTCAGCTGTGCAGCACGCCAGCCAGCTTCGCCTCGATGTCATGGTGTGCGCCCAGTCCCTCACTTCATGCTGCACATGTTATCTTGCTATGCTGCTCCAAGTGATCCCAAAGCACCGTGCATGAATTGGCGGCTCCTGAAGATGTGGCTTGCATCTTACAATGTCACAATTATGTGCTGTTTTGCCATCTTCTTAGCTGGCAATGGATGATGCATCCACCGGAAGGACATTTGTTCAGGGTCCAGACATTCCAAGTAACTGGTTATCTCTTTCAAGAGAGGAAAAGACATCGGGTCCAGGTTGACAGGCTGTGTGTCCTGTCCTTGCACGCCAGAACGTCACAGAAATTTTCAGTCTTCTCCTGATCTGGCGATGGATGTGGGGCAGGCGGCGGAGGCGAGCGCGCAGGTGGCGGCTGCGAGCGCGCGGCTGGGCCCGGGCGCGTCTGCGGAGGCGTGCGCGGCGCTGCTGCAATCGCTGCCCACCGTGCTGGGCTGCGCCCCCCGCTCCGTCCAGGCGGACGTCCAGCTGGCACTCGCACACGCCCTGCTGGCAACCGCGACAGAAACTCAGCTGCGGGAGGAGCCGGAAAAGTGCGCCCTTCGTTTTTGTAACAGATGATATTCCACTGGATGGGGGCGTGTATAGATTACACGGGTTTGGGCACTACTGTTGGTGTTGTCAGGATCAGCCTGCAGCCTATATTGGCTACAGGGCTGTCCACCTGGTAGTCAGGATCAGTCACTACTGTCCTTAGATCATGATAGTCATAGCTGACCGTCAAACCTATATGTAACCCTCTGCACGTTCAGTTTGGTCATATTGTTTGCATGGCTCTCTGTCCCAGGCTGAATGTCCAGTACTTCAGCAGCATGGGTGCAACTGCACCTGCCTGTATTGGATGCCTGCTGACCCCCTTAAGTGTCATAGGAAGCCTTATAAAGGGAGGCCTTATGAAGGGAACGTGTTGAGTAGTATGTGCAGAAGAGGCCTTTTCTGAGGAAGTGAAGGGATGGTGTGTCAATGCGCAGGGTGCTGACGTCGCTGGAGGCTGCGGCGGCAGCGTACGAGGGTGTGGAGAACTGGGCGGCCGCCAGCGAGGCGCATCACCTGACTGCGCTGGTCTGCCACGCTGCGCGTATGCTGCCGCAGTGCAGCATGGCTGCCAGCGCATGGCAGCGCACTGCCACGCGCGCCGAGGCCGCAGCTGCCACACAGTCAGCCGACGGCCTTTATTAGCCTGATTACCCGTGGACTATGCGTGGATAGCAAATGAAGGGCAGTCAAATGACTCCACGATAGGGAAAGCATGGCGTGCATGCCAACCGTTTGTGACCAAAACATTGCAGCGGCTGCAGCATGCGATGCGTGCGTTGCATTGCAAGTCCTGTCACTCCTATTGCCATTTGAGTCGCGAACAAGATACTGTGTAAACATCTGTCAACGCCTGAATGTCTGGCAGAACAAACCAAAACAATTGGTGGCATGCCAAGCTGCCCAAGAGCTGTCTAGAAGGTTTGGTGGCCTAATTTGGCAGAGGTCAAAGAAAACTTTAGGTTGTTAGGTGAGAGCTTGCATGGGCATCATTTCCTAGTCTTTCGTTGCAACAACGCTGCATACTTTTCAATGTTGAAGTTGTTGTAGGGGATCGAGAAAGGCTTAAAAACTACAGATCCCAGACAGGCGATCGAGAGACATATTCTTTCCTGGGGCACTTTGAGATTGAAATCAGGCATTCAGTCACATCAAAATACATTTCCTGAATTGAAAGGTCTGAAAATGTTATGAGGAGATCATATCTGTTGGCCATCTGCCTCTTGGCTGCGGCTGTGACAGCCCATGCAGTGTCCGAGGAACAGGCAGCACAGCATTCTTGGCACCAGAAGTACGTTGGGAGAGCAAAACAGATTCTATTCGCATTTAAAGGCCGCGATCGGTGCTTTGTCTCGACAGAGTCAAATGCTGTTGCATCAGTAGATTTGAGAGATGGTAGCACAGTATGGAGGCAAACACTTCTTGAGGACGATGCCATAGATGGGATTGCACTGGTTCCAAAGCCAGCTGCTGTAGTCTCTCTGTCTCAGCAAGGTCAGACACTACGGGCCTGGCACGCTGGAGATGGAGCACTCCTCTGGGAGCTCTTCCTAGGCAGCCCTCTGCGGGCTGTTTCCGACAGCCGTGCTTGGAAAGTACTGCCAGATGTCACAGGAGATGGCAGCTCAGACATCGCAGTGCTATCCAATGGCAAGCTCCTGGTGAGGACCACATCCCTTCATTCCTTACAGATCACACACGATCAGCTGTTGTTGCAGCGTGTTTTTCCTTCTTCCAATGCCACTTACGGACTGGTGAACGATGTTAACTCACACGTGCAATCGCAGGTGGTGTCTGGGAATTCCGGTAAGCTTGTATGGACCTTGAACCTGCCAAGCGACTGGGTCACTACCCAGCTCAGCGTAGCAACCCATGCTGATGAGCTGGTCCTTGCTGTCACCGGCATTGCAGCCAGGTATGCTTTGCGGACTCTACGCGAGTGGAACATGGGGACCTGAGGAAGTTGCCCATCCATCCTCTCATGCTTTGTTTAAAGCTCTCCCAACACCCTTCTTTCAATTGTGCACATTCTGGTGGTCCATCAAATGTTGCATATTCTGATAATGTGTTTCTAAGCAAAGGTCTCTGCCCTGCAGCCATAAAGACGTCAGCACATGGCTCGTGTCGGCCAAGCTTGGGGAGGTGGTGGCTAAGCACGAACACAAGCCGGCCGCTGCTGTGGAGGGCGCCTTGGCAGTCAAGGCCGACAAGATCTTCGCCATCGCGCAAGGCGGCGACAAGCTCTGCAGCTTGCCTCTGCAAGGTGCGGCCCCTTTGAACACCCTCCTTGCCCTATCCACCCCTGCATGCACAGACGCGCTCATATTGCCGCCTGCTCATGCCGCCTTGCTGGAGCTGCCCAGTCTTTAACAGAGAAGTCACCTTTAGTGGCTGTATGTTTCCCCTGTGTTGCTTTGGAACCTGGTCAATAAAATGAAGTGTGAGCACTTTGCAACCTGGCATGCAGGCGAGGTAAGTGGTGCATGCAAGCCGTTGGAGGGAGCGCCCTCCTCGCAGCTGCACCTGGTGGACATTGACAGCACCAGGACTGTGGCTGTGCGTACAGCAGAGGGGATCGCGGTGCTGGGGATTGGGGCAGAGGGCATCCAGACAGTCATCCATGTGCCAGGTGCGCCCTACCTGCTTGTTTTTCACGCATGGTTCGACATCTTACAACATGGGAACCTTCGATTGCCAACATGCAGCTCCTCCAGCTTTGACATGGTAGTGGCCTGAGAACTGAGAGGTGCATGGCATGGATTCATCCCTGGGGAGAGAGAACTCACCCTTATTGCAACGTTGCAATCCACAACATTCGCATGATCGGGCGCACTGGACTTTTATGTCATCCTCTGTGTGTGCAAGGGCTGGTGTCAGCATGTTCCATCGGTATCACATGAAGTGGGTGGTGCAGGTGCGAGCGTGGTGACAAATGCTCTGGCAGCGGGAGAGGATGAGGGGGTAGTAGTTGCTGGGACATCGGCGGATGGCAGTGCCTGGGCCAAGCTCGTGTGGCTCGGGGACTGGACCACTGTGGATCTGAAGCTTGGCAAGCACGCCATTGCTGACAAGATTGGGATTTTCCTTGCTGCAGCCTTCAGCGCCAAGGATGCCTCCTCGAAGGAGGCTGCCGTGAACAGCGCCAGGCAGGTTCCCCCTTAAGTTTCTTGTGCTCACCTTCATACCTCGATTGTTTGGGCTCTCCCTCCTTCCTGTACTTGAGGGGTGCTTATCAGTATACGCATGCCAGTCTGCGCATTGCCGTGACATTGTTGAATTGCCACATAAGTCACCAAGCAACCACAAAAATCTCTGATGCACAACAGAGAAAAAGTGATTAGATTACTGCATAACTATCCCCATGTCCTCCGTGGTGCAGGTTGGTGACGGTGGGTGGAGATGACTCACTGGCGCTCATAGAGCAGGGCAAGGCGAGCTGGGTGCGGGAGGAGGCTCTGGGTTCCGTAACAGGCTCCCTTTTCCTGGACCTGCCCGCGCCTTCGCCAGAGCTGGCCGCCCAATGGCGAGCTGCCGCGCCCACCCTCTCTGAGCGCATCCAGGCTGAGTTCCTCAGCATCAAAGTGCGCCATCTTTCCCCTGTGCTGCATTGTCATTTGCTTAGCTTTCATTTGCTGGAGCTCAATAGCAAGTCCCCATGACTGTGATGTTATTCGGGGCATGCAAATTGAGTCAGGGTGCTGCATTGTGAGATCATCTTTCAGTATGGCATTCAGAGGCTTGAAGTGGGAGTTGTTGAGGAGGTGCCTGGAAAAATTCTGATCATCGTTGGCACAGATGACCTGCATGTGATGATCACAACACTCCCTGGTTCCTGTTCATCAACTAATGTTGCTGTGCTATCCGGGCCTGTGGGCATGGAAATCGAGCGAGTGCACTGACTGTTGCAGGCGCAGCTGGGCGCAGCGAGCCCGCAGGAGAGCGCGGATTTGGGTGTGTTGAAGGCGCGCATGTCCAGCCGGCTGCTGCCCTTCCGCGACCCCAACGGCTTCCGCAAGCTCCTCGTCCTGCTCTCCAAATCAGGCAAGCCTCCCAGATCCCACCTTCACACTGTATCATCCTTCTGAGATCTTCATGGTGTTTGCACTCACCAGTCGCTCAAGGATCTTGGCTAGTGGCCCATCTTAATGTTGAAGACGGGCCACTGGCCATTCTCCTTGAGGAATTGCTCAGTAAGAACTTGTCGCCATGTCATGACAGGCACGATTTAGGCTGCACGGGAAAGTTTAGCATGTTCAGGACATGCATTTGATTCAAGTGACAGGCTTTCGTGTCGGCTGCAGGCAAGGTGTTTGGGCTGCACAGCGGCGACGGCCACGTGCTGTGGAGCCGCAGCTTCGGCGCGGATCGGCGGCCGACGCATCTGGCGCGCTGGCGCACGTCGCACGACGCGGCGGCCGCCCCGGAGGTGCTCCTGCTTGGCAATGTTCCCTCCGGCGGCAGCTCCTTCTTCGTCACCCTCAACGCGCACACCGGCGCCGAGACCGGCTCCGGCGAGCTCCCCTTCGAGGTCGCGCAGGTGAGTACAGCGGTCATTAATTACATGTACTGTGAGATGAGTATCTCCTGAGAGGGTGTCTTGGGATCTGGCATTTACTTGAGGGGAGCAATGGCTCTGTCGATTCTTTATTCTTCTGCTGCGTTCACAAAGCGTCCCCAGCCATAGGGTGGGAAGTCCACAATGTGTTGTTTCGCTAGGTGATGCCAAATATCAGGACATCAAAGCTCCGACGCGCAATGGCACTAGCACTTTCACCAGCACTAAATTTGGAAATAGCTGAGGCGATCATTGAAACTCCTTGTGGGTGGCCAACTCTGATTTATACTGTATTCGCAGGTGTTGGAGCTGGCGGAGCGAGTGCATGACGGCAAGGCAGAGCAGAGTGTATATGCGCTGGTGACGACCAAGGCGCAGCCGAGCGTGCACCTGCTACCGGCCACCAACCTGGCCACCCCGCTTCTCAGCTCGCCCAAGAAGCCTCTGCACTTCTGGCGAAGCAACACCACCATCGGTGTGGCCCCTGCAGCTTCCCAGCACTCTTTAATTGGTGTCCTGCTCTCGCTGTTGAACACAAGGCGCTCGCTGCTTCATGCCTGAAACCACCCAAGTGTGGCGTGCGATTGCAGCAGGGGCAACCAAGACAAATGGCATGTGGGATCTGTGCATTGAGTCTCTTGTGTGCGCGGGTGCAGGGGTGATTGAGGGGTTTGCGGTGTCTGCGGCCGGCCGAGCCTCGCTGCTGTGGTCTGTAGCGTTCCCTCCTTCCACAGACGCCATCCTGGCGACGGCCACCCCAGGCCTGCATGACCCCGTCTACTCCTATGCCAAAGTAGGCCACTGTAGCTTTCCTGCCTTCCTATGCACCTTCCTGCCTTCATGCAGCCTTAATGCATGCCTTCTTGCATGCTTGCAGGAATGCCTTCCAATCAGCTCATCTCGCTCACTCTAGTCCCAATCCATTTGTGCAAATGTCTGCCCTGACTCTAATACCCCATCAGAAAGATTGGCAGAACTACTTATTGTGGGGCTCAAGTTGATAAACCGCGCTGTGACAGTATGCAAATTGAAATAATTCTGGTGGTTAAAGAACCTGACCAGGGCTGGTGCACAGCGGATATTCCCTTGCAGAGCCAGAGGGTGTCGTATAGCACCATGGTGAAATTGCAATGAACAAAATAGTCCACAGTGTTCAAAGAGAAGTTTTTTTGTGTGTGCAGGTGCTGGGCGACCGCAGCCTGAAGCTAAAGTACCTGAACCCCAACACGCTGTTTGTGGCGACGGGGTCCCAGCCGGGGCAGGCCATGGACGGCGCGCGACACATCACTGCACACATCTTTGACACAGTCACCGGCCAGCTGCTGTTCAGCCAGACCCACGAGGTGCGCGGCTCGACACACCCTGCTCATGTCAATAACCCTCTTGCCCTTCTGTTGAGCTCAATTTGTGGGGGGCAATGACCTCCCCTTCTAGTTGATGCTCACCCAAAAGGCGGAACCATGTGAAAATACAACGAGGCTGCTCTGTGGCTCTCAGGGGAAAAATGCCCTCTGCTGTGCTGTTTGAATGCCCGCTCTCCTTGCAGGAGGTTGATTCAAATGCTGCATTGCTAGAAGACGGCAACGTGAATTTTCAGCATGACAAACACTTTCGGATCTCTCAGCGCCCATTTCTAATCACATACTGCTTTGTTTGCCGCAGGGGGCCAACGGCCCGGTGCATGCGGTGCTGGCGGAGAACTGGGTGGTGTACACCTACTGGAGCGCGGCAGCGCACCGCTTCCAGGCAAGCGTGCTGGAGATGTTTGATGACTCGCCGCGCGACCTCGGCCCCGTGCAGCTGGTCTTCGGCGCCAACAATGCAACTGTCTCCTCCTACCGCCCCGCCCAGCTGCAGGTACGGAACCACCTCCACCCTGGGGGCAAACTCTTACAGATAGCACATGGGAACCTCAAAGCTATGCAATGCCTCATGTCAGGCAGATGCTTGTCAGAAACGAGACGAAGGGCAGCTGAAAGACAGGGAGGTGCAAGTTACATTGGGAGCCGATTGCTGTGTAACAATCCCGGCTCTGATTGTACTGCAATTGTGTGATATTTTGCAAGATGTGTCCTGTTGGTGTGCATTGTGGTTGACCGTGTGTTGGATGTGCTCTTTTTCTGTTGGTCTGAAGTGCCAATTATGGCTGCATAACAGGTGCTGGGGCAGAGCTACTTTGTGCCGTTTGGTGTCAAGGCGCTGGCAGCATCGGCCACCAGCAAGGGCATCACCTCCAAAATCATCCTCATGGGCACCTTCACAGACCAGGCAAGCGCTGCACACCTCGAGCAATACCCTTTCATATAGGATGACCTGTCACCTGAACTTGATCCAGGGGAAAGTAGAAAAAGAAAATGAAGCAGATGTCTCTCTCAGTTGCCAGTGTGCTTGCCTCAGTCCTCTGCTCGGTGTGAGCAACGCAGGCATAGGCATGATGGCAGTACTGTTTTAGAAAGTAGTCAGAGGATAGCACCATATGCTTCTTGGCAGGGGACTGTCCAGTGTGGGGCTGTGAGGGTCTGAGGGCCTGATCTACAGCGCATGGGGGTGTGTCATTTCCCCAGAATCACTGCCGAGGTATTATATTCTGGGGGCAGGTGTACATGATGGACAAGCGCTTCTTCGACCCGCGCCGGCCGCTGGGGCCGCCCACGGCCGAGGACAAGGCGGAGATGCTCATCCCCTACGCGGCTGAGCTCCCTCTCGCTCCGCAGCTCTTCGCCACCCACGACCGCCTCGTCGCCAACCTCCGCGGTGCGCCCCTTTCTCCTTCATGCTATGGCTCTCCTGCTGAGTCTTGTGGTTGTACCATGAGGTCTGCCGCGCTTTGAGAAAAACTCCTGTCGTTCACCTTCTTTAAGGGACTCTGATGCCCAGATAAGTACTTGCAATCTTTCCAGCATTGCAAATTAAGCCAAGAAAGATTGAGATGAAGACAGAGCGAGCGCCTAAATGTAATGCCGTGGCCATGCTCCTGCCTTGCTGGTTTGGGACACGAGCTGCCCACTGCACCCTCTTCAGACTGTGATGAGGCGCACATTATTCCAGTCACAAATTGTTGACTATGGAGGGCGTGCATGCTGCGCAGGCATAGACAGCGCACCGGCAAATCTGGAGTCGACCTGCTTTGCTCTGGCGCGGGGGCTGGACCTGTATCTGACGCGGGTGCAGCCGTCAAAGACCTTTGACCTTCTACCGGAGGACTTCCCCTTCGCACTGCTGGTGGCCATCACTCTGACCATGATTGGGGCCTCCATTGCCCTCAAATACATGAGCGAGAGAGCCTCCCTGAAGCAGAAGTGGACATGATCATTAGTCATGACATGCCAGAGGAGCCGGCGCATTCAGTTCCGGCTGACGTGATCAGTTCTGACACTGAATGAGCCGGGCGGCAGAGGCCAGGCATCATGTTGTGCTTGTTGGGTGCTCAGCTGCACAGCTCCCATCAACTCAGGTTGAAAGCGCTCTGGTGCCACCCTCAGGGCTGTAATTTGTGCTGAGTTGACAGTTGGGCGCCAGACTATTGCAGTGATAGCAGATGGGCGTCTCCTTCTCTCTGCTACCCAGAGAGACCCTGGTGTGCTCCTGCACTCTGATGCACGTGCAGGCAGTGGCTTCTTGTCGAGTAGAAATGAAAATCCTGTGCCCTTGTACCTACCCAGGCATCCACGCTGAGCTGATTATCATGTTTGCACAAATTGCCTTACAGGACTGCTAACAATTCAAGGTGTCAGCCACAGGCTCTTGTATGGTGTCTTGGATCCATACCACTCGAGGGGCTAGTACAGAAATTTGTGCTTTACAGCATCCAAGCTGTGATTAAGCGCAGCGGGCTAGCATCCAACAGAACCACTTTCTACAGATCACTCAACGCATCATGATCAACAATCGCCACACATCAACGAAATCGCATGTTCCTGTAGACAGCATTCAACACTCCAAAAGAGCCTCAGCCGCACTTGATCTTGCCCTTATCAACACTGCCCCTTCTCTACATAAAGTTACACACGGTGTAAGGGCCAGCAAAACCAGCCATTATCGACCACCCCTTATCCACATCGTCCCGCACACTCTCTAGCTTGCAAGCAACCTGCTCTGTCACCCTCCAGCCTACCTTCTGTGATGCTACTTACAGCACAGTATCATATCTTGCGGCAGGGGCAAGCGTGCTGCCCGCATCTTTGGCTTGGTCAGGCACACATTATTGGTACACCCACTTGTGTGGGAAGAGCACGGTACTCAGGCAAGCATTTGCATGAGCATGAGCAGCCTAGCATGTCTCCAAAGCCGCCACCTCCGATTGTCTTCAGGGACCTGCTGAGAGGTAGCCACGATGGAATATGCAGCCTGCCAGCAGAGCACCTGCCCTGCAGGCCATCCCTCCCAGTCAGCACTCAAGTGAGCGCTGCGAGACGCGCCGCACTCGCCTGTTGTACTCGGCCTGGTTGGACAGATAGAGGGAGGCTGCCTCGGGGTTGGCTGGCGAGGAGCAGTTGGGGTCCATTAGCAGGCTCTGGATAGATGTCAGGATGGTGCAGACATTATGGCAGGGCGACCACTGGTCTTGCAGCGTGTCCAGGCAGATGCTTCCATCTCTGCGGGGGCAGACATGGCAAACCCATCATGGCCAGGCAGTAGTTTCTGCCCAGGGCAGCACAGTGGGCAGCTTCCTCACCGAACAGGCTTGCTCTCTATCTGCCATGCGCTCAGGTCAGCAACGATACTTTGGGAGGGTTCACAACGTACAAGCAGCCCATCACTAGAACAAGGATGCCAATATTAGCAGCAAGCCAACCAAGTGCGGCACAGGGGCATTGATAGGAGGTCAAGAGCTGGGAGCTAAAAGCTTACGAGTATACATTGGGGTGGAAGATTTCCGTGGTGAAGCGTATTCTGGGCGGCTTCTCTGGGTACCCGTCATTGAAGGTGATCCTGCGAAAGAGATTAAACGACCCGTTTCAACGCAAAGTCAAACCAATACTCTATCAGGAACTGCAGAGATCAAGCTAACGCCCTGGAACTCTGTAACTCTGGCGCATCCGCACCTCAAGCAGAAGATTCCACCCTCCCAAATGGTCTCATCCGGCCCAAAGACGGTGGCCGTCCAAACAAAGAGATTCTCCTCAGAAGTGGGACTGGCACTGCAACCTTCAGGAGGCTCCTGAGTAATGGCCTTCAAGTCCGACAACAATCGCAGGCAGGCGGCACTAGTAGTTCCCATCAAAGGATGCCTGCCGGTGCTCAACCCACAAGCGTCGCCTGGAACTTACTGAATTGTTGGGTGTCACAAGACCCGGTCCTACGTTTGCACTTCAGTTTGGGGGGTTCGGGACCCCCTTAAGGTTGCGGCGGTGAAGCGACGGGGCCATCGTTTCGGAGATTAGCTTTGAGTTTGGATTTCAAGCTTTGGAAATCACATTGTCAAACGTGATGGCGCAAAACAGAACAGGAAATTATTGATATGTTGGAGACAACAAGACAAGATTGTTGACAAAGGTGGCAAAGAGCATTGATCCTTGATCTGAGATAATAGTTCTACGCCTCTGATCAAGCATCCATTATATCGGAAGCTTACATTTAGCAACTTTTGGTTCTAGTCATATTAGCTTTGGCATGCGATGCTGACTTCGATTGATGGCGCGGGCAAGATAAAGCAACACACCTGCTCCACATCCAGATTACCAAGTGTGCCCATAGCAAATCGACGGATTCAGCCGTGTTTGTATCATCAGCGACGAAGACTCCCTATTCTAGCGGCCAGTGAAAGACCATGCCATCTCAGGTTGCGGCAAATGTCAGTGGTACAGCCAAGACCAGCAACATACTCCAGAAAGTCTTCTTGTAAGAGGTGCTGCAGCTGACCTTGATTGCATGCCCATCTGTGACGGTGTTTGCCATGTCCTTAACTCCTTGCATGCATAGAAGAGATACACCGCTAACGTGTTCACCTGCATGCAGCACCTGCCATCGGCAAAGGGATTCAGCAAAGAGCGCGCATGCACCGCCCCAAACCTCCTGGGCCTCTTGGACAGCGCTGGGCAGCGTCCTGCTGGCAGCCGGGCCGGCGATTGCAGAAGATGGGCTCAAGTATGAACCTGGGGCTGGTGCGGACGTGGTAAAACAGGTGGCAGGGGCAGCATATGTGGTGCTGCTAGCAGTCTTTGCAGTGCGACTGCTCACCAAACGGGCAAAGTTCGCCACGGAAGAGGTGATTGCAACCCGCGTTGCCGTCAGGCTTGGTTTGTTTAGATGCCTGTCCTGCTTGCGTCAGCCCTCAACCAAAGCAGTGGAGCAGACATTGTGATTATCGACGTGTCAAGTTTTGCCGGAACGAAAGCATCAGGGCTGCTCCAAGTTGCTGACCATTTTGCATGTCTTTATGCTGCAGAGACTTGCATCAGCAGCGAAGGGTGAAAATGAGAGGCCCCCTGACCCCTCCATCAAGCGCGTCACACCCCTCCAGTCTCTCTGGTGCGCTGCCCCTCCTCGCTTCTCTCCCCTGCTCTACTTGCACCCCTTGCACCTCTACACCCTAAACCGGTTGCATCTCCCTCCTGCGTGCGTGACACGCAAGGGGTTCGATGGCCACTCCCGGCCAACGAGGGGGTTCGATGGCCTTGCAACATTCATAACCTCACGCCCCATACCCTCTTCAGCATGCAATATTGATCATGTTGCCATCCACCCAGGTACTCAGATTGACTGGTCCTGGCGCAGGGCTGCAGTGCAGGCAGGAGTATTTGCATACCTGTTGTATCTATTCAGCAGTAACGTAGATGGCTACTTTGAACGTCAGCCGCTGCCTGACCAGTACACAGCGCGCAACATCACAGTCGCCATCAGCACCATTGTGCGCGGACTGTCCTACCTCATCACCTTCATCTTTGGCGCCAACGCCGTTGGCCTGAGCGGTGAGTCCAGACATCTCCCAATATGTAACAACTCTGTTGGGAGCACAGGGTGTGCATTGTCATTCAGCAATCGCGATGCATCACATACAGCAAGCGGTTGTATTGGGAGAACATTGGCTAGCCAAGGGCAACAGCATGAACTCAGAGAGCAATCCCCGAGATCGAAGACTCCAGATATCTAAATTTAGATTTCATTTTGGAAGCGCCATGCCTTTGATGGCTGTCTTGAAAAACCAGGCTTGTTTCTCTGAGGTTGAGAGATCAAGGCATTGAGGTGCTCACGCATCTATGTCATGAAGTTGAACCTGTCTTTATGCTGACTGACACATGTGATGTGTGCATGCAGCTCTGACTGTGCAGCTGTTCATCAACCCGGAGGCGGTAAATGAGGCCGAACCTCAGCAGGATCTCCACGATGTCTCGAACAATGGGCAGGAAGGATCGTCAGGGGATGCCTTGTGAATTTAATTCAACATTTTGCAAAGGAAAACTGCAGAAGTGATGACCAGTGGTGGCCATGAACATTTTGATGGATCGCTAGTTGACAGAATCCAATGAGTGATTACACACGGTGCCAGAATTGCAAGGAACATATGCAAAATGCAATACATCAATTTATGTAAGGCTTCAACAAACAAATGCTTCCGGCGTCATAGTAACTACTGCCCATTAATGTACGACTTCACAAAGTTGACCTGCTGCAATGTCTCAGGGGAGGCATAACCTGCATGGAAACAACACTCTGGTCAATGCACCGTCCATGCCCTTGGAAGCTTGTGCGCCCCCCAAAGAAATAAATTTGAGCCAAGCAAAAACAGAGCCATTTAGAATGCTCTACATGTGAGATCAACCAGTGGCACCTCCCATGCCCCTCAAGAACAGCTCAGGGCACTTGCTGCAAAGCCTTCGCACCACAATTTTGACTGAGTTGTGATTCACTGCCTTACCTAAGTGTCAAGCCGATGCCTTCAAGGCCTCCAGAGGAATCCAAAGCCACTCTTCCAGGGTCACACAGATATGTTGCAGGGGGGCAAAGAAAGGAGATATGCGCACGCACCGAGCTCGCCGCGGGTGTCGTACGCGCGCTGCACTCGCGCGAGGGCCTGCTCCGCGTCGACGCCGTAGAGGCTGGCGAGCAGGCATGCCGCCACGGTCCCCGCGCGGCCGCGGCCGCCCCAGCAGTGCACGTACAGCACCTCGCCAGCCTCCACCCGCCGCGCTATCTCCCCTATCAGCTCCCGCACCCTGGCGCAATGATAGCGTGCCTTTTCAGACTTGCGACTACACAGCATCATATTCTTTGTTATTACACGCATTTCCTGCCAGAAGGCAAGGTACATGAGACAGCTGCATTGAAAGGCTGCCACAATCCCATCCCTTGTTGGATTAGCATGATGGCAGGGATGTGTAAAAGAATGGCCTGGCTTGGCCTAAGGGGCACAACAGATCAAGTTTCATCATTTCATCAGCAGGACATCATTTGATCCGGTGGTATTGATGGGAGCATGAGAATATGCTGCACACATCTCAGATGACTACCGCCCGTCCGTAGTGGCTGCCAAGATGTGGGGTCACTGCAAACCAGAATTAATGCCTTCCTGTCCCTACCTAGCAACTGGCTGGCAAAACAAGTCGAACCCTCAGAATGATTCAGCAGAACACCAAGACCATCAGGGAGGTAGGATAAAATTCATATGGGAGTCAGGAAGTGCACGCACTGGTCAGTGGTGGGTATGTCGAGGTCGGTGATGGGGTAGTGCAGGAAGGCCAGCTGCCGGCGCGGCGGCCGCTGCTCCTCCAGTTCCTGCGCCTCTTGCCGCTGCTGCTTACGCCGCGGCGGAAGGAATGTGTCCAGGTACGGATTGCGCAGCCCATTCACCTCCTGCACAGCGTCCCAGGATGCGACACATCAGCAGGAACACACTAGAATGCTCTCGAGCATTGGAACACTGCCCCAAATATAAGAGGCACAGGGGTGCCAAATGCCCCAGCAACACAACTCTTTGACACCGAAGAGAACGTGAGCTCAAAAGCTGCCAAGGACACAGCATGTACACTGATAGCATGATTCCCAAAATATGAATATCTGCATGCTTTACGCTGCGCATTTTAAATATGACATTCAGCTCAGGAAGGGGCTGAAGGGATGCAAGTCGGTGGGAGCACCTTCATGTCTGGAGGCCCTGACATGGCAGAGACGAGCAGGGCGGCCACAGAAGCATATGGCACAAAGCCGTTGACGCCACCCATGGTCATGCTAGTTTGCGGGGGTGTCTCCGCCTGTGCAGAAGCAGCAACGTGTCTTCCGACCACTGGCAATTGAGGTGAAGGCAGGCTTTCTGCAGCATTTGATCATACTGGTAGAGCGCTCTTTGTGTGTGTCGGAGGTGCAGGATGAAACAAATTTGTTACCTGCAGAGATATAAACGTTGTGACGCCTGCCTGCAAGATCTGCGATACCTGGGCCTCTCCTTCGTCATGCGTTCTGAGAGAAACAAGCCCAGAAGCCTGCGTCAGTACAAAGATCTGCAAATAGAAAATCTGGAGGCCTGGATAGCATGTGATTCAGGATCCCATACCTGCATCTGCTGGGTTCGACATAAGGGTATCTTCCAAGCAGGACCTTGCTGGGGATAATCCAGTTTGCAAACTGTGAGAAGGTATGTGCAGCAGCAAACTCAGCTTCCTCTGTGACACACGCCACAAAGCTTCCTTAACTCATCTTTTAGCACTTGAGTGCAGTATCATGTGTGCATCACACTAACGTAAATCAGATCGCCAATCCCAGTACTTGCCCACCGAGGTGTGCACACCGGTGAGAGGCTTCAACGGAGGAAGAGCTGCTCTGGCTGCCGTGTCGGTCTGAGAAGCTGAGCACATTATATGTGCAGCCCGACAGCGCCTCTCTACGAGATGGTGTTCAACTTTCAATTGCTGCCTACACAATCCCCTACATGCTCTTTGCCTGAAGACGGGAGCAGCAGCAGCAAAGGACAGGCATGGTGGCAGGCATGTGTAATTTAACAATTCTGATTGTTTTGGGGCTTGGTGGAACATTACAGCGCTGTAAGTGCAGACCTCTAGTTTGTTCTGAATAATTATACACTTTGACGCGCAACGTCGGGTGCTGACAGTGCAGGATATTAATCACAACGAATCAATACGCGGATTTGCCTTCAAGGCAGCAAGCAAGAGGAATCCAAGCAAAAGCCTCATCTTGAGAAGACCAAGCTCCGAAACAGGTCTCCAGGGGCGCTCCATTTTTTGAGCCGTCAGGATTCCGAAATGGCTTCACGGTTGATTGCTGCAATCTTTCATCTCTTCTGATCGTTGGTGAATTTCATCTGTTATCCATACTGGAGATCATCAGAAAGAGCCACGGGAGACACCAAGATCGCCCCTCTGAGACTGGGCTAGTAATCGTTGGAAGCCACAGTACACCACCATGCCCGCTCTGTTCGTGCTGTACGAGACAGCGGCAGGGTACTCGCTGTTTGAAGTCATTGGCCTCGATGAATTGGGACAAAGTGCAGATGCAGTGCAGCAGTCCACGCTGGACCTAGCTCGCTTTGGCAAAGTGGTCAAGCTGCAGTCTTTTTTGCCCTTCAAAAATGCTGCACATGCCTTGGACGAGATAAACGCAATCTCTGAAGCGGTGCTGACGGACGATCTCCAGAGCTTCTTGGAAACAAACCTGCCCAAGGTGCAGATCCTCCTAGGCTGGCTGCCCTGTTTGTCCTTGCAGTCAGAAGAAACGAGTAATTGCATCTCATTTTAACCAGATACTCGATGTAATGCCTGCTAGGCATGCACTTCACACGTGCTCGTATAAAGTAAGTGAGAGCAAGGCAGCGACAGGAGCAAATTACTTGCGCCTGCAGGTGAGCGGCAAGCCGAGCAAGGACCCCAAGTTCCAGCTGGGTGTCTCCGAGGCGAAGCTGGGCTCGGAGATCCAGGAGGCCACCAAGATCCCCTGCGTCTGCAATGAGTTCATTGGGGAGCTCGTGCGCGGACTGCGGCTGCATGCCCCGCGCCTGCTCAAGGGCCTCGAGGAGATGGACCTCCGCCGCAGTCAGCTAGGTCTCGCGCACTCATACTCCCGCGCCAAGGTGCGCAGCCGCCGGCACCGCTGCAGCACTGCATATTGATGCGGGGTTTTTGTGCAATGTGCCGGTGTCGACGCCCGCTATTGGCTTCACGCAAAGCTGTGACATGGTTACTTCCCACATGGGGCTGGCGTTTAGGATCAGGCCTGGAGCAGTCACCAGATACAGATGGTCAGGGGGCCCTAGAAACATTGCATATAATATTCCAATTGTGGCAGATTTTGGGGATGAGTTTTGCGCCGTATGTCGTGAACTGTGGTTGACATTGACCTGTATATAATGAATCTGACATACTAGCAGGAGGGACTGCTCCTCTGGCGTGCAAGCTCTGGGTACTGACGTTCTGTTCTGTTCTGGTCCATGCGCGCAGGTGAAGTTCAACGTGAACCGCGTGGACAACATGGTCATCCAGGCGATCGCGCTACTGGACACGCTGGACAAGGACATCAACACGTTTGTGATGCGCGTGCGCGAGTGGTACTCGTGGCACTTCCCCGAGCTGGTCAAGATCTGCGCGGACAACTACCAGTATGCGCGTCTGGCGCTCTTCGTCAAGGAGAAGACCTCGCTCAGCCAGGACAGCCTGCCAGGTGTGCCCGCTGCTGCCGCTCCTGATCCTGCGTTCTTGTCCTTCAAGCATTTCCTATCACCTTGCAAGAGCCTCTAGGGACCACTTCAGCTTGAGCAGTGGCAGATCTGAAAGGTACTTATCAGGGGCTGCTCGTTTGCAGCCTTGTAACCTGTACTAATCCTGCTCAGTTGCATGTGTAGCCACCAGCTATGGCATTAGGAGTTTGACCAGCCTGGCCTACAACAGCATGGTTTGATGTGCAGCAACAATGCCCCGTGTATCTCTCTCGTGCAGCATTCAATCAAACCCTTCGTTGGAGAGATCTCTCCATGGGTGTCGAAATCCCCTGATGGCAGATGTACGAGAGGTTCAGGCCTCTGAATGGCTGTGGCTGAGCGCAGGCCTGACGGACATAGTGGGCGATGAGGACAAGGCGAAGGAGATAGTGGAGGCGGCCAAGAGCAGCATGGGGCAGGACATCTCCCCCATCGATCTCATCAACATCGAGACCTTTGCCTCGCGCGTCATCGCCCTGGCCGAGTACCGCCTGCAGCTGCACGCCTACCTGCTCGACAAGATGCACGCCATCGCGCCCAACCTGTCCGCCCTCATCGGCGAAATCGTCGGCGCCCGCCTCATCTCCCACGCCGGTGAGCACCGCTGTGCTCGGGACTCTCTGCCTGCATGCATGCACCCCTCCGTGCCTGCAGGGGATCGTCTGCACGGGTGTCTGTAGGCAGACGTGTGTGATCTTGATGGAGTTTGAGAATGGCAAACCACATGACTCTTTGGGAGGTGATGCTGTGATTCGGAAGATCAGTGGTGTGGGGTGGACCTAGGAGGAATGTATGGAAAGCGTAGAGTTTGAGAATGTGGAATCTTGCAGATGTGCCAGCGCTAATACTGTATGTCTTGCAAATGCAGGGTCGCTGGTGAACCTGGCAAAGTACCCGGCCAGCACAGTGCAGATCCTGGGCGCAGAGAAGGCGCTGTTCAGGTGCGCACAGTCTTCCTCTTAAAATTCTCGCAATGCCACTTTGTGAGTGTGCAGAATTTCTGCACCATCCTTGCCCTGTCCATATGCCAAGCTGCCAGGAAGAGAGGATATAGGAGGCTGAGAAGCTGGCTATAAGCCAAGCTCCGTGCACCAAGTCATGTGGGTTAGGTTTGAGGAGGTGTCTGCTCTAGGTAGACGAGACTCAAGTCAGTCTCTCAAGGATGCGTTGTGCGGGTGCAGGGCGCTGAAGACGAAGGGCAACACGCCCAAGTACGGCCTGATCTTCCATTCCTCGTTCATCGGCCGCGCCAAGCAGCGCAACAAGGGCCGTATCTCCCGCTATCTCGCCAACAAGTGCTCCATCGCCTCCAGGTGACCGCCCTCTCCTTACTGCCCATTTATTCATACTACCACACACCAGGGGCGACCTTTTTGCCTTCGTCGATGGATTGGCTAGCTGATGGCTAAGCACTCCTTCAGCTAGCTGTTTCTCCGGGGCAGGCGACTAGGTTCTTGCTCTTGGACTGCTGCATGAGACTTGTTAAACCGACTGATGTCGGGGGATAGCAGCTGTTCATGCTGCAATGCATTGCACAGCTTGAGCAAAAGCCCTGCAGCACGCGCATGCATGTTGGGTGCCAATTTTTGTATCACTTGGGACCAGAGTTTCTGAATCTCTGAGGGGTGCATGACAGAGCGGAACAGAGACAGGAACAGAGACATTTCAGGGTGAGGAAGTTGGACACCAGATTGGTGAGGCTGAGGGTGTGAAACTATGTGCGTGCAGGATCGACTGCTTCTCGGAGTGGACGGGGACGGCTGCGTTTGGGGAGAAGATGAAGGAGCAGGTGGAGGAGCGGCTGCGCTTCTACGAGGAGGGCATCGCACCCACCAAGAACACCACCGCCATGCAGGTGACGCCCGCTCTGCCCTGGCAATTCTTACTGTTTCAAGCCTGACTTGGCCTGGGCCGGATCCTGCATACTGCTCCATACCAGAGTGGTCCTTGACGTTTTGTCTGTGGGCCCGGTTGCTTTAATTAGTGAGGAGAGATAGCGGAATTTAATATGTGCATGCCAGCTATGGCTGGCCAGCCTCCTAGGCAGTAGGCTGTCGCTGCACATGCAGTACAGCCGTCTCTGTAGTGTGGAAGTCGACTGAATATCTACATAGTTTTTGACGCCTAATCTATGTGGCGCAGGAGGCGATGGCGACGGTGCGGGAGGCGGGCGATGCAGCGAAGGGCCCCGAGCCGCTGGTGCCGGTGGCGGTGGAGCCATCGGCGGAGGAGGGCGCAACTGCGAAGAAGTCGAAGAAGCGCAAGGTCGCCGAGGCCCAGGCCGTCCAGGCGCAGGCCGCCGAGGCCGCCGCCAACGGCGCCCCGGCCGGTGCGCATGATCTACTGCACACACTTTATTGTCTGGGGACACATTTAGCACAATGCATCTGTGAGGCCAGGGGAGTAATAAGGCGTTCTGACCACCAAGTTGGCTGCGCAGCCGCCCATGAAGTTGCTTGGCGCCATGTGTACTTGTCTCTCTCGTGAGCTGGGTCTCGCCAGAATGCAAAGTTACTTGGGCATCAGATATGGACGTCGTGTCGGGCTGCGCCAGGTCTTTAGCACCCATGGGGCTCATTGCCCCACACTGAGGCACTGGCAAGGCAGCGGCTATGGAAGTTGCAATGCTTTGCCTTGGATGTTCCTGTGGGCTAGTCTTGTCTTGGCACTTTGCTGTCCAGGCAGTGCGGCGGGTATGGGAGGTTGCAGGCCTGCTGCGGACACCAACGTCCGCACTTGCCTGCATTAGGTGCTAGTTTCACTAAGGAGCATCAGCAGCAAGGGGATGAGGCTGGGAAGCAGTGGGGATTTGCTTGCCGTGAACATGGTGCCAGGCCAGCCAAGACTTTTCTGTGTGCGGTCCATTCGTGATCTTTCGTGTCTCTGCTGCAGGCGAGGATGCCACAAAGAAGAAGAAAAAGAAGAAGGCGGCAGCCGAGGAGGCACCAGCGGCAGCAGCCGCACCGGCAGAGGACGAGGCACCCAAGAAAACGAAGAAGAAGGCGGCAGCAGCCAAGGAGGCGCCGGCAGCAGCAGTGGCAGAGCCCTCAACAGAGAAGAAGAAAAAGAAGAAGAAAAAGGACGCAGAGGCCTGATTAGGGAAGGCTGACCTTGCCTGAGCAGTTGGTGTGTTTATCTGGGGCGCTGAGTTTTGGAGAGATGCAAATAAACATTGAAAAGTTGTAAAAGGTTTGTTGGATTACTGTTGATTTGATCATTCATTTGAGCCTCTGCATCTCATTTTATTTACATGTTTACAGGCCTACCACATGTCTGGTCAGCGCTGGCAGTTCCTGCCCAGGGAAATACCGGCTGTATGTCTTGCATGCAAGGTTTGTTCCTTGGCCAGGCGCATGCGACCCCTTTTTAGCCTCAACAGTAAATTTAAAGTCAAATCTGAACCTGTTGTCAAGCCTGATCCCTCAAAAATGACTCACAGCACCTCGGCTGCCAGCTCAGCATCGCCAAATGTTGCCTCCTGTGCTGCGTCAGCCGCCTCCTCCTTCTCAGAGTCCTGGAACAGCAGCTGCAGCGCTGGCACCACCGCAGGCAAGGTTGGCAGATCTGCACCGGCACATGAGACCATTCAATCACAAGCACGTTCACCTCTTGCTCAGCTGATCAATACTCATAACACCTGTGCAGCCAGTGCGCTTGGCTATCTATCTCGCAGAAACTTTTCCTCCTCGACATTCGGTGAAAAACCTCAATTTATATCTGACCTGCCGTGTGCAAGAAAGACAAACAAGGAGCCAGAACAAGCTGGCGGGCTCTTCCAAATGGCTCGCTGGTGTTCAGGTGTGACCCCCAGGCATTGAATGTCACACCTTCTGGCACTCAAGAGCTGTATTGCAGTCTCAGAATCAAACATGCGAGGGCACGGCTGGCGAGCACTCCGGCTATCCGGGCGCACCTTGCAGGTTGACGGACATGAGGTCGAAGGCAATGCAGGTAGAGGCAGCAAAGGAGGCGTCGATGGTGGGGATCTTGGGGTAGCGCTGGCTGAAGTGGCTCAGCAGCGTCCGGTACGCGCGCGCATCTTGGCCGGCCGCCACAGCCTCGTGCGTCATGCTGTGCCGCTTCGCGACCGCCTCCTGCTCGTACTCATATCCCTCTCCATCCTGCGTCCTCTCGCTGCCAAACGTTGCCTGCACGCAGTGCATGGCAATGCAAAGGAGATCGCCCTTCCCCCATGCAAATTCTGAGTTGAAGGATCTGGATCACACAATCCGAGTTCTGGTGGATTAACGACTGCCGCCAGCATGCGGGGATCCTTGCACAATCTTTCACAGCTGTGCCACGACCACCTCTCCTGATCATACAAAACCCATGTACAGCCCCAAAGAAGGAACCATGCACGCCATCCAGTGGCATTTATTCTTACAGGCATAGCATCAGAGGAGCTCTGATGATTTGGAAGCTCAGCATATAAATTGAGCCAATAGCAGTAAAAGTGGCAAGCGCACACCTCATGGATGAGCACGGTGGCGTCCTTGGCGGCGGTCACGACGGCGGCGCATGGGCGAGTGTCACCGCTGAGCGCCAGGCTCCAGCCGTCGCACGAGGCCAGCGCGAGGCCGAACGCATGCGCGCAATGCACCACCGGGAAGCTCTCCAACCGCTCCAGTCCCAGCTCTGCCTTCACTGCCTCCAAAGCCGCCCGGGGACTGCCATCCACCTGCGCCATAAATGCGCATCTCAGGCATGTTGGTGGCTGCATTAAATGCCGATCAAACAGCCTGAGAATACCTGTAAACTAGTCATAAATGTTGTAACCGTCCGATGTGGACTGCACAGCAATTTAATCTGTGGCATTCTCAATATTGTGACATTAGAAGTCCTGCATGCAGTCCGCTTGTTGTCTCAGGTGGCGTGATGCTTACATATAGAACGAGGCTGGCATGCAGCCTACGCTCTGTGCTAGCAAGCCAGCAAGGACGTTGAAGAGGAATTAATTTGCTTCCAGGACTCTCCAACTCCCCAAACAGGGCCCTGATAAGAGCCGAGCGGCCTTTTGCATGCGTGAGAGCAGAAAAGGACCTCATCAGGTGCCTGGTCAGGTGGCAGGGGCAGGGTGTTGGAGGTGTCTATGTAGCGGAATGCCATGGGCTCCAGCTGGCTCACAGCCGCCAGCACGCGCCGCAGCGGCCGCGGGCCGATCACCGGCAGCGGCGTTGCGCCCAGGCCCAGCAGCGCGGAACGCACGGCCAGAATTCTGCGCTCGACAAACCGCAACTCACGCTCCAGCAGAAATGTCTGGGGTTTGGAGACCAGGTCTAATTTCAGAGCTGCATGGCTGAAGAGTAGATGCAATCGCAGCATTCTGCAAATTTGAGTTGCAGGGCAAGCAGCAGCAATCTTCTTGTGGCATTCACCGGGCTTCTATCCATGAAAGGGCAAAGACCATGCAACAATATTGATGAGAGGGTGGGCAGCTATCACAGAAGAGTTCCTGTGATTCGCCTTCTAGCAGGCACAGCAGGAAGAAGCTAGGCAAGTAAGTCATCGTATAGCTGACAGAGCATCTATATCAAGGATATCATGACAACTCACCGTGCCAGGCCGGCGTGGTGGTCCGCGTGGATGTGGCTGATCCACACGCACGTCAGCCCGGCGACGACGGCGTCAGCCGCGGCGGCCCCGTAACGGCGCCGCAGCTGCCCGTAGGTCCCCTCCCCGCAGTCCAGCAGCATTCCCCCGCGTGCAAAGATGTGCAGGTAGGTCGCCGTCACGTTGCGGTACTTGGACGGCATGGCCGCCCCTGTGCCGAGGAACAGGATCTCCAGCGACTCCCTCCCAGCCTGCAGCGATAATATATTTCACTTTGAGATCAGAATCTGAGATGAGCTCGAAAGTCTGCATGTGGACTTTGCAAACGGTGCAAGTGCAGCTTCATGCACACAGATCCAATCCATGCATCCGACACCGCATGCAAATGGCATGCCTACTCCAAGAAAGATGTCAGCAATATGCATGCGCACCACAATTCACACCAGAGAAAGAGGAATGCTGAAGGGAGGGCAGCTGGGTTGGGATTCTCCAATTGCAGACCTGTCGGATGCAGTCGGGAACGGGGTCTCCAGAGGTTGATGCGACATTCATGGACCGCTGCAGCGCGTCAAAGACCCCTGGATGCTGCACCCGGAACTCTGCCTGGAGCGACGCCACATCGTGAGGTGCCGCCACGTCCCCTGAGACATGCCCACAGCGCACTTCTAGCCGTTGCTCTCCGTTAAGATAACAAAACTCAAGGGTACAGAAAATCTGCCAAGGTTATTGTCTTGCAGGCATGCAAGAAGGGCACAAGGGAGAAAGATGACAAAGGTAGTACCTGAGTCGAGGGGCTGTGGCCTGGGTGGGCGCAGGTGGTATTTGAGCATATTGCTCCCGGAGATCATGTTGGGCAGCAGCGGCAGGGGCTGCATTGGAGGGTCTGGGGGAGGCAGGGGGAATATATGGGGAAGTAGGGCGTTCAGCCGCGCCTGCAGACACCATAGTGTGATACAAGACGATACCAACACACCACGATCAATTTTGCTTGGTCCAAATGGCCAACTAACACTTGGCCTAGTCAGGACAGAGTAATGAATTCCTACACCTACTCCCAAGGCACATTTGCAAGCATTTTCTTTACCTACAGCATGACTTGAGAGTAGGTAAAGGACCTCTATGATCTGTTCTGGAAGAGTGCTAGAGAGTCTGTCAACGCATAAGTGGCGTACAAAATAGACTGGTAAAGCAATGTCTGCGATTGCCCTCACCTGCAGCACAGCAGATGACTCCAGGATGGCGTTTGCGCCTGCCGACTGGGCAGCAGCCACAATGATGTGCTGGGCAGAGGGCCCAAAAGAGGATATCCAGCCCAAGTACTCTGGAAGCCTGACCACCTGCCACATAAATGCATAACATTATAACCTCGGACATCTGCGCTGATGAAAGATGGTGAGCAACATATCAGGCGGGTTGTTTACAGGTGATTACTAGAAATCAATGATGAGTCTCAGGCTCACCTCAGCGGGTGTCAGGTGCACCACACAGGTCACTCCTGCCCCGGGCTGCTGGAAGTCTGCGCAGCGCAGCAGCGAGGGCAGGTAGTGGCTGCTAGGGCAGTCTGCCACGATCACCCTGGCTCCTGCCACTCCCTCCTCCATCACCTGCAGCCCCAAACGAGCACCAATTACCTTTCAAACCCCTTCCCATCACTAGAAACTACTGACAGTCAAACCGCCTTCATCATTAAACAGTGGGTGCAATGGAGTACTGATGCCTGGCGTCAACCAGACACTCGATTGCACAGCTGCAGGAATAATCCATCTGCATCTTGCATAAGTAGCCTCACCCGCCCAAGCGCACAGTAGGACCTGGCGCAAATGTAATGTGACAGCAGATGCTTGAATGCTTGTGCAATGGGGAATTACAGCCCCTCCCCGTAAAATCACCTCTGAGGGCTCCACGGTGCGGCCATCGGCCGTCTGCACAGCATTCCCACCCTTGAGCCGCCCAAAAAGTGGCCCCTTGGGCACGCCCAGGGCTGCGGCCTTGTCCGGCAGGAAGCGGCCGGGCGTCGCGGCCAGCTGGCATATGTAGCACGCCGCAGCGCCCTGCTCGGCCAACGGTGGCGCCTGCACAGATGACCTTTCAATCTACCCCGCGTGCCAGTAGATCTGCTGCTGCTTGCATGGCTAAAATCAATATCCGATGTCTGCTCTGCAACATGAAACAAGGTGTTCCAGCATCAAAATGCGAAAGGAGCAGAGAAGTGCACGCGCATAAGCTTGAGTGGGTGCGTACGTCTCCATCTTCCAGCCAGTTGCGGGAGTTTTGCCTGCTCCGCAGAGGCAGCGCCTCACTAGGCAGGCCTACTTCTCCAGTACCAGCGCCACTCACCCCCTGTGCATCCAGCGCTACTGAGCTGGCCGCACTCCCTGCACAAGCATTGAATTCGTCCTCCAGCTGTACACTTTCCCTCTCTTGACATTGGAGAAATGAAGGAAGCTGCGCGTTGTCCTAGAGTAAGTATTGCGCGCCGTTCATGTCGTGCACAAGGAAAGGAAAGGAATTGCAGCACAATTTCAGACGGCGTTTGAGGCACCAACCTGGTTCTGTGCGGGGGCGCTTGCTGGAGGGAGGCTGCACTTCTGCCTCATCTACTTGGCAGGCTGCCTCAGCTGCCGCATGCCCGTTTGTGACAGACTCCGGGCCGACATCCTGCAATTCATGCCACATGCCAGTCAGATCAACACGCCAAGTAGTAGAGATTAGCCGTGGTGTGGCAAAAGCAAATTGCTAGCAGAGAGTTTGTGTTCGTTTTGTATTGGTAACTTCACGCGGAGGTGCTCTATTCTTAAATGATGCTTCATAACATTCTGTTTCCTCTACTCATAGCAGCTCGAGAAGACACTCAATGAGCGTGTCATGCAATAAAATCCCCGGGCAGAGCAGACGCACCGGCACGAGCTGCACAGGGGTGATGACCACGGCGCCGGATGACACGATGGGGGGCAGCCCGTCATTCGGGGGCGTTCCTGCGGCGCATGCATCCTGTTTTGGAGTCGCTGAGATCAGCCGGGGCTTGCCGAACTCGCGCGCCTGCACCGCGACGCCCCTCCGATCCACGAATGTCTGCACCGCTCTCACCAGCGTGCCCACTCCCTGCATTGAAACCAACGATGCAATGTGAGGCTGTGCTGCCAACGTAGCACTCGATGAGTGTCGGCATTCATAGAAATAGCACAGTGCAGCTGCTCCACACAATACGAGCACTTGCTGACAACCAAGGAAGGCCAGAGGGAAAGATGATGCAGCATTGGAAGCTGATTGGGCGATGTGAAACAACAGCATCGTGGATCGAAGCACGGGATGCAGCATCAGACATTGGGGCTTTAAAATGTACCTGAGGACCGTAGATGTTCAGCCTGAAGGGCACTTTGGTGGGGGATGGGTCCCCAAAGGAGTCAGACAGTGTCAGGCACATGCCTGCATTGCAGGCGTCAGCGTCACTGAATGTCATCTCTACGCATTTATCCTGAACATTCAAGCACATCTATGACAACATATTGTAAAAGCATGAAGAGAAACGAGGATCGTGGTCCCACACTCTAGTCACCTGGGAGTCCGCCTGCTGCATCTGTGGAGGTGCGCGTCAGCAAAACATCTGTCATCCTATTTAGCTTGACCTGGTGTTGCACGGCAAAACGCTGGAAGCCCTCGCCAGCATTGAACAAGTACCTGCCCAAGATACAGCATGCCGTGACAATGCTGCGCATGAGATACGCTTACTGTACATCCACATGTCCAAATAAGGGCACCTGCACTTACAAAGCTGCACCATGGCACTGTCAAGGCCACAATGAACTTTGCTTGGAGGCTGGGTCATGTCTGACCTCTGCTTGTCAAAGAAGAGCAGCACTGATGGTGCCACATCTCCAACATCAGTGCCCAGCCCGAGCACCTGAGGACCAGAGGCAAAATCTTCTGTGGGGATCAATGATATGCGTTATGCACATATCGTGATTATGCCGGGGTACATCGTATTCATGGGCATGTCGAGTCAATGCCATGCCTCACAGGCTTGCTTCCCAAGGACCCACAAAGTAGCACCTGAACGTGGCTTGTCGTATTGATAGCCCAAGAATCATCTCCGCTCTTCTTCTTCCCCATATTACGCTGCAGGCTGGCACTGCATACCAGTCTCCTGGAGGTGCAGAGGTAGGTGCAACACCTCCGAAGGAAAGGGCGGGCCTGCAGGTAAAGATCTGCCCTGTGTTGTGCAATTTTGGACAGATTATATAAAATAATCGCCAGGCGTTTTCCGATGCATCCAAGAATGATCTCTAAGTACAGTACTATGGGCACTATTAGCCGCCAAGGAATGACACACGGCTTTGACGAATGCTTTATTGTGATACGATACCTGTGACTCGAATGTCAGTTCGAACTGCACATCATCATTCCTAGTTCCTAGTAACTGTACCTCAGAAAGGGCTCATGGACGTTCCGGAAGCTGGGTGCTGAGTGATCCCAACGTCACCTCTAACGTGGCCACGCAGGGCTGAGTTTGCACGCGCGCCCCAGAAGCCTCTCCTCCAGCTATCCTACAGCAAGATCACTAGTTTTATTATTTTCAGCGACTGTACACGTTTTAGCATCAGGATGCAAATGAGCGCAATCAACGGTCCTGCAGGAGCCTTAAAGCAGAGGTATGCTGCTGTTCATGCAGGATGTTGGATATCTAGCTTGAATCACATGAAGATCTCTGATGGTTCTGAGCAATTGCAGGCATTGTCTTCCCGGTGGAGCTCCCGCATTTCATTCAGTGCCATTTTGGACGTGCAAGGTGCGCGCTTTCTCAACGGTATGGAAGTCATTTCGGAACGAGTCTAGCTCTTGCAAGCCTCATTCAATTGTCTAGACGTCATGATGCCGCCGGTTTATATGTAGTATGGGCATCTTAGTATCGCAAGGATCAAAAAGACTGTCTATGTTGCGCAGGCGTTGACGCAGAAGCATGGTCTCCAGACTCGCAAGCGCTTTCCTCTGTCTCTAGTGCCTCAGGCAACTGCAACGGTAAGACTTTCCTATTACTACGTACCTAAACCAAATACCTGCGCAAGTCTTTCCCATCCTCAGTGGAGCTTCGGAGAGGAGATTACTGGCAGGTCGTTTTTCATTATGTTCTTGTTCTTGTGGAAATGGATGCCTTACTCTTGTCTTATGTTCCGACAGTTCACACCTCCACCGCCTCCGCCACCAGCACCTGCACCAGCGCCCAAGGATGAGGGCGCTGATGTCTCTGAGCTCAAGGTGCTCTTCTTTCTCCGTTCTATTTCTGTTCTCACAGGAATGCAGAGCCTGGTGCAATCTGCCAGTGTACCTCCCATTGCTGTCTGATGTGAGCTGTAGGAAATGGGGCAGCTGGACTGCAACTGCATGCTTGCCAAGTTATCGGCACGTGACATATGTCCATTTCTTGCATGTTGCTGATTGTTGGTGTTCCTGGACTAATACAGGCGCAGCTGCTAGATTCGCTGTTTGGCACGGAGCGCGGCCTGTCAGCCAGCAGCGAGGTCAGGGCTGAGATCAACGAGCTCATCACGCAGCTCGAGGCCAAGAACCCCAACCCCTCCTTGACAGAGGTGCGCGCCTGCTGCATGTGGCATTCCATAGGAAGCGTTCATGCGTCCTGATAGTAGAATTATGGCCCATAGAATTATGGCTTGGGCTGTGGCTCGAGCAAGACTCTTGGATTGGGTTTAGTCCCAAAACAGAACCCATTGCAACGGCCAATGTTTGGGCTCTTGCAATTAGCATGCGCTATTATGCATTTGAGTCATGAGTCACGACGTTGCATATTTGAATTCTAAATGTGGGGTGCAGGCAGAGAAGGTGCTGGATGGGCAGTGGAAGCTGGTGTACACATCCAACAGCGAGCTCTTTGCCCTGCTGGCGCTGTCTCGCCTGCCCTTTGTCAGCGTTGGTGACATCACACAGAAGATCGAGGCCTCCACCTTTACCGTTGAGAACAAGGCATGCCTCCTGCATACACTCTCTTATTACTCAGCAGACAAATAAAAGCATGGTTCCTTCATGCATGCATAGCTGCAGCTTCCCACACGTGTTCTCTTGGCTAGTCCATATATGCTCGTACCAAACATCTTCAGACACTATTCGTGGGTGTGCAGAGCGCTGAGCGTTGTATCGAGGGCGCTTATGTGTATGCGAGCAGGTTCAGCTGACGGTGCCCTTCTCGCGCACGTCCTTCAGCACAACCGCGTCCTTTGAAGTGCGCAGCCCGAAGCGGCTCCAGGTGATTGCCCCCATCCTCTTCTCCTGTGCCCTTAGCTTTCTGTCACCCTGACGACCCATCCCTTGACCGCGCAAGAGGCAAGCGATGAGACCATGCAGGTCCTGTTAGAAAGCGCTCTTGGTAGCTGGGGGACAGAGAACACAGCATGCATCCGATATTTAATCGCTCTAGCACTACAACGCTTCTTTAAATATTACCATGAGACTTTGCAGTGGCTTGGGAGACATTGAGAATGTTTAACTCAACATGTTCAGCCCGCAATTTCTGGCATCTGAGTTATATAAGTGTGTTCGGATTGTCTGCAGGTGCGATTTGAGCGGGGCACTGTGGCGACTCCCGAGCTGCTGCAGGACGTGGAGCTGCCCTCCAGTGTGAGCGTGCTGGGGCAGCCTATTGACTTGAGCTCTCTAAAGGTCCGACAGACCCTCAATTCTCCTTGTAAAGTACCTTGCATTCCTTCAGCACTGGCCGTCAAAAGCACAGGTTCTTTTGCATGCAGTGCAGTTTGATTCTGCCTTCAACAGCTTTTACCATTACGCTCTCTCAACAGCTCAGCCTGGAGATTTGCCAAACTTGCAAAGCCCGCAAGCACATCCCTAATCAAAGAAGAGTTATGACGTCATCCATCTGCTCAATGGATGCTTGTGCTTCTGAGGAGTATCCTTTTCTGCCAAAGCCTTGACAATGAATGTCAAGTGCAGGATGCGCTGCAGCCGGCGCAGAGTGCGGCACAAGAGGCGATCCAGCGGCTGGCTCGGCTGGTGTCGCAGCAGCCTGACCTGCAGTTCCCCATCACCAGCGACAAAGCCCAGGCCTGGCTCATCAACACCTTCCTTGACGAGGTGTGTTCCCTCCCAAGCACCGTGAACATCGGATCGCATGCACAGCCGAGGCAAATATACGCAAGAGCAATGTTGCGATTGGATGAGGCGCATATGGGCTGCAGGCCAGTTCTGTGAGAGGCATTAGGACTCTTGATGTGTGAAAGAGAGACTGTGCAGTTCATTGCTGCTGTCAGGGCTGGTCTGTCAATTTCGTATGCCTGGTTCTGTCCGTACCACAGGCAATCAGACCTTAACAAAATTTCTTGGTGCATTTTCTGTGAGTTGAGAGCGGCTGAGGTTGTGCCTCGATGTGGACGTCTGGGTGGCTTGCTGATGAGTAAGTTGCATGAGGCAGGACACGCGCATCACCCGCGGCGACGGCGGCAGCGTCTTTGTGCTGGTCAAGGACGTCTCCTTCAGCACGCCACCCCTGGCCACCACAACAGCCATTGTGCCGATCGCGGACTCGCCTGTTATTACCGGCGTCCCCGCAATTACATCGGCTCCCGCGGTTGCACCGGCTCCCGCGGTTGCACCGGCTCCCTCGGTTGCACCGGCTCCCTACCTCTCTGTAAGCCCCCTGCCATTCTTGCTCGTATTACCTTCATACCAAAGCTTCTTGGTTTGAGCCTGCGATCATACGCACCTGACCTGGCATTTGAGTCTTGCGTGACTGATATTATGCCACCAGTGTTTTGATAGATGATGAAAGATGATCGACCCCATCCAAAGGGTCCTGAGTTTGTATTGTATGCTTTCAGACAATTCTGCGTTGAACTGTTCTCTTATCTGGTTGAGTGATGTGCATGGACAGGAGGTGACCACGGACCCTCTAGAACAGTACTGCAACGACGTTCCAGAGGCGGACGAGTGCCGTGTGTACGAAGACTGAACCTGAGAGCGTCGCAATGACTGTGCTGATTACATATGTTTACCTGAACAACGAGGAAGGGAGTGCTGGAGCATGCTGAGGGTTCTGACAATGATTGTGGTTGAGGTAGCTCTGTTAGAACCTGCTATGCCATACACTAGAGATATCTGTGAAGATTGCTAACAGTGTTAAGGTTTTGAGTAGATTATTAGTGCAACAGTAGAGGCCCGTTGAAAAATTGAGGCCCAAGATTGGTGCGTATCAGTTATAAGAGTGATGCTGGAAGTGTCTGAAAATTTACATCACTTTCGGTTGCTGCCATTTTTGCAGTGCAAGATGAATGAATCAGTCGGTACCTTGCAGCAGATCAAAGGAAAGCATACGTTCAATAGACTGTATTGGAGGCAAAATCTTCGTGCACAGGCCTGGTGTTGGGCATGTCACTTGTGAATCGGATCTTACAGGGAAGCGTGTTGTTTTGCTAATGCACTGGAGTGCAAAATAATTGTGATTTGTCGTGTTCTTAGGCCCCTTAAATTAGAAGCGGATGTCACAATTGCAACCTACTTACTTCTGTGCACATCAACACCTGCAGCCCATCCCCAGCCACACATAATATGCACTCTCTGACCCGCTCAACACACGCGCCACAAAAGCAAGCAAGGTCCTGAGAAGGCCATGTAGACACCAGAGAGCATCTCAAGATACCCCCTCCTGCCAAGCACTTCATCTCTCGCAGCAGCAGTGCTGGCACCTTCACGCTTCATCAGCCCGTCTCCAGAGCTTGCTACAGAAACCGACGGCTTGAGCATGCGGCCTCAAACTGCCCGTCTTGGGCACGCCAGAGGGCAGCGTTTCACTGTGCTCATCGGAAGCGGGAAGCGATAGCATCGTAGCGGGGGAGGTTGCTGATGTCACCCAGGACGGCCACTGTCGGGGGCGTCTTGAGGATCTTGGCCACCACCTTGGCGATGGCGTCTGGCGTCAGCTCCTTGATCGCATTGACAAACTCCGGCACCGGCTTCCTGCACGCACGCCCGTGGAATCAAGTTTAGTCCCCCGTCCCACAAAACAAGCCACGTGCCACATGACAAGTGTTGCAAGCAAGACCAAGTAGGAAGTGCCCTCGCACGTTGCGCAACAGCAGCTAGACTATCAGGCAGGCGCCCTGCATGCTCTACAGACACCCGGGACAGTGCATCACGTGCATAATGCAACATGCACCAAAGATATTGGGAGGGGGCCCAGCATGACTCTCCCTGTATGACCCATGCAGTGATAAAAAGTGTCATGCTGTGACTGGAGGGGAGCAGCACCTGTGGCCGTAGGTGAGGATCTGGCGTCCGATGTCTTCGGCCACGACAGCGCGGCTCTCCAGATTCATGTAGACAGATGAGATGGCGGCCAGCTTTGCGCGCTCCAGCTCGTCGGCAGGCACCCCCTTAGCGACCGCCTGCAGTCATGAAACGACCTTCAGCCCAAAAGCGCAACTTCCCGCATGCTTTCACCCATGCTTGCCTGCACCTAGCAGAGCGATCCCACAACAACATCCCCCAACGTCACTCTGCAATGCTCTTGAAAGTGCATTGCGCTACGATGCGCCTTTAATCATGCCTCCGATGTGAATTCAAACAGACCACCAATAAAGCACACATATCTGAAGGAGCCCAAGTCTGAGGTGACCCAATTGATTCAATGAACTTCATATAAGAAGGGGCTGATTCACACAGCACCACTACAATTGCAGCGTGGTCTTGCAACGGCAGACAGTTGTGAACCGCATGCTGACCTGGAGCTCCTGGGTGAGGATGTCGACGAGCTTGCCGCTGCGCCTGGCGTCGCCCTGGCAGTCCCCGGAGATGAAGATGCCCACGAGGCCGGTGTCGTTGTAGAGCGAGTTGAAGGCGGTGCAGTTGTGCACCCACTCGTTCGCGTTCAGCACGCGCCTGTACAGCCGGCTGTGCATGCCCTTGCCTGCACCAGACACCAACAGGACCCCCTTCAAATCTTCTTATCTCAGGATCAGCCAGGACCTCCCAGGCGCTGATCGTGGGACCAGGATTGCTAGCATGCGCTATCTTTCTAGCTCATAACATGACGCGCATAGCTGAAAAGTACCACCTGAGAGAAACGGAGCCCTTGGGCTTCAGGGAGAGGTCAGGGAGACTCCTCCACAGCAGGCACAGGGAGGAAAGCTCGCCACAGCAATCAGCCCGACAACCCAAGCCGGTGCACTGATTAGAACTTCATGGGCATTAAGAAAATATGACTCAAAATCAATGGTAAACAGAATGCGCGCCTGGGCCGCCTGCAGAGAAGGAGCCGCCGCCGCCGAGCAAGAACTGCAACACGGTGACGGCCACGCTGCCCTTCATGTCATTCCAGCCGCCCGCAAACTCGAAAGCCAGCATCGCGTGTGTCAGATCCGGCGATAACTGCCTGCGCAAATATCCAACATGCCCAACTGAGATCCAGATCTGGTAAGGCATCCAATACGCCGCCCCTTTGAAGGCGAGAGCCCCATCTATGCTGTACCAATGATGGGTGCCGGCAAGTCCTGACTCCCCTGAACAAGACAGCCAAGTAGTTCTGCGAAAAGCTCGCTTCTTGGCCCACTTTCCGGGAGCTGTGCAAGCGCCGTTCAGGCTGCATGCATTGCCAGTGTTGTCTATTGGCCTAGCGTGGAGGGGAGTCATCCACTGATCATCTGTCTCCACACTCTTTGCAGATCACATTGCAGCAAGCGCGCACCTGAAGTCGCCGCCGACGTAGGTGGAGGCGGGCTGCGGCGCGGGCGCGGCCTTGGGCAGGAAGTCGAGCAGCGGCTGCGCGAGGCCGACCAGGTCAGCCTGCGACACGCCGGCGCCGGCCAGAGTGATGCGCGGCGCCGTGTAGTTGCGCGCCACAAAGTCGGCCAGCTTGCCGGCCGACAGGCCCGCCAGCGCGCTCTCCGGCACGATCAGCGGCCGCGCCAGTCCCCCCGTGTATGCTACCTCGTGCATGCCCTGCGCCGGAGCGGGGGACCCAAGGGTCAATGGGGGTGATTGTTGCACCCCGGAGCAAATACCAGGAAAAGCCCCAGGGTCAGCCGGGTTTGTTCCAACAAAAGAAGATGTTGACTATCATAAGTGCTGCAGAGCCAGGGGGCGCACAAGAGCTTGCAGTGCAGTACTTGCGCGTCTCCAGTCTCCACAACGCTTGTGATATCAGTGTGCGGAGACTGGCTGTCATAGACTTACTTGGAAGAGAAGCATATCAGGACCGCACATGTGTCCTGTCTAGACGATACAAAGCGCTGCCAAACAGGCCATGAGGAACAGGCATATGTGTACCTGAGCGCCTTCTTTCTCCCAGGTGGACAAATGCGTGGTCACAAAACCCTGGAATGTTCATGCTGGATTGACCAGGTTGCTGAAGGGACAGGCCAGGTGGCGACTTGCACGCACCTCTAAGAGCACCGTCTGCGGGTTGTCCTTCACGGATTTGATGTCCTCGCGCATCTTGTCAATGGCCGCATTCACCTCCCAGCTCAAAAACTTCGGGTTGACCACAGAGTCCACCAGAATCTCCAGCGCATCCGGCACGTTTGTCTTCACCACATCTATGTTGTACGCCATCTGACAACACAAATACAAAGTCCTTGCCACGCTGATAACAGGAGATTCCAACCCCTCCTCCGGCTTGAGAAATATGGACATGCAGCTGGAGGTCCCCGATAATATAGAGCTGGCGTTCCATGTCGGGCAAGACTGTTAGGCAACGCTGTTCGGCAACACTGTTAGGCAAGAATGCATGCATGGGCAGGGTGGGCTGCACACCTGTTCCCTTGAGGCTGAGGCCAGCACATTTGCGCCAATCGCCTCAACCTGCAGCAGATTAAGTAAGGGATCTCAGGTACAGATTGCAGAATGCGCAGGTGGCCTTGTACATCGACAATGCATGGAAGCATTAGAGGTACAGTCTGAGGGAGCTCGCACCTCGCGAACAAGGCGGAAGTGCGTCCTGTTGGATGTGGACTTGAAGGCCATGTACTCCAGCAGATGTGACAAACCTGCGATTTAAGGTACGTGCACTCTTTTTGAGAATGTTGCAGTGTCCCAGTTCACCTAATACATTTGCAAACGGTGCCTGTGGCAGCTCTCATCAAAAGGAGCTGCAGGATGACTTGTTGCCTTCGCACCCGTCTCTGAGGGGGACTCATAGACGCTTCCAGAGTTGACGTACAGACCAAGAGTCGCAGTGGGGCCCTGTTCGTAGAAAGCATCAAGTTCTTAGGGTTGCTTGTGTGCTTAGAATATGAAGATCACTATCTTGAAAGCAGACGCCTTCAATCGAATGATAGAAAATAATTGTTTTGAATAACATAAGGAGTTCATGAATTGCCCTTACCAGGGTCTGCTCTGAGGCGATCGTCACTCCATTTGGAAGAGTAGTTGTTTCAGTTGTTGGTGCCTTGGCTGGTGGTGGCGATGGTGCTGGGAGATCTACACCGGGCAGAGGATCTGTCATCGGGACAGTTAATCGCGATGAGCCCCCCAGCAGCTTTGACAGCCATCCCGCAGACGTGCTAGTTGCCTCAGACAGTGCTGGAACTGCATTTGCTGCGACTGCTGTGCTGAAGCTGCGCAGGTTGGGCTGCATGCGCAGCCCATGCTGAGCTCCAGACGCCAGCATGATGCCTCCTTCCCTTCCACTTTGTTCCAGTGCAGCAACAAATCTGCCCTGAAAGCTTCTCATTTACGGCGTCCTCATTGCAGATTTACGGGCCTCGTTCCTTGGAAAGCGTTGAGCAGGAAATGAAGCGTGATTGACACCTTTGATCCAATCTTGTGCGTGTTTTGGCAGTAATGCTGCATTAGATAGCACAGTCAAGAAGGTTAACTGCTTCATTCGCCATCGAAAAGCTTTCAAGAGTTACAACAGCCTTCTGTATTGAGTACCATTTAGAAAGCAAATCCACGTTGCTCTTGCATGTCAGATCCCAGGAAAGGATTCAGACAAGCAGTTGAACGTGCATTGTGGAAGGTGCGATCTGCACTCTGAACGTGCCACAGATCTGATGATGATGCTCAAGTTTACGTGCAAGGAGAATTTGATTAAAGCAGAGATGTTGTCTAATTGGATCTTTCATGCAGATTCATGAACTGGAGGCAACGGTGGGCGAGTTCAACGGTGATCAAAGCCTGCTAAATAGCCGATTGTACGTTCAGCATGCCCAACCAAAATTCATGATTCAGTGCCTATGATGACTGGAATTTGCTTGAGAATGATAATGTCAGCCTACGAATATATGGCGTGAGCATATATACGGAGGTGTCGCAAGGTACCACTTCATCGCTTTTTTGAGACTGCCTGTTTACAGGAACGGGCTGGTGGCAGAACTGGGAGGATTGTCATCTCACCGCGAGGCCCTCGCAGTGGATGTGCCTGTGGAACTGCTACGATACATAGACGAAGGCGGCAACCCAGACGCGTTCACTTCAGAAATTTTCAATAGAGCCAACCGCTCGAACCAGCTAGCAAAAGGCAAAGTTGAAGCCTTTGGTGCCTTTCGGTGAGGCCTCCAGCCTTCACTTGCCTGCTATGGTGCCGATCAGCGGTCCTCGTTCATGTGCACATTGCCATTTTTATTCCCTCAAGGATGTCTGGCTCCAACTTGCAGGGAAGCGCTGCTGAAAGAGGCAGGCAAAGCATTCCCTGAGGAGACGGAAGCATTCAAGGCGCTGGCACGACCATCTGCTGCCACGGACACGAAGCAAGCTGGACAGACCCCAGATGGGGGCACAGGAAGCTGATTGAAAATCCCTCAGCCTGACACCAAGAGGGAGCAAACTCCTTTGGTCCACCATGGCATCTATTCGCGACGACTTGGAGGCGGATGATGCCCTGCGTCAGTGCACAGCGCTCTTGCAGGTTTGAAGCAGGGCGTGCACTCCTGTCCTTGTATGTGCATGCCTGTCATTTGCCCACCGGCACATCGAGCAAACATGCAAGTTGCCTGAGAAGCTGCATGGTCTTTGCATGCACTGCATAAACTTCAATGCCCCGCGTTGTGAATACTACATGAAGGTCATGTGTTCTATTTGCGCAGATGCTGAATTATGTGGCGGGCGGGCGAGATGTGAGCGCAAACGTCACATTCATGTGCCAGATCATCATCCGGGGGCCAGCATCGCCATTGGTGAAGAAGCTGGCATATGATGTGGTGCATGCCGCGCCGCTATCGGATGAGGACTGGTCTCTGGTCATGGAGGGGCTAAGGTCAGATATTGTGGGCACCTTCAGCCTGGAGGTGACTATTCTATCTGCCTTCCATCACTTTTTCCACAAAGAATCGACAATCTGAGAGTATTCACGAACTGCTCACTTCTCCTTGCCTTCGTACTGTCTATCAGGTTGACGCTGGAGCATTGGGGAAGGCACACGGGTTTTGTGTTGCAGTGTTACAATTGTGCAAGGATGTGTGCAGGTGCAAGTGTTGGCTTTGAGCGCCCTGTCAAGGTTGCCAGTCTACAAACTTACTACTGCACTGCTGGAAGGAGAGCTTGGGACCCGCCTCCTGCCATGCCTCCAAAGCTCATCGAAGGAGGTGGGCTATTTGACAATCACCGATGAATATGATGTCCTGAAACACTTGAAAAGGCTCTCTTTACATAAGCTGAGGCATTGTAGATCTCTTGGACCTCTTCTTGGAAACAAATTTTGATCATTCTCTTGATTTCTCAGTCATCTCTTGTGTCATCGGAGATGTACTTGCTGATGTGGTTGTTGCAAGGAGAAATTCTTGGCCTGTGCAGGTACGAGCGGGGGCGCTGGCGGCTGTGGGCAGCTGGCTGGGAAACACGGCAGCGCTAGATGCGCTCGGGCAGTCATCAGCGCTGTGCCTTCAGGCGGCGACGTGGGCGGAGAGCATTGGGGACGCCTTACTAGACAGCGCACACGCAGTCTGCGCTGCCGCCTTTGCAGCCATCAGGTCTGAGCTTTGCCTGAATCTGCCGGTGATGAAAGGTCCTTTTTAAACGAATGCAGCAATTGGTATACATCAGGCAAGCAGCTGGATTGCATTTGCTGGGTGGCATGCCCCGTCATATGCCAAAGGATCCATTGCTAACGTTTTTTTTTCCAGCCACATGTGGCAGCAGCTTCACATTTGCAGGTGATGTGTGCAGGCGGCTGCTGGGAGCTGAGACGGGTCCTGACAGCGGCAGCGGGGCGCAGCTGCAGCAGCGGCTGGGGCGGCTGGTTTGTGGCCGCGTGCTGGCCTCTCTGCCCGCCGTGCTCAACCGAGCCCGCATGCTGGCTCCCAGAGAACAGGTACATGTCCAATTTTTTCGTTTTTCCCAAGCACCTGTTCTGTCAAGCGCCTCTGGGCTTCTGAGGTGAAATTACCAAATGAAGGTCTTTTGGCGCTGGCTGCAGTGTCACTGCCCAGTTGCTAGACCCAACAGTTGGTATTGGCCAGAAGTCTCTCAAACGGGGGGCTTGTTTGCGCAGGCTGATGTGGCTTCTGCACTGGCCGCTATGCTCCTTTCTGCCGCCAAGTACGACTACGACTTTGGCGCCACCAGCCAGCCTGTCAGCCAGGCGCAGGGCCCATGGCTGCTTGCACAGGCAAGGCACCCCCCAGCCTCTCTGATGTACACCATCCCCCACTATTCCCTTTCTTATGCTACGGATCTACGCTGTATTATCGTCTTTACATGGTGTCCAGGTGGGGGATGGTATGTCCGCCACAGATGCGCCCTTGCAAAAAATAGAAAGTCAATGGTCGAGGGGGCCAACATTGCATGGACTATGCACGGCTGCGGTGCCATCACATGCAGCTTATGTCTAGCCCAGCCGGCACCATCGACACTGATGCAGGGGATTGCGTGTATGGGAACAGCGCAGTGGGCTCTTATTGTTCGTCGCCGCAGCCGTGTATGCATGTTTGCCAGAGCACTCTCAATTTCAACCATCGCCGAATATGGTCCAACACAATCTACCAAGCCGCTTATCTGCACCGTGTAGGAAGAAAGGGATGGATAACCAGGAGTAGTATGGTAAGGCTGGCCTGCACTGCTGCAGGTAGGAGAGTATCTGCAGCCGCTGCTGAGCAGCATAGAGGCGCCGGTGGTGTTTGAGGCGGCAACTGGGATCCTGGCCTTGGCGGGAGTCTCAGACGGCGCGCTGGCAGCCGTGCCCACTCTGGCCATGGGAGCCCTGGTGGACCTGTGGGACCACGAAGGCAGCGGCGCTGCACGCTCACAAATCATGGACACCCTCACCCAGCACCTGAGCGCCCTGCAGGTAGGAGTGTTGCAACTCCACAGCTTTCCTTGAAATTAACTGTGGTTGCAGCCTCCGGTGCTTGCTGACGAATCGGGAAGCAGCATCGTCTCTTGCGGTTGGGCATCCATGTAGCAAAATCTGTCGCTGTCTGTCGCTGGTTGACATTGCCATATGGTCGCCCGACGGCTGAAGTCATCGTAGCTTTTATTTTCTCGTCAGTGGGAGCCGCATCCTTGCGTTCTTTGCCACACATATGATGTAAGAGATTCCTAATCGTTTTGTCTTGCAGGTGGATTCTCAATTCTACTCTCTTACTTTGCTTCTGAGACTGGGCAGGCAATTGCGTTATGCAGCGTCATGCGCCATTGCAGGGGCAGGCGCAGTTTCAGCTGCTGCGGCAGCTGCCGCCAATGGTGGCGCAGCTGCCGGCGGCTGCTGGCCGGTGTGCGGCGCTGGCGCGCATCTGGGCTGCGGGCGTAGCCGCTGATCTGGAGACTCGCCGCGCCGTGCGCACTCGCCAACGCACGCTGCCCAGCACCGAGCTGCGCCAGCTGCTGTCGGACTCCTTCCTCATGGAGGTCATTGGTGGCCTGGAGTCCGGTGGGTTGCAGCCTCCTCATGGATCATGTATCTGGCAGTTTGTTTACAGTTAGCTCCCCAAGTGGCTTGCGTGATAAGGATGAAAGACTCATGATGTTTGGGCATCTTGAAGATAATGAGATGACAGCACAAAGACCCGAATATGGATAGGTCATGCTGTACATCTGGGAGTATGCCCTGTCAGTTGGCAGTCAAGGGATGTTGTGCCTACTCCTTCTTCAAGCGCTGCCAAAGAAAAATGATCTGGCACATCATGCCCATGGTTGCCAATTGAAGTACAGAAGAAGATGTGGCCGGAAACACTGAGAGCTTTCAATGAAAACCTCCACATGAAGGTTTCTGATGACTTTCCACATGCACAGGCGAGAAGGATAGCATCGCACCAGAGGCGCACTACCCGGCCTTCCGGGAGGAGCTCGTGTGCACGCTGATAGAAACCCTGCTGCAGCACCCCCGCATCATGCAGCTTTCACAAGCACCCCTTGCGGCCCCCGCGCCATCGGCCACCGCTGGAGAGGGGGATGGGGTGCCAGGGAACGCCTCAGGGACGCCGCCGGGGACCCCTGAACTGGGGGGCGCCCGCGAGGAGCTGGCGGCTGCTGTGCATGACGTGGCAGCCGCGCAGCGCGCTGCCGAGCTCACTGAGTGGCTGGGCTGCGCCAAAATTGCTCTGCAGGCACGCAATCTTGCACCTGTCTGTCTTCCTTCTACAGGTCACCGTACTGCAACACAGTGTGGGCGGTCCATCGGTCAAGCAGCTGTGACAAGAAGGCAAGAGGAGATGCGGAGGTTTCAACATAGGTGGGTCAAATTTGTGCTGGGGTGTGCACACAGGGCACGAAGGCGTGTTTGGGTTGGGAGAGGGAGCCGCAGGGGGGCACGTACGCGTGCACAGCCGTCACAGATGCATGGCTGGGGCTTCTGCAGGCCGCGTTTGCGTCGGCGCGCGCGCTGCCGAAGCAGGCCGGCACCCCGGCCGGCAGCCGGCGCACAACTGCCGAGCCGGACGCCCGCGTCGGCACTGCCGCTATCAGCTACGCTGCCGCTCTGCAGGAGCTCCTGGCGCAGCTGCTCCAGCACTGGAAGGTCTGCTGACGTCTCAGTCTCATCTTGTCATTTCCTCATGTCCTAAAGTCCTATTGTGAATGGTTTTCCTGTGCCTTGCCAAGGTGTACTGTGAGTCGGACTTTGGGAGCCTCAGGAGTGCTTTGGTGAATGTTCCCACCTGCACGTCCTAAGGTCGAGGAAGTGTGGCTCACGGTGCCTCTGGCGCGGCAAGTCCATCCGTCGGTGGAGTCATGGTAGCATGCTGGCCAGATTACCTGTGAGGCATGCTGACATCAGAAGCGTTGCAGGCGCTGAGCCCGGCGGTGCAGCCGAGGGCGCTGTGGGTGGTGGCGCACCATCTGGAGGTGGCCGCCAGCCTGGACGGCACCTGGATGAACCTGCTGCGCGCGCTGGCCGACGCGCTGGCCGGCAATGAGGAGCTCGCCAACACTCGCAGGCATGCCCTGAGCTTCTCCCTGCACCTGATCGCCCTGTCGCCATACCAGTAATCAGCGACGCAAGTCCCAGCATATGCCAGAAGCCATGCTGTGCAAGCATGCCTGTTTGGTCCCTGCAGCATTGCCGCTGAAGAGACCCACTTTGACCACAGGGACTTGTGCAGAAGTTATCCGCTTCTCGCAAGAAATCCTTTGGGCAACCCTAAACACCTGACGCCCAGGGGCCTGAGGCAACGCAGCTCCCTATCAGTAGCTGTCAAGTTTGCCAGCCATTTCAGTGCTCATGCCAATTGAAAAAAGTATGCGCAGGCGGCGGGCAGCAAGGGCTGCGGCGACCGAGGGGCGGCTGGAGGCGGCGGCCAGCAACAACCCTTTCGCGGCCGGCAAGACAGACGTGGCGCTCTCGGCGACGGCTGACGAGGCCGAGGCGGCCGCGGAGGGTGCCGCTGTGGCGCTGCTTGCTGCCGAGCGCTTTGCTGCTCTTCTGGCCTCCAATGCTGAGCGCCTGGGGCCCCACGCTGGCCTCAAGGTGTGTCCAGGGAATTCCCTTTGCTTACCTTTCGGTATTTGGTGCTCGCGCACATTCAATATGCCTGCACAGAACGGGGAGTGTCAAAGGAACAGTGCGACCTATGACACCCTGTTTTTGAGTAGGCATACTGAATGTGTCTATTCTCTGAGGGATGGCCGTGGACTCACTCTGCCAATTTCTTCAATGCAGAGGGTAGATCTTGCAAGGCAGGTGGCACTGTGCCGAGAGTGCTTCATGTGCAGTAGATCAATTGTAGGCAGCAATTCGTAATGTAGCAGGGCACATTTTGCAAGGCAGCCGTGCAGGGGGCGACGTACCAAGCGTGCTCTGTGTAATATCATGTGCAGGAGATAGCCGGCAATCTGTCGAGCCTCCTGCAGGCGGCAAATGCCGCACCCAAGGCCAGCGCGGACGCGCGTGAGCGGCTGGGGCGAACGATGGCCCACATCGGCCCGGTGGCAGCCGCCGTGCTGCCGCCGCCGCCAATAAAGACGGCAGAAGGCAGCGCGGACGAGAAGCCGAGCAAGGAGGAGGCAGGACCGGCGTCGGTCGTGCCTCTGGACGGCCGCAAACTGCAGCCCTCGCCTGACCAGTACCTCTTGTCAAGGTGCGCCAATGCACCAGGACATCATTTAAAGTTCGTCTTCTCGTGCACAAAGGCTGCCCTTATGCGCAGGAATACATCCCTCTCAGCATGAATATGCAGTTTTGTCCTGTGACCATGCCATGCATGGATGACTACTATGGGTGCAGATATTCGGATTTCTCTAATATATTGGCTGCTGCTCGCCAGGTGCCCGCTGGCATCTCCCACCAGCGCGATGCTGCAGGAAACCAAGCGCGGGTCAAGGTACTGGCGATTACGGTCCGCGGTGCGCGCAGCGGTGACAGAGGCCAGCCCTCGGGACGGCCACTCGCGTGATCCACCGACCCTGCCCGAACTCAGCAGCATCCCCAGCAAATTGGAGGTGCGCATCTTTACTTATCCTGTTCAGCAATGTTGCTGTCCTGCTGAGGTAAGATAGTGCAGCAAAGCTTCAGCTTTAATACACAGGCAGACTTCCACAGCATCTGCCTGGAAGCTTCGCCATGCACTCCCAATATCTGATGTTCATCAAACCATTTAGCAGCTAGCCAGGCTGCCAGCATTCTGCATGTATGTAGCAAAGCGACTCGAGATAATTGGCAGAAATGCAGTCTATGTTTTCTTCAAGTGAAGGCCTGACATGGACGTGCAGGTGTTGCGCCTGGCAACAAGCGTACCGGGCGAGCCAACATGGCGGGAGCTGACGGCTGCCGGTGACCCGCTGCAGCTGAGGGTGACTCATCAACTCGACGTGGCCACATCAGCGCTGACTCTGCAATTCCAAGCCCGCAACCGCCTCACTGTCGAGATAAAAAATGCCGGCATAAAGTGAGCTGCTGGCCGCTCTCAAAAGCCACCCACATGCTCGCTGCTCCAAAACCGCGTCTAGTGTGTGATTCCCCTGCTCATCAGCCATGCACATGCATTTTTTTCCAAAAACACACTGTGTGTGGCCCACAACAAAAGATTTTTTTTCTAAAGTGTTCATAAAATGCAGGTTGGCATTCGGAGGTCCCATGGTGCCGGCAATCAAGCTCCCTCCAGTGCACAAGCTGGCCTCTATTCCTGCTGGCGAGGCGGTGACGTGGCGGCTGGGCTTCAAAGTGCTCGGCTTCGGCCGCTTGAGCGTCCAAGCATTCATCCTGCTCCCTGCCAGGGTTGCCGTCTCGCCAGGTGAGAAGTTGCAGTGAGAAGGTCGACATACAAACAGTTGTTCAAGAAAGCAGAGGGTGTCTAATAGAAGATGTGGACTTCTCCTGTCAAGTAATTGGTCGACCTTAGGGGACTGAAGCTGCTTGAACTGTTCAGAAGGACATGGAAATAGACAATCAATATTGTGTTGCTTGTTTATTTCTGTGTCTCTGTGAACTGTTTGAGCAGCTTCCAGGTCCCTGACTCAAAGGCAATTTAGAGTGGCATTGCACACCTGGCAATAGAATATTGTTGTTTCTATTGTCACTCAATTTGGGCATAAACTTGACGTTTGCGCTGCACAGGAGACGAGCCGAGCCTGCGCTGCCAGCTGTTCACCATCTCACCCATGCAGCTGCTGGCTGAGCCGGAAACCACCCCGCCCGATATCTTCTTCCAGCAGTGGGCCTCCATGCCTTCAGGTTGGCTACAACCCCTATAACCCCTCAATTCTGACTTCCGACTAATTCTGCTAGTCACCACCCCTTTTTCTGAAGGCACAAAGCTGCAGACTGTTGAGAATAGCAACCTACCGGTCTACAGCTGAAGCGACAGCATCAAGCAGGAGTAGCCGACAATGTGGATCAACCCTCCATCTCTGTCACCCTACCCCACCCAGGGCTTACTGAGGGCGTATGGATTCTTATCAGTGCTGCAGAACAATCACATAATGCATTAGTCATCACAGAGTAAAGATTAAGATAAATTCTGTTTCACTGGGTACACCCACCATGCACAAGGAAGGCTGATGGCTTGTTGTGTGTGTGCGCAGAGTGGCAAGCGGTGGGCACTGCGACAAGATCAGGCGTGGCAGGCGGGCTGGCGATACTGTCGGCTCTGGAGCGCAGCCGGCTGAACCGCGTCGCGCTGCACGTGCTGCCGGCGCAGGGCGGCTTCCTAGCCGCCTACAGCGGTAAGTTGTGGGCTATACTTGAGTGTGAATAACTGGTAATGAGGGGCAGTGGTAGATGCCGTTCTGTTGGGCGTTGGCATCTCTCTCATCAATCATTACATTTATGGGTCTTTATGGAGTCTTTCATCCACTTGGTGCAGGGCGGACATGGTGGAAGGCTTCTGTGGCGCTGGTGTTGACTGCGCAGCTTCTACCGGCGCCGCCCCCGGCCGTCGCGGCGCTGGCCGACGGGCCCGGCCGGCTCGTGGTGCGCGCCAGCTTCCGCTCGGCTTCCCCGGAGGCCGCCTCCGCCCTCGGCGCTGACCTCCCGGCTACTGCACAAGAACTCTTTGCTGGTGAGAGGACCATTCCATGATGGTATCCTTTAGTCTTCTTTGAACAGTCCATTGACATGCTCCTTGTACCACTGAGGCATGCAGGAGCTGCATATGTCGGATGCATTCCTGTACAGCCAGTGCTTCATTGTACTGAATATGAAAGCACAATCCGTCTACCATTTATCAAAGTTCTTTTTGCAAAATATGGTGTTCTCTCCTGGCGCACTCATGAAGATCCGTCCATGGAGAATCCAGTAGGTGCCTTGAAAGCTGCTGCTGTTCTGCTTCTACCAGCAGACAAGAAGATGGGCTTTGACTCTCAGAATCGACTGACAAGCGCGCGTGGCATTGCAGGCACGGTGGCGCTGGGCGTCGCGACGGAGGGCGTACCTGTCGCACCGGCCGACGCGCCGCGCGAGCCACACCCGGCGCTACGGCCGCTTGCTCGACTGTACGCGGGGGCGGTCACGGCGCGCGACGGCGTTCCCGGGGACAATGGGGGCCTCGTGGAGCTGGAGCCCCTTACGGGCCGCGCCGCGCTCGAGGCGGCTGTGCTGCGGGAGTGGCAGCGCGCGCGCAGCGGCCGGCTGCAGCCCGCGCTGTGACGACGAATATCTGACAATGGGGCTACTTGAAATTCATACTTACACTTTGAAGATATGTGGAATCAAGTCCACCCGATACACATGTAAGGCAATACATGTAAGGCACCGGTAGCAGGGACGGCGTGGATCCAAGATGTGTCATTTGAATCTGTGGCGCAAGTGGCGTTCGCATCAATGGGCGATTGGGATATGTAGAATGGCTGCAACCAGTGCAACATCGAGATTTTTGTGGCAGTGGTGGCAGCGGTGGCAGCTTGCAATGGTTGCTTCCGCATATTAGGCCCATGCACCTGGAACCATATGCTTGCAGTTGCATTTGCCTGTCATCGTGACTGCAGCCGGAGGAACAGGAGCATATGATGAGCCCCAAATGGGGCGAAAGGAAGTGAGAATTTGTCAGCAGAATCATGAATCTGCTGGAGGGTTGGTATGATATCATACCAACCCTAGGGGTCTCGAGGCCTCGATCAAACAAAGTCACCGGCTTTGCCAATGCAGTACGGTACTGCATTGGCAAAGGCCAGGTTTTGGGAATTGTTACAATCAGATCGCTTTCCCTATCACTTTCCTTGATCATAGTTTGTGAAATAAAATGTGTGGCTGTAAGTACTATAGTCATGCATGCGGTCTTCATGGTCTTGTAGTGCGGATTGTATGCGGCCAGCTTTGGTGCAAGCGCACATGCATTGATTGCAGTCCAGCTCAAAATATTTCTGTAAAGAACAGCAATGCACATGCATCAAGGCATCTGCCGCTCAAGTGCCCGCTCACTCCCTTGGGGCAATCACGATATATTCGTTTTTACAAGAATGGTGGAGCCCAATCATGAAAGCTTTATTCAAACTGGAGTCACGATGGTATCTCAGAAGCTTTTGCAGCAGCAAATTGAAAGCTACAGTCGGTCACAATGAGCAGACAGTGCTAAAATAAACTCTTGTACATGTAAACAGCTGTACAGGAAGGGAGAGCAAGTATACAGAACGGGAGGCAACAAGTCAGCAGAGAAATACAACAACTGGTCATGGCGTTTGTTCGCAGCTGCATTCAACAAGGTGACAGATGACAGACATCTGTTCGAAGCATTGGAGAGCCAATTGCACAAGGTACGTCTGAGAGATTGAGGGATGTCCCGCTTGTTCATTTGGAAAAACAGAACACAGCGTGTGTTTCACCGCTGGCCCGGTCAGTACGCGTGCTGACCGGGCTCGTACGACTAAGCACCGCTTTGTCAGCGGTCACCGTGGTCCGTCACAGCAGCGCTCTCCTCACCCTCCGCCGCCTGATCTGGCCGTGCGGGAGGCAACGCCTCCAACGAGCCGCCCTCGCCGCACAAATCCTCATCGTGCTTGCGCTTGCGCGAGACCTGCCGCGTCACCGGGCGCGCATCTGCTCCCGTTCTCTCCTCCATGGGGCCGGGCCCTGTCGCCTCTGGACCGCTCGGCGGGGCGTCCTCTGTGGTCGGCTGGCCCGCGTCGGGTGTCACTTGAGTGGAGGAGCCTCGCGCCTCCAGGCTGAAGTTGGCTGGGCTGCCCGCTGCCTCATGCCGCTTGCTGCTGGCCTCATCCGGACCCTGCAGCGCACAAGGATTCTGTGCTCGACTGCTTGAATGACTGTATAGCTTCTCTGAGTTCCCATTCAGAACAGATGATCAAAGAACAAGCAGCACCACAAAGGTAGATATGGAGGGTCAAATTGGTTTGCAGGTGAGCAGAATTGTCAGAGCTCTCGCTCCTTGCACCGCCGTTCCAGGTGAAGATTCAGGCAGTAAGCGACCACAGAGCTGCCGACACACAGCGTGCATGCTGGAGAGCAGGGGATGAGCGCACCTGTGCAGCGGAGGCGCTGCAAAACAGAGCCCTGTCGATGTGGGCGGTGGTGTTCAGGCTGCCAGGCTGCAGCAGGATCCCATCCGAGGCCTCCCCCAACGCCTGCCATGCATCCCCAACTCTCACACCAACACACAATGCAATGAACCCCAATCTGCTGCTAGCACAATGCGCAATGCTGGGCATCAAACCTCCTTCCCTCAGCTGCTACGTCGCGCCTCTACTGCCCGCAAGCGGCCCAAACCATGCAGGGCATATTTCAGGGCGCAATGCCATAGGAGTGCCACTGCTGCATTGAGTTGGCAGGGCACTTGCTAGTGGTTTTTCTTGAGCACTGTGTGGGTGCACATACAGCAGGCACAGGTGCATGCCTGGGCGTCCGGTAGGCTGCTGACGCAGGGCTCGACGGCGTCACAGGGCGGGGCTGCGGTTATTGCTGTGGTCGCAGTGGACCCCTCAGACAGGTGCATGTGCCCAAAGTCTGCGCCGCCTAGTGATGCCGATGCCTCGCGGCTCACTGAGACATCCAGCCACTCCCACACGCGCGTCACTGCCTCCCTGCAGTGCACCGCTGTCTTCACCACTGGACTTCTGATGAACGGGGTCTGTTCAACTGCAACAAGATGGCTGTTCCCGCTGCCAGCTCGAGGTGCCGAGACAGCACCCACGCCAAGGACGTCGCAATAGATGATAGGGGCAAAACACTTTCTCAAAGAGCTGATCATGAATTGAAGACTAAGACATGCTGCAGATGCAGATGCATGCTGGCAAGAGCCTGTCATGGATGTCATGCAGAGGGCTGAGTGCTTGCTGCTACTGCAAGGTGTGCTGTAGCAGGCACATGTGCTGAATTAGTACCTCCTGGCCCTCTTGGCCCGCGGTGGGCCGTCCCCAGAAGACACAGGCTGTCCAGCATTGCCGGCGGATCGCATGCTGTCTGATTTCCGAAGGCTTTCAGTGGCTGGACGCCCAGCCCATCTTGCAGGACTTGCAGCCCTGGATGGCAACTCCGCGGCCCTGTTCTCTACTGCTGCTTCTCCAACCAGGCTCATGAGTTGCTCGGATAGGATTTGTCAAAGCCTGCGCTAAGTTGGAATCAAGGTACAGATCTTCTAACTGGCCTTGTCCTCAGACTTCAATCCGCTAGCTGAGTGCTCTCTTTTTTCGGGCCGTTAAGAAGTGACGAAGTAAGCCACAGATATAGCTACCACCTAAGTGAACATGACGTAATGTACGATCCTCAGACCTGCCGCAGCAGAAAATTTGCTGCTATTGGAGCTAAAAGGTGCCTGGACTTTAGGTACAGTGCACGAGTCTTACTGCACTTCAAATACACTATCTCTTAAGAGCTTTAACGTATATCCAGGATGTCATATACTATCTATTTTTGCCTTTATTTAACGTGCTTCTGACTAGAGGAAGATTGCATCCTAGCAGATGAGCAATATGACGTTCTGTTGCACACGGACACTAGCAGGCGCAGCAATGCTCAACAAGTCGCCTGAATTATGCACAATGGAGGTATTGGATCGCAGAGGGCCTCAAGAAACGCACTCGATGTCAGCTTGACTCAATTACGAGGGTTTATCACATCATCGTTATGGCCCTTGCCTCAGGGGTCCAGAGAGGTCATGCTGGATCGCAAGAGTCTGGGCAAGTTTCCTGCAGTGCAGTGTGATAGGAGTTGATGAAGTTGATCATCGACATCATCAACAGTGTTCTTTGTGTGACCTTTCAATAAGATAAATACCACTGTGTTGGGTGCTGGTAAACAGAAGAATTTCTGCAAGGATGGCGCGCCTTGTGGCACTGGCAACCTAGTCTCTTGTATATCGCCATTGGAGTCGACAGTATAAGACGAATCGTTTGAATTGAAGAGATGGGCACAGTGCTGAACAATTTGTTCGGCAAAGGAAAAGGAAACTTTGGTGATGTTGAGTACTGGCACGGCGCAGAGCGAGCTGGCTGGCTCATGAAACAGGGTATGATGGCCGATTATCACCTTCAGCCTTCATATCACGATATACTGCTTGTGCTGGGCATCCACTCTTGCATTCGAAGCAGGGTTATATTTGTTCTGTCAAGTCTAGGCATTGCACCCTCTCTCACCACTTTGTGTGCTCGTTTGGCCAGGTGACTACATAAAAACATGGAGGCGCAGGTGAAAACCATTTCTTACCCACAGCAGTCGGTAGTCCTTTTGGCTTCCTTTCTTGAAGACGAGCCTAAAGAAAAAGGCTCCTGACTGGCACTGTCACTTTGCAGGTGGTTTGTCCTGAAGCAGGGGAAGATATTCTGGTTCAAGTCGGACATTGTGACGCCGGTAAGCCTCATGCTTCCGCCCTCATGATTTGGCACATGTGCATCAATCAGTCTGCGATTGAAAGCTGAAGAGCTTGTGGTTTGCCATTGCAGGACTCCATTCCTCGCGGCGTGATTGAGGTGAGCCATCTGCCTTTCATACTTGCTCTTCAGGCTCTTTTTGTCGAGCCATTGCACAAGACACAGCCTTGACACAGTCTGCTGCCCCATTGACTGTCACCTCTCTCCAGCAATCACCCCAGCAATTTCATGCACAAGGCAAAGAGCGGGCAGTGAGGTGCATGCCATCTTGCAGGACAAGTGCTCACAGGATGTACTTCTGGCTGTCAATGAGGCAATTGATGCAGTCTCTGTGAATAGGTGAACCGCTGCCTTTCCATCAAGGGCGCAGAGGACATCTTGAACAAGCCACATGCCTTCGAGGTGTCAACCACTGACGACAGCATGTTCTTCATCGCAGACACGGACAAGGTGAAGATATACCTCTGAATCTAATACACAATGTATCACAGGAGCCTCCGTCCAACGAATTTAGCCTGTCCGGCCAGCTTGATGTCCAGGGGAGAGCAAGCAATTCAGCGGCTTACGTAGTGATGGGTGGTGCTCTTAACAGGAAAAGGAGGATTGGATCAATGCAGTGGGCCGGGCGATCGTGAGGCATTCCAAGAGGTACGATGCTTTGGGCTGTATCTGCTGCTCTGCCCTTGTGCAGCAAAGCCCAAAGCCCCTGTTTGCTCCTTGGTAGCAACACATGCTTGCCCTGTGCAAGCACATCGATTAGCAGATCATGTGCTTTTTTCAGCAGTTGCCCCAGAAACCAAGTGGGAGACAGTCTATTTCACAGAGTCTGACATCTGCTTGTGTGTGTGCAAAAGCATGTTGGAGCATGACCATGGTGACTACACAACTGGCTGAGGAGCTTCACAAGGATTCCTGCCGAAGCTGAGGGCGGGACTGTTATTTGTCTGACGAGCAGGCATTTCTTAGACTTGGTATTCCTACCTACCAAGACACTGTGACACTCAGCTGAGCTGCAGTACACCTGTATCTGTAGAGTCACAATAGGTAGGGCCCTGCTGATTTCAGTGTGAAGAAGGTGCCGAGGTCTTCCATAGGTTTGCTGGTGATCAAGCTTCCTGGTAGGCAAGACATGCGGCCTGCTGAGATCACCTAATGGGGTCTGTTGGAGTGTGTGTGTTCGTCCTGAACTGTTGTGTCGCAAAGGTGTGTTATTGAAGTCGATTGTCTGATAATTACACCATGACGTCACATTTGAAGTGTTGAACTGTCTTGACTGACCCGTCACACGTTGCGTATGCTTACCAAATGAATTAGATAGCAACTAGGGGATCCTGTAAATTAGGGTGCTCATCTCAAAACACAAGCTCTGGCATGACCGGGACTCCCAATCAAGACCCAGCTGCAGCAATACGTAGAATGTACCGCCGTTCCCATGTGGTTTGCAGCAAGGGCTGTAACAGACAGCGCTGATATCATCTGACTGTGCCTCAGCAGAGAGTGAAGCTCATGCCCATCAACGATGTGACTAGCCATTAATTAATAGAGTTATAACGCATGTGCAAGAAAGTATGCCAGACTTCACTGACGCTGGTGTGCTCATGAGATGATTGCGCCCATGTACAGCTACTAGCTTTTATTATATGTGCATTGCGTACAATGTATAAAGCAAAACTTTTAACATGTTACGGCAAAAAAGCTTTTTACAGGAGACAGTCACACATGAGGCTGCAAAAGAGCGCCATCCAAGATGCAGTGCATCAGGAGACAAGACAAGCAATCAGTCACCACAGCCCCAAACCCATGTTGTGTTCATTTGACTCAAGATCCCTCACACAAAGTGTGCACATAATGTTGTGCCTCTGCCGAGCAATGGGCACTATGACATGCATGGCCCCGTATGTGTTCACAATAATTAGGGCTTACGTGACTTGTGATTTCCAGCACCCGGATGCAGCATACAAGCGGTCAATCCGAACGTTCACCCACACTTATCTGCAATGTGCTGATTCCCTGAGCGCTCCTATTTTCAGGCTCGGGTGATCAAACAAGAGCGAAAAAAAGTATACTTTTCGTCATGGTGTAAACTGCCATCTCCAGGCGGAAAACTGAACCCTCTTGGATGTTGCAGAACACAGGAAGAACATACAGAAAGGTACTCAAATACTGAACAGGATGACTTGTACAGAGAACCTTTGACAATCGACCATGCCCAAATGCCGCTGCCACGGCGAAACGGTCTGCTGCGGCCAGCAGCTGGCGCAGGAGTTCCCCTCATTCGTTGTCTTGGAGAACCAAAAGCTGCACGCCACGACAGAGCAGTGCACCTGCACAATTGCTCTAGACCCCTGATCGCAACTGCAGTGCGGACAGCAGCGGACCTGCAGACAGCAAACATGAATCCTCAACACCCCATTGGTCCTCACTCAGTGCATTACCTTCAAAAGAGTCAGAAAGCCAATCTGGGTACCCCAGCAAAGAACTAGTTTGGAGGAGGTGGTCTGCAAGCACCGTACTTCTCAAAGATGCGGCGTTGCTTCTCAACTTCCAGATTCCGAAAAGCGGGTACAATCAGGAGCTGCGCACCTTCGAGCTTGACGCTCAGCGGCCATAGCCCACGAGGGTGGCCTTGGTGGTGGCAGGGGCCGGGGCTGACGCCAACAAGTGGCGGCCGTAGTTAGCGGTGTAGAGCTTCTCAGTAGCCGGGCCCGGGGCTGGGGCCGTGGCTAGCAGGTGGCGGCCATAGCCCACGAGGGTGGCCTTGGTGGTGGCAGGGGCCGGGGCTGACGCCAACAAGTGGCGGCCGTAGTAAGCGGTGTAGAGCTTCTCAGTGGCCGGGCCCGGGGCTGGGGCCGTGGCTAGCAGGTGGCGGCCATAGCCCACGAGGGTGGCCTTGGTGGTGGCAGGGGCCGGGGCTGATGCCAACAAGTGGCGGCCGTAGTAAGCGGTGTAGAGCTTCTCAGTAGCCGGGCCCGGGGCCGGGGCCGTGGCTAGCAGGTGGCGGCCATAGCCAACTGTGGTCGCCTTGGTGGTGGCAGGGGCCGGGGCGGAGGCAAGCAGATGCCTGCCATAGCCCACGGTCTGGGCCTTCTCGGTTGACGGGGCGGGGGCGGATGCCAATAGGTGACGGCCGTAGCCGACAGTTTGAGCCTTCTCGGTTGACGGCGCGGGAGCAGATGCAAGCAGGTGCCTGCCGTAGCCAACAGTTTGAGCCTTCTCGGTTGACGGCGCGGGAGCAGATGCCAGCAGGTGGCGGCCATAGCCGACGAGGGTTGCCTTGGTGGTAGCAGGGGCCGGGGCTGAGGCAAGCAGGTGGCGGCCGTAGCCGACGGTGGTTGTCTTGGTGGCTGCAGCACCACACACAAGAGAGTCAGCCGTTGCACAGCCACAAATGAACGTGCTTCTTGATTCTGTCACAGTGAAGGTGGGGCACCGGTGCTCAGGTGCCCCAGCCAGAAAAACTGTAGTCTCCAGGGTGCGCTTTCCACATCAAATTGGGGGCCTATGCATGCTCCTTGGATTGCAGGACATTAATCGCGACCAGAAGAGGATGAACAGGAAGACAGAAAAGACACTTACTGGCTGGGGCAGGGGCAGATGCGAGCAGATGCCTGCCGTAGCCGACGGTGGTCGCCTTGGTGGTGGCAGGGGCCGGTGCGGATGCCAGCAAGTGGCGGCCGTAGCCCACAGTGGTCGCCTTGGTGGCTGCGCATTTCACAGCAACACGTCAGCAATGTTCCTCTGCACCGTGTCACATGTCAACAACACACGACCGTCTGGACATGCATGCATGTGATAGTGGAAAAGGGGAGGGAACGATGCAAAATATTAACAAGCATGGATCATATGTGATGAAGGCGCAGGCTTACTGGCTGGGGCGGGGGCGGACGCCAACAGGTGACGGCCGTAGCCGACGGTTTGAGCCTTCTCGGTTGACGGGGCGGGTGCAGAGGCTAGCAGATGGCGGCCGTAGCCGACAGTGGTCGCCTTGGTGGCTGTGCGGAAAGAAACACAATGTCAGCCTTGTGCTACACAATCAAGTAGAGCCTGCATGTGAGCATCCTTCTCCCACCATAGGTCTATGCCAGGTACCAATGCATGCCTCACAGGCGGCAGAGAATATGTGCGCTTGCCATGCAGGACACTTGCTAGAATGGCCTGGGGGTTGTTGCACTCAAAAGAGCTAGAGGCGCACTTGCTGGGGCCGGGGCGGACGCTAGCAGGTGGCGGCCATAGCCCACAGTGGTAGCCTTTGTTGTTGCTGGAGCAGGCGCGCTTGCCAGCAGGTGGCGGTCTGCAAATCAGTAAACACTGTTCAACTCTGGTGCATATGCAAATAGAAGAGTCCACCGACGGGCCTTCCAAAAGCGGTTGCCCTCCCTTCACAGCACGCCATCTGCACGTGCCCGCCCTTCTGGGATCCTGCCAGAAACAGGGCATATGCCCAGTTCGTAACGATCCACTTCGGCGAATCCGAACCCCTCTATCAATTACTTACTCTATGGAGAGAACATATCCGTAGTAGGGGCAGGGCCCAGCTTCTCAGACCCGTTCAAGCAGCCCCAGCACCGGATCACCGAACAAATGCCCTTTAGAGGCCCACGAAATGCCGGTGCTCAATGACCGCCCGCCTCTTCGCATGGAAGGGGACACTAAGTGGGGCAGATCTGTATCGTAAGTACGTGCTTGAAGCTCAATCACGGCAAACAAAGCTGCCCTAACCAAGCCCGCGCGCCAGCAACGACGCCAGCAATAAAGACACAGACAAGTTTTCGTCTGAGCAAAAGAACACTGCGAGCACTAGACTAGGAAACCCACCTAAGATGAACGATGAGCAGGGTCAACGTCTTAGCACTAAAGCTCCGGTCTTCCCACAAAAGCTGGCTCGTGCCCGTGTCCAAAACATCCGGAACACTTTAAGAGAGCTGCACTTACTAGATCTCACTATAAACCAGTATATCATCTGATCACAACACCCCTCTGCTGAAACGAGGACCTGCAACCAGGGCTGCCCTCACGAGAGGTGTGCCGAAGCTTCAATGTCCTTCCGAGTCGTGCTCGTAAGGAAGGCTGACAAACAGAGCGCAGACATCGCGACAACTCCTCTTGACAAGTCTAACAAGCTACAGCAATAGGACGTCGCATCTCCCGAAAGGGTGCTGCAAGGCCACGCCTCCCTTGAGCGGATCAGCGCTGACAGAAAGGCTCTTAGGTGGTCGCACCTGTCTGGGCGCTGGCAACAGCGAGGACAAGGGTGAGCGCGATGATCGTCCTCATTGTTGGCCCTCTGATCACACGCACAGCCTCAGTGGTTGTTCGCTTCCCAAACTTTTGACAGCAGAGTTCGCTTGCTTGAGATACACTTGCATCGCATTACGGCAGTAAGATTTACGGGCTCAATGACGAAGGCGCCATGACGTGAAGCGCTTTGCAATTAGCTACAAACTTCACGGGATGCATTGACTTCTTGCCTTGATCTCGGGACATAGCTGTAACAACAGTACGAGATGTATTTGGAACGGATGCAATGCGTTCTAGCAGCGTGCCAACCACAGCAGGTTGATCCCGGGCTGAACTTTTGATCTGGAATCTGGGGAGTGATAGGAGCCGATCGTCGTATGAAAGCAGTCAGCTGAATTTTTTAAACTCCTACAAGCAAGTATTAAGCTTTAGCGACGCCCCTCAAATAGCATCTGAGTGAGTTGTTCGTCTCTGCACCTTCAAGGCGTAAAGCTGCTAAACTAGCTCAGCAAGTCTGCATTTCCTTCTGGATACAAAGGAGGATACACTATACAAGTCAGACGGGGTGTACCCACATGGGAGTCCAAGGAAAAGACCATCTTGCACTTGCGAGTATCTACGGAACGGATCACCTGCCAGCTGGCTCCCGCCGAGAAGCTTCAACAGAATCTTTTCCTCGCGCCAGTATGGTATGTCACCTCCTTTCGACATCGAGGGCCACACAAACTAACACATGGGTCCTTTCCGACACTCGGACACATGTGGCCACGTTCTCACATGAGCCTAGATATTTCATGCTCCGGAGTCCAATGTATGCATCTCTGCATGCACGCATGCGGCATGCACGGTGACGGCATCGTTCTAACAGGCTTCTCAAGCACCAATGACCAATGCAATTGCCGGCCCATGACAGTACGAAGTGATTTACATTAATCAATATTGGTTGTGATGGGATAGTTTTGCCATATGCCTGACACTCAGACAAAATCCTGCTGACCACAACTGCTTTGAATTCGTGAACTTGATCAACCAGGTTCGAACCAGTATTCCTCAGAGACATTGCGTACATCTAGATTTGAAAGTTTCTAAAGTTGTACGTCCCTGCTCCAAGCTCGAGTCATGGCCATGCAAGACTGCCAGTGCCGGCATGCCGCCGTGACTTTTGACTCTATATTCTGCTGGGCCGCAAGACCACAATCCAGCAGGTCATCTAGAAGGCACACGACACAAACGAACACAACACCACACTATCATTCAAAACCTGCTGCTGGGCTGTTGGCTGGTGCACCCCTGCCATTTATTTGACCTCTCACCAGACAGCATCCACAGCATTTGATCAAGTGCTACATGCCGCCATTCAGCGAGGGCTATTGGTAGTAGGCTAGCCACGGCGGCCCTGCTATAAAAGTTCAAGGCATGCATGCTGTGACAAGGCGCTGCCTCACGAGCTCCAGTACTGGAAGAAGTACAGCTTGAGCGCCAGGCCCAGGCCCACATGCAGCGCGCCCAGCCCAAGCCACACAGGGAACGCCCTGCAAGAACAGCAGCAGTGCAAAGTCACGAAAGTTGTCAGGGCTGCTTTGGTGCTAGTCTTCTCTTCTTCAGAGTTGCAAGCAGCTACCACCAAACATACAAGCAGAGAGCATCGCTGCTGAGAGAGAGGCGTGAGTCTGCTGCAACGCACTGACAAATGCCAAACTCAAGATGCATTCCAGCATGGTACCATCAAGCTGACAGGATCGGGCTTGCAAACATCACCGGCACCCACACACAGCATCAATGCAAAGGGAGGACAGATCTACTGCAAATAACCGAGTGCAAAACCTGTACCCACCCTCGATTGATAATTCTCTTGATTGCATGAGCTGCAATTGCAAAGCCGGAGGCGGTGGATTAGAACAATAAGAATAGCCAGGCGGAAGAACGCACTTGGCACCAGCCACATCAAAGATAGGACCCTTGAAGTTGAGCAGCAGGAAGAGGCCCGACAGCACAGTGGCAACGGCAATCATGGCCCACCGCACTGCCTCGTAGGGCACCACGCATACAAAGGAGATGGGGATGTAGATGCTCAACGCATAGCCTGGCCACAACATACATGGGAGGTCAGCTCATCAAATCATTCTTGTGGGTTTTTGGCTGTTGCTTGTGTATCCAAGAGATAGGGGAGGCCTTCGCTTAGGATTTGGCAACCCCAGGAGCTTGACATACTCTAGAGACAAGGCATCCATTTTTCTTGAACAAAGAGCCAGTACACGTGCTCGGGAGCGTGCCTGAGATAACAGGCAGAGATGCCCGACACTGCATGGGCGGCAGATGCGCCGCTTTTCACAGGCTGAGATGCACAGGTGTGAGGAAACGCAAAATGGGCGCACCATATATGCACCAGACTTGCGCGAGAGCCACGTCGGACTTGAACCACCACTTGAGCATGGCCCACAGGGTCAGTCCGATGACACCCACATAGCCATAGAACACAATGGCGCTGTAGCCCACCTGCCAGGAAAAGAAGCATCTCATAAGCCTAGGCGAGAGATTTGAAACAAGATTATTCAGGCCAACCCATCAATTTTGCGATTCGTAGCTTCATGGAATCACACGCCCTACACATCCTTGCAGGCATGGTCTGCACAAGCTTCCTGAGCAGAAGGCAGTGCCATAGTGACTAACATTCACTGCTGGCCGTGTAGGCCTTCATTGTTTGAAGTTCAAAGAGGGTGGCAGCACCTTGTCGATGTCATAGTACCAGGCCTGTGTCTCGCTGCCAGTGGCTGCTGCATGCTTGTGGTGGTACGACACATAGGATGCATAGTTCCCAGTCACTGCCGTCACAAAAACCAGCGTGGTTGCAATCCAGAACGGCCCATACCTGCAACAAATAATTGACCCATCTCAACCTGCGTTTCAACATGTGCTGGGTTGCAGGGGCTCACATGAAGCCCAGATCAGGTCGTATTGGTCTGTGAAATTTTAGACCCCTGCTTTAAGAGTAAAAAATCGATTATGCGGGTTTCGAAATGTATACTTTGCCAACTGGAAGGCAGAGATTTGAAAAGAGGAAGCGGCTCACAGGTCTGCATTGTCTGTCGTCTTCTCGAAGAAGTCCGGCTTCAGGGCGCCCACCACAGAGTCCTTCATTCTGATCAGCACATCCTGCACCCCAGCAAATTATCTTTCAACCGCGAAGTAGCCATGATGTGGCCATTTATATCCCGTATATAATTAACAGTCTTGTGAGAAATTCCGCCTAATCGCTCCTGCTAGCTCCTGAAAGACCTCGCTTTCCCACATGATGGTTTTCTTTTATCTTTGCAAAAGATACCCCCATTTTCCTAAAGCATGAGAACGGGTGTTTCGCACATGCAAGTATGCAAGTACGCCACATGCCGTTAAGTGCGATATGAGCAGACCCAAAAAGAAATGAAGGATGCGGGGGAACCACTGGTGACTGACCTGAGTGTCCACATTAAAGTACTTGCGGTAGTTCTTCAGGTTGAACATGGAGTATTTGGAGTTGGCGTCCCCTGCATTGGCTGAAGGGACTGCTCCAGAGCCCAGCAGGGAACTGGTGGGCGCATAGGATTGCACTGCGCAACAAGACATTCCCCTTTCAGAAAGCCCAGCTCATGCATATAAGGGACGACAACAGCTCAGCATGCGCATCGCAGTCTGCTTATCAGCTTGTGAGGCGCGTGGCCGGACTCGAGATGTTGCAAGAGAAGTGAATCGGAGCGGAGTGACTCACCTCGAGGCACATCACTCGTGCCCACCTTCCCAGAAACCCCATACGAGGGGATGTTAGACTCTGCGCACGACATGAACATGATACTTAGCGCACTGTGCATGCATGCCATTCATTCCCGACAGAAGGGCATATATTGTGACCCTCTCCAGATGTTCACAGCGCACCTTGGAAGTGGAGGACTGTGTCTCCGCTTACTGGGCCTGCATGAGGAGCTGAGTTGCTGGGCATGACAGCAGGCACAACCTCGGCAGGTTGCTGGCCCGAGGCTGAAGGGACACTGCTGCCACCAAAATCCATGCTAGTCCCAGAAAACGGCGAGTCTTGTGGGAATGGGTCGCTGCTGCTGGGGTGTGGTGGCACGTAGCTGGTGCTCTGCGCAGGAAAGTAGGTGGACTGTACATCGTAAGCCCCACCCCCATCCCCCTGACTACTCTTGGTGGGAGAGCGGTTGGGGCTGCTGTTGTGCAGCGCCTGCACAGCACAAGGAACAATTTTACATCCGGTCAAGACTCGATCCTGGCGTCTGAGACAACGTTCTTTACAATGCGATACCTGCGATCAATCAGTGAAGGTGAAGACAACACTCAGAGACAGTCAACTTCTATGAGGCTCAATGAGGATATTCAATTGCTAATTACACTGATAAATACGTGGAGAAAGAGAAGAACTCAGGTGCGTGTGTTCCCCCGAACCGATGTTTTGACTCCAAGATATCAGATGTTGTAAAAGGGAAGCTCACCTTCCAACCTTGATTGTCCATACTCGGAAGAAAATGCTCTTACTCTGCCCTAGCTGGCTGTCGAGGATTAAGTTGTCCTCGATGAAGACTTGATGGGTCCTTCTTTTCTGATGACACAAAGCTTGGTGGAGCTTCAGCCCGCCAGTGCAATCGCACCCCTGCGAGCGAATTTTCTCAATGCAAGTGAATACGAATCGCGTGTCACGTTACTATGAAAGCTTGCATACATAAATGGTGTGCACTGGTCAGATGCCCATTCTCCTCCAAGCTCGCCTCTGGAGACCGCGTCCCTACGCTTGCCTCCCAAAATTTGCAGCGCAAGAGCTTGCACACAAACTGCCATGCAATACGTCTGTCCAATGCACAGAGTCTGAGAAGGGCAATAAGGCGATCCGATTGATCTGATAGTAGCGTTTCCTGTCTCCTGCAAGAAACCGGATTGGGAGTGAAGGAGACTGGGTGATGAGCTCCTTGCAGTCCCATAGACAATTCTTTTGTGACGATAAGTACAGTATCGAGGTACCTCGGAATTGAATGGCTGGCATTCCACAACGAAATCAGCAACCACCAGGAATGTCAGGCAACCCTGCAGGACCACCAGGTGGGATACATCGACATTTTCTATGCTTCTTGCGAGACATACCTTGTATTTTGTAAGCAAGGAAAAGAAAAACAGTTTTCAATTTTGATGATCCACTCAACATTATATGGTCTTCAATTCTCATTAAGCACAAGACGCCCTGGATTCGGCTTTGCCTTTATTTTTGGTTAAAGCCTCGTGTGGCAGGGCTTGTGTTTCTTGAAAGATCGAATGGAAACATGCATCTTATTGCATAGTAAGGCTGTAGCCAAATAGTAGGAGCGTGCATTGTTAGCAGCATTCAATATGTGCAGAGTTCTTCAAAAAGTACCCATCAGGCCAGCCCAGCAGACTCCACGAGGAGGAACAAGTCGCCCCTCAAGATCATGGAAATTACTAAGCGCTATTCCTTGCTGTGGGGCGCAGGGTACCGGCCACCAGGCTTTCAGGGTGCACCTGGGTACGGCCCTCCAGGTGGCCAGCCTGGGCCACCCTCAGGAGCGCCTGGTGGCTATGGGCAGCCCAGTTACCCACCCTCTAACGCAGGTATGTTTCCCAGATCTCCTCTGACCTAGGTCCGCTTTGAGAGTGCGCCTGAAAGCAGCTCGCAAGAAGGCATTCTCGGAGTCTCTTCACCTGCTGGGGCTGCCAGTACACTGGAACAAGTGAATGTGGCTGGGCTGTTGTCTTCATACTTGGCTGCACAAAAGAGAGTCCTTATAGACCTTTGATTGAGGCAGTACTTCTGTGCTGTGCAGGTTCGTATCCGTCAGGGCCAGGGCAGCAGCAGCCTGGCTTTGTGAGGCCGGGGGGCGCGATTCCAGGGGGAGTCAGGAGCACGGGTCCCCCAGGAGTCTCAGCTCCCATGCAGCAGCCCGGCGCTATGGGAATGCGTCCACCGGGCCCAATGCCAGGTGCCTTGCCATCCCTGTCAAGCTTCTGTCGCAGCAAGCACGCCTGGAAGGGCATTCATCACGGGCAATACAAAAGTGCAGAGTGTCAGGTTGACAGTGGTGTCAAGCTGTCTGCTCATGGCACAGCTTGAGAGCAGGGCTTGTGCTGCAGGCATGCGACCCCCTGGGCCGTCCACGGGCAACGGACCAGGCCCCACAAGCAACGGCGTCGCCAGGCCTCCCGGCATGCGGCCGCCGTTTCCTGGAGGCGCACCCCCCGGTCAGCCCCAGCTGCCGGGAGGACCACGACCATCAATGCCGCCGGGGGGCATGCGTGGACCCCCCGGTCCGAGGGGCCCTCCCGGCTTCAGCGGCCCGCCTTCCGGCGGACCCGGCCAAGGCCGCGGCGGCGCGCCGCCGTTCGGGCAGCCGCCGCCGATGCGGCAGGGCTCTGCCGGGCCCCCGCAGTTTGGTGGTCAAGGACCCCCCGGTATGGGGGCCCCAGGCATGCCAGGAGGCGGTCCCCCGCCCTTGCAGCGCGCACCGCCATCCTTCGGCGGTGGCTTGGGTGCGATAGCAATGCCTTCACCGATCTTCCTGCGTCAAATGCACCTGAAGGGCAGATCCTCAACGTTCCTGCTCACTGGATCGCACAAACTGAGGCGGTGATACAAGCTCCAAATGATGGTTTGAGGCTTATGCTTGCAGGGGATGGGCCTGGCACCCCGGGGCCGGCTGCGGCCTACAACACTATCGCGCCCCCTGGCTACAGCCCTGCCACCCAATCGGTGTGCATCCTCAACTCTTCAGAAGATCTACCTCACAGCGTATTCACATGCGCAGTGCCCAGTGATTGTTCAGGAGGCACAGCGCTCTCATCAGCTCTGGCATGTCTGCTTCGGTGGCATCTGTGCCTATGGCCGCCCAGCCGTGCGAGAATCAAGGCCAGCTTGGTGCCTCATGCTCGTAGAAGATTGCAAAATTACATAGTCACAACCGACTTCTCAAGGGCATTGCTGTGGCTGCAGAGCGTGCTGGACCAGTTTGATTCGCTGACGCTGGGGCCGGGGGCGCCGGGGCAGCAGCAGGATCCCATGCAGAGCCCGGCCTACTACCCGCGGCCGACCGGTGAGGAGGCCGCTGCCGCGCGCGCACCCCTGCCGCCGGCCCACCCTGGCAACTGCGACGCGCGCTTCATGCGGCCCACCGTCAACGCCGTACCCAACCAGCAGGTGACACAGAAATCTTTACTGTACTATGCCGCTTGAGGGCGCCACGTGAAGCAGACGACAAAACGTGAAGCACAAGTTCTGCACCCAGGAGTGGCAGTATCTCAGAGGCCTAAATTGGCAGGCGTTGATCCGGACTGCAGCCTCGATCACCCACGAAATATCTTTCTTCGTCGCCGATGTGCAGGAGAAATTCCTAATTAACCCTGTGGGTCGTGGTGAGGGAGGACACTGTCTGAAAGCATGATGCATGTGCGCGCAGGCGATGCGAGCGCGATTCCAGCTGCCCACTGGGCTGATCGTGCACCCGATGGCCGATCCGCAAGATCTGCCAGTCATCGGACTCGACGCGGGCGGCATTGTGCGCTGCCGGCGCTGCCGCACCTACATCAACCCCTTCGTTACCTGGACTGACAGCGGCAGGTGCGCGCACATGCCGCTGTGCTCCCCACCTTGCACTCCGTCTGACCATTGGCATTCAAGCGCATGCGCATGACAGCGAACCATGTTTGGTTTCATAGACTTTCTCATGCTTTGTCTTTCTGTCAGTTGACGGCATGCTGCAGAAAGCCAAACATGATGCATTTGCATCTGTCAAGCGGTTGTTGACAAGCGGTGGATGTCTGAAGCGGACAATTGAATTTGAAGAGGAAGTAAAACCTGCCAGAGGTTCTCGGCGGACTCTCTGCTATGCGGCAGCGAGCATGTGTCTCAACGATGCATGCATGTGGGCAGGCGCTTCCAGTGCAACGTGTGCGGCATGTTTACGGATGTTCCGATGGACTATTTCTGCGCGCTCGACCAGAATGGCCAGAGGCACGACATTGCCCAGCACCCCGAGCTAACGCAGGGCTCTGTTGAGTACCTGGCGCCACAGGAGTACATGGTGCGCCATTTGCTGTTTTCCGTTCAGGTTGCAGATGATAAGAACGGTACAATCTGGATTGACATTGAAAGCATTCTTCTGAAGGCATTGACTTTGTCCATCACCCCATCGTTTCTTTCTTCTGTCTAAAGCGCCTGATGGGACTGGTTGGGCCCATTCCTGCTGCATCAATTGTAGCTATCCCGACCAATGCAAGTATACTGTGACGGGCGTCCCTTCTCCATCCACGTGCTGCGCGGCCTCATAGAGTGATGTGGATCACCTGAGGATACCAATTCACCGTCATGGTGCAGCTCCCATGAGTAAAAGGCTCTGCATCCGTAAAGACCCAGCCCCGCTGAGACATCCGCTGCCAATTAGAAACCCCAGTTGTGATTCAAATCTGTGGCGGTGATGCGCAGGTGCGGCCGCCGATGCCGCCGCGATTCTTCTTCGTGATAGACGTGTCGACTCAGGCGGTACAGTCGGGATCGCTGCCGGTGGTGTGCCAGGCGATCAAGGACAGCCTGGACAGCCTGCCCGGCAGCAGCCGCACCCAGATCGGCTTCCTCACCTTTGACTCCTCCCTCCACTTCTACAACCTCAAGTCCAGCCTCTCCCAGCCCCAGATGCTGGTGCGCAGCCCTCGCATGCTGTCACAAATGGCCAACAGTACAAAATTTGAAGCCCTTGTGGATCCAAATTTTCAGATGGCGGCTGTCATAAGGGCGGCTGGATGCATGCATGGGCAGCACTTGAGAGTTGAGGACTTTATCTTGAAGTGTAAGGGTTGCGAAATTTGAGGTATGGATTGCTGTCTGCTTCGCTCGCTGTACTTTCAGTTTTGGCAAGCAGTTTGGTTGGCAAGGCTAAACATGCAGCTCTCCAATCAACTTGACAAGGACGAGGATGGTTGCGTACCTATTCAGTCGCAATTGCTGTAATTATACTCAGCACTGTAGCAAATTTCACTTGTTTGCAGGTTGTGGCGGAGATAGAGGAGCCCTTCCTGCCGCTGCCGGATGATCTGGTGGTGAATCTGCATGAGAGCCGTGCTGTAGTGGAAGCTCTTCTCGACTCCCTCCCCCAGATGTTTGCCAGCAACATGGTGGTACGATTTCCCGCCCCTTCCTGACTTGCCACCAGGGGGTGCTGAAGACTACGGGGGACAAATCACCATACGAAACCCGCTGGGTAGTGGCAACGGGGGGTAGTCCTTAATACCCCCTGGTGCCACAGCTGTTCGAGGCTGCCTAATCAATTGGACGCCAGTGAAACCCCAGTTTTGAGGCCAGTGTGAGGGAAAATCGGAGTTGGGATGCTGCTTGGGCCACTGATGACCGGAAGTGGCTCGCTGTGGATCCACGGTTCTCACTAAGACTGACTCATTTGCTGAGTGGAGTCTTGACCTGTTGCAGGTGGAGAGTGCTATGGGCCCTGCGCTTCAGGCGGCGTTCCTGGCCATGCAGGACTTTGGGGGCAAGATGCTGCTCTTCCAGAGCGCCGTGCCCTCCCTTGGTATGACCCTGCAGCCCCCTCCATGCCATGATGACTCATGGGCACAAACGTGTACCACACAAATGCATGCATGCGCCATTCTCAGCTCTTCTCACAACCTGTATATATCACGCAAAAGGCAGTGCCTACATCTCCCTGCAAACCAGCCAAGTATCATCAGCTGCCTCAACATTGCGACTGCGCATTATCGCCTCCACGATGCTCAGGGCCAAGGCTGGCAAGTGCAGGCCTGGGCAAGATAAAGAACCGGGACAATGCTGCGCTGTGGGGCACGGACTCGGAGCACAAGCTGCGCAACCCGGACGACCCCTTCTACAAGAAGTTTGCCGCCGAGTGCTCCCGCGTCCAGATCGCAGTCGACGTCTTCGTGCTTGGGTGCGCATGCATGCAAGACCACCTTGCTCCTCAAATGGGTCAAATGGTCCCTCAAAATGGGACCGTCTTAAATACCTGCTTCAGCGTTAATTTGCACAGTGCCAGTCTTAAAATCGGAGCCAGCAGAGTGGGGAACAAGCATGCAAGGCCCAATATATTGGTAGTTGCTGATATCTAGGGGGTGTTTCCACCCACGTTTCAAGGTTAAGCTGCATTTAGGGTTGGATCTGCGCCGCGGCTTGCCACACTGCTGGTCACCAAGTTTTCAAAAAGCCAACCAGTGTGACTGTGCGACTGCAGGGCGGCGAGCGGGCAGGGGATGCCGGCGGTGTACATGGACCTGGCATCGCTGGCGACGCTGCCCAAGTACACCTGCGGCCAGCTCTATTCTCTGCCGGCCTTCAGCGCCAAGCGCGACGGCCCCAAGCTGGCGCATGACGTGCGGCACAACCTGTCGCGGCCGACGGCTTGGGAGGCCGTCATGCGCATCCGCTGCTCCAAGGGCCTGCGCATCTCCTCCTTCCACGGCCACTTCTTCATCCGCTCCTCCGACCTGCTCGCCCTGCCGCAGGTGACCCTTTCTCACCCTTGTATCGTACCCCTGAGCTGTTCATTACCCCCTTATCAAACCCCCCCAAAAAGCCACCACGGCCTCATTTAGGTTGGTGAGGAGTGCCGCAACATAGTAGATGGTGTCTGAGAAGGCCATGGTCTGCATTCTGCCCTGCCCTGCCACAGGCGAGCATCTTCACATGTTCATATTTTGATGCATTTCCTCTCTCTTGCTTGGGCCCTGCATCAGGAAGTCAGGATTGTACTACTTTTCCCGGTCAAGTTTTCAACTCTTTATCCCATTTATCACTTGCTGCACTTCTTACTTCTTCGTTTCCCATTTCCTTTGTCTTCACTTTTCATTTTTCCATTTCTGGGTGCCTGCAGGGCGCTGAGTCGGGGTGTGGTCATGACAGCGGCGTGCTTCCTCTTGCGCAGGTGGACCCAGACAAGGCATTCGCGGTGCAGATCCAGCACGACGAGTCCGTGGTGACCGGCCCCGTCGCCTACGTCCAATGCGCGCTGCTCTACACCTCCTCCAACGGGGAACGCCGCATCAGGCGCGCCATCAGTCACCTGACTCAGTAATACAATCCAACACAGTATAGAAGCCCGTAATGTGTATGAATGTGTCGACAGTCTGAGTGGCGTGCCTTGCTCTCCTGCGTTCTGTTGTGCTCTGCGCAATGAGGCAGCACCCTGCAATGTGCATGAGCTTAAGCTAAGACTGCTAAGAAATCTGAGCGCCCACTCGAGAGGCTTGAATCATTTGGAGGTCTGTTTGCTGGCCTTATGGTGGTGCAGCTGCTGCACTGAGAGGGGTACTCGGGGAGCATTGCAAATGACAATCCTCGTGAAAATTGCTTCATCCATCACAGAATTGTGCATGCATGGTTAAATTCAGCTGATGAGCATGTGCGTGGGATTGGGCAGGGTGCACACGATGGCGATGCCGGTGGTGACAGAGGTGCAGGACCTCTTCCGGGCGGTGGACGGCGGCGCCACGCTGACACTGCTCGCCAAGCTGGCAATGGAGAAGGCCTGCACCTCCAAGCTGGACGACACGCGCAACGCCATACAGGTGCTGCCCTCTTTACTCCGGCCAATCTAGAGGAGCGCCAGAGGAAATCTCTTTTACACTTGTTATGGCCTGCCCAAATGCAGATCGAGGCGCAAGAACAGCCTCTTGTGAGCGTAAAACACCACCAAATTCTACAGATAGATGAAAGTTAGGGAAAGTGAATTCCTCAAGCAAGTGCCTATGTGCGGACCACTCTACTTCCTTTTAGAGAAAGGGGTATGTGGACATCAAGACAGAGCGAGTGCCAGAAGATAGGAGAAAAGGGCTGCCTCGCAAGTGCACGTCAAGTAACAGCATGTCCAATGATCCCCCAGCCCAGGAGCACTATGTGACCATATTCCGTACATGCATACAAGTGTGGCTAGATGAGAGTAAGGGCACTCCTACAGACAGGCAGGAGCGAGGTCAGCCTCTGGCTGAACGAATAGCGGCAGTGAAGATGCAGTCCTAATCTTTGGCACAGCAGGGATAGACACAGTGTGGCTCTGCGCGGGCACAGGGGCTCTGACAATGGGGCGTGCTGACAATCCTGTTGAGTCTCACGCATGTTCCTTGAGCATGCAGAGTCCCTGTGGCATGCTCAGGGAACAAATCTGGGGCTTGCCAGGATTGCATGCGTTTCCCAAAGTGTCAAAACGGATTGCTGTATGACTTGAGGCCTTTTGCATCGCGTCGCAAGCAGCTCTCCTGTTCGAGCATTTGTCGTTCAGGCACTTCAAAGACATCTGCTGGCTGGTAAAGTGGCTACCCAAGCATGCAACATGACTCTCTGCCACACTAGGGGCTTTCAGACTTGTCGGTATTGGCCATGGAGCTCGACGAAATCCTCCTTTCTATAAAGGACAGAGGTATCCCTAATATACTAGGTAGAAATCTGCACTCTAGGGGGAAGGCGCTGATGTCATCATGCTGATGTCATGTTGCAGACAAAGCTGGTGCTGGCGCTGCGCGAGTACCGGCTGCTGCACGCGGCCGCCTCGCGCGGGACGACTCTGCCGCACAACAAGCTCATCTTCCCGCCCACCCTGCGCTACCTGCCCGTCTGGATTCTGGGTGCGTGCACGCTTCTCTTCACTTGTGCTCCCAATGCATTGACAATGCCCAAAAACTGAACACAGCTGCGGAGTTTCCCCGCCTGTATTACTTGTGGGTACATGATTATGCTGGTGCCAAGAGTACTGCCATCAGCATCCAGTACTGGGAATGCAGACTGGTAATGTAGCTTGCGCTGTCCTGGAAAAGTTCACGGCATTGAGCAGCAATTTCTGCTGAGAGGAAGAAAATGTGGCAGATAATGCTGGCTGTGGCTGGCACGTTACATGGAACGAGATCTTTGGCCTTGGACTAAGACTGTGTCCCCAGCCAGTGCTCAAAGCTCTCCTGACAACATCCGCAACATGGTGCAGGGCTGCTGAAGACGCCGGCGCTGCGCGGGAGCATGCGCGACGTGGCGACGGACGAGCGGGCGGCCTTCTGCTTCGACATCAGCTCTGCCGGGGTGGACCAGCTGCTCACGTGGGTCTACCCCTCGCTCTACCCAGTCCATGACCCCTCCGGCGACTGGGGCAAGCCCGACGCCCAGGGCAGGTGCCTTATTCCCCTCCAAAAACTTTGCAATATCTCCCTGAATGTGAGGGTCTTTGGGGAAGCCGTTGGGACATTTCCTGCGGGTTCTTCGGACTTAATAATGCCAGAACTTGGTCAATTCCAGTCCATTGGCCTGCGGCATGCAGAGGCAGGCCCATGGACTGGAAGTCAGAGGCAGGCTTTGCTGCTCTGGCCCACCAGTGGCGCTCAAGTATCATGCGCGAGGCAGTCCTTTCTCCCTACGGTAGGCCTTGCATGTACTGCAAGTCCTCTTGGCCTGACTTAGTAAGGGCTGAGAAGAGGGCGCTGCACAGGATAACCCGGCCGCTGCCGTCGCCGATGACGATGGAGGCGGTGGACAGTTCGGGGGCGTACCTGCTCGACTCCGGCCGCATCTTCGTCCTCTGGCTTGGCGCCAACGTCTCGCCCACCTTCATGTCACAGGCGATCATCTTTGCTCTATTCTCTCGCGACATCTAATGGCTGCGCGCATCTGCTTCCGCGCTCCCCTTATGCTTGCTCGAACAAGGACCCGACCTCCCTGAAACGAGCCTCTGTTGGGGTTGCTGTTATCTAGTTTGATCATTGTGGCAAACAGCCTTCTCTCCTGGGCTCGCCCTCTTGGGTGTTGAGCTTCTCAGCTATGGTGTATCGAATGCTGCTGCTGCAGTAGCAACGGCAGATGACCAATTCACTGGAATCTCCCAAGTTGTACCTGGCAAGGTTTGGGAAGAGAGTTCCCGCTTGTGCATGGTGCCAGTCTCATCCATAAACTGCAGGTAACCTTTGGCGTAGGGTTTGACCCTTAAATTATTGACCCTGCAGGTGTTTGAGGTGGATGCCTCACGCGGCCAGCCGGACGGCTTCTCGCTGCAGGTGGAGCCGCCGCGGCAGTCGGACCTCAGCCGCCGCATCTGCGCGCTCCTCAACGACCTGCGCGCGCACCGCAGCAACTACGCCGGCTGCTTCGTCGTCCGCCAGGGTGAGCCGCCCATCTGATGTACCCTTTTTGAACACCAAATCCTCGTTGGATGTGTTGGTGGACACTGAACCTTGCAAAGAGATTGTTCAAAAGGAATTCGGTTTGCGGCAGCTGCAGCCTTGAGTGCCTGCCATGTATATTTTGTTGGTCAGTAATTTCTGACACTGAAACCGCCAAATTGAGAGCAAAAACAGGGTCTGATGCCTGTGGAATAAAAATGTCTCAACCAACAAGCTAGGTTCAGTGCCGCGCCAGACCCACTTCAGTTCCCCTTCGTTTTCTTTCTATGATGGCCTGTTGTTCTATCCTCTATCTGTCCTTCGTTAAAGAAATTTAGGGGGATGCTCAAGTGGGACTGGCACACAATTTCAGAATCATCACAGGAGGGTGGCCAGAAGGAGGGAGCAGAAAGAAGAGATGCTTGGATTGTTGTGTCAGGGGTGCTGACGTGATAAATCGGCGCTAAGAGGACATGTTTGTGTTGTGCAGGCACACAGCCGGAGGCGCACGTGCTGCCCTGGTTTGTGGAGGACAGGACGCAGATCTCACAGTCCTACCAGGAGTTTGCCGCCATGCTGCAGAAGTCTGTCATGGCCAAGTCGTGACCTGCCCTTTTGCTCTAACAGCGTCGTTGCTGTGACAGTAGTTTGGGGCTGTCAAGGCATCTGCATTGACAGCAGCGTGAGGCCTGGGAAGCTGGCTCCTTGGGGTCTTTCCTCCTCAAATTGAGAAGGCCGGCTAGGATCACTCCTTGGTCCTCCGCGCCTAGGAGTGCTTTGCGGATTGGACAAACCGGTGTGGCAGAGCAAATGTTTGGACTTTTGTGGGGGACACGGAATAATGTCAAGGACCAAAAGGATAGGTCATGTGTTGCGATGAGCAGTGGTGAGTTCTGCATCCATTTACTTGAGTGTCAGTTTACAAAGTGGCATTTCTAGCACACCAGAGTGTTTGCAGTATTCTGAAGTCCGCAGTGTGGTATAACTGGTAGGCTAGGAGAAATACCAGCGATCGAACACAGTGGTTGTGATACTCATCTCCGAGAGTCATGAGTCATCGAAAGAATTGGAACCCTGCAGGCTGACAAGAAAGCAATTCATGGTTCTGCATGCACACGCGTGTGCTGGCGAATGCATATGCCTTGCACCACGGATGATGGAGACAGTCATCTTCATGAATAGCAATACTTGCACAAACTGGTTTGTGCCATCCAGGGCACAGCAATGGAATTCATTCCCAGCGTCATGCTATTGACTGCAAGTACTTTCACTTCAATTGGCCACAATAGCTGCTGACTCGGGTCTCTTAAGAGAGGCTCCTGCATAGAAGTATTGCCTACAAGTCTGGAATGCCAGAATCATTTGCTCATTTGTATTGTCCCACCCCAAGGTACATACTTCGTACTTCAACGAGTCCAGCTTGCTTCTCTTAGGTAATCTCGAATAATAAAAGCAAGGCCTTGAGCTTCAACAACAACATTGCCACCCTTGCATTGGAAAAGGTCTGGTTGCAGACTGCTGCCTCGTCTCCATCATCATTTCAGAAAGATGACAGGAACATGCAGTTAGACGTTCCAGAATACTGTGTCTGCAATAAAATGCCTCATGTTTCAGACATGAAGGAAGGTGCTCTCGCAGCGCAATCACTGTACACAAGAATGCTCTTGTACTGCAATGCCAGAGCTCTCTCCTTATCTGGATCCTGAAGTACAGAAAGCGCAAAAACATAGTGTACTGGCGAGATGCTGTTTAACGGCATCATGGGGAGTAAACTAGGAAAAGAAGGTTCTCCTAGGTTACTCCCCCTGACGGCATCTGCCTTGAGCAATTCAGTCCCCCTCCCATCCCATGATCAGTAATGATTCACCTGCACAATGCTCTCTGCGGATTTTGCCGGCACCACAGTCATGGCTGCCGCCTGTTTCAATATGTACTCTATTGTGTAATTGTAGGTGAACATATGCTGCACCTTCTTCAGAGCTTCCTGCATCTTCCCCACATCTGCCTGCCTTATCTTCTCAGGCAGCTCTGCGAGTTTGTGGCTGCTGACAACTATTGCAAAGTCATTCCAGTCAAGCAGATTGCTGTAGGGCAGCCATGCTTCCTGCTCCCACACATAGATGGGCAGAGTTCCCAGCTGAATGGTCTCAGCCACTCGAAACGAGGTGGACCCAAAGCCCCTTGGGCAGATGGAGAAATTGCTGCTCTCCAAAATCACCGCCCAATCAGAGCTCTGGTTTAGGAAAAGGAATGACTTGCGCAGCTTCACAGCCAGCTGGTTTCGCAGGTCGTGGGTGACAGAGCCCTGGAAAGTTACGCTGATGGTTTTGCTCAGCCCCTCGGGCGTCAGTTCCTGCTTCAGGAGGGGCACAGGGACTGCTTGCAGAGGCTTGCTGCTGCCGCCTGATGAGAAGAGGACAAAGTCCAGCTCTTTGGGCACCTTCAGCGTCAGGCTAGGGTGGTTGAACGCCCTCGCCAGCTGAGAGACTGAGAAGTACTTGAAGTTCGGGTCCAGGGTATCGAGTACCTGCGACCAGCATTAATGTGAATATAATGCATGACAAGGTTGCGCTGGTTCACAGTCATAATACTGCTCACATGCTGCCACCCAGGCATGTCTTTTCAGGCGGCAAAATTGTAGATACATATAGTATATAATTGATGGAGCAATTACCTTCTGTACAACTGGTATCAAGTGAGGTGCCTTGTGTAAAACATCTGTCCAATGGATGGGCACATATATTCGCTGGCTCTGCGGACTATGCGCCACCCAATGGTCGTAGAACTGGTTCTCCAACCATGGTCCAGCGTAACCCGCATACCAGTGGCCACCCGGACGAAATTTGGCTGTCCTGGCTAGGAGATCTGCCTGATATGCGCTGGCCAAGTTCAGTGGTTCTGTTGCTACTGACGTCAGATACGCTGAGGCTGGCAAGAAAAAGACCAAATAGAAAGAAAGGATCTGGCTAGCTCCAAATATATCTGCGGAGACAAGAGAGACGGTCAGCAGATGTAGGACCAATGGGGTCATTCCTTCGGCAGTTCGGGGTATAAGTCAGGATATGACATGTCAGAAAGATCCGACAGAAAATTCGATGCAGCACTAGCACTTTACTTTCTCAAAATAGCGCAGCACCAACGCATGATGAAACAGCGTACTATACCTGAGGACAGCCTGTTGTTCATCCGACCATAGCCTTCTGGCTGATCGTAAGTCCACTTATGCCCGTGTGCCTTGCAATAATCATATCCTTCACAACGTACAGCAGTCTTGAGAATATGGGGCTTTAAATTTGCTGTTGAAACGCAAATTTCTGGCTGCGGGTTTCAGAGCACTTCCGGGTGTTTCTCGCCTGCCTTCCCATTACAGCGGGGGGTCCCTAGCTTCCGCTCGGTGCATCGAACTTCTCCAATCATTGGAGCTCCACCTTTGAGCAAGTACGAGCAAATTCTTCAGTATTCGCATCTCCAAACTACCGGTGCCGAGAAATTACGAGCTCGTCTATATATAGAGTAGCAGAAGTACTAGCTGAATTTTGCGGTTCTCTCGTTTGGGATTTGTAAAGTGTCTTATTTCTTCGATGCAGGAAGATCAAGGTCAGAGATGTTGATTGCTAGTCGTGAGGCATAAGACTTTCCATAGCTGGCGCTGATTGGTCTTCTAGGAGTACGAATATCGGAACTCTGATCGCAAGACTAGAGCCTAGGCACACCTACTCATATTTCAACGGCCTCTCATGAGGACTGTGAGGGAGCTCGTTGACTTCTTAGGCCACCTTTCTGCATGAGAGGTATCTCTCCTATGGGTCAGGTTTTGCAACTCCTGATCACAAAGAGGCATCACCACCACGTCCTTCTCCTGCGCTCATGTTGTCATTGAAAGCGCACTTTGCAGTCGAAGGTGGGAGAAGTTCCCATCACGAGCACAGATGCCTGTCTTTTAATGCGCAGGCACGCAGGGAGCAGGTGGCTCGCCCTTGTCGGCGCGCTCGCCTTCACGTGCGCGCAAGCATGCGGCCACCGCGGCCCGGCTGCTGGCAGGCGCGCTCTTCTGGTGCGCGCTGGGCGCGCTGTGCTTTGCCGGCTTTGGCATCGGCCGCCTGCAGTGCGGCGGCGACGTGCGCGGCTGCTTCCGGCACCCGCTGCATGCATTTGGCCCTGGGCCTACAGAGGACAACGCTGCACCACTGAGAGTGTCCCAGGCACTGGCTGTCTCGGGCGAGGCCTCCTTCTCGACAGTCCAGGTGCCGCTGCTTCCACTACCAATCCCATCTGTTCCTTGATGCATGCACAATGCCGAAATCATTAATGCGGGGTCTATCACCATGCCACCTGGTGACTACAGATGTCTGCACAGTGGCTGGCATCAATCCTGGTGCCGTGAGAACAGCGCTGTAGGTGCTTTATTGTGATTAACAAACAGCGCCCTGGGAGAATGGCAATGATCGCCATTGTCTCACGCACGGGCGCTGAGCAGGCATGCATGTCTGTGTGCACAGCAAAAGTGCGCGAGCGCGGTGGACGCGATTCCGCGCGTGGCGTTGCTTTTCCTCACGCGCGGCGCGCTGTGGCACGAGGCGCTGTGGCGGGAGTGGTTCGCGCACGCCGCGGGACTGGTGCCGGCCGACGTCATCCGCGCCGGCAACTGCTCCTCGCAGATTTTCTCGACCATGGCCGCCTGGTGCTCTGTCAAGGAGCCGATAGGAAACGCCATTGGCGCGCAGCACCTCTTCAGTGTCTACGTGCACACGCAGCCCGGCTTTATAGGTGTGACTCCTGCATTGTCTCTTTGCCGTGCATGGGCCAGCCAACCAGCATTGTGTGCACTGCATCAGCCATGCTCCTGTGACTTGCACATGCATGGGCTAACACGATGCTCCTTGCTAGTGAGTAATTGTGTTTTAGCTGCGCTCCTGTGCACCATCTGAATTTGTTGCACCAGGGTCACCTGTCAAGCATGCATGCACTTTTATCTACAGGGTGGCCTCTAGATGTATCACATATGTATTGAAGAGGAGGTGCAAACAGAGAACTGGCACACAGTACACAGTTTTCGGGCAGGTTTTTTCGTTTACAGGGCTTGCGGTCACCCTTATGGCGGCTACAAAGCTCAGCATCGCAACAGTGAAGCCTGAAGCTCAATCAAACTGTGGTATTGGGCGCAGGCTTCCCGGTGGGCAGCCTGTTCTTCGGCACGGAGCTGCCGGTGCACGTGAAGGCGACCTGGGGAGGCTTTGATCTGGTGGACGCCACAAAAGAGCTGCTGCGCGCAGCGCTGACGGACGAGCGCAACAAGAAGCTGATGCTGGTCAGCGAGTCATGCATCCCCCTGTACCCGCCCACGCTCATCTACCAGCAGCTCATGAGCGAGCCCAAGAGCCGCATCAACGCCTGCCCCCACCGGGTGCGCAGCCCCCACCCTGACCAATGGTGTATTTTGCTAAAACGCTGAAAGCAAAGTTACATCAATGCAGCGCTTGCCCTCTTCGCTCAAGTCGTGATGCTGAGCTCTGCTCTTGCATTCCGAGTCAGTGCAGTATTCGTGCTCAGCGTAGTGACTTGAGCCTACACGCTGCTCACTAGGGGGCTCTTTGCATGCCCCTGCTCCAACATGCCAGCACATAGCCAGCCGAGAACGTGACAGAGAGTCGGACACGCATTTGCCAACCAACTATCATGGCTGTTATAATCTGGCGTCCGACGTTGCCTTGATTCATGCTGTGGACAGCACATGACGATTGGGGTGGCTGTCGCACTACTTCACGAGCCTCTGACATTTCCTTGATGTTTCACGCATGCAGCACATGATGCCGTGGCGGTGGCACCCCCGGATGGCGCGCGGGGAGCAGGTGCGCATAACGCCGCGGCTGTGGCGCAAGACGAGCCAGTGGTTTGCCATCGAGCGCGGCCTCGCGCGGATCATCGCCGACGACACCGCCGTGGCCGACCTCTTCCGCGAGACATGCGTGGAGGTGGAAATGGACGAGGAGCTGGACAGGTGACTTGCCGCTCACCTGATCCCAACCACAGATTGAGTCTCTGGATGTGCGAGTTTGCAGTTTCTATGGCATGTTGAGCATGCATGAGAGCTGATAGGCGAAAATCGTGACCAGGGTGTGCATGCTATCATGAAGGCTTTGCCTGACAGCAGCATCCACAGTGTAGGATGTTTTATCTACTGGAGACCAGGCACCGAAGAGGAGAGTCTGTGCACTTGCACAAGAAAGCATTGTGAGTCAGAGTGTGGGGCAGAGACCGCCTGTCGTATCGAACGGGAGTGATTACCGTTCAAATTGTGCACCATGACAACCCCACTGCCAAAGGGACTCCTGAAGGCCAAAGGAAAATACTTCAAGGAAGCTGGTCTTGATTTGAAGTGGCAGCACCAGCTGTGTCTGTGAAGACCTTGAGCCCGGTTGAAGGTGCCACGGCAGGTTTGGATCCCCGCTGGGACCCATTAAGACACTGCAGTGACAAAGCTGGATGTTGTCATTGCGCAGGAAGTTTGAGTGCTACAGTGACGAGCACTACATGCCGGTGCTGCTCGCGTACGCGGGCAAGCAGGAGGAGACCGACTGCACGGGGTTGATAATGAACGTGGACTGGGAGGAGGGGGGGCCCCACCCCATCTCCTACCACCCGGACAACGTCACTGAGGCCACCATGCGCCAGCTGCGCAAGCCGGAGCAGTGCGACTCTGCCGCCGCACTCAGGTGCGCGCACAATTTTGAATTTGAAATATTTTGAATTTGAAATATGTGAGCAGTGGCCTAGAAGGCAGTGCATGCGGTGCGCGCACCAGCTTTGGGAGTTCTCGTGGTCAAAGGCATTTTTGCAGGGCTTGCAGGACTTGCCATGCCGGGGTGTGACACTTCTGGCAAATGGCAGGCGTTAAAAAACGCTTTGGGCATAGGCTGGAAAATGGACCACCAGATATTGCTGCACTATACCGTACTGCTGTGCTCTCCTGCTCTGATAGGGAGGAGGCGCTCTCAACATCATCCAAGAGCAACTGGAGTTGTGTGCTGAGAAGTAGCATGCAATGTTGACGAGGTGCATGCGTCCGCAGGCTGACCAAGGAGATGTTTGTGCGCGCGGGGGCGCCGGCGTCTGCGGGGCTGTGCACAGAGGAGAGCCCCTGGTCGAATCGGCTGCTGGCGCCGTCCTGCCCCCTCTTTGCGCGCAAATTCAGCGATGCCACCGCAGATGCGGTGCGGTCCAATCTTCCAGCAAATTACCATCTAACATTGTGAAGCAGCTTGTGTCTCATGAGCGCTTCGTACATCCTCTTTCCTGCATATCCCCAGCATGCAAAGTAGCACAAGGTAAGGCATAGTAGTTGAGCTGGTCGATATTGGGCCGTTATAAGTCAAGCTCGAGCTGATTTAAATTCTTACCAAAAAATATTGGCGCCGGACCGGTGCTTAAGGTTCTCTAGGCATCCCTGGCCATTGAGCAGGGTGGTCCATATCTAATGGTAGAGATAAAGATCCCCCTGTAAGTGTGAGACGATAATGGATTTGTAAGGTGAAGGGTGTGTGCTTGAGCAGGTGTTCCAGCTACTGACCGACTGCCGCGCTCGTCTGGACATTGCGGCCTGCCGCCAATCTCCCGATGAGCGCGTTCTGCCACTCTGACTTTGAGCCATTCCACTTTGGAGGTGGTTTTGGAGGCACAGAGAAATCGCAGCATTCTTTTCATTCTTGATTTCAAGAAACACATGTAGCTGTTGAACAATTGACTTGTAGCTAGAACGAATGTCGTGAGATTCACCTGAACTTGATGTACTGGCAGAGGCCGGTGCAGTCCAAATCCCCATTTTATTAGCACTGCTACAGACTGGTCCTGGTTGTGCATGATTTTTTATGGGTTCAGACTGTGAAGACTGCATTACTTCATCAAGGTGAGCTTAAGTATTACTTCTGAGACCTTGAGATTGGTATCTCTGAAATTTTTTGGTCTTGTGCAACAAAGATTCCCACTAGGAACTGGTGCCATTTATCTCAAATTAGCTGTAGGGAACTGGTAGATGTGCAGTACAGCAGGTTGCTATTATAATATTGCAATTACAGTGCTCTATGCTAGCATGCGCTGGTTGTCCCATGCACTGTTGCTGGGACTGATGTCAACAGCTGTTCCGACCACTGACCACGGTGCATGCATGATTAGATGTCAAATGATTGAGGAGAAATGCCTGGCGCCGGTGCGGTCACATGCATGCTCACTGGACTCCCTGTGCCAGGTACTGGAGAATAAATTACTCAGTAGCCTAAGACCTGAGCAGTGCCCCAGTTGACCTAGCCATCTTGATGAAATTACGACAATGGCGGCTGCGTTATTGGTAACTCCATAAAGTGAGTCATCAAGGTTGCACACTGCCATCATTTGTGCGCACAGGTACCTGGCGCCAGAGAGTCACGGTGATATCATGATCTCATCACCATGCATGCACCACAAACATGCATGGGACAGCCCTTTGTTCAATCCTTTGCAGCTGTGGAGCAGCAGTAGTTGTGACTTCTCCTCACAGAAGTACATTGCCATAGAGCAAAATCTCTCCATACCACCACGGGGTCAATCTACTCTGTGCACACGTGGGGTGAGATACACCCCTGACTGACCCCATTCCAAGCCAGGCTGGCAAGTGTTTCAATTGGGCTGTGTTGCATTCTGCATACTAAGAAGAAACTTGAAGTCATCTTTAGTGATCGGACATGCATGGCTATGTTACCAGTCCATCATATATCCAAGTTCTAGGTAGCCGTTCGATGCATCGCCTTGACTGACTGGTTCATGAGCAGCAGTTGCGCAAAGAGAATGTCAAATAGTGTCGTCTACGCAAGTCTAGAAACAGAGAAGGATGACCTCGGCCCTGATGGGGAGGACGAACTCATCACCGTAAGTGGAGCTATTCTCAAAAGTCTCCTATCAGCTTTTTTCCTTTCACACTTTTGATATAAGCTGAACCTTCCAAGTAATTCTGGATTCTTCTCACATAAAGCAGTTTTTCGCCAGACCCGCTGCAATCGGCCATTTCCCGAGACTGTGTTTGCCTGGCAAGCAGGAAGCAGATCTAGAAGGAGGGTACGAGCAGGCACAATCAAGGACAGGGCTAAAAAGATCGATAGCTTGCGCCGTATCTGTGGTTCTGCTGTCCATCGCCTGCATCGGGGCGGTGGTCTTCCTGCTCCACAACAAGTCGATGGACATGGACAAGGGTGTGGAGAAGAGAGGGGCAGGGCTTTTCCTTGTGTACGTCTCCCCACCCCTTTGCTTTCATATGCTGCCTTAACGTAAATGCTACGTCAAAAATGATTGAGCGACAGCGAGCGCAGGTCACGGAGGCACTTACTTTTCTCCTTGCAGGTCTGGGAGTGAGGTGCTGTTGCTGAGGAGGAACAGCAAGCACAATGACAACACATGGGGGTTGCCTGGAGGAAATGTGGAGGCTGGAGATCCCCACCTGCAAGCCACTGCCATGCGCGAAGCGACAGAGGAGATGGGTACTGTGCCAGCATGCAACGTCACTGGGCAGATCTTGACGTTGTGAGCCTCCCCTCTGCCTGACTACAGACATCTGATAGTACACCAGCACCATTGCCACAATACACACCTTGATCTCCTGCTTGAAGCTGAAATAGAGGGCTGCTTACGCATAGGTCACTCACTGTCTGACTAACTGAAATGGGAAGTAGTTCTAACCGGGATGTGCACTGCAGCCGGGGCAAGAAGAAGCAGAAAGCCTACACAGTGTTCATCTGCGAAATGGCACCGGCCGCCAGGGCCGTCTTCAAGCCCAAGCTGAATGATGAGCACCGGGAGGCTCGCTGGTGGCCCCTGGCAGCTCTGCCGCCCAAGGGCCAGCTGCACCCTGTTGTGGTGCGGTCCCTTAAGGCATTTTATTGCCTCCGCATGCGGAATGCTCCTCGTTGCTCTTGTTACATCCTCAATGAGCGCACATACCACTACTGCAGTGTAAGGGCGACTTGCGTAGCAGCCTCAGAGGCCCTGTATTGGGAGGGCATGCAAATAGGCATGCCTTTGTCGCAAGAAAACTACTCTTCCACGGCATTCAGCATTGCACTGCACTATCTGGTGGTTGCTATTCTGGCGCATTTCCTTGTTCGTCGCTTGCTCGGCACTTTACAGACTCTGTAGTACAGAGTGGTACAAGTTGTAGCTCGTCGACAGCTAGAGGGATCTGCGGTGCAGGCAACGCTGTTGGAAGACCCGGGAGCGCAGAGGCAGCTGGTGGCGGCGCTGCCGGGCGGCATGGTGCCTGCAAGCAACAGCACAGCAGGGCCTGGGACCCTCAAATCCCTCGACGCAGGGGTGAGCGGGGCGGACGTGGCGGGTGACGAAAGAGTGGACAAGCGAGGGGCCGGCCTCATGCTTGCGTGCGTCCCTTTCTTCTCTTTTTCTTCCTTTGGGCGAATTCACGAGCAGAGCTCCTGCATCATCTGGTCCAAATCGCTGCGTGTCATATGACGGCATGACTGCTTGTAGAGGACCAGCCAAAAGAGACCTGCAGAGTCTTGTCAGTGGCAACCAAACACTGCTGTTTCTGTAGGATTATATCAGCAGAAATGTCTCTTGTACCCCAAGAGGAGCCTGCAGCTGTGCTGTTCAACACAATGACCCCAATTGCAGAAGCACATGCAGCCTGCTGCGAGACATTCACATCATCAAGCTAAGCTTCACGGAGATGTGGCGCAACAGGGATGGGGACAAGGTGATGCTGATGCGGAAGGTGGGCAAGCATGGGCCGGGCAAGTGGGGCTTGCCGGGTGGCAGCGCGGACAGCAAGGACGCTGATGACTTGGCGACAGCCGAGCGCGAGGCCAAGGAGGAGGTTGGGGGCGTTCCTGCTCACGAGGTCAAGGGGCACATTGTGATCAAGCGGTGCGTGCCTTGGCTGTTGCTCTCCATGGCAGCATGAGCGCCTCTGAGTTGGCAGTGGCGAGGCGGGGTGTTTTAAAACTGGATTGCCATCCATTGCCCTTTTGAAGTGTTGTCTCTGTGAGGACGTGTTCACACACAGCATGGGGGCTCTTCCCCACTTCAGACCAGGATCTCCCCCAATGGTCATACTGCATGTGCAAATTTGCACTGAGAGACTGGTGGGTGGGAGAGTGGCGTTTTGAGCTGTGGAAGATTCTTCAGACCGCAGGTGAACACACCCAGAGTCACGAATGTGGTAACATTGCAGCCGCACTGGTGTGGGGAAAGCTAGAAACATAAAAACCTGTCAAGAAGACATTCTACCATCAGCGTTGACTAAGATCATCTCCTGACACCATGCTGTTGGGGCTTGCAGGAAGGGGAAGCATGGGGTCAAGCTGCACACGGTGTTCATTGCAACGGTTGCAAGCGGAGCATCGGCTGCGTTTCAGCCGTCAACCAACAAGGACCATCTGGAGGTTAACTGGGTGCCCCTCTCTGAGGCTGTTGCGCTGCAGCCCGCGCAGCTGCACCCTGTGTTGGCAGAAGTGCTGTCTGCCGACCACAAGGCAGAGCTGCAGGCCGCCCTGGGAGTCCCTGTGTGAGGACGCAGGCTTTACAGTTACATTCCCTAACATTTTGTAGTGATCAATGTCAGGCTTGCTGAATTGGTTTTAAATGCTTCTGCATTGGGAAGCAGGTATTGACAGATCAGTGTGCCAGTATCATACATCATGATGATACCAGAGTGACACTGTCAACAGTGTTGACTCAACACTGGTGTGTGAACATTGAATGCTTTCGCCTCCACAAATTGCTTTTCCCTGTGTGCTGATGTGTTGCAACTGCAGACGCCCTGTTGGCTGCCATGGTTGTTTGGTGCACTTGCCAATCATGCATGCATCTTGTGCAATCTTTGTAATAAGACTACTGTGACAGGCATTTTGGTGAGACGGTGGAGTCTTAAACCATGGACCACTGGCATATATGGCATACAGTGTAGCACCGCCGGCATGCCCAGTGGGGGAAGATGCAGCCGCAGCCAATGTGCCCTCAATCTATTGATTTCACACTTTCTTGTAATTCTTTGAAAGAATTTCTTTCGACAGTCAAAGATTATCACTTCTGCTCGTGCCAGGAGTACGTACCAGGTATACCTGTGGACATGTGCGTCAGCGATGACATCAGCCATATCAGCAATCTGATCTTTAAAGCTCCCTCCATTCATGCGCTCCATCAAACCTCTAAGCTGTGCAGTATCAAAGTATGATTCAAGGAAAAAATACTTTTCACGCTGTATCAAGTAAAAGGATACCCTAAGCGAGCCAAAAATGATAGAAAGGATGGCGACATCGCTCCACACATCCACTCCCTTTGCTGGTGGCAGTTTGCATTGCGTCGCCGCATCAAAGCACAAAACAAGAGGTATTATTGTGGAAAGAAAGCGTCTCTCGGTGACAGCAGCATCGCAAATTGCTGAAGAAACAGCCAGTACTAGTGGACGCACTGACAAGGATAAACCAGACTGGACAGGTATCTTGCCTGCTATTCGAGGATACCTCACCACATCGAATTTCTTCAAAACAACCGTTGTAGAGTCTAGCTCCTTGAGTGCTTATAATGCTGGATGCTTGTGGCTTGATCCTCAGAGCCTGAGCAGGTTGTTGGTCCAGGTGATGCCTTGCTGTCCAGGGCAGTAAATGCGGCAATCAGCATCAAGCCTCTCTTTGCAGTCATGAAGCTCGCCGCTAAGCAGGTGCTAAAGAGCACAGCGGAGAAGAATGGTATCCCCTGGGACAGCACCGTGCAGCAGCTGCAGAACACGCCTGAGGTGCCTTCTTCGTCCCCATCTGCATCCAAGTCATTAGCCTGCTTCGGCAATAAGCCTCTCGGCTACTGAGTCCGCAAAGCCAGGATTCCACCTTGCCAAAAAGGCAATGCACATTGCTGCTGTTCTTTGAACTGCAGAGCCTTTGAAAATGCTGCATGGAGATTATAAATAGGCATAAATGGAGCTGCAAGCCGGAGAAATTCTGTGCCGGACAAGATTGAATGCCGACAAAACTGATATCTGCAGGTATTCAGTATAAGGGAGGAGCTCGAAGACAAGGCCCTGGAGTACCCAGATTACTACCTGCAGAAGTTTCATGCGTACGACGAGGGCAACCTCAACTGGCTGGCAGCTTTTGAGGTGGAGTCAGCCACCTACTCAATGGCGCTGCGCACATTCCCTGACCAGCCCCTGACGCCTGAACAGGCGCATGCACAGCTGCGCGGTAACATCCACGAAGCCATCCAGGTGCAGACAGCTGTAGCGCTCTACAGCCTTAAGAGGGCAAAACATCTACAAAGTCAGAGTCTGCGGCTTATACTTCATTGTAGTCTGGAAGAGAACGATGCATTGGGCCTCGATTGACCATGCTCATGTAGTCCAGCGCCCTTCTCCCCCCTCTCCAAAGATATATCTGAGCCTTTGATATGCAAGATATGCATGTGTGAAGAAGTCAGGAGCACAAGGTGAAAAGTGCACAATATGAGAGGTATTTGATTCTCGGCAGGACTTCTCTCGGCAAAGGGGGGCGCGGCAGGTGCATGACGCACTCGACCTGGGATGCTCAGCCGGGCTGAGCACGCGCGCGCTTGCAGAGGCGTTCCCTGCAGCGCAGATCACCGGCCTGGACCTCTCGCCGCACTTCCTGGCCGTTGCAGAATACCGCGAACGGTGCGCCCCTTGCAACAGCTCTCTAAGGGCAGCAGGCTTTCGATGTGTCTAAATGGGTGGTTGGGGGGCCTCACTGGGACACCCAGTGAATAGGATGGCTTCAGCGTAGCCCACGGACAATTTGGGTCTGGGGCCCTCATTGCTTCCCTGCATAGCTTGTGTTTGTTTTCATGCTGAAGCTGCCCACAGCGCTGGAAGCCAGAGCTAATCCCATGCAGAGCTTTGTATGGATTGGAGAGCCAAACATTGCATGCCTAGGACAAGATGTGCCAATAGTCCAGACGCGCGCAAAGAGACACCAACACGGTCGACAAGGCTTACTGTTTAGGGTGTGCATTTTGCTGTGCTCAAAACCTGACAGAAGGGTGACAAAAAGGCATGCATGCAGGAAGAGGAAGGCAGAGGGCGAAAGCAGGCGGATTTGCTACGTGCATGCCAACTTGGAAGACACACGGCTGCCGTCAGCCTCGTTTGATCTGGTTTCGTCATCCTTCACCATCCACGAATTACCTCCCCAGGCCATTTGCGCGCTCATCGCCGAGGCTCGGCGGCTGTTGCGGCCCGGCGGAGTGCTCCTGTTGGCAGACAATAATCCCCGGTCAGCAGTCCCTGCCTTGCTAAGCCACTTGTGCCGTGTCATCTGCTACCTGTCGGAAAGATCCCAGCCATGCACGCCTGGCACCAGGTTGCCCACATGTGATTGAGGTTATGTTGGTGACATGAGCAGTAGCATGCAAGCTTGCATGCCGTCGATGTAAGCATCACTGCCATAACAATGCCATCACTATCATTCACTAACAAGCAAGGGCCAGAAAATCCTGGCCTATCTTCGTGGGTGGGCATGAAACATATTATGTATTCTTATCACATGCGTTTCCCGCCTGAGGCAAGATGCTGGGAAAATATGAGGCTTGAAGATGGTGACTGATCAACTGGATTCTGGCATGCGCGCAGGTCGAAGACGATACAGAATCTGCCGCCGGCGCTGTTCACGCTGATGAAGTCGACGGAGCCCTGGAGCGACCTGTACTACGCGATGGATGTGGAGGCCGCCATGCGCGACGCCGGCTTTGTCCATGTTGAGACGCGCGAGGCCGACCACCGTCACCGCGCAGTCCTGGGCCTGGCCGCCTGATCTGGCCTAGATGAGTTGACTTTAAAGGCAGAGTTTATTTTCATGGCCGTGCGCCTCTTTTGGTGCTAGGGGCATATGGGTCAATGATGCTGGATTCGCTGATGCCAAACCATGAAGGGAGTTCTGTGAGATAACATTCGCGAATACATTCACAGAGTGGCAGAGTTAAATTTAAGTTGGTTGGGTTGCAAGCTTGGGAACCTGGGAAAAAGCGAGTATGGGAGGAGGTTTCCATATATTATAAGCACAAGGATACCAAGAGATCCGAAATGAGAGAGAAGCACTTTAAAAAGGCACTTAAAAAAAGCAAACTTTTTGAACGGATGACTAGTACTCCTCAGCATTTCCCTTGTAAAGCAAGTTTGATTTAATTGAGCGCCGGATTTAACTTCTCTTCAGTGATATGCAGTATTACACATACTTCTCGAGAGCACATGCATCCAGGAAAGGTTGCACTAGGCACTGTTATAATGTTGCCAAAAAGGTCCCCAGTCTTTTATTGTCCGATTGGGCTCTCATGAGTTCTTGTCCCAAAGTTACAGTTGGGCACACTCTAGCTGCATCTCCTCTAGGAGGGCATCGGCTACCACCTGTGCACAATTGTGCTCAGACAGCGACCAGTCTGCGTCAGAGAATTAGCCACTGCACGGCATCCATAGAAACAGCATCAAGAGGGGCCAGGTCAGTCTCGCATGCCAAACTTGGCGTAGGTGCACATCAGCTCGATGGCTATGTCTGACGCCGAGGGCGGGTGCTGCGGCTGCGTCGCATAAATGAACATCGACCGGTATCGCTTCACCGCCTCCAGCTTTGCCAGTACCACCTCCTCATCCATCTGCAGCAGCAGACAAATATTAGTCATGATCACATGAAGTCATGTGACAGAGAAAAGAAAGAAGGGTTTGTCGTTTGCGTGTGCCGGATGCGGCCGCATCAGACATCATCTAGGACATCTGCTCTTTGCACTGACTGCACCTGTGACTTTTGAGTACATGCTGCCGGCCTTACTGTGTCCTTTTGCAGTAGCAGATCAATACCAATACCTTTGCCTTGCAGATCACTTATCTGTTGTTACAAGAGTGTTGTCCTATGTGCGAAGGTCTCAGCGCATGTTGCTGCTGCATCAACTGCAAAACTCTAATGGAAATGTATTGACAAATGCAGGGGGTAAAGGTGTAAAGAAGCATACCTGTCTCAACAGCGGCAGCACGTTCCCCAGGTGCTGCATGCTGCCAATGGCCTCGGAGGGCACATCGGCAAACCACCACGCGGGGCTGAACCGCTCCTCTATCTGCGCAGCAATAACAGTAGTCACATCACATAGACAGCCTGGCATGTCACATGCCGTGAACTAGGATGCTTGCATCAATAAAGCTCATGTGAATGCTATAGGCTTTCGTTCCTGAACACATTGTGTAGAATAAAGAGAGCCAATGTGAGGCTGCTGATTAACAGACTGCTTTATTCATTCAGGGAACGTTCATGCTAAGGTGCACTGCATCTTCCATTCAAGCAGAAATTGTCGAGGCAGGAAAAATGCTGTCATCCAGGTAGGGATGGCTATGGCCAAACCTGGGTCATGGCTTCAAGGCCTGGGGCCATCTGCAGGCCCGGCTGCTCCCACCAGGGTGCAGATCCCCCCTCTTCCCCTCCAGTGATGTTCAGGAAAATACCCGCCGCTGCATAGTCCACCTGCAACGCCATGCATGCACCCTGTCAGAGAGCAAACTCTGCACAGGCAGCAGTTCCTTTTATGATTACAACAGTGCCTTGTGCTCACAGCTTCCCGAGGGATTGGTAGTTGGGGGGGAGAGTGGGGTTTTCCCAGCCTCAAACGCCATGGTGTTTGGGATGCTTCACTACCTCCAATCAGAAGAAGGCTCCTAAAGTAATGTGTCAATATCCCAATTTGATGATCTTGTCAATCAGGAGCTCAGGCACGTACTCCTTGCGAGCGTCACATGGGCGGGTCATGAGCAGTGGAAGCTTGCCACTGCAGGCCAGCTGAATCAGCGTTCAAGGGAGCCAGAAAAGGGGCCGTGCCTCGTGCGCGAAGGGCAGCGTGTGCCAGGGCGGTCCCAGGAAGACCGGGATGCAACCGGTCAGGAAGGCCTCGGTCAGGCGCTGACTGGACTGGCTGTTGCCCGGCAGGATGAGGCAGAAGACGCTGCCGGCCATCGCCTCTAGCATCGGCCGGTGCGGCTGCACCTTCAGCTCGTTCAGATCAAACTCGCGCTCCGTGCACGCCACCTACACACACACCTCTCAGCAACTAGCCCTCCTGAATCTGCACCTAATTCGCCTCCACCCTGCCTGCAGGCCTGAATGCTTCAGTCGCTGGCACCCACTCGCTGGTATCCCGGGACGCCGATATTCGAAAGTCAAGTTCAATGAAGTTTCAATCATTTGGAGATGTAGCCTGTGCGGTAGTGGCAGCCGCAATCGTCGGTGCCTCTCTTCTTGCATCACTTGTCTAGGTGACAAGAGTGGCAAAGGAGCAGGAACATCCCAACACGCGACGCCTCGGGGCATGCAGGGATGTTTCAATGCAAGAGGCGTGCAGGGGACACGATGTGATTACGTGGTAAACGAGGGAAATAAATTAATGCACCTCGGGGCCGGCGGCGCGGCCGTGGCAGCAGACGCTGAGGTCGTCGCCGAGCCCCTCCTCGAAGTCGTCCTCGTCACCCGCGGCGTTGTCTCTCTCCGCGGCCGCCACCGAGCGCAGGCTGGCCACCACCTTGGCGCGCATGTACTTGCCCACCACCTCCGGCACGGGGGGCTCGCAGTCCCCCCTGTCACCCAAATCAGGCACATCAGCCACATGGGGTCATTTGATAATCATTTCCATCCTTATTTTTATATTACGCGTGACAGCATTTCAGTGGTACTGCCCATAGCCATAGTTCTTACTGCTGAACTTCTTTCTGCACGTGCTCTAAGCGGGCTATCAAACGTTTGCGCATCAGGCATGCTCGACTTTTTCTTTGCAGAGCCCCTGGACCCAACAGTGCCACTTGATCTGGCAACATGCTGGCTAGTGACAGGAAAGGCATGGATGCGAAGACAGTCATGGCTCAGACATTGGGGCACTCATAAACTATTCACTCAATCAATGTGACTGCTGCGCTTGAGGAGAGCAGGACGCAACAGCGATTGTGCATGCTTCTGCAGTCGTTGCACAGGCAAGCATCCACACAAGATGGCAGCGGGAGCAGTATCAGCGTCAGACAGGGCATGATGTATGAACCCAGTGGACAGCAATGCCCCTGGCATCCCAGTCTGCAAAAAGCAGGCTGTATTCCTGGCGATTTCAATGGTGCTGAGCAGCTGAGCAGATTAATTATGAGAGGGACGGGAGAGCCCACCTGAAGAAGAGCAGCAGCTCCTTGTCGGCGTCCGGCAGGGCGTTGATGACTTCAGTGGAGCTGTAGGGGGCCACGATCGTTGTGCGGGGGTTGTACGTCGGGCATCGCCACCGCTGCATCTGCTCTATCACCAGAAACGTGGCCCACTGCGGACCAACACCCCAAAAAGCCTCAATTAAACGCTCTTGCACCTCCTGAAAAGCTCTGAGCTCCAGCCCTGACACTGCTGGATAGAGTCATCAGAAGTGCCTCCTGCGCAGCTCATGTGGCGAGCTAATGGTGCACATCATGCCACAAGCTTCTGCAAGCAACATGGTCTGAAACGGCAAATGGCATGCAGGAGAACTCAGTCAAGGCAACTCATGCATGGCCAAGCCCGTGTGAAGGAATCCAGTTCCATGGTACAAGGCGAGAGGGGCGAGTATTGGAATTGGGGCAGTCATATGAGGGTGTGGGGCAGCCGAACCTGGAAGTCATGGCAGAGCATCTCCTGGTACTTGTTGGTGGTCTCCAGATCGTCCCACTCAAAGCCTGAGTGCGAGTGGTAGAACACAAAGTCGCGCCCCCCGCTCTTCTGCCACCGCGGCAGCGCCATTATCGCCCTGTCAGCATAGTTTGTTTGAGTCAGACTCCCTCTGTGGCAAAAGAAAAGTCCTTCCCCCTTACTGCACTGGAGAACTTTGGCTCTTGCCAGTACGGGTGATGTCCCATTCATTTGCCTCACCAGACACCTGCTGCTTTGCATTTATATACAGTATTTGCAGGTTGGTTCATTCCACACTGGTTTGCGTGCAGTCCTCTATGCTCGGAATAGGTGACCAGGCTACAAAGCCCATTGCTCACAGCGTTGATCAGAGGTGATAGGACAAACCTTGCACACAATGCCAGGTGTACCCCTCTATGGACGCCGCCAATTTCTGGGCAATTCTTGAGAAAAAGGGTGGATAAGAAGGGGTGCGAACCGGTAGACGGAGAGCAGGTGGGAGCCGGTCTTGCGTGGGGGGGAGTAGTTGTCACGCAGCCACCAGTGCTCGCGAGCGTGGTGGTCCGACAGGATCCACATCATGTAGCAGTAGTCGTACACATACACCACATCCGCCTCGTCAATCGTCGCCACGCTGTGCTTGCTGTTGCGGAGCGCGTGGTACACATACCTGCATGTCATTGGAGATATGCATATGGACACTTGCCGGAATTACCAAGGACCATCACATGCAGTTTACCATGCATGAACCCAGATATAAATCTGTCCTCACAGCTTGCATGCAGAATGTCGCGCCACAACATCGGCCTCTCTAGCACGAGCCCCCGCGGCTGCGAACTTGATCATTGCCGTCTGGAGAAAATAGTCACCCACCAGGGTGCATGCTTTGTCATTGCTGGGAACAACGAGCTCATCATTTTGCCTGATTCTCAACCTGGCAACAAGAATGCATTCCGATCCTCCATGCTCTGAAAATGGCCGTGATCTTGGAGCTTACAACAATTGAAGCAAGGTCATGCACACGGCAGGCACTGACCATGGGCCGGCGTTCTGGCTGTAGTAGTGGGGTCCGACGGAGTAGGGGTAGATCCACTCGTGGTCTGGGGGTGGATCAGGGATGGTGGCCTCGGGCGCGACCTTGCCCGGGTTGGGCAGCACCATGCCCGTCTCTGGGTCCGTCGCTAGCCGCTCCTGTTCAGGCAACACCGGTAGGCCTCAATCCCATCACATCTCGCACAGATTATCGAGTTAATTTCTCTTCCAGGTTCTTGTGGCAAGAATTCGGGTCGATGAAGCACTCCAGGTTGCGGAGTTTTGTAGTTGGGGCTTGCAGGACGTGGGCGGCTGCAATGTGACATCTGCATGCGATGCTTGACTTCTGGCAGAGTCCTCAGTGCAGTTTTCGGAACAGCTCTTCTGGATCTTGCTGGTCAGTAGACACTGATGACAGACGCGGTGCAGGTAATTGTGGCATAAAATAAAGTCAAGTGTGCTTCTTGGTGGTCTGGTGGGGTGTGGAAAAGCCAGGAGCAGGGTGCAGGCCTGCACACCTCACTGCATGTAGGCAGACCGAGCTCCTTCGCCATCTCCGACACATCCAGTATGAAGAACTTGCAGGGAGTGGGCGGCCCTCTGCCGGGGTCATGCTGGCAGGCCATAGCATCCTCCGCTGACAGCTTGCCGGGCCCCCTTAAGGCTCCTGCCCCGCCACCCTCCCCCCTCAACAATGGGCTCTTTCGCATCAGATCGTTCACTGCAGAGTCACAAAAGATTCAGATACCTCCCATGCTCACCTATCAGTCATAGGCGTTTGCAGTCAGACGTGCCTTAAATGGCTGCAGAGTTGAACAGGCTTGTCATGTCAGAAACAATGCTTGGACTCCTGAGAACAGAGAGCCATGACTGTGCCGGGTGCAGCAATTCAATTTTGAGATGAAAAGTGTGTGCAGAGAAGTGCATGGTAAGACGGAAACTTACATACTGGTTTGCTGGCCGCAAGGTGCAAGCTGAGGACCAAGCAGAGGCCAAGCTGCTTCCACAATTGCCGCTGGGATCCTCTGAGCTTTGGGCGTCTCCCAGCATGCATGCTGACAGCTGCTCCAGCACTGCAGCTCTCCGTGAAGGCTGATGCGCTGTCAAAAGAAATACTGGGAGCTCTCATCGGGCTTGTACCGTCATTTTCTGAAGCTACATCGGCCCCTGAACTACAACATCTGTCTTTGCCTGCTCCATTCATGCGGCTTCGGCGACACCAATTGCCAGCTCTTTATTTGGTCCACATCGCCTTGATAGCTCTTGCTACGGAGGACTGCCAGTGCATAAGCAAAATTTGCTAAGGAGGAGGGCTCTCGGACTCAACACATCGACTGAGTTGTACTAGCTCATGACTCCGATGCACTCGATATAAATGATTTCGATGTCAATCGATTATCTTATAAATCAGTTTCCGCGACTAGTTCCAAGTAGTTTACAGAGAAACCCGTTGGATCAAGAACAACCCAATTCTGCCAGGTTGGCTTCAGACAGTCTTTACGCCGCAGATCACATAGAAATAGGACAATCGGACTCTAAAACAGAAGACAATATTAGGGTGACCCAGATGCATAACGGGATTCCAAGGAGATCGATGATCGTCGCAAAAGCTTTCGGTTCCTCCATGCAGAGGGCAGGGGATAAGAATTTGTTCCGGAACCCTGTTTGACTGTTTAAAATCCTCGCCGTTGACTGCCTTGTGGGAGCACAGCTAATCAATTCCTTGAAAAACTTCCTTTTTACAATTTTGCATGTGGGCATAAGCAATATCCCGCAGGTCAAAGTCGTATCTTTGACAAAGTGTCTTGAGTCTGCAGACTACGTCATGATTGATCACCTGAAATTAGCTAGCAAATTACTTCAGTTTGTTCCTATTCAAAGCTGTCACAACAGGCTGACTTGACCTACCAGCAACAAAAAAGGAATCTTGTCAGCTTCCACACACAACATTAAGGGCAGAGATACAATGCGAAATCTCCTCAGAGCTCCTGGACGCCAGGCGAGGCGACCTGGGCGATCTTGGGCGGCTGCAGCGCATCGCTGGCCCCCTTGACCGGCCGGACCGGCTCGAGTTTCTTCACTTCCGCCCCCTGGCCGCCCGCCGGCCCCCGGCTCCCCGGCACGGCCCCGAGCGCCGTCAGGCGTGGGCCCTTCGGCTGCGCCGCCGACGCCGCCGCGATCCGCGCGACCGTCTCCGCGTCGATGAACGCGGCCGGCTGCAGCTCCTCACTTGCGCCGGGAATTGGGACGACCACGCGCGGCCCTGCGTGCTGCGCTGCCTCCTCCAGCGCTGCTTGCAAGCCCTGTGGCATACACATACCGGTATTGTCTGGTCTGTTTTTCTTATTGCGGTTATATGGTCTCTGTCTCTGTGGCAAAGGTGGAAACGTGTCTGATTTGCTTCACTCAGGCCGGTCAAGGATATGCATTTGACGACTGGCTAAGTAGCGCTGCAGGGCTGAGGAACCAGGAGGCGTCCCCCTGTAGACATGGCGCGTAAACATCGCCTACCTGTAGAGATTCTAGATCTAGAATACGCAACAATGCCAAGGGCATATCAGGTTTTGCGGTCACAGAAGTGTCTGCAAGGTGGCCACACGTTGCTTTCAAGGGTGCACTGCCAGTGTAGCATTAGTAAATTCAAAGTCTTCCAGCAGACCCACCTGCATGGTCAGTCTCAGGGCGCGCTTGCGCAGCATCCTGAATTTGACGATGACCCTCTCGCGCCAGTCGGTCAGATCCCCTGATGCCAGCAGGGCCGCGTCCTGATCCTCCCCGGTCGGGAACCTCACCAGAATGCTCCTCAAGCGCTCCACCTCCTCCTGCAGGCCAGAAAGGATGCACAGTCAGCATGCATAGGATTCTTCAAGGTGCACGATATCTGGAAGAAATGTCTGTTTACAGGGACGGCCATGACGGGCGTGCAATGTGTGAGTACAGGCAACCGGCACTGCATCTCCAACTCATCGACACGTTGCTGCGTGCACATGTCCATGAGGAGCTGCGCATCCTCAAATCATCCTTCCAGAATGAACTCCCAGATTCCTTTACAGTACCCCACTGAGCTGCAGTATTCACCAGCCTCCTGCCCTTCTCATTACAGGCTGAAGATATCACTGAATGCCTTGGTCGTGCTGACGCCAGCTGGGTCCAGAGTGTATCTTGTGGGCAGGCTACCTGGATGCAGAGGGGGGCGCCGGGGCCGTACAGCTCGTGGTCGGCAGGTGGCGACTGCACGGTGTCCCACACGCTCACGCCCGGCAGATCCAGCGCACACAGCCGCGGCGGCGCAGGCTCCTGCACAAAGAGAACAACATTTGCTTTTGACTTTCATAGTAGGGGTAGCAGGAAAGAAGGCCCCAATTACCAAAGCCCACAAGAATCATGATTGGCAGAGCAGGAGGATCACCCCCCATTCAACAAGGCCTGTATGCACAAAAAATGATTGGGTCTGCTTGAAATTGGCGACTGCAACCGGTGGCGACCGCCTTTACATTCAGTCATACACCTTGCCTTTGGCGAAAGCAGCGTCTGATATTAACTCAATGTAATGTTGTTTTGCAAGGCTGCAATTTTCCAGGCAAGGCGATCTTGTAGGTCAAACGTATCTCCAGAAAATTTGGGTGTCATGTCGGGCGCTGATCCAATGTCTGACTCTCAGGATCACCCCAAGAATCACTATGAGATTCAGATGCAGACATCAATCAACTCTAGTTTGGCTGCATGCGATGAAGTGTGACTGAGTGGCCGACCTGCACGAAGAAGTAGTCGAGAAGGGATTTGTCATTCCGCTCTAAGCTCCAGCTGTACAGGTGCACCACCTCCTCTCCACGCCTGCACACACACATACACACTTGCCCTGTGCTCAAATATACAACAGGAGAATTTGATTTTGAGAAACGGCATTGAAACGCTACTCTGGGCAGCAGCTGACCCTGTCATCCAGCCCATAAGGCGCTGCCAAGGAGAGCCCAGAGAGCGCTATCTTGCCCTGACCGATTCCAGCAGTCAAGCTGCTGACATCAGAATACTTGTCCCAGGCACGCTGTCAAAACGGCAGCACTCGACAACAGTATAGTACTTGACAACACTAGGTGAAAGTGGCAGTCAAGGAAGGTTTTAATTTTGATAGTTTTGAGCTTTAGTGATTGATGGAGAACACACAGCATGCATGCGCAGAATGGCCAAGGGGAGCGGGGGGCTGTCACAGGCACCTACTTGATGGGGTGCAGGGCGGTGGCAACATAGGAGCTGCTCTCTGGGTGCCGCTTGATGGCCACATTGGGCTGGCCGCCGTGGTTGATCAGGTCCAAGAGGGGCAGCACAACTCGGCTCGCCTCGTGGCCGTCCTCTGCTGGGAAGCTGAAGCTGTAGGAGTCCAGCTGCATGCCATGCAGACAGCACTCAGTCACCTTGGGTTGTTAAGGATGCTGGGGTCTGGTGGAAGGGTTCGTTTACAAGTTCAGGCTTTCTGAGGAGCACATCCTGGAGATGACATCCACACTCATGATATACTCCGGCAAGATCCCCAGAAGGTCACGGCTCGCCTGCCAGTTGAGCAGATATCAGCAAGTTCCTGGTTAAAAGCGTGCACAAAGCCCACGGGATGCCATGTCTTGCACCCATGGCATCCCAATAAATATGAATATGCAGCAAATACCAACATTGCCAGAAAATGTCTACTTGCATCTTCTCAATATATAAGGGACAGTGCAGCCTGATGATGAATGCGGCAACTGACTGGTAATTAGCTCGACATCGATCAAGACCTTTGAAGGCGCACCAGGGCAGCATAGTAGGCAAAGTCCTCCCGGCTGATGTCAGCAGCTTCAGGGTGATGCGCAAGGGAGGTGAAGCGATACTGGGGCTCCACTGTTGTTGCCCCAGTGTACACCTCTTCAAGCCACTGCCCCACCCTTGTCACCAACGACGCCTGTGGCACAACATCCCAATAGCAGGTCCTTAGAGCATACCCAAAGAGCAGCATACAGGGAGCCATTACTATTATTATTGTTATTATTATTATTATTATTATTATTATTATTATTATTATTATTATTATTATTATTATTATAGTTATTATTATCACACGCTTTTCCTGCCAAAAGGCAATGTGCGTCCTGCAGACAAGCTGCAGTCAAAGGGCTGCCACAATCCCACCCCTTGTTGGACTCGCCAGATGCAAGCAAGACCCAATCGACCGCGGGCACGGTGCTCAGTATTTATATCGCCCCCACCAGCCGGGGCCAGCATTGGGTTCACAGAAGAACAGCAAAGAGATTTGGTAGCTTATGAAGCTCCCATGCAGATGTCAGCGCACATGTTATGCTACCTTGTCAACGAACGGCTTGCCCTCCAAGCTTTCTTTGATTGAAAGGTTGCATGTATTTGGCTTTGACACCTTGAGCAAGAAGTTGGATGCCAGGAAGTGCTCGTTAATCATGCGCATGCATGACTAAACATTGTGCGCTTGAGGCATGTCTTCATCCGAGATCAAAGATGTTAGAGCATTGGGGCTGTTTGCAAGTAAATGACCAGAGATCTCACCATGTCTGTATCTTGCAACAAGGGCAGGTGGTCCGATTGGAAGTTGTACTTGTTGTACAGCTGGCTCCTGTCGGGCATGCTTGCCCAGTGCGGCTGCATGTGCGCCCAGAAATCTGGCTCCTCAAATCTTCTCCTCAACAGGTTTGTTGCCAGCTCCTGCAACATATACTCCGAAACTTTTGAGTGCTTGCTCATACTGTCAGCACAGTACAGTGCATTTCAAACAGTAGCTCCCTTGAAGCCTGCTTCCTAGGATATTCTTGCCAAGCTCTATTGCATCCATCGGGCACCACAGACGTCACTGCAAAGCGTCTCAAAGGCAATAGTCTGTTCTGAACTTCTCCAAATGGCTGCAGCTATGACATGGAGGCACGAAGACAGACGAGGAAATACAAATCTGGACAGAGGGCTTGCAATAAGCTGGCAGTGCAAATGCGCACTTGAAAAGGTAGTGTCTGTCAGGACTAAGGTGTATGTAAACGTACCGCAGCAGTGTCGCTGGCGTCTCGGGATCCCAGATTGACTGTGCAGTTGTAAGGAAGTGCAGCGACAATGTCTCCCTCCTCAAAGTCCCTTGCTGCCAAAGCACCTCTGAGACCATCTGCATTCACTGCTCCAGATTCCACCCCAAGCTGCATTGAAACAGAGTGCATGTAATTTAGATCAGAGCATACATAAAGAACGCACATGGCAGTGCTGCTATGAAAGAACCCCAGGCGTGACACACTATATTGCAAGATGCAACTCCACTACAATTTCTCTGGTTTTTTGCTTTCTTAGTCGATCGCAGCAGATGGCTAACAAGTGTGTCAATGTTTGATGGTCCGAACCCCACGAATTTGTCTCAGTGCAAAGGAAGATCAAACCTTCTCCAGGACATACCTGTCCACCATTCTGGAGAATCCATTCAGATAGCGCTGTGAAGGAATCAGCGGGAACTTCTGCGAGTGCCTGAGACGAGATGCGACACGCATGAAGTAACGAAACTACAGCACAAGTGAATATCGTTCTAAGCATTGCCCACTGTCTCATGCCAGGGTTGCCAATGCTTTCAAAACCGTTTCTCTGCAATAAGCCAGGTCGATCAACTCATCACTGCCTTTACATACATCCTTGAATGATATCGAAACTCGAGAGACTCGATAATCGAGTACAGCATCATGCAAATCTTGCATTGCAAAAGCATTGGAGAAGGTATCTCTCTCAATTCTTGCAAGGTCCCGTTTTGGCAACACCTCCGCATTTCCAAGCTTGTGTCGAGACAGCCGGCTTGATCAGCTTGCTTGAGGGTCAACTGCCAGAGATCGAGCATCCACGTTATATTCGTGGGCAAATGGGCATACAACATTTGCATAAAATGTTGATATATACTTCAACCAGGACACCTTGTATTGCTGGACCTTGCCCTTTTCATAGCTTCGGATAGTAAATCCAATAAGGCAGGCTCCCTCCATCAAGGGTGATCCTGGCTTTCACTGCTGTTCATATCGCTTTGAGCACGGAGTCTTTGGCCACCAGAGCTGCCACAAAGACCACGCTTGCCAATTCTTGACGTCTACAAGGACTTGCCCAGGACTTACACATAACATGATGCTAACACTCCCATGAATCTCAACACTTCCAATGTAAGAATATCATGACTTCCAGAAACACGCCATTATTCAGTGTTTCTTGGTCCACCATTGGAATGAAGCTGACCGCCCAACGTATAAAGAATATTGTCAAGATTGTCCCGGGCAGCCTTGGGCAACACACAGAAATAAAAGGAAGGCGAGCCCAGGAAGCCTAAGAGCCTCTCCTTTGCATGCAGTCCGGTCAAGCAAGGACCGTGGCATGCCAGCAAGGAATTGCGCAGCAATGCCAATAAGAAGTGCAGTACCACAAATAATTGGTCGACTACAGGTCTGCTGTTCCAGGCCTTTTTTCAGCCTAATGTGAATGATCTGAAAACATGAAAGTATTCTTGTTTCGAGGAGAAACTCAGGTGCGACTGCTGAGCAAACTTGCAGAAAGGCCCTCCAAGAGTGGGTCAAGCCATTGATGACTGGTATGCCTCGAAATTCTGTTGGGCACACCAAGTGTGCTGCCTCAAGACGGAAAACTCATCACAATGCAAATAGAAGAGCGCTGCTAGCGCTGCAATCCTGCGAAAACCAAGGCCATCCAAGAATAGCTTCTCGGGCCTGGCGCGGCAGGCCATCAGGGCTGCGTCTGCGCAATAACCTCGAAGGTGCCTGACGCTGACATCACTTCTGCAGGGGGCCCCTCCAGCAACTGGGGGGCCCATGGCTCCAGCACACTGCCCGGCAGCACGTTCAAGATGTGCCTGCCTTCCGCCACCAAGTCCAAGTAAGCGCTGCGGTTGCCGCGCACGCTTAATAACATGTTTAACACCTGCCGAAGCACCTCCCACCTGCGCACACCCAACTTATTACATGATTAACAGCAAAATATTTTCCCTCGTCATTCCCTGTCAAGAGGTGCCTGGTTTCAGAGGACTGCATGCTACTACAAATTGTCGCGCAGACACTGGCCTCGTCTGTTGGACATTTCATGTGCTGGAAGCATGAGTGTCCTTGAGCCCTCAAACCTTGAGTGTAAATGAAGTAAAGCTGACCAACACATCAAATGAACCTCCCAAATGCAAGTCAACCATGAGCACTTCCCCATCATAAACTATTAAATCTCTTGGAGGGTGGTCAAAGTGTGCATTATTTAGGGCTGAAATAGGAGTGGGTGCTAGATGAAAGCCCTGAAAACAGATAACAAGGGGGACATGACTCACGGGAGGATGACGTGGCGGTCGCGCGCAAGCGTTGCTGCGTCAACGCTGCCGGTGCCGTTCGCTTCAAATCCCCCGGGCCTAGATAGCTCCTCATCCAGAATATTCAGCCCAATGTATTGCACCCTGTAGCCATTCGCCTCGGCCACCTGTCATAACAAGAGAAGCTTCAAGTCAGCCAAATCTCGTGCATCAGGCAGGCAATTATTATTCCGAGCTGCTGCACGTCTGAAAGAGGCTTGGCTCTACAATAACGGCTTTCTGTTTGGCAGAAATGCCAACACATCCTGAGCTATTACTACAGGCTCTCCAGCATCGAGTGCCATCACATCAGGTTTACATGCACAAAATATGCAGCATGCCATCACCGATGAAATGAGACGGAAGATATTTCCATGCCTGAGAGACTTACAAAACTTGACTTTGTTGATTCCTTGCATCCAAGGGATTGCTTACCTTCGGAATGAAAAAATTTGCCCACTCTGGAGTTTCGGTGCCAAATTTGTAAGGCCGCACTTCAATCAGCGTGGACCCCTCGTGCATGAACAGGACATTGTTGCTGCCCGATCCGTGTATCGTCACTAGGACATCCGCACTGCTGACCGCCGCTATGTTCCTGCGAGCCCATATGATGAGGTCTCTCAAAAAACGAATGAGGACCGCTTTGCAGTGTCTTCTGCAGATTCTCACTGCATCCAAGCATTAGCACTGCATGATGCGCCGTTCCAGCTTGCCTCTGAAACGTTCGTAGTAGCTTACCAGTTATAATCCTCTGTTTGCGGAGCCAGACAAAAAGCGGAAACCTTACAAATTGTAGAAAAGCTCAAGGTGGTGCATGCACACCATGCCAAGTCGCCGGCAAACGTGGCAGATCTGCAGGCCACGCTCGTCCCTTGCAGCTTCCCGCTTTCACCGCAGTCCTTTAATAACTGATCCATGTTGAGAAAGTTGCGCACGACGCCATGCCGCTGCTCTACCAGCACGTTGAGGCTGTCGGAAGCTGCCGCGGCAGCTTCCGGGAAGCTGGCAGGGTTCCTGATCAGGCTGGCGGCCGCGTAGTGCGCGCGCGTCGCCTGCCCGACGTCGTACATTAGCCTGAAGTCCCCCGATGGTATCTTACACAAGATGACCTGCACATGCGCCCAGAAACAAAATCATGATATCAACCCATGATATTAGATTAGGGCTTTGTGCGCACTGCTGAGCTTCTACAGATCACGATATCGTAGCATAACAGGTGCTACTTACTGTGTGCAAAAGTGACAGCTTGGAATGAATCAAAATTTCATTCATTGGGCAAGCAACACATTTATATCAGCCAGTCACACATACCATATACTGCAAACACACTTGTCAGGCTAGCGGCCTTCTCCACGATGATCAGTCCTGGCAGTCTATGTTGTCTGAAAGCAATTCAATACCTTCTGGAAGCACTGCACAGCGACGCCCTCATTGGTGGCGTCCGACGGCGTTCCCTGCGGCAGCCGCGCAGAGAAGTCCGCCAGGCTGGACACTGCCAGCCGCGTGAAGGGAGCCAACATTGGCGGCCAAAATCTTGGCAGGCCAATACCCCCCGGCGTGGCAACCTACGTGATGCATTAGTAATCTTGTGATCGTAAGTAGAAAATAGATTGTGACAGCCTTGGAGAACACATGCACCTGTCTGCATTGCCCGATGCATCAGTGGGAAGAACGCCTTTCTGCCTGGAAATGTGAGCTTGAGCATCAAAACACTGCATGAGCGGCCACAGACAATGTGTGGCTCACTCTTCTTACCATAGAACACATGCCTTTGACCTTGAGAGAGATGACTCCAAGTGGTGCAAACGGTGAGATGCAGATGCATTGTCTTAAGATATTCAAGGAAACTTCTGCAATCACGATTGAGCACTCCAGAAACGGGTGCTCTGCAGGGAAGGGAAGGACAGGGGCTCACCACATAGGAGACTGCATCACTGACAATGCCGCTGCTGTGCCACTGGTACGCTCGCTGCGGCGCGCGAACCACCACCTCGCCATACGTGGTCGGCCAGTTGGATAACATCACCTGCAGCATGCCATGGATACTTGGCACATCCATCAGCCGGTCATGGGGCAGTGCCAGCAAGCAGAAGCTCTGATGCAGGGAAACATATCAGTGTCTTGCTCATGCGCAATTGCGTGGCTGCGGAGCTGGCAGAGGACTGGGCTGCACAACCCAAAGTCACCTTGCCTTCAGCACCAACAAAATGCACTGTCAACAATAGAGCAAGGAAGACCTGCAAAGGCAGCGATATTGCCAAATAATCCTAGAAAAGTCTGGAAGGACAGGGGTTCTGTGATGTTGACTGGTATCAAATCCCCGGGGAGGGGAACCCACCAGGGGCACCGTGCAGTAGGAGAAGTCCTGGGTCGCCAGGTGGCGGTCCAGGTGGCTGCCAGCTCGGATGGTCAGCGGAGGGAACGCCAGTCGCGAGCCCCCCGGGCCCAGCGCGTCACCATTAGTCATCGCGCTCGGCCAATTGTACTGCGCGCATTACACCAGGCAACGTCTTAGCAGATATAACAGTTAGTTTCTTGACCTAAGAAGTTGACCTGCGTCAGCTGTCAGCAGGACCAAGGGAAGGGGATTGCAGCAGGACAAAAGGCAACAGTGTCCCACAGGCACATTTCTCGTTTGCAGATGCCTCACAGGAGGCATTGCACTTCCCAGTTTGCAGCAACTGAGAACCTCAGACATTTCTTGAGTTATGAGGTGGAGATCTTGTGCAGACAAGCATCAACACCCACTGACAGTACTCTACTGCTGTATATGTGGCTGCGCAAAGGGGCGCACCGTTAGCTCGGGGAAAGGGAATTCTGGCAGATTCAGGTGGCCGGGGTTCTCAGGATTGTACAGGGGATCAAAGGAGACCACGACGCCCTGATCCAAGCACACCCTGCACACAACACAACCTCCTTTGAGTTGCCCCACTGTCACCCGGCCAACCAATGGAAGGGATTTTGAGAGTACAGTATCACGAGCATACCAACAACTCTTCTCTCCAAATGCATGCTTGTGAAGGTCTGTGACAGCATGCAGCTGCCAGGTGTGCAAGGAGCATGAAAACAGATTAAATCTCTGGCGGATGATTGAAGAGCAAACGTGAGTATTGGCACCCCACCTGTACAGCACCAGGCAGGTGTCTCCGGCTGCCTGGCTGTTCTGTAGCAGCATTGGGTCATTCACGTGGGGTAGCTGACATCCGTTGCTGCTGCCTGCAGTGAAGTGCAGTTCGCCCAGCACGCTACTCCTCAGGTCCTGTGGCGTCACATGGATAGTCAGTGAGAACACTGATGGTAGATCTGCTGACAGCTCAAGCAGAAGCCAACCCTGCATGATCTGCTGAACTCGCTGTCATGCACGGCATTCTGCAAAAGACAGCGATCCCAACACCTGTGCATGCCGTGAGCGCTTGCAGGCGGCAGAGGAGAGGATGCTGCCAGACAGAAGTGGTTGGTGCCAGCTCTCTGTGACAAGGAGAGCAACGGTGCCTCCCAGCACCAAGATCAGAACGTATAAGCAAGCATTGTGGACGGATCGACGTCTGCAAGCCCGGAAGCGACCGTTTTCAATGTCCATACATCTTGAATTGGGCGCTGGCTTGTCTTGAGATGTCAGAATTTCGCCTTTGCCTGACATACTGAGGCATGCTACGGGGCCAATAAGAAGAGCAACCGGAACTTGGAGGTCAGTATGTTGCTGAACCTTATATTTTTAACGCATTGAGTGCTAATAATGTCCTCATTGACTGTCCAAGAGTGATCTGATGCTTTTCAGAGGTCAACCAGGTCAGGATGTGCTTGACATCAGTCTCGCAATTTCGGGCCAAATAAGATAAATTGCAATACCAAGCAATATTCCACGATCCAATACTACAAGACGATAAAATTTGTAGAGCAATCGTCAGAGTGCATTTGTTTGAAATTATAACACATCTGGAATCCCAAGCCTGAGCCTGCTGTTCAAATTTGACAAAACACACCAGGTCGTTTTGCAAATGTATGATTGTAGCACTCATACGTTTGAGATAATTGTAGAGGAATTTGGGAAAGGTGCTCCACTCGGCGTTTCACACATGGCCATATGGGAGGTGATGAGGTGTTGGACAGTTTCACTTGCTTGAGAAGGCAAGGAGCCAGATGCATGTGAAGGCATGGAATCTTTCTTGAAGTTTCTGCGAGAGCCATTCTTCTCTTTGCTATTGGAGCTCTGTTACATGGTGTAACTGACACCCCGAATGCTGCCAAGCATTGGAGGAAATGCTTGGTCGAGGCAGCTTGGTCCACTGAAAAAAAATTATTGCGCAACGATTCTACAAACAAACAACTTGGCTACACTACAGACCTGGCCGTGGAGGGAAGCCTGACACAAGGGCCACCACAAAACAGCTCACACTACAGTCCCAACAGACCCTCTACGCAACATACATACATGCAGACTTGACAGCATCAAATTTTAAACCTGGAGTGCGCGTCTATGCAAAACCCCCCAAGCGCTTTCAGAGCAGTTTTGCGGCCAGTGTGCAGCACCGAGGGAGGTGGCGCGCACAAAAGGGTGAGCATCCCGTTGGCACTGACCTGCTCTCCGACAGCAGGACTGCCAATGAATTGGGCAATGAAATGTGCAGCATTAAATGTCGAGGCAAATGACGCCTAATCTGGCTTCACTGCGTGCGTGCATGCGCCTAGAGCCTGCGGCCGGTGGCGGGGGCCTTGGCGGCAGCCGCCTTGATGGGGGATCCATCGGCGTTGACTGGGGTCAGAGGGGGAGCTCCTCCCTTGGCCACAACCTTTCCGAACTGCACACACATGGATAACACAATGATCAGTGAACAGCGACACTGCCTATGTAGAGGTTACAGTTCGCAAGCCTTGCACAGCGCCAAGGACAGCTTCTGCTGGGCAGTAACATGCAGGCTGACAAACAAGGTGAGGCTCAACACAGTGCTCAATCCCTGGTGCGGCTGGCAGGAAGGCAGAATGTAGAAAAGGACCGAAGGTCTGCCACAAGTCTTTTTGCTGTGCACTGGAGCCTTTGACATGTTTGGCTCCAGTCACGAGCAAGCAAGTGGGGTGCTATTTCTTGCCTCGAGGTCAGATCTGCAGCAAAGGGCTAGAGCAGGACATGGGCAACGAAGGTGCTCACCTCGTTGGTGACGGACCAGCCGTCTGGGTTGGGCTTGATGGCGATTCCGGCGCTGATGGTGGGGGCCTTGTTGCTGTTGGGCACCACCTTGACAGTGGGGGACACGTCAATGAAGGTGGGGGAAGCCTTCACATTGGTGGGGGATGCACTGACACCGTTGGGTGCAATGTTGATCAGAGTGGGGTCGACTGTGATCAGCTCGGGCTGGATCTGCACTCCCACTGCATCCACTTGGATCAGCCTGGGGCTGACCTGCACCAGACATAAAAACATCCATCAGACACTCTTCCTCAGCATGCATGCACCCGTCATTGATTGGTTTTAAGGTACACCAGTGCACCAAGCCGGTGACTTCAGCAAGTGACCATCTCCGGCACTGAGATATCAAAGTAAGAAAACAAAGCTTAGAAGGTCCTGATGGGTGGCAATCGGTCTGCTAGCAGAGATGCAGGCCAGGCAGTGCATGTCACTTAATAATCTAACCGCAAGCAGACAAGCTTGTCCGTTGCATGCGCGCAGAGATAAGGGCAATGTGCAGAGTCTAGGTCAATAGTGATGGGAAGAAGGGACTCACTCCGATGAGCACTGGGTTGACTTGGACGCCGGTCTGGGAGAGGGCAATCAGGCAGGGTGCCACAGAGAAGAGCTGCTCTGAGACGGACACGAGTGTCTGCGAGGCTGTGATTGTGTTTGGCTTGTTCACAAAGAACTGGGGAGCCGCAAGGTTCACAGTCTTGGCAAAGGCTGGTGACACCGCTGTGATGGTCTGCACCGTACACACAGAAATTATCAATACATCTTGTTTTGATGAATTCAACTCTCAGTCCCTGGCAGGAGTGGCTTGCTGGATTGCTCCTGTGCATGCATTTGCCATGCTCCACAAGCTGAGAGAAACTTGCACGCAGCTGGGAATAGGCAAGAACTGTCAGTGCTGAGTCAGGAGTGCAGATGACTCACCGCAATGATCTGCTTGTTCAGCAGAGCTGCGTCAGCAGAAAGCTGGTTGAAGAAGGTTGGTGCGGTTGTGATGAACTTCACAAAGTTGGCGTAGTCTGAAGTCAGGTTGGCCATCAGGGAGCCAAGCTGCAGCCAAACAAGAACAGAACTTTGTTAGTGTGCCTTCAGTTGCAGTATGGAGACACTCTCTGCTTAACGGACAGGCTCACAAGAGCTGCAGACTGAGCAGACTGCAAGGTACTCTTGACAGGGACGCTGAAGACCTGAACATATCATGCAAGCAAGCAAAGCTGCCTTCCTAAAAGACTATTCAAATGAGAGTGCACAGGAGGCAGTATGCGCACCGTTGACTGGAGGTCAACCAGGGTGCTGGCCAGGGCGACCTGTGGGTGGTCAACACCCAGTGTGCTGGTGAGGATCTTGTGTTGCTGGTCCATGAGGGAAGCCAGCAGATTGGAGTAGTCACCCTCGTTCTGGGGGATGAGCAGGTCAGCTGTGGGCAGCTGCTCATCTGCAGCCATTGCTGAGCATGCCAACAATGCCAGAACAAGCCTACACAGCACGCACACAAAGAACGTCACGCTTACCAAGCTGTAATGTGTCAAATGAATAAGAAAAGGCATGCGAGCTCATCGATTTCAGCTGAAGTGCCTTTTAGCTGGCTTCATTAGATTTGAATTGCAGCCAGGACAAGTGAAGTTCCAGCGTCCCTTCTTTGCCTCTAACACACCCTGATTAGTGCAACACTAACATTTCATCCACATTCGGACCATGCTGCTCTCAGCCCCTTTGATGTTTCCACTTTATTGTGCATCTGAACTCACCCAGCGATACGGAGCCCGCGAGCCATTTTTTCAACCAGTGCGTCCTGCAGTGCCACCAGACAGCTATCAGAGGAGTGTTTACAAGCTGTGATGTCACGAACACGAGTATGTGAAGGCCACGAAGTGCCCCAAAGAGCGCTTCACCCTAACACCCCCACTCGTGAACGAGACAACGGCCCTGCGAACTGCAACAAGCAAGGCCAACTGCAAGCGGTGCTAAAAGGCAGCAAAAAGCCCCTTCCTGTCAATAGCTGCCCTGGGCTTACAACGCTATCACAAAACGCAGAGGGCGACTTTTGCCCAGCCTGGAAGCCGGAACTCCCACCTCGGGACGCTGACAGGCCGCAACAGAAACCGGCTCCTAGATATGCAGGGAGTTTGTTTTACTGCTAGTCCCTTGCGCCAAATGAAATAAGCAGAAAGGACTCGTCTGTCTGGTGCTGGTCTGTGGGAATTTGACGTTTAATGGAGCAAGGGGCCTGAGGGGGCAACATGCAACGGCCCGATGGAATCTTTGGCATTTATCGACCCCCTCCGGGACTGCGACCCGTTCAATGTCAATTTTTCGAGTCCTCCACACAACAGAAACTGCTTATCACTGCCACCAAGTTCGCGGAATTTGCGCAAGGGGATCAGTTCTCTGTGCTGAGCCTCGCTTGCTAGACGTCTTCTCCGTTTCGAGTTTCGGGAGGTGCTGCTCGAGCTGCAACCAATCCCAAGTGAAAGTGCCCTTAGCGTGTATTCACATTGGGGTCCAGAAAACACGATAGTCTTTAGGCTGAGCTGCAGCATTGCTTGTTTTGACCGCCACGCTCAGGCGGTGCCTTGTCGCAGCTCGTGCGGGGCCATCCCGTGAGCTTGGAGGGGTTAGGGTGAGAGGTGCCCTTTTGGGCCCTCGTCCGGCCAGCGAAGATATATCTGCACTCCGATAAGGCTCAAAATAAGGCTAATACTTCTCCCATTGTGATGCAGGGACGTAACGCGGAACATATGGCTCTTAGGCGTGTCGCCGGGTAAGCACCCAAAAATTCAAGATGCCCAAGTTGGAAAGGAAACTTGGGAAAGGGAAGGAACTGTGATGAGCACCTTGTGTGCTCAGTGAATTCCTTACTGGCTCTAAAGCTCATAGGCATGCAGCAAGGGACTCCAGCTTCGTGTTTGGTACAGTCCTGTTCCAGTTTGAATCTCACAGCAAAGTGGTGCCTGTGTTGCAGGGCTCTGTTGGCATTGTGCCTCATTGGAGCTGTCAGCGCTCAGGACGATGCTTCAGCCCTCGAATCAGTGAAGTCAGTGTTTTTACCCACAACTCCCAACGACTTTGGGGGCATGATCTTCTCCCTGCTCCAAGAGCAGGCCAACTTCCTGGCGGCCAAGGACGGTGCTGAGGTGAGTACCTGCATAGCCATCATTTCAGCAAAAATCAGGGGCTGGCAGAAATTCACACAATCCAGCACCTCACGAGCTGCGCACGTTCCAACTGACAATGTATGGTGTGTTGATGTGCAGACTGAGGGCTCGCCCCTGAACCTGCTCACCTCCATGGCCTCATGGGCTGCCCAGGCCCAGACTGCTCTATTCAACATGGCCCCTGCTGAGTCAGCCAGCAGCCTCCAGTCCCTGCCTTCCACCCCCTTGCCAGACCCGCTCACCCAGCTCCTCAATGTCACCGCATCGTGCGCTTCTAACCTTCAGCCCCCCACTTGCTCACACGCAACATGCCAATGGACCCTCAGGCCAGTGTGACCTTAGTAGGTTCTTTCACATGGCATCATGAACCTGACCAGAGCTCCGGTGATGCATCCTCTCTGTTGCATGTGCCTTGGATGCTCAAGCAGGGTTGGACATTGACTTTGCAAAGTACTGAACTTCTGACTGTCAAGCGCCGCAGATGTCACAGTCACTGTCTCAACTTGAGACTGTCAAGTGCAGCATTCTTGTGAAAGGATCAGCTGTGCATCATCTCACTTGTTCGCACTGTGATATAAAGGTGGGGAAGCATCATTGGTGGCGCACATGCTGACCCCGTGCCCCAGAACCTGCTTAACTTCCTGATTGAGAACCCCGTGGGCCCCCAGCTGGACGCTGCAGTCAAGGCCCTGCCCACTGTCACTGTAAGTTCCCCCTTAACCACCGCCTCATCTGCCATGCATAATATTTTTAAGAAGGTTGCCAGATCTGGGCCTTCCTGAGCTTGAAAGAGCCAGGCTGTGCATTGTCCCGCATGTAGTATGTAACATACTTGTATATCTGGGGTATGCATATCATCAGCTCATGTGATGGTGGCCTGACACATGCAGGACCCTCTGCTGCTCGCCAACGCCACCGCCAACTTTGGCAGTGCCGTGACCGGAATCCCAGGCGTGCCTGCCATCTTTGCCAAGGGTGGTGGCAACCAGATCTTCTCCCAGTCCGCCATCGTGACCAGCTACAGGTGACACAACCTCTCCAGTCTTTGCAGCCCCCATGCACACCCGGCATTGTCCCCATACATTGTGGTGTATTGTCTATCAAAAACTGACTCGTCCAATGTGCTGCAGGCCGTGCTTTGTGAGCCAGTCGGCCACCGGTGTCCAGATCAGCACCCAGCTGATTTCGATCAACCCCCGTGTCATCACATCTTCTTTCACCGGCGTGGCTGTCACCCCCAAGCTAATTGAGATCCAGCCCACCCTCATCAAGGTCGGTGTTAACGTGTCCCCCACCGGTACGCGCCCCTCTTTCCTCCCTGCTTTTATGAACTCTTACCCTTCCTTTTATTCTCAGCCTGCGGCAGAGAATATGTGAGCTGCATCACAAATGTCAGGATTGTTGCCCATGGACGCTGCTTCTGCCTGAGACTTATGGCAGCCTCAGTCTTATTTCTGCAATACTTATTGTCAGTCGTCTGAAAGCAGCTGTGCTGAAAACATTCCTAACATGCTGTGTCTCGCATGCATGCAGGCATCCAGGTCATCCCCAAGCTGATCAACGTGGGACCCCAGGTGTCCATCAGCTACCCGGCAACCCCTGCCGCCAAGGCCCCCGCCGCTGGCCGCCACTGAGCGCCAGCCCTTTCTGCAGCTTCCCCTTGATAAAGCTTTGCATGCTGTCGGCTGCGAGCGTATTCACACACTCCGGCCCACTAACAGCATGCATGGCTGCCACCATCTGGGCCCACCTGCGGATAGACGGTCTTGTTTAGTTTGTGTGTGCGCGCCCCTAGCTGCAGTGCTGAAGGCGGCTGCCACCACAGCACCTCACACCGCCGAATGCTGCTTTGCGCAAAACTTGACCCCAGTCCTGTAGTTTATACTCGTCCGATTTCGTTTGCCGGCTGGTTACGCTTGGTGCATCATTTCATGTGACGTGTTTAGTCTGTAGAGTAGTGGCCTAGAATATATTTTTTGCGTATTTGTGCTGGCGAGTCTGCACAGCTGTCCAGGGAATGTGTCGATTTGATTAATTGCCAGGTTTTGGCTGCAAAGTTGTGAGCCCACTGGGGAGAGAACTAGTGTAGCCTTGCTGCCTTCTACAATGTGACCCTTGCCTGTTACACCATGCGCAAGCTGTTGATGCCCTTTGCCATTGCGGGAGGTGTGGATCTGGTGTTGACTGCAGCAGCATGCCTGTTGCAACGCGTCACAGTGTTACAAAGCAAGTGTCATTCCTCGGCCGGACCCAATCCATGCATGCAAGGCACAACTCCAGCACAGTGCATCAAGCACAGGTTTCTGGCATTAAGTCCAAGAATGCAGGTGGTCTGCTATGCATGAGCCTGTGTAGGCAACAGGTCAAGCTGGCCACTCCAAAGTCGCAATGCGCAGCAACCGACTGCTGCTCTGGAGATTACTTGCCTCAGCTAACGCACTACATTATTTCATGCATAAGAGTGCAGAGGTACTAGTATAGAGAGTTTCTCTACTTACTATTACTTCAGGGCTAAATCCGGTTTGCAGCAGGAAAAATATTGTGGGTGCTGGCAACAAAAGGTGCTTACAGGAGCATCGAATGACTTCCATGATGCCCCTTTAGTTATTCTGCCTATTCTTGCAAGGTTATGAAGCAGCTGTACTTGAAAGGTGGCCCTGCAGCCAAAGGCATCGGGCGCCTCCAGAGGTCAACCCACTCACCCTGTCCTTGCAGAGCAGCAATGCAGTCATCTGCAGGCAGGATACGTCCTCGAGGATGGCGACGATCTAGCAGCACGTCTGCTGCAACTGCTGCACAGCAAGGGAACTTGAGAGAAGAAGCCCATTCAACATCCATCAGGTTGTCGTTCAGTGCGAATTAATGTGATCGATCTGTCTATTTGCATCTGCATCAGTGATATTGGCTAAATTTTCAAGGATCCACCTCGATGCATGCTCGTATTGGTGTTCTGCTGTACTTGTGCAGAGCTCTCGAGCAGTGAATGTCAATCTGGAGTAACCTTATACGCATATTGAACACACGACCTTGTGCCTGGCAGTGATGTGGGCCTTCCTCGAGCAGCAGTCCTGGGTGTCCTTGGAGGCGGCCAGCTGGGGAAGATGCTTGCAGCAGATGCGGTGCGACTTAGACCGTACTCACTATGCCTAAGGCTCCTGTGCATGTCATTATCACATAGCCGCACTCTCGTGTGCCCATTCCTGACCTTCATAAGGGTTGCATGCAGGCAAGGATGGGCATAAAGGTGGAAGTGCTGGACCCCACACCAGATTGCCCAGCAGCTGTTGTGGCCAGGCAGACGCTTGGCAGCTTCAGGGATCCTGTGAAGATCAGGTAAACTCCACTCGCAGCTACCTAATGCCACAAGACAGCATTTGTATTTACCCCTTGCCAGCGCACACTGGAATGTTCATTGGCACGTCACAATGAGGGATGGCAACAGTTCATAAGAATTCTCACCCTGTTCTGCAGCTTGTAGGCTACGAGGGACCATACTGTAAGCTAGGTGCTGGCATCAGGAAACAGCTGAAGCGAGTGAAGAGTGAGCCCTGGAGTGGACCGCTGTGCGACGCTGAGAAGAAGTTATCCTTTGCCTCTGCAGGGAGTTTGCAGAGGGAGTGGATGTGCTCACAGTGGAGATCGAGCACATTGACGCAGATGCTCTGGACAGCGTGGCTTCAGAGCTGGGCCTTGATGTGGAGCCCACACCCTCCACCCTCAGACTCATACAGGTCTTGCACTTGCCCAACAGGCTATCGTCTGCTCCTCCTCTCAACCATTCCTCGCGTATATGATCTGTGGCTGCACAAAACTTTCAATCGCGCGCTTGACATTGGCAAGGAATTACTGGCTGATCATAGCCCTTGATAAATTTTGGCATTGCCCTTTGCCCTTGGCTCCTCTGTGGGAGATCCTTGCATCTACTGCCCACATCTTGCCTGCCCTGAAACCTAGTCAATTGCAGCTGCAGGAACGTGCACTGATGACTTTAATTTGTGCTTTGCAGGACAAGCTCGTGCAGAAGAGGCACTTCCAGAGCGCCGGAGTGCCGGTGGCGGACTTTCTTGGGATTGATGATCCGGCAGCCGCGCAGGCCGCTGCACAAGCTTTCAGCTTCCCCTTCATGCTGAAGGCTCGCAGGTGAGTCAGCTACATCTGACCCACCCACCCAATTTTTGCATGCTCTCAAATACTGCTGCAGCGCCACTGTCTACATCTAATGGCCTGAAGCATGCCTGTTTGGGCCCGCTCCATCATGGCAGCCATCTTGCAAGAGAGACATGGCCAATGATAGTGCGCTCAATTCGCTGCTGCAAGTGGGAAGGAAATCTGTACTTTGCATGTCATGTTACGGGGTGTGCCGCACTTAGAGGTGATCTGAGGCTTTAGGGCCCAAAGAAATATACTTGGGATCTTGAGTGTTTCATGTGTGCTGGTGCCAGGCTGGCGTACGATGGCAGGGGGAACGCGGTGGTGCAGAGCAGGGAGGAGCTAGAGGGCGCAGTCGAGCAGCTGGGGGGGTATGGCCAGGGGCTTTACGCCGAACGATGGGCACCCTTCGTCAAGGTAACCCTCTGCAGCAGCACTTAGCATCCTTGTCCTGACTTCCAAAAATGCAGCCACTTCGATCAGCATGCTGCCTCCAATGTTTGCATCAAGGACAGCTTAAACCATGAAAACTGATCATTCTGACAGAATCGTGTCCCGAACTTTGCATGTGTGCTGTTCTTCTGAGCGCCCTAGGCATCATGCTTCACTCTGAATGCAGTGAGGTCGTGGCTAATTGCGTCTGGATTCAGATTTGAATGGTGAACCCAGGAGCTGGCGGTGATGGTGGGGCGCAGCAGGGAGGGCAGCACGAGGGCGTTCCCTGTCGTAGAGACCGTGCACAGGAACAGCATCCTGCTGGTCACAGAGGCGCCCGCGCAGGTTTCACCAGATGTGCAGCGACGCGCTCAGGAAGTCGCGGAGCAAGCTGTTGCCTGCCTTGACGGTGCGCAGCGTTGAAGAACTGCGAACATGTGTTGCACTTGCTGTGCCCGTGCGGTGCGATACGGTGGCACAGGCGCTCCGATCGTGCGCGCATCTACCAGCAAGCACAGCGTTTACAGTAGATAATGAAGTCAAACAACGCTCACCGCGGGAACATGCTCGCCGTCAATCCAACATCATTACACTGCTGCATGGTTGTGTGCATATGGAACATCCCAGTGCCCGGACGGCACCCTTTGCAATCTTGCTACTGCATGTCCCTCAATAGGAGCGCAGAGGGTGTCCATTGCACATTGAAGCTTGGAGTGCTCATACAAAATGTATACTGTGCAGTCGTGCTACCATGTGTTGCTCTGGGAAGAGATAAAGGGGTGATTCTGGGTGCAGGCGCGGGCGTGTTTGGGGTGGAGATGTTTCTGCTGGAGGACGGCGGCCTGCTGCTGAACGAGGTGGCGCCGCGGCCGCACAACAGCGGCCACTACACTATTGAGGCATGCGCCACCAGCCAGTATGAGCAGCACCTGCGTGCAGTCATGGGCTGGCCGCTCGGCGACACCAGCCTCGCCGTTGGCGCCTGGTGGGTTTGTCATTTTTCACTGGTAGAACCAGTATGTGTATACAGTACTGAATTGTTAAAGTTCTCACCTATGACCTAGGCGCACTGGCTATTTCAGACAACTTCGAAGTGTACTGAGTGGCCCCCGCTGCTTTCTCGCCCTAGGCTTTTGCTAGAATGCTCGACTTGCTGAGATGCTTTTGTCGTGCGAGGATCCCATCAGAGCGAATGAGGTCATGTGGAGCTCTGTCGCGACATGTGCTGTTGCCAAGAGCCAAGAGCGTGCGACCTAGATATGGCCGGGGTGTGTCAGGGCAAGGCAATTAGGGGTGCTGTCTGCTTTCCGAGTGCTGTCACATGCTGTAGGCAGACTATGCACGGTGCCCAAAAAGTAATGCTCGAGCTCTATTGCGTTCTGTGGCGGGCTACAGATGCACCCCATTGTCTTGAGTGCCATTCGGGGGTTTTCCAGATACTGCAATAGCTGACAGTTGTTCCACATGTGTGCGTGCAGCATTATGCTGAACATTCTGGGGGAGGCTGATGGAGAGGAGGGCATTCAGAGGGCCCATGAGGTTATGGCACGCGCATACCAGGTGCCTAATTCTTTCTCCATCGCCCTCCAGCTGACTTGCCAGTTTTGGTGGCCTATCCAATTCATCTCACACTCTTGCCTTGCCTGGATTTTGCGTTTATTCTTCACAAATGTCCTCCGTTCGAGCCTCTCTGCCTCAGACCTGACCTGGCATTGTGCAGCCCCATGCAGCACCTCCAATTGAGTAGCCCGTACTGAGCCATTAGTACGCTGGCCTGTCAGCAGGTGCCGGGCGCAACCGTTCCCTTGCTGACGTGGCGTGCTGTAGCGCTGAGTCATGGGTTGCCTGTTGTGGCAGGTGCCGGGCGCGAGCGTGCACTGGTACGGCAAGGCTGAGGTGGCGCGCCAGCGCAAGGTGGGCCACGTCACCATCGTGGCGCCCGACGCGGTCGAGGCGCGCAGCAGGCTCGCCGCCGTAGACCCCAACGCGGCCGCCGCCCTCGCCAGCACATCAGGTGCGCTGCCTCTGCTCATCCTTTCCCCATCCTTAAGGGTTGCTTGTTCCCCTGAGCAACGTGCACTCGCCAGAACCTCGGGTGTGTGCTGGCATTCCCTTGCTTGTTCGTTACGAATTATGGCACCACTCTGCTGAGCAAGCTTCCCTCGCCAGCACATCAAGTGTGCGCTGCAGTCTGCTTGCTTAGTTCTCACTAAATGATGCAGAACTCTGCAAGCAATCTGCCCTTCCAAGCTTGTCACGTGTGCTGTCACCCAGCTTCCCTGAACGTGCCTGAAATGATTCACTGCTCTGCCAAATGGCGTTCGGGTTTTACCTCGTGTGAATGTGTATGCGGGCACAGAGGCCGGCCCCTAGTATGCTTGAAACGCTTGAGCTGACTCACATAATGTTCTGTGAGCCGGCAATAGCGGTCCCAGCATGCTTAGAGCCACGACAATTTTCTGCCTTGTGAGACCACCTCTAATTTGTCCCATCTGCTGGCAATGTCCTTGCAGGATCCACTCTGGTCGACTGGCTTGTTGCCACCTGCCCTTCCTCCCTACTTGGCACTCGCACTGCCCTGTCTGGCTTGCATCTCTTTTCTCTTGACTGTGCGCAACAGCAATGAACATTTCTTCACTGAGGCCGCAGGGAGGGAGGAGGGCGGGCAGCAGCCGCGCGTGGGCATCATAATGGGCTCGGACTCGGACCTGCCCACAATGCGCGCGGCGGCCGAGGTCCTGCGCGACTTCGGCATCGCCGCGGAAGTCACCGTGGTCTCGGCACACCGCACGCCCGACCGCATGCTGGAGTATGCACGATCCGCGCACTCGCGCGGCATCAAGGTCCCGCTCTTTCCCTTGCTCACTTTTCTATCTCTGGATGGTTGCACACCTGCTGGACAACTGCGTTCATCGGGTCTTTATCGATCCAATGACCTGTTCCCAGTTCCCCCTATGACAGCATGCCCGGCTGCCTCAATGACAGGCCTGATGTTTGCGGAGCAGTCCGCCTTGATGGCCTGCTGTAAAGGAATGGTGGGGTGTGCGTGTGAAATTGCTGAGGAGGAATGCTGTAATGTTGCTTGCATGTTTCCTTAAGAACATCAAAAGGCGTCTCTGCGAAAGCAAGCAGGCCTGTGTTGATAAGTAGCTGGGACCGTGCCGCAGCCTCAATGCCACGTCCTAATCCTTGAGCTCATCTCTGCACAATAAATATCGTGTTAAAAGCATCTATGGGGACTCCTCAGCGGGTTCATAAGGGAAGAGGACTTCAGCTTCCATCAGAACAGCGATGGGGTACAGGCCATCGTCGCCTTTCGAATCCTCCATGCAGAGGGTATCTGGCTCTGCGCGCAGGTAATCATAGCCGGGGCGGGCGGCGCCGCGCATCTGCCGGGGATGGTAGCCGCGCTGACGCCGCTGCCGGTCATCGGCGTCCCGGTGAAGCCGGCCGGCGCGCACCTCGACGGCCTCGACGCCCTCCTCTCCATCGTGCAGGTGTGTCACCGCTTGTTTGGCTATTTTGCAGCAGCAACATACAGTACAACAGGCTGCCTTACCTACAGCAGCATAGGGAGGTCTAGGGGCTCCTCTCTTAAAAAAGCCTGCTCACCATTGTCTACTTGCGCCACCGCTTGGTTGGGGCATTATCCTTACACCAACATGGGGAGGGCTAGGGCTGCTTCTTAGGCTCAGACTGTGGTTCAGCTTTCCTTTTCCGGCAGGTAGGTAAGCTGCTTTTGAGCACCCGCCCTGACGACAAAATGGCCCCGGAGGAGGTTCGGCTCAAATCGGAAATTTAACGGAGTCTTGGAAGTGCAACAAGCAGAAGCAGTCTCTCTTGCAGGTCCAACTCTGGATGCTGTTGTACTGACACAATAGCTGCAGCCTAAGGAGCCTCTAGCAGTCTATTTTGCAGGTCCTATTCTGGATTCCGCTGTGATTACACAAGGGCTGCAGCTTAAGGAGCCTCTAGAAATTACAAAGCACTGCAGCAATGATTACAATTTTTTCCCGTAGATGCCGCGGGGGGTCCCGGTGGCGACGGTGGCGATAGGGAACGCTGCGAACGCTGGCCTGCTGGCGGCGCGCATCCTGGCCGCTCACGAGCCGGCGCTGCTGCAGCGCATGTTGGAGTACCAGGAAGGCATGCGCACCACCGTGCTCGGCAAAGCGCAGCGCCTGGAGACCGTTGGCTGGGAGGATTACTGATCGGACGTGATTTTACATGATTTGTGTCACAGACGGTCCTGCTGCTTGTACCGTGGTTTACTGTTTGACAAGGTTGCTACTGGAATGGACTCGCGAATGCAGGTTTCAAGTGTTTTACTTGTGTTTTCTGGGTGGTGGCAGAAATCCTTGTTTCAACGCAATCGTTTTAAAGTTCTGGACTTGGCTCCTAGCAAGTACCAATTGGTGCTGCAATCCCAGTTCCATGGGAGGATATCAGTACATTACAGAATGAGCCAGGCCGAGATCTGCACTCTGTGAGAGGACAACTCTGCTCCCCGGCTCAAGATGATATAAATTGAGGCAAAGAAAGGGCTTCATCAACAATGGTAATCTGGGAAACGCCTCTAGCTCAAGTGTTTGCCTTCAAGTTCATCTTCAAGCGCAAGTTCCATTCCAAAATAATTGCGAGCCACAACAATGATGACATCTTGCTGGTCACAATCTTTTGGATTCACATATTTCCAAATTTGTTAATTGGGACTTGACCAAACCGGGATAGGATCCTCCGGAGCAGCCCCAAAGGGCTCTCGACGCCACTGCCAAGTTCTTGCATAAAACTGCAAACATAGCATACTTTAGAAAGTACATAAGTTACAAAAGAACGCACATTCAATGAGCAGCCATGCCATTGGGATTAGCACTGCTGTGTCTCAGAACAAGAAGTGACGTTTGACATTGACATTGATAGGTGGACAGCGGCTTGCAAGCCAGGCATCACTGTCTGCATGTGTGACAAACCACACAGCAGGTCCCGGGATTCGAATTCGCCCCGTCATGCGCAGTGTAGTAAATAATCTGTTTGGCAAAAGCACTGCCGTCATCCTGGTCCTTTGCATGGTCAGCCCATCGGAGGCGCATAGAAGCGTGTAAGAGCAGATAACGCCCGGTTGTCAAGTGGCGTCCACGCTCGAGGCCCCTGGATTCCCTGCAGGAACAGATTTCGTCATGAACAAATGAGCGATGCATGCCAACAGAAGTTATTTCTCTGGTTGCACTGGGTGAGCACGAAGCCAGGCCCTGCCTTGACTAAGGCAGTCCTGGAATATTGCACAGAAGAAAGTGCCAACATTGTTGTTCAACTTCTCTATTGTGCTACTTGCTCACTCACTAGCAGTTGCTGTTTCATCCCCAGTGGGTGCACTCCCACATCATTCTACATTCACATCACAGTCATCCAGTGACAGTCCACAGCAGAGATGCTCAAGTGCACAAGTGGCGGCGATGATTTCATAAACACCTTCAATTTTACTGTCCTACGCCTTTTACTAAAGACATGCATGCGCACCTATTTTGGCGACCCAGGGGGCGATGCTGGCTGGAATCATGTGAGCGGCGGATGCGTTCTGGGGGCATGCGGCGACTCGCGCGCCGACGTAGCGCATCTTGGAGGGGGAGTCGAGCTTGTGCAAGATGATCCAGGGGTCGTCGCTGCAGATGCCCGCCTCCGTCTCCTCGTCCAGCTGGAACCCACTCACCTGGCCAGCGCAGCAGAACGATTACTCATCGCCGGTCGCGCTGGGGGATGTGAGAGAAGGGTTTAATACAGCGGTTTACCTCCCCGACATTTGGTGGCAGAGCCATTCACAGGAGGTGACTAAGTTCAAGCGGCAAGTACCACACTCCATGCGTGCAAGCTCTTGCATGCTTGTGGATTCAGACTGCTTGGAACCCTCCTGGCACAAAAGATCTGATGTTCTGGCTGAGCCTCTCAGCACAACACCATTGGTTGTCAAAGTCAACCCTTACTCACGCATCTGTACTTCTTGAATGAAGGAAAATGAAGGAGCACTCGCCTGCTTGTGGCCAGGCCTCCGCTCCAGCGCCTTGAAGCAGCACGGCCAGAAGTTGCTGTTCATTCTGCGCATGCATGGGCATCAAGCTCAGAAAAAATATGCAACTAAAGCTGCTTTGTCTATAACAGTGTGCATAGCCGTGCTACAGTGATGCAAATGGCGAGAGTGCATCTCTGCGCGGCGAAGTGCTGGGAGATGCTGGGCAGAAAAGCAGACAGGTTCCGTAAGGCAACGCAGCAGACAAAAGAGGTAGCACCGCAACACATGTCCCTCTTTCCTTGAAAAGGCAACTGACAAGGGTGAAGAGGCACTCACTTGGGGTGGTCAATCTGGCGCAGGTCCATGGCCATGACCCAGAAGCCGATGGTTGCGTCCTCTATCGGCGTGAACTTGAGGCTGACCTTGCTCTGCATGTGCACCAACGCCTGTGCCACATCTGCACAGCCACACCCCATGTTACTCCACCACCGTTTATCCAGCATCTCAGTGGGCACAACTCCTGAGCTGGAAAGCAAGAAGTGGGGATATCTCTACTCATCCCCACTTCTTGCTTTCTAGCTGTGTGATGAACCGTACACAGGATGCTGTCTATCGTGCTGGGTAGGTACCATGCAATTGCGGCATGGCAACAGAGAGGGCGCAGCAACGGCTGTGGCAAAATAGCAGCAAGGTTTAAATAAAGGCAGGCTTCCTGCATCAACTTCCCCTTGGCTTGAGCACGGGCACTGCTGCCCAGATGATTGGTCATGCCAGGTATGGAAAAATTGAGTGGAATGGTCTACCTGAACTGAGGATGTAGCCGCCGCCAAACATGTAATTAGCGTAGGTCTCCAGGCCGGTGTGATTGTAGTACTCCTCGTTGTTCCAGCGGTGCCCGGGCGTCACTATGACCTTCCCCCGCCTGCAAGGGGTGTGAAGAACCCATTCAGGCCATGACTCTAGATGCCTGCGCACTATTTGGAGCGGCAGTGAACGGAGAAGACTCCCGCTACGCAGCACCCTCGAACACCATCACATGTGTACAAGCAAGGAGTCAGTACACTCAAGCAGTCACACTGCTCAAATTCTTGTGACTTCCACTCGGAAAGAATAGGATCAGACAGTACCGCAGCACGGGACAGAACATGCATGGCATGCCACCCTGCGGCACATGAGACTTGCAACCGCCAGTGACGCATATGGAGAGAATATGATGGGGATAGAGACGTTGCAAGGCATCAGGCAAGCACATCACCTGCACTGCTTGCCCATGTACAGGCGCTCCCGGCGGCAGTCAGGGCTCTCGCACAGCAGCCGCAGCTGTTGCACCATCGCACGCGTGTGCACAAAGGCGTCGTCGTCGGTTTTGAGGATGAAGCGCGCGTCATAGTGCCGCACAGCATACTCGTACACAAACAAGGTCTTCAGCAGGATGGACTTGTAGGTTGTTTCCCCGTGCACGAGCACAATGTCCTGGTGCTCCTGCATCTCCTCCTGCACCAGCTCTGTGACCTCGTCGTCCGACAGGATGAAGCGGCAGACTGACACCCCTGGAACCTGGCATGCCGTGGCCCAGGCATCCCTCACCGCCAGGCGTCTGTGCCTGCGCGAGCACAATCGCCAAACTGAGATAAGGACTTTTTTATTTCAAACTCTCTTAAGCTTGTCATGGGAATGCTTTCCATGCTCCTTCTCTACTGTCGCTGTGCAAATGCTGGGGTGCAAGTCAAGGCAAGGGTAGATGGGAAAGCATGCATCAGTGCTTGATAATCATGAGGTACTAACAATCTTGATTTTTAATCTTGATGCGATAAGCTCATGCATGCGGAGGAGAGCACAAGCACCTGTAGCCTCTGCCAGAGATAATGCCCACAAAGAGAAGGGTGTCGTCTAGCTGGCTTTCCTTTCCTTCGGTGATTGACGACTGAGAGACCTTGGACTCGGAGAATATCTCTTTCTTGTGATTATTGATGAGATCGTTGTACTGTGCCCTTGCACAGACGTGAGAGCAATTTATAGCTGGGCACTCAGCGGAGCACTCCACGGCTTTCTGATCAGTGATATCGTTCTCTTCCACGTAATGTGACTGTCTGTTTAATAGTGTCAAATTGAGACCCCCACTGAGGACTAGAAGCAGTACACTCACATATACTATGATCCTGCCATCCCGATCGAAGTCGAACGTCCTCTTTCTCTTCAATAATTTCCATCCAGTTCCCATCTTACGAACATTCTGTTACATTTCCAAAAGCTGGATCAGGCTAAGCCAGAAGGGAGGGTCTGTAGTCTGTACAGCTATCGCTAGCTGTCGCTATTTCATGGCGCAACCTCCGAGTGAATTGCCCAATTGGAGCAAGCCGCTTGGCATGTTCAACACCTTCCCATGGCTTTCTCCTGGTGGGGCCTGGGTCCTTCGGGATCCGGCTCCTCGACAATCATGGCAACATACATAATGGCTGGGCAAGGTGCTTCGATAGAGGCGGCCCTTTTACAGTTAACGGCATCACCATAAACCACTGATCAACTGGGTCGGGCTTCAGCAGCCAGGCAACATCACAGAGAATTCAATGAAAGGACGTAATCAGACGAAATAATCGCCGGGCACAAAGCGACGCTTCAACAGAGGCGGCCCTGACAGCAACAATGTGGGTATACAAAAGTGGAGCAGACAGAGGCCAGGCGATAGCGGCTGGGAAGCATAATAATAAATTGATGTTAATGACGCAGTAGTAAAAATATCTAGGACGGCCAAGCTTTGGTTGGAGCGGAAGAGGCAACAGCCGCCAGCCGCCATTACCAGTAAAAGAAGGATGCGACGGCTGTTTGCATCATTGTCTGACGCGAAGAATCGACCGCAGTAATAGAAATGGCCATGAGACCTTTTACAGAACAAGCAGATTTTGCAGTGTTGCGTTCTTGTGTGTGCCCTGCAAAACCCAGGCAGGATGTTCTGGGTCCTGGTCCAAACCTAGGACAAAGCGCGTACAAGCTGTATTGGGGCTTTGAGGAGATTTCAGTCTAACCTCCTGCAGTTTTCACCTGATTGCAGCTCCTTGAACACCTGCCAGTCCAGGTGTGCCTTTGCAAACCACTCAGCTGTGCTCCTTGTGGGGGTACTTGATCCACAGTACAAGTGCAGGTCTGAGGATCTGTTTGGTGACCTTGCATTGCTGGTTCGGTACGGGTCTACATGCTGCTGTGTAGTAGCTTAGCAATACAGGTGGCGGCAAGCATTGTGGGGCATTGGGTACCCCCCTTGCTTGTTTCACCGAGAAGCGCTGTTATTGCAAGGATTTGGGCAGTCTTTACAATGACAGCAAATGGCTGGACCCACCCGCAGCACGCACAATCTGTTTGGCCTGTGATTTGCGTCCATGTCCTGCCCTTGACTTGTCGCTGGTTTGGACCGACATACATCCACAAGCAGCCTTGCAGTCCTTTTTGGCAGTTGATACTTGTCTGCGTGCTGGGATGCATATTTTCGGGTATTCATGATGTGTGTGCTACTGATGGTTTGAGATATGTGGGACGCTTAATCAGCCCTGTGTGGCTGGAAAAAGTGTAATCTCTCTCTCTCTCTCTCTCCCATGCAGACCCTTTCATTTGGTCCTTAAACGAGCACCTGGGGCTGTTTGATGCAGGCATAGCTAACCAAGCACAACATGCAGGCCCCAATCTTGCAAATTGCTGGCGTGCTACTGAAGTGTTACACTTACAAAGGCAGGCGCGCCTGCCGGCACTGGCAGGTCCGATTTGATCCGATAGAGTCTGCCGTATACTGTATAGATCAAGTGACTGATTGCTCAAACATGCTCTGATAATTTGGGCATGACAAGTTGCACACCCTGCCTGCGCTTGCAAGGCAGTCATTGCATAGCTAGCACAGCATCGCGTTGCATGTGTGACTCAGCAGCACCGCAGACACAACAGGGACAGACTATACAAAGCCTGAGGCATTCCAACAGTATAGATTCATCGAACCATGCGATGCCAGCTTGCTCATCGCACTTTACAGCTGCTAACCTGCCAAAAATGGGCAGGCTGCACAGCAGTCCAAGTGCATTTGGCTATCCACCACTAACACTATGCACGCCCAATGGCGCACCTGCAGCATCAGCTGGGCATCTGTCATCATCATCGTATGCTGACTTTACTTCTGCAAACACTTAGGTGAAAGATACACAAGGTGCGGTCTGCTCTTGACATCAGCGGCTGTGTTGAGCGGAGAGTATGCCATTTGCATCACACAACGTTCTGCAATGAGATTATTAGACACTGTGTCTGACGCACCTGCATGGCTTGCAGCAACCAAGGGAGGCGCCGCCCGTGCTGCAGTGCCAAAACGTGCATTGTAACCTCCATATGACGGATCCAAGGACTTGCCGCAGTCAATACAGTAAAGCCCTCTGCACCACAGCCGCCAGGGCCGTCAAGACGGTGATCATGCTACTTTGTACTCAATCCAGAATAAGACAATCCTGAGATTGCTCGCTGTGCGCAGAACGCATATTAGCATTCCTTCCCCCAAAGTGTGCGAGCAATATGCGTAACAAACCATAGAGTGACCTTACTGATGCATCATGCAGGATGTGGCCGCTGTCTCCGACGGCTTTTTTGTGCATGGTGCACGCCCAAGGACACCTGTCACAGACCAGCACCCTCTCATCTGCACGAAGCACTGCCCTTTATCGACCCCTCTCTACATGCAGAGCCAGTCCCTTTACTGGAAGTGGCGGTGGCACCAGACTGGACTCCCTGATAGTGCAGAACTGAGAGCATGTTGAGCACTGAAGCTTCCTGATGCACAGAAAGGAGATGAGACCAAGGGCAAATGAGCGCCGGCCAGTGGCATGCGGATGGGTGTAATCACAGAATGTGTCCTCACCACAACAGTCGCTGACAATACCAGCCACCAATTCCTGCCGGCCTGGCCAAAGTGTGCGGCAGTCACAAGCAGCATCTGCGCAGGCAGACAGAGAGATATCGGACTGCATATTTTATCTTCAGAAAGCACGACACGCTCAAGGTAAGTTTCACATACCCCTAAAAGCTTCATATTGCATGATAGCCATGCCTCCCAATCTTTTCATAGCTTGCGATGATGTCTGGTGGAGAAATATAAAAAATTCCGGCTGTGGTTCACCTGTGTGGTGCATGGTAGCGATGTGCTGTTGAGTGCCTCCCTATACGCTGTTGCGCTCAATATGGGCTTTGCTCCCTGGACGCATCAGAAAGGCGACTTTAGATATCATTTGACAAGCCAATTCTCGCGCTCAAGTTCGATGCCACAAAACATGCCCAAAAGTGTTGCTTGGCAGTACACCCTAGTCCATGACATCATGCGGTATCTCTGAAAGAGGCAAGAGAAATAATAATGCTCACCGTCTTGGCTGAAATGAAGGCAACCAAGCTCTCGAAAGACTGCTGCCCTTCCAGAGTATACCGCCGTCCCTGCAAGACATGGAGTCCTCTCAGCTCATTATATCATATAGGTATTACTTCACTTCCAACAAAGCAATCTCGAGTTTGGATATGCTGTTTTGCATACTGGCTGTGTTCTGAGGTGAGCAATGTTGCTGCTGTTGGGAGGCTACTTGCTCCATGGAATGTACGAGTGCTTCAGGCAACGCACCGTTGTGTATATTTTAAAGGCTGGCAGAGCGCCCAGGCGGTGGTGCATCTGCTCTGTGTAGGTGATCTCCTCAAATGTGACCTTCAAGAAGACGCAGTCTTCCCTCCTGAAGAAATGTGGCAGGCAGGAAAGCAGCTCGCGCATCGACAGCGACCATGGGTTGCTTTCTGACAGGTAAGCCACAAACACTGCCAGGGCAGTCTCCCTCAGTGGTTGTGAAAATCGCGTGGTAGCCACCACATCCCATATCCTGTGCAATTTAGTGACGTCAGGCAGTTGTCCATACAGCGATTCAATGAAAAGGACGAAGAATATCACGGCTTGGACCAGAACCTTTCGGCTGGAATGCTGTAGAAGGCATTATCCGTTGGGAAGCGCGCTAAACTGCAGACTGGGGCTGTATTTGGTAATACTTGCGATAAATCAGGTATCCTGCAGTATGCTTGACACTGATGGAAGCATGATGAAGTTGCTACATACACTAGGACTGCGGGTAGGACTGGCCAGAACACAGATCTGCTATGGCTACCATCCGAGGACATAAGTACCACTTTGTAATAGAATGCAAATTATAGATTGAACGGGATTGGCAGAGGGATGCAAGGAAAGTCAAAGCTGACGGTGTATGTACAGTGGAAGATGAATACGGCTATATCGCTGGTGCACTAGCTTTTTCAAAACTTGGTATCCAAGTAACATGTCCTGAACGCGATCATGAATTTAGAAAAAGTTGAGCAAGATGCATGGCAGGAAAGGGGCTTCTCCTATCGAGCAACCATTAATAGAGTTATCCACCCTTAACTCCCTCGATTGGGTATTATGCTTATAAACCCTAAATCCACCATTGGATTCCCCGTGGAAAAATATTATCCTAAAGGCCCCTTCCCTAAACCCTAACCCTAAACCCTAAATGCGCATTGCCTAAACCCTAAGGGTCGATGCCTTATATAACGGTTGCTCGATAGGAGAAGTCCAGGAAAGGTCAAGATTTATCGCCGTCTTAGACCGTGATCCTGGTAAAACTTTTGGCAAGCCTTGAAAGAGCTGGAAATGCCCAGCAATTTGTAGTGTATAATTTATCTTACAAAAGACAATCTAGTATCCAGAATAACTTTTCCGACCGTGCACGCCATCCCTGTGGTATCCGGAAGCTCTGAGTGACTTGCAGGGCAGGGTGTTGGGCTTTATAGCACAGCGTTTTACGATTGCCCTGCAGAGTAGAGACATCAAGCACCAGTCCTTAAACTATTTGTAATCATGCTCTTGTCTCAGCTCCCCAAGCCTGTGAGGGACTATGGTCCCTCGGGCTCGCCTCCATCCACAGACTCTACGATCACCACACTGGCAGCTCGCGCAGAATTTGAGCCTCCTCCATATGGATCTGCGGAGAGGAAAACATTCGTGCCGAGGAAGGTGAAGGATTTCGGGGACGGAGGTGCGTGGTTCGATCCTGAAACACACTTTGCTGTGAAAGCCATAGCTGGGCTGCACCTGGCTTCGTACAGCCACCCCCGTCAAAATGCCAGACAGTTTCATGCTGTGTGTTGGTGATGATCGTGATGCATGCAAGCACCTGTAGGCAGTCCAAAGTGAAGGGTTTGTTGGTAGTGTGCTAAAGAGAGCATTGCTCGCAGTGTAAAAGATTAGCAAATGTGCGGGCTAACATTTATCTCTGGTGCTCTCGCGCAGGAGCCTTCCCCGAGATTCATGTGGCGCAGTACCCGCTGGACATGGGTAGGCAAGACAAGCCCAGGAGCGACTCCACCCTGGCAGTGACTGTGGGAGCAGATGGCAACGTCAACTATGACGCCATCGTCAAGCAGGGCCGCAACAAGGACAAGTATATCGCCAGCACGCACGACGCCATGGTGCCCAAATTGGACAGGCTCAAAGATGTGCGTTCCCTCCCTTGTTGCACCCTCTTGTTTCCTGTTCTTCTTTAGCAGTCTCGTCAAACATGCACCCGCAAGTCTGCCCTCCTTCAGCCTTATATTGCTGCAAGCCCTGCAGTAGTGCATGTACAGAATGCAAGCCCCCAGCAACGCTTGCGAGGGTGTCTTGAACTGTGGGGCTGAGCTATGTGGTTGGGTACGAGGAGTTTCTATGGAGCTTCTGTTGCTGCTAAGTTTACTTTAAACCGGGGTAGAATGCAAGACATACAAGGCAGTGCGAGCGCCAAGGAAGGGAGGAGGGGCTGCCTCGCGGTGTAAAACATAGTGCATCAACAAAACAAAATCTCCCTGCCCAGGTCAAATTGAGATATAATTATTTCGCATTTGAAATTGTGCGCAGAGCCTGGAGAAGCCGAACGAGGAGGAGGTGGAGGCGACGATGAAGGAGACTCAGGCGGCGATGGAGCGGTTGGTGAACGGCAAGATCACGGCCGCGCAGCCCAAGACGCTGCCGGCGCAGCCGGGCGCGCCGACTTACATAAAGTACACGCCGTCGCAGCAGGGGCCGCAGTTCAACAGCGGCGCGGGGCAGCGCATCATCAAGATGCAGGACATGCCCGTCGACCCCATGGAGCCCCCCAAGTTCCGCCACAAGAAGGTGCTACCGTCTCTTGTGCAGTTGCCTGTCTTGTCCAGGACTTCAGAACTTCCTGTCGCCTCTGCTCACCTGGGCTTACTTGATGTGCTTTGCACTTGTCACTGCTTGATCCCTCGCATCATTTCCATAGCCGTGCTCTTTCGTGTTTTCAAGGCCCATATGCTGTGGTCAACTGTTTAAGATCTTTCTACATCGCTCGGTGAGTTCAGCTGAGTCTGGGGAGGATGCTGTGTTTGTCAAGGTCCGCTTGGCACACTCTCCTGAAGGGTTGCTGCGCTGTTGTCTGCGCAGGTGCCGCGGGGCTCCGGCTCGCCGCCGGTGCCGGTGATGCACTCGCCGCCGCGCGCGGTGAGCGTGCGCGAGCAGCAGGACTGGAAAATCCCGCCCTGCATCTCTAACTGGAAGAACGCCAAGGGGTACACCATTCCCTTGGACAAGCGTCTGGCAGCCGATGGGCGCGGCCTCCAAGAGACCGCCATCAATGACAACTTTGCCAAGTTCACCGAGGCGCTCTACGTCGCCGAGTCCAATGCGCGACAGGTGCACGCGCATGCCGCTCTGCTCTTGTTTCTGCCGGCTGCTGTGCACCAGCTAGGACCCCTTTGCATGTGGTGTACTGTATTTCCAAATGTTGTCACTTACATGCCCGGGTACCGGGGTGATGCTGCATGCTGCTGATTTCACCAGAGCACTTGCACGGTGTTGGTATTGTGTATTTTATGTCAGCAGATGAGACCTGAAAGATCAAACTTCATGCATGGCGCGAGTGTTGCGAGTTATACGTCTGCAGATTATGCCGATATCACACCATGATGTGGGGTGTGTCTGAAACATGCTTGGGTGCTTGTGGCCGACAGGCGGTGGAGCTACGGTCGCGGCTGCAGCGGGAGATTGCTGCAAAGGAGAAGGAGTCCAAGGAGCGCGAGCTGCGAGACATCGCCATGCGGGCGCGCATGGACCGCGCCGGCGGCGCCGCCCCGGCACCAGCCGCCGCGCGCATGGCTGGCACTGCCGCAGGTCTGCACATGGCTTCATTTTCTCAGCCCCAGAGTCCTTGCATGGAAGCACCTCTTGTGGATTGAACTTCAACTGTTGAAAGTGTCGCAGGTCACCTGGTGTCATTTTCTCTGCCCCAGTGTCCTCGCATAGAAGAACCTCTTATGGGTTGAACTTTAAGTGTTGGAAGTGTCGCTGTAGACTAGTTGCCATAGTCAGACAATTTTGAGCCTCTCTGAATCATTGTCCGCATGTGGCTGGTCAGGCTGGTTCCGATCATGCAAGTTTGCTTGCGATCGGAATTTGCTGTCCAACAACATGCGGACGATTCTGCAAGAACGTCCCTTGATCGATTTGGCACGCCTTGCAAAGGTTCTTTTGCGTCACACACTGGTCAGTGCTCTGCTCATGTTTGGTGGTTGGTGTGCTGCGCGCAGGTGTGCCGGCCGCGGGACCGAGGGACATGGAGGAGGACGAGGCGCTGCCGCCGCCGCCGCCGCGCGCCGGGGAGCGCGAGAGCCGGGAGGAGCGCGCAGAGCGGCTGCGCAGGGAAGAGATCAGGTATGACTGCTTCCGTGCTCCTCCTCAAATTCTCCCTAACACAGCTGGCTCAATATTCTTTCAACACAAAACGCAGCTCTGCACTTTGGCAATGTACTGAGTGAGTGCCTTCGACGTGCCGGTGGTGGGGGGTGTCCTATTGGCCTTCTGCTGTATGATACCAACGCCTTCGACACCAAGGCTGACAGATTGCAAATTTTTAGTCGTGGACTATTAAATTTGCTGAGGCGATGATGCCGGATATGCGCGCAGGGAGGAGCGGAGGAGGGAACGCGAGCGCGAGAGGCGGCTGGATGCGCGCGACGCGCATGGCGTGAAGAAGAGCAAGCTGACGCGCGATCGCGAGCGCGACATCAGCGAGAAGATCGCTCTCGGCCAGGCCAACGTGCGCGCCACCGGCGAGGCCATGTACGACCAACGCCTCTTCAACCAGGTGGGGGCCCTTTTGCATCCCCGCCTTCCCTATATTCCACATCCTCTTCTGTTGATGTCTGCTGCTGCTTTATGCGCAGCTTGTCTCTCACATGCTTCTCATCTTCAGCGGAGAGCGCACATGTGTCTGATGTGTGCTGCTGTCTGCGCCGCAGGAGGGTGGCATGGACAGCGGCCTGGCGGCGGACGATCAGTACAACCTGTATGACAAAGCGCTCTTCGCCGACCGCGGCAGCAACCTCTACCGCCCCAACAAGGGCGCCGACACCGAGCTGCACGGCGGCGAGGGCGCAGACGAAGCAGACATCCGCACTGAGCGCTTCAAACCCACCAAGGTGCGCCCCAGCTTCCCTCCTGGCCCACCTTGGAAGGGGACCCTGCCTGCTTCTCCGTGGCTGCGTTTTTTCCTTATAGATCATCTGCACCATGTGCTGCATCTGTTGGCTTGCTCCCAGCAGAGCAGGGCACGTCCCCGGCCACAGCACTTGCTTTGACATTGGGTCATGTGAGGTACAGGTAATTGTATGTCTGCTTGCTCGCCCTTGATAGGCTGACTGGCATCCGGCTTGCCCCAGCTTGTTAGCAGCCCTCCTGTGTGGCTTTCTTCTACCAAATAGACGTTGCACCCCATTGGCGCACCTGTTAAGGCTCCCAGCAGAGCAGGGCACGCCCCTGGCTTTTTGCCCCTGGCGTGGCTCGGTGGCACGCCCCTGAATGGGGGCACGCATCCTCTCTGCCCTTTCGGGGGGCGGCGGGTGCTTTGTTGTGCGTGCTTTGTTGCTCCATTTAGATTTATTCACCATCGACATATCTGCTGGCTTGCTGTCAGCGGAGCAAGCCCGCCCCGCTGTACCTCTGGCAGAGCGGGGATATATCTTTGGGTCTGGTGTTACACATGAAGCTCTCTTAATGTGCCGCAAGGTGTGTGATCGGTATTGATTGTCAGAAGAGGAGCGCTTCAGATGGGTTGCTGTGACGTTTTGTTTGATGGTGAGGTTGTGTGTGGTGAGGTTGTGTGTGATGCTGTGGCTGTGCAGGGCTTCCAGGGCGTGGACTACAGCACGAAGGACCGCAGCAGCGGCCCTGTGCAGTTTGAGAACGATCCTGCAGAGGCGGACCCCTTCGGCCTGGATCAGATGCTGTCCAAGGTATGCTCCAACGCTTGCATCAGTGCTTTTCTGCATTAAACCTACTTCATGGACCGCGATGCTCCTGTCGATACAGAGACAGCCAAAGAATTGCGTCATGTTTGGTCAGAAAAGCTGCATTTAAACCATCCTCCTTGCAATGCTACCTGTGCCTTACGGCATACCCTTGAGTGTATTCTTCTGGCAGCATTTGCTTCTTGCTACTTGCTTGCTACTTGCTCAGCACATATTTTCTCAGATTCTGCTGAGCCTTACTGTTGGATCCATTGCCGTTGCATGAAGGTCACTTGCGATGCAGCCTTTTTCTCTCACTCTACCTTTGCCGCCGTGTCAGCATCTGTGTTTGGCTGATGGGTGCCGCGTACTGTGTGCGCGCAGGTGAACGAGGGCAAGAAGAAGGGAGCGTTGGACCACATTGGCGGGGGCGGAGCCATGCGCGCTGGCGGCGGCGGTGGCAGCTACGAGGATTACGCGCAGGGATCCTCCCGCTCGCGCGTGGAGTTCTCCAAGGGCCGCGGCTGACTGCGGCCGCTTGATTGCCATCAAGCTCAAGAAGTGGATTCAATCATCCGATTTAATGGTCATGGGTTGGGTCATCGGGATTTCTGGCTCAGCCTTGCTTCTGCCTGCTCTGCAGCACGATGCCCCATGGTGTCTCTGACTGTGCAACGATTGAAATGTAGTGCTGTTGACTCTCTTGGTTGAGATCATCATGATGTAACAAGTAGTTTGGCAGCTTGCCAGGATCGTATATCGCTCATTGGGAGGCTCGGCTTTCAGTTGAGCTGGGTTGCACTGCACTGATCACAAAGCTGGCACGCATCATGAGATTACTCAGACTCGGATCTGTACGGTGCACACGTGTAGTCCATGAATACTCTTCAGATCTGCAGCACACAAAATGAATTCTGGGACCAGCAACGAAAGCTGTCTATAATTTCTCCTGTTTTGTCTTTGCAACCACTTCCTTTCCCCATCAACACATGATCAATTTACACAGGGTGGATTGATTTGTCTGGAAGCTGTGTGTAATGGATGGAAACCCTACCTGGTGATGAATGGGGGTTGACGAGAGAAACCCCAGCAAGCTCCCCTTTACTTCCGACAGCTGGGAGGCACAGCGAAACATATTTGTCAAGCCACTCATATCTTCTTCTCTGAGGCATTACTTGCGGACGGCCCAGACCGAGCTTGCGCCGTGAAGGAGCGCTGCCGACCCAGTTTCCGATACCGTATTATCGTGCCACCTGGCTAAGGTGCGGGAAGGACACAGAAGCTCGTTGCCGTGTTGACGGGATTGACAATGGAGAACGCTCTCTTGTTCTTACCTCCTGCAGTTTGTGTAGCAAGGCTGCTATCGGTCATAAGTTTCCGTTCATTTTCTGGCAGGTTCTCTGTCAACTTCGCCACGCCTGTGTTGGGGGATATCTCTGGATTTTGAGCTGCCCAGCACCATGACGCGCCTTATGTGGTCTGCGTTCGTTGCATCACTCCTCATTGCAATCGCATCAGGTAAGACATTGCTTATATATGTTGGGAACGGACTCTGAACCCTTCATTTGCTGAGTCACATATTATTTGATACTGCCTCCAGAACTATGCTTGGATGCTCAAGACGGACTAAAGAAAACAATACCCAGGAATACTTGGTGATCAGGAAATTTTGCTGCCCTGCACGCCACCCTGCAGCCAGATCTCACCTTGACTGGACGAGAGGGATCTTTGGGCAGAATCGTGGGCTTTATCATTGCTGCTGGGGTCTTCACCTTACAACGGGAGATTTTTGTGTGCCCTTGTTCCTGGATGCCAGCTGCGCAGTCTGACAGCTGCAATTAGTGTTCATGGGAGTGAATGGCTTTGTGGGACAGCCTCTGACTTACGTGTGCCTGCGGGCTCCAGGACAAGCACCAGGCACCTACAACACGATCACCACCACCACGGACTGCGCTGGCCACCAGACAGTCAACTACGAGTACATTCCTGCCAACGGCCCCGGCATCTCGCGCAACAACAACAACAACTGCAATGGAGGCAGCGCCAACACGCTGTCCAATGCCATGACCACGACAAACAACAACAACAATGCCGGCGGCGGCGGCACGTTGACTAACAACAACATGAACTCTGGGGGAACCATTACTAACAACAACGGCCTCGCCGATGCGGCTGCGCGGCGGCAGCCGGTGGTAGGCTCTCTCGTGGCGTTCGCGCCCGCGCCCGGGCCGATGGCCGACGCCGCGCTTGCGCCGTCGGCCGCGGCCGCCGGCGCGGCGGCCGACCCGGCCATGGGAGCTCCTTCCACCATCACCAACAACAACATGAACGGCGGCGCCGCTGGTGAGCTTCCGCGAAGTCCTTTGTGGTTCTCTCTGTTTAAGAGGAAGAGGAATGCAGACATCAAGGCAGAGCGAATGCCGGTCGATAGGAGAAGGGGCTGCTTTGCAAGTGCATGTCATGCACTGACAATGCAATTTTTTGCAGCACCTCCTTGGACCTTACGTGTCGGCAGCCTCTCGCCAAGGCAATGCGACGCACAAAGCTGTTGCTTGATCGTTCAGGTCCTCGTATACTGCATAAATGCCAATGTCCGGGAGTTTGCCAGTGTCTGGTCTTTGAACTTGGGTCAGAAGCCTTCCTTCTTTATTTGAAAGAGTTGCTGTCAGGTGGTCGCTGGTGTCTGGTCCTTCACCTCGGGTCATAAGCATGATCCTGTACTAGTAAAAATTTGATTCTGGCGACTAAAAGTCTTGGTGTGCCCTTGTGCAGCAAGCAACCCCAACCTGGTGGGCTTCACTCCGGCTGTGCCGGCCCAGCAGACAGGCGGCGTCACAAACAACAATATGAATGGCCCGCAGGCAGGCACCGTCAACAACAACAACAATGGGCCAGTTGCCACTTCCACAGGTATGCATCCTTGGTATCATCCTTTGCAGGCAAAGCGCTGCAGGTTTCCTTGCAGCAGTAGGCCACAGCATCTGCCATTCTTGATGTTGCCTCTTGTGGGTGTCATCAGCGCATGGGAAAGGGCACTTAGTGGTATTCCAAGCCTGTAGCAGCTTGCCTTCTGGCGACCGCAAGCCTCTCAGCTCTGTTTATTTTGTTTCTTGCCTGAATTCTCTGGGTCGGGTCACCAACACAATGAAGTTCAATCCCTTGCTCTCCAAGCCGAGCTGGTATTGGAGGGAAGCATTGACTTGCACCACATCATATGACAAAGACAGTAATGAAGGGACTCAGATATGAGGCGACTGGTCTGCAGGGGCGACCCAGCCGCAGCCGCCGCCGGCCGGGACGTACAACACCATTACTACGATTGCTGACTGTCAGACTGGCACGCGCGTGGAGTACACATATGAGCCTGCCAACGGCCCCGGCATCACTCGCAACAACCAGAACACCTGCAACTCCCCCGGCAGCAACACCATCACCAACAACAATGGCTAAACCAAGTTGTTTGGATTTTGAATATAAACCGGCGCCGCGGAGGTTTCCGTGACCTGAGTTCGATAGGGCTGGGTTTGGTGGCACAGTTTCAAGCAGCTTAGAGGAGGCATTGCCTGAGTGCTGCGGGTTGCGCTAGCATGCTCTGATCACAGTTCCTGGTTACTGGTTGCATGCTTTGGAGGTGGCTGTCATCAAAGGCATGTTGTGCAAGCTGGAAGTGACGGTAGCCCACCATCACCAAGTGTGTGAAAGTTCTGCATAATTGTGCTGGCTGGGTGCAGGGCAGTAATTGGGCAAGACGTGCCCTTTCAATGGAATGGAACAGACTCAAGTTTTGATGGTGAGGATGCTGCACGTTGTCACTGCTCTGAGCTGGGGTTCTAATGAGATGAGGAGAGGAAACATCAAGCACTGTTGGTTTGTTGAGCACGGAGGCCTGAGCGCTCTGTGAAATACTGTGTGGGTACATTTTGCTGGGCTTTTTGAAAAGACTGTTTGGAAGCTTATGAAGTGTTCATGTGTCAGGCGACAGCATCAGCTCATCTTGTGCCAGTCACAGCCTTCTGACTGTGATCAGACAGCAAATTTTGTTATCATTGCAAGCTTTCGATTTCAAGCCATGTAGCATGTTGGTTGTTCAAATGATGCATGAACCCAAGATTGTAATGTCGTGAGCGTCTGCCAGCTGTTGCTACGAAGCTCATAAGGCCCTTCCAAACCTTCAATTGATTTCAGAAGTCAGATCTCAGTCAAACATTAATGAGGCAACACGAGGAGCAACATTTGCATGCATCATGCATGGATGACGGATTAAGTGAATGCTTAGAGTTGACTAGCTAGCATCATTTCTGTTTCTTTGCACTGCAGCCTCCATCTTGATCTGCTGCAATATGTATATAACAAAATCTCAGCACAGGAAGAGCAGGTACTTGGGCCCAGATGCACTTCCATCAAAGCGAGCACAGTGTTTCCGTCTTGAGGCCTTGCAAGACCAACTCACACCAAAAGGCAGCGTCGTCTTTGCACTCAATTTGCGCACAGATGACAGTGTCCAAGCAGGAAGATCATCAAATTGCAATCTAAGAGCAATTAAGCATGTCTTGAGCAAAATCCATTGGATGCATTGCATGCACTATCTAGAGTAAACTGCGGGAGAACTCTCTAATAGGACGTCCAAGGTCAAAAGTATGTCAGCACTAATAGCCTGCACAGAGCAAGAACAAAATTTGACAGGCCATTGAGACTCCCCTGCAAATTCCCTTCATAAGGTGCACGTCATCTTGTGAGACGTGAAGCCTTCCTCATCCACATGCTGAAAAAGATACCCCTGCCAAATTCAAATGAAAGCTTCAGTCAGAGCACAACCACGAAGCATAATTTCACAAGGTCAACATCCTCAACCACATATATATTGAAAGCTGTGGTTGCGCGGATAAAAAAAAATCTGCATTACAGCATTGCACATCTGATGCAGCAGGACTGATGTCAACAGCAGGGGTTCAGAATGGGTGGGGTTGCGCACCTGTTTAAGCAGCAACCCTCTACTTGCCATTGTTGTTGTTGTTTGTGATTGTACCGCCTCCAGCGTTATTGTTGTTGTTGTTGTTGTTGCCACCTGATAGCAGCAACCCCTGTGTCAGCCAAAAAATTCCCCCAGCAATTTCTGTAAAACATCCTTTGGTAGATAGACTTTACAAAGAGGCCAGAAAACAGGTGCACTTTGCCATGAAAGGCTTGTGAACTCACCGCCGCCATTGTTGTTGTTGTTCACAATGCCACCTGTGCGACAATGGCACCACAGTCAGATTGGACACTCATCTTTTGAACACTCTCACACCTTTGCCAGACGCTATGGGCACTTGCCCTTTTCAAAGCCATCTTGTGACGGCCTTGGAGGCAATTCCGGGGCTTAGAAATGGTGGTCAGCAGATTTGCACTTGCAAAAGTATCCAAATGAGCAAGTTCCCAGTGAAACTGAGCCATGCTCCAATAAGAGCCGCCAGACTGTTAGGGGAAATATTGTGCAGGGGATAATCACCAGTGGGAGTGGGTGAGTAATACGGCGGCGGCGGCGGGGGCGAGGCCGGGGGCGGCGGAGAGGGGCAGGGGCAGTAGCAGCTGCACTGGTCATTCAGCGCATTCTGCACCCAGCAAAAAATATCCATCAATGTCAGACATGTTCAAGTCAGCCGCACACTCTTGCCTCTTGTTGCAGAGCATCCAACAGCAATGCCAAGGGTACATGCAGCGGGAACATGATGAAAGGACAACAAAGCAGACAACTTCCTGAATTGCCTGGCAGCCTGCTCAAAAGTCTCCACCCACGCATTCTGCTCGCTGAGACACTGCTCAGTCACACTCAAGCACCATGCGATTCAAGAATTGCAAGCGCAGGACAGGGAGAGTAGCTGCCAAGCAGTCATAAAGCTCCTTGTCTTACCTGAGGGGTCAGGCAGAAAGGGGGAGGGCTAGGTGTGGGGCTAGGTGTGGGGACTGGAGTTGCAGGCGCCACATAGCTGTTGTAGTTGTTGTTTGTCGCTGATCCTGCAGCAAAGACATATTATTTAAGTACAACTTCGTCAACTGATGAGCACTTCATTTACACAAGCTCGTTTGATCTGCAGATGGAAGCGATGGAAGCTGCCCAGCAGGCTATCACCTCCATTGTTGTTATTGTTGTTGGTCGCGCCACCTCCGCCATTGTTGTTGTTATTCGTGATTGTGCCTCCTGCACAAGCGACGAGGCAAATCAAGGAAGTGTTCAGGATAAGCTGTTCGAGATAGCTCAGTGACAGCCTTCCTGACGTGACACTCGCAACTAGGCTTCAGCGATATTATCAAATAATAAGACGGAATAGTGAAATTTGAGGACATCATGTCACAAAGCACACATCAGAGGCCAAAAGGTCCGCTATAATTGTCACACCCCTGCATGCGCTCCGGAACGAAAGTGTCCCACATTCGGGTGCGGTGTCAAGGCATGAGGTAGCCGATGAAGAATATATATGCAAGATTCAAAAATATCGGGAATTGCCGGGCCTAAGAAGCCCTAGCTTGACACGTTTGGGTACTGCGCATGCCACCCATCGACTGCGGAACTAACCTCCATTATTGTTATTGTTGTTATTGGTCTGGAGGATAGTCCTCTGAGCAGCCCAGTGACTGCACTCGGCCTGCACAACCAGCAGCGCAAGCGCCAGCACGAGGCCTCCGCGCATCAGCATAGTGGACCCTCTGCCCAGCTGTCGCAGCGTCCTTCAACTGTGGCTCGCGTCGGAGTCCTATATAGCAGATCAAGGTTCGTACTCTTCAACTACCGCCTGAAAATGATAAATTTACGCAAACGTCGGCGTAGGAATGACCAGCAGAAACCAATCAACCCACTGGATCGGTTGACGCGAAGGGCAGCTGGAACGGCACCTGGCATAAGAAAGCCACGTGCAGCTCAGGGAGGACCCGACAGGAAGGCATTTTACCCAGGACATTTTGCTGGGCACTGCGTCACGATGCTGAGTTTGCCCTCTGGCCTGGTGTGCCTTATTTCTTGGCAGAGTCACCAGAGTCGCTTCTGCAGTTATGATGAATAAATGCTTCGAGGACCGAGTGTCTAGCATGCGCGTTGTGCAAGCCCAGTGGGCATGCAGTCACTGCGGGGGCTTCTTAGGGGGCCACCCTACGGGCCACGGTGTGACAAGAAACACCACACTCCGACATCATGGTCTAGATCACATGCTAGAGCCAGGAGTGCACGCAGCCATCCCGAGACAAGAGCTCTTATTTTTAAACACTTTTTTTTGAATACTACGTCACACATGGTATTACAGCTGTGAATTGAACAAGACCTTGATCAAAGATAGATGGAGTCCTTCACTTCTTTAATTTAGCACGCTCTTTGCTACTGAAGTCAACCGCCACTGGCTGGCATGCGTCTCCGATATATATAGTGTACAAGGGTCAGAGCACCCAACACTTTGTATCTCCATCTGGAGCACAGACATATTGGTTCCTCAGGGCGTTCTGTCACCTCACCAGTCTCTTTTGGTCACTTTCTTTTCTCCTACAGTGCCACCCTCAATCGTGCATGCCCGATGTGCCATGTCTCAACCTACTCTCGCCATCATTTGCTGCAGTGGATGGACGTAAAATCTTGCCCGCCGCTTTTTCATCCAAGCTGTCCTCTGCTCTTAATGGCTTGAGGTCTGCTGAATTCCCACCGTCGTCATGCGTGCTACCCTTCTCATGCAGTGGCTCCCTCTCTGCACTTGCTTCCGGTTCTGCTGCACTGCCTTGGCCCCGACCTTGGGAGTCGGCAGGCGGCGCTCTGCTTGCGTCCGATGGCGATCCCTTCGGTGACTCATCCGCCACATCATCGCTGTCCGGCAGGCCGGCAAAGCCCTCGCGGTAGCCCTGCACGAAGCTGCTGACAGCTTCCTGGTAGGCGGCCGCGCGCGTGCGGTAGAGCTGCTGCAGGATCGGCTTCACGCTCTCTGCGCCGCTGCGTGCAACCCCGACTGCATCCACCAGTGCACTTATTCTGAGATCACAGATTGCACACATGCATCATTAAGCAGATGCATGTGTGCAATTTGCGCTTACACGGCAAGTCAGCTCTTCCTCCTTACTCCCTGGCGCTTGCACTGCCTTAATGTTTTCATTCGTCCTTCCCACATTGCGTTGCTGGCGGCATGAAGGGGTCCAGCAAGCTCACCTGGCTGAATGTTGCAGAACATAAAATATCTGCAGCTAACGATATCTTGTGCATGGGCCTGCAAGTACAGTAGGTTGCAAACGAAAAGATCGTGAGAGATACAAAGGAAGGCAGGTTGTGGGAACACACCAAGCTCCTCAGAGAGCGGGGCCTCCTGATGCTCGCTCTGCTCCTCAAGTTCCTGGGCTGGCTCTTGCTTTTCGGGCTTCCATGTGTCCATGTAATCCCTTGTGGCCAGGCGCAATGTCTGCATCACCATTACTCATCCTGATAAAAGGAGCATGCATTGACTGTGTGAGCATAGAAGGCTTGCTTGACCAATGTCACCGGAGTCTGCAGAAGGAACTGCAATTTTTATAATGATTACCTGGAAGAAATCCTTCCATGTAGCCTGAGCCGGTTCTTCTCCTGGAGGATATGGGAGCGAGGAAGGAGCAATGATCTCCTTCAGATCGTACTTGACGTAATTTTTTAAACGCCTCCAGGCCTTGAGCATGTCATGTGCAAACAAAGCCTGACTTACAAGACATCCCTCTTAGAAAGTTAGATGCTGGCAATGTCCTGTGCGATGAATGCAATAGCAAGCAATGGAGTCGCAGGAAGTGGATGGAAGTAAGAGTGCCGGTAGCACAGCACAATTTATTTGATCAGCTTGACTTGCAGAGTCCTTTGTCTGGTAAACTGTGCTAATCACCTGTGGATGCAGCCATAGTAGAGCACAGTCAAGAGTGGAAGCTTCAGTAGGCAGGCAACAAATCGATATGCCTATTCAACGAAATGTTTGATAGATATGTTCAGAAGGATCTGCCCACAAGTTCACTGCTCAACTTTTGATTTGTAATGGGTGACACCGTGAGATGAATTAGATAGCAGGTCCTCAACTCTCTTCGTTCTGGTCGCCATCACCGTGCCATGGTTCATTGTAAGCGCTTGGGGACTTCCTTTGTGAGCTGAACTTGCTCACTTGCAAACAAAAAAATCATGAGGATCCAGCAAAGCTGAAGGAAAGCTTTGAAGCCAAACCAGGAGGAAGTTTCGATCCCACTTCCCCACAGAGCTGCTCCTTAGACAGATCAAGAATGGCTATCGATCATCCTTTTGCAAGGCATGTGGCCAAGGACGTGGTTGCTCACAAAAAGAAGGTGGGAGTTTGGCATTTTCCAGCCCTTTTAATTGCATTCTATAATGAAGTCTATTGTCTTCCTGCACTGTGCTAGACACTTGCTCAGCTTGGTGTGGTGCTTCATAGAACTCCCAGCGTCATTGTGTTGGCGCAGGTGTACTGTCTAGATTGGAGCTGCAATGGCAAGCGGCTTGCAACAGGATCCAATGACCAGACAGTGCGAGTTTGGAATATTGACTCTCGACACAGAGTGAGCACCCCTTCTCAGATCAAGCCTCATCCTCAGCGTACATTCCCACCCCATGTCCCGGTGGAATCTTCTAAGCTCAACGTCATGAGCTGAGACCTCTTGCTTGGCGCTGCAGGACAAGTCTGAGAAGCATGAGATGGAGTTCAAGCTGTCGGAGAGGCTTGTGTGCCTGTTGTGGCACCCCTCAAGCCCAGACAGCTTTGCCGCAGCGGCGTATGAGAAGGTTATCAGGTGTGCAAGAATTTTGCAGCACAACGTGTTTGCAGCACATCATGTGACATGATCATACCATAGTCATCCACCAAGGGTCGCACCAAACGCACAGAGAAGATGCAGACAGCCTTGATGTATGAGAATTGGTGAAGGAGAAAGCTGGCAATGCTTCACATAGAGTTATCAAGATGAGGTGCATTGTGGGGTGAGCAGAATATACGACACGCGCTCGGGCAAGAGCGCAACACAGATTTCCACCCCCGGAAAGAATCTGTATTTAGCATGGAGCCCACACGATCCAAATCTCATGGCCACCGGCGCTGAGAACAACACGGTCTCCTTCATAGACCTTCGCCGCAACAAAGTGCTCAAGAGCGTGAAGAACAACCAGCTGGTGAGCTGCTTCCTAGTCCCCGTCTACATTGCATGTTTTCACTGCCAAGGATGACTTTGTGCGCCTCTGCACATACCACAGAGGTCGCGCATGCAGCGGTCAGAGGCTGATCTTAAATTGTGCTGTCCTCAGCATGCATGCATGCTGGAAGTCACACCGCCCGGTCGGCGTCGCGAAGTCAATTCAAGGGTCAACAGAGGAACGCTCTGCCTTGTGCAGGTGAATGAGCTGGCCTTTACGCAGGACGGCAAGCTGTTTCTGCAGGCGACTGACTCAGGAGTAGAGGTGAAGATACCCTCCACAGAATGCTGATCCCGCTGTGTCTGCAGATGCGATTTGACCTCGACCCCCGTCACCACATAAAGGATGGCCGGAAGTGGGTGCTAATCGAATCATGAGTGTCTGGCAAAGCTCTTTGCAGTGTTGTGGGGAGTGTTGCATGGCGCAAGTGCTGTAGGTGTGACTGAAGACTTGTGCATGGCCTGTGCAGATGTACAAACTACCAGATCATGAGAAGCTTTCGTCGCTGAATGGTCACACAGGCACCGTCCTCACAATCACGCTCGACAGCCGAGACAGGTGTGCTTGGTGTTTGATCGCATCAGGGTATTTTGTGTGCTGATCCTGATTTTCTTCTGGCCAATCCGCTTGCTTGGCCTTGTTCCTTATGCATCCAAGGGGGCGCATCCTCCTAGTCTGGCGCTTAGGTCTTGCATTCTTTGTTCTGTCACTCTGTTCACAAGCAGCCTCAGGATATCGGCTGACTGAGGACACTTATTCAAAGCGGGCTCCCTTGAGGGTAAAATCATACTTGATTATTGAATTGCGTATTGAGCATCCTCTGATTGAAGATTTGTCCATGTGCAGATATTTGGCGTCCGGCGGCGCAGATGCGATCGCAGCAGTATGGGACCTGGAAACGTTGTCCTGTATTCGCACCTGCACCCAGATGGACGGGGAGATAAAGACCCTGAGCATCAGCCATGACTCGCAGTACCTGGCCTATGCCGGCGAGCAGGACATGGTGGTCATTGAAGCCCTCCAAGAAGGTATGCACTTTATATCGTAAAGCAGAACATGACCAGAACTGAGGTCACAGTATGCGCATGAAGCTAGTAGTAACCAGCCCTGCTTCTCATTACATGTCTGTCGAGCCCTGCCACGTGTGTTGCCTATCAAAACTGCCGGGTCCTGCTTGAATATTGAGATAGCAGGCCAGTTCTGCGCATGTCACCTGCGCATGACTTGGGATAAACATGTGTCTTGTGCAACCTATGCCTGTCACATCGCAGCAGCGTAGAACAGATTCTTTGGAGGGCTGACTTTGGTGTGTAATACCGCAGGCAGGAAGCCTTGGATGGTACCGCTGAGCAAGCCACCCAGGATGATAGAGTCGCTGGCCTGGAACCCCAAGTACCCTGTGCTGGCCATCACCGGCGCCTTCAGCGAGGGGGGCTCCCACAGCTTCGGCAATGTCACCATCTACGCGCCCTTGTGATGTCAGCGCCCTTGTGAAGTCAGCAACGTGATGTCAGCGGCCTGACGTCGTTGCAGCTCAGCACGGCCCATAGCTGAACCATCACAGCATGAAAATATTGGAGAGCGGATCCGTAATGGCACTCGATTGGAGCAGTTGTTCTTTGGAGCTGACAGGCACTGAAAGGGCGTGTTGTGACCAGCCTTTGATGCAGTCCGGTTTCTTACTACATTATTGGAATGAATGAACCACCCGTCGAACGCAATCCTGCCCTTTCTATTGATATAATTTACTCTGTGCTAACTGTTGGGTGTGGAAACCCAAAGAACAATTCTAGAACGAGCTTGACATAAACATTCTGACTTCAATGTCCGTCTATGATACTTCAGTATTGCCTGATGTCAGGCTGTGACCTCCCCTCATTCTGTGTATTGGATTGAGCTGTTGTACTACTGCCAGCTATTTTTATTGTGAGCGCTGACATCATTATCTTCCCAGAAGTCTGCATTTGCTCCCTTTGCACTGCTCATCAGGCCCTGTGACTCAGCGGCTTGTGAGCTGCTGGGTGCATCTGGTCTCCCTCGCCCAGCAGCAGAGCTCGCAGAGGGCATTGGAGCATCCCTTGCAGTGCCTGAGCTCCCCGAAATATTGCCTGCAGCCTGCAGGCCCACACAGTACATGTCAGCAATTGCAGAGTGCAATTGGATCAATGCACAACCAGTTCCGCACAACAAAAACTGCTTGGAACTGGTGTACCAGAAAGGAAACAAAGTGCCCTGTGCATATTCTTAAGAGACTGTTTGCATACCCCATTCAACGGCACACTTTGCTGCGATGATGTGCCAAGCGCTCCAAGCAAGCTGGCAGGCTCCGGCTGCAGTGTCGGCAGGTGCGAGCTGTTCTGCAGGGCGCCCAATTCCAACAAACCCCTGCCCTCATTTCCCTCGCCCTCCTCTTCTTCCCGTTGCCCTTCCCTGCGCATGCAAACCCCTCACATTAGACCATTCGGCAATCTGCCTTGCCCTACACCCAACCACTCACGCGCAGTATCAACTCACAAGCAAGCACTGGACAGAGCAAGCGACTGCAAGCCTCTGTAGGAGGTGCTCCAAATGCACTTCCTTGCACGAGCGTCTGTTGTGGCCTGACACTTGCAGTGCAAAGTAGCACCAAACACATAAATTTAGCAATGAGTGCAGCAAAGAAAAGGAATTCAAGAACTTCTTACTGCTCTTCCTGGCCTTCCAGGGTCTCATAGGAGCCGTCCGCTCTGTGCACGCTGTAGAGGCAGTACACCGCAAGGCTCAGCAGCATCCATACGCCAAAGCGGATGTACGCCTGCCAGCTCATGCTGCCTGGAGACAATCAGGACAAATTTATTTTCAGTCCCCCTCCACCTCAATCCCCTTCCATAATATGGACAGAGCTGCTGACAAAGGCTCCAAACAGACATGTCATTATCTGGGAAGACACTGGCTCCAAAACAGGTCACTAACGCATGCAAACTTTCTCAATGTTCCTCAGCAAGCCGTTCGTTGTTGCCACACATCAGCATGCAGGTGTTGCACCAAGACAGGTGAAAAGACGCACAGATGAGGTGCAGGTTGGCGAGAATGGCGAGGGAGGTGGTGAAAGGGGCGCCGGGCATCTTGAACTTGGTGGGCATGTACAGCGTGGGCAGGTGGGACAGCCACAGCACGGCCGACAGCCAGAACAGCGCGGCCACTGCCACCAGCCACTCCGGGCCGCCCGCGATGTAGGAGATGCTCAGCCCTGCACTCGGCAGTCGGGACCATCAATGACCCCTCACGATGCGCCTGGCCATGCGTAAGAGCGAGATGAAAGGAACGCTGCTCTGCCTTCCATGGTTTCTTCCCAGCTGCAAACGTGCCCTGCACTCTGTTTCAGCTGCTGCTGCAGATTCGTGGTCCTTCAAGAATCTCCCAACCCCGCCTTTTGCACGTCTGACTACAGCGTGATCACGTCTGCTGCTGGCTTCCCATGGGCTTCCGTCCTGTAAACATCTGGTGAGTGGCATTTGACATCAAGCTTCGCAGTATTGGGTAGGACAGGAGGCAATGAAAATATTTTCAGTGCATGTACCCGGGAGAGAGATTTGTAAGGGATTACTAACCCAGTGACAGCGCCACTACAGCGCCCAGTCTCTTGCCAGTCTCCGGCGCGTTCTCAGGCGACTGGCCGGAGCCGGTGTAGCGGCGCCAAATGAGGCCGGCCGACACCGCGAAGAATGCAAACAGCGTGCCGATGGACACCAGCTCCGCTAGGACCTCCAGATCCACGAGCACCGCCAGCAGACCTGTCGTGCATGCATTTTCCAAATTTGAAATAAATAAGAGAAGAGTACTGATCAGGCTTCAGCTGATCTGATGGCACCAGTGCAAACCCCTGAATGCAGATGCAGCAGTGCCACTTTATGATTATTCCTCAATCATACTGCCCCGAGGTAGGCAAAACAGACCTGGCAGCTGTGCCAGCATGCTAATACACTTCTCAAAGTCGCCCAGGCATTCCTGTTCGCAACAACCTTAGATTGGACGCTTTGTTTCTATCCATAACCGCATGGAAACACCCCAGCCAGGCAATCCTAGATTTGCATGTTGCTGCCTGCTCCCGTGAGTGCATATCAAAGTTTCCTTGCAAGACCATAATCCGTGCAGGAGTAGCTCACACACATTTCATTGTTTGCATCTGTAAAGGCGCGCATGTGAGAATTCAATTTCGCCGAAGGTAACAGAATTCGCTAGTGAGGAGTGCTGCACCTGAAGAGACTGATGTGAGCAGGGTTGCATTGACGGGGGTTTTGCGCGCCGCATTGATCTGTGCGAGCCAAGGCGGCAGCAGGCGTTCCCTGCCAAGGGTGACATAAATGCGCGCCTGGCCCATCAGCGACACCAGCGCTGACGTCACTATGCCTGATCAGGCACGGTCACACACCTCAGCAGCCACTCAGAGATTCATACTCTTACGAAATGCATTGGGCACAACAGTGAATACGGATGTCTTGCTTATTCCCAAGTTAATTGTCACCTTCACACTGTCCCTAGAAATAACCAGAAACAAACCTTGATCCACATTACCTTCGGCAAAATTAACTTCTTTGCTTTGCAAGCCTGCTGTTAAGTTTGTCAGCCATGTTGAACACAAATGCCCTGTGCCAGTAGGGTGCCTCCCAAAATTGGAGATTGGTACGGATGCACTGACAAAAGGAGTGGTACTTTCAGGAGATGGAGTGGCACACCTGTGACGGCGCCAAATGAGACAAAGCGGGCCGAGGTGCGGAGCAGTGCGGCTCGCATGCGGCCGTCGGCGGGCGACAGTAGGGACAGGAACGCCTGGGAGAACGGGGCACCAGCCTGCAGGCAAACACGTTTATATATGAAATATATACCTTATCTGCACATACCGGTGACCCAGCCAGTGCACAGAAACAAGCGAAGGATCTCTGAAGCATACACCAGATCTGACCATGCCTCTGACCTGGCTAGCGCAGAGAGAGCGCAGCAGCAAATACATCTGACAGTAAGACACATGCAGTTGGTCAGCTGAGGTACCTGGATGTCCCCGTACGGCACCATTGCGCAGATGACTGCGCTCAGAGCCACGTACAGGGCTGCCGAGATCACCACTGCGCCCACTATCCCCACCGGCAGCGCTGTCTCCGGGTCCTCCACCTGAGCATGCATGCAATAATCCTCACTACAGAGTTTTAAAGACGCCGGAAAAGTGTGGCACGGAGGTGTCAGAATTGTGGCGGACAGTTTCTCACAAACGGGTGTTTGGGGAGTGCATGCATGCTCAGATTTCACTTGTCTGCATGAGCATGAAGTGGCAAGTCTGGACAAAGGTTGCCCGATGGACAATGCATGGCCAATCTCCCTTGATGTGGCGTGCAATTGCCGTAAGCACCACCGCATTTCATTCTTAAAGGTTTCTGTAGCAGCAAGCAGAGTGAAAAGAGGAGAGCAGGGTTGTTCCTAGTTCTTCTACTCCCCTTGGAGCAGTGCCAGGCAGCTTCTGGTGCTGAGGCGTACCTCCTCGGCAACAGTGGCCATAGAGTCAAAGCCGACGAAAGCAAAGAAGACGACGCTGGCCGCGGAGAATATTCCCCTCACGCCGAAGGGCGCAAAGGGAACCAGGTTGGAGGCGTGCGTGAATGGCGCCCCCACAAATAACACGTACATAATTGCAATCACGTTCATCCCCGTCACGACTGCGCCACACACACACACATTCTTATCCTGCATGCTAATTCTACTCATTGGATTGTCACCCAACGGCAACCTTTTATCAAGGGGGTGCACGTTGGTGAACTTTGCAGAAGCAGAAACATTAAATGGCGACACTTGCCTCTGCTACCCCATGCACAGCCACAAAATTACACTTTACAAGGAATGAAAGCTTTTGATATCATTGATTTGACACTAGGACCATGCAAGCAAGCAAGAAAGAGAAACATCCGAGACGGCTGCAAGCGCACCAGAATTGAATGTGGCGCTCTCTTTAGTGCCCAGCGCCAGCAATGTGCCGAGCGCGGCAATCAGCAGAACAGCGCAGATGTCCAGTTTGAACGGGCCGAGGCTTATCAGGGTGGCCTCCGGTGAGAGCCCCACAAGTGTCGCCCCATATGCAGTGGCCGCTCGCGCGCAGACCGCCACGCTCAAAGTGTATTCCAGAATCAGGTTGCACGCCACAATCCTGCATTTGACAGCAAGCATTGAAAATCTCAAGCTTTGCCTCCAGACTATCGCTCTGATACTCCGCTCTTGTCACTACACGCGTACACTGTACCCCAGGGAAATTCCAGTGCATGATGGGATACCTTGGATTGTACTGCACAATTCTGTGGGTGGTTGGGAGTCAGATGGAAGGTCCTGAGCATGGAAAAAAGGAGGTTCATGAGGAGGGGCTCACCAGCTGGCGAGCTCCCCGAAGGTGAGCAAGATGCAGGTGGTGGCACCCCCGGAGACAGGCAGGTCCACTGCAAACTCTGCATAGGCCAGCCCCGACAGCAGCGCTGCCAGCGCCGCTATCAAATAGCTCACCATCACCGCAGGCCTGCACAGGGGCACAAAATCCCACCTCAGGATGTGTTTTGCCTTGTCTTATCATGGTTTTGGGCAACATTAAGACTACACTTGGCGACTTAGGGCAGCGCTGACACCTGGACATGCACATCAGCTCCTTAGAGTCATCTATGCTGGTCCATCGAGTCATTTTTGGGTGCGGTGGTGCAAATGGATCTGGAGAGCATCAATGCGAATTATGATGAGGTCATCTGAGCACCCAGCATGTTCATGTGCAGCAACGCCAGTCAGCACGAATGCCCCAGCGCCCAGGATGGACCCCAGTCCCAGGAGCAGCAGATCAATGCTTCCCAGGCACCTCCTGAGCGGCTCCCCAGCATTGGCCGCCTGCATCTGCTCGTCCACGCTGCGCGTGAGTAGCGCCCTCCTCTGAAGCAGGGACTGTGCAGAACAGCTGTTCTTCAGCATCCTCATAGCAAAGAATTTTGCGGCGAAGACAATGGTTTCATTGTCTTCGGCGCAAACACAACACGGCTTAGAACACAACACTTCGGATTTTGAGGAATGGATCTGCGTGTTTGTCTCCGTGCGATCAGTGCAAGGTATGAAACCAAGAAACTAAACGCATTCAGTCACCATCTACTTACCTTGCTTCTTTGCAGGAAGCTGCTGATAGGCATTTGATGTCTCTTCCCATGAAGGTGGAGAGAGCCTGTGCTGTTAGAATATTACGATAGGGCAGGTGAATGCACTCTTCCCTGCACGAGACATGTGGTGCATTAGATCGAGAACAGCCCGCAATGCTTGCTCAACACTGTAACGAGTCAAAGCAGCCAATTTCGGCTTTCTTCTAATCTACTTACTGATTTGTTGCGTCTTTCCTCTGATGCCCCAGACAATTCGGAACAGAAAAGAAGCCAAGAAAGGCTGCCGAGGCGTTCATTTCCGGAAGGAGTCGCTCATGCTTCCGAATGTGAACGGTTCTTCGATGTCATTCTGTCTTGCATCACCTAAAATGTTTAGGAAACCAACAATTAAAGGATCCAGTCACATCATAACACAAATTTGCCCATTGACAAAGCAAATATGTGCTGATCCTTGAACTCATGGGCACATAGGACTGATTTAGTAGCACACCACGACGATTTCGACCGTACAGATCATTCCTTGGCCTTGTGATTATTTGGTTAAGGCTTTTTTGTACAGGTAGATGTTCCAGGACCATCTAATGTGCACCCATTTTGTGGGACCACTATCATTGGTGCGCCCAGTACTGGTCAGATCCTGGTGTCGCAGCCTTTTGCGGTGCAAGAGTGCCCATTTACAGCTGAGAAATGTTGGGATCCCATCAACATCCCAAACTGGTGCTCAGCAGCGACTCATTTCCCAAGTAGCAGCAAGCCAAGTACAGACACCAGACTCTGCTGACGACAGGCCTACTCAGGTGTATGGTCAGGTACGGATAATCCGATATACATTGTCTGGTCATTTGACGATATAACATTCCTCTGCGACAATCATGCTCACTTATGCATCACATACAAAAGTGATTCACATTGCTGTCTCTGGCAGGTGATGAGTGCCCAGGCGAATTTTGTGAGCGTGGTGTTGGACCCAGCAGACGATCCCAAGTGAGTGCTGTTTCACACCTTGGAATGCTCACCTGATTGCCATCATCCTCACATGCATGACTGACCCTTCAGTCAAACAGCATGGCCATGTCCGGCCAATGAGATAGATTGTGTAGCTTTGATGTGAATGGTCACATGCTGCTTCAGCCACATATTGAGCATCTGGTGTGCTCTGCGGTGGCTTTGAAGTTACGGTCAGAGGCTGCTACAGTCGTAGAATCGAGCATGTGATCCTGCTGTGGGCAGACAGCCCACGGATGGGGAAGGGGGACCAAAGAGGACCGAGCTGCTGTGCACGGTGCGGGGGATTCTGAAGAAGATCAAGCAGAGCGTGCTCGTGGGGGACCGCGTGCGTGTGGCTGGCATCGACTGGGATGACCGCCGGGGTGCGCATGAGTCATGTGTCCCTGTCTTAAGAGGAACAGAACCTACCTGTTTGTTTGGAGCGCACAGTACGGTAGTGAACCTTAGGGAACAAACTTCTGTGATCAAGTGTGTGCATGCCATGTGATGTGATGCCATTGCATTGACCTTGCGCGCAGTCCTGCTTAAAAGGCTAGTTGCCAGGAGAGGATTCTGCCAGAGTATTCAGGATGAGGCGGGACAAACGGCATGCATGATTGCAATGTTTTGGGCAACTTGAACAAAAATGCCAAAGGTGGCAATGGTGCCAGCAGAACACTGCAGATCCTGGTGAGCTCAGACGGAGGCAGACTTGTAGGAGTTCTCAGAAGTGCTCACAGGGATTCTGTGGGTGGTTTCTCCAGGGACGGTGGATGAGGTGCTGCCGCGGAGGAGCGAGCTGCAGGACCCGGCAGTGGCCAACGTTGACCAGGTGCTGCTGGTGTTTGCCCTGGAACGCCCCCCTCTGGACCTGCGCACTGCCACCAGGTGGGCACACCCCATCCGCCTGCCACACGGCTGCGCCATGTAAATAAAGGCAGTACACTTATATCATAAGCAACACAGTCATTGACATTGACAGCCGTTAAAGGGCAAAAGCATCCGTCGGGCCATCCATGTCTTTTCCTCTTGCTTTTTTCCTTATCCCCACGTGTGGGGCAGATTGATCCTTCTTGCAGCGGTGGTGGCAACGTTCTAAAAATGCTGGCCACATTGGTTGGCACTGAAGGGAGCTACATACTTATTTCAGCTGCATGCATTTGTGGGCTTGCAGGTTCCTTGTGAGCACAGAGGCCGCGGATCTGCCAGCGACCGTGGTGCTCAACAAGGCAGACCTCGTGCCTTCCGAGGAGTGCAGCCAAGCCTTGGCAGAGGTGTGCCTGGGCCATGCATGGCACGCGATTGAGACAAACTGCCTTGCAGCCTTCCAAAGCTTGCAAATACAGCAGCTGTCTTATTTGTGATATGATAACAACAATTCAGCATGTACTTTTTCTGAGTCCAGCCAGAATTACAAGACGGTCTTTGGAAAAGCCCGTATGAACTCGTCACATGTTCTGTTGGTGCTGCGCAGATTGAGAGCTGGGGGTATGACGCGATCGCAGTGAGTGCGGCGACCGGGCGTGGCCTGGATAGGCTATCAGAGGTGCTCAAGGGGCGCGTATCCGTTGTGGCGGGGCCCTCGGGGGTCGGCAAATCGTCGCTCATCAACGCCATCAAGCTGGAGGCCGACGCAGCTTCCTCTAGCTCCGCCATGGCCAGTTCTGGCACACCTACTCTCGACAATGTTGCCAATTCAGGCAACAAAGCCAGCTCCAGCGCGGTTGCCATATCTGGCAACGGCAGCTCCGCAGAAGCCGCCAGCAGCGCTGATGTCAGCGTAGAGGAGGATGCTGCACAGACAGCAGGGGTGATGGGCAGCAGCAGGGAAGCTGAGTCTGGCAGGGCAGGGAGTGGAGTGGGCAGCAGGGGGCATGAGAGGGTGGAAAATGTCGTAGAGCCGGTGGAGCAGTGGCGGGGGATGCAGGCGGCGGTGGAGCGGCTGGGGCTGCAACCCGTGGGGGACCTTACTAATCTGGGGCGCGGAAAACATACCACCCGCCATGTGTCCCTCTTAGAGGTCAGTCTTTCATCTGTCATCATAGTGCTTGTCGCAGATTCAAGATACTTGTCTTTATCCTCCAAATGCAACAAATGCAGGCATACTGTTGCTGTGACACACAGTGTTCCAGCGCATGTATGGTTCCTGGAAGGGATCGGTGCAGCTTCCTGACAAGTAGATTACGGCGCTACTGCACGACGAGCATTGCAGTTTAGAGTGCTTGTCAACCCAACCATTTTTTTTGCGAGCCAAGCCTATCGATGCTGCACATAACAAATTTTGCTTGTGCTTCATGGCTGCCTATTCCTGCATGCAGGTGGCGGGGGGCCTGCTTGCGGACTCGCCTGGCTTCAACCAGCCCTCGCTTGACGATCTCAATGTTGCCTCGCTGTCAGACTGCTTCCCAGAAGTGCGCGAAAGGGCCGAGAGGTGCATATGGCACTTTCATCGCATCTTGTAGAACTCATGGCACAAGCATGAAGGGACCTATGCAAGTGGTCCCATACCAAGTGGTTGGCGCTGTGACGTATTGGCTGCCTGGAGCAGCTTTTCGCTCATTGAGGTGGAACTCCAATAATTGCCTTGATCAAGCGAAGTACTGCTAAAGACAGCCAGTGCATCATCTGATTTGGGTAGGAAGGGTACCATTTTTGATGCCCTCAGGCTGCCCTTCTGCCATATGCAGATGCAAATGTGAGGAAATAGCCTAGTGCATTCAGGCTGTGGACTGTTGGCGATGTGCAGCAACACTTTCAACAGCTTAAGTGTGACCGTGCAGCTGCGCGTTCAAAAATTGCCAGCATCTGATCGAGCCCGGCTGCGCGGTGCGCGAGGACTGGAGCCGCCACGAGCTGTACGTGGAACTCCACGAGGAAGGTGCGCCAAATTTCTCAGCAGGTCTCAACAGCAACAGCTATGGGGAGGCGTTGCAGGAACTGCAATTTAATTGCGTTTTAACGATCATGGTACACAGGATTTAGGGCAAACAAGGTCTGCTCAGAAGTAGATCAATGCAAATCCCTCTGGTGCAGAAAAGCTGAAGTCTCAGCGAGAGAGAGAGGGAGAGAGAGATTACACTTTTTCCTACAGATATGTATGCCGCAATGCAGCCAATCGCAGGATGTTGTCTTTGAGGCACAAAGGGTGGTGGGCAAGCTGTTTTGCAGAGAGGATATCCGTTAGGTCAGTTCATCCACGGTGCGAGTCACTTAGCACAGCAAAGGGTCGTTTACAGAAAATTGCCCGTTCCTGCACATGGACTCATTGATACAGACGACAGCGGGTGCATGCATGCTGCAGTGAAAGCCGCAGAGGATCTGGCGCGGGTGCGCTCGGCCAGCAAGAAGCGGCGCGAGGGCAGCGTGCGGTACAAGAGTGCGGCCGGGGGTGTGCGCACGCGTGAGGCGCTGCTGGACATCAAGAGCCACCGCCGCGTCAGCAGGCGCCAGGTGAGCCTCTGAGATAGCGAACAATCTATTTGTGGTGCTGGAACCACCCGTGTCCGCCGTTCAAGGACGTACAATTCTGCTGCCGCTTTCTTGCTTGTTCTTTGATAATTTTCTATGGCTAATCGATTGGTATCATGCACAGTGGCCATTGAGAAACGCCCCGATCGAATCTTACGAGCGTGCCGCTTGCCTGTTCGCAGGGCAGGCAGGGGCTGCAGGATCTGCTACAAGAGGCAGAACAGGACGAGTGACAGGTTTTTCGCTCCACAAATACCGATCGCCGGGGTAAGGGAGCACCAGAGCGGTGTGGGTGACCGATCTGTTTACGACGGTTATGAAGAAGCACAGCGACGCACGTTCCCCAGATCACCGAACAATTGAGCGTCGGCTGGAGAACCTTTGATGAATAATCGGAGAGGTCCTGTCAACAATCATAACTTGAATCCTTGCTGAACGCTTTGAATATGATCACGACCGGCATGTGCTAGCCCGTGTACTTGAAAGCATAGCGGCCTACAGGACCAGCCAGGGCATGCTTGAAGTTGTATGCTGGATAAAAGGGACTGTCTTTTGCAATGTCGGGCGCCCTGTTGCTCAGAGCTCGCTATTGGCGTGGCAAACGCATATTCCAGTGTTTGGGTGTGATTGTGCGATCCATATAAGCCTGGAAATGCCACTTGGTCAACTGGGCCCGGGTAGCTCAGTCGGTAGAGCGCAAGGCTTTTAACCTTGTGGTCGTGGGTTCGAGCCCCACCTCGGGCGCACGAATTTTTTTAAATGCATACTGTTACTTTTGGCATAATGCATATTGACGTCAACATCAATTTCGAGTAAAAAGTCCTGCGCAGCATACTGATGTTGTGAGGCCTTACAAAGCTTTAGCAGCAGGCTTGAGCCGCTCGGAGCTCAGGCACCACCGTGACGATGTCAATATCACATAATACACTCCTGTCTTTCTCCATTGATGCGATGCCAAACATTCCCTTATACTAAAAGTAATGCACTTGAAATGAATGCATCAGCACCGCATCAATTGCAATTTTCAGATGGATTACTCATCTGAGATATCTGCTCATGAGCATCCGTCCCAGAAGTTGGACACATCTCGAAGACTTTCCAAGCGTCTCAGCAAGCTGTCAAACTCCAAGCAACGACACACTGGCCACGACTCCTCCCCATTTCCAGGCCCCTGCCTATTCAGCGAGAAGTTGAGAAGCAAAGGAATGGGTTCAGGAGGTTCTCCCTTCTCACTCTAATTGTTGTTAACTGTTGTGAGCATTGCATAAATTCAGGGTTCCCGGGTCCTCTCGGGGGCGGCTGGCGCGGGCACGAGCTGGCCGAGGTCTGGGCGCGCATGCTGCAGCTTGCGCAGCTCCACCTCCACGCGCACCGGCACCCACTGGAACCGCCGGAACGCCTGTGCGCGCCAGGTATGCACACGCTGGTGAGTAAGGGCATGTAATGTAGCAGAAACAAGTACCGAAATTTTGGGGGTGTATACGCTTACGACGAGGCGTCTTTCTTGATCTCTAAAGTCAAAGTTGCACTTTGGTGTGTATACACAACCAAAATTGACGAACCGACCACCGAGTAATGAGTTGTGAAATACTGAACGAGATGGAGAATAACTCGCCGTTTTAAAAAGTTATGGGAAGAAGGATATACGGATGCAAGGTCTTATCGATTCTAGAAATCTCAACCCTCGCCGAGGCAATCGGTTAGTCATCGGGAACCAAATGCTAAGGATGCTAAGGATCCGCTTCAGAGAAGCGTATCCAAAAAGTGCGGTGGAGATGCAAGAGAAGACATGGATGGAAAGCAATTTTCCAGGTATTGCTCAGCACACCTAGTCCTTAGGACTGTAAAGAATGCAGCAGTTGAAAGCACATTTCATTGAGGAAGCAACAATTTGCGCTTATTTGGCTGGCTTGACAGACTGTCTGTAACTGGTCGAGACTTGACAAAGATGTGCAAGTCAGCAGCATAGGTACAATCACTTGCAAGGATAAGATTAGAGCCAGAGGTGGACAGCAAATTGGCAGCCAAGAGGGAATGCACGGGCTGACGGCCAATCCCACAATGGCATGCAACAGCAGTGCAGTCTCAATTCGCGTTAAAAGGGGCTGAGAAAACACTGGCAAAGTTGCTTGCGATGATGTCACGGCTTGCGCACAGGGTGCACCTCGAGCAGCAGCCTCGACTGAGCTGCACAGTGAAACCACCTGCCTGTGTGTGAAGATGCATGCACACGCGCTAGCTCTTGCAGAAGTACCTCTGCTTAAGGAAGTCTCCTATTGTGTTTGGCAGCAGTTTTTAAAACGCAAAGCGCACCTCCAGCAGGGTGAAGGCGAGGACGGTGTCATGATTGCGGCGCAAGTGCGGCGATAGCTTGTAGGTCCAGGCCAGGCGCAGCAGCAGGTTGGACGCCATCAGGTAGTAGTAAAACGCCTTCTGGAAAAACAGCTCGCTCCGCAGCACCGGCTTGGCCATGCCGCACCGCCGCTCGCCTGCGGTGCACCATTCATAATTGAGAGTCCCGATTTTGAAATCCGGATTGGGATGAAGATGCACTTGGCTACTCGTGTCAAACAGTCATCAGATGACTCCAGGCTAGATTTCTTCAAGTGCGAGGCGCATGTCACCGTGTAATCTCCTGGCTGTGCAAGGACACCACAAGAGGTAGTGTCAATGGTTTGATGATATGCACCGGTATCTCTTCTTGCCAGAGGACAGCAGGGTCGTTGCTGCAAGTCAAAAGTGATGCACTTTTTCATACCGCTCAAAGGAGCTCTGCAGACAAGGTTTTACAGCAGTGATGCATCTCAAGCACACCTGGGGCGGTGAACCACTGGATGTCCCAATCGCGCTCGATGTCCCAGTAGTAGGAATAGCTGGAGTTGATCAGCGCCGACAGCAGCCACATCGGCTTGTAGAAGCCGTGCCACTCCTCCACAGGGACCTGCGATTTGCCAAGACAGCAAATTCAAGATGAAGAACCCAACTTCTTCTGCTGCAAGCAGGGCACGGTCCACAATGCCAGCAGCATCAAACAAGTGCATGCAAGAACGAGTGATACCCTGTAAAAGGGCCAGGAACAGATGAATAAGCACAGAGTAGTTACTGGGCAATATGCATCACCTGGTACTTCATGGCTGAGAAGAAGATGACCGGAAACGCCGTGGAGTATTTCAGCGCATTGAACAGCTGCACATGCAACCAAACATCAGCTCCATTGCAGAATAGGTGATGTCATCATCACCCCTCTTGCAGACTGTGCTCATCAATGACAGAACACTCATGAGAAAAAGATGTCGTTGAGTGATCAAGTGTGACAGGCAGAGCTGAAGGTTAACAAGGGCAAGGCAAGCAAGAGATACGACGGGAGGTCACAGGATTACATTGGTGCGGACGCCTGTGTCGCGGTAAACTCGTATGCACTGGCACAGGCGCCATGCGTACGGCAGCGCCAGCCCCAGGGGAATGATCCACGAGCTGCTGCCGCACACCTGATCACCAGACAGAAACTGCAGTAAAATACTGCACAACAGCAATACTCTCTGCAAAGTTCCAGAAGGAGAACTGTAGCTTTGAAGTGTCTTTTGAAACCAACATCTGCTCTGTGATGCAGTGATACTGTATTACTGTGCAATGCTGGAGTCAAAAGATGATCCAAACTGCTTGAAGAACAGTCTCTAGCAACAGGAAATACTGTTCCCGAGCTGCATTAAATGGGATGCTGGGAGCGTTGCCAGTCTAGGACTGCCCAAAAAACGACGGCGACTTCAAGTCTGCAGAAGCTTGCTCTACTCTCTCTCTCTACCTCTATCTCTTTAAACATTTTAGGAGGCTTCAGGCCATGACAAACCACCACCCGGGACGCCAAGTGCCTCTGAGGCACTTTACATGGCACACCCGCACTCCCAGCCTTGCCTAAAGATCTCATCAGATGCGCGCACCTGCTCGGAGGCGTGCGGCTGCATGACGGGCCCGGCCAGCAGGTGGCAGAGGGCGCGCTCCAGGTCCGACAGCGCCTTGGCCAGGGACGTGAGCACATCCGCCAGCAGGAAGTCCGCCCATGACACCTCCCTCACCGGCGTCGCCACCCGGTACAGCGTCCTGGCAAAGAACTGGCGCGTCTCCTGGGCGCACGAAACAATTCCATCTCTTACGCTCTCTTTTGGGGAATTAAACCTGACTGGATGACCCTCTTTCCTGTGTGAAAAGATCCAGATGCCGGCAGAGCCCTGCTCTTTTAAAAGGGGTGACGACAAGGGCAAGGGAAGTCTTGGGGAGGTGTGCAAAATCGCTGGGACCTAGCCGAGTGCGCAACCCTCCTTTTACAATAACCACGGTATCATCTGCCACCATTGTCCGCTCTTCCCTTTTTATGCTGAGGGGCATCACTTTGCTGCCAGTCCCCAGGCAGGATATCCCAAGCACTCCGGATTGACATCGCCAGGAACATCTAATTGCACACAGCAGCTTTGAAGGAACAGGTGCTCGAGGGCGCTCACCGGGAAGAGGAAGTTGATGGGCAGGGGCAGGAAGAGCAGGATGAGCAGCGCATACATCAGCGGCGGCTGCAGGGAAGCTGCCCACAGCTGCCCCAGCGCGCAGTGGTACGTGAAGAGTGTCGCACTCGCCAGCAGTGCACACGTCAGCAGCGCGGTCGCCTGCCATGTCAGAATCAATGAGGTCAGGGGTACTTTATATTACTGGGATGTTTTTAGCATCCCCCTGATAAAGTGGTGAGCAGCTAATACCGTAGTCACCCTCAGGAAATATGGCTTTGAGGAGGCATGCACATGGCAGCATGCATCTGACATGAATGACAACACATCACCAGATTACAAGAAGGGTGATGCAACATTTGAAGCCCCACTCTTAACGGAAAAATTTTGAGATTAAAAAGAATAGGACTACAGACATGCTCATGACGGAACATGGGCAGAGCATGCAAACTGTCACAGTAGGTATGTCAAGCAATGCTGCCCCTTGCCTGGAAGAGCTGGCTGCTGCTGCGCAGGAACTGTTGGTCGTGGGGGCTGAAGCAGACTCCATAGGCGATGCGTTTGCGCTCAAATATCCTCACGTCGATCGCCCACAGCCACAGCATTGCCAGGATGACCAGCAGCGGCTGGTAGTAGATGTGGAAGAGCTCCAGATGATCCTGGCTGGCTGTGCGCAGACAGGCCACGATTGCGTACGCTGCCAGCGTCGCCCCTCCTAGAACTCCCACTACAAATGTGCGGTCCCACTGCGCATGCATGCGCCAATCCTTTGTATATCTGTTTGCAGTCTCTTTGTACACCCCCTCTTGAAAACAGTGTAGAAAGCATTGTTGGTCCCGCAGGCATCTGGTTAATTTCTCTTTGTTTGGCCCTCCTTGGAAATGGTGAAGAAGGCATTGGAGATGCTGCAGGGCATCTGAGCCAGCTGATAGAGTTTTATCCAAGATCTGGACTCAGTGGCAGTAGGCCATTGCATGCATGTCTATTCCTCTAGGTGCTGGACGACTGACAAGAAACTTCAGATGTTGCACATGTTCTCCTATCAACTGACGCGGCTATTGTCATGTCTCTGCATGAGGGTCCGTCATTGCTATGTTCACACTCAGCTTGCAGGGGTTGGCACCGCCTAAAAATGAAGTGAAAACATCTTGCATGGGAACATGCAGCGGTCCTCGCAGCATGCATAGGAGACATCCGGTGCAAATGGATACCTGTGTCGACTGCGCCCGAGCTGTTGCCGAATGGGGCTTCACCACGTCATGGTCCATGTCCAAGCCGCTTGTGCTGCAATCCCACCAACGATTTACTTATCATCTTGCAGCAGCTTTCCTGCATTTTTTCCTGCCTGGTCGTCACTGCCAGCACATTGACAAGGAAGGGGACAAGGTCTTGCAGAACCAGCATGTAATGACAGGATACCAAGGCAAAATGGGCAATATATTTACAACCTCAAGCCTCACCTTGCATGCGCAGCATTGTGATGGCGGGCATGGCGTTCCATGCCCGCCTCTGTGTCCTTTTCAAGATCCGTCTTGGCTCGGGCACGCGACCTTGGGGATTGCACGGTTTCCAGGGATGCAGAGGGCCTGCTTGGGCAGACAAGCGTAAGCACTAAGAGCCCTGAGCCCTGAGATATTCTATGCAGTAGTTGTGTTGAACATCGCAAGATGCATTCAGTCAAAGAATGGGAGCAGTGACAGCAGAAGACGGATGCATGCAGGTTGCACGAGACAAAAATCCGAAGGGTATCTGCCATCACGCACCTCAAATCCATGCACCTCGCGGTGCCTACAACCTTGGATAGTTATAAGGTATTGCCAGGATAGTCAACACACAAGACCTGCCCTGCCAACCACCACCAACAGTCTCGAGCGCATTTCGCTCAGACTTAGACTTATTTTGCTTGATGAAAATCAGTCAGGCCAGTTCAGGGTTGGTAAAGATATTCCTGGCACACAAGCCGTTGCGAGAATTCCAAGAGCTCAGCTGATGCGAGCATTAGGTGGGAGATTTTGCAAGTCAAGTGGACTACTCGCTATCATCCAAGACCGTTCCTTGATAATAAAACACTTAATACAAAAGCATCGTAATTGTACAGATTATCCTTTGACGTGCGTGTTCAGATGCAATGTTGGGCATCAAGTCGAGTCCAAGGCGCAAATTTAATTTATCATTCACCCTGCTGTTCCTATCAGAAATCCCCTGACGAAGGAGAAGATGATTTTGGTGTTTGTTGCACCATTTTTTGTGCGTTCACATTAGATACCAGCCTTGAGGTGTGATCAGGCTCGCAGGGAGAGAGGCTGCAGCGCGGGAGACGTCATGTCGTCGAAGGCAGCTGCCTTGCACCACCTAACCACAGAGAGCACCCTGACCACAGTCACGAGGGAACTGAAGTACTTGTGAGTGCATCTATCTTATGCTGTTGGTATTCAAGCAAGAGCTACTGCCTAGATCTGCTGTCTCAAGTCACAATTGCACCTTCCTGGATGGAGCCTAAACCTACACGAGGATGGAAGCTTTTGAGAAATTTTCGCATCTTGAAGGTACTTCGTTTTACGTTGGTGCAACTGCAGGTGGCCCTTTGTTGCGGGGCTCGGCGCCTGCGGCTACGTCTTTCTGAAGGTTGGCCTGAGCGTGACTGGTGAGTGCACAGTGATCTATCTCAGCCTGATGAGCTCATTTGCGTTGTATCAATAATCAAAGCTTGTGATTAACCTGCAACGAGTCGTCTTCCAATACCGAGGGTTTCCTTGTGCTGTGCAGACGAGGACGTGAAGAACTCAAGTGAGCACCCCCTTCACAAACTGTCAGTCAGCATTAATGCTATCGTTCTTCATGATTGTGCTGGACTGAAAACACTTCTGAGGGTTCTGTGCCACTGCAGAGTTTTCCAACCCGAACAAGCACTGAGATGGCCCGCTTGGACACACATGCATATGCGCTGCATACTTCTGCAAGACTGGACTGAGACAGATGACCGAAGCTGTTTCTGTCGGCCTGGCAGGAATGTCAGCATGTGTTCAGCAGCTCACTGTCTCAGGAGAATCAGCGAGCCAGCAAATGCTGTGCAGATCTCGGAGGCGTGCACAGGCTTGAATCAAGATTTTTGATGAGCAGGAGAATTTCATGGTTTGAGGGAATCTGATGCTGCGCTAGTACAGCTCTGAACAGCATGAGACAGTTCTGCCCTTTTTGTGTGGCAAGAACTTCCCAGATGTAAAGGACATTGCAGGGAACTGAGACATGCCCACTCATGCTTGTACCATGCCTACGGTATTTTCTGCGTTCTATATGCCCTTCCACTTGATCATAAGCTGCTGCTCACGCTACCAGCGGTGTTTTCTGCTTCCATGTGGCACTGGAATCCGAATTACAGTATCGTTTGCATGAGTTACATATCCACACAATTCCAATTGAAGGCCACGCAAGGCCTCACCAGGACACACAGCATAAATAATTCTGAACTTCATGAACCTTGATAAGGTTACCAAATTTGTGAACATCTTGCAAGGCCCGAGTCTTCAGGACTGATACGTTCTAGCTACAGCCTGCCATACCATGCGTCAAGCCTCCCTTCAGTGTTCCGCTCTCATGTGTGATCAAGCATGTGCACAGCGCCCTTTCTGCATTCAGCACACCAACATGCGCAGCACCTATCATATTAATTTGACACAAGCGGGGGCAAAACAAGCACATCCTCACTGTTGACACCCAGCATTGCTGTCACAGTGGAGGAAACAAATACGTAAAGGCCAATGAGGGCTGCAATGGTCAGCACCGCTGAAACTGGCTTCCTCAGCAGTCCACCAATCGGCTTGACTGCTGTGTAGGCCGTGCCCAGCAGCACAGAGAAGAAGTAACTGCCATAGCGCCCCACATTGCTCCAGAAATCCTCCTGCAGAAGGCAGACAGTTTCCTTTAGCTTGACTATGAAGACACAAGTCCCATCCCTTAACACCAGCTCAGACATTGATCACACAGGACACATGGCAGATGAAGCATATTGCAGCACTTCTTAATATCCATGCAAGTGCAGACTCTGGAAGTGCAACTGATAGCCCCAAGGCAACGTGTGTCACATGGAGCAGGACAACGATCTTGATCTTGCATGCAAGTGCAAACTCATGTAGAACTGATAGCCCCAGGGCACGGCGTGTCACATTATAATATGACACCTCACAGGACAGAGGTCCGCACATTCTCTGCAAGCTGGTTGAGGTCTGCTGCCAGAGGGTGGAAGAGCGGTGTCTTGTCCGAGAGGTCTGCTGCGAGCGCCTGATCTGGCGAGCTCAACCATGCAGCTGCCCCTAGCAAGAGCAGCAGCGCACTGCCTTCCCTGCTGAACACACTGGATACCAATGCTTGCCGCATGATGCCTAGTCCCTTGAGATTGTGGTCACTATCTGTGTGCTGTGAATGCCTGGATGCACCGCCTGCAAGCATGTGAACAGATCAGGTGAGACTGCACTGCCAGATCAAGCACATTTATTGCGATATGGCACCTCTTTCAAACGGCTGGAAGAACGACGATGAACAGGTTAGAAGGATTTGCGTGTGTTGCTTCTAATGCAACGAATGTGAGTGCAACGAAAATGATGGAGGTTCTGGTGTTGGGATGGAGACAATACCTGCTCTGCATACCACTACTGTGCCTGTGCAAGCTGTGTTCCGCAAATTAGACTGCTGAGATGCTCTGAGTGGCCCAAAAGAGAATGTTGGGGCACGCGACAATGGCACTCGCGAGCAGCAATGTTTTGCTTGAGTCTCGAAAGGCCTGGACGTGCTCGCTTCACACTGCAATGATTGCATCACACCTGCACACACTTCCCAATCGCACGAAATACAAGTTTACGATTTTCTCTAGATGTTTCTGCAGAGGTTCAATTTCCTCGCCTGAATGATAAAGTCAAGATTGGATGGATGTCTTAAATAGGATCGCCGTGCAAACTTCGATGGTGACAGCTGCAGAAGCTTCAGGAAGCTTCTTTCGCCATATTGTTCGGTAAAAGGGCAGAGGAGGCCAAAGAAGCATTCTTAACAGGAGTTCTGTAGCGTCTAGCAGGTAGTGCTACCGGGCGGGGGCATCATTTTCGCTTATTGGTGCTTCAAGCTGACGTGCGAGGCAGCCCTTTCTCCTATCTTTTAGCGCTCGCTCTGCCTTTATGTCTGCATTCCTCCTTTGCAAACTTGACATGCTAACCGGAGCTCAGGTTCTGAAGCTCCAGAGTGACTGTGTACACATTTGCATGCATCCAATTGTAATGCCGTGAAGGTTGCACTAGCAACTCCAACATGATGCTGGCAACATATGCATGCATGCCAGTAAGTCCACCGCTGAAGGCAAGGTTTTGCATTCGTGCTGGGCCCAAGGCTGCCTGGACCATGGAATGGCCCGGCCACTGGTAAACTAATTGGCAACTGCAAATTTTTGCAAACAAACTGGGTCTACGTAGTACGGTATACCTTTGCGGTGCTTGATTAATGCTAGTCTAAGCCTGCAGCTGCTTGGTCTCAGATCGTCTCGGATTCATCTGACCAAGCTCACTCACAGCTCCGAGCCTGCAATTCCTTGGCAAATTTGCATCCTCACAGGCAGCCTGCTGAGCACGTGCTCCCGGAGGTGCCTTTCTTTCCTTCCCTTCCTCTTTCTTTTTTTCCACCCTTGTCCGTCCATAGGGTTCACGGAAGTTTAGAACGTAGCTATGAGGCTGGCCCTAACGTGCGGAAGAGAAGGATTACTTTTTTCAGGCATCTTTCAACAGCTATTGGGCAAGTAACAAGGACTCACGATGGCATATTCCCGAGAAAGGGGATTTCGCCAGAGAGCTTTCCGCCAACGACAGAAGGTAGCGCATCGCTTCTTGTATATATTTCAAGACACCCAATGTGCTGTACCGCCACATCAGCTGACGCACCCAGCGTTGCTGTGCAGGAGAAACAACAGGCGACCGAGCGTCAGCTACTTGAGTTGTCCGAGAAGGCCGCAGCATTGGAGTTGGAGAGGGATCAGCTGCAGCGGGCCGTAGAAACTGCCACCAGTGACTCGCAGGTGAACTCTCTCGGCTTTTTACGCCTCTGATGGAAGCGCTGAGCCATTCCAGCGAGCGTAACGGCTGATTTCAAGTTGTTCGAATCAGCAGCGCACAAGGGCCATGCCCTGAACTCGCAGGGTTTTGCCTCGAGTAATTTGGGGGTAGCTGGACCATAGAACAAGGCAGTACTCAAAGCCCACATGAGCTGAAGTGGGGTAGCCATCATCGTCATCTAGGACGATCTAATAGTACCCCATTCAGATGTGGCAATGTCTGCTTGTGCGCTGTTCAGGTCAGCTGTACCAATGGGAAGTCAAGCAATGAGGCACTCGCTGTGAGCTTTTGTTTTGGGGAAGCTACCACGCAGCTCCAGCTGACCCACGCAGACATCAGGTCACTCACAGTTGACGCCATGGTTGACATCTGGAAGGTGGGATCCCCTGCACTATCCACCCTTGTCACCTGATCTTCTCCCTTCAACAATCCTGTGCCTTTGCCTTGCCTTGTCTCCTTCCCCAATCTTACGGCCTGATCTTGTCTTTTCCCTTTTAAAATGATGGCGCTCAATACGACCTTGATCTGCACAGTTCACCCTGACGCTACTGGCAAACATTTGCGGCGGCTTGGCTACATCATGCACATCAGACTTGAGATCACCTTGCAAATTTCCATTGAGGGCCTATATTGCATAGATCTGAGGAGTGCGTCTGGCGTGCATGCATGCAGATGGTGGTGCACAAGCTGACCTCCTCTCTTGCCAAGATGGATGCTGCTCCGAAGGACAAGCGCTGCCAGTCGCGCGTAGAGGTGCGCTCACTCGGTTGCCCTTACAGCATATCATACATTAAGCAAAGCCCACTTCCAGCTGGACCTGTAATGTTAACAGCAACACTTGAACGACGGACTCCTTTTGCCGCAGGTACTTTCAGCCATCGAATTGATCCAAATCACAATCGCAATTCACCATGAGGCGCACACAGGAGCACGGTTGGGTTGAAGTTTACTTTTACGGTTTTTAAGTACTTTTCGAAAGTATTTCATATTGTATTTCGTATCGAAAGTATTTCGAAAGTTTCTAAAGTATTTTTCGCCAGTACTGCTAGCATTTTGTCGCATTATATTTTGAGAATGATCACATGCGGTGACCCTGGGTTAAACTAAACAATGATTACAAAGGATTGCAAAGGCCAGCAGGTAGAGGGCTGGTATAAGCTGAGCACCTTGAACCTGAACAGGAATATGAAGGTGATTGACAATGTGACATGCAAGACTGCAGGATGTATATGCACCAAAGATACTCCCATATGACGCAAGAGGGGCAGGAATAAGGCAAAGGGCAAGAACAAGCGTGTGAACTGGCAGGGGTGGAACCCGTGCTAAGGGATCAGCAGATCAAATTTTTGCCAATCAGCACAAGAGCCCCGTCCAGAGTTTAGCTCAGGCAACTTGTTAAGTAGGGAAGAATTTAGTAGGTGCGTGGGCCCGGGGACACCTTTGGAGTTGCGAGTGCGGGGAGTATCTGATTTACCTTTGTAGTGCTGAAGTTGAAGTAGTAGTAGTCGAACGTCAAAGAGTTAGTTTTAGAGGAGGGTAGAGTATGCAATATGCAAGTTATATTGTTTATGCTTATGCTCTATTACCGTGAGTAGCGGGAACAACACTATAATGCAGCCATTTCGACACCGCAGGGCCTTGCCTCTCTGGGTTCAAGGTACCTCTGACAGTTCATACGGTGTGTTAAAGAAAAGTGTGTTACAACTTGTGAGGCGCAAGCCATATTTAAATTTATAGTAAATTGGAATTCCTTCTAGAAGCATCTAGGAACCTCCTAGAAGCTACTGGTGGCTTCCAGAACAACCCAGAACTTTCTGGAACATTCCTATTGTCAAACTCCTAAATTGGCACTCAGAGCCATTATCACTCTAAACAATGAGAACAGGCAGACATGGTAGCATGCAGAGTCAAGCTCATGCCACAAGCGGAACAGCTTTAAAGATGGGTTGACATGACGATGTGATCACGTCTAGACTATTAAAAGAAATCGTAAATGTGGACCTTCCACCCAATGTCAGAACGTAAGTGTGGGTAGGCATGGTGAACATACTGTATTGACCCCAATATTCGATTGGACAGAGTCTACCTGGATGATGCATGAATACATCTTCCGTGTCATATATAGCATACTGCTTGCATGCTTGTATTGCGCAATCAGTCACTCTGCACCCTTCAGTTGCTTATTCTGAACAAGTTGTACTGTGTTGCCTGACTCGGCGCCTGGCAATTAATCAAGTTCAGCCGGGTAGCCTGACCTGCTTTACTTATCGACTGAATTGTTGTAGCGATAAAAACTGCAAAAGGACTATGACATAATGTGGCTTCAGGATTCAATGGGTGCCACGTTCTCCCGCTGCATTCTCCTGGTCAGCCTCAGCTGCGCCTTGGTGGCCTGCTTGCCCTTGTGTACTGCCGACGGTGCCACAGGGGCAGCAGTGTTGCTGGCTGCAAGCGCTGGCTCTGCACTTTCTGTCTCGGACCCTGTGCCTGCTTCCTCCGAGCTGGTGCTGCTCTCCTGATGGAACCCACACAAAACGGACTTTGGTACATTGTAATTCCTGGAGCATGCCCCAGCAAGGCAGGCTTGCTTGGTTCAAACTGGCTTGCAATACTTTCATCAATCTACAGTGCTGGGATTCTTGTATGCTGCATATGCATGACCCAGTCTCCACCAAAATTGTGCAAGACAGATAAGGAGCAGGCAATTGCAAACTTCGCATACTTTTTCTCGGTCAGCACCTGCCGTCTCAAGTGACTACGGCTTGTCATTCTGCAGTGCCGATTGTGAAAGGTATTAAGGGCAATGGCAGCCCATCAGTTTGAGGTAGCAACCGTAGCAATTCAGGTGAGGAGCAGTCAGCACCTCATCTTCGCTCTCAGAGCTGGCGGCTGCGACGCGGCGGCGGCGACCAGCCGGCTTGGCGGGGCCGCGGCCACGGGCCGGCCGGCCGGCACGCGGCGACGGCGGCGCAGCCGACTCGAAGAGCGCCTCGGTCGCCGCAGTCATCTCCTCGACAGAGGCCAGTAATGCTTGCAGTGCTTCCTCACTCAGGCCCTGCACGTATGCAGCACAAGCCTCTTAGCCTCTTCGTTCTTGTGTGTATAACCTGAGCGTCGCCTCTCAAGAAGTCTACGCATTCACAACTGCTTTGCTAATTTCTCGCCTGACTTGCAACGTTGCTTGGCTCTTCTATGACCTGAACATGCTGTGTGATATGGAGCCACGATCTGTGGTAGCGACGCTTAGTGTTGTCGCCTGCTGGGATCATTGAGCATGCAGCATCAGAGCTGAGCACGGTCAGACCTCGTTGGGCATGCTGTCCATGTCAGAGAGGCGTCGCGCGAGCGCTGCAGCATCCTTCGCTGCATTGCGGTCCTTCACATTTTCCGCAGCCCTCTGTGCCAGCGCCCTGACCCGCTTCACATCCTCCTGCAATGCAATAGCAGACACTTGTTGGCAAGGGCTTCAAGCTGAACTCAATGGGGATTCACTCTGGAATTGGCCTTGTATCTCTGGGCTCTGGGTCAGACTTCTTCTGATCTATCCAAAAGGTTGGATATCATTCTTCCTTACCAGCAAAATCAGCCCCAGCACCTCAGCGTTGCAAATAGGACCCAAGCTCCAGGCTTGATCCTCATTAAAGCCATGAATGTGCCAAGTACTTCCCCTTCATGCATGATGCAGTCCAGAAAATGCAGACTGTCAGTATGTGGACGTTCCAAAGCCGGTACTGTATACGAGTCCTAAGCCTTAGACCAATATTAAGAATTAGTGCAGTGACACTGTTCCAAAGCATTGCCCTGGATTGCAACCGGTAGGCGAAGCTGTGCTCACCTGGGAGGCCCCCTTGAGAGAAAGGCCGTTTGCCAGCTTAAGGAGGGCGGCGATGTAGGGCTTGGATGCCTGCCCGGCCGGGCAGGCCAGAGCCTCCTTCAGGGCGGCCTCTGTCAGTCTCACGTGGCCGTTGCTGGACTGCACCGCTCCCTCCGCTGACTCTTCGCCCTTGATGTCCATCTGCTCAGGGAAGACACTCCTTTTTGTCAGCGTATTGGTGAGTGTTTCCGAACTTGCTTTGTGTGTCCAACTTACCGGACTGTGATGCAAAGCTGGCTGACATAGTACAGCCGTTCCAAAGAATGCCCTGCTGTGGCACCTTGGACCTCCCAGATCAGAGCTGTAGCTGAGACCCATGAGACAGCTGTGTTGATATTGTGTAATGTCAGCAACTGAACCAGAAGCACCTCGGCTCGGCCCAGCAAAGTTCTCACTGATATTGTAAACAGAGCTCTGGATATCCTTCTTGGGTTTGGGCCACTTGGTTGTGTTTTGATAAAGCAAAAAACATACCTGCAGCAGGCTGAATCCAGCAGCAGTCTGACAGCCAAAAGATTACATATACACAGAGCGCTAAATGTTTTTGGTCGGGGCTGGACCACTTGTTTGTGTGTTTATCACCTAAAAAGACACGTGCAGCATCATGTACTCAGCCAGACATGGTAGCTTCACAAAATCTGTCGATGGTTTTGCTTATGTAACACACCTGCAGCAGGCTGAGCACGTAGCGCAGCAGCTGCGGCGCGGCGCTTCTGGCGGGGGCCGGCCCGGCGGCCAGGGCGCGGCGGCCAGCCGGCAGGGCGGCTGCGCAGAGGCGTTCCTGGGCGGCGGCTGACAGCGGCGCGTAGGCGTGGAAGAAGACGGTGAGGCACTGCTGCATGCGCGCGGCTGCCGCCAGCCCGGGGTCACATGCCAGCACCAGCAACTGCGCCAACACCTGCTTGCATCGCAGCAGCCTTAGTCAGTCACACAGAAGGACACATGATGAGAGATGGGAAAGAACATTTTGAGAAATCTTTGAGTGCTTGGATTTTGTGGGCCAGCAGTGTCGCTTCACAAGCATAGCTGTTGGGCAAAGTGGCGATTGTATGTCTGTAGGCATCCTCACGGTCCAATGCTAGCTGGCATGTATGGCTGGAATCTTGTGTCTGACATTGTCGCAGCGTCAAATGTTGTTGGAGTACATGCATGTAGGTATGCACACACTGCGCAATTAGGTAGACGCATTCAGATATTGTTTGCAAACCTTGTGTGTTTCTGCGTCCTCGAGAGGGGCAGTCTGGCTTCCGGGCAGCTGCTGGTGCAGCAGCAGCTTCGCGAGGCCTTCCGCCACGGCGGTGACTACCGCGTAGTCATCGTTGTCGGCGCGAGTCATCCCGCCGCCGACAGCTGTCAGGCGGCCGAGCAGCACGTCCAGAACTGGCAACGAGGCCTCCTCTATGGCGGCTGGATTCTGATCCGTGTCACTGGGATGGTCCAACAAAGGCATGTACCTCTGATCCAGGGCTCTGGGACCCCTATGCAGTATACACCAGTGTGCATCAGCTGGAGAAGCTCAACACTATCTTACGATTTGGCCGGATGTCCAGGAATGAGATTTAAACGAGGAGTGCACGGCTCTGTATCCGGATGGCGCATGGCAGCTCAGCACCACATACAACATTGCAAGGAAAGCAGTGCTTGTTTCTGCGCTCATAACAACGGGCACCATTCTATTGGAGAGACTGATCCACCCGAGTATACAGTCGAATGCACATAGGGAGTGTGGCTGCGGATGATGCCAGAGCAAAGAGGACTCTGTTGCCCACATGTTCCGTGCCCCAAGAACAGCACCAGGAATTCAGCTGATATAGAAGACTCGGAGCGCACACCTGAGGACTGCCAAGTCACAGAGCGCTCGAGCGGCGGCCTCACACACCCGGGGGCGCAGATCGGTGAGCAGAGCGGTGCGCAGGAGGGCGATGCGCTGGGCGAAGCCGGAGGCATCCGCCTGGAAGCTGTCGCCCAGCATGCACAGCAGCCCAGCGCAGCGCACGGCCTCCGCCCTGACATGTGACACATCACTGTTAATCACCTTGAATCGCCCGCAATCACTTGGTAACATGTGTGTAAGCTGGGTATTACTGTTATGCTATATTGCACACAGTGTTCCTGCTACCACTGAAGGCACATGGCAGACATGGCTTTGGGAACATGGCAGCCTTTAGAGAGAAGGGCTGCTGCCATCTTATCCCGAAGGACTTCGTCAGCGCTTGGTTAAGCCCTTCACGGCTAGAGTGGTCAACGCGTGCCCAATCGAATAAGGGGACGCTGCTTAGGTAATTGCTTTGCGCCTTCCAGGGGAGGCGAGCTCGCATGCGTAGGAGTGAGGAAAGAGGAGTGGCGACAGCAGGTGGACCATGACCTCCTTCAAGTGCTCTGCACTCCTGCTTGTAAAAAATCTACCAGGTTTGGACACATGCCATCAAACAGTCAAATGCAACGGCATGTGCGCACCTGACAGCAGAGCCCATCTCCATGCCGGGCATGACGAGGTGGCGGCTGATGTCAGCGAGACATGTCAGCACATTGTTCGTGGCCACAGGCCGCTGCATCTTCAGAGGGGTGTCCTCCAGCAGGACCGAGGCCAGGTTGAGGCAGTGCAGCCAGCAGCCCTCATCATCTGCGCCCTCTGTCGGCATTTAAACAATTTACTCAATCGCAGCAGGAATGTATGAAGTAAGGGAGGGAGGAGGGGGCTCTCACAATCAAGGACAGCTGCTACACAGGGTGACGACGCGCCCCATTATGACATTTGAATTTGGAGGTTGGGAGGTCTGGCAACCCAGAACAAAAGCATTCACACATTCACGAATACGCCCTAACGGTAGTTGTGTCCTCCTGAGCCTCTGATATCAAGTCAAGCACGTCAAACGCAGCCAACCCAGAGGGCTGCAGCTTGCGGGCGAGGAGCTACACACCGAGGTGCAGCCGCCAAAGAAAAGTAACCAAAGATGAGTTCAGAACTGTGCTCCAAGGTTGCCAGGTGTCACCTTCTGGGCCGGCGGCATTGAGGGAAGCTTCCTGCAGGTGCAGGCAGTCGGCGATGGCATCCAAGGTGAGCGCTGCCAGCTCGCTGGGGGATCCTGCCACCTGGCCAGCCAGCCGCATAACTGCCGCCGCCATTGCCCTGTCCTGGGCGGGGGCCGCCTCCCGGTCTCCCAGAATGCTCTGCGCACAGCAGCGTACTTCAAGAGCCAAGAAGCTTCTTTCCACAAGTGGCTGCCAACACTTGGTGTTCAACAAATTTGCCCAACCGCAAGGAGGGCAAATTGCATGCCTGTATTTTGCGGGTGTTCCGAGTCATGGGTTGTGCATTGCTGTACTCCTTGTTGAAGAAGTTACGAAGCTCAGAAGTATGCTGAAGGGCTCATGACGGCATCGCACCTGCACCAGCTCAGAAGCGGCTTTGCGTGCGGCAGCGTCGGAAAGGTCGACACAGCAGGCAGCGATTGCCAGCAGTTGCCGCGCGGCAAAGCCGGAGCCTGCCCCGGCCGCCGCATGCTCGGCAACCAGCGCCATCAGGTGCTCGGCAGCTGCCGGGAGAGTCGCCTCAAGCGCCTCGAGCGCATCGGATGCTCGGGCCGCCTCCACATCTGCCACCGCCCCGCTAGCGGCGGCCGCCGCACGCCCCTTGGCGGACCCCTCATCCTGCACACAGAACAGTGCATCTTTCGCCGGGCTTCTAGCGGCTCAATAAGCATGGTCACATTGTGACTTGAATCTGGAACCCATATGAAGACCTGTGGTGCAAGATGCGCCCCTGCATTTCATCACGCCAGGTCCCCGGGGCCCCACGACCACAAAATACACTGCATTAGATTGCATGGATATCCTGCCCTGCAACTATTTTTTTTGGTTCAAGGTGACTGCCTTCCCTATCAAATATCTGCAAAAGGGTCTGGCAGGGTTGTTCTCGACAGCGCAGGAGCATGCGGCACCTGCAGCCAGGTGCAGATGACGCGCCACATCAGCGCCAGCTCATCGGACATGCAGCCGGAGCCGGGGGCGCGTCTCAGGCCAGCGTCCCCTTCCGTCGCCTCCTCGCTCAGCGCTGCCGGCTGCAGCCTGCCGCATGCTATGAGCGCCAGCAACTGCGCATGCACAGCCAGTCTTGCTTGCACTCTTAGATGAATGCCCTGCCTACGGAAGGTTCTAGATGTCTCGTGTGTGTTGTGTTCTTTCTTGTGTGTCTTGTGTTTCCTGGACAAAGTCTTGCCACAGCAATCCTTGCAGGGAACCTGGCACCATCTCTTGTGATCCTTCTGGGAACTTCTCCCACAGAAGTACCTCTTGGGAGAACTTTTTCCATCTGTTCTGGGCCCACACATATTCATGTAAGCAAGCCCGTGCGCAGCTGACTCAGCGCATCAACAATGCACGTTCAGCTCCCATGCACAAAGCCTAACTGGCCTTTAAGTGTCTTTCACATGACATAAGCAACCTGCCGTTACATCATCAAATTCCCCTGGTCCGTCTGGCAAAACCCCAGGTGCAGATTAACCAAACAGAAGGGTTGCTTTGGAGCGTTGCGCACCACTTGCTCGGCCTCCTCTTCTGCCTTGTGGACGTCCAGGAGGCGCAGCAGGGAGGGAACACTGCCAGACGCGTCAACATTCAGCCAGTGACACATCAGCGCCACCGCGCAGTCCCTGACCGCGGCTTTCCTCTCCCCCAGGCCGCGCCTGATCAGGCATGCCCTCTGCTCCAAACTGCACAACACAGATGGTCCTATTGGACACCGTGGCTAGCTCTTGGGACTTCATTGTGTGGCCCTCCACGCACCCATGTCAGGATCCCAAATGGAGTGTTCCTGTTGTGCCGTCTGTTGCATACTTATAATCTTCACTGTTCAAGTCATGGTACGTGCCTGTGCCCGTGCCGATGCCTGCGTCTTGTCTGGGACAGTGCCATGGGTAAAACTCTTGAGGTGACAAAATTTAGTGAGGGATTCAAGGCAAAGCAATGCGGTAAACAAACAACGGATAATATCTTTATGGAGGTGACAGATGGTCACCTGAGGAACTCGAGAGGGACCCTGTCCCTGATCGCGGCATAGGCCATCTTCCTCACCTGTCATCATCAGATGCGCTTGATCAACAAGTCGATCAAAGATGCCAGCATGGAACAGCACTTCCTAACCATGCACATTGTCGAGCAGGCATTGATGAGTATTCCAGACCTCATCGCTGATGTCACGCGTCCTGTTCAGGATCTCCGGAAGGCTGCACCTTGCAGCCGACAGCGAGTGTAGCACTGCCTTGCGCACATCCTGGGAAAAGCATCAGCACACAATCTGGAGCATGCAGCTTTTAAGTGCATTGCACAAAACCCTTGTAAGAAATATCTAATTTCAGGTCGGCCATCCCAAAATCGCTGGGCATAGGCCATACATGCACGGCATCAATTCCCTGCTGGGTGTAGCATGTAAGGGATTCCTGGAGGAATTCTCAAGGCAGACCGAGCGGGTCATTTGCATCCCAGATGGCTGTATGGACAAGTGCCGACTGCTCACCTTGTTCTTCTCGATGGAGAGCAGCTTCAAGTAGCTACCCGTCACAGCATCGTCTGCAAAATCCCCAGCCTGCAAACAAACACAATGAATCAATCATTTACATGCATCCCACAAGAAACACCTCCTTGACGTCTCCTTTATCAGTACACTCAGCATTGCAATCTTGTCTGCATGCATGCACGCCACATTTATCGCAAGGGCTGATGCCATCCCATGCAGCAGCCCTGGTTCTTCATCCCCGCCTCGCATGTTCCCCCCAACAGACTTTAAGACGCGCCTCACTGAATTTCAACAGGACACAGTCTCTGCGTCAGACGTGTCTCTGTGTCTGTCCTTACTTCTAGGGAGGTCGGGTTACCTTGCCGGGGTCTGCCAGCCTGGCAAGCGCCAGGGCAGCCTGGCACCTGATGGCAGGCTGCTTGTCCCTCAGCCGAGCCAGCATGGTTGCCAACAGGCTGTCTGCTAAATCCTCCGACAGCGCAGCCTCCTCATCCGCCTGTGCCAGCAGCAGGCATGCCCTTCACAAACTACCATGCCCACATCTGCAATCCTTGCCTACAAATCTATTGAAACAACGTGAAACTGCCATGCCCAAACATGCAAGCTTTGCTGCATGCCTCTTGGATAACGTCAGAAGTGGTATGTCGCAATTTGCCTGCCCAACAGCCCCAAAGCTCCAGCCTATTCTTGAACAGGTCTTGCTGCTAACTTGCCACTGAGATGTGTGACGCACCAAACAACTCAGCTGTGGCATGCCAAGCAGAGTAAGCACAATTTGTGTTGATTGTGTCTCTTTTCGAAAAAGGTGTAGGTGGAAGGTGGGCCCTGCCTGGTTGTTGATGATGAGCTGGAGGAGTTGGCAGACCCTCAGCCGCACGCCCTTGTCCTCTGCTTCTGCCAGGGATATGAGGTGCGTGAGAATGTCCTGCACCCAAAGCCACCTTGCATGTCTATATGAGGTGCAAGAGAGAGAGGCCTCGTGGGGCGCATCGCTCCCTGACAAGAGAATTGTCTTAAGATGCAGGGCTGAACCAACCTCCACAAATGCATCCCCTGCCTCCTGGCGTCCAGATGGGCGCTGGGACGTGAACGTGGCCACAAACCGCACTGCACGCTCCACGTGTGTGTTGCTCTGCAAGGAATGGCCAACTCAGCATTGCAGAGATGTCTGAGCATCACCTGCCGGCCCTGTGATGCTGTCAGAACAAACATGATACAGCCTGTCGTTGGTGAAGGGTCACAGCACAGAAATCGAGCTGCCTGGCGCACCTCTGGCAGGGCCAGCAGATGTTCCAGGCAGAAGCAGAACTCCTTCCAGCAGTTGTCAGGCTCTGCCTCCTGGACGTCCCATAGAATTTTGGCGTATTTGTTATGCCCGCTGACGCCCTCCTGGCACTTGGTGAATACTTGGGCCACGGACAGCAACGGTTTCTTTTTCCCTCTGCCCATCTTGCTGTCTAACCTCATTCCATTCCTGCACTTTCAGTACAAGGAGGCTTTCGCGTTCCCAAATACCTATCAGATTCTAAGTTGGGGAGAATCCTGAAGAAGAGGGGTTATTTTCGTTCTCCAAGACTCTTTGGTGCAATAATCCAACCTTGAAGATGTCACGTAGACAATTTTAGGATTGGCTGAGTGACCGTGTCTGCACGTCGTCTGTGACCTTGTGATAACTTAACACTCCCGCAAGTCATGCATTCAGCAACACGCGCACTTTGAAGCGCATCGGACTCCTGTGCAGTCTAATTTTCAAACTCCAATAGGGCCTGGGTGAATATGAAAGGGGTCTGGATATTTTTCCCAAACCCTGAGGAGATACTGGCCATCAATGCCACCGTGGCCCACGCTCCCAATCAACCGCGCAAGCAAACACCGCCACCAAAGAGTCTGCACCAGAGCCCAGCCAGGCGAGACAAGGAGAATTTGAAGGTGCATAGAAGGCTAGCAGACACCCGGTGGCCATGGCGGGTCTGGCGTGCACACAGGTGGGCTCCACTGGCTTCCTGCTCAGGAGGCCAGCCAGCCGCACTTTGCAGCCTTGCCCTCAGCGGCCGAGGCTGGGCCGGAGCCTGCAAATCGTCAACATTGCATCACCGGCGAGGGAACCTATCACTCTGCCGCCCGTCGTGCCGGAGACGGCGCTGATAGACGAAGTAAGCAGCCCAACCTGATGCACTGTGTCGACGCCTCTCAATCGAGCGGTTGGAGGAGGCCACGAGGCTCTGTGGTGCCGGCAGTCATATGCGCTGATCTTTTCATCAATGGTCTATTACAATTGGTATATGTTTCAAATCTCTTCTTCTCGTAGTACGACGGGAGCTTAGGGTCTACTTTGCCTCTGTCAAAGTTGAAATTGCGATCTGTTTTTCTTGAAGATTGTTTTTGGCTTGCATGTCCAGGGGACAGCTTCCTTGTTCATGCAGAAATATTTCTGACGTGATTGCATGTGAATTTCGTGCAGACTGGAAAAGGCCTTGGAGCCCCTCCGCCATTCACACTTTCAGACATCAGGAACGCAATCCCTGAGCACTGCTGGAAGAAGAACGCATGGAAGTCCATGGGATACTTGGCTCGTGATGTTGCCGTCGTGTTTGGATTGGCTGCTGGCGCCTACTTCGCAAACAGCTGGTAGGCATCTTGATCATTGTAACCCGAGGCTCTCTGGCCGGTCTGACCATGTGCTTGTATCCAGCCGCCGTATGCGTTGCCCGGATAGCCACCAGTCGTCTTTAAATGGCAGAAATCGGTTTCAGTGCTGATTTGATCTGCTGTTGCATGCAGGCTGGTGTGGCCCCTGTACTGGATGGCCCAGGGCACCATGTTCTGGGCGCTCTTCGTGGTCGGCCACGACTGGTGCGCTGCTCAACCTTCAGTTTCGATTAAGATATCACCACACTATCAGGATGTGACATGCATTGCATCAAAGACCTCCCCTTCGAACCCGTGCCTGCACACCTGACATCAACCCAACACTTGCTCTCGAGCCTGGCTTGCTTTGCCTCGTTAGCCGATCCCATCTTGCATGTGACTTCTGTAGGCTACATTGCAGGATGGTGCACCTTGCTGGCCGATTTGGTGCCTTTAGTACTGCACTGTAGGTTTGTCCTGTGATGACACCGTGTAATAAAATCCGCCACCGTGTGTGCGCGCAGCGGGCACCAGAGCTTCAGCAGCAACAAGACACTGAACGACCTGGTGGGCAACATCGTGCACAGCTCCATTCTGGTGCCCTACCATGGCTGGAGGATTAGTCACCGCACCCACCACGCCAACCACGGCCACGTGGAGAACGACGAGTCGTGGCACCCTGTGACCAAGAAGCTCTACGACTCCATGGTGCGCTCCATTCAATGTATATCTACACGCATGCATTCAAGAGACATCCGCAGAAGCTCTGCACTGTGGCCATGTGACTGCTATGCATTTTGTCATGTGAAAAGACAATGTTCTGATGAAGCTTTCGGCCTCAAAATTGCATGCAGCTGACTTGGATCCTCTGAGTTCATCCCTGGGGATGTGCTACGTCTTTCCAATGGCACCTGTCACCTATGCTGGGGAGTCGCCAAGGCCCAAACCTGTCCAGCAAAGTGCCTTCAATGAGGAATGTACTGTGCGACGTCTATTGAGTCCTGGAGCGCGCTATTAAAGACACGAGATCAGAAAGGTTTCCTCGCGCAGGACGCTGCGGGCAAGATGGGGCGGCTTTCGTTCCCGCTGGCCATGTTTGCCTACCCCTTCTACCTGTGGAAGCGTAGCCCTGGCAAGACCGGGTCACACTACGACCCTGCCTGCGACCTCTTTGTGCCCCAGGAAGCCTCTCTGGTGAGCCGCCTGTCCCTCTCTCTGTTGCTGCACAGTGCGAGGGGAGCTCCGACACAGTTGGCTGCCATGCACATGTCGGGCGTAGGCCACTTTGCGAGGAGAAATGTCTAAATGTGCGATGTCAAGGTCGTGCTGCTGTGTATATTCCCTGCAATGCTTCTGTGTTGCTTCTTGAGTACCTGAGCCTCCTGCAGAGGCTGACACTGCTGTGCTTAAGATGTGAGGACCACCACGGTCTCATCTGGGCAGGGAATGGCAGGCTGCGCCGTGAAGGGTGGCAGAGACACCACACCATAGTAAGAACACGAAGATGGTGATCTTGTTCAACAAACATGCACTGGTGACATGATGTCCTGCTTGCTTGCAGGTGAGGACGTCCAACGCGTTCATGCTGGGCATGCTGGGATTACTTGCGGCTTGCACTTTTGCGCTGGGCCCGCTGGCGATGTTCAACCTCTACTTTGTGCCCTACTGGGTCAACGTGGTCTGGCTGGACGTGGTAACCTACCTGCACCATCACGGCGCGCATGACAAGGAGGAAAAAATCCCCTGGTACCGCGGAGAGGTACGCACTGCAGACAGTGCTTGCTGTTAGTCATAGATCCTGCATGCCAATGGCCTATGTAGCAGCCGTCTTCGAATGTGTACTGATCATCGCCACCTACAGCTGCAGTCCTATTAAGACATCCACGCTGGAAACAGTGCATGCCATTGACAGGACCAGTGGTCTCTGCAGTGGCAAGTAGTGTAGACATAGAGTTGAAGATTGCTGGCAGCAGCAGTAACAGTGTCAGGACATGTCAGGCACCGTGCTGTGTCCTGGGAGAACATGTCTGTTGCGCTTTTTTGAGGTCACCGTATCAATAGCCAACTGGGGAGAACGCTCAAGGAGACTCGCGGATACTTTCATGAGGATTACCCGCAGCAGCCTTGATGACTTGAGTGTCATTTTCTGGCCAGTGCGACGTATACGTGAAGGTGCAATTGGATCGCAATGACTCTCAGCCCGGTGCAAAGCAGCTGACAGGATCAATATGCGCTTGCAGGAGTGGACTTACATGCGCGGTGGGCTGTCGACCATTGACAGGGACTACGGCATCTTCAACAAGATCCACCACGACATTGGCACGCACGTTGTGCACCATCTGTTCCCCCAGATGCCCCACTACAACCTGGAAGAAGCCACCGAGGTGCGCTCTCTACCCGGCACTTGTATCGATTCTTTTAATCTGCGGTGACCACTTGCCAGGCGATGCCTTTGTGTCACCAGTGACTATCCTGATTACCAATCAGTTACAAGCAGTGGGCACTCCAGCTGGCAATCAACAGACTAATTACTCAGGAAGCACTATCCATGACACTGTCCTGGCTTGCAAGCGTTCACTGGTATATGAAAGCAGCGAGCAGCCAGGTTTATTGATATAGTGGTGGGCAACCACTTTTTGGTGAGATTTACTTGCGGGCCAGGTTTGCAGCAGGCTCCCAAGCTGTGTGAACCTAGGTTTCTGGGTTACAATTCCTCAGAGCTTGCTGACCTGGTGGGGTCCTCGATGCGCAGGCGGTGAAGCCGGTTCTGGGCAAATACTACCGCGAGCCGATGAAGTCCCCCAGCCCAATCCCCACCCACCTCATCGAGCCCCTCGTGCGGAGCTTCAAGAACGACCACTACGTGGAGGACACCGGCGACGTTGTCTTCTACAAGCGCGACCCCAAGTGGTCCTGAGCTCGAAACCGGCTCCGCTACCTATCATGGCCCTAAGCCTGATTTTGTGTTGGTGCCTCTTTTGGCTCCAAAGCTGACGTGGCGGTGGAGCCCTTTCTGGCGCCGAGCTTGTCTGCCCAGGCGCCTATTCTGGTGCAGAGTATTTGGTGGCTCAAGGAGAGCGCCTTAGCTGCCTCCCTGCAGACATCTGCATTGCAGGCCTAGAGAGGGGGCCAGTGTTGTTGTCTCTGTGACTTGCGATGAGGAGCAGACAGCAGGTTCACTCTAATGGTTTCTGCTTCTGAGCCTTCTTGGCGGCTCGGCACACCTTACTGGGGGATGGCTTGTTTGGCCCCCGCATTCAGAAGCCAACGGCGGCTGACTGGTGTTTCCGAAGGGCAGACTTGTGCATCCAGCTGCCTCAGAACTGGATCGCAATGAAGGTGGATGATGATCGGATTGAGCTGGGGATCACTGCAGATAGTTTGAAAGCCCCAGGCCTCAGGACCTGAATTTGCTTTTTCTGCAACGGTTGATTTATTGCTGCACTGGCGCTGCCGGCACCAGTGCAATGAGCAGGGCCTTTGGTTTTGCAGCCTTTGGTTTCCATCATCCGGTTCCTCGAGTTCAACAAATTGAAGTGTGACCCACGCGCATGCGCAAAAACTGACTCCCATCTTCTGGGCGCATTTGTTGGGCTGCATCTGCTGTGAGCGTGCAGCATACGCATGCATGCTGCGGCGCTGCCAGCCGTGGTCAAAGCACTGACATGCAATTCTTTGTAACATTTAACGGTGTGCCTCCGGGTTGCCAAAACATGGGTACGGACATCATGTGACTTGCTTATTGACATGAGCTTATTGGAGAGCGCACGCCCTGCAGAGGCTCATGCTCTCAAGACAGGCAGAGTATGCATGCTGTTGTGGTAGTTGTGATATTTCCTGATTGATTAGCAGCTTTGAAGCAAAAGGTTGCGTGCTTGCGGGCAGCGTCTGCGGGCTGATCAATTGTTTTATGGAGTGCCTGACATGCATACATGTGCGGAGTGTCCACCCAAATGAGGTTAAGAGCTGTTATGTGCTAGCAAAGGGACTTGTGAAGTATGGTAGGGATGTTTGCTGTGGAGGCGCTCGTTTGGTTTCTGCAAAGGATGCCTTTCCCGAAACAACACTGCTTGCTGTAGGCATAGGTTCGGCATTTCATCGCGGCACTCAAGATGGCTCATGTATAGTCTGGATTTGTACCACAAGCATGCCTGTGCTCTGCGCTAACATGCTTGTAGGCTTTGCTTTCCTAGGATGTTTGAGAGTGAGCGTGTAAATTGATTCCGCCATGATAACCCCTGGTAAAAGCTTTTTAGACATCGCTTCAAGACAGTAGATATGCAGAGTGTGCATTGCACACTCTCACAGGCACCGCTGGCACCATGGTTCACCATTAAATTTGTCCCTAAGTCACGACCTCATACACATTGTGCTTGGTGATCATGGATGTGGCGCACTTTTAGAAATTAACAGGCAGCAGTGCCTCAGGATCAATTTTTTTTTGCCAGAACACTGGATGTGGGGCTTCTGCAGGCTATCCTCCATCTAGTTTGCATAAGAGCTATAACTCATAGCTTGGTTAAAACGAGTAACAGCGAATGATGTTAAGCATCACACAGCGCCCAGCTCGGACATCTCTGCCAGGAATGCCTGGTACTTCCTGTCAATGGCCGTGCCGGCAGCCGGCGGCCCCGGCGCGACCGGCCGCGCCACCGCGGCAGCCTGCGACCAAACCCATGAAAGCCTCTTCAGCAAAGCAATCTACATCGACTCGAGTATATCGATTCAATGTTTGGGTTGCAAAAGGCGGTCAGGTCAAGCTCACGCCTTGCATGTTCCTAGGTGCGCCCCAACCCTCACCCAGCCGCATTTGACCGTGTGTTTGCAATGTTTTTCGCGCTCGCTGTGCCTTGATGTCTGCATCTCTCTTGCACTAGGAAGGTTTGATTCCAGAGAAACGGCAGAATTACGCTTACCGGGGCGGCGGCTGCTGCGGGGCCGACCGGTGCGGCAGGCGCGAGGCCAAAGCCGGGGCCGACTACGGGGCGGCTGCGCGCGACGGCGGCTCCCGGGCCGAGGCGTGGCTTCATCGAGGGCTCCTCTCGGCGCACTCGCACGGACGCCGGCACCATCGACGTGACAGTGCGATCGTCCTGCAGTTTTAGCACGGCAACTTTCTCAAGAAACCCCGTTATGCAAGGCTCATACTGCCTTGTTGTGTTTTGAGATGGTAGGGCTGCATCAGAGCTCTGGGTTCTGGTGACCGCAGACCAGCAGACACGCAAGTGCAGCTGCTGCGAGCAGTGAAGATTCCTGGGAGTCAATTCAGGGATGCGCGCTGTGAGATTCGGCCAATACTGTAATCGAGCACACGGTTCAGTTGTAACATGCAAGGGCCATGACGGCCATTTGATGGGATAACACGTGTGAGCCAGGGTGCCGCGGAACGGAGGGTGAACCCCACCTGTGCCCTGGGCAGCTTTGCTACAGTGGACTGGCCTGTGATCGTGGGCGCCTTCTTCTCTCCAGGAGCAGCCGCTGCAGCTGCTGCATATGCAGGAGGCCGTCCTGCACACAGCACACCAAGTGAGATTGCTGGGAGTTTTTGTAGCGTCCTGTAGCACAGAGTGACAGCATAGGCCTAGAGCTGATCAGAGGATAACCACTTGCACTCCGTGATGTCTACAGAGTACCGAAAGGTCATGCACAGGTTTCCATCCTGGAAGCTGCGTGAAAGGTCATGCATAGCACATCACTTGTCAGCAACAGAATTGCGCAAACTGCCTACTCAACCAGGCGCTTTCACATTCAGGACGTCTGGCGGGTCGAGCCAAGATCCAGTAGATTCCTCTGCACAAGGGTGGATAAGGAGGGTGTACCTGGGGGTGGCCCAAGGGGTGCACCATATCCTGGAGGGGGCATGCCCGGCGGCGGCATCATGCCTGGCGGCGGGCCGATAGGTGGCGGGAGCATGCCGGCACCTGGGCGAACGCCACCAGCCAAATCATACCCATGCCCACCATGCGCACCTACTTGACGGCTGCCACCCGTGAAATGAGCAGAGACAGATCAGCACAGCAGCATACTTAGTCGCATCTCTCATCCCCAGTGGTCACGATGCTGACACATAGATTGCAGCAAATGGGTTGAAGCTTGCAGGTGAGGCTACATAGACCGCACGTTCCTGACTGGGTTACGGAATATCTCTTCAGCACCATGCAACATATCTTAAGTTCATTGCACGTACACGCAACCCAGGCGTACCAAACGCAGGTGGGGGTCCTGGAGGTGGTGGGAGGGCGCCAGGGGGAGGACCCGGCGGTGGCGGCAAGGGGGCGCCGCTCGTCGAGGGGGGACCGCCAGCCAATCTGCCTGCACGCACCCACGCAGACAATTGTCAGAGATGTACTGTCTTAGGCATATTGGCTGCTCGGCCATCAAACAAGACCAAACAATGACTACGTGACCAACCTCCTAGAAGATGCTGCGTAGCATGATAGCGGCAGATTGTGCACAGTTTAGGTGTGCCCATGGCACGCAGGTCCCAATGTAAGAGCATAAGGAACCTTAAGAGTCCTCCGGCTGACAAGCTTAAGCAGAGTGCAGAATATAATTTACACATCCACTTCCATAAACGACAGTGAAGGCCTATAAATAATTCACATTCGTCATCACGTCAGTCACGTGACTCACCGGGCGCGGGGCCGGCCGGCAGCGGCGGCGCGGCGGGCATGGGCACGGAGGGGCCCCCCGGTCCGGAGAGGGGGTCCGTGCGGTAGCGCTGAGCTTTCCCGGGAGGGGGGATGCCCCCCGGGTTGAGCGTGGGGTGGTAGTACACCGAGTTCTCTGGCCGCTGTTCTGGGACTCCGTGACCGTACTCATTCGCAAACACTGGCACCGCTGCTGCCTGCACCGCACGCTGTGCGTCCTCCTGTGAGAGCAGTGGAGCAAGGTCGTCATTGGAGGCTATAATCATTAAATTTGTGCCTTCCCTGAAGTAACTCGTTTTGACAGTCTCCCATATAACTTCAGACACCATCTGTGAAGGCCGTCCTCGCCACATTAACTCTTGGGCTAGTTCATCCGGCTGGGTGAACATGAAAGAAATGTTGATTGCAATTGGAGGCCCAAGGTGATGCTGGATGCTGCATGTGAATGAAAAGCATCTGTGCACACTTTTGAAGTAGCAGCTTCTGCTAGGACGCCTATGCCAGACTTTTGTTGCTGCAAGCCTGTTGGGCCCACCTTTTTCTTTTTCAGCGCTAGGTCATAGGCTCCCTGCAGTGCGCGCTTCTTGAGCTTTATAGTCAAGTTCAACTTCCCATCCTCCTCCAACTCCAACACCTGCCCCATCAGAAACACATGATAAGCAGAAGACGCAATCTCTGCACAACATGGAGATAGATGGCTAGCACAAATACTGAAAGATTTGGTCACCAATTTCACACAAGCGAGAAGGGTGATAACCTCTTTGAGCTCCTCTTTGAGAGCTTCTGGATTGCTCTTCATCTTGGAGGCATCCCTTTGGAACTTCCGTTCCTTCTTGTTGCGAGCAATCTCCTTTGCTCTCTGCAGGCAACCATAGAGCACTTCGTGAAGGTGTATAAACTGAGAATTTCCTGCTGATCCGAACACTTCTTGCATGATAGACTCAATACTCTCCTTTTGTAGACCCAGGGCACAGTAGAAGGACGAGACAGGAAGGAGTTTCTACTCACCATCTCTTTTCGATAGGCATCAGCAGGATTCATATCTCTTGATCCCTTCTTCTTCACCATTTTGAAATGTTAAAGGAGATGTGATATCTGTTTTGGTATTATGTTTTCAGTCCAGGACAATTTATTGGCTGACTCTCACTGATCGAAGATGCTGTTATCTTAGACAAGTCCAGGTACACTAAAGGAACGTGCTTACATGATCGAGCAATAAAGACGCCAGACCTTGATGACATGCACAGACCAGCATAGCACTGCAGTGGGTAAAACAAGCCCATGCAAGAGGAAATGGAAATGGTTGGAACGCCGTTGTACTGACGTGGACATGCAAAAGTTTCAAGATCGCTGTGGTCTGTCACTTTTCAAGCCACTCGATTAGCAACGCAATAATTATTGCTTGAGCGCTTGTCCTTACACCCTAGACACAAGATAACCACTTCACACGTACGTATCCGACTTTTGACTGGCGAAAGCGGTTTCCAGCACAACATGGGATCCGCTGTGATCTGCAAGTGCACTCTTCCCAGCTTCGTCGGTTTTCAGAGCACCTCAAGGCCTCTTCGCAAGCAGATAAAGCTCTCATCAACGCGGAAAGACGGTAAGCTAGGTATCTTGCTCTACGTTCCTGCAGCAACTGCTGGGCTTGTTTCCTTGCACCCACCTTTCTGTGCTCATGTTGTGACAAGGTGCCACAATCATAGATACGTAGCATCAAGGAGAACAACTGGTGACAAGTAAGGCATCCTATAGCTGATCTGCAGTGCATGCAAATTGCAAATCAGGAGAACGTTCAGCAAGTGCCTCTCTGTGCTTACAAGCAGGTGGGCGCGCATCGCGCGTGGCACCAAGAGCAGGCCTGGAGATCGACTGGAGCGACCCTGACACACTCATCGGCGTGGCTGGCGGCGTGCTGGGTCTGCTAGTTGGCATTGGCGCACCCCTGTTCTACATCAGCAGAGATGAGAAGGACGAGCAGAAGCTGGAGGAACTCAGGGAGCTGAACAGGCAGACCTTCAAGGAAACTGGAGAGTACCTGACAGAGGTGCGCCTCACTGCAATCTATGCAGTGTGGCCTCCTTGCAGCTCTTTGATCGCGTTCTCTCCGTGAAGCTATCACGCACTGATTTACATGTTGTCTAGGCTAGTTGTTGCTGGGCGCTGACTGGCTCGAAGCCTAGCAAGACAAGGTCCTGGTCGGGTACAGTATAGCGGAGCACAGCGCGATCTTACAATGCATGCTCTAGCTCTGGCCCATGCGAGTTGCTGCGAGACTTGGGCCATGTCAAATTGCAATATAATTGTGCCCTCTTTGTCTCTCCATGTCCTCTCTTTCCCTACTCAAATGTCTGTGGTGCCCCTTTGACCGAGCCAGGCTTGCATTTTGCACATACCTGTCATGCGTGCTGTACTAGGGAACCCCACCTAGAGGTCATTTGCTTACCAAAGGCCATTTTACAGATGACATCTGGTTTTGCTGCTCTTGTCAATTGCACCACTGATTGATTGGAGGTGCTGCGACAGGAGGAGATCAAGGCTTTCCGCCAGCCGCGCTGGACTGACCGCAGGTAAAGTTATCTGATCTTGATACACTTTTTCAAAAGTATGAGACATCGCTGGAGACACACTGTGCTGCATTACAGCAGAGGCAGTTTTGATGCACCCACACACCCTTGCGATTCCTCACTTGGTTGAGGATATATTTTGGGGAATGGGCTGATATTTAGCACATGATGGGAGCTCGCGTCAAGTATGGAAGATTGCTGCAGCTGAGTGGGTCTTTGTTTGTGCAGGGAGTTCCAGGATGATGATTGAGAGCTGTATCGGCCACTGCAACGGGAAATATCCTCAGACTTCCGAGCAAGCCTGCTTGCATTGACACTATTTTGAAAACGCGAGACTGCAATTCAGGAGGCTGGAGATGAGGGTTGCAGCTCAGTACTGAAGAAAGATGAGAGTGATTTGAGGGAGATAAGAATCCAGAACAGAGCTTCTACCCATTGATTTAAAGCGAGTGCCTCAATTTGAGAGGCACGTATGAGTCAGGTTGAACAGGGCAACTCGTGAACATGTGAGTAGCTGCTTTGCTATAATTATGATGTCCACCTGTCACTGTGGAATGGCAGGAGCACACAGTGTCATGTTTTGGATTGGCCACCATGGTTAGAGTTGGTGCGACGCAGATGCTCCAAGCTGCATTATGTTGGTCACGTGAGGCCCTCCGGGTGCATTCAGTACTAAGTAGTACTTAATGCATAGTAAGTTCCTTGCGCGGGTGAGTCACTCAAGTATACGGTATTATAACGTATCAGTATGGTACTAACGCGGAGGGGCACGTGCACGGCCGATTGATCACGCGACTTCAAGTCACAAGTTGTGACTTGTGCTACTGTGTTGCAACGGTACTGATGGACACCAGTGGCTGGCACCACTTGACATAGCGGAAATCAGGTACTTTCATGGCGAGCAGGTCATGCTGGCACCCAAGGGGCCCAGTGGATCACAAGCTTGCACTCACAAGGGGGAGGATCAGAGACCCTTTACCCTCAGCACCCGAGGGAAATGGACAGTTACAGCTCGAATCCTGAAGGAAACGTTGACAAATCCAAGCTGAGACAGTCCTTAGGAGGAGTCCTCAAGCGCACACTTTCCTTTGACAAAGTTTCCTGTCAGGCAAATGCTATCATTCGCCGATTTGCTCTCTTCTGCTGGTGTCGGCTCGGAAGAGCGCCCGACCAGTTTGCCTTTCCGACTAAAATGAGTATGGTATGGCTCTCCACAACAAATTGCATTTCTCTTCACAAACAGACCTTGGCCTCAGGCTGGACGCTGCGCGCCCCTTGGCCTCGCTCACAACGTTGTTAACTCCCCTGCATGCGGAAGGGGATGTACGCTTCTAACTAGATATACATATAGATTCTCCTGGCTCTCGTCTACAGTGCTCCTAGACTCTGCCTCGCCTTTCAAATGGCGCCGGCAGTCGCCTTGGCTTCTCCAAACATAAGAGGAAAGTTCTCAGTCCTTAAACCACTCGTCAAGGACTCAACTGCATGGCTCAAAAAGCCCAGGCTCGGGCCAAGACACGACTGCTGGCAGGTGGTAACCAGGGAGGCACCAGGCTCGGTGGGGGATATATATTAATGACAAGAATTCTTACGCCGCTTTCGCTGCCTCCCGCTCAGCTTCATCCAGCTTCAGCCGCACCATAAGAGCCTTGAGCAACCTGCAAATGCGTTTGCGTCGACAAACTGTCAGTATTGCACACATGGGTTCGTCAGGCAGCAGCTTCTTTCCATTCCAATTTCTGCTGCAGAATGTTCTATAGGGAGCAACGTGCGGCGTTTTATGGACGAGTAAGCACCCTCCTGAACAATGCCCGGTTCATTGTTTCCTTGAAAATAAAACAATGCAGATCATGAAGGGGCCCCAACTCTTGCCCTCCAGGGCTGCACTCAGCATGTCAAACATGCCACAACCAAAGTGCACTGCACTTAATGTTAAGCTGCTCATCGAAAGAGAAACTGTGCACATCAAGCAGGGCCGACAGCTGTTACCTTGCAGTGATGCACTTAGCAAAAGAATGACATGCCACTGGTGCCAGAACGACATGCACAATTCAGCAAAGTCTTTGAGCACGCCATTTCAGTCTGCACCGGATGTCATACTATGAAAGAATAAATGCTGACCTATATGCGATGACTGCAGGGGTCGCGCCGCAATCGCTAGGGTCTCCAGGGGAACCCTCGAGGGGAATATGGAGATCGGCCTGCGCGTACATGTGCTGCCTCTTGTCCAGGATGTCCCTCACTTTTGCCAGCGTGGCAGTGTACGCACCATCACCCTGGGCACACACAAAATTTACACATGAGCTGACACTTACAAAACTCGACGCAGTAAAACTTAAATTAGCTGCCACTACCTTCCTCGCACCAACTGTGCTCATTGACATTGACATTTGAGTTTGCAGGGATCTGTGCCACGCTGGTGGTATGGCTTAGACACAAATATATCACTTTTTATATTATTATTGCACGCTTTTCCTGCCGAAGGCAAGGTGCGTCTGCAGACAAGCTGCATGTAAAGGCTGCCAAATTCCTACCCCTTGTTGGACTCGCCAGATCCAAGCAAGACCCAATCAAACGTGGGCACGGTGCTCAGTATTTGTACCGCCCCCCGCCAGCCGGGGCCAAATACAAATGCAAATATATAAACACCTTATATTCTCTGCATGCTGTGCTCGTCCCACCCCTTGCGGCACGCTAGTGTTGGCATGCCGATAATCATGGCAGGAAATAAATTTTGCACAAGATTTGGGGAGTCACACCTCACTTGATCCGGAAGAGCCTTGGCTGAGCAGCGGCCGCGACTGAGTGCCGTCGCTGACAGCGCGCTTGGCGAGCAGCTCCGGCGGTCCAGTCAGCCAGATGACTAACCCATGACGCATGCTCTCCCAATTCTGCTCCCTGGTGACCACCCCTCCGCCAGTCGACACCATCACCGCCTTGCTGGCTGCCAGCTCCTGCCAAAATTCAAATCCAAGATCCAAATCCAAGATTTTAAGATGTTCTAAAACTGAGATCGCCTTTAATGGTAATTGGGTATTCAATGCTCACGACTGGAGGCAAAAACCTCGAGAACTTAACCCTTGGTTGGCCACGCATTTTGTTGCTCCAGCGAACCAAACGAGGCGTACCCGACGTTAATACAAACATACTGATATTTGATTAACTCCCGGACAGACAGCCTTCTAGTTCGGCATGCTCGCAGCATTGCAAAAGGCAGTGTTGGGAGGCTATGGCAAGGCTACCTAGCTAGCACTTGGCACCAGTTTTTTGCCAAATTCTTGATGATGATGATGATTATTATTATTATTATTATCGTTATTATTACCATAGGCTTGTCCAGCCCTCACGGCTAGGTGCGTTGCAGCAACCCCTAAAGTATGACTCAATTCAGAGCTGTAAAAAAGCAAGCGCTTGTGCCAATGCCTTGCTTACATTCGAAATCCACCAGCTTCTTTTCTCATGTCCAAAAAATCAATCCTTTTTTTTTTTGGCTGCATGCACAACAAAGTGCATGCTCAGTAGACATCAGCATTGCAAAACACACCTGCAGCACGCTGCTCTCGAGGTCCCTGAAGGCCTGCTCCCCCTGTGCGGCAAAGATCTGCGCTACTGTACAGCCGGCCCGCTCCTCTATGAGCTTGTCGCTGTCCACGTAAGGGTACTCTAGAGCGGCCGCCACCATCTTTCCCACCGTGCTCTTCCCGCTGCACACAGACAATTAAAATTCAGAATTCAAAATCAGAATGCAAGCCTCCAGTTCTTGCTACGGGCGAGAAGAAATCATTAAGAGCATCAGCTGCCAGTGTGATGCAGAGACAAGAGGTCACAGGTCACAATGATCCACGGAAAAGACGCAAGCTTTGTGCGACTTGGAGATTGAGCTCCATGTGCTAGTCGCCTGAATGGATCTCTTGCCATCAGTGACACGCTTACTGGAAAAGCACTGAGGGGGAAGGCAGGCTAGCACACTTGTCCCCCTCTATCACCAATGGCATCGGCTGAGACGGCTAGGCAGCACTGCTGTAAGAGCAGTAGGAGACCACACATGGATGAATCCGTAAGAGAATAAAAGAGCAGCACTGATTGCCTCACCTGCCCATCATGCCAACCAGGTACAAGCTGCTACCATCCAAGATATCCTTCACCTCTGCTGCAAGGGCCTGCACAGCAATGCACTCACTCCGCTGCCATCTTCAGAGAACGAAAGGAATTTAGTATCAATTGCTGTCTGGCAGGCACTGCAGAGAGCAGGAAATGGAAATACCTGGAGCTTCTGATCAAGCACGTCTTCACTGAAGGCGGTGACTTTCAGGCCCTGAGCACGGGCCTTGAAGACCAGTCTTGGCTTGAGCTTGCGTTGGGTGCGGTAAAGTGTGCGGGTCTGCTGTTTGAGTGCTTCTTCCCGCTGCCTCTGGCATGATGCATGAAGGCTTTGTGAAGAGTGAATAGGCTTCAGATGCCTGCAGCTGCACACATCAGGAACAACCTTCTGGTGTCTTGTGGCTAGAGCCAGTATGTGGGGTGGCTGAAGAAAATTTAGTTGAGGGTCTCGTTATTAATATGACCTCCTAGAGTTGTGCAGGCCCCAGCTGGGAAGACATCCGATGCAAGCCCGCAGAGCTTTACAGTAAGACATTCCGGGTTAATAAAATCAAATGTGATGGTAGTAAAACCAAAACACATACCTGCCGTGTGGTACCAATGTTGCATTAGGAGCTGCAGGCAAATTGCGTCCTAGAGCATGTGTCGGTGGTACCATCCTGCCGAGTAGAGCTGGGGAGCCGTTTACCTGACATTACAAACGCAGTGAGTCTGATAAGTTTGAATGAAATTTTTTAGATTTGGCTTGCTATGTGACCATACTTTGAAAAAGGGAGTACGAAAGCATTTTGAGGGCCTTGCGGATGTCTGATGGCATTACATTCAGTCTCCTCGTCACCTTGTATCAGGGAGTCCTGGAAGAACGGCTGCCACTTAAATCAGACGAAAAAAATTAAAGAAGTACGCTACGGCGTCATCTAACTGAATTGCCTGTTTATTGTCATACAGGAACTGCATGCTTCGATACATTGTTTGACCAGGCATCACACTACTGATCCTTTCAATGCACCAACGTAGTCCGGGATCGAGAAGCAATTGGTACACTCAATCAGCGCACTGCATCGACGGGGCCTTGATCCATTTTGCGCTCCATTCCACAGCAAGTATTACGGACGAACAGGGACAGCCTGAATTGGCCTCTTCGAGCTCGCGAGTTGCGAGTCGCAACCCGCTGGAGGATTACGAATGCATCCCTGACAGATAAATATCTTAATCGGTCTGACGATTGTGGCAGAACCTCCTCAGGCCCAAGATGGTTGCTTGCATGCCAGACAGCCGCTGTCTCGGCTTTGAGTGCTGCAGCAGTTTTTATTGCCAGTAGCACTCAGATCTGATTAGTCATGAGCCCGCAGGCAGTGCCGGTGACCAAAGTTATAATGTTTGCACCGGAAAGAGGGCATTGATGTTCAGGCCATGAGGGTGAGGAGGAAATGTGCAAGTGTCACACAGTCAGAGTCTTTGAGCTGAAGTGACCTGCAAGATGAGCTGCAAGGTGTCACAACGTCTTGTGAATCGATTCAGATCATCTGATATGGGATCCTGAGCACTATGCAAGACTCTCGGAACATGGCAAAGCATGCAGCTGAATCTTTGGAGTACTGAGCGTTACAAGGCTGCAGAGCTATCAGAGTCACTGATTCAGTGTAGCTTCTAAAAAATAAATTAAGAAAACGGCGGTGCATGCATGGCCATGCCACATGTAAGTGACTGGGTCCCTGCCATCTATCATACACGTGTCTAGCAACAAGTGACAGTCTAAAGTCCACAGAACAAGTGGTAACCAAGGGCAGCTGTCTAATACAATGGAGGGTCATCCTACGCTACAAGCTCAGATGCTGCCAGCATACAAGCACACAACAGCCTCCACATCAATATGCCTCTAAAGCTAGCTCGGCACCCCTCTCAAACTGCGGCTTTCAAATCCATTGGTCATTGATATCTGCACATTGATTGTGTCCTTTTTCTGAGTCTCCATTGGTACCTGCTTTTGCAACTAGCGCCCAAACCCAGACAATTCATCATGCAAACTCCCTTGTCCTCAGTCGCTGCCAAGGGGTGCTGATACGCATAATTGAAAAAGGGACAACCACAAATCAATGGGCAACTTCAACTCTGCGCACACTGCAGGACAGTTGATATGGTACAGCCCAGCACCGGCTCAATTCAACCTATGCAGCACACCAGTGCCCCTTTCTGAAGGCTTGGGAAGAGCACCCAAACGTGCGAACAAATTTGGTGCGTAAACAACAGATGCTTAATCCTGCGCATTACTGCCGCCAATCAACTAAGAGCGCAAGGGATCATCTTAAATATTCTGTCAGGTCACACTGCAATTGGAAAGGAGGCAGCTCAGTTGTCGTTAAAGCTGTTTCCCATCGGCAAGCACTGGCTTGAGGAGTTGACAGTGCACCATTTGTTGAGGGCGGCCGGACCCAAGTATTCCTCGAGAGCTGGAGAGAAGATCTCGTGGATGAGAGTCAAGGGCTGTCCTTTGTGCCAGAAGATGTATTCCCTGCCCCAGAATGGTCCCTTGTGGCCAAATCGCCTGCAGGGAACACAAAATCAAAATGAAAACCAAGGTACTGTTGTCCTACTTGAAGTTTTGCTAAGTTCATCAGGCCCTCAATGGACAGCTGACCTGATATTATCAGGTGTCAATGAATGCAGATGGGTTGAAATGGAGGCAAAAAATCTTCAGCCGCGAACTTCAGCTGCTGGATCAGAAGTTCATGATCAAATCAGGCTGACAGAAAGTGAGGCAGCATGAACTCTCATCAGAGAAGACTGTAATTGATTTTAAAATTTCAAACTTACTGACAGCCAGCCCACAGGCAACAACTGCTTGCAGGTCTGCACCCACAGTAGCATGGCGGGTGAAGGGTACTTTGCTGGGGCATGAAGGAAGTGAGGCACACCTTTCAAGGTCCTTGGAGTGCCCACAGTAGACGTTGGTGATCTCCCTGTAGAGCTCAGTGCGGTTCTGTGAAAGATTGACCCAGATTGGCTTCTGTGTCTGGCCCAGGTAGGCAGAGATCTCAGCAGTGTTCCACCAGCTGGTGGCGCAGACCAGCGCTGTGCCCTTGACGCTCAGATGCAGCTGTGACAACACAACTACGGATCGGTCTGTGCGTTGATTCGAGCCCGTCAGCAATGTGCAGGCAAAGAGCATTCGGGTAGAGTGGCAGTGGAATATGCCCTTCGCAGGAACAGGCACGCATTCGATCTGCAAGTTTGTAATCAAATTTTGGAGCGGCAGGGGTTGATGGGTCGAGACCACACCTCTCGCTGAGTTCGTGGCCCTTTGATGACGGCTACGTTCTCCGGCAGGCCACCGAGGTCCCATCCGATGTTCGCTTGGTCGAGGCAGTCCTGCGCTAGCACTTAAATGCTTCAATGTCCCCGATAGGATTTGCTGCAGCTAAAGACGCAGCTAAGAGCGTTGACACGGATAGCAAAAGAAGCCCAGATTCGCACCGTGTCCACAGTCTCGCCGGTCATGATTTGAAGGTGGCGAGTGACGGACCCGTCACTGAGCAGGGCCACTCTCCAGGTGGGGCTGAGAGCTGGTGACAGTCCGTAATCGACTGCTTGCTTCCAGGTGCCCTGCGTTGGCACAGCTTGTTACCCAAACTGCAATGCAACAAACAAGTGGCAGAATTTTTCAGGCAGGTTTGGGCGCACCTGCCAGACGAGGGGCTTCTCCATCGAGTGCCTCCACTCCGTACCATGGTCTACCGGCATGAGGATGGCGTTCCTCACTGCCACGCGGCCTGAACGCTTCCTGGGTGCACGAATAGCAGGAGTGTCCAAAACAACAGGGGACACAGAAGCCAAGCGATTGATGCGGTGGTTCCTGGGGAGCGTCTGGGACAGTGCACAGCTCGAGATCATGGTTGTGATAGCGGCACACCGACTTGCAAAGATTCTTTAGCAGACAGAGAGTGCAAGTAGGAATATAATGGCACTGAAAGGTGGCCGAAAAGGGCACCAAAAGCAGCCAGTAAGGAGAATTTGAGGATGTCAGATTTGTCCGCACTGCTATTCCCGTTCGGCCGGTTACTGGTTATCCCCTGCCCCGTGGCCCATGTGCTTCAGAAGGCGCGCGCAAAAGCATCAAGCTCAGGCAGAACCAAAAGATCCAACGCTACAACTGTCTGTAGAAGCAAGCAAAGATGCTGTCTTCTTATCTACCATTGGCAGGATGCGCGCTGCCCCAGAGCAGAACGCATTTTGTGCGCAAGCCGGCTGGTAGCGGCATCAGCAGCAAGCGAGTGCAGACACGGGCTGTCTTGCGCGAATTCTCAAACTCCACTGCTGCGGAACCGATGGTTGTGCCTTTTGAGCCTGATTCTGACCATCTCGCTGCCTGGAAGCCTGAAAGCTGGAAGCAGCGCACGGCTCATCAGCAGCCCAATTACCAGGACCAGCAGAAGCTTACGGACGCTGTGGACATCATTGCGAGGATGCCCCCGCTTGTGTTCGCCGGAGAATGCAGGAATCTGCAAACAAGATTGGCCAAGTGTGCCACGGGCGAGGCATTTCTGATGCAAGGTAAAATTTATTCTTGTTGGATGAACATGCCGGCCCTGTACTGCTACACCCCTTATGCCAATAATCCGCTTGACCGTATGGTGGTGAGACGTTGCGCAACCTTGATATATTTCTTTTTGATTAGATGATTCATTTATACTAGGGTAGTTGCCGAAAGTAGGAATGGAGAGGTTAGTACAACTGAACCCTTGCTTGCGTATCAGCATCCCGAGCTTATACTTTTTCGAGGTCAGTGCAGGGGAAACATGGCGTCTACCAATGTAGGCCTGATTCAATAAGGCGAGATCTTAAAAACTTCGATTGCTGATTGCGCAGGCGGCGACTGCGCCGAGAGCTTCGCCCAGTTCAGCGCCAACAACATCAGGGACTCCTTCAGGGTGCAACTCCAGATGGCCTTGGTTGCCATGTTCGGAGGTGGTGTCCCCGTCGTCAAAGTCGGCCGCATGGCCGGTCAGTTCGCCAAACCCAGGTCCGCCGACACAGAGACCTTCGATGGCACCGAGCTCCCATCGTACAGGTAAGGGTTTTCTTCTCTTCCCTGCTTTCTCCCCAAGTCCTGGCTCTGCATTGTATGTACTATCCCTGTTCAATAGATCGAGCGAGCGAAGCTGCCTTCCTCACATTGTGATCGCTGCGTCAGTGTGCTGCTGTGCTTGTGCATCTGAGCATGTCCCCACAAGATATTTCCAGGAGATATCTGCCAGCCTTATCCACAATCAAAGCTATACCTGGCATTGAGTGTGCTGGTACGCTAGCTAGTCAGCAGCATGTCCAGTTTTTTTAAGCTTGAAACATCTTGAAAGCGCGGAAAATGTGCATCTGACTAAGGTTGTGCTGGCATCAGGGGCGACATCATCAATGGGCCGGCCTTCACTTCAGAGGCGCGTGTGCCAGACCCCATGAGACTGGTGCAGGCCTACAACCAGGCAGCAGCCACCCTCAATCTGCTGCGCGGATTTGCCACCGGTGAGCGTTACACCCTGTTGATACTCCATAAACGCCGCAGACAGTAGTTTACCCCTGTTCCTGCCTGAGTCTTTTGCACTCATGTGTTGAAACGTTAACAAACTTTAAAGGTGCTAAAAGGCAGCCAAATACAGGACTGAGCAGATTACAAGCCTTGCATTACAGCTGCACGCCAAAATCAACCGTTGTACGTGACTGATGTACTAGCTTGCTTGTGCATCTGCAAGATTCATGCCTCGGACTTTTTTACTGGTGTATCCCAAATCTGAGCCATAGTCTTCTTGTGCATCCCTGTCTTGATAGCAACCTGCAGATTCAGGCTCTCACCTGTGTGCTGAAGTAGAGAGTCACCAAAGGTGTCAACTTATTACAACCGGCAGCTGCATGATTCAATTAGTAATTTTCGAATGAATTTGAATCGCACAGGTGGCTACGCTGGGCTGCAGCGCATGATGGAGTGGAACCTGGACTTCATGGGACGCAGCGATGAGGGGCGCGCATATCTGGATCTCGCCAGGTGTGCAGGGTTTTACCCCCAGGGGGGTGCAAGGGTTGTCAGAATAATGTTGACTTATTGATGCCCAAGCTCGTTGAAGAGTGTGACAAGAAACCAGGAATGCCTCAAGCCTCCAAAATATAAATACATTCCCTTTGTTGTAATATGCAATTTCCACAGTATTTGCGTAGCACAATTTTCCATTTCAAAACATTTCTTTTCGTTTGTTTCACCTCGATTTTCTTTTGGTACAGATGGTGCAACATCACTGCAGATTCTGCCTTTCATCAAGGCAGGCTATCTCTGGTCCTTTCTCTTCAGGAGCAGCTATCTGCTTGTCTTGTTATGTGAAATTTACAAAAATTCTGTTTGAATTTTGCAGGCGCGTGAATGAGGCGATCCAGTTCATGGTGGCCTGTGGTCTGGACAGCCGCACGCCGATCATGACAGAGACGGAGTACTACGTCTCCCACGAGTGCCTGCTGCTCGACTACGAACAGGCCCTCACCCGCGAAGACTCAACCACCGGACTCTGGTGCGGACCTGTGTTCAACACTGCGCAGTGTCATTGAAGCAAGACATGCAGCATGACATAAATGGCACTACAGACACAGCGGCTGCATATCTCGTGGTTGCTGTCATTCGACTGTCAGGGGCTGCCAGCCAGCAGAAGGGAGGCTTTCGAGCGTTGCGGCAATGGCACTCCCTGTGTTTGGGCGAACACAGGTTCCTAGCCCTAAACTGCTCAAGGTCTCTGTGTTTCCGATTCTGCATCTTCTGCTGCACTGGCTCATGCGCGCCAACCCAGAAATATCATTTTAAAATTTTCTATATCTCTGAATTTAGTGTCAGGTATTGGATCAGTCCCAAATTGGCTGGAACCAACATGATATGCCTGCCTGCCTGCCTGCCTGACTGATTGACTTCCTCAAGAAAGTTTTCTGACAGCAAGCATGCATGTCTTCAGGTATGACTGCTCTGGGCACATGCTGTGGTGTGGTGAGCGCACCCGCCAGCTGGACGGCGCCCACGTCGAGTTCATGCGCGGAATCGCCAACCCCATCGGCGTCAAGGTGGGGCCGAAAATTCAAATTGGAATTTGACAGCTGTGCCAAAATACTCGGTCTGTGAATTTCTGCAGATCACGATAATATTGTGGTCCTAGCAAGAGCATTCAGCTGCGGCCCTTGCGTCAAGTATGACCTGCGCTTGGAAAGCTGCATGCTCTGAAGATCCCAAGTAATCGGGTTGAACTACTTTTCAGCAGCATGTCAGCAGAAGATAGCTGCCAGCACAAGAGGATGGTGGCAGCTTGACCGGTTTCGCGACAACTGCTGACATGACTGGCTGATGTGTCTGATTACATTATTCCAGGTGTCTGACAAGATGGACCCTGGGCAGCTGGTGTCTCTGGTGGCCACCCTGAACCCCGAGAACACTCCAGGCCGCCTCACCATCATCGTGCGCATGGGCGCTGAAAAGGTGCGCCACCTGGCGCTCATGTAACCATTAGTAATGCATGCACCTGACACCTGTACGCATCTTGCGCACTGCCAGGAAGACAGGGCATCCTGAAGCTGCAAGTTATCAACATGCATGCTGTGAAGTTTGTAGTGCAGGCTAAAAGACTTGCTGGTTTTTAGTGCCAGGGCGGGCATCCAGACAGCTGTCTTTATATTGGTGATGAGGAAGCTCGATGCTGCTCAAAGAGCAACTCTGTGTCTGGCTTACAATTGTCTGATCAATGCGCATGTGGTGGCAGGTGCGCGCAAACCTGCCAAGGCTGGTCGAGGCGGTGCGCGACAGCGGCCAGGTAATAATATTTTTTTCCATGCCCTATTTTTACAATCCGAACACAAATGACTTCTAGCGCCCTTTTGCTTGAGCCAGCTGCTGTTCCCTGCTGCTTTGCATGCTGTCATGGGGTTCCCCTTGTTGACATCAGGCAGTGGTGAAAGGCCAGAGGGTCAGGAGTGACTGCAGCGCTCTTCTGCTCAAGCCAGGCCTGTCTTGTAAACATTCCTGCCTCTGCATGCTGTGATAGGGCGCCCTACCAGGAGGTCAAGGTTACTAACAACCGATGGTGACTAATGTGCAGGTGGTCACATGGGTGTGCGACCCGATGCACGGCAACACGGAGTGCGTCAACAACTACAAGACCCGCCGCTACGAACGCATCCGCGCAGAGGCGAGCCCTTTCACTACTTCCCTTTAATTCTCTTTTTGATAGAGGGCCTAGATCCTACACCAGGAAGGTAAGAAACATACGCGGGCGGGCGCTTCTTTTATGTCTCATGCGGCCATAGTTCTGTGATCTTTGCGCATGCCAGCCTTTGCCAGAAAGCGATGGTGTGTCCTCAGGAGAACTGCCTTGACATTATGGACTGCCAGAGTCCGCCCCGCTGCCTTCTATGCTCATTTTTGGGATGCAGCAATCCTTTCAGACATGCTGGCCTTGACTCCCTGCTGAGAGCATGCCTCCTGCAGAAAGCCGGCAGGATAATTCCAGGTACCAACATCGCTGTCACTCCAGCATCAACAATTCAATTACATACGCGCTGAAGGTCCTTTGTACTTACCTCAACAGGTGGAGGCATTCTTTGATGTGCACGAGGAGCTGGGCACGGTGCCAGGTGGCATCCACCTGGAGATGACAGGCGATAACGTGACCGAGTGCCTGGGCGGGGGGTCCTCCATCGACGAGGCGGACCTCAACAGCCGCTACCACACCCACTGCGACCCCCGCCTCAACGCCGAGCAGGCCCTCGAAATGTCCTTCTACGTCGCATCCCGCCTCGCGCAGAGTGAGTTTTCTCGCGTGCTTGGGTTTCAAGCAGGGGGCTGATAGAACATCAGGGTTTTGGGGGCTGAAACAACAGCCTGTGGTGTCTTCGAGGCAGTCAGTGAGCCTGCCTTCAAGGCATTGCCTTGTGCTGGCGGAGACCCGGAGACGCAAGCTGTCAATTCACTGAGCTGGGCAGAAATCTTCCTTCTCCCAGCGCCTGGATTTCGAATACCTCTCCAGGGCTGACCTTCGCAGGATGATACACAGTTTGCTTAGCTGATGTGTTTCAGCACAGCTTCAAGCTCCAGCTACAACAAGGAAGTTCCTGCCTCAGCTGCAGGAGTGCCAGCTGCTCACAAAGGGATACAGCCTGGCGCTTAAATTCAAATTCCAAGACAAATTGCTGACAGTGTTGTGTGTGTGCTGCTGCAGGGAAGGACAGGTTGGCTGCAGGTGCCAAGCCCACCGCGATCCTGAAATGAGCAATGAACATTTCCGGACGACAGCGACGCCTGTTGCTCCCAAGATCTCTCTAAATTTTTTACCACAAGACTTTCAGCTTTGCCTGCGGGCTTTTCAGCTACTTTTAGTCTGTGCTGCTCAGAATTGAGCCTCCTAAGTTGACGTAGCAGTGCTATCTAGTGGGGAAGGGTCTCCTTCCAGTATTGACTGTGTTCTCAGAGTTTCGGTGCCAAGTATATGGTGGCCAGGTGTCTGGTGTTATAGGCAGAGCTGGAGTTAGTGTAACTTTAGTAGTACTGTCAGCCCTTGTTTCTGTTAGCAAAATGTTAGTAATGTTGCTTGTTGGGACTTGGCTGCAGCTTGTCCTGCGAGTCTTGTTGCGACTGAGCCTCGATTGAATCTCGAGCCCTGTTTACGCATGTGCCTACGGATGCTTGGATATTTAGATCCCTGATGCCAACATTGTAAAATCAAGGTTTTTTTGTATGATTAGCTCTCTGAGCTTGCCAGGAATCTTTTACGTCCTATGCAAAGGTCTGCATGATGATGGGCTAATGTTGATCAAGCACAATGTTATCAACACAAGCCATCAGGTGTTTAAGTGAATTTTATTTCCAAGGTGATTTGCATACCTGGCCCCATAGATAAAACATTGCTCTCAAATATATCATGGCCCCGGCTGGCGGGGGGCGGTACAAATTCTGAGCACAGTGCCCATATGGATTGGAACATCATGCATCCATGATGGCAGCCTTCATCCTGCAGCAATTTGGCCAGATGGGCATGAAGTGACAACGTGCCTTCGCGCTTGCACCTGCATGCAAGCAGGTAACGATGCATCTCCCCATGCATGCCTTGTCCCTAGAAGACTGAATGCCTCTCACCCTCAAGCCGACCCTTGCCCTTGGCTTTGCTTCCTTTCTTATCAGTTGTGCTCCTCCGGAGCAGGTCCGGTCAGCCTTGCATGGCTAGGGTCCTGCATTGGAAAGGGGTACTGAGGGGAGGAAGAGGGGTTAAGAAGGCATCATCCAAGACGTAATGCGGCCACATTGTTTGTAATGCCACTTCTATGACGGCCGTCTTATGTGAGGAGGAACTGATGAGCACATCTGTGACGAACATCCCCAATTTTCAATTTAGGGTTAAATTTATTACTTGCGCAGGAAGTAAACATGTCCAGGAGCGCGCAGAAAGCGAAAAAGCTACCTCGGTCTCGGAAAAGTGGAGCCAGCGTGTCGTTGTGTTCCGGAGCTGCGTTCAGCACAAAGCATTCGGACACCATATTGGAGACGGTATGCATTCTTCGAATTACTTCGGCGTCTTGTAGATTGCAGGTCGCACCAAGCATGCATTTTGTCAGAGGTTGCACTTCTTGCACGTCCGATGGCTGGATTGGTGCCTGCTAGGGCTTTTAGGGGAAGCAAGTCACTTTAATAACGACTGACGGTGCAATCCACCGATAAAACTGAAAGTTACTTCTCTGTGCTCTAGTAAAACGCTATGGTAGATGGCCGTGAGAAAGGACTCCGCCAGAAGGCATTCCGCCAAAGACAGAAGGTGAGCATGTTGGCAATCTATGATATAAAAATGTCGAAGCGCACGTACTAAAGGATCCGATCATCAACACTACTTTTTAATTACTCAACTTTTGCACAGGAAAAGCAGCAGGCAACGGAACGGCAGGTCCATGAGTTGTCTGAGAAGGTGGCAGCACTTCAGCTGGAAAGGGATCAGCTGCAGAAGGCTGTGGAGTCTGCCAAAACCGATTCAAAGGTGTGATGTGTCCGATGAATTTTGCAGCATGAATGCACTTGTTGAGTGATGTGCTGCCTGGCACACAGCCAGACCCCATGCCCTGCCAACACGATGCCTCTGGTGTTCTTGTGCCATTTTGCTGGTCTCGATCTTAAGGTAAACATGTAAAAAGCAACATTTGCTGTGTAATTCTGCTTGACTGTGACAGCGTATCTGGGAGCCTCTCTAAACTATTATCAGAGCTGATGGTGTCTCTGATGGAGCCAAAACCTGTTTGCTCTGGCATGCACGTGTCTCTTTGGCAGACATAAATGATCCCTTGTCTATTCAGGGCATACTAGTTAAATACACAAGCAGCCACACAACCCCTGGTTCTAGGTAGTAGTAAACCTTGGGCATGCTGTGCAAGCAGGAGAGCAGCAGCGAGATAGCCTTGAGGGATGCCAAGTTTGCAGTGAACCTCAGCTTTGGAGAAGCCGCAGTGCAGCTGCAGATGACCCGAGAGGACGTCATTGCTCTCACAATCGATGGACTCGCACAAATCTGGAAGGTTTGCTCTCCAGTCCATGCAATCTCGATTTCCAGGCGTTTTGAGCTGTGATTAGCTCCACTTCTCATGCCCACGACTCTAGCGTGCTCGTATTTCTAATATGCCTCATTTTGAAGTGTGAACATAAATCCTGCGTCGTACTACCCATGTCTGAGTGCATATTGGAGCTCTCAAATGTTTGCAGCATTTGAATGCCGGCTCTGCTTATTTGTGTGCAGACGCTGGTCCAAAAGATGGGCTTGAATCTGGACATGATGGGTGCAGCTCCCACATACAGCTGTGTACACCAACGACGAGTAGAGGTGAGCCCACTCCTAGTCACTGCCCTTTGTCATGCATGCACCTCAGCATCTTCTGACTGAGTGTCTCTTGCATGCTTGAGCGTCTGTCTGCATGCACCCTTGCCATAAACATGCACAATTACACCTCAAGGGCCTTGTTTTCCTGCTGAGACTACCTCTATTGCACCTCTAACCGGTGTGGCATGCGGCTTTGGGCAACGCAGTGCCTGATAAACAGTGCATCTTTGCAACCGGGTGTGGCTTGCAGCTGTCGCTGGCATGCACATACCAATGACAGTGACATGCACAGGTCAATGGCAGTGATGCTGACATGGCGATCATGCATGCATGCAGAAGCTGGTGCACGAGGCTATAGCATTCATGTGGGCGTTGGTGGACTACAACCAACAAATGCTGAGCGCCATCACCACCATCAATGTGGAAGCCCCCGCCAAAGCGCAGCCCTTCCACCCCAGCAAGCCCAGAGATTGGCCCGCCATCCTGGTCAGTCCCTCTTTTTAATCATCTTTAACACACCTGATCTTGATGTTCTGGAAAGTTTTAGAGCTTTTTAAGTAAATTACATTCCCTTTCAAGGGCACTCAATGCAAGCATGCTGGGAATTCAATGGGGTGGGATGGCTGGCAAGATTACAGACACCCATAGGAAGAGGGAAGTCTTTTCTGTCCACTGGACCCGAAGGTGCTAGCTTGGCCTGCTAATCACAAAGGCACCTGGTAGGCTAGGCAGGAATGCAAAGACAGGCCTGGCGCTGGCATAGTGTCATTCAGAATGAGCACACTTGATTGAGCTCTTGAGCATCTGGGCCAGGCTTGGAGGAAGTATCTGGTTCTGGCGTGATTTGGTTCTGGACTGACATAATTGAAGCAGAGGAACTGACCGATTGTGCTTGTGCAGGCGCGCATGCAGCTGAGTGATGGGCAGGTGCGGCAGCTGCTGAGAGGCAGGCGGACACTCGTGCGCGAAGTGGGCGCCCTCATAGCCCAGTGGGACCAGCTCTGGACCCAGCTGCAGGTGCGGCTGAGGCGTCTGTGGTGGTGCAGCTGAGATTCTGGAGTCTTTAGTGGCCCATGTTGGGTTGTTGGGCTGTTGAAATTGGATACCTAGAGCGCAGTGCTGTCTCATATTCTGTATGAGCTCATTGAGGAAGGAGCTTCTCATAAATCGGGAGAGGTCTCGTCCAGGTTTGGATGCCACATGCATGAGGAGTGCTCACCTAGGAATGCTGTGCTGGACCTCTTGCTGTGCACCAAGGAGTATGTGGCTGAGTGCAGCTCGAGCAAATCAGCGAAGGCTGCACAATTTGTGCCCTGCTGACATAAGCATGCGACAGGGAGAGCTAGAATGCGGTGGCCTGCGCTGGGGTGTGTCAATGATTAGAGACTTGTTCTGCCATGCAGAGCATCAAGGATGTTGATGAGGGGCCTGGCTCCCCGCGGGTTGCAAACCTGACAGAGCAGCTGCGCGCGAACGTGCACGCGCTGTTCACCTGCCGAGCCTTCTACCTCTCCTGGGTCTACAATCGGGTGAGCCCTGCCACTTGTCGGAAGTCAGCAACTGGAACTTTTCATGCTGACCATCTGCAGTGACATCAAACTCTACCAGACAAGGGGTACTGAGTCAGGTTTGAGTTGGGATGTTGGCAAATTTGATGGCTTGGGAGTAGGCAGCCCTATCTCTAAAGTGTGTCCTTTCAATTTCCTGGATATAGTGCTGCACAATGCCCAGTGTTCCGCTGTAGTGCTCACAATTCTTCTCAGCAGTGCATGTATTGGGTATGCCTGAAGCCGTGCAGCTAAAGTTTGCTCGGGTACCTTTCAAAGTGATGTCATCGCATCTTGTGGTTCGGCAGGTCTTCTCCCCTGTGCAGACGGCGCGGTACCTCACAGCTTCGTATCCGATTGGCCCAGACACCCTCTCCCTGCTCACCTGCCTGGCACAGCGGTACGACGAGCCCTCCACCACCGAGCTCATGCGCGTGGCACGCCCCGGGACGGCCGCCGGCGCCGATTTGCGCGCGCCCCTCTGCGGCAGTTCTGCGACGGTGTTCGGTGGCGGGGGCGGTTCTACAGCAGCGTTTGGTGCCGGTGGGGCCAGTTCTACCGTGGTGTTCCCTGTCATGGACAGTTCTGCAGCGGCGTGCGGCGGCGGGTACAGTTCTAGCGCGGCGTCCGGCGGCCCAGGGGATTGGCGCCAAGCGCTGGTGCATCCGCTGCGAGTTCTGCACTGCTGGCCGCATCCGCTCGCAGGCCAGCCGGATATCAATATGTCATAATCATGGTAGTCATCGTTAGTCGTGATAGTCATCTTTATTATGTGTTGGGTAATTGATCGCCTCACCAAATAGTCAATTTTTACGCTGGCTGCTTTGGATTTGGCTTGCTCACCATTTGACGGTAGGCAACCAGCGCTTGCACTTTCACAACGCATTCATAAATACTCATTCTTGATCTGAGGGAAGTGATCACGAGACTTGCGATAGACACCCTATGACAGAGGACATGTCTCTAGTTCTAGTTTATAGGAGTGCACTTCTTTACTGGATGGCTCTGTATGCAGCAGGGCGGAAGTATAACATGAGGAGGGTCCAGATCTGCTTGCAAGGTCAATGCCACAAGCATGTTGATCAAGACTGGCCAGGATGTTTTCTAATCTGCCAGAATCAAACTCCAGTGCACTGGCCAGCCGTGCTGATCTCACTGATTTCCAGAGCGCTGCTGATAGCCATCTAGGTGGTTATTGCCAGGTATGTCAATTGCACATTGACTGGTGGAGCTTTGAATTTTGAGATGACTGTGCTGGTCTTTGTTGCTTGCGGGTTATGTCATTACCAAGGGCCATTCTGGATTTGTCTGGACCTTTCGGGGCCAGATGGTCTCTAGATCAGTTGCTGTGTTTTTAGACCAGGCTGTTATTAGCAGCAGCTTGCCGATATTCATCTACAAAACTTGAAGCCTCTATTCAGCAGTTGGGGAACCCCCAATTCCTTCAAGGCGAAGTTGTTTTGACAGTGGGTTCTCTTTTGTCAGTGGCGATTGCGGCCTGTTGAGCGGCGCTGCCTCGCTAAAAATATTCTGAACTTGAGGAAATGATAAATGAGGCTTTCTGTATGAAAGATGTCTTGAGCGCTGCAAAAAGAGCATATGAACGCCACTGACACATTTAGTGAAACAGGTGCATATTTACAGTCCCTCGCGGGTTTCTGAATCTTGGTCGAAGTGATGAAGCTGTACTCCTCATATCGGTCAGGTTCAAATATTGAATAAAGAGGCCGGAAAAAAATGGGTTGCATATCATCCTGAGCAAATGTACACTAGATGACTCAGTGAGGTGCAGACTGCACCAGGCATGTCCACAGGGCTCCTGTTTCATGCTGGAAATTTGAGTTTGCTTTTCTCAGCAGCTCTGCACATGCGCATGCGGGTGCAATTTGCATATGTCACTGGTGATCTGCGTATGATCATGGTTTTATTGAATGGTTAAGGGAGATCTTGAGAATTCAGTGCCAGATTGACAGCCTTAGCATTGCAACAATGTGTGTGTACTGAACGCATGCACCAGCATGTTTTGCCGCAATCCCGTGAGATTATTGTCATGTTCTGCTTCCAGTGTAATTTTGTCACCCACTTGGCTGTTGCTCTGTGCAGTTGCAGACAGAGTCATTGCCATGCAACCAAGTGCAAGCATTGCATCTGTCATGCAATGTGGTCATATAGTGCTCCCGGGCGGGGGCAAAATTTTTGCTTTGGTCACCCAAGCACGGTGCTTGACATGCACTTGCGAGGCAGCCCTTTCTCCTATCTTTTGGCGCTCGCTCTGCCTTTATGTCTGCATTCCTCTTTTGCAATATTGACATTGGCACGCTAAACGGAGCTCAGGTTCTGAAGCTCCAGAGTGACTGTGTACACATTTGCATGCATCCAAATTGTGATGCCGTGAAGGTTGCACTAGCAACTCCAACATGATGCTGGCAACATATGCATGCATGCCAATAAGACCACCGGTACCGCTGAAGGCAAGATTTGGCATTCGTGCTGGGCCCAAGGCTGCCTGGCCCATGGAATGGCTTGGCCACTGGTAAAGTAGTTGGCAACTTCAAATTTTTAAGATTTTCAAAGTTTGCAAACACACTGGTCCTACGTAGCTACGTAGTAATATAGTACGGTATACCTTTACGGTGCTATAATTTATTGCTAGTCTAAGCCTGCAGCTGCTTGGTCTCAGATCGTCTCGGATTCATCTGAGCAAGCTCACTCACAGCTCCGAGCCTGCAATTCCTCTGCAAATTTGCATCCTCACAAGCAGCCTGCTGAGCACGTGCTCCCGGAGGTGCCCTTTCATCTTCATTGTTTCCTTCCCTTCCTCTTATTTATTTTCCACCCTTGTCCGTCAATAGGGTTCACGGACATTCTTGGCCGAAAAAGGAAATATTTGGGTCTAGACGCAAGCAGAGACTCCACCAAGATCCTTAACCTTGACTAGGATGCCTTACAGGAGGCTGCCTGACCTAAGAAAATCCACGTAGAGAACAACTCCCTGTCCATGCTTGTTTGGAAGGTGGCGATGAAGCTCGTTCTAACGTGCGGAAGAGAAAGATCACTCTCTACAGGAGTCTTCAGCTATCTTTGAAGCCTGGGCACAAGTCACAAGGACTCACGATGGCAGATTCCCGAGAAAGGGGACTTCGCCAGAGAGCTTTCCGCCAAAGACAGAAGGTAGCGCATCGCTTCTTGTATACATTTCGCGAAAACCCAATGTGCTGTATCACCACATCAAGTGACACACCGAGCGTTGCTGTGCAGGAGAAACAGCAGGCGACCGAGCGTCAGCTACTTGAGTTGTCCGAGAAGGCCGCAGCATTGGAGTTGGAGAGGGATCAGCTGCAGCGGGCCGTAGAAACTGCCACCAGTGACTCGCAGGTGAACTCTCTCGGCTTCTTACGCCTCTGACGGAAGCGCTGAGCCATTTTAGCGAGCGTAACAGCTGATTTCAAGTTGTTCGAATCAACAGCGCTCAAGTTCAATGCCTGGGGCCATGCCCTGAACTCGCAGGATTTTGCCTCGTGTAATTTGGGGTAGCTGGACCATAGACCAAGGCAATACTCAAAGCCCACATGAGCTGAAGCGGGGTAGCCATCATCGTCATCTAGGACGATCTAATCGTACACCATTCAGATGTGTCCTTGTCTGCTTGTGCGCTGTTCAGGTCAGCTGTACCAGTGGGAAGTCAGGCGATGAGAAACCCGCTGTGAGCTTTTGTTTTGGGGAAGCTACCACGCAGCTGCAGCTGACCCACGCAGACATCAGGTCACTCACAGTTGAGGCCATGGCTGACATCTGGAAGGTGGGATCCCCTGCACTATCCACCCTTGTCACCTGAATTTCTCCCTTCAACAATCCTGTGCTTTTACCTTGCCTTGTCTCCTGCCCCAATCTTACGGCCTGATCTTGTCTTTTCCCTTGTAAAATGATGGCGCTCTATACGACCTTGATATGCACATTTCACCCTGACGCTACTGGCAAACATGTGCGGCGGCTTGGCTACATCATGCACATCATACTTGAGATGGCCTTGCAAATTTCCATTGAGGGTTTATATGCATGCATCTGAGGAGTGCGTCTGCGTGCATGCATGCAGACGGTTGTGCACAAGCTGACCTCCTGCCTTGCCAAGATGGATGCTGCTCCCAAGGACAAGCGCTGCCAGTCGCGCATAGAGGTGCCCTCACTCGGTTTCTCTTACAGCATATCATACATTTGGCAAAGCCCACTCGTACACTCCTGTTGCTCTTTCACATGCCCCTCTGCACCTGCTGTCAACACATCTATTTGCAAATACGCAGTCTGCACTCCTCGTACATGCTTTGTTGGCCCTTGCAGAAGGAGTAGGCAGCTTGTTATCTTGAACGGGGCACAAACTCGACAAGGCCCTTATTTTGAGCACTTTGCTGCTGCCGGTGTTGGTGCGCACACCGGGAAGACTGAGCTGTCCTGACAAAGTTCGAACTACTAGTGGCTTGTACAGGAGATGATGTACGAGGCGCACTTATTCCTGTGGGCTTTGGTGCACCACAAACCGAGCCTGCTGCGAGCTTTGGGCTCATGCAACATGGAGGACCCGACTGGAAAGATGTCCAGCAACGGCAGAAACTGGCCCGCTATCCTGGTGAGTCCTCTTTGGAACTACTTTCGCGTACTTTCTGACAGGAATCTCAGGGTCGTCCGGCCAGGGTTAGGTAGCCTCCGGGGTCTTCGGGATATCTACAGGAGCCCGCAGGCCACGTCAGCTCTCAAAATACTCTCCAAATCCTGCCTGACATATTTGGCTCCGGAATTGCAAGGGACGCCTCTGCAATGACCAGGGAGCAGTTGGACACCATTATAGCGGGCCTCAGAGCACTTTATCATTAAGCAGAAGTATTAGTCTGTTTCCTCTTTCATAGAAGGGTCATTCGATTATTCGCTTCAATGGTCATACTGTTATTGCGCGGGTGCCCAAGGGTACTGGAAATTCCGGCCCAGAAAAGTCAGGAGCCACCGTTTCTGTCACCGGTGCATTTGAAGCTAGCGCAGGAAGTTGGCCAGTGTGCTGACTCAGGGGTGGTTGGCGTTTGCAGGCGCGCATGCAGCTGAGTGAGAAGCAGGAAGAGCAGCTGGTGGCTGTCAGGCGGACGCTGCTGCGCGAAGTTGGGGCGCTCATCTCGGAATGGGACCAGCTCTGGGCAGAGCTGCAGGTAATTGTTCTTTCCCTCTCTTGCACAGCTGCACCGCTGTAAACTTGAAGGGCACCATGTGCTGCCCGCTGCCTATTAATGCCCGATTTTAAATTCGAAATCAATCCTTTCAGCAGGGAATGACCTTCACAACCCCTGCCGTGCAGTTTGCAGCAGTACATAGAGGAATGTTGGCTGAATTCAATAATTCCAAATGCTAAATTCAAATGTAATTTTTCAAAAAGGAAGTCCTGATTATATCAGAAGAAAAACACTTCCACATGCCCTGCAGTGCTATTATTATTATTATTATTATTATTATTATTATTATTATTATTATTATTATTATTATTATTATTATTATTATTATTATTATTATTATTATTATTATTATTATTATTATTATTATTATTATTATTACAATCATTACACGCTTTTCCTGCCAAGAGGCCAGGTGCGTCCTGCAGACACGCTGCAGTTAAAGGCTGCCACAATCCTACCCCTTGTTGGACTCGCCAGATCCAAGCAAGCCTCAATCAATCGTGGGCACAGTGCTCAGTATTAGTACCGCCCCCCGCCAGCCGAGGCCAAAAAGTGCTATTTGGAGCACTGTAACAGGGAGCCATTCGCTGAAAGCCATATTTCAAATTCAAAATTGAACCCCGCTGACCTGCTTTGGTTTATGCCGCGCAGAGTATCAAGCATTTGGAGCAGAAGGCAGAGGGCTCTCTGGGCCAGTATTCACACTATGCTGGGCTGACAGAGCGGCTGCGAGTGAATGTGCGCTCGCTGCACGTCTGCAAGGCGTACTACTCAGCCTACGCTTGCACAAAGGCATGCCCCAGCAACTCAATCATTCTGGAATCCAATAGCTTTAGATAGGACTGGTGTGAGGTTGGAGGAGCTTCTTCCTGTGAAAAGAGGGTTCTGTGGGAGGGTCTGCATTTTGTCCTAATGAGCCTTTTCACCGGGGTTGCTGGCTAAGAGTTCAGGGGGAGATGGGCAAAGAGTTAGGCAACAACTGGGAATTTCCCTGCACATTACCGTCCCCTCAATACGATGGTGAATGTGAGGAGCCTCAAGGAACCATGCGCCGGCCCGCTGCCTCTGCGTTGTGACCGGCAACTGTAGCCGCCTCTGATAGCTCTTGTATCAACATTATACATATTTGTATAATATTTTAGCCCCGGGGTGCTGTATAAATGCTGAGCACCGTGCCGACGGTTGATTGGGGCTTGGTTGGATTTGGCAAGTGCAACAAGGGGAAGGATTCCGGCAGCCTGTAACTGCAGCTTGCCTGCAGGACGCACCTTTTTTCTTGGCAGGAAAAGTGTACAATACAATATAATACAATATAGTAATCCAGGATGTTGCATGCAGTGATCTCTGGTGTGTGTTTCTTGCAGGTGATGTCAGCGGTGCAGGCTGCGAGGTACATGACGGCTTGCTATCCCATGGGCCCAGACACGCTCTGCCTCATGACCTGCCTCGCCCAGCAAGCCAACGAGCCTGCGACTGGAGAACTGATGTGCGCCGCACGCCCCCGGACGGCCGCCCCGGTGCGCGGCGATTCGAGCGCGCCCCTTTGCGTCGCGGGGGATTGGCGGCAGGGTTTGGTGCAGCCGCCAACCCTGCTTTTGGGCAGGCCCAAGAAGGCATGCAAGTAGGACTCATTCTTTCAGCTGCTGCAAGACCGATCGCTTGCCCATTCAGCAGCAGGATGTCTTTCCCATTGTGCAATATACAGTCCCCATTCTTTCACTGGCTGCACTCTGAGCCTTACAAGGTCTTAAGGGCAATCGGCAGCCGGTGACTCACAGTCGGTGGCAGGTGCCTCTCTCCTGTATGATTTGGTGGCGCAAGTTTCTGATCGTGGGGAGACGTCCTTTGAGATATATCTTTGACCCAAAGAGGACAATTCATGGGTCTCACCCATTAACTATTCAATAAGTTCACTGAGCCACCAGCCGGCTAATCTCCGTTCTTGTATTTGTAGATTGTTTGGATGCAGTCAAGATGACAACCTCTGAATTTTAAAGACACATCTCCTGAGGACTGCCAATTCTGCATTCGAATTATTCTTTGAGTGGTGAGCTGACAATGGGCCAAGGGCACTCTGCCAAATCCCACTGGTCAGTCATGCTGATGAAGACAGGAAAGCCTGTGCATGTTGATGCGGGGTTGTGTGAGTACATAAAACACCTGCCGAACAGCCTGAGATTTCGAGTCGCGGGGGATTTGAAGTCTGTGAAGGCACGGTTTGGAGTGGCAGATACCCTGAAAATTCCAAAAGTACAAAAATACTCATCACAGCAAAATTCCGCAATGATGACATTTGGATACAGCTGGGTGGCCGTTCAAAATATGTGCAGCCTGATTTTACTGTCCAGGACGATTCTGTCCAGGTGTATTATAAGGGGGCCAGGTGGCAGACATTAGGAATGGAGGGGATTTAAGAACTTGGATTCCCTTCATCATGGTTTACCTGTGGGGCGGTGTTTTCTTGAGCAGTCACCAAAGTTCATTTGCACCAGTGTCAATCATTGCTACTGCTGTGAGCGACCGCAAAATGATTACTGCAGACACTGTGATCAATGGCTTTCTTCAGAGGCAGCTAAACCTCGTTGACATTGACAAACTTTGAAGGCGCTACAGACAGAGAGAATAGGTTGTATACTATATCAGCCACAGCATCGAAAGGCTCCCGTGGAGTCGGTCAAGCAGGGAATACATTGTTGCCACCATTTGTGAGAATTGTGAATTGCAGTGATCTATCTGCAAGGCCTGTCAGGCAGCGCCTCTCGTGTTCTATGTCCGACAGAATTTGAGATTGTGCATGCATGGGCATTTGGTCTGGTATGCCAGGCATCATGATGACTTAGGTGCCAAATGGGGCTCTCTTCTCAGTAATCTTGCCGTGATTATGTCGTGTGTACAATATATAAAGAAGGTCATGACTTGTCTTTTTCAAGGCCGTCCCTAGACGTGCGGGTAACTGAACGGCTTGCAGCTGATCAGGTTAATAAGGCTCTTCAGGCTAAATTTATGACAGTTCTCAAGACGGATGCCATCACCATCGAATATGAAGTGTAGGCTTGTAAATTACTGGTGCGCACATGATCATGACTGCCTGTGATAAAATGTCCATGCCAGGCAGTGCCAGGGACAATCGTAATTGTAATTTCACGGTGTCAGGTGCATCCAAAGATCACGTGATCTGCCCCGCATGGTGCAATGATCTCATGAGTGATCACCAGTTCCATATTGGCTGCCGTAGCCATGGCATGTGCCAGTGGTTCTGCTGCAGAAGACGCCTGCTAGGCGCTGCCGCAGCACAAGTATTATTATTATTACAGGCTTTCAAAGTTTCCTGCCAGAAGGCAAGGTACGCCCTGCAGACAAGCTGCAGTTAAAGGCTGCCACAATTGTTAATTAACATGTTACTGGCATTATCATAGCTATGCACGGCATGCCATGCTGCAACCCAGTGGGTTGCTGCAGTGCTAAGGAGTTGACCTAGATCTGGCGTTCAGGCCAAATATGCAGAGTATTCAGAATCAAATGATCTGACGCGTCTGGCGTACGTACTACGTCAGCTATCTCCGGGCTCGAGGGTGAGTCACAGTCAATTGCATACCTTGATCTCCATTGGATACTTCACACAACATGGCTGCATGCATGGAGAAGGGTGCAGCTTGCAGTGTCCTTGCTTGTAACCGGTGCATGCTGGCTCGACCTGGGTGACTCCTGACCACTTAAAAAGAGTCCCCACGTGATGCACGTTCCCACGTGCACATACGAGAGTTGATGCAAGATTTGATGCAAATGGACCCCGGCAAGATTCCTGCAGCTGGCCTGTGCCCTGCTCAAAGCCTACTCGCTTAAGCTCCTAGAGCAGAAGCAGGTGGAAAATCCTTGCGAGTGCAGGCAAAGTTATAATTTCATACTGAGGCACAAACTCGGGTGCAGCTTTTGAAAACCCGATGGCCATCCTGTGATTGTTTTGGGTGTCAATAGCCGCCCGCAGCATACGCACAAGAGGCTGTTATCTCACAGTGGGGGCGCTGCTTCTCCATAAATGCGCCGAGCTCCCCAAGCTCAGCTAAGATGGCCTTGATTTGGAGGTCCCGGGTGGATCCGCTTAGGTGCGCAATGACGGAGCTAACATCGAACGCGAAGCTTTGCTTCTCAATATCATAGCCTTTGCAAGAGCTTATTTTGACCGAGTTGACGATGCACGAGTGCCCTTTCCTTCGCATGCAAAGCGCGTGCTAGGGTTGTTGTTTCTCGGTGAACCTTGAAGCAGCGAAATGGAACTGTGCTTCATTGTTTTGCAGGTAGGACACGATGTCAAATGCCCGAGAAAGGGGCATTCGCCAGAAGCTGTATCGCCAGCGACAAAGGGTAGGGATTTTGATAACCCAATCATAAATCCCACTAAAGGGACCCTTGTGCAGATTTCTAACACCGCACTACTGCAACTCGCTCCTCTCACTGATAGCTTTTGCGCAGGAGAAAGAACTAGAAGCGGAACGTCAGCTGCAAGGTTTGTCACAAAGGGTTGCTGCACTCCAGCTGGAGAGGGATTCCCTGCAGAAGGCTGTGGAAATCGCCGTCAGCGCCTCGCAGGTAGAGTGTACACGTCTCTCATCTCGTGTATGGAGGCATTGGGGAGGCCCTGGGCTCATATGTGCATCATACAGTTGGAGCAGAATTTCCCTTGCGCTGCCACTGATCTTTTGTTACCCACTGTTATTCAAGCTGGACAGCAAACCTCAGTCTGCACATAGGTGGCAAGCTTGCCAATCGCATGAAGCTACCTTTCTTAGCGGCACATTCCAAAATTGTAGGAGCTAGGGCTTCAATATGTGCCACCATTACCCAGTGTGGACGTTGTTGGCCTGAATCATTTGGTACAATCGTTGTTAAATGGATTTCAAATAGCCTGAATACCCCAAGGACACAAGCCAATGCAGTCGCTGCACTGCAGCACCAGCAGCAAACAACAGCGCATCTGGGGGGAGACCATTGCAACAATACAAGAATCGCTTCATGACCCGTTTTTGCTGCACTGCACAGGGTGATGAGGAGCCGGCTGTGGCCTTCTGCTTTGGAGAAGCTGCCCTGCAGCTGCTGCTGACCAAAGGGGAAGTCAGGGCCCTGACAGTTGAGACAATGGCAGAGATCTGGAAGGTGCGCTGGTTTACTCTCCGAGCCCAAGATAAATTGCTCATCCATGTTCCAAGTGTGAATGAACCATTTGTAACAGCCGCACGATCCTGGAGCAGCTTTCTGAAATGCTGTTTCTGAGCCTGTGCAGAAATGCTTTGCATGCATGAATTTCTTGCAGATGTCCTCCAGTGCCCACATGTTGCTGGCGCCAGCATGCAGTCTTGTCCAAGCTTTTATCATGAGCATGCAATAGTGGCAATCTTTCATCTGTGAAGATGAAGACTTCTTTCAACAAGTCGTCCAGTTTTGAGCTGGGCTCTTCTTTTGCAATCTTGTCCTAATTGCACTCTGCAGAACCAAGGCTTCCTTTGAAATCTCCAGGGTCCAGAGTTGTGTATTAATGAGGGACTGTCCTGTGCTTGAATTTGATTCTGATTGTGATTTTGAATCCCCATGCAGAGGCTGGTGCAGCGGATGGCTCTGAGCCTTGACAATATGGACGCTACACCCAGGGATACTCGCCTCCTGCATTTTGTCAAGGTGAAACCATTTACAAAAACACAACAGCAGCGTGCCTATACTACAGTATAAGCAATTGTCTACGTGCAGATGTGCTGACAGAGTATCACTGTGCATGGGATATGCAGGACATTGTGCATGAGGCGATTGCATTCCTGTGGGCTCTGGTGCTGTACAAGCCGAGCCTTCTGCGAGTGATCAACACTTGCAACATGGAGGCTCCCACTGCAAAGCAGACCTGCGCCACAAGAGACTGGCCAGCAATCCTGGTGTGTTCTCCCATCTGTGTAGAGCATACCCTGACTACTATTATTAAAAAATACACACCTGTTGGAACCACCTGGGGGTCTTAGGTTCCATGTAAAGCAAAGTGGTGATTTTGTTGTTTGTGCTCTGGATCCTGCTGCAAAATTTTTGCCATTTCCAGCAAAACGAGAAATGGTAAGGAGAGCCCAGAAGAAGAATCACATGGCAGCAGCTGCATTGCAACTGGCATGCGATGCCCTTTCTGGAAGCGTCTCTGATCTGAAAGTCTTACAGCCCTCCTGATGCTGCCAGATGCTTTCAGGTACCCTGCATGAACCCTGTGTCCTCCTGGCATGCGTCATGCTTGAAGTGCAGCATTCCTGCAAGCGCTTTTGAGGGGAGGACACCAGCGGTACAACTTGTTGGGATGACAGCACAGACAAGGTTGACAGGGAAGATTCCTGAGAGGGTTGGGTGTGCATGCAGGCACGCATGCAGCTGACTGAGGCACAAGCACAGCAGCTGCTGGCAGTCAGGCGGGCACTGCTGAATGAAGTGGGGGCGCTCATCGCCGAGTGGGATCGCCAGTGGGCCGAGCTGCAGGTGGGGGCCCCAATTGACGCCTGCGCATCCATGCGTTAAGTGTATTGTATGCCGAGATTGTGTGGCTAGAGGAGCGCATAAAGCGCTGTGGGTGTTAGAGATACCCCAGCTGTGCAAAGTGACTGAGTGTCATCCTCGACATGCTGTTTAAGGCATGCAGAGTGTCACATGACATAAACCGTTCTTTCAGCAATGTCTGAGAGGGAAATATCAGAACCTTAGCGATCGAGGTTGAAAATGGACGGCACAGTGTCGCACTGCGAGATTAGTGCACTCCGGAGGGTGAAAATGGTGCCGACTCATTCACTGAGCTCACCAGCATTCATGTGAGCAATGCACCAACTTTGCCATTGTTCTCTGCTGACTGGACATGTGCATAACCTGCGCAGAGCGTGAAGCATTTGGAGGAGATGTCCGAAGATGCAGTGAGTGACAGCGCAGACTCAGCGCGAGTCAGCGAGCAGCTGCCGGGCAGCGGGAGCTCGCTCAACGCCTGCAGGGCCTTTGCCAAGTCAACAGATGGCAATTCTCTGGAAACCACCCTCCTCATGAGCTACAAGGTATGACTCGATGTTACAGAATCCAGATGGCCCCATTGCATGCAAATGTTGTCAGCGTGAAGCCTTCCAGCAAGTTTCGAATGGCATTTGTCCGACACAAATCGTGCACGTTTCAGATGCTCTTACTTGGAGCTAATGCTTTCTGAGTGCTTCACCTCAGACTTGCAAATGGCGTGAGGATTCTGTGCATCCCTTGATCCTGCAGGTCCAAGATCAAGCGTATCCTGCGTATTTATGATATAGGCCCCCATCTTTTCTCGATGTGAACCATGAAGGCAATCCACCGCACTAGCTTCTGCTCTGCGTGGGACAGGTCAGTGCATGGCAGTGCAAACTCAGATGCAGGGACAGGCATGGCTTGGTCTGAGCATTAATTTGTGCGACAGGTGCTGTCACCGGTGCAGCTTGCGCGCTACCTGGTCGGATCATATCCCATGGGCCCAGACACACTCTCCCTCATGACCTGCCTCGCCCAGCAAGCCAACGAGCCGGCGACAAAAGATCTCATGCGCGCCGCACGCCCCCCGACGGATGTTGGGCCCCAAGACATGGATTGCAGCGGCCTGGAAGACTTCTTTGATCCCTTCTATTCTGCGCTCGACTGGTGCTTCTCCTGCAACAACGGCGGCAGCAGCACGTGCAGCATGACCGGCCTCGGGTGACCCTGGGAGTCTCAAGATTCATTCGATATTAAATAAATTGGGTGTGATTTTGGGGATTTTTTGAGCTGCCACAAGACAAGGTGCTTGGCGGGTGGCCAGGGTATAGTTAGCTGCTGTCCAATTAGGGTGCGTTTAATTCTTTAAGACTGTCCTGAATTCAGGCTGAGCAAGCTAGCCAATTGGCAGCTGAGCACAAACTTTTTGTGATACTTATACTGCAGGCACACATTCTTTCAACGCAAAAGAAGGACCTTGCAATTCAGCAAGCATTGATTTTATGCAAAGGAAAAAAAAATAAGGCAAGGCCAGTACATAGGGGATTGTGACAGGTGTCACACCAATTCTTTGCGTGGCTAGCAGCCATGAAGACTTGCTTTCAATTATGCAAAGCCTTGGGCTAAGCATTGTTGACGCAGAGTCAATCCAGGTGTGATTGATGCATCTGTTCCAAACATTGCCCGCGGCATGTTCTGGTTCAATGCTCAGTTTTGCCGAATCAGTGATGTAGAGACAACAGCCATCATTGGCAAGTTTGTTTACATCTTTCAAGCAAATTCGAAGCAAGTTACAAAGTAGTTGTGACAAATTGGGAAGCCCAATTTGGAAAAGGGGGACGTGAATTCCCTGAAGGCAGAAAAGAGCGCGATTATATCTGTGTGCACATTCTGCAAGACGAATGATTTCATAAAATGACGTCATGATGACAGCTGGTCGCATGGCACTTGTCAGGTGAACCGACCTTGCACCTCTTGTTTTGTTGAGCAAACGCTCATGAGATGCTGTCACGCATGAAGAGACTCCGTTACTTAGTGGCCGCAGTCGCATGTACTTGTATGAGCATTAATTCGTTAGAATACGTGGGATATACGATTCGCACCAGTCTCGGGACCTTAACAGATACGATCCAGAAGCAAGCACTTGCTGTACTGACCGCGGTGGCGCTAATTTGCACATCCGTGGATTATCTGCATATTTCTCTTAGTAAACTGCCCTGAGTTTGTGGTTCTAGCTTGAGAGGCATGCAATCATGCCGGTACTTGTCAGGTGGCTTGTCCTTGATGGACACCAAATTATTTGGATGCACAATTGAGTATGGTAGGGAAGCTCTTTATGTGCATTTTTCTATTTAGGCTTGTCTGCGACCTGCCTATGTTTTGAGACGTGTGTTTATATATAGGCGTTGGAGGAACCACAATCTGTTGATCGAGTGTCACATGTCTGAATGCTGCACCCAAACAGCTGACTTGTGGGTAGGACGCAGGCTTTGTGTATTGATTGCTCATGTGATTCTAGCAGTACTGCCTGAATTTAGGAGCATGAAATTGTGAGTATTCCAAAGTATTTTTGGGGTTAGGCAATGTTGACTGATGAAGGCACTGCTGATTTGTGAGGTGGCTGCTGCAGTGGTTAAGATCTGGCACCAGTGTATGGGGCTTGGTCCGGCTTTTGCAAGGCAGTGTTTAACAACCCAAAAGAGTTATCCCAGGCTGTGGTGAACCATCTGTATATCAGTGCCCTTCCACGCAGTTATCATCTATGTAACATATGAAGGAATTTACCTTCTGGTGCAAGAAGGTCACTGGATGCAAGGTGCTACTCTCTCCATCATGAGAGGCAGTCCAGTTTGATATGAAGCTGGGCAGTATATGGTATTACCTGCGATAGCTATTTGGGTAGCGCTGCACTCAACCATCACCTAATGAAGTAGTTACACGGACCCTGCTGCAGGTCTATCCCTGCCTGCGAAGTTCAAGCGAAGAACTTGACATGATAGGGAGTGCATTATACTATTATTGTAGATTGCAACCGGTGATGCGTTTCAAATAGAAGGCCATGCAGGGCCAAGGCTTGAACAAACAAGCAATTCACACTTGTCTGATACTGAGTCAGTCTTGAAGCAGGAAGCTATATACACCCGACATACAGATACATTCGCGACGCAGCATACATTAACCTTTCAATCTTGATTCATGAAGAGAAAACACAGACGCTTACTCTACAGATGATGTCGCCAACAAAACCCAGAAGGGACTCAAAGTTAAAAAGTTCCGTTTCGCAGGCTGCTAGAACTCAAAATCGAATTCAAACGCTCTCAAGCCCGGCTCACAACGCTGCCCAGGACATCAAAATAGGTTGGGAAGGTCTTGCGGGTGCATCCCGGGTCATTGATAGTGACTGGCACATCGCCGCAGGCTGCCAGGGAGAACGCCATGGCCATTCTGTGGTCGTCATACGTGTCGATTGCCACCCGCTTGAGCTTCTCTGGGGGTGTGATCACACAGTAGTCTCGGCCTTCCTCCACCTGTGCTCCCAGCTTGCCGAGCTCTGCCACTATTGCCTTCATCCGCTCTGTCTCCTGCACACATGCCAGGACAAAGCTTACGATATCCTATTCAGTGTAATTACATATCTAACTGCTCGCACCGCATGTCACGTCTAGCAAATCTCTGCTTTTAAACAGATATCTGATTAAATTGGAAGCTGTGCGTCTTGAGCTGCTGTACCACCACTGCTGTGCGCTCACGACGGCTCTTAGGCAATGTGTGTTCTGTGCACTCAATGACACTTGCAGGTTGGCATGTTATAGGCCAGCTGAGCTGGCAGCTGACACAACAGCTGAGCTGGCGACAAGAACCTCGACTCACTTTGAATTCAGTCATGCAATTAGCGCGCTTGCAACGGTGCCGTGATCATAGCGTTGCATGGCACAAGCAGGGCAACACCCCCAGCCAGCCGGACGCTCTTGTAACGTTGGTAGTTTTACTGTTTGGCGCACACCTTGACACGCCAATTGTAGACGTTCCTGATGCGAGTCGGCCCTTCTGCGAAGAGAGCCGCGACGGCGAGAGTCATGGCTGCGTCTGGAATGTCATTGCAGTCGTGGTCAATTCCCTGCAGGTTCCCACGCGGAGGCCCTGCATATACAGGATCAGGCATCTCTTGCCGATGCCAGCGCCGGCATGTTTATCTCTGCAGAATCTGGGATTTGGGGTCTGTGGATGATGCCAGCTTGCGCATCAAGGGCGGGGTGGCCATCGAACCCCCTCTTGCTCGGCCAGCAGCAGCAAATTAGTCATGAGCAAATTGTGCCCCACAGTATTGACTGCATATAGGGGACTGTAGGGCGTGTCTTAAATACTTGGCCTCTCATTACAGAGTGAACACATCAAGGGCGCACTGCAGAGATGCAGGAGATACGAGCAACCAAAATGACAATGCTGGAAAGTCTCTGAAGTTCATTTGGCAGCAGTCTGAAGCTGCATGCAGCAGGTAAACGACATGGCAGCCGTGCAGTCACTATCAGCCTTGTTCTGCACACTTCTGGGGTGCATCATCAGGCAATGTGACCAAAAAGTAACTGCTGGACGTGCTATTTTTACAGGCAATTATTGCTGCCTGACTCTTGCCTCACCATGTACCGTGGTCACAGAACACAGAAAATTGAACCAATAATTGAGCGCAAAGACTGGTGGAGCCGGATGAGTTACCTGTGATGGTGATGGAGTAGGGGCCCCAGGTGACATCAGCGCCCATGAGGCCCATGACCTCAGCGAAACGCACGTCCCCCTGCAGGCTGTCACTGCCGCAGCCCTCCACCGTCATAGTCCCCCCTGTGATCGTGGCCCCTGCATGCAACATAGCACCTTGTCTCAGCAGGCCTGGAGTCTGACAGACTCCAAGCCGGTGTCTGAGATTCTGTCCAGGGCTGGTTGCCAGAAAGGAGGAGGCAAGAACAGCGCTGGTCTGACGCCCCTGTGTAGAGTTGAATGCGCAACACTGCTTTGATATCTTAGCAGGACGATCAGGATGACGGGAGCTTGCACATGCAAAAGTCAGCAAAAGGGCCAAGCGTTTCAACAGGATTACAAACATAAATTAGTCGAAGCTCAGGCAGCAGGACCTCTAGAGGTGCATGGGTGGTAAGACAGTGCACGTCCGCAGGAAAACTGTGAATCAAGTGTCTGAGAGAAAGCCTGTTGGACTTGAAAAGGGCATCGCACCTGCCAGGAAGTAGGAAGCTGAGGAGGCGTCCCCCTCAACATAGGCCTCCCCCGGAGACACATAGGTCTGCCCAGGAGGGATGTGCATGTGCTGTAAGCCATCCAGCCGGTCCACCTGCGGTTAGAAAATGTCTACAATTTGAATTTAAATTCTAAAAATTGCAGCGCATGCGTAGAAACAGAGCGGGGCCAGCCACCAGAGTTCTCTTATAGTTCTCTTCCAACTGAGTCCTCCTGGCATGCTTTCTCGTCGGTGTCACATGGCTGAATCATCCTTTGCGGACTTTAGGCAGGACACCATAGCCTGTTGCGGTCTCAGCAGAAGCATGAAAAACGGGAGGTACTATAAAACAGTTTTCATTAGTTTGAAGTACCTCTTGAAAAAAAGTTTGTGATAGAAGGAACAGCGCAGACCTTGACGCCGAAGCGCTCCATGAGGCGGATGGTCATGTCGACGTAAGGCTGACTAACCAGCTCGTCACTGATCTTGATGGTCACTCCCTCCTCACCCTTGGCCAGGGGTGCTGCCATCAGCAACGCCGTCAGATACTGGCTGCTCACCGCCCCGCTCAGCTCAACCTGCAAATTCAAATTCAAACTCCCATCATACAGGATCTCTCCCATGTCTGCTAAAGAAGTAAACAACAGATCATAAGATCACCGCTGCGTGATGTCGAGTTGCCTTTTGAGTCTTCACAATGTACTCCTAGGTTGATGCATGCATCAATGGGCAGGCGACAGCATCCCAAGGCACAGTGATGGGCAACTGAAGTTGACTATCAATTAAGTAGGCTGCTCGCACAGCCGGAGGGGCTATCTGCTGCTGAACTCCTGCCCTTTTCCCGTGCGTTCACAAAACACAAATGACAAGATGTCTAGCAGTTGGGATGAACCACCCACTGTACCGGAGGGGATGCCAAGTGCTTGCACGGTGACAGAAGGCCCATTTGCTGCTTATTGTAGTCAGCACCATGATTCCCGCACCCCTCAAAATGCGTGAAACGCTTGGACCTGTTTTTAAAACTCTTTCCTTCCTTGAAATGATGTCCATTATCACCAATGGGTCGGGCTCAGCGAGAGCTTACTAACTGGTCTAAAAAATGCCACAGGGTTTATATTTTGCATTTTAGGGTCTTTATTTTCGACCCTTTTTTGAATAATTAATTAATTTTTGCGGGAAATATAGTGCTGACTACGGTATTACTCTCAAATCCTTCCCCGCTTCTTTCTTACACAATGACAATATGTCAAGCCATAAAGGGGCCACTCACTGTGCCGGAGCAGACCCCATCGGCCTGCACAGTGACATTGAACACAGATATATAAAGAGACAAATGGTGCTTACTGTGCCTGAGGGAAGCCCATCAGCCTGGACAGTGACAGGGGGGCAGCCGGTGCCGAGGCTGCACTGTGCCACAACGCCCAGCTGGCACAGGCCATCCACAAGATCCTGGATCGGACGCTCGCGCATGCGCGCAACTCCGTCCAACACAAATTCGCCGCGCCCGGCCGCCGCCACAGCCGCCGTCAGGGGCCTGCAAACAGAACGGTTACAAAAGTTCCATTTTTCATACATTTGATATATGCCGGGGCTGCTGGCCCCCGCCAGAGTGGCATTTAGGGGCGTGCCTATATAACGGTCCAAATTGATACTTGCTTTGAGATCGGGCCAGAGCCGGCCTTGCCGGTGCTATATCAGGGGCCGGGAAGACATGTTGATTTGACAAAGTTGGATACCATACTTTCATTGAGAAAGAGTAAAACAGGGCACTGCCATTGCAGCAGTAGGGCCAGCTTCTGAGGGACTTCTCTCGACTAAGGGATTGTAATGAGTCAAGTCAGAGCCCCCTGCAGTTGAGACTGCCGCGAGTGCAGAGGTGAGTGATATGCCGACAGGACTCAGCTGCCAGAGGGTCGATTGCGTGCGCAATGAGCAGGTGTTGTGTAAAAAAGAAGTGCCGGGCCCGCGCCTCATGGCAGTGCCAGCGTTGCCCAGGAAGAGCTCGGTGCCCTCGACTGGGAATTGCCCGTTGCACCCATGCACCACCATTTCTGCCTGGTCCCACCTCTCCTCCAACTTAACCCCCAGAGCCTTCAGCGCCCTCACCATGTAGCGGATGTCTTCGCTGTCCTGCATGGCATCAACTGTGTGTTTATCGACATGTGCTTCGGCGGTTCCTTGAATGATTCGAGCTGAAAATCACAAGACTCCATTGCTATATGCCCAGTTTTCATTTGAGGCATGCCATATCCTGACATTGGCGGGCACACCTCACAAATATTGGGCGGACTCGAAAGGGATCACCCAAGCGCAGATTTCTGCCCTAATTCTTCTTGGAGGCACTTGTTCTACGCAGAAAGCTGAGCAGGACTCCAGTGGGAAAGAGATGATGGAAGGGGCTCACCAGCAGATTCTTGACGACGGTTGTGCCTCTTGAGAGCGCAGCCAAGAGCAGGATGCGGTTAGATAGGGACTTGGAGCCAGGAAGCTTCACGTGGCCCTCGATCTTGGAAATTGGCTGCAACACCAGCTGGTCCACCGCTATTTCTGCATATCACAAAGAATTTTTTTTGACATGGCGTTATTAGACTGTACAGAACAGAGAGCACTGGCATTAAGCAAAATAGGATGTTGGCACAGGAGGGGCTGATCAGCAGATTGGATTGTACCTGCAGCGACAGCCGAGATTTGCACTGGAAGCCTCCGTTCTTGATTGCGATCAAATAGATCGGACGTCATAAAATTTCCGGAAGTGCGAGATGCGGTGTGCACATCCCCTCCGAACTTCCTCCGTGCGGGACTAACACCACATGCCAGTCCGTAATCTGCTGCCTGGTTTCGTGCTCCCTGTGCCTGCAAAGGCGATGAAGGGGCTGGAGCACGTTTAATAGGCTGGATTAATTTTATCAAGCCAATTTCTACATGCTGTTGCCCAGGAAATTTTCGTTTTTTTGCTTCAATCTGTTACTTGACTGCAGGCATGGACGCCAAATAGATGGCCAGGGGTAACTTACCCCAACACGACTTGAAGAACGGCATGCTACACTACGTATCATGGTATTACGATGATATGGTTGCAGAACATTAATTTGCTGGAGTTGATGTCCAAGGAATGCCTGGGGCGATGTGCACCCTGACACCATCCCTGTGAACGAAAAACTTAAGATCGAAAATGCACAGCCCTCTTTGTCAGTAGCATTTACAGTGGTGATTCAAGTGAAGGATTTACGCTGATTTCTCTTTTATGAGCAGCTCAATGACGGACGGGTGTTCCGGCCGGTTCCTGCCCAATTCGGCCGTTCCTGCCCAGTGGGTTTGCTTTCGTCAGGAGGCGGGCAGAGTTCTCAACTGTGATGGTAGGATGTACGACGAGGAGTTTAGGAATGACTCGGCGTACACGATGCACTCGGAAATGCCTCTGGCAGGGTGCAAAGCGCCCCAGACGGCAAGCAGGCTAACATACAGCCCGCCATGCCGGTGCTTCCGGTTCGGGCGGCAACGGACCGGCGGCTTCCTGCACCATCAATGGTCTGCAGCAGTCGCAGATTTCATCAACCCATTCGAAAGGGAGTCTGAACGCATGTGCGACTGGAATTCGGAGAGGTGGAACCAGTTTGAGGCTCCGCAGCAGTGTATGACCACTAAAGAGGATATGCTTACGGACGCAATGGAGACCATAATTCAGCTGCCGCCGCGGTAAGCGCACAAATCAACCCCAGTATATCATTTCAGATGGATACTACATATTTTAATGCAGCGAAGGGTCTTCCTGTCGAGTTATCGACAGCAGTCGACCACGTTTGTAGCCAAGGAAAATCGGAAGTACCTAGTGCACCTATTTTAAGACCGATCCTTCTCGCAGCTTGAAGCCAATGAAGACTGTAAAGCACCACAGTGTGGCGACATTTTCCCCGCAAGCTACAGTACAAGCGAAACCACCAGTGACGCAAGCCCACGCGAGCTCGTGCTTGATCTGCACAAGGTACGAGCCCTGGGTCCCACGCCAAGCCACCAATCATTCCTTGCAATGCTTCTGACATCAAAAATATGGTTCAAATTGTTTCTGAGGAGCGGCACTTGCATGCTATCGTGCATACAAATCTGATGTCGTAACGCCACGTGCATAGGTATCCGCACGTGCAACTAGTGTGGTACGCACATGGGGATTGGGAGGGCAATGGCAGTTCAGATTTGAGAATTTGGGAATTTGGGCAGGCCATAACACATTGGTCCACCCCTCCGTCTGCACCCCTTCAGTATTGGGCGTACTAAAGATTTTGTTCCTTTATGAGCAGCGTGACTGCGGACACGGTCGACGGAGCCCTGGCAGAGATCGGAGAAGCGGCACACCTCGGCGCCGACTTGGTCGAGCTGCGACTGGATTTTTTGACGGACATTGATTTGCTCGACCCAACACCAATGCTGGAAAGGATGCTAGGCGCCTGTGAGACCGCCCTGCTGCCAGCCCTCGTCACCTTCAGGCCCATGTGGGAAGGGTGCGCCTGTACAAATCAGCTCGAACGTCTCATCTGAATTTGAAATGCAATTTTAATATTACCTGAGATCTGGATGCATTACCCAGTGCACTGGGCAACATGCGTGTGCATGCTTGGGTTGCTGAGTCCTTATGCGGTGTACTTGGCAACAGGTGAAGCACAGCCAAATCTGCATGGCCATCGTTTGTCATTAGCTCAAGAATGGCAAGCCGATGAAATCATGCCTGCCTTCCCTGCAGGGGTCAATACAGCGGGCCTGATCTGCCAAGACTGGCAGTTCTGAAGGCTGCAGCGGGCGCCGGTGCTCAGTACATTGATGTGGAGCATCTTGCAGCAGGCTCCTTCTTTTCCAGTAAGCCCCCTCCAGCTCTGTCTCACGCAATTCTCAACTTGTTTGTTTCAGATAGGAAAGGAACACTGTGCCATCTTCTCCAACCTGTGCCACCCGCATCTACTGAATTCTTCAAGTTGCAGCTGCAGTCCCTCTGTAAATTTCGCTTGATCTTGATGCCACAGTCGGAAAAAATTTCTGCAGCTTTGCATATTGTCTTCCTGGCAGCTGTCGGTCAGTTCTAAAGTAGGCCTTGTAAATGTCTTTTCTGTAATGCAGGTGAGGGGGAAGTGCCTTCAAGCACAGCAGTGATAATTTCACACCACAATTACAGCGAGACGCCCAGCGATGAGGCTCTAGAGGCTCTGGTTGAAGACATGTTTGACGAGGGCGCTGACATTGCCAAGATTGCCACAACTGCAAAGTGTGTTGAGGACTCTGCTCGCATGCTCGCGCTTCCCGGCAAGGCCCCAGGTGGGTGTTTTTCTTAAGTAACCTTTCTGGCCTCTCACAATCCTTGAATGCAGCCCGTTTGGCCACTCATACTTTAATGATGCTCATAAATCGGTTGTTGTTGTGAGGAGGTCTTTGATATAAAGTCAAAGGGAGCACGTGATGACCCATGCCTTCACAGGAATGACAAATTGCTTGCTAAGAAGGGATTAAATTCTGTAGAACGAATTTACCTTTGTCACATCAAACATCTGCCAGGCCTATCAGGGCACTTGATAGGCCTGTACATATTCTTCCATTTTGTCTCCAGTGGCATCTCAATACAGGAGCATGCAAGGCTTCACACTCACCCTTTGCTTATTGGCAGGTACAGATGAAACGGCCTCTCTCAACCTACAACAGGCAGACAACAGAACAACAGGCTCTAGTTTGCAAGTACAACTTGGGTGTCAATTTCAAATTCAAATTCGAATTTAAATATGGGTGTGCAGGGCTGGTGATAGCACTGGCAATGGGAGAGGCGGGCCTCCCAACGCGGCTGCTGGCGCCAAAATTTGGCGGCTATTTGATATTTGGCGCTCTGTCGGCTGAGGAATCAAGCGCCACCGGGCAGTCGACGATTGCCGAGCTGCGGCGGCTGTACAGAGTGCACAGCCAGACCGAAGACACCAAGGTACAGACCCTTCATGTCCCTGATTCATTCGCAGTGAGCATCGGGGTGTCTAACATGTAGACATTAGGATTGGAACTTTCCTTACAGCATCCTGATACAGGAAAAATCTTGCCTTGGCATGCCAGCATTTGGGGTCTAGATGGACCAGAAACCCGCTACATGACATGTGAAAAACAGGGATGCTCTGTCATGCCTGGCTTGCCCATGGGTTAAATTTGAACATATTTAAATGACTCGACAGAGAAGATGCAGTTTGAAGGATTTCCTGCCTGAGTACTATCACCTGCACCGGAGCGGCGAGCTCTTTTTCAGCTAATATTCCGCATACATTGGGGCAACAAGAGCTTTTACTGGTGCAAAGGTGTTTGGGATTGTGGACTCCCCGGCAGCGGCCGTCCGAGGCCCGCCGTGGTCGGCCGTGCTGCACAACGCGGCGCTGGCCGCAGCCGGCATGGACACAATCTATGTGCCGCTGTGCGCAGATGACCTGCGCTCCTGCCTGGACGCATTCCCCTGCTTCAGCGGATTCTGCCTCACCGCACCCCACCAGGTGGTTAACCCCAGAGAAGGTTTGAGATTTTACATTTTTCGCCCTCTTGTGCCTTGTCTTGTCTCTCTCGTTTCTGCTTCACGCACAGTGAGGCGATGGTTGCAGCTTGTGGCGTCAGCAATTGTCACCTTGGAATGTAGACGATTTGGTATGTTCTAGTGCACTGCAAAATTGCAATCACTGTTGCATAAACGTGCCTGCCGTCGGCGTCAGCTCTGGTCAGCAAGGTCACAAATCTGAGCCAGAATTAGCTGTCACCAGACTCTGGTGTCCAATCCCACTTCAGAGCTACCAAGCTTTGCTGCGCGGCAGAAAGCAGATCTTGATATTCAGCGCATGCAGCGTGCAATTTCAAATTCGAATTCGAATTCTGCATGCGCAGCTGGCGGCTCTGGAGTGTGCGGACGAGGCCGACCGGTCGGCTGCGCGCATCGGGGCGGCCGACACTCTGCAGCGCCAAACAGACGGCCGGCTGCAAGCCTACAACACTGAGTGGGCCGCTGCAGTGTCTGCTCTGGAGGCAGCCTTGGGAGGTGTGCTTGTCTTCTAATGTTGTCTCTGATCTTCTTCTGCTAAAACTTCTGTCCATCTGGAAAGTCCATTCTGAGTGTGTTGCAGCTTGCAGCAGGAATGATTGGGTCCAGAAAACAGCAACCTGGAAGGAAGGCGCAATCAATACAGGGCAGCCAATGCTGAGAAATGCTCAGACTTGCTGTCCTTGGCATCATGCGACCTCCCTTATCAAGCTCTTGTAAAGAGCATGGAGTTGCAAGTTGAGCCTGCAGAAACATATGGTTCTCAGCGATAGGCCCTGATCTCTGCAGGCATGCCTGCAACCAAGAGTGCCAGCATGCTGCCTTCCTCCACTTATTCATAGACCCACTGGGGGCATTCCCTGATCTTCAGAAGCTCCGCATGCCTACGAATCGAACTCTGAGGCCTGGTGCAATGCAGGGAGTCCCCAGAAAGGGGAGTCAGCGCTGAGGGGGAAATGCGTCGTTGTGGTGGGCGCGGGGGGCGCCGGCAGGGCCCTGGCATTTGGAGTCGTCGAAAAAGGCGCCAGAGTCATCGTCTGCGACAGGCAAGTCACTTCATCTGCCTTACAACAGCAAATGGTGTGATTGTGATTTGTTATATAGGCGCTGTCAGGTTCCTTAGTCTGGAACTGTGTGGGAACAGTGACAAGTCAGTGGCAAAGCGCCACCCCCATTGCTGCAAAGGTGTGAACGGAAGTTGACAGTAGGACGCAACAAGTCTGAGGGCTGTGCCCTGCTATGATGAACCAGTCGCAGACTTCATTGCCCCTATCAGTGCCTCCTGGTGTTCGTTCAAATAAGGCCCACTGCATGTGCTCACTAAAACAGTACTGGTGCACACTCCAGGGCGTGGGAGGAGGCGGGCATCCTTGCAATATCGCTGGGCAGCGGCGCTTCAGCCGTGAAGCATGCTGACGTGGCAGCAGGCAGGGTGGCAGGGGACGTGCTCATAAACAGCATGCCCGCATGCATGGAAGAGAGTTTAGTCAGCGCAGCGGCTCTTAGCTGCTACAGAGTGGTCCTTGATGCGACCTGCACTTCCCTGCAGACTCGTCTGCTCCGGGTGAGGATTGATCACCCTTTACTAATCCATTCTGATAGGAATAATGCACTCTGGATAACCCTTTTCTGCTGGTGACGCCACTTCTCAGTAACCCATCTGGAGGAGGATGAGGAACTACCTTGTGAGTCACTCGCCAGCCCCGATCAGTCAGAGGGCGACTCACTATGTCAGTGCTACTGGCGCTGTGTCCGATGATGTCATCATGCATGTCACTTACTCCGGAGTTGAGTCAATCAAAGCTGCATTGCTGATTCCTGCACTGTTGTTGACTGTGATTCCAGGAGGCTCAGGAGCTGGGGTGTGCCACAGTGAGCGGGCTGGAGATTTCAGTCACTCAGGCAGCGCAGCAGTTTGAGCTGCTGACTGGCGCACCGGCGCCTGTGGCGTTGATGCGGCAGGCTACTTTGGAGCGCATGCATGCAACGAACAATGCTTAAATTTGTGGATCACCACCTTTCATTGTTCAAGGTTGCGTCTGGTGTCACACAGTGTATGACTGACATCCCTTTGTAGGGCGATGCAGCTTGCCCTGAGGCCAAATTCAGACAGTATTTTTGGAGTGGGTCATTGATTGGATCGTGGGAATAACATGCATGCGCAGATAGAGGCAAATTGTCGGCCATTGCAGGCAGTTTGCCATGTACACCAGGCGCAGAAGCATGCGCGCAACTTTGAGGATCTGGTAGATTATTCCTCCTGTAAGCGACTGTACGACGAATCTTGCTGGAACTATGCACCGTACTGCCAAAATGACTCGGCCGATGATGGAAAGCGGCCACCACACATCATGAAATCGGCCAACTCCCTCATTTTTCTGTTTTAAACCCCTTATTATGTTACACTTCTGACGGACGTTACCTTTTTCATTCCGCCTTCCTTCCCGACTTCACCCTGATCACACCTTGTTGAATTCCAAAGTCTGATCATTGTTGTCTGTGATGGACGGTGCGCCATAGAGGTTTCCGTGTGTGAGATACACGTCCAGACTTGTCTGATGCGAGACAGTAGGTTTGAAAGGGTTTAACTTTCAGCTTTCAGAGCATTCGCAATCCTGAGTGACACTCTGGTCTGAAATTCAAATCATAGTTTCCTGTCATGGAGACTCCATTGACTGGAGACCCTGTCTTCATGGACGAGGCATTGAGTCCGTCGGTGCATGATGATGCTGACCTCATGCAGTTCCTGGAAGGCTTGGACGACAAGTTTGCGTCACCAGGTCCCTCTGAGGAGACGTTCTTTCCCGAGGTGCTCAAGGACACGGGAAGCAGGGCCCGCATGTGCGCATCCAGGTCACTGCCCGACCTGCCCATGGCTGGCAGCAAGGCGTACGATGTCCCCACTGAACGCCGCACAATCAGGACAGTGTCAGCCGACTACTCAGCAGCAAGCTTCTTCAAGCCGGACGCACCAATCAGCCGAGTGGGCTCGGGCCACAGCACCCTCCTGCACACCCACTTGGCACCAGGTTCCGAGATCAGCAGCAGCGTCATCATGGAGAGGTGGCAGGCAGCCGAATTCGAGTCGCCCATCGAGCCATATGTTCGGAACTGGGGCGCAGCGTGGGGCCACTGCAGCGCAAACGCCCCAGGGGCGGAGTACCCACCCCAAGAGTGCTCACCCCCACCTGAACTGCACGACAGGGTGGTCCCCAACGTCTTGGCAAGCTACGGACCAATATTCACCACCACTACCTTCAACCAAGGTACGTTCGAGGCTCCTGCAGTGCTACTTCGGGCTTGTATGGCGAAAATTCGTACAAGATGCCGTTCAATGGGGCCCACACATTCCATGGATGGACCTTCCATGGACCTTCCATGGCACCTTCAGAGTGTCCCAGCTCCGCCTGTGCATCTCCCTGCCATTACTGCAGCTCTGCAGACATATTCTGACGTTGTTTCACGTGCTCATTGGTTAGGACCGAGCTCGCCTGGCAGTGCATTAGCAGTGTCTGAGGAATTCGAGGCAAGCCACGAGAAGGCAGAAAGCTGCAGCAGCTTCGAGCTCCGCCCCAAAGCAGGCCAGAAGCGCGCAGGCAAGCCCCCCTTTTGAAACTTGCACCTCGTGCAGTCAAACTCAAAGCTGCCAGAGCCTTACAGCCTCCTTTGCTTGCGCTGCATTGCCCCCGGGACACCAGTCAAACCTGGCATGATCCTGTCATAAACCCTGGGTATATTTTCTGCTGCATAGGATAGCAAAAGGTATTTTCTTGGCCTGCAAGATTTAAGAGCGCTGTTGGTGTTTGTTTGGCGGTGTTTTGAGCAGTTTCGAATTCTGGCTGCAGGCGCTCAGAGGGTGCGCGCCAAGAACACCGAGTGCTGGAGGGACAAGAACCGGCGCATCCAGAAGGCCTTCAGGGAGCGCCAAAAGGTGATTTCCCTACACTTTTTAAAAAAAACTCCATCAGATGTCACAAAACTGCGCACTGCAGGTCAGTCATCAGACAGTGCCGTTTGCATTGGACAAAAGCCTGCAGGGACAGGATTGCAGCTTCTACGTCAGCTGCATGATGGGTGCTGCAAGCCTGTGCAGCTGACCAAAAATCTGCTGGTTACAAGTGTGCCAGTCTCAAGTCTTTATTTCCAGGCCTCTAGTTTCACTCTGATTCCATGCAAATGGCTCTTTTTTTGCCCTCTGCTTGACTGATTCAGGTGCCACTTTGACCTGCTTCACGCGTTGGCACTTCACAGGTTCACTGACAGGAAAGGCAGGCATGCAAAGGCAGGCCTGGCCTAAAAGGAAAGCTTGAACTGACGCGAGTTCTGTGCATGTGGACAGGAGAAGCAGCGGGCTGCTGAGCTGGCGATCGATGAGATGTCAGAGCGGGTGGCTGCCCTGGAAGCTGAGAAGAAGCAGCTGCAGAAGGCGCTGGAAGATGCGACACACCCGATCAAGGTAATCGATTTCCCCCTACTAAAAGATTCTTGCTTTTGCTAAAACAGGAGATCTAAAGTCAGGGTTGAGGCTGCAGATATCTCCAGTGCTGCATGTGCAGCCAGGCATGCATGTGGCCTTGCGAGTGGTGAGCCCAATTTTCTGGTGTGTGTTGATCAGTGCTGAATTAAGGAGATATGAAGGTGGCAAGGGGTGGTCCTTTTGGGATAAAGTGCACAAAAGGCATGGGTGACATAGGCATGTCATCTGATGATGTGATGATGACAGACAGGTGTCACCTGATGTAAGCAGATGACACGTGAGTGTCATCTAGGTGTGCTGCTGACACATGGGTGTCATCTGATGTGTGAAGATGAATATTGCAAAATCAATCATGACAATGATCATGATGAGTCTGCAACCGAAGCTGGCACTTAAGTAATCCCTGTGCTGCATGCAATGCAGAAACCATTTTGGGTGGAAGCACTGTCATATGTCAGTGCTTTGTCCGTTCCCTTCCAATATTTCTGGCCTCAGTAGCAGACACGCAACTTGCAGCAACGCTGCAAGCTCACTCTCTGCATTTAGATACTCTGTCTGCCGTTGCTGAAGCACTTAGCTGACCTCTGTTTCTGCGCCTGCCTCTGCAGCGCAGCAAGCTGTTTGTCAAGGGTTGCAGCAGTGTTGAACCTCCAGGCTTTGCACCTGACACTGATCACTCCCATCAACCCGTGATCTGACCTCTGTTTCTGTGCGGGCCTCTGTAGCGCAGCAAGCTGGCTGTCAAGGGTTGAACCTCCAGGTTCTTCACCTGACCCTGATCTCGCTCTGGCGCTGAATTCTGTGAGCTGACCTCTGTATTCCCGTGCATGCGAGCAGCGGAGCAAGCTGTCGGTGAAAGACTGCAGCGCGGTGGCGGTTGCCGTGACATGCGGGGAAGGGGACGCCCCCGTGCGGCTGTCATCCGAGGAGCTGCAGGCCTTCACCCTCGAGCGCATGGCCACCGTCTGGAAGGTGACTCACCGCACGACTAACCTCCTGTCACCTGGCACCTGATGTGCTCCCTCAGCATTGTTGTAGCAGGTCCCTTCCAGCTGAAACTTGAAAATTCTGCACCCTCAATCAACTCTGCACATGCCACTTCCACAATCAGCAGAAACGCGCAGAGCTGGGATTGCCTCACTCCCAGTTGCAGATGTGATTGTTACCTGGGTTGGCAACCATGTCCTGGTGCCTCATGTAGTTGAATAGACATTGGCGCGCTGTATTGCTGAAACAGGTTTCGTTGAACGGGCCCACGCCCAAGGGCGTTCCGTGCATCCCTACGGGATGCAAGGACGGGTTCGGCATTCCGTGCCTTTTGTAAAATGGTTGAAGAACAAGACGAACATCTCTATTAATGTAATAAGATAAACGGATGTGTGCTTGTTACACAGGGCCTGGTGCGCAACATGGCTGTGTGCCTGCCGGAAGCTGACCGGCAGCCGCAGGGACCCCACGCCGCCCGCCTGGAGGTGAGTCACCCTATTTTGAATTCGAAATAAATCAGTTCTTTTTAAACTTCGTACCGTCCCTTCCCCACAACAGCAATCTACATGCTGGAACAGCCCCTTGCTTGCCATGAATGGCTGCATGCTGGCCGAGTCCAATGCTGTCTGGTCATAAATGACAACCCGGTTGCTGCAAGCTGCACTGCTCACTCTTTATTCTGCGCGCCAGCATTATCAGGAATGGTCACTGCGTGGCACTGTCACATTTGTTTGCTCCTGTACCGCAGGCACGCACACACCCCACGAACCTTCCCGCCGTACTTGAATTTTGAATTCAGAATTCAGACTTCAAATTTGAACTGCGCAGGCGCTGTCTCGCGAGGGGTGCGCGCTGATGTGGGCGCTGGCCGATGTGAAGCCGGCGGTGCTAGCTTCTTTCGTCGGCTGTGACCTGGAGGAAGCTGCCCAGAACCCGGCTGTCAGCCCCGACATGTGGCCCTCCATCCTGGTGTGCAGCTGACGCCCCTTTTGATTTTGAATTTTGATTTTGAATCAGACCCAGCATGAATTGGAGTGCTGCTGCGCCGCCTGTGCAGTCTGATTGACAGGACTTTGGCACGGCGATAATCATCGTAGCCGCCGTGAAATAGGCTCGGGTGTCGATGTCCAATCCAACCGTGTACATGTGGTGAGCCCAGACAATGCACACTTTGTCTCCACTGTCTGCTTTGCAAGAGCTGCAAGGAAGGAATGTCAGCAAATAGGCAGAAGGGTACTAGATCAGTCTGCAGGAGTTTCATGAGAAAGCCGGTTGGTGTTCTTGCCAATGAGCAAGGTGGCACTGGGTGGTTCCCAGCGCTGCCCTGGAGCGACGCAGGTGCATTAGTAATGATGGCAATGATATGACACACGATGAGTAAGCATGACTCGCGCACATGCGCAGGAGAGCCTGCAGCTGAGCGCGGAGCAGCGTGCGGCGCTGGACGACACTCGGCGCGCTATGCTGGAAAATATCAGCGCCCTTCTGGCCGAACGAGAGGCGCTGTCCGCCCAGGCGCAGGTGCGTTCCAGTGGGGGGAGAGGGATCTGAATACTTCTGGTGCTATTGAGAACCTCCCAGCAACCTGTGCATTTACGGGGAATCTGAAAATCTCACGTAGTATGGCTGATCGGGGTTTCAACCAGCAACCTATTCTCTTACATCTCAGTTATGAGAATTATGCATGCAGTGTGGTCTTCTCAGCACTGCCAATGCAGCACAGTGATCATTTCCTGCAGCAGCAATGCACAAGTCTGCCGAAATTGTATTTGCAGCTTTAAAGCATTCATAGCGCAGCTTTTTTCAACATTTATCTTGTTGTTATCATGAGACATATTATAAGTTTGGTTTCATCTGCTTGCAGGGCGTGGTTTGGGTGGCGGGGGATGGAAGCCTGCTGCCAGCAGACATTGTGCCAATGGTGGAACAGGCGCACTCCAACGTTGAGGCCATTCAGCTGTGCACCGCTTACTACATCTCTCACGCCTATGATGAGGTGAGGCACGCTTTTTCTGACAGCTCAGGAATGATCGCTGCTGTTTGGCGGCCAATGATCTTGAGGGTGTGAAAAGGGGTGTTTTCTACAGCCTCTTCTGTGCATTGTTGCAAGCGTGCAGCATTGTAAATTTTGGTTGCGCTATGTCCAAACGCTGTCTGCTGGCGTCTCTGCTGTATCGCTGAGGCGGCTCAGTGCAATCTACCTTTCCGATAGAGCCTTCAGCCATGCCTGTGTGACTTGAGTTAATTGGGTCCTGCACCCTTCAATTCAGCAGGCGCATGCTTGCGGTGCGTCCGCGGATACCCCTGTCTTTCTTTGACAGAACACTGTGGTGCACTGTGTTTTATGAGAGTTGCTGTGTGGCTGCAGATTCTGACTCCGCTGCAGTGCGCGCGCTTCTTCCACCAGTGCTACCCCTTCGGCCCAGACCTGATGTCTCTGATGACGGCAGCCGCCAGCGAGCCTTCAAGCTCAAATTCCGGCGACGCCGACACGCCCCGGGTCAAGCGTTCGATTTCCGGCACGTCCTCGGCGCGGTCAAATTCAACTTCCGTGCCGGCGCCGGCAGAATGGCGCAAGGCGCTCGTTCTGCCGCTCTCCCGCCTTCGCAGCAGCTCCCCTGCCGGGGTTTCTGCCGAGGGGGGTGATACCCCGATGGAAGGGTGAGCAACCAAGGGTTTTTCAGAGATCGTAAGTCGGCTCTTTGCAGCTTGCCGGCAAGCAAGGCTGACCGGCAAGCTACAAGCTCATCTCTATCCACAGTGCTCTCAAGACGCAGTGTATCCGTTACAGCAGGAACTTACCCTTGGGTATTCGAGGTTGCCCACTCTCCAGATTGTCCCTGTTTTGCCATGGCCCAGAGCCTGGCGGGTGCGGTGCTTGCTGATTCTTTCAGGCGTGAGCTGCATGGCAGCGGCAGCTGCTCTAGTAAGAAGCAGCTGGCCCTGGCGCTCCCTGTGTCTTTATCTAGGCGTCAATGGTACATTCCCCCCTTTTGTCACTAGTATCAGTCATTCTTTGGTGGCGGAGGCAGCGCACAATCTCATGGACACCTCCAGATGTCCGACAGTAAGTATAGCGCTTGCCGGAACCACCCCGCCTGGTGATTCACCTCTGCCCTTTTGAATTCAGATTTTGAATTCCTAAGCCCGAGTTTGAGTTCGAAAGCCCGCGTTTGAAAACAGTCACTAGCACCATCCGGTGTCCTCTAGTACTGTACTCAGCTGCTCTGCGTTTCCTACCAGACTCTGCATCTTTCAGTGCTGCACCTGATTTGCCACCTCAGATGTTTGTTGGAGGCTTCTTTTGAGTGGAAAGATCTTCTGACAATTGGGTTTTTGCCCTGGCTTTGACAAGGGGTGTTATGATCAGGCACATCACCCGGACATGCCATGTGGTAACAGATGTTTGTTAAAGTGGGCTTGAGAGGGAGAAAAGGAAAAAGAGTTCAGAAGATATGAGTATGGCACACCTGTCATCCAGTCTATGTGTGACTGTCACTGACTCCTGACACCTGTATAGAGTATAAAGAACTGTGTTGAGAAGTGCGATGAGGTTTGTGGGCGTACGATGACTGAGCACTTGTTGAGGTGATTCTGGGTATGTAGCAGTTTGAAGGTATGCAGGTTCTGGATGGGCAATGAAATCTGGAGGCAGCGGCTTTTTAGCCACGGCCGTTAGATGGAAAGCAGCGGTGGTATCAGGAAAGTGTCAGAGTGCCTCTGAGCCAGTATTTTGAGGACTTCAAGTGCTGTACAAACGTGGGTATAGTGCAAACACATCTGATTTCAGCTGTGACGGTGTGATGGGCTGCCATAGAGGTCAAGTGAAATGCTTGCAGCAGCGTGGGCTGGGACTTTTGTTTTGCACAAAGGTACATGGCTACTGGGTCACGGTGTTTGGCGCAGATTCTTATTTTGCTCGACGGTGATTGGAAAAGAGACTGTTTCGGGCTAATATTAAGCATTTTGATCTGGCTTTGAGGCTAAAGCAATTTGCTAGCAGAGAGTTTGTGTTCGTTTTGTATTGGTAAGTTCACGCGTAGGTGCTCTATTCTTTAATGGTTCTGAGACATGGGTTCATTGTCCACAAGATTGAGGACAAATATTCAATGATTGACTCTCCAAATGCTGGGGTTCTAAAAATGAACTCCGGATCCTTCTGGGGAGCTGTGTATCTGCTTTTTATTAGGCAATCCATATTTGTTGCATTATGTTACGTCAAGCACAGTGTATTGACCATAAATATTGTGTTCTAGTATTGTAGATGGGACAAGAATTCATGCCCTTGCCGAGTTATCCAGCGATCCAATTGCAGTTGGGGCTGGAAAGACGTGTGTTACTTTGCAAGATGCCTCTTAGAAGATATGGGTGGGTTCTATATAGATGGCAGGTTGTATGGATAGGCGGGATCTTGACAGGCGGATGAGGTATCTCCTGTGAAGCATTGGCTAGAATAATGGTTTGGTTTTTACTGTAATAATTGTTTGGATTGTTGAGGCAGCCCTTCCTCCCTGTTTTGGCGCTCGCACTGACTTTCATGTATGCATTTTCTCCTCAAGTATACCACTACAAGTTATTAAATCACAAGCATATCCCCCAAAAATAATGTGATTAATGCATGCACACATGCAATACGCTCGTCTGAAGTACTCTTGAGCTATATATTTGACACTAGTGCCCTTGTCACACACTCCCCACACACACGCCTTATATTCCTGTGGAATTTTTTTCCTTTGCAAGCTTCTTGCCCATTAAAACAAAGCCTGCGTCATATTCGCTGCAACAGGTGCAATGCCATCAAAATTGTGCGCCTGGCAACGCCTTTGGGCGTCCGCATGCACAGCTGGCGCCCTGTCAGCAATGACTCAGCATTGCTGAACAGGACAACAGCCTCCGCCCCTTGCAAAGACGCAAGAGGCAGGCTTTCGACAGGGCCTAAAATTGTAGCAATAGTTTTAGGATGGCTCAGACCACAGCACAGTATGTGCCCCTGCGCCATTGCAAAATCAACTCCCTACAGCCACCCTAGCACCGGTCCAAAATGGCATGAATGTTCTGGGCAGAGCCCAGAAGCCTCTGGCTGATCGGAAGCCCCTCGAGCATCCCTCTTTGATCCAAAGGCTTTGAAAGACCACATCCTGAGAATAAGACAATCTGCTTACTTTGAGCACCTTGAATGCTCTCCCTCAGACTTCAAACGACTTGTGCATGTCTTCTCGGCTGCAGTCTCTGTCAAAAAGCCGCAGAACTGTAAAGCAATGACAAAGTCACATGCGACCGGCCGTGCTCTCGGATCCAGAACATGAATATGAATTCAAATTGAAGGCTTGAGAAGCATCCCTTGGCACACTGTGAAATTCGCGAAGACCACATGCGCACATGTGAGCTCAATTGGAGCAAGATACTTTCAGTCATCCCTCCCCCCCACTTCTTAGCAACCCCGGCCTACCCTTAATCAGGCCGACCCTTACCCTGCTTCGGTTCATATGACGGCGTGAATCTGTAATCGTCCGTAGCAATCATCAATCAGCCACACTGCAGAAGTCTCGCATAGAAATATAAAACCGAGGCTAGCAACTGCATAATGCTGCTACCTGACTCCAATCACCTGATGCAATCACTGCAAGGTCTTTACCAATACACCCAAGTGTTTCAGCCAGCCAAACGCCCTCCTACTTATCACAGCAATGCCCTCCTTAGTGCCCTACAAGCTTTATAACCCTGCTGCCAATCGGCTGGCCAGCTTTCGGAGCTTTTGGAAACTTTCCATGCAGCCACTGCCATCCTTGGCTGGTCAATCAGGCATTGGCTCCTCACACATTCTGCGCATCTGCTGCCTGGTCTTGCAAGCGATGCATTGAGCAAGTGCACATCTGAACCCAATTGACCCGTGACTTGATAGATTCGTCACTTTACTGAGGCGTTTGTGGCCTGCCGTGCAGCAGCCGCAGCGGTATCACCAGAGCTTGGCGCCAGTCGCCCGGCCCGCCTAACGCCGCGCCTAAACCGCCCCCGCCGCCGGACGCCCCTGCAGAAGCGCCCCCGGCTGCGCCGAACGCCGCTGCAGAACTGCCCAAGACGGGAAACGCAGCGGTAGAACTGACCCCACCGGCATCGCTCGCTGCTGTAGAACTGGCCCCACCGCCGGATGCCGCGCTAGAACCGCTCCCAGCGGCGCCGAACGCCGCGCTAGAACTGCCCCCGGCCGCGGCAGCGGCGGCCGTCCCGGGGCGTGCCATTTGCAGCAGCTCGCGGGTGGAGGGCTCGTTGCTCTGCTGCGCGAGGCAGGTGATGAGCGAGAGCATGTCTGGACCCATTGGGTACGATGCCACCAGGCACCTTGCCACTTGCACCGGTGTCAACACCTGTAAAAGCCAACGTACCACATCATGATGTTATGTCTCTGTGCTCATCTGGAGGGTTTATTGCTGTACCGGAGGTGCCCGAGATATGCAGCATGCTGAAAGTGGCATCCCTTTGAGGACACCAAGAGGACCGGTGCAGAGATACTAATAGTAGTTTCAATGGGCATGGAGGTAGATCATATCAAAATTGGCTGCTGCAGAGCTGCAATAAAAATATGGATGGCTAAGACAGATCAGGACTCCCGCCTGTGACTCTGTCTCCTGATGAATTCTAATTTGACAGCACAGAGCAGTCATTGAATGGTGGGCTCAGAGGGCATGCTGAGCACCAGATGTAATTTCTGCTTGTGAAATTCCTGTGAAACATTGGGCAGGTGCCTGGTGGGCTCACCCTGTTGTACACCCAGGAGAGGTAGAAGGCCCGGCAGGTGAAAAGCTCGTGCACATTTATGCGCAGCCCCTCAGTCAGACCGGCCACCTCCCCATAGTGGGTCACATCCGTCCGCACCTCGATGTCCCTGACACTCTGCAAAGCAAAAGTAGCCTTCATGTGTAGTCCCTCACAAACTACTTCAACACCAAAGGTCTGATTTGCAACATCTTCAACTGCTGAAATTCCACAACGGCCCTTCTAATCTGCAATTCAAGAGCAGCATGCCCACGGTCTTGCAGTATAGAGGAGCGGCGGTTTCTATACTGAGCAGATATCTACAGACTTTTCCTTTTCAATTGCAGGCTGTTCCTGCCAGAGGCATTGTATGTCTGCAGATGAGCTGCACGTGAAGGCTGCCAAAATCCCTACCCCTTGATGGATTCGCCAGATCCAAGCAACACCCAATCAACCGTGGAGCAGGTGCTCAGTACTTATACCGGATTCCGCCAGCAGGGGCCACTGTTAGTTTGAAGCCTTATTTGAACAGATGTTTGAGACGGAAGCGCTGCACAGCTGACATTCACTGTTATGAATGGCATGCAATGCTAGAGGACACTTCAAGCTTCATGCACAAGTGCTACAACTGCAATTTCCTCCCCATTCCTAGCCTCAGAGGCGGCCCTAAATGCCCCAGAAGGGCTCCTCATAAATGGTTGATGAGGCTGGAAAAAAGGATTGCACCTGCATCTGTTCCCACAATCGGTCCCACTGGGCGATCAGTCCTCCTAGCTCGCTCATCAGTGTCCGCCTGACAGTCAGCAGCTCTTGCGCCTGCGCCTCACTCAGCTGCATGCGCGTCTGCACAGGGCAGTCAGAGTGTGTTACAGCGCTGATACTCTTTCACTGTGTTGTAAAACTTCCAAAGCCAGTGGTCTGAGCCTTCAGATGTAGCAGTGAGGAACAGGGGGCCTCGGTAAACATCGTCTGCACAGTTCCACTCACAAGGGTCAACTTTTTGTCTGTTGCGGCTGCTGAACACTGGCAGGCAAACAATAGTGTATCCTTGTCAATCATGGCAATACTAGCCGTACTCTCTCCCAGACTTGACTTCAGGACAAAGATGTGCCGGAGCTGCTCGTAGTGAAATTACAAGGAGCTGCTTCAAGCCTACTGCAGCGTGGCAGCTGTTCCTGCCAGCAGGTAAGGTGCAAATGCTGACGAGCTGCAGTAAAGGACATGCTGGCAATATATGCTAGCCTTTGTCGGACATGCAATTTTCAGACCAGACCCACTCAGCCCTTAGGCATGGTGTTATGGGCCACTGCTGGCGATGTGAGTGAATGCAGAAATAAATTTTGTTCTTGGGTGCAGGTGTGGTATTTCTGCCCTTGAACTCTCACTCAACACTCACACGCCTCTAGCGCGCCTAATAATATCCTTGCAGGTGATTGTACCTATGCTGCTGACTTGCACATTTTCATCAAGTCTGCGTGCATATCTTGCTATGCACAATTTTATGGGGGTGCCTTACCCACAGGTCCACAGAATCGTAAAAGCCAGAGGATCATTAAGATGGAAGCCAGGAGGTAAAGGGAATAACAGTCAACTCACCAGGATCGCGGGCCAGTCTCTTGGGTGGGCAGAGGAGGGCTGCGCGTCAGTTGGGGACTCGACATTGCAGGTGGTCAGCGCTCCGATCATGCGGGGGTTGTGAAGCACGAGAGCCCACTTCAATCCAATTGCTTCGCCAACAGTCCCCTGTGCAAGGCAGGCACGAGCACGTTTTCAGCTCCAAGAGCTTTTCTCCATTGTCTGCACAGCTGAGCTCGATGCTATGTTGCTGTTTAGACAAGGCACATGCTCTAAGTAGTTTACAGGCCGGCAGGGATAGTGCTAGAATATGAAAAAGCAGGCGGTCATAATGCATGGGCTGAGGGATGCAAGAGACATCTGCAAGCTGGCATTTGCGTTTGATATTGTTTGCATCCCTTCGCCCCGGCTGGCGGGGGGGGCGGTATAAATACTGAGCACAGTGCCCACGGTTGTTTGGGTCTTGCTTGGATCTGGCGAGTCCAACAAGGGGTAGGATTGTCGCAGCCTTCACCTGCAGCTTGTCTGCAGGACGTACCTCTTTGCAGAAAAAGCGTGTGATAGTAATAATAACGAGAAGACCAACACTAATCGCTTGCATTGACTGGCAATAGTTTCATGCAAGCAGGTTGTCTGTCGGCAAGGGCAGCAGAGCAACAGTCAACTACAGCACTCAATATTGTTCAAGGCAGCCAGCTTTCTTGAGACACAGTTATGCTCATGCAAGCCTGCTCACCTCGAGGCGAGGCAGGAAGCTGTCATCTTTTGCAGTGTCCACCTTGTCGAGCAGCAGAGCCATGTTCTGCACAAGAGTCTGCAGGCAACAAGCAGGCAACAGCCATCAGACTGTTTACATGCACGCGCCCTAGATCGTTTTACTACTCCAATGACTCATGAAGGGATTAGGTTGCACAAATAGAGATCTGGTCTGATGAAATCACAAAGCACGGAGTTGGGTGCTAGCTATGATAGTTCATGTCATGGGTGATCAGATAGCATTGAATGCAGACGGAATACGGATACATCAGAACTTTTTTGATACGACGATGGGCGTTGAACGACTGCCGACAACACCAGTGAGCCTCAGGTGGCTCGCAACAGGTCTTTGAAATATATAGATTGTGAAAATTGAAGCATGTCACTGGAAAGCTGAGGCCAGGCTTCCTGTACTTATGCTGCAGGTGAATGATGACGATGCTCCATAAGTTTTGGTAGAATTGCACTTAAGGAGTAAACATGCCTTCCAGATGTCTGCAGTGGATTCCACAGTGAGCGCGCTGACTTCCGCCTGAGTCAGCTGCAGCTGCGGGGCAGCTCCCCCGAAGCTGAAGGTCAAACCGTCGCCAGAGGGCGTTGCCTGCGCTCTGCTGCTTTCCTGAGCAGCCTGTGACAGCAAACGGCACCCAAATACTTTTCAAATCTGCGCCCGGAATAATTCAGTCAATTCAAACAACCATGCGCAGTGCTTGCATGGATTGAGAACGTGCTCATGCCAGGGAATCAGGCTTCCAACACACAGATGCACCCATAATCCTAGAAAGGAGCATGAAGATGATCAAAAGCTTCAGAGAAAGATACTTTGAAGCTCCTCTTCCACTCATTTAATCTAAAATCTTGAAGTTTATGTTTTCCAAGTGTGGCAGCTGTGCACAGCATGCGCTTCACTAGGGCTCTGTGGCCCCGCATGCATGATCACAGAAGTTCATAAGCATAAATGTGGATACATCGATCTTATACCACTGATTAGTACATCTGGACTTAGTGCGCTGCTTTGAAAGCATGTGTGACAGCTTGAAATTGCTGAACTGATGATCCCAGTGCACAAATTTAAAGACAAGCTGTACCTGTGCTTCGCGGGCAGAAACTTCCAGCGCACTCTGCAGCTGGTCTCTCTCCTTTTCAAGAGCAGCCACCCTCTGACACAACTCCTCCAGATGACGTTGTGTTGCCTGCATTTTTTCCTGCAGCAATTTTTCGAAAATCAGGCAATCTCTCAGGTGATCCAGCCAAAGCGGTCTTATCGATAAAATGTGTATTTGGCTTATGACCACCCGCTACCTTCTGCCGTTGACGGAAAGCCTTCTGGCGTTGTCCCCTGTCGCTGGGCTCCGACATTGCGAGGTTCCTGGAGCGCAATAGGCACAATCGGTCACCACAGCGTTTGTATTCAGATGAATGCGTGGGAACTGCTCTCTGCTTTATGGGTCCACATACAAACAAATTGAAAAAAGCGGCTGCCCGACTTGGAGTCGGGATAAAGATAGAGATACTCACTTCCACAGAATCACCGATAAAAGCACCTATCCTTTTGACACAGAGGTCGAAGGGTGCCGAAGAAGTCATTTAAGGGCGTCCGCCTTGAGCACTTGCTCTGGGTGGCAAAAATCAAGGTAGGCGTTCACCCGTTCACGGGAACGGCGAAGAAACACTTGCGATAGCAAGGCATGGACACTGGTTCTGGGAGCACTATCAATCCCGAATCTAAAAACCCACTATTTGGGGCGTCCGCGCATGATCCCATTATGACGTTATAGAAATTGCTGCGGCCAAGCACTGGCAACGCAGGTCCCCACGGTGGCACGGATACGCATGCCCAGCAAATTGGGAGCAGTGTTGTCTTCATTCGAAAAGGTAATGTTGATTGTGATGACCTATTAATCGGTATTCCCCAAAAGGGGACATTAAGCCGCCCACAATGGCCTGGTCAGAAGTAAGGATGTGACCCAAAATCAGTCCCCTGGGATACACGGCATTTCATACTTCAAGCATTTTACCTTCGAAAGATCAAAAGATGAAATGCTGATGAAATTCCATCGAGCCGACATCCTGAAGGTCTTTGGAAAAAGTTCACTTTCAAGGATCACAAGTTGATGCCTCACCAGGTGGTCTCGAAGGAATGCCGTGTCCGTTCCGAGCACACAACTATATATCAAGGACGAAAAGACGCACTTTGAAAAAGTGTCGTCAAGTTGAAGCCGCGGATGGCCAATGGCTAATGTCCGCAAACCCTATCAAGCGTCTTCCCCGAACATTCGGACCAGTTCGGCCCGTCACAGACTGTCGAACGTTTCGGCCCGCCCATCTTTTGCAGTTCCTCTTGACTGGAGACAAGGCGTTCCCCTCGATCGAATCTTTAATCGCACAAGTCTAGGTAGATTGAGTCTGCTGTGCTGAAAGGACGGCCGCGAACACAAAGAGATTTACCCCTATAGAAGTCACGTGCCTGGGGCAAAATCTAGGGTGCCTGTGCCACCCTGGATTTTCCAAATCCCCATTCGTTGCTTCTTGGGCGCACTGCTGTTTTGGCGATCTGTCAGGCATACAAAGAGTGCAGATCCGCAGGCTCATTCCCCGACCGTCCATTTGGCATGTATCCGGATATGTGGAATGTACCGACCTCATAATGTCAGAAATGAGGTCCTAGTGAGTGGAAACTGAACCAGAGTCATTAGATTTGCGGTGCAAGCGCATCGATTGAAACTGCGGTGTTCCTAATGGGTACTTTAGCGCCTTTTACAAACAGTGCATGTGCATGGAGGGGAAGCCGTCATGTGCATGAGAAGCAGCTACTGCTAAGTGCTGCGCATCATGCATCATGGCATGCGTCATGAGTGCATGCTTGCAGTCACTCATGAGATGCTTGGATGAGGTCCAAAGACACAAATAACTATTAATACCAGTGAAAATTCCCTTGATCTACTTACGTGCACAGCCTTGCTGCTTTTTGCTCCTTGGCAAAATTCAGTGCCTAAGCAAACACTCTATACTCTACTCTCACTCTCTCAGATCTGCAAGGCTTCGCTGCCCGGTCAAAAGAAGGCTTGCGCAATCGCCGAGCCGAGTCGTCGAAGTCTGATTTGAGAGCAACGATATAAGTGCACACCTCTATATATTACACCTCAAGGCTTCTGCATGCACCTGCCTTGTGTGCATGGCTGTCATCCCAGCATCAATGACTTAGCAAAAGAGCACATTGAACCGGGGTCTGCCTTTTGCACCTGGGCAATGCGTGAGTCACACCTTTGTTAAGTAGAATCATCTCCTTACGATTGCAAACACTCACAAGCTAATTGGTGCAAAGCAGCTTGTGACGAACCCCAATCGAGGGGGACCTAGCCTACAAATATCAGGGGCATGTCACTTCAGACACTAGGGGCAATTTCTCAAGAGAGGTCGAACTTGCCAACACAGCGTCAAACGCCCTCGTTAGGCCGCCTAACTCTCTGATCTTACAGCGCTCGCTCTGCCTTGATGTCTGCACTTCTCATCCTTCAAACTCAGGGCAGGCCACAATTACCTGACCACGCGCATGCAAAATCAAGAGAATTTCAGACCTCGGTTGCGCTTCCCCGAAGCAGTGCAGCCGGACAGACTTTGACACCGGGTCAGACGCAAAAAAATGCATGCAAATTTGAATTCTGACGGTGGCCCATCTTGTGTATCTCCTCGCCCCCTAACCAGATCCACCCTTTCCACCCACCCTCTTCTGGTCTATTTAGAGGCAACGCCTCTTACCTAATCCTCACCTAACCCCAGGACCATTCTCTGAGCTCTGAGAGACCCCGAGTCAGACCCTGCAGCACACCGCCGCAAAAAATTTAAATTTCGAATTCAAGCTTCTTTCCTGTGAGAGTCAACCGGCGCGGGTGAAACCTCCCCGCATTCACAGGCGCTAACAACAATTGAATGAGTACCTGCAAACATCCGCAAGATGCCACCAGCACATTTGCAAGCAATGAATGTCCTCGGTGCAATTTCCGGCCTAGTGCAATGCCAATCATCCAGTCACCGAATGTCCAAACATGTCCCATGGCCTGTCAAAGGCCCCAAACAGGGCCCAGGCTTGCACAAGCTGATTCTAACATGCCTGTTCTGGAAGCATGGAGAGTTTCTGAATATTTGAGCTACTTGACAACATAGAATACCCAGCTCCGTGGGATCATCTCATCTGTGGCCTTGCTGGCTGCTGGCAGGTGGTGACCTGCTGTGCAGCACTCGCAAGGGGTGAACCAGCGCTTGGCGCCAATCTCCTGGCCCGCTGAACGCCGCGTGAGAACTGCTCCCGCTGCCGAACGCCGCTGCAGAACCGGCCACGCCGCCGAACGCCGCGCTAGAAGTGCCCATGGCAGGGAACGCCGCGCTGGAAGTGGCCCCACCGGCGCCGAACGCCGTGTGAGACCCGCCCCCGCCGCCGAACGCCGTCGCAGAACCGCCCCCGGCGCCGAACGCCGCGCTAGAACCGGCGCCGGCCGTGGCGGCCGCCCCGGGGCGTGCCATGGAAAGAAGGTCGCGGGTGGAGGGCTCGTTGCCTTGCGTGGCGAGGCAGGTCACGAGGGACAACATGTCTGGGCCCATCGGGTAGGATTCCACCAGATATCGCGCCACTTGCACCGGTGATAGCACCTGGAGCCAAAAAATGTCCTCCCCAATAAGATTAATTGGATCTGACAGATGCAGTTCTGATCGCAGCAAGTTGCCTGCAGCTATGAGCGGTGGGACTTTCCTAAGACCAATCGATCGTCTGTATTTGCTGGAAGCATCAGGTCTTACTTCAGAACGCAAAAGCAATGATGCAAGCACCAGGAACATGCAACAAGGGAGATTGTTGCAGAAGGACGTGCCACCTTCTTACTTCAACTTCAGCTTGCCACTTAAAGTGGCAGTGCCACCCTGCACCCCTCAAGCATAAATTGCATGATACTCACACGTTTCACTAACAAATTGAACTCTGGACAGGTGTGTCTTCTGAGCGTCACTGTGCCTTTGTGGACTCAAACAAGCTCGGCAGGTGACTCACCCGTGTGTAGGCAAAGGAGAGGTAGAATGCTCGGCAGGTTGAGAGGGCGTCCACGTTTGCGCGCAGCCGCTCGATGAGTGCCGCGATCTCCACGTAGTGGTTGACTGCGCCCTCCGGCTTCTCATCCACATCCCTGATGCTCTGCAGCACACATCACAACTCCCCTCAGCACAGACCCTTATATCTAGATTGCAAAGTGTATACTATCACATGCATATCTCAGCTGTATGACTGTGTAATCACTCTGCTTTGCTCAGCAGCGCACACTTCCCCTCAGCACAGGCTGAGCATATTCAGATTCCAACGCTTCACTGCATGCAGGTCTCAATCGGATACCAGTCTGTGCGGCGCTTAATGCCTGATTCCAGGTGCAATCCGCCAGAAAACTACCTGTGCTAGCACTCGGCCAGAGAAGTTGCAGGTTCACTGAAGCTGATGAAACAAGGGCAGGGCAGCCGTGCTGCATCTGCAGTGGAGCATAGCATAAGCAAAAATTGCTGCAGAGAACCTTGTCAAAAACTTACTTCCATTCGAATACACTGCGAGCTGGACCCACCTGGAGCTCTGACCACAACTGGTCCCACTCTGAAATGAGTACTCCCAGCTCGCACAGAAGCGTTCGCCTGCAAGCCAGCAGTTGATGCGCCTGCCCTTCCGTCAGCTGCATGCGCGCCTGCACATGACAATATGAGTGATATTATTATTACATTATTACACGCTTTTCCTGCTAAGAGGCAAGGTGCGTCGTGCAGACAAGCTGCAGTTGAAGGCTGCCATAATCCTACCCCTTGTTGGACTCGCCAGATCCAAGCAAGACCCAATCAACCGTGGGCACGGTGCTCAGTATTTGTATCGCCCCCGTCAGCCGGGGCCAATGACAATATGGTAAAGAGAGGTATCAATTTCTGTACCTCTAAGCTCATCACAAATAGCGCCTGCCTTCACGACACAGGAAACAGATTCCCTGCAGGAGCATGCAGCGTCCAAGACACACCCTTCACAACATCCTGAAGCAGTGTTGAGCACCTGGGGTCTGAATTGTTTGTAAGACCTCTAGAGTTTAGATGCAGGTTTGCAGGCCTGGGGCAGCTGGTGGTACAGTCCCTTTGAAAGGTCTGGATCTTCCTATTTCACAAGATTATCACAAGATGGGCATTCTCGGCTTGTAGTATAGTGCCCCAGTAGAAAGCGGTCAGCGCGGGAAGCAAGGCAGCCTTGACCAAAATTTTCCTGGCAAGAGTGTGAAGGTGGCATCTCACAAGGATGACTGGCCAATCTCTGGGTGCATTCAGGGAGGGCTGTGCAACGCTGGCAGCGGGGGCCTCCACATTGCAGATGTTGAGCGCCCGTAGCATGTGGGGGTTCAAATCGACCAGAGCCCACAGGAACCTCATTGTTTCGTGCACCAATCCCTGCGCCAGGCACGCCCCTTTCACATTGTGACATCCCGTGGTAATGAATTAAAGCGCAATCAACTCTTTGCTGAGACGGGTCTCTCGCCCGCCCAGGAAAATAAGAAAATATTGACTCAGCGACTGCGATAAGTACTATGCAGCTTCTAACATCTCAGCGTGCCCTGACACCCAAGGATGTGGTGCCTGTGTAAAGGCTCTCACAAAGTATTTGCTTGACAGATGCTGCAGAGGAAAAGAAGGAGCAAAAGCAAGCCAATTTCCTTGGCTTTTAGCCCATTGCTCTGCATGCAGGCTGAAGTACCGTACTTGACTCTGGCTGCAAGGGCGTTTGCTGCTTAGAGAACGTGCCAGATACAAATTCTGCAAAGAAGGCACCGTTTGCCGTGCTCCCAAGGAACGAGTGGCTTGAAACCAATACGCCGCTCACACCCGGCTGCATGTGCCATAGTGGCACGAATCATGAGATATAACTGAGAGTACTACTCTAGTAAGCCCTGCAAGCGCGGCTGAAAAGGCCCCTGCGTGTATGCCCTGTGGCCTCTGGCTTTGAGTGTGCCGGCCTTTGATAAAACGATCTAAAATGAATACAAAATGAGGTAGCGAACAGATGTGATGGGAGAGTGAACCTCTAGTCGTGGCCGCAGGCGGTTGGCTGCTGGAGAAGCATCCACCAGTTCCAAAATCACTCGCATCTTTTGCACCAGTGTCTGCAAACAGGCAGGGACACATATTCTTCCATGTGCATGAAATTTATTATTATTATCTGACTTTAAAGAGAGCATCCTGGGAGTGCAGGTCTTGGCTGCTGACCAAGCGCTGAGATTGCTGCCACAGTCTCTCTGCAGCATGCGGATGAAAGGCAGAACCCTGAACAGCGGTGCATTGTTGCATTTCAAGTGTAGAAACTTGGTCTGAATCTGCCGAATGACCAATTGATTTGACAGGCTTGGAGGGCAATGCTCTGTCTTCACGGCTCAACAGGCATGCTGGGCATTGCAGAGAAGCTTGCAACCCACTCTATAGCAGTTGCTGAACATAATGGATGAGTCGTGTGGATGCTTCTTTGACTGCCAGCAATTTTAGAAGAAACACACCTTCCAGATATCAGCCATGGCCTCGATTGTGAGGGCCCTAACCTGCCCCTGAGTCAGCTGCAGCTGCGCAGAAGCTTCGCCAAAGCAGAAGGTTACTGCCACCTCGCCATCTAGTGGCATTGCCTCTGCGCTTGCGCTGCTACCGCCCTGCTGCAACCCCTGCACAGCGCACAAGCTCTTCTGTCACTCAACGCAGCACTGCAGTGCTTGTCTTGCTTGATATTTTGAAACTTGATGGATGCCTGAAGGAATGAGCTTGGTGAGAGGGGCACTGCAGGCATCTGGCTGAAGTGTATTGCCCCATTGAATGCAGGGATATTCAGCCACATCTGATTTGTTGAGACGGGGTATTACAAAGGCGCGAAGAGCTAGTCTCAGCTGTGTGCAGAGCGCATGAGATTGCACAGATACTTTTGCCTTGAGTCCAAGGACTGACAAAAATAAAAAAATGAATGCAGATGGGAAGCGGTGATGGTGCCAGGCAGGTGCACAAGGCTCTGGGTATGGCCTGAGGGAACAAGTGCTCGTCTGTCTGACGGATAAACGCCATTGAGACGGAGGCCCGATGCCTCTCTCGGACGTGAAACCAACGCATCTGCTGTACCTGCAGGCCGCTTGTGGCAGACTCAACTGCCCTTTCAAGCTGGTCTCTCTCCATTTGGAGTGCCGCTACCCGCTCAGACAGCTCCTGCAGCTGACGCTCCGTCGCCTGCTGTTTTTCCTGCCGCATATTGTCGGATACTTGTTCATACCGGCGATATTTGTACATTTAGCACAATAGTGTATGCAGGGTGTCCAAGCCCTCGACTTCGAGCTACAAAACAAGAACTTCCGCTATACCTTCTGACGCTGGCGGAAAGCCTTCTGCCGTACTCCTCTCTCTCGGGAGTTTGACATTACGGACAGCCTACAGGGAAAATGATTTCCGTGAATCCAGTGCTTCCTCTTTGGACGGCCACGCCGGCTTTTGGCTACTCTCTCGAAACGCAATGCCGGCTGCCCATTCCGATGCATGGCCATGGGAATGCAGGAAAGGGGGCGTATGACACATCAAAGACGGCTGAGTTGAGTGTAAATCACCATTTTTAGGAAATTTAAGAATGTTATAGCACACCTGTGATTAATCAGCCGCCACTCGTTCAGGTCCCGCAGGATAAGCACCGTTTCATTTGACGGCTTCCCTTCGCTGTTTGGATACTGTCTGCGCACCGGCTAGAAAAGTTTGCCTTTTGACGAGCGTATTTATTTGCGCAAATATTTGCTTTCCCAGCATCACACGGCCTACTCGGCCGAAAAATATGGCCGACATTAGCCTTGTGCTGGAAGTTGCGCGAGTGCTCACTGCTGCTACGTGACGTCCGTGCTGTACCAGGCGGCTGGTAACGAGCGTAAACTTGCAAATCTTATCCGGTGATGTGGCTTAGAGGCAAATATGCAAGATTTTGTCACCTTTCATGCGTGAGAATGATGGAGAAGGTTGGTTGTCGAAGGTGGCAAAAGAAGTGCCAGGACTGACAGGAACATTACAGGAGCGAGAGCTACAAGGCTTGTGAAGATTTAAACGGTTCGTCTTCAAACAGGCGTCGTCTGTGTTGATGGTGGGCTCATACACACGCGACTAGACGGTCAATTCTGCCGAAAGAACCGATCGAACGTCACGTCGTTCCTTGCATGATGACTCACGATAAAATGACACCTTCTGACACTCCTACATCCAGGAATTGCGACACAAAATTCACCAGCTGCAGGAAACACAAGAGTAACTAATCTAATTTCTACGCTATACTTTAAACTATGTGGGCCCTCCAATGCGCAAATGCTCTCATAGCACCACCGCCCACGCCCACGCTGCAAAGCAAACGCCACAGACACCTGTGCACACCACCCATCCAATCTCACAAAGATCCCTTGCTGTTTATTTCCAGTAATTCCTGCATGGTTCGAGGGTGTTCCAGCACTGAGTGGGGCTTTGCATTTGTCCTTGCAAAAAGGACCATTCACTTGGCAGCCTCAAGGCTCCATCAGCAGCTAGATTTTTGAAACATATAGCAAATTTAGACACGGCAAAATGCACCGCTTTCTCACAGGAAGAAAACAAGATCAGAGTAAAAAGTCAGCCACTCAGACTTCACCCCTGACTGCACCGTTGGGCTGCCAGAATGAAAACATCACAGCATAGCTCTGATCCCGAGAGGCAGCAGCAGCAACAAACAGCTGCAATTGTGACACACATAGCATGTAGGAACAGCGCAATTGAGCCTTTACTCCTGGCCACTGTCGGGCTGCCATGGCGGCACCAAAAATGCATGGCTGAGGTCCCAATAAGCAGCAGTCCTCTGATTCCTCCACTAAAAAGCTATTCATCGATCATCTGACCCAGATATGTGACACAGGAGTGTATCACACACACACACACACACACACAAACACATGCAGCATCCTTTGCGGGTCAGAGAGCATGCAGCGCGCACCGGTTGTCAACCCACACAGCAGATTTAGGGTGACTGCTGCCTGGTTGTACGCCTGCAAAAGTCTGGCACAGTCCAGATACTCGTGGCCATAAAGTGTTGAGTCCCCCCTCCTTTATATGCCGCAGCCCAGACTAGCCACCTGTGGCTTACAGAATTCGAATTCATTCAGTCACCGATGTCACGGTACTGCAGATTTTCATGGGCTGACACCTTTGGTGATAACCCTGGACACTGGCATCCAGATAAGCTGTGTACCTATACCATTCCATCAAGACAGGGATGCAAAAGGCAAGCCCGACTCGTTTTTGGGGCAACCAGCAACATTTTGGTTGGCTGGGCAGGGAGGGGTGGAAGTGCAGAAGCAATCGGTGAAACGCTGAAAGTGCCTGCAGCTCTGTAATTGATGAGCCTGCCAGGTGGGTAGTTGCTGCTTCCTTTGCCTAGCATTAGGAAACACCCTTTTCTTTGTGGTCTGGCAGGTTCCTGCAGATTTTCATGGTAGGATCAGGCATTAATGACATGTCACACACAGCAAGTAGTACACACCTGTAACAGAGCCATTGCAGCAGATTGAGGGTGCCGGCTGCCTTGGTGTACGCTTGAACCAGCCTCGACCAGCCAGGCACGCTCGCTTGAAGTTCGCTGTTGATGATGTCATCAAATGGCATCAGGCTCACCTGTTTCACGAATATGCACACTTTCCTCGGCTGCATGCTTGGCCTCGTACTGTTTACACAGCTGACTCATCTGGCATTGCAGTGTCATGTCACACGCTTAGACAGGCTTAATTATGCAGCGGGCATCAAAGAACGTCGGCTCGAGTGCACTAGAGAAGAGAAAGCAGTAAAATAACGATTTGTTCAGCTGCAATCAAGCCTTCCTTAACCTGCTGCAAGCATGAGCAGACGATGCCTTAGAGGTTTTAAAAAAAAATTGACAGGGTTGTGTTGCGAGCAGGTAGCAAGAGGCCAAGAAGAGACCTGCAGGACAGGAGCAGGAGATCCGTGCAAGCTGACCTGGGCAGCAGAAAAATTGCCCAGTCACCTGCCGGGTCCGGCATGCACGTTTGCGAGTTCAAGGCCTGCCCGCTCATGATGTCACCCCTGATGCGAGCACACACATGCTTTACTCGGTCTCATGCCTGTCCCTCATTCAGCCTGACAGCGATCACAGCTGACTCGCTAGCCTGAAAGATTGCATGTCGCAAGTCAGCAGTGCTGATTCAGCACCATGCACAGCTGCAAAAAAAAACATGCAACAGGCTTGTGCAGCTGAGTATTTCCCAACTAGAGGCCTGGCCAAGCATCGGGGCTAGAACTATTTCCAGGAGGCAAAGCAGGTCTCTGCCTGCAGCTTATATGCACTTGCACCATGCCTCTCGGGCAACAAAGAGAGCGTGCCAAGGTGAGAAAAAGCTAATAGGTGAACAGGCTACCGATGTGCAGTAGGGTGTGGCAGTCTCACCATCATGAACCCTTCGTGCCAGAGCTACACCAGCTCCAGTGCCCTGACAGAGATCATCCCCTGCCAGACAGCAGAGCACAAGTTCAACATACGAATGAGGAGCCTGCCTTCAGCTACTGACAACCTTCATTTTCACTATGCAGGTCAAGTGCTTCACTGCAGTAGTGCATGAAATGTATAGCACAGGAGTTTCATGCAGGCAACTTGATGCTGATATTGAGTAGACAGAGGCCGGATGCAGCATTTGTTGTCAAAGGTAATCAACAGAATTAGTTTATGTGAAGGTCACAGGGGGCCAAGAACTCACCTGCAACACGAGAGGTCTGTGCCTAACCTGGGCCACATATGGTCTCTTGATACAGCTGATCTGGGCGTCTGTAATCTGCCTGGTTGAGCAGGAAGTTGCAGACATGCAATTAACCTCCCAAAACCGCCACCACCGCCAACTGCAGCTGCAGCTTGAAGTACACGACAATGTTGGCGCTTAAGGTGAGCAGCATCCCGTTGCAGCGTCCACCTGCACCATGGTGAAGCAGCCAGCTTGTCAACGCTTCCGGCTAAACAAATAGTCGTTAAATATCAGTTTCATTCACTTCCGTCTCGAAAAAATGCGGCGCAAACCGTGCTTTGTCCTTCCCGCTCGCTAGGGTTCAAGATCGTCTCCCTGTGCCAGCTTTCCAGTTGTCCCATATATACCTCGCCTGGGATCCCTTACCGGACATTGCGAAAAACTATACCATTCTGGCGTGCTTTCGGTTCATTTGCACGCCATTGTGCGAGACCGTCACAAGTATTATTGTGCACACACAAGAGCGGCATAAACGGACGGGGAAGTACCTGCCTTGCGTTGAACACGCCTCAGCTGATGCAGAAGGGCACTAGGCAGCTCCACATGCACCTTCACGACCAAGAATGTTGTAATACAGCATCTGCGCAACGCCAAAACGTAATGTTCCCCAACGTCCGTAAGCCTTACCTTTGTCAATGGTCCAATATAATCGACTTAAGAGCGTAACAGCTACTCCCAGTCCACATTTCCCCGGCAGATAGGAACTAATAATACAGTCATTGTGGCGAGATGATGCTACTCGAGCTTACCAGACAACTTCCGCGGCAGCAGGAATACAAAGCCTGGTGTGAAGTCGTCCACCATAAATATCTCGCGGCCTGTACGGTTAGCGGCCCAGTGTTCCGCTGTTCAGCGACCCACACCAAGCCGAGGCCAGGTACGCAGACGTCAGGAATACAAACGCCAGCTTGATTGCTTCGTTAGACTCTGTCCTGTCCAAATAGGGACCCCATGATTGAAATATCCCGCCCAAGTGCCATGCTGCTCACTGCCCCCACGTGACCCCATGAGCCCCATGGTCACTTTATTCAGCTCGGCCGATATGAGACGGCCGCTTGGTCTAATATGCCAGAAATTGGTGGCCTGCAACCATTTTATCTTTGTCGTATACTTTGTTTCTTAAGTTTGTGTCGGCGCCTTAACCTTTGTCTCAGAAAGTCTCCGAGCGTCACGCTAACCCTGGGCTCAGCTTCGGGCTCGGCTTCAAATGGTTCCAAGCGTGATGTCCGGCTGCGCACTGTCACAGGCGAATGCTGGTCAGGCCAGCAGGATCATCCTGCCTAATGCGCCTATGGGCGTGAAGATCCCAGTCAAAAGTGCACCGAACAGACGTCCAGGACGAGCGGGAGCGAGCATTGCCATGCCCATGCCTGTAGAGCAGGGCACCGACTGGAGACACTCAATGCATAAGCCGCTCCTGTATCAGGTGATGCATAGATTTATTTAAGAAATTTTCTCTCTCGAGCTTGTATTGCCTGGAAGCCTGAACCTGAGCTGTGCAAGCACAGGGCACATATGAGCATGCGGCCGATTACGGACTGTCCCCTGCTCTCAGCCCCAGATGGAGGATGGCACTGCTCAGTGACAGCACTGTCAGTCGACATCTTCAGCTTATCACTGGACAAAACGTAAAGGCGGTGAGTTCCTGTACGAATCCATGAAAGTTGTTCCGATTTTCCAAGGTGTTGACGCTTTTCGCTGCCGGCCGTTGTGCAGAGCGCACTTTGAAGAACTGGGCCGGTGATCAGAGCAAGCGATGTTCTGTTAAACTCTGAATTTGAATCTGTGCAGGACAACATTGACCAAGTAGACATCGGCATGGACGTCGCTGGCCTTCCGGACAACGTTGCACGCATCCCTGGTCCGAGATCTCAGCGCGAGGTACGCTTCTGCAGATGCCTTCATTTCCAAGACATTCGAAACATCTAATCATGTTCCCTGAATATTGTTGCCGCATAGAAGCTGCAGCGCTGGGCACCATCTGCAAAAGTGGAAAAAAAATATCACACACCTCCATCTGTGCGAGAAGCTGATGCTGAAGCTCTCAGAATGCGTCCGCCTGCAGGTGCACCTGACAGTTTCGGGCATGGCACTGGTCTGCGCCACAACGTGGTGGAACACAGCCGAGATCCCCAGATTTCTTGGGGAGCCGCAGAAACCCATCTGGAGTAACCTGGCCTCCACATGCACAGAGCTCTTTAGGGAGATCACACAGCTCTACTGCGGCTACTCCCCAGAGCTTGAAGAGTGAGCATCCGCCTCTGCCTGCTCTGTGCCGAATATTTACCTGCAGAACCCGGTGCTGAAGCATTGAAATTTCAGACAGTACCGGCCCCTGGTGCAGTAAAGCGCTGCAAACTGCAGGGACCTGTGGCTGTTACTGAAGTGCTGAAAGTATACTGCATGCAGAGCTGACAAGTGAACATCTGTGTCAGGCACCTGTGAGCAGACACTCTTGGAAGGTCAAAACGGTGTCTGATCTGTTCTGCTGCACTGCTGCAGGAAGTTTGGGCATGCGGGTCCTTTTTGGGGCAGGGAATACATCTTTTGGGGGGACGGCGAGCCGGTGACTCTGATCAATGAGATCTTCTCTCCAGCACTCGAGGAATACCTCGGTCCCATGCAGATGTGACAGAATCCTTCCAGCGTTCAGCCTCTTCAGCAAACTCACGAGTCAGCCTGTCAATTTGCATGACACTTTGCAAGTGCTGGGGATTTATGGACGCAGCTAGAATCTGCTCAAGCTTCAAGCTTTCGGGGATTACAAGACATGTTAGCACGGCAGGAAGCCTGCAGAAGGTTGCAGTGTTCTGGGCGGAGGTTTCTGTATATACAGTGCAAGGCAAAACACCTCGGGTGTGTTGTGTTATTCCCGGGTGAGGCAAATAATTAGCTCCCTGTGAGAGTCTGGTGTTGCAATCGTCTCGCTTAGGAGGCAGTTGCAATTGCAATTGTCTCGCTTAGGAGGCAGTTGCAACCGTGCAGTGAGTCGATTTGTCTGGTTGCAATAATTCTTCGCGCCCCGTAGACAGTTGAACATGGGAGGTGCAGTGTCTTGTGGGCAGGTTGAAGCGAAGAGCAGTGAGGTCAGTCAGGTTAAAAAACAGTCGTGTGCTTGTTCTGGGGTGACATTACTAGATGTGGCAAGTTTGAGTTTGAACGGGAACACAGAATGAAGGGGTGCCAGGCTGTATCTAATTATTTGAGTGTGGCTGTGTTTTAATCGGCCGGGGCAGCGACAGCTGGCAGCCTCTTACAGTGTAGATGTGCTATACGGGTGCAGTATTAAAGTTGCCAGCGCCCTTTGTGGTTGGTTGTTGCGGGTTTGTCCTGGTTCTGCTATTAGTTCAAGGAATTGGCCTGCTGCTTCTACTGATGCCTATATTACTAAACTACAGTACTGAGGCCCTTCAGGGGCTGTTGTATTAACAGACGAGGCAGTCATGTAGGCACTGTACCCTAAATATAGAATAGATGTACACCTGTAGCTCTGCGGCCCTGCGGCCGCTGAGTTTGAACTATGGAACTGTAAAGAATTGTTGCGCTTCTCCTGTGGTCCAGAACAAGCATCAAACAGCAGATCAAGCCCTGCTGCTTGCACTCAACAGTACACAGCGAGGCTATCCTTGGAAGCTTCCCAACGCCCCATCCTGTCGCCTCAAGCATGCAGCTCAATGTCACAGCTGTCTGCACTGTACTGCCGGGCGAAATGCTCACAGCTGTTTGCTGTCCTTGCTGGTGCAAACAAGACTCACTCTCATGGCATGCAAGATTCTGTTGAAGAGCATGCACACAGCTGCTGACATTCAGACCCCACTATTTCGTCGCTTGGTGGCAGCCCAGGGGCTGCTGATCCAAGGCGGGTGCAATATACGTGCATAGAAAAGTGATATTTAAAGATGATTAAAAGTTGGTAGTACTTGTGCAGTAATGACAGGGTCCGCTGAAAATGGTGGTGATGTCAAATGATGTGAGAGGGCCTCAGTGCCCAGCGTTAGTGGAAGCAGATTTTGGCGAAAAAAAAGGAAAGAGTGGCATGCATGCAGAGGGTCACGGCGGGTACATTTGCTTGCACCTGTGCTGAGGAGTACGTAATGCAACAGGTGTTGCAGTGCTCGTTAGGGGCAAACTGTCACGTAAGACATCAAAGGCAGTGACTTACCTGGATCTGGCTGCACAGCAGCCCTCCACGCATGATCAAAGCTAAAAGCGAAGTGACAGGCTGTCACCATAAAGTTCAAAGTTCATAATTTCCCACGTAGCCCTGCGGCAGGCAGGCGCTAATTGCAGGCGCTGGCGCAGGGCGCTTTGATTTCCTTTCAACATCTAGCCAGGTAGCAAAGAAGACACCTGAATTCGTTTTACATCAATTTAATAGCCTTACATTCGTCCCTTCCACAACACTTGAACTGGCTCCAATTTGTTTCAAGCACTCTTCCGCCATGCGAACCTCGCAGGTTTTATGCGGCGTGCAGCCCTCCAGCCTGCATAAACTGACACATGGGTATCGCACGATCCCAAGGCCCTCTCGTCAAACGAAGGTCATCACGAAAGCGGCTGGGAGCACTTTCGGTCACTCCTTTAGGGTTACGACATTTGGAGAGTCCCATGGCAAGGGCGTTGGCTGTGTGATCGATGGCGTGCCACCCAGACTTCCCATCACAAAGGAGGAAATACAGGTAAGAATCATTGCTACATTTTGGACCGCAAAGTTTCTTTCCAATGACCATGCCATAAAAGGTCCGTGATAGATCAGTCCATCACGGACAGATGGCTGCAATTTTGTCCTGTGCAGTGACAGATCCGTATGCCAATTTATGCATCCATTCTGATGATACAGGAAGAATTGGACAGGAGAAGGCCAGGTCAAAGCCGCATCACGACGCCGAGGAAGGAGTCAGACACATGCGAGATCTATTCTGGTGTCTCAGATGGTATTTCGCTGGGCACTCCCATCTGCATCATGGTCCCCAACACCGACCAGAAGTCACAGGACTACTCAGAGATGTCCGTGGCGTACCGTCCATCCCACGCGGACGCAACGTATGACATGAAGTACGGCATCAGAGCGGTACGATCACTCTCTTAACTCATACCTGACCAGCGGGAGTACAAATGTTGCAGGCACAACTGCCACCTGTAGTGCTTCCTCTCTAAATGCGGCTGCACATCATTCATTTCTTCTCAGCCGTCTCACTTAAAAAAAGCTTCACAGCAGAGTGATGCACAGCCAGCATGTGCCACTGTCAGTGCCACAGTTAGTGACCTGCATGAGAGAGCCTTCACTGCACACTGTTGCCCTGGAGGCATATTGATCTGTGAATTTTTACAGGTGGCAGGTGGAGGCAGGTCATCTGCGCGCGAGACCATCGGCCGAGTGGCTGCAGGCGCCATCGCCAAGAAGCTCCTTCGCATCGTTGCTGGTGTCGAGGTGAGTTTCTTGCTCTCAAACCTGCACCCTGCACCTCCTACTGCCAACACAATTAGAGAGTGCACAGGAAAAAAGCAGAGCAGTCTCTATGCATCTCAGGTACAGCGAGTTATCAGGCACAAAGCATGCACTCAAAGCAGTTCTCGGCTGGTCTGCTCCATAGAAATGCAAATTTAAACAGTCTGCTTTCAAGTGACAATATCCTAGAGTGCATGTCAGGCAGCTTGCGAGTGCGGGATCTCACGTCCCACACTTCAATTTTTTTAGTATTTTTGGGCTCTGGGATGCAGTGTTGTCCGCCCAGAAAGTGCTCTCAAGTTGTTCGCCAATTTTATTTAGGACTCAGAGGCATAAGAGAGTGCTGTCTGAGCCAGCCTGTATGCTGTGTGAATCCCGGCTGCTGACACCATTTTCCTGTTAGCAGTACTGTTCTGTTGCACAGCAAACAGCAGCATCAATGTTGCTGGGTGTGTGCAGGTGCTTGCATATGTGAGCAGGGTGAAAGACGTGGGCTGCACTGTCGACAACTCCACGTTCACTCTGGCAGACATTGAAGCCAACAAAGTTCGCTGCCCTGACGCCGAAGCCGCCAAGGCCATGTACGCAGGTGAGTTTTTTTGCACAATATCATCAACCCAAACTGAACTCCGTTGAGAATGGAACAGAGTTTTCCTACTCTCGTGTGACTTCAAGAAAAGAGATGGCACAGACATGGATTTCCTGCGATGCTCTGCCACACTTACAGAGCCAGTGTGCTTGCTTGCTGCTGCGCTGTCATTAACGCAAGGGCACAGGCAGGCTGCAAAATGGTAGCACAGAAAAGCGGTTCTTGGTTTAGGTGTCAGCGTGTCACCTGAGAGCAGATGACCTGCCTTTTTTGCTTGAAGAATGGGTAAATACAGACACAGCAGCCATTGGGATATTTGTGCTTGTCACTCTGTATGTGTTCATAGAAGATAAGCTTCAGGTGCATTTCAGCTTGTTGCCAGATTATGGCAGGCAGTACATTTCCTTTTGCTGAAGCTCACTGTGGGCTGGTCAGGGCTGTTCAAGGCTTGCTGGCAGCGCTGTGAACAAGGCCGTTTCTATGGATTTATTCTTCATCAGTGCTGCAGAAGGATCAATGTTTGTCTTGTTGAAAAAAGGCGATTGACGAGGGTTTCTGGGGGGTGTTTGCAGCGATCGACGAGGTGCGGGTGCGCGGCGATTCGTGCGGAGGGGAGGTGACTTGTGTGGTCCGCGCCTGCCCAAAGGGCCTCGGAGCACCGGTCTTCGACAAACTTGAGGCCGAACTGTGCAAGGCCTTCATGTCTCTCCCCGCCTCCAAGGCACGGCGCTGATTCCCCTGGAACGTGTTGAAAAATCCCTCCCGTGTTAAATCCCTTGCTTCAAAATATTGCATTGCAGCCACGCATAGCATTATACCGTCTCTGCATGCCGCAATCTGCTTCTTTACACAAGCAGTCCCTCTGCTCCAGTGCTCCTGTGAAGCTACCAATGCAAAAAATAGTGCCGCTGCAGAGGCACGCTTTTGATCAGTGCCACTGTCACAGACTCTTTTCAAAGACATTTGCTGGGCACCTGTGCTCATCTTCAGTGAGGCCAGGGCTCTCAGGATCCAAAGCGTCAGCCCTGCAGGCAGTCACTCATCTATCTGGTTGTTTTCCCAACCTTCCCTGGAGATCATATAGCCTAACAATGCGGTGCTGATTGATTAGCAATGCCCAATGATTTTTTCTTTGCCAGCAGCTGCACAGGAGATTGCTGTGCTCAGCCTTTGTAGCCTTAAATGCCAACACTACCCTTTTATCACCGATTCGCACCTGGAAGTGGTGTGGGCATGATTGGAACCAGACTGTTGCGGTCTGTGCAGGGCGTGGAGATTGGCAGTGGCTTCAGCGGCTCGGAGATGCTAGGCAGTGAGCACAATGACGAGTTCTTCATGGACGATGGAGTCATCCGCACGCGCACCAACAGGTGCGCAAAAACCCTCAAAACCCCTGGTCACCCCTGCGCCAGGGCTCTCTAAGTACATCGACCTTTCCACAACCTCTTGCTTTCCCTGCGATCGGATCCTCAAGGATATTTTGATCCCCTTGCTGTTGCGAGGGCATACCAAAATGCAGGCAACCTGTTGCAAATCCTGTTCTCGTTGCAGCCAATTTGAATTTAACTCTGAATCTCTGCAGCGCTGTTGCCCGGACCTTGCCTTCCTGCCCCAGCTCTTGTGATTTTTGGCTTCTCGCAGTCCCTCTGGCATGCAACCAAGGAGATATTATGCGTAACAAGCTGTGTTTTTTATCCTAAATTATACTGAATTTTCTCAAAGCTTCCTCTGGATGAAGCTTTGAATATGCACGCGCTCTCGGCAAAATTATCACTCATTGGTTCCCGCTTGGTAGTCACCCTAATCCCTGCACCCAGGCTCGACTTCAACTATCAAATTTAAATTTCAAATTCGAATTTGCATGCGCGCAGGTCGGGGGGAATTCAGGGGGGACTCTCCAATGGCGAGGACATCGTGGCCAAGATAGCATTCAAGCCAACATCCACAATCAGCCGAAAGCAGAACACCGTGAGCCGCAACGGAGAGATGGTGGAACTGATTGCGAGAGGCCGCCACGATCCCTGTGTCGTGCCGAGGGCTGTTCCCATGGTTGAGGCAATGGCTGCGCTTGTTCTGGCCGACCAGCTGCTGCAGGTGAGTGCCTTTCTGAATCGATTTTTTATCATATTTTTTCATCATCATTCAAACGCTTGTTTCAGCCCTCAGGGCTAGGTGCGTCGCAGCAGCCTCTCAATACCTCCCCTCCAGCCTTCCCTGCCTCGGCAATTTCTTCCAATGGCAGGTCAATCCCATGGAATATAGGTCATCCTTAACGCAATCATTTCAGGAGTTTACAGGATTTTTAATGTCGACACAATTTATTCTTGTGCTGAGTACCTGGAGATTTGTCTTTTTCCCCTCCTTTTGAATGCTGCATTGCAGTGCTCGATGTATGTTGGTGGCTTTTTGCATTTCTTGGGCTTGCTACCCTTCTCCTCTGTCATTCTTGGATTGCGGTGGAGGCTCCACTGCTGGTTTTGATGCACCGCGGATGCCTGTGTCTCCTGAGCTGCACGGTGACCGCAAGCGCTGAGATCACCGCTGACATCAGCGCTGATGTCATTGCTACCAGCAGATGTGCTGTGCTGGCGTGCTGTCTTGCTCTGCCCTCTTCCCTTTGCATTCTTCTTATCCCTGCTAATCTAAGTGCTGGAACTACTACGAGGGGCTTGGCTTGCTGACCTGTTGTGTGTAATCGTTGCAGCACTACGCTCAGTGCGAGCTACTGCCGCGCAATACCGGGTGCAGCCCAGACATTTCGATCGCTCGCCAGTTCCGCCAATTTGTCGCTGAGTACGAGGCGGCGGTGGCTCCTGTTTGAATTTGAAAGCAAGGGCTACACGCCGATAAAAGCTGATGCATGCTGATTCGTAAGGCTGAGAAGCTGTGAGTGTTTGAAGCATGAGATTTCAAATGTAAGCCTGAAGTTCTTATCTAGCCGGTGCTGCAAGGAAAGACAGGTGTTTGTCTTTCTCCCGGCTGTCCGGGAGCAGCACAAGTTTCAAGGTTTCACAAGTTTCGAGTTTATATACTAACGTATTCTCGGTTGACTCAATCCTGCTCGGATCCTGCAGATGATCCGCAAAACGGGGTTTGGTTTTGGTGCAGCCTTTGCCTGCAGCTGGTCTGCAGAACGCACTGTGCCTTTTCTTTCCTCTGATGATGTTCAATACTGTCCTAGAAAATTGTTTGCCTGTGTGTTTGCCTGCTGCTGGCGTTTTCTTTGTTTCTGTATGTACCTGTGTGTAGATTCAATGCGAGTAACCGCGTCAAGAGGCAATCAAGCTGTTGTACAATACACTAGGTAGCAATTTTGCGTGCAACATGCATGGCCCTCTGGGCTCTGAGTTCGCCACTTATAAAGATTTTTAATATATGATTATGCATGCAACACATCAGCACTGTCTTGTAAATACTGAACGTCGGTCACCTCCTGAATGCATCCAAGCCATCGGAACAAACACTTGCCTGTCTTGCTGGATGCATCACGTCAGGACTTGCATGGCAATGCCAAAATCAGAAGCACGCATTGTTGAATAGGTGAAAGCACTGTTACATTTACATAGCGTTCAGAATTGGATACCCCCAGACACAGAAAGAATGCAAGGCAAATAGGCAGTGCGAGCACCAGGAAAGGACGAAAGAGTGAATCTGCAATTGTTCCAGCTGGTACATGGCCCCTTCATGCAAGAAGCCAATGTCTGCTGATCTCAAATGAATGAAGCATTGCTAGTCTAGGACATGGTACACCTGACACTTCTACCCATACACTTCTGTACAGTAAAAACAACATCTAGTGCTTTCCTGAAGCAGATACCGTTTGCATGTTCACAACACAGACACAGACAGGACCAAAGTACTTAGTCCAGATTTTGAAACCCTGTAATCCTGCCCCTTGCTTGAAAGAAAGGCACACCCACGCAGAGGACTTGTGGCATTTCAGTGACTCTAAGACTCTAAAGAGACTGTCTACGATTCTCCTAGAGGCCCGAAGTGCCAGGCTGTGTCACGCATGCACAGAAGCCTGGTACGGTGGGCTAAACATAATTGCAGATTTCTGAGACTTGGAATTTTGACATGCCGGACGCTAGGCACAGTAAGCTGTATGCATGGCAGTACATCATGAGGTGTTGATCATCCTAATAACAGCTCCCGAAGCTGTCAGTAATGCTGATACTGTTGCTGTTGAAAATTCAAATTTGAACATGCCAGACACCAGGCACAGAAGGCTGCATGCGCAGCAGCAGTTCAGGGTGGGCTGATTGTGTAAGGGCTGCTCCCACAGCTGTCAGCAATCCTGATACAGGTACTGACAGTACCGTGAAACTCAATTTTGAACATGCCAGACCCAAAGTACACCAAGCTGCATGTGACTCAGGGCGGGGTGATCATCTTGAGGGCTGCAAGGTGCTTCAGATTCTGGTGCAGGAACGCCTCATCCAGGTGTGGCACATCTGGCCACTGAGTCAGCTCGCTCACCTTTGCTCGGAGCTGTGTCGCATCAAACCTGCGCAGACAGAAAGCAAGATTAGTCCCAATCAAAAGAGTTTGTCTTTACATGCGACGCCTAGGGCCACAGCAGGAGCCCTCAGCAGGAGTGGCAAATCAGAAGAGGCATGTTGGGACAAGTCCAGTCACACAGCAAAGCCCAGTGCGACACTCACTATGCTTGCCCTGCTGCCTGGTAAGAACAGCGTTGCAAAAGACAGTCCAAGCCAGTAGATAGGCGCCCCAGAGGACCCAATGCTGGGCTGGCAGGTCTGCGCATTTCTATCCACTGGGCATAACGCCACATAGTGTGTCACGGGACAGCGTCCCCGCTATGAGCAGCTCTGGGTGTGTGCTGTCCTGCAGCGTGCCCGAGTGCACAACAAGATAGCAGGAATGTGTAGATGCTCACTTGAGGTCGGGTGTCTGAGCCAGTGGCTGCTCCCACTGGTGGACGATGGGCAAGCTGCTGTTGCCCTGCAGGCCTCTGTCCAGTTTCTCAAGAGCGGCCTTGAACGCGGCAAACCACTCGCAGTAGTCCTCGAACCTCTGCAGCTTGTAGCCCGCCGCCTCTATCCAGTCAACCATCGCGTCCAACGAGACGTTGTCATCCCTGCAGGGATTTGCAACTCGTCAATTTGCATTTTGAAATTTTGCTGGTCCTCAAAGGTGCCAATTTCAGTGCTAAGAGGGGAATGCAGCAACCCATGTGAAGCCAAATTTTTGCATGCACGGGCTGCCTTATCAGGCCAAGAGCGATATTGACCCGCAAGACGGAAGTAATAAAGTGCTGCGGGCATGTGCAGACAACATGCCTCCCAATCGAGACCTTGAGGGGTCCTTCTCGCACAAAAACGATACTGCAGCCAACACGCATCTCAAAGAGGGGTGGCCTGGACAAAGCCATCTTCTGCGGCAACATGTGCCGAAGGTAAAGGACTCATGGAGCAAACTAGCGACAACAAACAGCACAGCTACGGATCCCATGGGGGGGTGTACCAGTGGGGGTTGACCACGTGGTAGGTGGAAATGCCGGACCGCTCGGCCAGGGCGGCAGCCGAGATGATGCTTGACACAAAGTCGACCGGGAGGCCGTCAAAGTGCTCTTCCGTGCCGTGGGGTAGAGCGTAGAATGACTTGGGCGCCAGCCCTGTGTACACGATGCTGCACAGCAACCGCGTGAAGAAATCCGTCGGGTTGATCTGGCCCAGAAACCTGCAGGCAAATGTAGTAGCCTCACAGACGGGTGTCTTCAGCAGTGGCTCAGTGTTTTTGTTGTCTGGCAATGTAGTCCTTGTTATTTCAGAGGCTGCTGCCTGTCATGTGGAAGCTGGGCAACTGCCAGCCAATGTAGGCAGCTGCCATGAAGCTTCACTTAGAGAGTGCTGTGGGATCTTTGTTGCAGCACTATCAGGCACCACCATGCTCCATACAGGCTTGCGAGCACACTGCCTCTGCATTCCAACAAAAATTCATGACTTGCTGCCACCATCCGTTCAAGCTGACGAGCAAGCAAGACCCCATGGAGGCTGCCACTGACTTCCTGTAGAAGTGTCTCCTCACGGGCCCAAAATTACAGCGAATATTACAAATGGTGAGGGGAAGTTTGTGAAGTGCACCTGGAGTGTGACAGGATCATGCCGCAGCGGAAGATTGAGACTGGGATGCCATGGTCATCGTGCAGGTCTCGCAGCAGAACTTCCACCGCCCACTTGCTCGCCCCATACCTGGTGTGATACACACACAGCGCCTTCAGACCAGTAAGAAGAGAATGCAAAAGTATACTGATGCGCAGCCGACAGACACCCATGTGCACAGTAGCTCTCCTGTCTTGCCTCCCTGGGGCTCAGGAGCGCTCTGATTATTGGAGCCTTCCAAAATTCAGGTGAAGTGGATAGACTTGCCTCACTTGCTCTCTTTGGGCCCTCCTCACTTGTTAACTTTGAGGCAGCTGAAACTCCCGATAAAGCTGCTGCACCCACTTATAAGATACTTGTACAGGTGTCAGGCAGAGAATGAAAAGGAAAATAAGTGAAAACTCACCCTACAGCATAGCCGCCGTCGCCAGGGTGTTCGCTGCAGAGAGAGGGCCCATCTTCGGTCTCAAGCACTGCCTCTGGGTGATCCAGACCGGCTACTACTCCCACCGTCGACAGGAAGGTGAGCGCTTTCTTGCGCTGACTCAGCGCCAGCTTCATCACCTGCAGCACACGTTTTTCAAATTTGAATTCTGGAATTTCTGGAATCGCTTCCAAAGTGGCGTTCAGGTCATGGGGTGTGCCTGTTGCACAGGATGACAGCATGGCAGCAAAGCTACGGGCTGGAATTGCTCAAACACAGGATTTGGTCCTCAAATATTTGCTTGCAGTTACCGTATAATTTTAGACTGTAGCAGCATAGTGATAGTGCAAGGCTGCAGCGAGCGCAGACACTTGCTCTCTTCTGAAGCCTGCACGTCTAGATGAGGCACTCCACCAAGTCATTTGCAGCATTCACACTCCTGCAGATTGAATTAAATTTTGAAATAGGCTCACCTCGACGCTGCCCAGCACATTGGGTTCGAACAGCTGCTCGTAAGTGAAGGCATGGTTCACCAGAGCACCGTTGTGAACGATTGTGTCGACCGAGGTTGACAGATGCTGCCAGACTCCGTCGTGCAGACCCAGCTGCGGCTTGGCCAGGTCACCTGCGCATGATGTGGAGGCAGGTAGTTACTATAGTGCCAAGGCAGGCAAGAAGTACTGAGGAGATGCTGCAAGACACCTGACCCTCTGTGCTGTAACAAGCATGTTATAACATGAAACTTCAATTGCTGAAGCAATCTCCTTCCCGGCTGCACGTAAGGTCACTTTCCCCTAAGCTTGGGTTGGCCAATTTGCTAGATGCCACTTGAAGCAGGGAACGCATAGACAAGGAAGACATGCTCTGTGGGATACTAACCAACTCCTGTCAGAATACAAGACGTGCTGCATGCGTCACTGCGTGGTGATTGACAGCGACAACTTTGTAATATCTGCCCTACCTGCATAGACGGTCAGGTGGTCTGTGCTGAGGGAGTCGAATGCAGCGAGCAGGTCCGGGTCTGCTCCGTCATAAGCCGCTCTCAATCGCTGCGCCGCATCCTGATCACTGCTGCCTCTCACCACTGCAATTACCCGACCGCCCGGCCTATACATGTCAAGAGAGACACTTCATGTGCCGAACACGTCAAGCGGTGCACACGTGATAGGCATGCAGAGACAATGGTGGTGCATGTTCAGTGCAGGAGGGCAATGTAAGATTGCCCTCGTCATATTCAAGGTCACAGGATGCAACAGCGCTCTTACTTCAGGCACAGCTTGAGGCAGCATAATCAGACTGCAGCACAACTTCTTCACATCAGGAAGTGGGGCCTCCTTCCATGCTTTCATAGCACTGTGTAGCATCGAATTTGAGCAATCGTTGGATCCACAGCAGGCTAGAAGCTGACACGCACTTGGCCGAAACGCTCTGCAGCAGCTGAAGCAGCAGGAACCTGCCGAGGAAGCCGTTGGCGCCTGTCAGCAGCACAACTTCCGCTTGCACGGGAAGCTGAGTGGCAGGCGCTGCGGCAGCTGCTCCCGCCATGTCAGCATCTGACAGAAACCGTTCCAGCCGCAGATCGGCCGCCCGGATGGTTTGAGTGTCGCCGTTGTGAATGCTCGCGAATGTTGGCCCGGTAGGGAGGCCGCCGCTGCAAGCAGAAAAACAAAATAAAGGATGTTAGCATGTAAGTGCAAGAAAATCAACTCGTGCACTTTGCCCCAAAGATCATACTTGCGAGCATGAAATCAGCAGCCAACGCGATCGAGGAGACATAATTTATGCTGAGAACATGACACTCTCCTGAAAAGAATTCCACAGCCAAAATAGTGCATTGGTTGCAAGAATGGCCTACCAGGGAAGCCTACCAGTTGCCAGCACGAAGTGTTGGGAGCATGCAATTATGAGCATTTAACAAAGTATTGCTGCTGGAAGTGAGAACGTCAAAAGCACCTGACGAGCGCTTGCACATGTGCAGCAATGGCTTCCAGCGTCTGGCTCTTGTCGAGCACGAAGGAGGCCGGCAGGTTGACGCCGCAAGCGTCGGAGACGCGGCGCGCGAATTGGACGGCCGCCAGTGAGTCACCGCCCAGCTGCGCCCAGCTGGAGCTGCCCAGGCTGCCCAGGCCCTCTGTTATACACATTACTCATTCCATTAGTCATAGAAGTCACGTTGCAAGATTTTTCGTAATTTTCCTGGGGGGACACTTCTTGAGGATGCAGGGAGGCGGAAGGCATTCTCCATGACACATTATGTGCTGCCATGCCCTCTGTGTAGCACACTCCAGGAATTTCGGCCACCAATCGACACACGTGTCTGCTGAACTACTGAACACATATTCTGAGCACGCAGGATGGCCCTAGCTCCATATCTCCCACCACAGCACCTTTCAGCGCGCTTGCTCTGAATCAGTATTTCCTCTCACAAGGTCACAACCCGGGTAAAACAAAGCTGCTATCATCCTATTCCTCCACGTCAATTGGTCAAATAACATAACAAACAGAAACACTAGTCAGAGTTGCACCTGCTGAGTCGTCGCCTGCATCAGCTGTTGTGCCGAGAGTGGCGGCAAGCGCCTGCAGCACACTCTGCTGCACAGTGCCACCGCCGATGTTCTCCCTTGCAGCTTTCAGCGCCTCTTGCGCGCGAGCCTCCAACGCAGCATACATCGCCTCGAGCTCAGGACCGTACCTGCGCCCGGCATGGATATCAGCCCCTGACATCTAATGATTGGTGCATCGAGAAACCTCAGAAACGCTGCACAACCGAATTTTTTCCCCATGTCGAATGATTACCTGCCTTGTATCCGACGCGACATAAAACGAGAATTATTATGCGCACACCATATGTAAAGCCAACCTCTTCCAATGCACGGGCTACAAGTAAGTACAGTCACTGCCAAGAATGCAGCGCTCTTGCATGCATCTGCGATTGCCCATGAGTCTAGCCTCCTGCAATACTTGTCAAGGGTGCACTTGCTGCAATTTTACATTCACTGCAGAAGTTGATGTGGCACAAATGTGTGCACCTGTTCTTGAGGCGCCCTGTGGCGAGCTTGTTGCTGTCGGTGAGCAAGTGGTTTTCCTTACTGAAGGGCTCCAGCTCCACAATGAAGTCCCTGGGGATCTCACACCCCTGCAAGCCAGTTTTAAAGTTGTCTCAAGCTGAGAAGGCATTTGCTTGGCTGGAATACACGCACTCAAGTGCATCCTTACAAAGTACGAGCGGGGCTGAAAGCAGGATCTTTCTGCACAGTTGAATGCCTGGGGAATGCGGCTTCCTTCTGAGCTTTTTGGAGCCTGACGATGGCTTCCCAATCAATGCCATAACCCCAATGCGATTTAAATCCAAGTTTTGAAGCTCAACAGAAGTGCCTCTTGCAATATATCCAAGGTCATATCGGCTTGAGGTAGAAGAGTAACTGGGAAATATACCTGCAGTGCCTTGAGCCGTGCCACATTGTCGATCTCAGTGCGAAGAAGCTCCTTCAGCTTGGCCGCAGGCATGCTCTTTGCGAGCTCTGTAGCAGGCACAAAGGGAAACTTGTCAGATTCTACTGAACTTTCTTTCTTTTGTCGTTTGGATACTCTGTTGCCACCCAGCAGCAAGGTGTTGGAACCTGAGGACTGAAAGTCCCCCTATGTCTGTCGACGTGACAAGACAGGTACAGTAGAAAAGAAATTTAGAAAGCACAGCAAATTGGATTTCTAAATGACCTTGATGGGAGGGCCCTCAGAAATAGGGGATTTCAGAAACCCAATGCGCCTATAAAAAGACCAATTTTCCTCAGAAACAGGGAGTTCAAGCAGCTTCGGTCGATAAGCGGAGCCTGCCGCAGCTTCATGGCATGACAGGGACAGCTTCCCAGGCAAGCAAGCTGTGCAATGCAATGCCAAGTCTTGCGCATGCACACATAAAGTGAGAGGGATCTATGCACACCGCTGGTTGGCACGACGACAGCGAGCAGGTACTCGCGAAGGGAGTTGCCATACATGAACATCTGAGCGACAGCCTGGCTGCCAGCTGTGTAGGTGGCTTCCAGCTGTGACACGCACACGTACTCACCCTGCGCATGCATGCAAAAATGTTAGTAATGCATGACGCGACAAATTCACGCAATCTCTACAGACAGACAAGACGAGACAGGCGCCGGAATGGCACATGCTACCAGTTGTTCCCAGCTTTCCCTTTCTCACCAAGCCAAAAAGCAAGTTATAACTGCAGCCAAGAACTTCTCAACCCGGTGCTCCTTGCCTAACGGATTTCTTATTGTCGTTAAAATTGACCTGGTTGTCATTGCTCTTTGACTACAGGTCATGGGGTGTGCTAAGTGTAACCTGCCCCAGCACAGGCATCCAACCATCCTTTTGAACAGCGACTGATGCAGATAAGAAGTTGCAGCGACAGGCGTGTACCTGTGACAATTTGAGGATGTTTTTGACTCGGTCAATCCAGACAAAGTTGCCCTCAGCAATCTGCTCCATGGCATCCCCTGTCATGAGATAGCCCTCGCTGTCAAACAGATCCTTTGTCGCCTGCGTGCACACGCCAACCAAATCTCAAAACTTTTTGAGTCTGCCATTGAATATCTCTTTCTAGAAAAATCATCCCCCAACCCTCAGGTAATCGCTTGGGAAACTGGGAATGATTTACAAGAGAGCTGCACTGCAAAAGCAAAATCTGGCATGTGGGATAGACATGGCAAGTTGCCGCCAGACTCTACCTCTCTGAGTGCAGGGTCAATAATTGATAGTAATGCATGCTGTTACTGCCAATAGGCAAGCTGCAATTAAAGGCTGCCGTACTCCTACCCCTTGATGGACTCGCTAGATCCCAGCAAGACCCAATCAACCGCTGGTTGATTAGTTTACTTATCACCAAGCATGACTTGGCCCCGGCTGGCGGGGGGCGGTATAAATACTGAGCACGTGCCCATGGTTGATTGGGTCTGGCTCGGATCGGGCGAGTCCAACAAGTGGTAGAATTGTGGCAGCCTTTAACTGCAGCTTGTCTGCAAAACGTACCTTGCTTTTTGGCAGGACAAGCGTGTAATAATAATAATAAAGAATAAGCATGAGTCACCTCGGGGTCCTTGTAGTACTCGCTGATCATGTTGCGAGTCTTCACGCGCAGCTCGCCCCGCGGGTTGGACTTGTCGGCTGAAGTGTAGCCCAGCTCTGGCACGTCCACAAGCTTGTAGGCTGTCACCTTGCTGCACCACCAAAATGAAATTTATAATAAACACAGCTGTTCTCGCATAAACTTCTTCAAGAATGGTGGTTGATATCGGCAGCGTTACACCAGAAGCAACAGAGATTGCCTAGCTCTCGGCTGCAATTGGAAAGGAGAGCAATAGCTGCGCAAGCAACACAAAAACGGACCTCAAGGACAGTAATTTTCGAAAGAATTCATAGAAGATGCTTGCTTCAAGCTGGCTATGTGCAGGAGGTTTTGCAAGCAGGAGTGACATGCAAGGCCAGACAGATGCATGCAGAACCGAAGACGCAAGATTATGACTAATTGCTGCACTTGAAAAGGCCTCAGAGGCCTCGCTGCCACAAAATTGCAGAGCCTCTGAAAGGAGCAGCAGGCATGGATTTTATTTGTTTGAGGTTTAGGCAAAAGAAGCTGCAGCAGCAGCAGCTTGGCTTTCAGGACATTGCAGCTACATCGTTGGGCTCAGAATTCTCCTACAGAAAGGTCTAGGGGCTCACTGCGCTGCAATGCAAAGCCTGTCAAGACTGCATTTTTAGACAGAAACACTGAGTGAGTCACCTGTGCTGGACCCTGCCATCCAGGGTCATGAGGCCGCCCTCAGTGGAGCCATAGTTGTTGACCACTGGGAATCCCAGCACTTCCTGTAGCCAGGTCATCACTTCTGGGGCGTTGGGTGCCCCCCCTGTCGATGCTGACAGCAGCCGCCCCCCCATCTTCTCCGCATGGAAGCTCCTGATGAGATCCTGCCCCCGCAAAACCCATTTTCATTTGCAGGATCTTGCCTGTTGTTCAATATCGAGTGATTATCAATGCGTGCAACGACCGCTGCAGCCGTTGTACCAAGTGGCCTTGTCAGGGTCGGGAAATGCAGAGGTGCATGCATGCAGGAAACGAGCACATCCAGCAGAGAGGTCAGCTTCTCTGCATTAGCTCATTGGCATGCCGTGCTGGTATGAAACGGGTGAGCACTTTCCTGTGACTGAGCTGGTAAATATTCAAAGCTTCCGTTCCAAAAAGCCGCCTTTCTCAAGAGCAGGATGATCTGCTGTTCCCCCACAGGAATTCGCCTGCAAGGCCCCCAGGCTGCCGCATGACAGTCTCCATGCAACCTGATGGTTGATCCCAAAAGGGATGAACGGCTCAGAACATCACCTGGCGCAGTTTGGCTGTGTCAGTGCTGCTATTTGCCTGAGTGATGCAATCCAGCTCCTCGTTGAAGTGCTCGTAGAGCAGGGTGCAGATGCGCGGAGGCAGCACAATTTCTGTCGGCTGCACCTCCTGTATGTCCTCGAAGAATGTTCCCATCGAGGGAGACTTCAGGAAGTATGTCTGGCCTCCCGTCAGCAGGCCCTGTGGGTTTATTTTTTATATAGAGTTAGGGTTTATGTTTAGGGTTTGTATAACCCTGAATATAAATATATAACGTGCAGAAGCATAAGAACATCTGTTGCTCTCAGGAGTGCACTTTGCAAATTTTTGTTGCCAGCAGTTCCTGGTAACAGCAAGTAACTGCTGATCGCTCCTGGGAAGAGGCAATGTGCTCTGACTGCATGCACAGGCTGCGATATTTTCTTCCCTTACGATGCAGAATCTTACACCTGAACTACAAATTCCTTGCTGCGTCTTTTGATAACAGGAACCATTTCCTCTAGAACTAGATTTACACAGGCAGTACTGCGCCTCAAACATGGGAAGAAAGCAAGGAATGTGGCACTTTCTCAAACTTTGCACGGGAGGGTCAATACCGTGAGCAAGCTGACACGGCCCAGCAGGTGATTGAGAGGCATGAAGCCCAAAGTGACCGGTGCAACACCCCCTGCGCTGCCCCGCCCGGCAAGAACGTCCTGCGGCAGACAATAAAGTAAAGATTGAATTTCGAATGGACATTTTGGAAAATGTCCCTCCCTTCTCAGACCATGCTCGTGCATTCAAGTTCCTTGATGTCCCCAGCCTCCTTTGTGCACAAGCAGTTGCAGTCAAATCAAAATGCTAAATTGCCGGTGAATCCCCCAATATTTGTGCATTAAGAAAATGGCATGATGTGACATCAGCAGGAAGATACACTCGCCTGCATCATCCCAAAGATGATGTGCTCTCGGTATACCGCCCCTTTTGGACGGCCTGAAGACCCCGAGGTGTACAGGAGGCTCATGATTGGGTCTACGCTCGCCCCGTTCTGCCCAGGAACGGCCATCTGTGCAGATGCGCTGTCGCTGCTGGCAAGCAATTCTTCGAGTGTTGTCACAGCGCATGCTGGGGGCACGCTTGCTTGCAGCAGGCTGAAGGCCTCTGATGCTTTGGCTTCTGCGGCGTCACTGCAGCGAAATAAAAACCAGTTTTCTCGCCATGATCTCATTTTAAGCCACATTATGCAACCTTTATGCAGCGTTGAAGCAGTATGCAAACTGATTCTTTCAGGCTGAGATAAATGATTTTAGAACTGCCCATCTCAGCAGCCTGACCGCTGCACATGATGTTCAATCCAGGCACTCGGGCACTACAATTGCTGCAAACCCGACAAAATCTGGTTCAAAATGCATGTTGTGCCTTTCAAAGATCAGCTCCCCTTCTCCGCTAGTGCTCTTCACTGCAATACCTTCCGTTTGTATATGTTCCTCAAGACTGGCATTCCAATAAAAGAGCCGCCCGAGCAGAAGGTCTCACCTGCCCATGACAATGACACTGCGGAGGGTGGCGCAGCCCCCAAGGACTCCGGCAAGAGCAGGAATTTCTTGGAGGCTGACCACAAGAGCCACGCAGTCTGCGTCTGCCATGATGTCCAAAACATCCTCCGCTGCAATATTTGTCGGCAGCGGCACGCTCACAGCCCCGCTACACACATCCTCCAACGTTTGACTAATGAACTTGAGAAATTGAGCATGGGCATGGTTTCCAATCCTGAGAAGTAGGTGTAAAATTTTACTGTTCTCACTCTGGCAGGCTTCTTTGAGGTGGGCACAATAACAATTGGCACAATCCAGACATGCATAGATCATGACAGCGAAGACAAGGCGAATATGAAAACCAACAAAGTGTGGGACTCAAAATTCAAAGGCGCCAACATCAGGTGTATGGAAGGGCAACCTGTAGGTGCATGCCAGGTCAGCAGTGGCCCAGTCCAGGGAGGAAAAGCCAGAGATGCCGACAAACTCTCCCCTTGAGACCATTCCTCCCGCCTGCCATGCTGCGGCCAGTGCCTATAAAAATACACGACACGCTCTAAGTTAATGAAACTAAGTCTAGGGAAGGATGCAGAAACCAAGAAAGGGCGAGCACCAGAGACAAGGAAGGTCTGCCTTGCATCTGAACATCATGTAGACACAATGCAACCTATGAGACCTAAAATTTCCAAAAATTGGAAGTGGAAAGAAGCATGCGCAGTCTTGCCGCGAGTGCGCTGAATGCATGTGATTCCCTGGAAAAAGCTGGCACACCTTGACGCGGTTCCAGAAGGCAGCATAGGTGACTGTGGTGTAGAGGGAGCTTCCAGGCTCGCAGTAGCCAAAGGCAGTGCGGCCTGCATACTCAGTAAACACCCTGTCCAAGATTTCGATGCTGGTCGTCCCGGCACTACTGATGCGCTGGATCGCGAGCTTGTCAATTGTGCCATCCTGCCCACATGTAGAGAGATCCGTTCACGAAGCACAAGCATGAACCTGGGTTGATCCAATGCATCTCAGGCAGTACTGACTTTTGGCTTGCGAAGAAACCTGAATGTCCTTACCTGCAGCTGTGGAGCAATTTCCACAACTTTGTCGGTGCAGTCGTCTCGAAGCCAATCGTCGTAGGTCTTTGAGTCCCTGAGCAAGGTGCCACCAAAGGTAATCGACGGAGCTGTCGCAACGCTGCCACCCTTGCCATTCACCTCTGCTTCTGAAGTACGGATGGTATCTGTATCAGCCTACAAATGCAATGAAACGTTAGTATGTATTCACGTATTCAAGAAAATCACGTAAATAGACCGCAGCACTCTGCAGGATCAACCGCCGGTGTCACGGAAAACAGAGCGTGAGCACCACTCACCCCCACACGGACTGCATTTGTAATTGTCAAACATCTACTCTGAATTCTCGCACTGGCAAGAGACTTGGGGATGCAGCGAGCGTTGCGCGGGTCAATGTGGGCTGCTGCATTTGAGTGGATTAGGGACATCGTGCAAACTGACATCTTGTCTTCTTGCCAAGGCCTGCAAGGCCCTTCAACAAGCGACGAATTTCGGTGATATATTGCCGGGAACTACATCGGCCGGCCTTGGGATACCGACAGGCCTTACGAGCAGAGCTGGCCAGAGTGTCGAGATGACGAACGCTGTCCCCGTAACGGGATTTCACTATTTTTAGAATGGGTCCGTAAAGAAATGGCCAGCTTGGCTCTCTGGAGACGCTCAAAATCGTGCAATTGAATTGCGCTGTAAAGTTTACAGCGCAACCCCCAGAGTCTTCGCATCTATTTGCCATTTGGGATGGCAGCTCTCAAATGCAAAGTACTCATTTATGCCGCCAAGATGTGACTCTGCATTCGTTCATGGCCATGCCATATATATGCACACTGTAGTCTAACGTGCAATTCCGAATGAGTCATGAGCTCAGCCGTCACGGTGTGTGTTCCAGTGTGCGACAGTGTGTCGCATTGCGGAGTCTTCAGTTCTCTCACATTTCTCATTTACTCCTCCTTTACAGTGGTGGGATCAACAATTACATGCAAAACAGCTAACAAAATTGCAGCTTCCCAATGCTATTAGTTTTGGCGCAGTGAGCGCTTGAAACCAGTCAATCAAGCAAGATGCAACTCCCATTGTTGTCCCATGAGCCATCAGACAGCTCTCACCCATATCAGGATGCATGGGGCTGCACATCAAGTGGCACATGGTCGACATAATTCCATATTGCATCCAACCCAATTTGTCTGTTATCTCACTTTGTCCACTGGCCAGCAAATACACACGCCTCTGCGCTATAATTTACCCTTGTACAAGCAGCTTACCCACGGGTTGGCCCTTCTAAATACTTGAAGCATCAAGTCTGTTGTTCTATTGCTCAATAACACTTAGATATGCACATCCTGAGGGATTGTTCACTAAACAGTGTCTTGTAGTCACGCCATGTGGCAATGAATGGGCATTATGTAATGCATTCCAGATGAAAGCAAATGCCGGACAGCCAGAGAAAGCCCAAAAGGGCATGGTCTGATTCCGAGGGGCTGAATGTTCCATGCTGAGTCCTATTGCAACGGAGAGCAAGCTTACGGTAGGCCCCGAGCAGGACAGTAGCTTTAGCACGGATCCTCTGATTGCCAGCTTGGCACTAAGTGACATCCTCTGCAGCCTCCTACTTAGTGTGATAGGACAAATGGATTCAGGGAAGACAGCTGCCTTCTGCTGAGAGGAAAGGTGCCCACCAAACAATGGCTAAGTGAATCGACCCACACACAGCTCTGAAAGCTCGCATTGTGAATGCCAGGATTATTCCTGCCCTTGCATGCATGTTGCGAGCCGCCACCGAATTCGGATTTGAGAAAGCTGTATTTTGAAAAAGCTGTCTATCTAACCTGCAGAGGCCCCAAATATTCCACGAGGGCTGGAGAGAAAATCTCGTGGATCAAAGTTAGTGGCTGTCCGTTGCGCCAGAAGATGTACTCCCTGCCCCAGAACGGCCCCTCATGCCCAAAGCGCCTGCAGGAATTCAAAAATGACTTTGAAATCTGGAGTTCCAGTGCCATTTTGAAATCTGTTGATCAGACATCGCAGCTGTGCCCTGTTGACTAATTGAACAATGCAGCGCGCCAGGGAATAATTGCTCCTTGGCTGGGAATAAATGCATGATTATTACAATGGCAGGCACACCGTCCCTTCTCTACGCCGCATGCTTTGCCTTGAAAAAACTCCTGCCTCTCGGTTTGCCTTGCAGATTAAGGACTCCACTGCAGACCGCAGGGGCAATAACACTTGTTTGAAGGCGCACCTTTCAAGGTCTGGTGAGTGTCCGCAGTACACATTGGTGATCTCCCTGTAGAGCTCGGTGCGGTTCGCTGACAAATTGATCCAGATAAGCTTTTCCTTTGCCTCGAGGTACTGGGAGATCTCAGTCGTGTTCCACCAGCTGGTTGCACACACCAGCGCCTTTCCGTTGACGCTCAGATGCAGCTGCACAGGCAAACGGAATTCTATTTCAACGACAAGCAAAATCGCGTGCACATCAGACCTCAAAGACACGCAGAACATATGACATTGCAACGAAAATTACGTCACAAAGAGGCACTGTGCACGCTTGGTATAAGATTTCCAGGGTGCTTTGATGCAGCGATGGAAAATACGAAGTCCTACCTCTCGCTGGGATCTCGGGCCAGGAACCACGCCGACGTTGTCTGGTAAGCCGGCCATATTCATACCAATGTCCACTTGCTCGAGGCACTCCTGGAGAGGCACCACTGCTGTGAGACGGCCGGTCTTGGTGAACTCAGCACAGCTCCATCGACACCCAAATGCAACAGAAAACCAAGGACTCACCGTATCCACGGTGTGCCCAGTCATTAGCTGCAGGTGACGCGTGACAGAACCGTCGCTGAGCAGGATCATCTTCCATGTCGAGCTCAGAGCAGGTGCCAGTCCGTAATCTGCGGCCTGCTTCCACGTTCCCTGTGATGGCACAAGTCAAGCTCAGCAGGCGAGGTCACCATGAAATGAGCAAATTTACGGAAGATGAACTGAATCGTACCTGCCACAGGAGAGGAGCCTGCATCGAGTGCCTCCAACCTACTCCAAGGTCTGCCGGCATGAGAACGGAGCTGCTCACACTCACACGAGCTGCACGTTTGCTCGGCGCGAAGCTCGGCAAAAACTCGCCATACATGGACGAGTAATCCATTCCGTATGTCCTGACACCACCCTTCTGGATGGCTTGCGGCATTGCGTACGCTGGCATCATATCTGGAACAAGTGTTCGCGGGTCCTGTATTTGGACTGGCCCTTTGCAAGCAAAAGCGATATTCCTGGACAGGTCAGAAAGATAGAATAGCTCCCATTAACAGTCTTTGGCCATGCCGGCAGCCACTCAAGACCTCAGATGTCAGATTTGTGCAACGGCCGACATTTGCTCGGCCGGTACGTCTGGGGACCATATGGACCCCCCGTGCATCTGTTGACGTCACTTGAATATCACGTGTTTATCCAAATCTAATGCTGGCACCAGATCCTGGAAGCCCGAACAGATCGTCTTGGGACAACCTTTGCGGCTGGCATCGCTGGTCTGTCCGAAGCTTCCTCAAGGTTGCCTCTTCCCAAGGTTGATTGAAATTCTGTGCGCAAGCGGTGCCAGCCCTACTCACCCGTCATATATGGTCTGTAGGTCTTATAGGTAATCTTCATTCGACCTACTGGTGGGCCCACCGGTGGCTTGCACGTAGATATAAACAGCAGCACCAGAGCGTCACTTACTGGGTGCAACGTGCCGTCGGGGCTCAGCTGTGTGCCCTGTGGTGGATATATGTTTGCAGGCAGGACTCTCACAATAGCACGACTCCTTTCTGCAAAGCTCACATTCAACGGTCCTTACAGCCTGTGGATATCAGGATGGCAAACATTGTGCTAAATATATCCAATCATCTGCCGGTGACAGGAACTGATTGCACACTGTGCACTTCCCCCAAAGCATGCGCATGGCTGTGGTGCTTGTACATATGTCCATGCTTCATCGCGCCTGCGGTGCCATTTGTTACTGCTGCAGATGCTTCCTCTGTCATATTCTGCACCCGCACAGGCTGCGCGGGCAGCTGTACGAAGGGGTGCGCGTCGTGCATCGGTGACTCATCGCTGACGGCACTGCTCTCGAAGAAGTCCAGCATCTCGTCCATGTGCTCGGCTGTCAGCTCGTGGACTGCCCCCATGAACACACAGATGATGAGTCATCCACCTCTGGAGTTTGGAAGGGGGTTTGCACCTCTGAAAATTAAGGGGTGTTCAAGGTCTGACATCTGAAAGGGAATCCTCCTGAGATCTCCCTCAGCCTTCTGGGTCCCAGGATGGACTCTTGGTCCGCCCAGAACTTCGTGCCCAGAAGCGCTGGACATGTGGCAAGTCTCCAAGAACTTCCCAGAATGCCGGTCAATTGCACGCCGCATGCAATGTAGCACTTCCAGTAGTATATTATATTATATTAACAATTTCTGCTTTTAGTATGATACCATATGGGCTGCAGACCAGACCTTCAGGCCCCACAGATGTGGCTGCAGACACTCTGTGTGTTTGCCCTATGGCCTTCGGGCTTTGGGTTTGCCGACACTGTAATAATAATAATAATAATAATAATAATAATAATAATAATAATAATAATAATAATAATAATAATAATAATAATAATAATAATAATAATAACAATATCTGCAGAGCTCTCAGGTAATGAAGGGTGGAGGAGACTCACTGGCTTCGCTGGCCCAAAGCATCTCCCTAAATGCCCGCTCATATCCCCGGCTGCCATTCTTCGCCCCCAAATCGGCTGGAAAATGCCTCAGCAGTATCTTCTTTAGCTGGGCTTCAGCCTTCTTCCTGCAATACAATGGATCAGACTTCAGTACATGTAATCCACTGGACCCTAATGTGCAAGCTTGACCTGCTAAACATGAAAGCACCAGGTAGGAAAGGCAGAATGCGAAGGCGGGCCTGGCTTGGTCATGCCTGCACTGATTTCATCTACCGAGCAGCACAGCAGCATCTTCCGGGCTTCAGCAGTCAACAAGGCTGCACTGATAATCTATCACACCAGCGCTGTAAAATGGCAGCGCTGCAAACATGTCAACCAAGCTCAAGGGAATCAGCAGGATTTCAGAAAATGGTCGCACCAGGTCTCGTAGCGGCCAAAGTGGCTCTGGTTGTCCTCCAGAACAACGCCCACAGCCTTGAGCTCTTCAAAGATGGCCGCGGACGTCTCTTCATCGATCCCCTTCATGCGCTGATTGAAGAATGATGGCGACAGAGCATATGGCTCCATAACAATCCTCTGCACTAAGACTCCCTGCAGCAAAAACCAGCACAGCTGCCTGCGTTATGCAGATTTGATCTAGTAACTTTGCATCCATCAACCTTGCTTCATCAGCTATGCTCCTGAATAAGCAGGTTGCCCTTCAGCTGTCCATGGCACTCTCAGGCCTGTCACCTAGCAATTGCACGTCATTTAAGTGGCGTGTCTCAAGCAGACTTGCATGCCACTCATTGCTCAGTCTTCATAGCGCTTGGATCAGCTTTCCGCTGTGAGATTCAACAAGGGTTGTACCATATGCATTGTGCTGGGCTATAAATGCTTGAAGTGCTGGCAGCACACCTGGCTCTGGAGGTGGGCCTCTGTGCGGTTAATGAGGCCGATGATGTCATCCTGGTCGTTGCGCGCTGACATCAGCATTGTGGGAGGGAACGCCCACTGCGCCCCGCTCGCCAGGTTGCGCGGCTGCAGGGCAGCTTCCATCACCTCCTCCGGCCGCATCCCCATCACCATGCTGCCCACCGCCTGCGATAATTTAAAACTTCAAATTTTTCATTTGAACTTCAAAAGTCCAGTAGGAATCCCTCTCCCAGGAGCAGGTTCTCACGCGTTAGTCACCCGTCTGTCACCTGGTTCTACCCCATACAATGATGAACGCAGTTTGTTCTTGCAAATATGCCAGATCAGTCCGCCACTGAACGGAGCCTTGATCAATCAAGCGGCGCATGCGCAACAGCCTAGTGCGGGCAATGCCAAGCGGAATAGTAGATAATACAAAGAGCACAACTTCCCAAGTACCCGGTGTGCTAACGCGCAAACCAAAATCGAGTCAGAAGAGACCATTCCAGGATATCAGCACCAGTTGCTGTCCAGGTCAACTTGAATGAGGCTTGCGGTAGGGTCGGGTGGATTCTAGATGGTTATCTCCCCCACCTGGAAGGGGAATCGCAGCGCGAGGATGAGGGTCATCGCGCCGCCCCGGGAGGAGCCGAACGCGAACCTCGGCAGGTGCCACCAGTCGCGCGCGCTCAGCACTGCCCGCAACGTCCGCACCAGCTGCACAGCACACTCACAATTATGCTCATATATATATATATATGTTCAGAAGGAATTACCATCTGCCCTTTCAGCCATGGGTGGTGGGGACTATGTGTTTGAGATGCTGCCAGAACCTAGACCTGCCAGCACAGACACGCACCAGTGGCGCACAACACACGCCGCAGAACACTAATGTCCACGCTCATCTTTTCTAACATGCCTCTGGCCAAGTTTGCCTCTCAATCTCTAGCCATAACCGCAGCGCGTGCACCAGCTGTGCAGCAAACTCATCGTTGCGCTTGTGTTGCTCAGACGATGAAGTATTTAAGCGGTGAATGGTGCAGAAAATGTGTTTGTCATGCTGTCAACTTTATTTAGACCTGGCGCCACAGAGACCTGCGGCAGTCTCTTGCATGCATTGACAGCGCACACCAGCTGTGCAGCAAGTGTCGCCGTTCAGCCGCCATACAAAAAGCTGCCGGCCCTTATTGTGAGGGATGGTTTCTACCTCTGTAGAGACTCCAAGATTTAAGATTCATGCACCTCTTCGGAAAGCAAGCCTGCCACCTGAAGACCACAAGGCCCCCAGCACGCTCATACTGCTGCTCAGTGCAGACTGAACTTCAGACATTGTGTGCTTTTTTCAGGCTTCTACCTGTTACTGATTTAGGGAATCCCCTTTATTGAGCTGCTGCAACCTAGGCCCGCTAGCACGAAATCTTGTGAAGCCTTTCGCGCGTTCTCTGACAGCGCGCACAAGAGATTTTCAAAAATATGGTATGAGGTCTTTACGTGAGACAGATACATGACTTTGTTTTTATGCTATGCCCGAAAAGCTGCCCACCTCGGGCAGCTCAATGTGGGCCTCGGGCGGCCAGGTGGTGTTGAAGCAGTGGAAATTTTGCTCCGCCTCTGACAGATGAGCACCCAGCGCCACCAGCGCATATCCCCTCTTCGCCGCCCTGTACACGCTCAGCATCTCCTCCGGCATGCCTGCACAGAAAACTACGGCTGTCATCAGGATTTCGCGACAAATCCAAGTCCCTCAAGCTCGGTGGCGCGCTAAAAGCGGGTGCATGGACCCCCAGGGAGGTGGACCCCCAGGGAGGAGGGCAAGCTGACCGAGCTGGTCATTGACTACCTGACAACGCGCCCGGGTGCGCGTTCCCTCTTTTTAAATTTAACCCTGCTCGGGGGTAGTGCCAAATGGTACCTTTAAGACCTAAAATCACCGGGGCACCCTTGAAATTACCAAAAATATGCAAGGTCGCCTAGGCCGCGCTTTCTTTTGCCGCTGGGGAAGCCCAGAGACTTGACCCTCCCCTAGCAAGTTGGCCAGCAAACTTGAGGATGCTCTGGGCGGACCAGAAGCCCACCCCAGAATCCTGAGATCTGAGGCTCCCTCATGAGGTCCCCCTTGGTAAGTCAAGCATTGGCTGCATGCCCTACTAGGATGCATGCAGCACTCTCAAAGCACAGACCTCCCCTCTGCCCAGCTCCTAGGTTCCGGATTTCTAGCATGACGCAGGCTTGCTGGGGTTGTTTTAAGGGCCTGAGCAAGCCAGTAAGCAGCACTAATGCCCAGTTATTCATTCAAATGGACTGAACCCACTTAGATGCAGTGGCCAGCTTCCAGATCTTGCTACACACCAGTCATCCTTGGCACAGTTGATTTATCACGATTCCGACTACTTGATGGGTAACGTTTGTTTCAGGGCCTCACCATGGCAGCTGGGGCAGGTTGCTGACTGGAAGCCCCATTCTGTGGTCAGCTGCAGGCAGCCGGGGAGGGCGAACAGAACGCCCTTGAGGTCTCCTGGAGGTATGGTCGTGACCACCTCCCTCTCGTGAATGACCTGCGCGACAGGTGCTGCACAGTTGCTGGGAGGAGCAGACTCGATCAGGAGAAGGAAACAGCAGAGACAGCATGGGATCTTGCTTTTAAGACTCTCGAACGGATTACAAAGCACCCAAGAGATACATAGAATCCCAAATATCTCTTCAAAAACATAAAAAGGAATGCGTAGAGGCTTCGCTTGACTTTCAAGTACTCAAATGGGCCTTGTGCTGAAGTCTAGGAGATAGGTTGTAAACTCAATCGATTGTTGTCAGCTTTACAACTCGTCGAGATTTTACCTCGTATAACGCATCTGGTATGTCGTCCCAGTGATCTGGACCTGGCAGAAAGTCTGCAGATCGGCTTGTCGCACAGCTCAGGCCCAACAAGGCAGCGATCAGAACGAGCCGGTAGATGCCTTCGACTGGTGTTCGTTGGTAAACACAACGAGCTAAAACACCGTCATGACCCATTTCAGACGGTCAAAAAGCTACGCTTCACGTATCGGTGCGGTCTAGTGGGCACCCGGAATGTCTCGGAAGCCCTGCCGGACCGCTAGCCTTCTCGGAGCAGCAACATGACCGTACGTCAGATCCTTCGAGTCCTATCAAAGTACTGTTACAGATCGATGCACCCGAAACAACCATTGCAGAATCCATCGCAGACGCCCGTTCCGAAGTACAGCGTTCTACCAACCCCTGCCATGTCACTCCAAGCTAATGTGTCCCTTGGCATGCATATCCTCGTATCTCCTTCCGATTGAATGGCTGAATACTCACGGAGAAATGATGTCCAGACACTCTAGCATCGCTTCTTCAGCTGGAAGCCTGAAGCTCTCAGCCAATTCAGGCTTAGGGACAGTTCTGCATGCATATGCAGGCTAAGATCACGACCGGCCGGGGGTCCCTGCGGGATTTCACAAAGACTCCTTCCAGATAAATTTCTCAACCATGGTCCCATTACAATTCTCTCTTTATTGCAGGTCCCCCTTAATCGCAATCTGAAATGCGAGCAATGCGAATCAGCTGTTTGCAGGTCCATCAGTGTCCAGTCACAGCAGCGATGCCTGTAACTTTTCTGGCAGCCTGATCACTGGCAGCCTGATCACTAGGGAGCACATCCCTCAGTCTACAGGACCCCCTACATCTTAAGGGGACCCCTAAACACAGCTGCCACCACCTCTTGTTGGCCTCTCACAAGGGGCTCAATCCGGCAGTCCACTTGCGAAACTTCCTTAATCTCAAGGACCCTCGGTCCGGTCAAGGCTGCCACCCCTTCTTGCTGGTATTGCAGAAGGGGCTGAATTCGCATGTGGACTCCCCACAAGGACCCCCCAGGGGATCACAGCTGCCACCACTTCTTGTTGGCCTCGCGGTCTCGAATCTGGCGGGCCATCGAGGCAAAGTCTTCGGCATCGGCTTGCATGCGATCGGTCTTGTCCTGCAGCGTGCGCAGCTTCTCGCCACGTTCCGCCAGCTTCTGCCGGTTTTCCTCTGCCATTGCCCCCGGCCCCTCCGCCCTGCAAATATCAGAAGTATCGCCACGTCAGACACCGCAGTGACCTGCTATTTCTTCCCACATGAGACACTGGCTTCGCGCGGCACCTCGAGAAACAATCGAACAGAATCATGTGTTACTTGACTCCCCGGACATCATACTCATCCAGCGTCTTGTGTGTGGCTTCATCTGCACTGACCTCAGCACATGGCTGATGATTCACAGAACCAGGGCAGCTCTCTCTGCACCCCCAAGGCTGTTGGTCAGGCCCGACAGGCTCTGTAGCCACATCTCAGGTGCCCATTCTGCTGCACTCGTCTTGACTTCTATGCATGACTCATGTCTCTAAAGTGCTGTCAGGTAGTGAGAAAGCCAACTATGACCACCTGCGGGAGTTGGTGGATCGCCCGTAGGCAGCCTTGATCTCCTCGGCCGTGCGAGTGCCGGGGGGTCCGCCTCCCGGTGCTCCGCCACCGCGCGCCCCTCGGGCCCCCCGCAATAGGTCCCCCCGGCCGCCATCGTCCCGGGTATCCTCTCGTTGAGCCCACGTTCCTATATGAGCCAAAAGGAGCTCATTGTGTTCTGGGGAGGAAAAAATCCCTGCTGCCCCCAGAGGACGAGGACCTAGAGGGGTTAGCAAGTGAACATTCCAGACATCCAATACCCTGCGAGGCCAACTGTGAACATGTGGGATACAATCACCAGCAAGCAGGATGTCCCTTGAAACTGTTTAGTGCCAAAAGCGGTCATGGTAAAATAGTAATTATGCACATTGTGGTACGAGTCACATGCACACTCCAAGCATTAATGCTGGGCTTCACACAGCATGCGTCATGGCATGAAGTGCACGACCGACTGACTCACCGCTGTCAGAGGGCGGCCCGGCTTCTGCAGAGCGGCCGAACGCGCGGTGGCCGCCGCTGCCGAACAGCTCTGCGCGTGCCGCGTCGGCCGACTCGGAGTGCTGCGGCAGAGAGCGCGGCCCCCTGGCGGCGGCTGCACTGCGGTGATGGCCGGCCTCCGACTCATCGGACCCTTTCCTGTCTGCGCTGCTGAGTACCCCAGACAAAGCTGTCGTCAGTCATGGTGGTGCAGAGGAATAAGAGTTGTCCAGCATGAGATGGCTGAGAAAAGGGTAGAGCCTCATCACAGCCCGCATGGATTTTGCGTGTGAACCTGCAGCATGGAAAGGGTGCTGCAATTTCCCATGTGCACGTTGCCGCATGCGAGGGCAACAAAAAGGGGCAACAAAAAAAGAGGGCTTATCTGCAAACTTGAAAGGATCACAGCAGGGCTCTTCTGTGAAGAAAGGGAATGGGGTGGTACAGAAGTAAGAGGGAGCACCTCTGAAAGGCGTGCTCATGGGAGAGGCCCGGGCTGTCGGGCTGTGGCGCATTCGCAAAGACGGCGGCCAGTGTCGGCGCCCGCCGCTGCGCCGCGCGCTCGTTCATGAACGGGTTGCGCGCCGCCAGAATGTCCTTTCCAAAGCGGTCCAGTCCCTGCGCATGCAAAGGCCGGTTGTGAGGTCATGCTGATATCATGATTTCATGGTGGACCACTGACGAGTATGATGACTAAAATATCGTGTAAGATGAATGATCGACCATTTTCTGCAGAGCCCTAGCAGATGCACTGCGATGCACAAGCGTGTTGAGTGCAAACCCTGCTTCTGGATATGTATTGGCCGGTGGAACGCTTGTACAGGTGCCCCACCTCTGTCAGGTAAGCAGAGGATGTAAAAGAGGTGTGCAAAGGACACTTGCCTGGTTAAGGGTGCGCTCGAACTTGGAGATTTCTTTGGTGGTGTCATCGACAACGCGCGTGGCCACGTCGCGCACCGAATGCAGGAATCCGCCCAGGCCGCGCTTGCCGCCTGCCTCCTCGCTCGGCGCGCGGCCCTCTGTGCATGCACATTAACACTGTGAATAGTGATTCCCTTACGCTCAATCCTGCACACTGGCCTCAGGTAGTATCTTTGGACACAGCTCCCAAGTTTAAACCGTACTCGTCACTGTAAACCCTGCACCAAATAATTGTTTCCAACCTCACGGGATTGAGGAACGCGGGAATGTGCCTGCAGAAACGGTAACTCGCAACGGGAGGGGGTCACTCTCAAGTGGGATAGCCTGCGCCACCATTGCCGCTGCAATTCCGAAAAGTGTTCCATGTGAACGTGGAATGCCCTGCACCTGTGGCTGCTGTCTGAGCACTCTCAAGGCAGTTGGAGATGCGAATGGGGGTGACTGTGGTATCATATCCGGTGTGGCCCTGTTTTGAACCAGGTTGGGTGCAGGCAGACTCACCGGGGAGCGGCGGCTGCGCGGCGGCCGGCAGCGGCGGCGGCTGGAAGCTGGGCGGGGGAGGGAACGCGGCGGCCTTGAGCTCGCGCGAGACGGCGTGCGCTGCGGCCAGCGCGGCGGTGGCAAGGTCCCAGTCGTAGAGCTGGGCCGGGGGATCCGGCGCGCGCGTTCCCTCCACCAGACCCACCCTTGCCAGGTCACCATGTGCGCCCACCTGCATTCGAATTCAAATTCATTTCAAATTTTTGCTCAGCTATGAGGGGTCCCATCTAGTAAGCCCACCCTTACTACGTCACCGTGTGCGCCCATCTGTGTTCCAGTACAAACTTTATGGATCAACACCCCGCTCAAGTTGTGGTGATTTGGCTGTGCGACAACTCAGGGGTGGATGGTATTGGTTGTCCTGGCTTTGGGCTGCTTTGTGTGCAGCTTTCCTGCTTTGCATGGACCTTCTCGCACTCAAGAACAATGACTTTCGCAGCACTGGGAGGCGCAATGACAGGCAACGGCTGATCACTTCCTCGGGACGACGCTCACAGCATCCGTGGCAGTGCCATGCAATCCAGTCTGCAGGATTCATGCTAGCCATGAAGCTCACCAGGGCGAGTTGGCCATCTGCGTCGACAGCGCACAGGCGGGACAGCTGCGCGGTGTGATCGGTCCAGGCCCAGGGGAATGTCAGGGCATCCTCCAGCCTCTGCACCAACACCAGCTCCAGGCTCGGCAGCGAGAACACCTGCGCAACCAATACTTCACTTCGTACTTTGCTTCACTTGGTCAGCAGCAAGATGAAAAATTTCCGGGTACGAGACGCTAGAAATAGTGTGGTCGGGCCCCGTTTGGAAGGCAGCAGAGGCAGGCTGATCCGGGAAGGCTGACAAGACTGTTCCTGATGAATGACGGTGGAGTCTGCCCTAAATTAACCCGGGCGATGCAGAAACATGTCCTGCGGGCATCAGCAGTGACACAGCAAGGTGCCTGACTCGCAGGAGAGACATGGCACTCGGGGCATCTCTCCTCTGCGGCAAGGCAGCTGGATACATCCCTGCTGATTATATTATGTGTGGAGGATTTGCGTCCGGCTTCCTCAAGAATTCCGTAAGGCATGTCAGAAGTTCTTCTTTGGAAAGCTTCTGTCCATGACATGCGCGTACCTTGAGGGTCCCCTCAGGAGATACACAGGCGACGCCAGGCCCATGGCAGGAGCTGAAGACACCGGCAAAGCCATATTGTCCGTCCAGACCGGCCTTCTTCAGCGTGGTGCGATCCGCCGTGCGCAGATTGTCCCCTGCGTAGAGCCGCAGGCTGCCGGTGCTCGCCTGTGACCAACACCCAATTTCACTTTAGGACCGTGTCAAATCCTTCGGTACTGTTCATACCATGAAGATGCACAAGTGTTCTCATCTGAGACAGTCCAGTCGTGTGCACATTTGCAGTTGAGCACCAAGCGCATGCCGCCAAGGAGTTGAGAGAGGGCGGACAGTCCATCGCATCACGCCCCAGATTCACTCTGGGCAGAGCTATAGCTGTTGGAGCAAGATTTGATGACGCCAGTAATGTGGACATGACGTTGGAAGAGAAGGCATATTGACGAGAGGCCCAAGCCTATACATCGGCATTCAGTTGTCAGCATAGCAACAGATAGCTTGGGCCAGTGATTGGGCTCACCAGAACGATGTGTGATACATTCGCAGCCGCCACCGGGGCTGATAGGGGTGCCTCATCGCTGACATTGAGCGCTGCAATCGCTGATGTCACATCGTGCATGGCGTCCGGCGGCGTTGCTTCCTCCTGTACCGCCGGTGCCACCACTGCTGCCGCTGCTGGGGGGACTGCTGACTCAGCATGCGGGGCCTTGAGGGGTCCGCCTGAGTTTGCTGGTGCAGGTGGCATTTCCTTGGGGGCTGATGTCTTTGGAGGAGAGGAATCGGAGCGGCTGTCTGGCTCTGAGGTGTGCTTGCTGCCGATCTGGGTAGAGACCGCCTCTGAACGCTCTGCAAGCACAAAGTATGCATGTCAGGAGCCAAGAGACTACAGCTTTGAAAGCTTTCGGTCTCAGTTGATTTTTTTAGAGTTTCCCGCTGGATATTTGGGCAGGTAGCGGGCTAAAGACCATGGCAAAGCTTAGTGAGGCACAGTTTTGCATTTAATGACAGTGCCGCCCTCAGGCCAAGAAAAGGCTAGATGTGTGGCGCAACTGGGATTCAAAATTTGCTCCAGCACCGACGGAGCATGTCTCTCTCAATCTCAACCTCAGGTCGGCATGCAAATCAACGCAGCCCACTAATTGGACGGCAGAAAGATGTTCTGCCGACGAGCAAGAGCAAGCCAAATACTTGCTGCTCTGCAAGCTTTGCTGACTGTACCGTAATGCACACCTTCACCAATCAAAAGTAAGGAAGCTTCCCACGCAAGCCTGGAAAGGCAATTGATGGATAACTTGCGACATTCAGAAGCGCGCACCTTTGTCCTTTGCTGCTGCGCCCATGCGCGGTGACATGGCTGGCGAGTTGTCGCTGCCGCGCCGTACCCAGCGACCAAGCCCGCTCTGCAGCCAGAACACCCAGTCAGCCATTTTCACATGCATAATTTCACCCAGGCCTGGTTGAATACGTAACATGTTGAGCTGGAAAGTGCTGACAGTGATCAAGGAGTAACAGGTCGGCCTTCTGCTTGGAACACTGGCCTTCTTTGATTCTGATCCGGCGAACTTACTCCTTGCCTTGCCTTTGCAGCTTCATGTGAACATGCGCATCAGAGCCGTGATGCTGGACTCCTGATCATTTAGAGTCCACAAAATAGCAAGCTCACCTTGGCAGTGTGGGAGCTGACTAAGTGCCCTTGCTCATCATCACTGGTTCTAGCAGCGGTTGCCTTTTGTACCGCGCCACCGCCGCCGCTGCCTCGGCTGAGCAGCCCGAACTTTTTCTTGCCGGCCTTCACCACCTCCCTCTGCTGCGCTTCCACCGCGGCAGCCGCAGCCGCCAGGAGATCGTCATGGTCATCGTCCTCAGCCTGAGTCACGGTGCAGTTTTTAAGAGGGTGGATTGAGTAGTGGTCATGCATGTAGACAGGGCACGGCTACGGACAATTTGGGAGAATGCATTGTCTCCTGTGCAACAATATGCATGAAGGCTCTGTGCCACTGCTGGCACAGACACAGAGAATTCTGTGAGTGTGGGCCAAATCGGGTGGCTGAATCCAAAATGCTACTAAAAAGCGCCGCAGAAAGAAGGGGCGCGCATAATTGCTAGTTGAAACAGCCCCATGAAAGCCCCTTCAATTCTCAATCTATTTGTGACTCCAATCACCAATAAAGAACAATACGCACCTCGTCGGCAGAGGACTCTGGCTCGGAGTCGGATGCGCCCTTGACGGAACCCCCGCGCTCCCCCCTGTGCTGGGGGGTCCCGGGGCCAGGGCTGCCCAGGGCGTTCCCTCCCCCCTGCCCGGCCGGTCCACTCGCTGCCTCCACCGCTAGCCGCTGCCTGGGGGGAGGGCCCCCGGCGATCAGATGGCCGATGTGGCCGTCGTCATGCGCCCTGTGGGAGGTCATTGCAACGGGTGGTTCGGGTGGCTTGCTTATGCTGGGTGCGGCACTGCCGTGCGCTGCCTCGGGATGATGGCGCTCTGAGGCGTGCGAGTGGCCGGAGGCACCAGCAGAGGCGTCTTTAGGGATGGACGGAGCGCCTGCAGGTAAAGACAGGAACGCTGCTCAGCACGTACCTTTTCTTGCAATGTCAATTTGATTTAACTGAGACTTGAATGTACTGCACTCCTGTTGAGCTCATTGCAAACTTGTGGCAGGCCAACAGACATAGGCTAACCTACAAGGCCCTCAAGGATCCCCGGACGCAACATTGCCAGTGCACGATGGACAGCGTCGTAACCTTTGTCACATCACAGTCTGCAGGGGACCATGATGACGCTGACTTCATAGTGTGCACTTAAGCAACTCGCAACGCACCTAGTGTTGCTGGCACCGAACTCTGCGGCTGCGCCGCAGCTTTTCTCTCCGGGGCGGCCTCGGCGGCCGCGCGAGAGTTCCCGGCCCAAGGCAGCAGGCCGGGCCCGGCGGGCGCCCGCAGCGGGCAGCCGGCAGCGTCCAACAACAGAAGACTCAGCGCTGAGTCAGTGTGTTTTGGGCGCAGCCACGTGTCGCGGCCGATGCCGAGCGGCTCTCCGTGGCGCGCGTCCAGCACTGTCAGCGCGCAGTCTGCCGTGCCCACATACAGCGACAGCCTGCGCAAAAACTATCCTTTGAGCAGTCCTTTCTGTCCCAAGAATTTCCTTTCATATCAAAGATGATAGTGTGCACATTGATTGACAACATTCAAAGCAGACAAAGGCAGAGCTAATCGCATTCACAGAAATCACATTGCTGTCTTCTGCCAGAATACATAGATTTTGCATAATATTAGCAGAGGAGGCTAGAATGTGTCCAACATGCATCCGTATGGCATGCAATAAGTCTTTGCAGACCTGAAGTGAATTTCCATTGGCTTCAGGTATTCTCTGCTCACCTGGACTCTACGGGAGCCTCTGACGAAGGTTCGCCGCGCCGGCGCTCCGAGCTGGTCTTTGTAGGCATGAAGCTGTGCAGGCCAAACGCCGCCGCTGCAATGGGCTGGTCCGACAGGTGCTTGTAGAACTCCACAGACGGCTGCAGGGAGCACAAAACATTGTCTCTTTGAGCCTCTCTTCATTTCCTTGTTCACTTGCGCAGACAAGGTTGCCATGGGCAGTGTACTTCAAAGCAATGGATATGCATGCAGAAGCAGAATGCCTGGCGGTGCACCCTCATCCTCCACTGCAAATGCACATGAAGGCGGTGTCTTGTGGGATATGAGAACTTCCCAGGAGACTTTATCATGCACGTTCTCGGTGCCTACAATGAAAGAACTGTGTGGTAGATACTGACAATGCAGCGCCACACACCCGGAAGAGGTTCAAGACGGACAGGTCTCCAGAGGCGTCCCCGAGCGCGACGAGGCCCGCTTTGGACGCTATGCACGCTGTGTTGACCGCCACCTCATGCATCGTCACCCTCAGCACTGCCTGGTACCCCGCAGGCTGCTTCGCCATGCTCTTTTCTGGTGGACCCCTGTCACGAGCATTACCCGTCAGCTTGCTTCCTAATTTTCCTGTAGTGTAGTGAACTCTGGGGCAGTCATCTTGTTTTCTGACATTGCCATAGACAGGCAGTGTCTACCATAGAGCATTTGGGCAAGAAATCGATGTAGAATACGTTATGACGGGCAGAACAATAATCAAAGGTGTAGCAATTTCATGGGTCTCATGGGCAGTCAATGACACGCTTGGAAGTGTCATGAGGCATGGCTCGGGAAGCAGCTCACTTGCTGGAGTGGTCGATGTGGATGCAGGTGACCTCCTGCGCACCTGGGCTGAACTGGTACACGCGCACCTCGCCCTTGTCATGCGCCACCACCAACAGCCCCGACACAGTGCACACCTGCCCACACAAAATCCCACTTTTTACACACTCAATTTCCAATCTGACCTCTGTTTTGTAGACTAGCTCGGTTCACTGCTCCCTGGCAAGCAGTGACTGATTCACAGCAGCTGTGAGGGCAGCGCATCTACATGGTCAAAGATGGGCCCCATTTTGGTCAGAAAGTAAAAAATTGGATGGAGACAGGACCTGCATGGCGCAAACAGCGCGCAGCTTCCCGCCGGCGCCGCCGGCATCGAAGGGCACGGTTGCCAGCAGTCCCGGCACCTCCCCTGACATGTCCCACACGCGCACGCGGCCGTCCCGGTGACCCGTGAAATACAGCGGCGCTGTGGCCGGCTGCGTCTCGGAGCTCTGCTGCTCCGCATCGTCCTCATCTTGCGATCCGCCTGCTCAGGTATGCAGACTTGACTCTGTGAGGGTCATATTTATGGCTGCACTGCAATCCTGAGATCCTGGTGAACATTTTCGTCCCAGGAAACAGATTGTTCACGTGAAGGAAGCCTATGTTTATCTCAGATTCAGTGGATTTTTTAGGAGTCCATGTTTCAGTCAAGCAATCGCAGCACTGTCTGATGCAGAGTCAGGATTGCATGGCCATTAAAAGGTATTTAAATTACTGCAGGGAGGCAGCACCTGCTGGGGGGCTTGCTGATGGAGCGGTGGCCACCGCCGGGGGACCCGCCGGGCGCCCCCCGGAGAGCACCCAGCGCCATCGGCGCGAGACGCCGCGCGACTCGGGTGAGTCGGTGGCCGCAGCTGTGCCGCGCGCCGCACAAAGGGCCACAAGGCTGACGGCGTGCGGGAAGCTCTCAGCATCCTGCATGCACTCGCACCCATCTGGTTTGATCTCACTTGAAGGATGTTCCGTAAGTCATTCATCCTACGTCGTCATGGGCCTACGTTTGCCAGGAGAATACAATCAGCACTAGCTCAGCCGCCTGACAAACAATGGGTCCTGCATCACAGGAAATGCAAGAAAATTACCCAGAGCATGTCAGATATCTAGGCAAGGCAAGATCACATAGCCATGGCTCCACCTCCAAATGCAATGCGACCCTCCACAAGGTAGTCACAACATTAATCATGCTCATCTATGTGGCAGACCGCTAGTTGGGTCTTGCTTGGGTCTGGTGAGACCAACAAGGGTTAGGACATTTGGCAGCCTCTACCTGCAGATGCACCTACCTGCAGATGCACCTTGCCTCTGGCGTAAAAGTGTGACAATAATATTAGACCAATGAGCCTCAGGTGGCTCCCAAAAGGTGTCTAAAATGTTTTAAATTGAATTACTAATAAAATTAAGTCAGACAGAACCTCACCTCTCCTGCCAGAGGCTCCCCAGGGGCGAAGGCAGAAGCAGTGACAGGTGGCAGCTCCTGAAAGGGCAGCGAAAGGGGCACAGGCTGCAGCGTGCGTAGGTCATGCACCATCAGTTGACCACCCTCGCTGAGAACGATGAGCGCCGCCATCTCACCGGAACCCCCGCTGCCACAACTGCCCTCCGGGGGGACCAGCGAGAAACCCTGCACCGCCCCAAACCACGGAAGCACCCGCGCCCCCTCCGCCTGCACATCATCTACCTTTAGGGTTTGCTTTCCAGAGGAGCGACAGAATGTTACCAGTGCAGCTGGCTTCTGAAGCAGTGCTGCCATGCATTGGGCCATTGGTCTGTGCGCAAATGTTGGAAAACACAGGCATACTGGAGTAGCACGGATAGCAAAGACTGCTGCCGGTACATGATTGTGACAGGGGTAAAGTAACATATCTTCAAGGAACTGGCAGGGCTTCTTGTCGTGTGATATCGAGTCGTCATGTGATGGCCTTCAGGCCCATCTCAGGGGCTACAGTATCTGGTTCATCACCAGTTAGATACTCCCCGCAGCACTTTCCGCCCATCTGGATACGCGGGTGGAAAAAAAATTGAGTTCCTAAGCAATCGAGGGTGTGTAAAAGGGTCTCCATCACACCTCTTCCGAGGGGGCCTGCAGCGGCAGCATGCTGAGAACATCCGGCTGTTCCGCGTCCTGCCCGCCGAGCACCAGCAGGCCGCTCTGGCCGCCGGATTTGGCGCCCGACACGTGCCGCAGCGCGCGCACCGGCGCGGCCGGCTCGCCGATTGGCGCCACTCGGAGCTCCGCGTACAGCAGCGCCTGTTCTGGCATCTCTGGCGGCGTCTCCCCTGCCAGAACAGGATCAAGGGTCTTATGTGTCTGTTAAGGGTGTTGCAGATTTTCTACCTGCAAGACCATCTGTCTGTCACCCTAACTCATATGATTTCTGTGGCGGACTTGATGTCTGGCAACTGTATCGCCAGTTCCATGCATGATTATCTTAAGGATCTTTGGAATTTAGCTGTGCCCTTCAGAACCTCTAATGAGTGTGTTTCTGCAAACGCAGAATGTGCAGACAAACGGTATTTTCTCAAGGATGGATGCATGCGCACAATGCCTCAAATGCAAGACTTGACATGCGACTCCCTTTATTTGTCAAACAGAATAAAAAGCATGAGGTGAGCGGACATGCCTGTGGCGCTCTCGGGCAGGCCCCAGACGCGCACGGTGCCGCTCTTGTGCCCGGTGGCTATGCAGTCCCCCCGAGGCCCCACCCAGCAGGCAGACACGGTGGGGTCACTGGGGCACTCCTCCCCAGACTCTGAATCTCTCATTCCCCCAGTTGCGCTGTGCGCGCTCCCCTCGTCAGTTGCCACCTTGAAGCTGTTGTGCGCGTAGGCCACTACACACTGGTACCTGCATTCCATAGCAGGAGAGCATGATCAGAGGTTGCATGCGAAGAAGCACGGGTTAGCCCAGAAAGCATCAATGCCTGAGTTTGAGGATGCAAGCTTTGTCATTGATATAAAAAGCTAGGATATGATCTATGTTTTGCTTAATAAGGCGGCATCACAGCAGTGACGAGCAGGAAAATATGGTTGTCTCGGGACTGAAATGCAAGCAAACCGGTGGAATCTTAGTAAATTGGTAGATTGATGACTAGGCTTGTGGAATGGCAAGTTGGGTGGGACATGCCTCAGGTCCCAGATCACTGCACCGGAGTCCTCATGCACGATGAGCAACCTGTGCTGGTCGCCCAGTGAGTGCGCAGCCAGCACAGCAACAGCGCCTCTGGCTATCCCAATGTCGTCCGTAGTAACTGCAGCACAGAACCCACGTTACAGGGGCACTAGTTATTGGGGAAGCCACAAAAGCAAATATGTTTGTTGCTTACAGGCCGAGAAAGAGAATTTAGCAGAGCAGTAATCGCACTTGTGTGAGGCATCTGGCTGAGAGTGCAGGCCTCCCGAGCGCCCAGGGCCAAGCTGTTTGAGGATCCCATCAGAGCGGCAACCTGCCAGCAGCAGCGGGTCATCAAACATTCTCCTCATACCATGCTAGACTTTGACCCCTTTGAAGAGTTCCTAAAATGCCTCTTCTCTTCCATGCACATTTGTTGCAAATATGGGCTTTCATGGTCACAAGCGCGCATGGAGCAGTCTTGCCGATAAATCAGAGACACGATTGGTTTAGAGGAAGACGGATTAAGGATCAGGAGCAGTGCAAAATGCACCGCAGCACGGACCTGTATGTTCCCGCTGGCGCAGCCCAGAAGCAGATATGGCTCCTCAGTGAGAGGTTCCACTACTGTGATGAGGTCATCCCCAGGTGGCATGCTGTCCAGCAGAGCTGCTGCCTCAATTCCCCAGAGCTGCACATCTCCCTCCTACAATCATGAACACACTTCATCAAATTTTGGACTGACGCATAATTGCATGCATGCCTTGAGCCCCTTTGCGCCACTGCATTGCAGTTGACACGCCCTGAGCAATCCCCCATGAACCCTTGCTACCGTGGTCTCTTGATTAACAGGTTCGCGCAAGTGTAGCAGATGAGGTGTGGCGCAAAATAGAAAACTTTTCTTGCTAATGAGGGGAAGCCGAGAATGAAGCTGAGGTGGCCCACCTGCGTGACGCGCAACAGGGCGCCTTTGCCATTGAGGAACTGCAGCTGCTTTGTGACGCACTGGCAGGGTGATATGAAGGTTCTCTCCACGCCATCCCTTCCAAACACCTTCACCCGTCCATCTGTTGTGCCCACCTGTTGTGAAAGATTTGCGTTATTACTACCTCTTCACAAGAGGTGATGGGCAGTACTCCGACAGAAAAGTCCCCCAAAACTTAGTCTGAGGCTGCCAATAGATAGCACACAAATTGGAAGTGCCTACAATATTCAAGTTGTCGTGCCAGAAGTAAGCATACCGCGAGGAGCCTTTGGACAGGGTCATAGGCCAAGGAATCAGTGGCATCAGGGAATCCTGACTGGCCAAAGAATCTCGGCTGAAGGCTAGAGAATGTAATCAGATCTTCTGCCAGGGTGCGTCCGTCGTTGCGCAGGACTCGTTGTAGCCTTGAGCTCTTCATGCTGTGTTCCAAGGTTTTCTTGTTTAGCACGGAGAAGGCACAAACAGGGCCCTACTTTTCTGCAGACAATCAAGACTTGAAAAGAACCTATCTTGCTGTCCTTCTACCCAAGGCTACAGCATTCATGTTACAAAAACTCGTGAAGCTGTTGACCATCAAGGCCTATTCTTTCCCACGCCAAGAGGCTTTTTTGTGTTGTCTTGGCGCTGCAACTTTCAGTGGTCAAGAAAAATAAGGCGTCTGCATCTTTCCCTGTTCATTTGCCGTGATTACGCTAGGAAAACATCCCGGTCAAAGACAGCTAGCACATGGAATGTTTCGACCGAGGCCGGAATATTACTATTGACTATCTAGCTTTTGTCAGGACGTTTTGCCTTCGACTCTTGGAATAGCTAGGTACGTTGCCCCACTCTTTGCTTCTTGCATGCAGAAACCCAGTAGTACTGGGCCAGTACCTTCTCAAGATCTTGGGAACGAGGAAAATTGACAACGCCGCTGCGATGATGCAAGTCAGCTTCCATGGAAAACGCAGCTACACCCCCCCTGAACATTTGGAGATTATCCAAACGCGGATCAGAGAGGTGCATGCAATGTTGAACCACAGAGGCACCGCAAAGGCACTGAAAATTGTTGCACCTCTGGGAAGAAATTTCGAAGCTCTGGGCGCATCTTCTCTGGCATGCTGACACTACTTGACCATCATCATTGTCTGTAACATATATATTTAGCCCGTATATCAGCAATCGTGAATTGATCGCCGACACGCGCAACTCACCTGTGCCGAGGAGCCCATCGGGTCACTGAAATCCAGCGAATGCGGTTCAGAACAGCAGTGGCATGGAGATAGAGGAATGGATTACGTAGCTGTTTACAAGGGGGATGAACGGCCGCAAGGACATGGTGGCATCTGGCAGGGTTGGACCTAGAGGATAGCCTGCCATAATGGGCATCCGCGAGGCCTGGAATGCCTGTTGGGACCATGCAAACGATCACATTGGAAAATCAGCGGTAAGTCATGGATGCAAATCTGGACTAAACAGTAGCACCACGAACGGGGGTTATTTTTTGTGGTTTTGGTGGTCAGGCAGCCCATCTGGAGCTTGCTTCTGAGCCCTCCTGCTGACGCTTATAGGTGGGGAGATACTTCCAGTTGGAGGAGAGGAGGAGCACCTTCACGCAAGAGCTGCGGGCCGGAACTGTCACATTTCTCACTGTGAGTGTCCGCTTCCACTTCACATCCACTCTCTTGCTACTGCTTGGTCCTCCTTATTGTCTTCCTGACCCCAATGGATGCCTGACATGCCAGGAACTGAAATGCTTCACAGTCGATGGCAAAGCAAATAGTGTAGAAAGTGAGACTGATATCCCTTTGTGCAGACTGCCTACATCCTCGCTGTGAATGCGCTCATTCTCTCGGACACCGGCGGCCCTTGCAGCGCAGACGACTGCACAGTGCGTCCTTGAACTGCTTGACTGTTACATTGCCAGCGGCCAAGTCAATTGCCTGCTCTTCAAGCAACAACAGCGCCTTTACTCTCTGCCATTGAGCTGTGCAGGGGCCTGAGAAGGGAAACCAGGATTGCGTGTACCCAGATGACTACGGAGTGACAAACATCGGATACATGACATGCGTGGTGAGGCTTCACCCTTCACCACTGCTAATCTATTCCACACTGATCCATTGAAACGGCCCTCACACAGCAGTGCCTCTTTTTAAGAGTCAAATACTCAAATATTGTGATGGGCTGGCAGCACCTTTCATACTTGAAGGATATGAGGCGCAAACAATATATCGCCATGGTAGATGCAGTGGAGTACGCCGATCTGTAGTGGATCGATGCAGTGAAGCTGTGAGCAAGATCTCTGCCAGGCTCTGCTATCTCATTCTGGCAGCGCAAGCTTTGCCTGCCAATGGATGTCATGTCATCTGCGCTGCGCTGCGCAGGCGGGGGTACGGCAGAGTTTAGTGACGGCGACGGCTGCCAGCTCATGCATAGCCTCGCTGCTGATGGGCATAGGCGCCAATCTGCCGGTGGCATTGGCCCCCGGCATGGGCCTCAACGCCTACTTTGCCTACAACGTGGTCGGCTACAGAGGCAGCGGCAAAGTGTGCACTCCTCTTGTCTTGCTCTCCGTTGCCTGCTCCAATCGATTTGCAAGCCTCATTTGTGACCCAATTTTTCTTTTTGAGCAAGCCTCTTGTTTTGACTTGTCACAATAAGATCCTCTCGGCACTGATAAGACGAGTCTCACAATGCATTTAGGAAGTGTGTAAAATAGTGTGAGCTTATGAGAGATGCACAAGCGCAGGAAAGAAGCAGTGAACTGCAAATTCTCTGGTGGGTAACAGGTGAGCTATCAGACAGCGTTGGCGGCGGTATTTGTGGAGGGGTGGATCTTCATCATTCTGGCTGTCACCGGCCTGCGCCTGCGCCTGATCAGGCTGGTGCCCAAGTCCATCATGCTCGCCACATCAGCAGGTCTGCCCTTCTTCTGACTAGCTGACTGGAAAAATCCCAGAAAGTGCCAGAATGCAGCTGCTTGACGCCTGCATGAAGCTACAGCAAGGCCAAGCCTGGGGTCATGATGCTCAATCTCTGTCAGCCTTATTCTGCTGCCATAATACAGATCTGAGCTGGGAGAGTCCAGTATTGGTCTTGCTGCCAACTAGTCCAAATGAAAGCTACTCCACTTTGCAGCAAGCCTGTTTACCAAGACTCTGCAGAAAAAATGCATGCGGGAAGAGTTGGCGCGCAGCTTCTGACTGCTAAATTGTTCCACACAAGGCAGGAGTTGCCTGCTGAGTGCTCTGCTGCACTGCAGGCATTGGCCTGTTCCTGGCGTTCATAGGGCTGCAGAGCACGGAGGGGTTGGGGGTCATCTCCTACGATCCAGCCACCCTCGTAAGCCTAGGCGGCTGCCCGGCACTGAAGCATGTGAGGCCCATGCCCTTCTTCACAGACAGCTGGACAGGGAGCCATCATTTGTCCAGCCATGCAGACTTGTAACCAAGGGGATCAAGTGAGCAAGAAAGCTGAGTGCTTGTCATGCATTTCTCGGCTGCCGGCTGGTTGCAAGTGTAGCGCCACTGCATATGAGAATGCACATGCAGAGCTGATAATGTCATGCACTCCACTGCACTCTTACAGTGCCAGCTGGACCTGCTGAACCAGCAGGCATCAAGGAAAGGCACCTGACAGAATGGTGTCAGGGCCCCTTCGGCTTCGTCACTTTCACCTGCTCATTGTTACGTAGCTTGGATTTGATTTGAACTATATTGTGGCCTGCCCGAGCAGGAGTACGCGTACGTGATCGACAACCCCCTGACGGTGTGCTCGGTCACCAACGGCGTTCCCGTCACAAATCTGCCGCCGCCGTCGTCCAACTACGCGTGCGTGGGGGACAAGATGGAGAGCGGCTCCATGTGGCTGGGCATCGCTGGGCTCATGATCATCGGCATCCTCATGTCTCGTAGCTTCAAGGGCTCCATCGTCATCGGTGCGGCCCGTGCACTGATTAGAGAAAACGGTATGCGTACATCAAAGCAGAGTGAGCGCCGAAAGGAAGGAGGAAGGGCTGATTGCAAATGAGAGCAGCAGTCATGCCTGCAAGCAGAGGTGGAGAAGGACTGTCCCTGCAGAAACACAGACAAAGGGGAGCAGAGCAGACCCCCTTTTGGGGGTTCGCCAGCAGCATACATTCCAGCATGTGGCTGGACATTTCACAGAGCCGGCGGCAACACCCTTAGGAATGGCTTGACCCCTGAGTCGATGCTGGGTGCTTTAGTGGCTCTGTAGCCACCCATCAGCTCAAATGCTAGTCCAGGTTTTTTTGGAGCGCCAATTACAGATCATGTGGCTGACATTCGCAGCCAGCTAGCTTCATTGCAGTCAGACAAGTCTCTGGAGCAGATTTTTAGAGTGTGGAACCCGCAGAGCTTTCTAAGCACGAATAGCATGAGCACAGCGTTCTTGAAATGCGATGAGTTCGTTCATTGTCGGCAATCGTCGGCAATCTGACTCAGGTCATTTTCCTGCTGCTGCGCCAGGGATTGCCTTTGTTACGGTCATTGCATGGATACCGGGCCACGCTGCCTCCTATTTTGGAAAGGCTTCTACCATTCCCGGTGAGCCCAGCCTAGTCAGACCTATATTCATGCTCCCATCTGGTTTTCTCTCCTGAGCTCCTCAATGAACTCTGCATCCATCATCCAAATCTATATCCATCATCCATGCATTTCTTATAGGTCCTGCAGGTCTGGCCTGACAAGCATGCACAGCATGTCTTCTTGTACTTTGTGAGCTTGAGCCCTCATGTTCCTGCACGTACACAGCCTACAAGTCACCTGAAATATCTCTGTGAAGCTTGTCGCCTGACAACAAGTGAAATGCAGTTGCTACAACTGGGTGGAACACACGCTGTGACCGTGTGATCAGGCGGGCAGGAGCGCCTGCAGTACTTCAAGAACGTGGTGGACTTGCCGACGCTGAAGTCCACAGGCATGGCCATTTCATTCGCCGGTTTCACCTCGGGCGAGCTGTGGATAGCGCTCGTGACGTTCCTGTACGTGGACTTCCTGGACACCACTGGCACGCTCTTTTCCATGGCAAACTTCATCAACAACTACGTGCCCGGTATGTCTCTACACCGCACAGTCACTTTTCAGTGCATGCCAGCCGCCACCATAAAGTGTGCAACTAGATTGGTGATAGGATGGAAGGCTGGCTTCCAGGTTCATGTTGGGGAATGCAGCTGCAATTGCTCCATGCCCCTGACTGCTTCAGCAACGATGGCCTGCGGCAACCCATACTGTATACTGCAAATGGATCCGCACTGGTGTGAAGGACGTATTCCTCAGCGCGCAAGGCACTTCTCCTTGCTGCAGGGCTTCAAAGCCCAGGCTCTCACCATCCCGAAGAAATTGTTCAGCCCTTTTCAAGGCTTCATCCGTCTCTTTAGTGCGCGTTCAAGACGCCCGGTGTGCAAGCACAGGGAAGACATTGAGCAGTAGATGTACGGCTGATGTAAGATAGAACCAAGGGAGACTGCAGTCACAGGCATGCTTTGCTGGCGCAGGCTTTGTGAACGAGAAGAAGGAGTTTCCGAGGCAGATGATGGCCTTCTGCATGGACGGCATCGGCTCCATCATTGGCAGCCTCATGGGCACATCGCCCATTGCGGCCTTCATCGAGTCGGCCTCCGGCATCCGCGAAGGCGGCCGCACCGGCCTCACCGCCGTCTGTGTCTCCGCCTGGTTCTTCGTCGCGCTCTTCTTCACGCCCGTCCTCTGTGCGCCCCCCTTATCCCTCACTCTACTGTGACTTTTGTCCTGAATAGCGCTCAATTTCCTGGCGTCCTTGTATGTTGCTGTGGAAGGGTACAACAAAACATCTAGGAGAGCATGGTTGGGTGACTCTTTTTTTGGCGGCCTCACCGCCGTCTGTGTCTCCGCCTGGTTCTTCGTCGCTCTCTTCTTCACGCCCGTGCTTTGGGGGTCCCTGCACTGGCTGCCCTATTTTTTCCGTGCAAGCGGCTGCATGTGGCTGTCAGCGGCGCATGGCGTAGCAAGAGAAGCCTGAATATGTGTTCATCTTCTGACCTGAAGAGTCTTTATATTTTAAAGAATCTTTACCGCGCATTCTGGGTCGTGCTGCGGTCTTCTTCACGCCCGTGCTTTCTGGGCCCCGCTGCCCTCTTGGTTTCATCAAGCAGACCTCTCTGCCATGATTCTGTGATCTGGCCCTTGGCTGGAATTACAAGGTGCACCTAGGAGACATGGTTTGAAGAGGTCACTATGAGCTGGACGGCAAATTTGACTGCGGAACATCTGTAGGATAACAGCCAGCTGACCGCCAGCTGAAAGAGGGCCTTCCCTGATGAATTTCCCAGGATCTGTGATGCATGATTTTCCTGTTGACAGCCAGCATGCCCCGGCAAGCAGCCGCAGACTAGCACCTTGGTAATGAGAAAGCAACAGGTTCAAAGAGGGGTGCCCACACAGATCATGCCACGGTCAGCTGACAAGCAGGCCAACATGGGTGTTTATTATTGTTATTATCATCATCATTATTATTATTATTATTATTGTTATTATCATTATCATTATTATTATTAATGGGTATTTATTAAGTGCGTATTATTACAACCTACTGTTACTGAAACCGTTCAGTTTCAATTGCGCGCAGCGAACGTGCCGCCGTACGCGATCGGCCCGGCGCTGATAACGGTGGGGGCGCTGATGATGATGAACGTGGTGCGCATCCGCTGGGAGCAGTCTGCGGAGGCGTTGCCCGCCTTCATCACCATCATATTAATGCCCCTCACCTACTCCATCGCCTACGGTGCGCCCACCCTTTCTACCCTGGTAAATAAAAGTAATTCTGCCTTTTCCGCATCCCTGCTACGCATGCTGTCTAGAATGCCCCATCTAAGGTCATCTGCTTAACAATGACGAGAGGAATACATAGCAGGGAAGTTTTATGGAAATAGATACAAATACCCCTGTACATAGTGGGTCTGGGGGGTCTATAGTATGTAGTCATGGTGTCAAGTATGAATCCCCCTGGAAGTCAGCACAAGACGTTGACAAGTATGAGCCGATGCGCTCACCAACCCCAGTGCAGTCCGGCAATATTGCCCCTGGCCTGTTGAAGGGAGCTGGCATGTGCGGGCAGAAACTTTGGGGCATGTCCTGTTGAGGGTGTGGCAAGCATGCTGCCAAGCATCAAAGTCTTGTGCATGCACTTGGGCACCTGTGCACACAATGAAGTTCACATGACTCTGCCTTGATCAGGAGGATTTCCAAATCTACAGTGCCATTGACAGCATTCTTTCTTCTGTTGCTTCCAGGCATCATCGGCGGGCTGCTGGCGTACATGATTATACACAGCGCGAACTGGATCATCGACAAGGTCAGCGAGTTCGGCCACTGGACTATGACTGGCACCGACACGGACGTCCCTGTCATCGTGGACCGCTCCTTCATCGGCCGAGTTGCTTCCAACACCGGCACTGCCGGCCTGGTGCGCAGCCCCGCTGAAATTGTGAACTTTCTATGAGAGTCTGCAATTCTGTCGCCGTGCCCCGGCGCCCTTTTCTGGGCGGTTGCCACACAGAAACTGTGGAGATACTTCAAAGATTGCAAAAAACGAGTGCTTGTTGGGGCAATCATGGTTTGAGAAGCTGTCATTGGGCAATGTACAATCTGGACAATGCAACGTTGGTGACTTATCCCTTTTACCTGATTTGTTGCAGGGGGGGCGGCCCTCGGCCAGCAACGTGGTGAGAGCGATGGCGTCTGCCGCGCGCAAGAGTACCACCGCGGCTGTGGGCACCTCTGACCACACTCCTGTGCGCTCTTGATATCAAGCAGTCCTAGCTGCAGCTGTTTGCAAGCGTTATGTCTTGCATTGAGCAAAGAAGCAATTTCATGTGTTGAGTCTATGTGTTGAGTTTGCTGCGCTAGAAAGTTCAAGGACTTTGCTTGTTGTTAAAAATTGATGTGGAGCTGCAGTGTTTTGCAAGGACCAGGACCTACCGAGTACTACCATGTCTTAACTTAATGTGTGCCCTGGAGCATGCTGCAACATCCTCTGGAATCTTCAGAAGGCCAAAAGAAAGGCAGACTTCGTTATCATGTGGTTGCTGGGCAGGAGGCAACGCCGCCGGTGTCGAGGAAGCCTTCGGTGCAGGACACAAAGGATCTGGAGCTCAGCGGCAGCGGCCGCCCGCCGCGCAGCCCGCTCAACGGCCCAGATCGCGTCTGATCAGGCGGCCTCGGAGGAGGGATCGCCCCCAGCCGGGCGCGGGCACGTTGCCTCAACTAGCTCATCCCCGATTTGGCGCATCGCCTGAGTTATCTCATCGCTCGAATTGGCGTGTCGCTTCAATTAACGCATTGCCCGATTTGGCAGGTTGCCTGAGCTGGCGCGCTGCCTCTTCTGGCGGATCATTGAATCTGGGATTGCTCCGCCGGTGCGTTGTCCTTTCTGGGGAAAGGCGCGAACAGGGGTTCCTCTTGTGACCTGCCAGGCAGTTGCAGAGGGCTGATACAGAGGGGGTCTCGCCAGAATGTGTATTTCTCCGGTCATTACCCTCGAATGACGCCCAGCAGATAGGGGATCCTGAAGGTTAGGGGTCAGTGGGACGCTGGACAGCAGCTTCCATTGTGGTGCTCAGTTTGCAAGGGGGAGTGTACTGCAGCAATTTCGATTCCACAACCCTTGCGAATTCACCTGCCGCAGTTTCACCCGACGAGAGGGGTGACCGAATGATGGCAATCTTCTGGGATAGGGCAGTTGAGAAGCAAACTTGCTTTGACTTACACCATGTGCGCCAGCCTTTCCACCGTCTTGTGCTTGGAGCACAAGCAGGGGGACCCTTGAAAGCTTAACACTTGGTCATAACATCTGCTATCCGTGTCGTTGTATAAAAGTATTACACTGTTGTACAAAACGCATGCCCCGAAAGATTGACTGCCATTTGGGCATCAACGCTCAAGGTCAGTGCAGACTTGAAGTATGCCACATAGAGTTGAGTTGGGACCCTCAACCTAGACGATTTATGCACGTGCCGGTTGAAAACTACGGCTGGGGACGTTTAGTGTCTGCCATGCCCCATGATGCCGCAGTCCTGTGCCCCTTGATAGGACCCATGTATTTAATGTCTATTATGGGCAAGGATGGACCTAGTTGTAATCATCATATGTAATGACTACATGAGATCGAGTTCATTGTGCATGCAAGGCAGCTAGTAATCCGCGTGTTTCGACATTTGAGCAAAGAAGTGTGACAGGGATGTGGAATTGCTTGAGCAGACCGAGGCAAGCCTTCCATGCATGTGCTGCCAAAGTATTAATCCCCCCGGCCAATGAGTCATCATCGTTGCAGCACAGCACATGCAGAAGCCACGGGCATGCAGTAAGCCTTTGCCCATAAGATTGGTGCTTGGGTGAACTGGTAAATGCAGGTGCCCCCTAGGGCCGGCAGCTTCCCTGCAGCGCATCAGTGACTGCATGCGGTGATGGCGACAGCCTGCTGCAGAGAGTTTTGCATGGCCTGGAATAGCTCTACAAGCTGCCGCAACGGCGGCGCGGCCACTGCTTCGGCCAGACGCCACGGCTCTAGACATCTGCGCCATCGCGACCGCAACTGATCAGCTTGGCTGAATGATTACGTAAAATTGCAGGTCGGTTAAAAAAGCTCCTGCCGTATGCTCTACAAGTTTGTTTGTCAGGTTCTTGAGCTTTCAGTGGTGTCTAGGTTATTTTGAATATTTTTTTGAATTTTACCCTACTGCGGAAGTTGCGACGTGGATCGACCTCTCGCTTTCGACATTGCAACGATCGGGCCATATTTCTTGTATTTGTGGTGTCTCTGCGTAACTGCAGATCATTACAAGCTCGGTTGTTCCACTTTTGTGTAACAGGCTAGAGTGGATTAATAGTTGAACGAACAATCTTGCAGGAGTCCTCTGGTCTTTTATTATTCAGGTGAGCTGCATGTACTTACCTTGGCAATCCTGCTTGTGCGGTTGAATTGCATGGATCCAAGTAGCGTTGTGAGTGCAGTATCACGGTTTCGCACTTTGATTGTCGTCGATCCTATTGTGAAGCAGTCAAGCGGTAAAGATTCGATATTTTGTCGATGAATGCAATGAAAACAAATTAATTTGACGTTAATATTGTTAGCTGATTTCAAGACAGATTCCCCAAAAATGTGGTGATAAGGGACTATTCTGCAGGTCGATGGAGAAGATTTATGTTCAAGCTCATGAAGAAGCTCTCGAAAAGAGTGACATTGACAATTTTGTATCATTTACTGCAATATCGGTCTCCGCGGGTCGCTTAGCGGAAGGAATGCGTGAGCATCCGCTGTTCAGGGACCCTCTCATCGCTGAAATGCTGGGAAGCTCGGAAGGTATACTTCATGGCTACCGTACTCTACAAAATATCCTTAATGTGTGCAGAAAAATACGTTGTCGATGCGTTTTAGTTCTGCTAGGAATGAATTAGCGCTCTGCGTCTGCCTGCTCCCACGTTAAATCCAATCTTGATCTCGCGTTTTGGTGCAGCCATCCAGGCAGCTGCAAAGCATTTCAGGGAACTTGTATTGAAGCAGGAGGAGGAAAATCCAGGCACACATGTCGTCAACATGGTGGTGCAGCGCACAAACTACCTGGATGACAAGCTGATGGGGGCTCTGGCTGCAATGCCAGTCAATGTTGCTACTCCAGTGAAGCGACAGGTCAGTCACTGAAGTCATATGACTTCATGTCATGCATGTCATCCAAAGTCACTGCAAAGCTCCCTATCACTGTATATATGAACAGTCATAAAGGCAAGCTTGAGCGCTGTTCCCTCGTAACTCCACCTGCATGCAAGCATTGCATTCTGCTAGATAGGGCGTGTCATGCTTGACTGCAAGCTGGCAATTGGTGCACCTGGCCGGGTGATGGAGATATGCCAGGCAGCGGAAGACGCATGAAGCAGACCCATTAGGGAGGACGCTGTCCCCCTGAAGGAAGCCGCTTGAGCGCTCCAAAAGCACGCTGACAAGAAATTTCCAGCATAGTGTGTTGAGACACCTTCTGTTCACCACAGGTTGTGCTGCTTGGTTCTGGGCTCGACACAAAGGCGTGGCGGCTGGATTTCCCGAGCGGCACAGCCATATTCGAGGTGGACCAGAGGGACATGTCAGGCTTCAAGCATCGGCGGCTGGAAGCCATCAAGGCTCAGACGGATGCAGCGTCAGATCCTGCCAAATTTAAACACCCCCTGAAAGCTGCCAGCTGGACGTCGGTGGGCACCGACCTGATGCACCCCGAGTGGGTGGCTGACCTGGAGGACCAGGGATTTCAAAAGGGTGCGTCGCAGATTTATATGGCTCCCAAATGCAGCTTGCTGCCCAGATCACAGTAGGAAGCTTATTGTAACCTCTGGATTGAGCATCAGAGCTCTACACTTATCTCTCCTGACATTTTAATCCCAGGAGCCATGTTCCAGCTAGACAGAAGACATATCCTTGGACCGGAGGCAATCTCTCTTGAAGCTGAAGCTGCCCAACTGTGCGCTCATTATTGCATGCTCTATAAGGCGATTGTTTGTGCTTGCCGGCAGGGCTGCCAACAGCGTATGTTGCAGAAGGACTGCTGTACTATCTGAGCCCAAATGCAGTTAAGAGTCTGCTGGCCACCTTGGCCGAGATCTCAGGGCCAGGTAAGCCCCCTCCTAATCTAAATTTAAAAATTCAATTAATGCTCATGTGTGTAAAGCAAGGAAGTTCATTGCATGCTTGTCATCAATGTGTTAAAATTTGCTTGTAGCTGTGGTGGCACTGAGTCACGTCTGCCCTGCGTTGCCTTGTACAATATCATCAACGAATCTATCCTTGTCCAGAATGCTTATTTCTGATTGAAAACAAAAAAAAACAAAAAAACAAAACAATATTCACATTTTGGTGGTGTCCTTTCTGCTGCAGGCAGCGCGCTGCTGTTCAGCTGCATCAACGAGGGGTTTTACAGCGGTGCCAAATCAGACCTGTCCAAGGCTGGCACAGATGGCATGTGGGCAACCACCCTGAAGTTCACCGAAGCGTTCCAGTTCGGCATTACAGACGACGTGGCCGGTTTTCTGAGGCCCCTGGGCTGGGACGCCTCTGCAGACGGGGCTGTAAAGGATGTCAGAAATGTGTACCAGGTGCGCTGTCCTTTCTGAGGCTGCAGGCAGATCAGTAATTTTCATGCCAGCTCTGAATTAAGATTGAAGTGTTCATGGAGATGCCATAAGGAAGTAGGCTGTCAAGGTAGAGCCATTTAAGCAAGTGCACTTTGTTGCATGCCTATAGTTTTCTTCATCAGCAGCCTTGCAGGGTGCTAGAACCAAGTGGGCAAATCCGTGGAGGACAGAGTCACCGCTGTGAGCACTGGCAAAAGGGGTCGCAGTGGTGTCTATCCTGCACTGGCTTGCTCTGAGTGCAAGCTGGCCGCCGCTGATCAGGGAGGGATAACACAGACAACACTGCTGTCACAGCAGGCCCTTGCATCTGTATTGAGATACCAAGTGAGAGGACTCTTGCTTGCCTGCAGGCCTACGGTGTCCAGGAGTTTCTGCCACCCAAGGGCTTGGGCTTCGACAAGAACAGGGAAGAGAATGAGAAAATGTTTGGGCCAAAGGTCTACTATCTGGTCAACGCGCGCCTCTCGCCTTGAGATTGGCCTCTGGGCTATTGAAATTGCTTCTTTTAGCACGAAAGACCGAGTCTGTGATATTCTTCACCAGAGCAGATGTCCTTTGCAAAGGAGTTATTTGCCAGTGAGAGAAAAGTATGATCATTGTGTATGTTCTGAGCTCTTCACGTGAGGCGCTGTCATGACATAATATCTATAGTTGGCAGCTGATATGATCATAGTGAGTGAGTGTGATTCCTAATGCAATTGCGAGGAGCCCCCCGGCCCGGGTGCGTTGTGTGAAGAAGAATGGGATTATCTATGTGACTAGAGCGCTACTGCGCAATTTGCTGCTTTTCTGTGGCAGAGTTGACTGCATGGTGGTTTGCGCCATCGTGGAATGTGGTGTATATTAATGCTCGCATGCTAGCAGTGTTGGGAAGATTTTTGGATGCAGCGCAAGCGCTGATAGGGCATGCGCATTTGCGAATTTTTTGCTGTAGATTATTTGGGTACTGGCATTTTGTATTTGAGTTCTTTTTAAAGTTATGACCTTGCTGGCGGTGCATGCGCATCCAAGTGGGGTGAGACATCCTGGGAACCCGGAGCTCCTCCTCGGCCTCGGCCGAGGAGAGTCTCTGTTCAATGGGGGATTATTGTGTTGACTTGTATTCTTTAATTCTTTCATTGTTATGTAGAATGATGAACTGTCTTGAGTGATGTCTTGAGATCTTGTACATGCGATGTAATGACAAAAAGGCACCTTCTCTTGGATTCAAGTGCTTTACTGTGTGTTCCCTGGATAGGATACGCTCCTTGGATTATGAAAATGGGAAGAGCAGCTTCAAGTGAACATTCGTTGGAAACTTTCAACTTAAACTGTATCTTGCTGCGTGTGCAAGTCCTACGAGGCCATTAACGACTGCGCCATCACAAAATTGCACACAATTTGTGAGCACGCAAGGGTAACGTTGTCCAGCTAGGAGTAAGTGTCTCCTAACGGTGGACCAATCTGGCCTCAGTTGTCTGTGATGTCGTGGGCAGATAGCATTGTTGTGTCTGTGAGCGGGTTGTCTCGCCGTGAGAGGGACGTCGTCAGCAATATCGTGGAACAGGCAGGAGGGAGGTATGATATGCCACTTCGATGTCCCATCCAGCTGATAGCCTTGATATTCAGCTCGTGCATGATGAGAACAGTCACATAAATGGGTACCTTTAGCAGTTCCACACAAGTCAATGCTGTTTGCACAGGTACACACCAAGCCTCAGCAGGCGTTGCACGCACCTGGTGGTGTCCCATGATGCTGACGTTGCAAGCTCAAAGAAGCTGGCCCTCGCACTTCACAACAAGCCAAAGTGGGGCACGCACATCGTCTCCTTGGAATGGATCTCATCATGCCGTCAGAGCAGCGCTCGCCTCCCAGAGAGGGAGTTTGCCTTCCCTCTGAGGCAGGAGGATGCCCCAAACCAGCAGTCCTCAGCCTGCCACGCAGCTGACACAGCTTTCAGAAGTGGTCAGCCAGCAGCATCTCATGCTAGCTCTCCCTTTGACACTGCATCACCGACACCACAGGTACACACTCTCTTCTACAAGCCATCTTGTTCCCTTATTGCATCCTTACATCCGGTCAACGGTGCTTGTCGTGACCTAATTCAAAATTGGAGCGTATCAAAGTTGAAGTTTAAGGTATTTTGAGGTATCAGAGAAGATATGTCGGAGCAGGCGCCAGCTGGCGGGCGCTCTGCTGCCAGGGCTCGCCTCACCAGACAGCGCTCGAGGCGGCTGTCGCGATTCGCCCCGGGGCCGGCCATGCATGCGCAGGAGAACGAGGCGCTGCTGCAGCACCGGCGAGAAGAACCCAGCGGCCTGCGCAAAACTGGCACCCCCAAAGCCGCGCAGAAGGGCCAGGCCCGCAGCGGCTACACCGCTGACACTGACTGCCTCACCGTCGAGGTAAGAGGCCTTTACATAACAGCCTCTTCCGGTTTTGATTCAGAAGGTCCCCTGACTGCTTGCACCTGCCTGCCAAGTACAGCACGTAGATGCAAGCCATTACGTGGATATGGAGTGTTGAGGTGTACAGAGACCTGCATAATTGTGCGCAAAGCTTTTGTCAAGGTTGTGTGCCATGCAGGCATCAGGACCAGCGTTTGCAAGGGCGCGAGGTACGGCGACGCGCATTCACCACCCGGCGCAGCAGCCGCTGCAGGAGCTGCCAGCGCCGCAGCTGCACCAAAAGCCTAAAGTGGCTGGTCGGCCGCCAGAAACACAAGCCTCACCCGTAACAGTGCAGTGTCAGCAAGAGCCGCGCACCAACGTGAACTGGCACACCATGCAACCAATGCAGAAGCTGCCGGCGTCGCAATTGCACCTGCACTCTGGGAGCGCCGACGCCACGGGCGCCCGGCTAACAGAAGCACAGCAGTTTCCAGAGCTGCGGACCAGTGCGAAATGGCAGAGCATGCAGCAGCAGCAGCAGCAGAAGCACCAGCCAGTCAGGAGCCTTTGCAGGCAGCCAGCTGGGAGTCATACCACCACCGCTCCTACAAGCACCATTGGTGGGAAAATGCCGAATTCTGGACGGTCAGAGCCGGCGAAAGTAGCCGCGCATGGAATTCTGGTTGCTTCAGGGGATGGTAGGGAGGGGGCCAGTGCAGAGCCTCTGGGAGCCTGGTGTGCCGGGGCCGCGGGCACAGGCAGCGGGGCTGTCTCTCTGAGGGGATCAGCAGGGCAGGCAGAAGGGTGGAAGCAGGGTGCGGCTGGAACCATTTGCTCGGGTGGATCAGCAGGGCAGGCAGAAGGGTGGATAAAGGGTGCGGCCGGGACAAGCGTCGACAGCCTAGCGAGCGCTCTGCTGGCTCTAAGACACAGCACCCGCGCGAGAGGCGCGGATTCTGCGCCACAAATATCTGCCACGGCAGCTTCCGGCGCGCGAGCAAGTACCATGGTAGCTTCCAGCCCTGCGGAAGCTGCTAACAAAGGGCGCCCGCCGGTTCCAAACGGCGCGCCACGCGGTGCGGCAACTTGCGAGAAGCTGCCTGCTGCACGAGCTGCGTGCGGCTCTGGTATCGCCCCCGGCTGCAGCAGAGATGACCGATACACGAAGATAACAGAGGCGAGGATCGGGGCGGAGTCAGAGGTGTGCCAGCAGAAGCGCGCAGCGCACGAGGCTGCCGCAGAGCCACGTCAGCAGCGCATATTAGAGCACCCGCAGCAGGAGGTCAATAAGACGGAAGAGTGCGTGCAGCAGCAAGAGGCAGCGGAGCCTGTCAGGGGAGTGTTTGATGGCATGCGTGTCATGCTCGACCCCGACCTGGACAAGGCTGAAACCAATCGGTGGGTGTTGCAAAGATCTCACATTCACAGAAGATCTGCAATTGAAGACCGCTTCTCCTCTACATGCCTCGCGCGTTTGTTGGGCACCAGTTGAAAGGAGACAAGAGGCCATGACGAATTAGATTGTGTTCCTCTGGTGATTGGTAACCAGAATACCTCTAGATGGGGCGCCCTATTACAGCATGCATAGCATGGATCCGCAAAAGACAGGCGTGGCTCTGCCAAATGAGGATGTGGGTCAGGTGATTTCAGTAATTGCTCAAGAAGCATGCATGCATGCAGGGTTCGGGGAGCAATAACGGCAGGCGGAGGGCAGTGCACTGCGGGCGCCTTCCTGGGCGGTTCAACCTCGCATGTGGTCTGCCTCCCGTCCGCTGCCTCAAAGTGGCTTGCAATGGGTGAGTCTCTGAGGACTCACTGAGTCTTGTGCCTTCTCACTATACCACAATCATCGCTGAGAAGACTTCCACTTGTCTTCCGGTGACTTTTTGGCTAACAACGCCAACAGTGTATCTACTGAGGTGTAAGGCAAAGGATGGAAATTGCTGTGCAGGCGTGCACGTGGTTTCACCCGCGTGGGTGCTGCAATCCGCCAGGTCTGGGCGGCAGGAGCGCTGCCTCAACCTGTCTGCAGACGCCCTGCGCGGCCTGCCAGGCACCTCGGCAGGCACACAAGTGAGTAATCTGATTACTACATCCGCCTGCAAGCTGCATGCTTCAGTTTTCTGAAAGACTCCTTAGCTCTCCAGTATCCCACGCCTCTTGAAGAAGTGCCTGCAGATCTTGCTGCTTCTACAAAACAGCAGTTGTGTATTTAGATGAGAAATGAATAGCACGGTAAGGCTTTGAGGCTCGTCAGAAGTGTTGAATTTGCGCAACCATCCGAACTGAGCAAAAGGTGCATGTTCAGGAGGTGAATGCGTGCGTGGGTGAGTCAGCAGTGACAAGCGCCAGCTCAGCAAACTCGTCTGCCAGCGATGCGCACGCGTGGCAGGCGCTGCTGGATCAGGCTGACCAGCGCGTGTCAGCGATGAGTCACCACCAGACTCCCGCCAACCTGTTGGAGGGCGTTGTCTGGGCCGTCACCGACCCGTCTGAAAAGGCTCGCCTGGAAAGTCCCAGACAAGAGCCTGGCGGCCATGACCACTGGCAAGGGCAAGCTGATTCCTTTTCGTTCACATGGTGTCTAGGTGCCAGCTTGATTTGCACGCGAAGGAAAACCTGTTGTTTACAAAGCAGGGGTGCAAAGATGAGCCGGGCTTGGGCAGAGATGGGCCACTGCTTCCCCTTGGTACTTTTCTAAGCTGCACATGATGTAGGGAAGTAAAGCACACCATCATATGCTTACCACCTTGGGCAAGACTGGCGTCACTGCCGGCCACAGCCATCTTGGTACTACAGAATTTCAAGAATCCCACATGCATGGGGGTTTGGTGCTCAGCAGGGTCACCACAGCACATCTAATGCCCGGTTTCATCAGGGCAGTTGTGGCTTCATTGACAGGCATGGCATACGCTGTGCAGGGAGGAGGATGCTGAGCTTGTCCCTGACAGCGAGGATGAATATGAGGGCGGGCTGCAGCAGAACAGCAGCAGCTCACAAGCTGCAGCGCCGTGCTCGGCTGCCGAGAATTCCTCTGCCAGGTACAGCAGAATTTTTTTTTAATTAGAGCCACTCTTCCCCAAATATTGCATGTCGCCTCACACATACCGGTATTGGCATGTTGGCAGAAAGAAGTGGCTTACCATAGAAAACCCAAAGTGGTGGGGCAACTTACATGCCCTTTATCTGCCAGAGACACCGCAGAACACTGCATTGCGTGCAGGGCCCCGGGGAAAGAGGTTGCCTTCATGAAGTCCCAGTGACCAGGGGTGACCATTTATACCAATTGAGGGAATACCAAACAGAGCAAACAGGTGGTGACAAATTGTCAGACCGCTTTGTTGTTCGGTGCATACAGCGGGGGCCGGATGAGTGCGGGGGAGTGGGATCACATAATGGTTATGGCGCCAGCGCTGACGGTGTTATTCCCTGCCGACGCGCTGGGCGCGCTGTGTCACGTCAGCCGCACGCTGCGCTGTCAGCCGCCCGGCCTCAGCCGCCGCCAGCTGCTCGCATTCGTGCACGCGCACTATCAGGCGCGCACCATCGCCTATTTCATCGTAACTAATTGCTGGTGTTATTTCCTGATCGGCTCCAAAGCATTCTGTGGAATTGAGCAAAGGGCAACTTGCTTGAAGCCTTGTAAGGCAATGGCGCCACTGATCATTGCAAGTCATGGGCATGGGTGCCAGGTATATCTTTCATGTTGATACCATTCAATGAGCACATGCATGTGACCGATAATTTCTCCTGGCAGGTGATACTAAAAATCAAACACATGTCTGGACTCAACTAACATGTGAGATGTGCCACACTCGCGCAGGAGCAGCTGAGTGCAGCCGAGATGACAGAGGCGTTGCGGGGGGGGCTGCGGACCACCGCGGAGGTGCGGGGGGCCCTGCTGGCGGGGCGGGGGGTCCGGCGGGGGGACCTGCTGGGCAGCCGGCGCAGCCTGGAGGGCCTCTCGCGCGTGTCCCGCTGCAGGAACGCCACCGTATACGAGCTTGAGCTCAGCTGCTGACTCAGCTTTGGGTGTTGATATTAGTAACCATGACAGATTCAGGGGCTTGTGACCCTGCCTATTTTTAAGAGCTGACATGCAAAGTATGTCAGGGAAGTGTGGTCAGGATGAATGAGCATAAAACAGTCAAAGACCATACATATAATGGCAATGATAGCATTTGGGTGTAAAGGGTAAATTGAGCAAGGTGCAGTTTTTATCATTACATGTTTGGCATCCACAGGTACATGTACAAGAATGCTAGATTGCTTGAAAACAGTCCCAGCATCATGCTGGCAGCATATAGTCTTACAGATTGCCTACAAGTGCTGCACAAAACCGAAGACCAACAGTGCTCCAAGCTATATAGGCCCCAATCAGATACTTGCGCATGCAAGCAATCTATCTTGCCTCCCGGGATCTTCTCTCAGCAATATTTCTGACAACGGTTATATATTTCCGAAGGGCTTCTCCAGAAAACATGCGCAAAAAAGTCTTCGGATCCTATCCTGGCCGGTGACCACCTGCAGCTGCAAAGGCACTACGGACCTCAAAGAGAGGGTTGCTCTGCGCATCTACAACGCTGTCATTCCCCCTTGCAAACCCTGGCCCGGCCCCCTCGGTCTCAATACCCTGCGCCATCTCACCACCGCTCGCGCCCACCACCACTATATCAACTTCGCCCCTTGTATTCAAATTTGAATTCAACCGCTGCTGCACCGCCTCCTCAGCAGCTTCTGCTGCCTCTGCGCTCCTCAGGGCACCTGCAAAAAATGGCTTTTCTTATTAAGCTTTTCAAAAGAAATTGCCCTACTTAGTCCTCGCAGATAAGAGTTCTTAGTGCTGCCTTGCTTAATCATGCTGATCATAGCACAAGAGCGTCCTTTTTCTATTAAAGAGCTCAAGTCCGGTGAGACTGTTCAAAACACAGGTGCACAAGGGCTGCCACGTAACAATCAGCAGATCCTATGCACATGTTGCTGGACTTACGTGGATCCTAGGTCTCTAGGGACTGGAAAACGTGTGAATGTAAGAACAATTCATTAGGAAGCAGGGAATTGAAAGTGTCGAAGAGCTCTGACCTGTGGCCTGCAGCACGTCTTGCTCTGCCACGCTGGGCTGCCGCTGCCACCTCATCGGCCGGCTTATCCACGGCAGCCGCACCCGCCACCGCCTAGAACTGCTCCTACCCCCTCTCTGCCCGCCTGCACGTGCAAAATTAACACATTATCATTGGTATTACACGCTGTTCCTGCCAGAGGCAAGTATGTCTGCGGGCAGGCTGCAGAAAAAGGCTGTCCCCTTTGGTGGGCATAAGATATGGCTCAGTTGAAATAGTATTTGTGTAGGCAAATGTGCCTTTTGACTGAGTCTGCCGCGTTCCTAATTTCACCAGAAAGCTCCGCATTGTCCTCGTGCACAAGGAGCAACATTGGGCCAATTAGTTGTTTGCCATGTGGGGCGTTGTGTGGATGACTTGAGAATGAGGTAACCTGGTTCCTGTACAAAATTCAATGGCGCAGCTGAAGCAGCCCTGAAAACTTACTGCATACGCAAGTCTCGTACATGGGTGAATGGTGCTCCTCAAGATACAATTGTTACGAGGCCTACCCAGCGGGCTTTGCTGCTGCATGCTGTAGAGCCTGACGAGCAGGCAGCCCACGATGGAGCCACATGCCAGCCCAAATACCACAGCGCTCACTATGATGATTGCGCTCACTAGCTTGCTGAAACCCCAGTTGCTCCCTCCAATCTGGCCTGCATGCCACGTTCACCATTGGTGGACCTCCAACCTGACTGCATTGTCCTTTGGCCAGTTGGTTACAACAATGTAAGCTGCGATCACAGGGAAGATGCCTTTGACAGAAAAGCTAGACCAATGCTTATTTTTCAGCACAGCACACTTTATTTTGCCTGGTGAAGTTGGCCTGAGATACTGTGGGTCAAGTTCAGCGCCAAATTATGCCGCATAGCATGAGCAAAACAAAGGCATTGCATATGCACCGATATTGCAGCAGACAACACACCCCTTCATCTGACACGATACCGCTAATGCATCTCTTGTCATACATGACATGATCATGTATGACATGTATCATAACATGAGATGCCTACAAACCAATTCATGAAGTGGCCAACAGGGGAGTAACTCACCCGCCTTGACCGGACCGTAGAACGCCGAAAAGCCGCCGCCGAGCTCGCTGCCGTCCACAACGCTGAAAACCAGTAGCAGAGCGCCCGTGATCGTGGAGTTGATTTGAAACAGGTGGTCTGCGTCACCCGGGCTGCTGGTCAGAGCCAGCGGCAGCTGAAAGCCTGCACCAGCATTACGTCTCTTACTGCATGCAAGCACAAAGAGGACTGGAAAGCGATAATACAGGTCTTGCTTGAAGCACCTGGTCATTAGGACTGGAAAACGTGTGATGATCATAACAACTGCATGCATGCTGAGGCTTGCAAAGAGCTTGATGGTGGCATTTGCAGGGGAGACTTGTGTGGCCTAGAATGTCTTATTGGCCTGTTGACATGCTTAATGGTACGAGCACCGCTTTCTTGTCATGCGCCAGAATGGATCAAAAAGAGCCATAAAGGTGCTTGCTGATCTGCTTTTTCTGTGAAAACTCAAAATACTTTCGCGTATCCCTGTTCAGGAGCCTAGTGGCCTATGCATATGGCCTTTCTCTGCACAAATAGGTCGGATCTATGGCTGGAATGGATCTAATTCTAATCTCGACTTCAAATTCATATTTCAAGGCCGCCGGGCCGCGCCTGTGTGCACGGCGAGGAGCCTTGCAGGGTCGGCGGTATCGCCGTCGTAGACAGACAGCGTGTCATTGGCTGCCAGGCTGAATCGGGTGAAGGTGAGTCCGATGGGCGCATAGCCCGGCGCTATCAGCCACTCGCACCGTGTGAACGGCCTGCGCGCACACTACCAACACGGTCAGTAACAAACTCAGATGGACATGTTACAGAAACATGCAAAATTTTTCCCTAGAAGATCTTGTGGTGGCAGCCCTTGCCCCGCATGCCAACCACTTGTGTATGGACATGTAGCAAGTAATTGCACAAAGCTGGGATGCTTCTAAAGGCAGCTGCAATGAGCGGTTACAGCAAAATCGCACCGCCAACAAGAACAGTGCAAGCAGGTAGATTGAATTTATTGTCTGAAGCTTCTTTTCATCACCCTGGTGCATTGAACCCCACCTGTAGCGTTTGCCGGTGGGGGCGCCGTCGGAGACAGTTCCCTGGGCAGTTAAGAGGGTGGTGTGTGGCTCGCAGTAATTCCCCTGGTCCCACGCCATGGCAAATCCTGACGCCTGATTGGCGTGATCCGACAAGAAAACCACCACAGCTCTGTCCGAGGGCACTGTTATGCTGTGAGGCACCTGCGGCATAGTTGTAATTCAGCTGTTGATGACTAATGCTCGTACAGCAGGTTAATTTGCATTCTAGTGCCACCCAAAAGATGCCAGAGCCCTGTTGCTGCAGCATGTCAAGCAGAACATAAGGGCATGGTTCAAGCACAGGAATGCTGAGAAACATGCATGGCAAGCATGGAGTCAATTTCCAACAGTGCCGGCGCAAGAGACAAGGCTGTGCCGCAGACACATTGCCCGCGCTGCATTTGTGCCGATTCATTACTTCGGCTCAAGAATTCCTTCATATGCCAAAATATAGCCAAGCATGCCGTCTTGGGATTTCTTTCAGGGACGTACTCAGGCGCATACCAAATGCCGATGACTGCTGTATTTCAGAATACCAACCCTGCACAATCTTGAGACATGCAATCCCAAAACGTGCACAGGTTCATCCAAAATAAGTGAGTCACCTCGTGGAAGGCGCCGGACAGCTGCTGCAGAACGTCCTGGAAGCCGTTGCCGTCCAGTCGCAGGATCCAAACATAGTCATAACGCGCCTCTGTGCTGAATCGCGTTATGTTCAGCCGCACCGGCCTGCGCTGCACACACCAATCTCAACCTTCCTCAGGAATTTTGAGCCGTGGCTCATTTCTATCCGTGCCTCTTTGTAGACGGCCTTTCTGTGGCTCTCAGCATTTTTGTTTGCGTAGTTGTTTGCGACAGGAAGCACTGCTCAGATCATTTGTTCACAAATGCGCAGTCGATTGAAAGTTTCAATTTGAAACGGTAGTGCCGAGCATGCAGCCTTGCATGGCATCACTGACCAAGCGCAACTTTCCCATTGGGTCATTCAAGACATACCGGGCAATGCATAATAAGTGACAAGTGGGCCGCTTTCTACACAGCCCTAGCAGCTCGAGGAGGGGGATCATCCGCTCGCAGGGGTTGCTACGTATATCAAATTATGATCTGATCAAGTACAGGTGGACTATATGGTGACCCCTGACGCACTTGTAACCAGGGTCGATAACCCATTGGCAGAAGCTGCCGGGGGCGTAAACCCCCCCAGGGGGCGCGCCGTCCGTGAAGACTCCTGAGGCTCCAGTCAACCGCTGTGTTCCGTTGCAAAGAGGCATTTCTGCGGCGGCTGCCGGTGGCGGCGGCAGGACCGTCAATGCAGACGCGCATGCCGGGCAGCGCAGCGTGAAGTTTGCTGAGCTGGATGCTGATGTGGCGCAGACTCGTGTGGGTGCCAATGTGAGTTCTGCATAGCTGACGTTGCAAGCTGCCGGTGAGGGAGCGGTTGCATTGCTGCCTGCGTTGCAGCAGCTGTCTTTGATGCCTCCATTGAGCTACTTCAGCACACATGACCAAGCGGAGTCTCCATAGCGTCACAGAAACATGTTTTCGCAGGGACAGTCTGTTTGAAATGGTCTAGCTTGTATTAGGAAACGTGGAAGGAAAGCATGTCAGATTCCCAGGGTCCAGCACCCCAACAATTGTCCTAAAACGTCTACCTATATTTCGTTAATACGAGATGCTCTGAAAGGGATTGTTCACCTGTCTGGCAGAGGATGTGCTGGTTAGCATACAAGGGGCCAACAGCCTGGATGCTGCCGCCTGCTGACAGGCCAGCTTTGTATAGAAGAGGAAAGTAAGGACGGCCCAGCGAGTTCCAGCACTGGATGTCCACGTCCTGCACAGATTCCTTAACTTTGTGAGAGTGCTATGCACCTGTGGAGGGATGCCTGCACCCTGTCCCAGATGTTCAGGGCCAATCTGAAGAAGGCTCCCACCTGGCCACTACTGAGGTAGACTTGAGCAGATCTCACGATCTCTGAACAGAATGTCAGGATTACTAGGACGGCGAGAAAGAGCTTCCGATTTTCCGCGGCTGACATTTGCGCTTGCTGTGCAGGCAGAACTCCTTGGACCACGCTACATCCGGATATAAGACGGATATTTGATTCCAAAAATTTATCTTTACAGGCTTTTTGGTATATAAATTGACCACCCAACAATCGGTATCTGCCACCAGGGTCACATGCCGTTGTGACCGGTGTCCGTTGGTTACACGTTACAGAAGTCTGCTGACGCAGACAAATATCTTGATCCCACTAAATGTTACATTATTAAACTGTAGCACGGTGACATCATGCATTGCATTCGTCCTGAGGCATTTATCCAGAAATAACTCACGGCGTCCAATTAGCAGACGGCGTTCCTGGCCTTGCACCCCAACTTCTTCTTCCCAGATGCTCCTTATCAGTCACAAAAACGCCAAGATGACCGAGATTTTAAAAATTTCATTGAAGTAGAATCCTTTCAGTGCACCTATTCGACTGCAAGTGGGGCAATGGAGTGTCCTTTATATCTCTGGCTATGGATCGGGTACAGATAGATGGCTTCATGATCGACCACTGCATAAAGCTATTCCAGCAAGTTGACTGTACGCTCGATTCTGAGTAGGCACTGAAAATGGAAGAATTTGTCAACTATTCCAGGTATGCAATTACGTCTCAACAATTGAGTTTGGCTGTGACAGGTTGGCAGTCTAACAAGTGCTTTTCCAGGAGATAGCCCTATAATGTTGCATTGATGCTCTTGTGATAATGATTTAGGAAATGTTAATTGTGATACGCAATCTGCCATTTTGGCCCTTTCAGGTCACAGACACCTCACCACACCAGCCTCCCTCCAGAGATATGGCAAGCCATTGCTCGGTACCTGAGCGCTCGAGACTGGGCCAGAGTGGCAGGCGTGTGCAAGACTACCTGGCAGCTTCAACTGCCACAAGTGCACATCCAGCAGAACGAAATACGCCTGGGTACTCTCTGTAGGGAAGGTGAGCTTGTTGCCAACAGGCATAGACTTCTGCACAGCCTGTGTGAGCTTGCCAAAATTGTTCCATCATGTCCTGATGGACTAAATTTTCGCATTGAGCGAGGTCAATCTCCACATGCCTTGAAATCCCTGAATCTGCCTTTTGTGAACCCCAGACACTTTTGACGTTTGTGAACCCCCGGATCCTTTTACTCAGATTGTGGCAGCTAGTGCCAGATCCACCCTCTGCCCTTTGCTGTCTGATATCTGTCCTATGCGTGCAGGCGCTGCATGGCTGCTGAAGAGGGCCCAGCTGGCACGAGAACTCTTGCTGGATCTTCCCGATGACAGTGCTGAGCTGAAGGCCACCCTCAAAGCTCTCCTTGAGGTCCCTGCTGGCTTCACTAGCCTGAATTCCCTCGCATTTAGGGCTCCTAACAGATTTGAGGGAGCTCAAGAGGCCGTCATCATGGTTGTGTTGTGGCTCGTAGGACATGCCAAGGGGCTGGTATTTCTGAGCATTGATCGAGTGAGCCTGCCGCACCTGCCATCCCTGGCACACATCCGGCACTTGCAGTTGACTGTCTCCGTTGAAAACTTCTGGAGCTTAGCCCCTGTGTTAGCAACGCTTGTAACCCTGCAGACACTCTACCTTGATGGCTCAGAGATGCAGGAGCCAGCTGCCCCCCCGGCTCACTTGGACTTGCAGGCCCTGACTCAGCTGGAGAGTGTAATGCTGGATGGAGTTGTGCCTGCCTCGCTGCTCCTTCCTGAGGGCACTGCCCTGCATGCGATTGGATGTTGCCTTGAGGACGCTCGGAACGCATTGTGGCCTACTGTGCTTGGGGCCCTGAAATCATTTGTTCTAGAAACGGATGAACAGGTGAAATTGGAAGAGGACATTCCAGGTTGGATGTTGGAGCCTGTCAAGTTGGACAGGCTGGTGCTGTCATCATATAGCTTTGGAGTGGGGTATGATCCTGAAGATGGCTTTAATGATGGACTTATCCGGCTCAGAGGTGCACTTTTGCTGGCAGACGAGTTTTGCCTATATTGCAGTGAAGGCCTCTATGTGGAAGTTCCAGAAGAGCACCAGTGGAGGCTGGCGAACCTAATCTCTGACAACCGATTGTTTGTGCGCCTTAGAGATATTGTCAGGTTTGCATCATGCCCAGCACTTGTCATCAGATATCGGTCCTTAGAGGGTATTGATTTGAGTAGGCTGGCTTCTTACTTGGCAAAGAGCGGCATAGATTTTGATCTCAACCAGTGGGGAGAGCAGTGTGAATTCAGAGGAGGAAGTGGAGCTGATATACTGCATGAGTACAACGCAAGATCTTGCAAATGCGGTGCGTGCCGAATCTGTTGCCGCCTTGACAACTTCCAACTTGGAGGGGAGAGATTTTGCTCCTGCGCCGACTTTTGGGAGTACAATTGAATGCTTGTTCAGAATCAGAATAAATGCTTTCTGCCATCTATGGCAGGCAGTAACTTATAGGCAGCTGATTCCCATGGGAGGGCAGAATCTCTAGCATAGATCAAGCAGATGTTCAAGGGGAGGAGTTTCAAAGAGGACTGTAGGAATGGGCGCATCGAGTTGAAGGGTGCATTCCTGCGAGCGGACAGACTCTGCCTGAGTTGCTCGCATGGCATTTGGGTGGAAGTGTCAGAAGGGCACGAATGGACACTTGTCAACATGCTTTCTGACGACGAGCAATATCTCAGCATTCACAATGTCACCAAATTTGCATCGTGCCCAGGATTTCTCTTCAGATATGACGACCTTCAGGGCGTGGTTCTCTTATCATTTGTGTCTCAATTGACAAAGTACACTAGTGCGCCATGAAGTTACGCGGAAAACATGGCCCTCAATTTGCAAGAACTAGGTGATTGTTGCATTTAGATTCCCCCAGCCCAGATGTAGAGATAAGCTGTCAGAATCCAGGCGGCAGTTCGAGGGCGATCCTGCCCAGAGCGCCCACACGGAAGTCTTTGAGCATGCGCTGAGCTGCGCGCTCATCCTCCCCTTGACACTTCGCCTCAGCCACCGCCGCTATGTAATCCTCCGCTGCATGCAACAAAACCAGACAGCATTCAAGCTCCCTGGATACGCCTCATCCTACCGCCTTCAACTAAGCACAGATTTCCCAGCAAACTCAAATCTGCATCCCCCCAAAACCAGCCAATGATTGGTTCCACCTCTTCGTGCTACATATACTGCGCATGTGCCAGCGCTATATGGTAGCTATGCCTTACAAATTACGAGGATCCAAGTGGCACAGCATTATGCAATGACAAGGTACTTTCTGCTCGACACTCTTCTCCAAGAGAGCCATTTTCTACCCTGCAAGGAAGAAAACCACCATGCTGTCAAGGCACTTTGGGCACAAGAGAAGTCCCCATGCACATGCAAATGGGGCAGGGGAAAAGCACACCGGTCATGTCTTCGGGAAACTCCACATCATAGCACTAAGGCAGCCTGGTTGTACAGTATGAGCCTCCCCCAGATGGACTCAGCCAGAGGGGACCTCAGCAGATGGCAGCCGCCACCAGGCAAACATCCACAAGAGAGAGCCGCACCGGTCATGTCCTCGGAGAACTCCACGTCGTAGCGCTGGGCGAGCCTGCGGCGGAGGGAACGCGCGGACGGCAGCGCGGTGAGTGTATCCAGCAGGGACGCGGCGATGAGCGAGTCGATGTACGACGCCTCCCCGATGTCGTTGCACACCGCGAGCCGCTGCGCCGCCTGCTGGTCCGTGAAACTGGCGGGGATCACTCCTGCAGGGCGCAGAACAGGGCATGGTGAGGACGGGAATTCAAGATACAGAAAAAGACAGGAACAAAAAGTTAGAGACACATTCATTGTCCACTCTCATCTTCTGCAGTGAGGCCTAGGTAAGAACACAAGATACTGTAAATTTGAGGTAAAAGTCTTGCCATTTGATAGTTGGTGCCATGCTGAATGCCCCACGCAAGGAGTCGCCATTGATTAGGTTAGACAGGGCGCATGAAATGCTTGCAGCAAGGCACGACGTGCCGGGCTGCCACAGATTGCTGAAAAGGCTGACAAATTTACAAGCATGCATGGCTGCAGAGGCCTGGAACAGATCTGGAAGTGCGCACCTGGTGCGTCCAGGAGGTCAAGGTCAGAGCCGAGCCGGTTCCACCTGAGGTCGCGCGTCACTCCCGGCTTGGGGGCGCTCCGGCAGACTCGCCTGATCACCACAGATCTTGACCTCATCAGCCTCTTGCATGTCGTAAAGTAGCAAATGCTATAGTGTTACTTCTTCAAGATGGTCTCCACTCCACATCTGAGATGGTCTTCAGCAGACATCCATCAGTAATATCTTCACCAAGCTCATTGTAATGGAATGGTTTGGCTAGGTGCACGTTTGTGCTATACAAACAGGTCTGACTTGACCGCATGCCCCTCGTGACAGGATGAGCTGGCACAAGTCAAAATGAGGCAGGGCATGCCTATTCAGGAGCCGGTTGATGAGCGCAGACTTGCCGACGTTGGGGAAGCCGATCATGACAGCGCGCACCGGCCGTGGCATCAGCCCCCTGTTGCGCCGCTTTGCGTTTATCGCCACACTCGCATCCAGCGCTGCCTTGCGCACCTGTGAAACGAGTGCATCGTCTGTTGCAATGCTCTGGTAAGGCCGAGTGCCTTGGTTGCACGTAGTCGCCTGGACGCTGATAACTGTGCATGCAATATGCATGACTAGTACACCTTTTTCCAGTCCTTAAGGACATGGTACATCACGCAACACCTGGCTACATACATGCATCTTGCTGATAACAGCACTCTGCGGCCGGAAAAGCCAAGCCTTGTATGCACCTGGGTGCTTGGCGGCTGATAAGGATGCATGCAGCATGCGTGCCATTGCACAGTACTGCGCACTCTCAGCAACACTAGTCATCACACGTTGTGCCATCTGCCCTGCTACAAGATACAGTACTGCATGCAAGGGTCAAGTAGGGGCTTGCAAACCGACTTGCGAGATCTCTGATATATCACATCTCCAGAAGCAACCCCACCTGCCCGCTGCCGAGCCCAGAGACGCCATCGGTCCAGAGCACGGGCGTCTTCTGCTGCTTGAAGTGGCGTGTCCATGCAGAGCGGTCGCTCTCGCTGATCATGTCGACCCGATTCAGCAGCAGCAGCCTCGGCTTGGTGCCGCACCATTTTGCCAGCTGGCTGTGGCAGGTGGACATGGGGATCCTGGAACAGCAAAGCACACATTTTGACAGTTCCCATTGAGGCCACCCATTGATAGTGTACATGATTTTGCAAAGCCACGCAGGCCAGTTCAGCGAAGCGGACTTTCGAGCCCTCCGAGAGACGAAAAAAGTCTGGCAAGGATATGATATAATCATGTGCTTCTGAGAGCCATGCAGGAGTTAGCATGATTGCCATCCAGAAAGACATGCAGCTGCAACGGCAATGTACCAATGAGATGCAGAAAGGAGAACATCCCGCCATGCAGATGGTATGTCTATGGTACCAGGGTGGGATGGAGAAGGTCTGTGGATTGCACAGATGTCTTGCACATGCTCAGCGCGCGGCTACAAGCAGCCTGGTACGATTGACTGACGGGGGACAATGGTCAGGAAGGCATGCATGCAGTGCACACCTGGCATCCCTCACTTCCAGCACAACATCCACCATCCCCAGCTGCTCCTTCAGCCTCCTCTCTGCCCTGGCAATGTGCCCTGGGTACCACTGGACCAGCCGCCCCTGGCCCTGCAAAGACCACACTCATTCTCCATCACTCCTGGAAAGGGGGCATCTCGTAACCTGCTGAGCCGCTGGGAATTCCTGCAGCAACATTCCTTGCCATGCAAGGACCTACAACTGGGATGTCAGTGTAGGACGCAAGGATCTGTGCAGCTAACATGCAAGAGGAGTATTGCAGGAGCCAAATTCACCTCCAAGAGACCTCCAGTTTGCTCTAAGAGCAGGTCGTCGTCCAGCTCAGCTCCCACAAGTGCCTGCAACTGGTGCATAGCAGATGAAGGTCTTAAGGAATCAAGCAAAGCCTATAGCTTTGTGCAGTAGTACAGAAGTACTTGCGCTTCCAGATGTTCAGGTGTGCTAAATGCAAAAACTCCGTATCTGCACCTGCAATGTCGGACGTTGTTCCCTTCCTCTACATCCGGTGAAATCGTAGGCATTCCAGGAGCTGCGCAGCTTTGGGGCTCGTCGAGCAAGTCCAGTTCCTCTAATGGCAAGACTGGCAGGCCTGCTGGAGCAGTAGCAGCAGCCATGCCCTCTTAAACCGATGAGTAACATGCGTAAGCTGAATACCCTTTATATATGTCTCTCCTACATGCCTTGCACTGTTGAGAGACGCTCCTTGCTCACGAAAACAGGGACAGATGAAGGCCCTCGCAGAGAGTACGTAAGGTGGGCAACGACGGGGCACTAGTGGAGAGCAACACGGCGGATCTGTTAGCAACAGTCAATTTCTGTTGTCAATCAGACTATTTGCACACCAGATTTGGAATTGCTGTCGCTCGCGAAACTACAAGCTGCAGGAACAACTTACAGCGGGGGAACCGGGGGGACCAGCCGACAGCCCCATGTGGCATTCTCAGATGTTGTTCTCCATACTTGACTATCTCTCTCAGAATTTGCGCTTTGAAGGTCTCAGAAGACGTAAGCACTAGAGGACTAGTTAAAGTGCCGCTGGGAACGACAGGGCAGGGAGCACCTGCAGCTGGACATGTCCCAGATTTAGAAATAGGTGTTGGAGTCCGCAGAGTAAAGGAGGCAAATCGTCTTGAATTATAGAAATAGCTGGCACATCTCCGATTGGCCGCCGAGAATGTTGAGAGGAGCGGCTTCCAAATTGTTGAGATCTGGTGGAGCTGTGAGGTCCATCCAGGGAGCTGCAAGCACGTCGAATTGCACCAGTACGCAGCGCATTCTAGTGTCAGATTGGCTTGCAGAAAATGCCAGGCATCCATCTTCACCCTGCAGCAGCCATGGCAGCTTGGCAGTCAGGCAAGCTCCAAACCTATGTGAAGTGTTCTCCTTTCAACTCACACTCACCTCTTCTACAATTGTAGTGCATCAAATATTATTGCATGCATAACCACGACCGTTTGGAAGGTCTTGCGATAGACTCATCTGCACAAGCCAAAAAACAGTGGTTTCAGTTGTTTAGAAGACCATATATGCGAGAGCTGACTGATCTCCAGGAGAAGTTCTGCTGTGATGCTCTTCTGTACAGCTTCGATACAATTCTAAGGGTGTTTAATTTGGGAGCAGAGCACACAAGCCTGGCAAGTGTTGAAAACAGCCCTGTGTCGCTGCACAGGTGGTATGCATCGGCCCCTAGCCCAGCAGATGATCAGGAGGAGCAGCGGCAAATAGACAATCCGCGCATAAATCAGCTAGTAGAGGAGATCTGCTCCATGAACCTGCTAGAGGTTTCAGATCTCATAGAAGTGCTGCGCAAGCGCCTAAACATCACTGCTCCCATGGGCGGAGGCTACCCAATGGGTGAGCAACTTCACCACCGCGCAGCTCCTCTTTGGATTGAGCTGCTTGCCCTGCAGCAACTGCTATTGGCCCACGCATGCTCGCATGTTTTCATGCATATGATGCACACGGTGAGTTTGGGGTTTCTAGGAACTGCCGCTGTTAATCAAGCATGCAGCTAAGACTGCTGGAGTATGTGATCCCACAGCAGAACAGATTCCATCCAAGACAGGGTGCAATACATGCAAGGCAGTGCAGAACGCTAGAATGGGTGTGAGGGTTGCTGTGCAGTTTGAATAGAGTGCATCGACAAGAAAATTATCTAATTGCTGGAATTGCACATGCAGGCATGATGCCGATGGCCGCGGGCCCAGCAGCGCCGGCAGCGGAGGCAGCACCAAAAGAGGAGGAGAAAACAGAGTTTGATGTGAAGCTGACGGGCTTCGATGCCGCGGCAAAGATCAAGGTCATCAAGGAGGTCCGCGCGATGACCAGCCTCGGGCTGAAGGAGGCCAAGGAGCTGGTGCGTTGCGCCCTTTGATCACACTAATTCATCTAGGGAGGTTAATGTGTGTCTAGCGAGATTGCCTGCCATTGTCCAAGTGAGTTTTCATCAGTGATGCTCATTTGCAGAGGTAGCCAGGGTGGTCGACCTGCCATCTGCTGTCTGTCTGATGCTGAGTAAAATTTCAGCACGTGTTCATGTCCAGCAGAGAGTTTTTGAGGCAAGATCCTTGGAACACAAGTTGGGGATGCATGCGTGTGAGGGGGGCAGTGGGGGCCATGCCTGCAGTTGAGGAGTAAAGAAGAGTCTGTGAAGTTCACGCTGTTGCACAGGTGGAGAAAGCGCCAACAGTGGTGAAGACAGGCCTCAAGAAGGAAGAGGCTGAGGAGCTGCAGAAGAAGCTAGAAGCTGGTAAGCCTCTTCCTGTGCTTCAGGTTGCCATACGCTGCAGTTTGTGTGGTGTTTCTTATCCTGGTGTCCTTCACAGATCAAAGAATGTTGAGGTACTTGATGTGGGTGCAAAGTTGAGGCACTTCATGTGTGTGCAAAGTGGTGTGAAGCAGACGCAAGTATTGCTTCGGTGATGGCTCTAATTGGCGATGATGTGGCTGCTCTGCAGTGGGGGCCAAGGTGACTCTGGAGTAGCAGGCATGCGGGGTGCAGTTGCAACTTAGTGATGTGCTGCGTCTTCAAGCATGTCTATACATGCTTGGCCAGTAGGTGTTCAGCGGACCAGGTCTTGCAACGTTTATGTCTCTTTAGCTAAAGTTTGCTTGCTGCTCTGCTCATATTGCTGCATATGTAACACTGTACAGGATGCGAAGGTTTTTGAAAAGGTAAGAGGCAGTTGGCATGCGCATGGCGCATGCAACAATGTCTTGAGTTGATGCCGCATTGTGAGTTGCGCATGCATGCAGAGATTACTACAGGTTCTGGGTGGGATCTGGCTCTTCACAATCATAGAGGGTGCGCAAACGGCCGCATGTGCACAATCAACATTTATGAAGTGTCATCCTCATTCCCCTGGAATAAGCCATGCACCAGTGCGCCAAATCTGGCAACTGGGAGAATTCATTCAAATATTCCTGCTGAGCTGCTTTTTTGCAGAACTTCATCGCTCCCACTGAGTCTCTGAGTCAATCTGCCTATCCCCAACTACTCACATACAGCAAAGTCAGGCAGGAAGCACCTTCGGCGTCCGGATATATTCTCTCTTCGAAAGCCCAGCGCTGCAGCGGCTGTGATTACCCGTCTGGAGACGTCGCCTGCGATGTACCAGACCAGGCACCAGGCACGATGCTGAGCTTTCTGCTGCAAGCTGCAGGAGCTGTCGCTTTGAGACGGAGCAGAATTTCGTGCAGCTGGAAAGTTTCAACAATACTGTGCTTTGACCTTCTCCGTTCAATGAAGTTCACTCCTGATGCCAGATTGATGAACGTCCCAATCAACTGAAGGTACAAGGAAGCTGCATTGACGCAGAAAGGTTTCAGACAGAAGCACGTATGTTTTGACTTTCTAGGCTTGCAAACAGTGGGCTTGTAGACAGAGGAACAGCAGCACGTTTAGTGTTGCTTTTGATAAGGACACAATCGTGAAAAGCGATCAAAGCTGACCCAATCACACTCAGCTGATTTGATTGGTTACAACTGAAGAGTAAGACAGGGCTTCAACCCCACTGTGCAGGCCAAGAAGCGGGTCCTGGCAGCTGAGAAAGCCAAGTACATGCAGTTCCCGTACCTGCCTGAGGAGCTGTGGCTGAACATCTCAGAAAGACTGTCAACCAAGCAATGGACCAAGGCCAGCGGCACATGCAGGTGTGCTCATGAGACATGCATAGCCAATCGGGCATTGGCATGTCAAGCTCTTCATTGAGGTTTTTCCTTAGCTTACAAGTGACCATGCATGGAAATCTATAGGAAATCTTCTTTCCATTCCAGTCCTGATTCCTAACCATGATCAGCCCATGGCTAGCCCTCCATGCAATTCCATGGAGGGCTAGCCTTCCTGCATGATGACATGCAGCCTGCCTGAGGGGCCCTGAGGGGCTTGGCATGCTCAGAAGGGATCATCTTTCTTCGGTCTTTCATGTAGGCCGTTGTGTATGCATGCAGCAGATATTAACACCTCTGAGATGCACGACCCTCATGTACTGGTCTGAGATGATGCTGCCTTCCCGTGCAGGGCCTTCAGAACAGTTCAGCCAGTCCACATCACCCTCAAGAAGCCAGCAGGTTCCGAGGCCGCTATCACCTGGCTGGTCACACACTGGACAGCAGCAAACACCATGAAACTTGACATGCAAGGGGCTCAGGCTGTCACGGACCCTCTGCAGCTCACCCTGGATGCAGCTAAGCAGAGCAGCGAGAGCCTGAGAGTCACCCAATTGGAGCTGAGATTCGTCAACAGAGTTGCCAAGTGGGGCGCGTGGCTCAAGTGGCTGCTGAAGCATGCGCCAGCGCTGCTCTACCTGGACCTGACATCCACATGCAGCCCAGCCTTCCCGCAGATGACTCAACTGCGCCACCTCATCCTGCGCATTGAAGACCCCTGCAGGCACCTGATAAACCCCCTGCAGCAGCTGCCTGCCCTGGAGACCCTGCTGCTGCAGGGGCCCTCGCATGCGAGCTACCGGCTGCGTGATTTTGACCTGCCGCCAAGCCTGCGCCACGTCTGCCTTGTGGACCTCTTCCCAGCGAGGCTGAAGCTTCAGAATGCTGCGGCCACCATCAGAGTGGAAGGGAGCGTTGAGGCCATCATTGAGGGGCTCCTGTGGCACGTGCTAGAGCATGAGAATGGCAAGCTGGCATGTAGCATCAGGAGTGCAGCCATCACAGCGCAAGGCATGGAAGCAGATCATCCGGAGGAGTGGCACCTGCTGAGACTGTTCCCTGAGATACAGCAGCTAGAGATCCATACACCGCAGCAGCTGCCCGGCCAAGAAGCCCCTGGATTGTTGGTGCACTCCCTCAGCCACTACCAGTACAACAAGCTCACAGTGCTCATTGTCAAGGTGACCACCTCTGACTCCTGTTCATGTGCGCACTCAGCCTGGAATCAAATTGCATGACTGTTGTTGATGTTCTGCTTCTGTAATTGCCAGTGCAGAGGGCTCTCTGGCGTTACCATGGCTCAGAATTTGCCATGCATGCCTGCTTAATATGCACACGTGATGACATATCCTGCTGATCATGATGTGTACTCTTCCTTTCTTCCCTCCGCCCTGCTTGAAGTCTTCATTCTTTTTTCTCTTGGCCCCGACTGGCGGGGGGCGGTATAAATTGAGCACCGTGCCCACGGCTGATTGGGTCTTGCTTGGATCTGGCGAGTCCAACAAGGGGTAGGATTGTGGCAGCCTTAAAGCGTAGCTTGTCTGCAGGACACACCTTGCCTTTCAAAGATGTGTACTACTATTACTGATAATAACAATCCTTTTTTATTACTTCATTTTTTGGTCCTTGCTCTACAGGTGGCAGGCGACTTGTGCATCACTATCCCAAACGTTCAGAGCCTGCAGAGGGCGCATCTGCGCTGCGGCGGGTCTCTGTGCCTGGCATTTGACCACGCCAGGGCAAGTGCAAAGACGCTCCTGTCCTTTGAGGTCTTCTATGGCAACCGGCTGAAGCACGGTCCTATGGTGCACTTCAAGGCGTGCCTGGCCGTTTGTGGGAAAATGCTCATGCGCAAGTGGTCCGCCGAAGAGAAGCTCACGCGCATTTGGATGGGCCCGTCAGTGTTCCCAGCCAATTGGGAGCGGCGCTGTTTCTGTGGCTGCTGCTTGGAGTGCCTTAGCAAGTGCTGTCGGTTCTGTGCGTCCAGTCTCTCCCCAGAGGAAGTCAGCGGGTGTGACAGCTCTGATATGTATGAAGATGGCCGAGCTCTGGTCTGACTCTGAGATGTATGAGGATGCGAATTCCGATACGGATGATGATGATGGCTCATCTCTGGTCTACGACAGTGGGAACGAGTCTCTTTACTAGAAGCAGCCAGTGTCCAGGCAAGCTTCTACCAGAGCTGATAGCTCTGCCTGAAAGCAACGCACGGGGTGAAACGAGAAGATGAGAATGCCGGAGGATTTATACGCATTTGCAGAGAGCCCAGAGCCCTGAGTGAAGGTGGCAATTTCATATTTTCACAGCATTAAGAAGACATACAGAGTTAAACATCAGAATGTGAGCAAGCAAAGAATTTCATGCAGGTGTGTCACGGCCCAAATTGATTTTATCTGTCAGCGCTATTATGGGTATTTTGGTAGGACATAGCCATTTACAGCAGCAAGCACACTTTGGGGTTTGCTCAAAAACTCACATGGAAGTGACTGAAAAAACTTTCGGGTCTGATACTAGGCGCTAGACAACATAAATCCAAGCCAACAAGCACAGTCACCAGAAGGATGTCCCAGGATGGGAGTGGGAGTGTGAATTTTGTCCCCAAGGATTGCGGTCTGCAACTGTGAAATTAGCGCCACTCCGAAGCAAGGAAGCAAAAACCGCAGTATTGCAATGTTATTTCTGGCACACACCACCAGAAACAGTATCAGTTGATTGCGCAGGCGGCAAAGCCGCCCACCAATGAACCTGGCACATGTATATTCGTGATACTTCCAGTATCAAAAGCATCTGCACAGTCCTGGGGCGGTTGTGAGAAGTGCCCAAAATACTTTGTCGGCGCCAGCACTGTGTACAGCAGTCTTGTGCGTGATACTTGTCTTTCGCGCAATGCACCCGCAGGGGCTACAGTCCAGAATAACCATCGCTGCTCCTCCAAAAATAATTGTTTTGATTTAGACGCTTTATATCAGATGAGATGTACTCGATGGATGCCCCTCAGCTCGCCGCTAGATCTCCGCTCACCCCTGGTTGTTGTTGTTGTCTGCACAAGAACACATTTGTACATCAGCTTCACGTGGCTTCACTTCAGCTTCTCTGCTGCACGGACGGTCCCAAAAAGGGTCCCAAAAAGGCATCAAGGGGCGCTAAATGAACTCCCCAAGTCCCGCCAAAAATCAGGTACTTAGGCTCAGAAAGCAGGATAGACGCTCTGCAGCCAGGCATTTCCAAAAGGCCAGAAAAGCCCCTGTGAGATGGTAACTACTGGCGCTAAGTGCACCATGCAAATACTCGACCCCTATTGAAACAGGGGTCGAGTAGTATTGCATTTCCTAAATGCAGGCACAGGATCAAATTCAAGTTTGTCCAAGCTGAAGCAAGCCAAAAGGCAAAGTGTTCATTGGGACTGGGTCGGAAACACACTGTTGTTGTTTGCGGCATTGGCGTTGTTGTTGTTATTGTTGTCTGAGCACACACACACAAACAGCAATCAGCTCTCGACGCACTGGCGCAGGAATTGATGCCTACTTAAACAGCAGTGCAGATCAGAATATACGGCAAACGCTAAATGCAGGCGCTGCAAATGCCAGAAAGCAGTGTCACTCATAAATGTCACGCAGAAGACAAAACAATCGAGTCGGGATAGCAACACACTGTTGTTGTTTGCCCCGTTGCCACCGTTGTTATTGTTGTTGTCTGCAAACGCACGCACCACATACACACACCATCAGATCGGCGCTGCAAAATCCCAAAACGATCTGGTATTGAAGATACCAATATCAAGATGAGTGCAATCCCCTCCTAAACACATGTGACGGGGAGCAGCACCCAAAAAGACAAGGATCCCATCTACAAATTCCTCCCAGAATCGCATTGTGCTATAGTGCCACACGAATGGAGAGGGGGCTGTTCCACTTGGGTGGAAAAGAGAACGCACTGTTGTTGTTTGCCTCGCCTCCGTTGTTGTTGTTGTTGTTGTCTGCACAAAGACACACAGTCAGTCAAGAAGATTGCCTGAGCATGAGCCTATGACTGTCACGTGTGCATCATCACGAGCCATGGTACCACAAACCAATCAATCACACTACATGCCACAAAGCTTCTGAAACACACAACAAACAGAAGAACGCATGCAAAATTTTGGACAAACGGCAGGACAGCTGGCAAGACCAAGCATGTGAAGTGGCGCACTGTTGTTTGCTGCGGCGCCTCCATTGTTGTTGTTGTTGTCTGTAAGAGCAAGAACAACTATGATCAGCATCTTGATTACACATCATTGATTGCAAGGGCCGCTACAACCACCAGGAAAGTGCCTGGTCATTACTCACATTTCTGCTCAAGCAAAAGGAGGAACTGCACAAGCACAGCACAAATGACAAGTATGGACCAGGTTGGGTAAAGCCGTGGCAATGCTCTCAATCTGCCCTCAGCTGAGCAGATCAGATCAATACTCCCAGAATGTGCTTGCAGTAATGTAGCTCTCAAACCCACCGTGCAAAGGCCGCCCTTTCCAGGGCAGGGAGCAATATCAGTTGCAAACAAAAGAGGAAAGGTGCTCACTGTTGTTTGCTGCTGCGCCGCCGGCGTTGTTGTTGTTATTGTCGTTGTTCGCAGCAGCGCCACCAGCGTTATTGTTGTTGTTGTTGTCTGCAAAGTTTACCAACTCAAATCAGCCCAGGGACTATTACTACACAGAAGGCAGCAAGTCAGGGCGGTTCTGTCGGGACAGACATTGCAGATTCACTCAAGAAGGCGAGGCCTGTAAAGGGACGCACTGTTGTTTGCTGCTCCGCCAGCATTGTTGTTGTTGTTATTGTTGTTGTTCGCCGCTCCTCCGGCGTTGTTGTTGTTACTGTTGTCTGTGCAAAGACACACACACAAGTGGTCAGCCAGCATCAAGCAAGACCGTGCAATCTTCAATCATCACTCATGAAGCTTGCTTGAGGACAGCCAGAAAGACTCAAGACCAATGCAGCGCAAGGATACTGGACTTAAAGGGGGGTCAAGCAAGAGGCACGCACTGTTGTTGGCCGCGCCTCCTCCGTTGTTGTTGTTGTTGTCTGCACACGCACACAAGATGTAAAAGAGGTGCATGTGTTGCAAAATAATCGGACGTGAAGGACAAAAAAAACACGGCGGCATTGTCTGCAGGAGTGCAAGAAGAGTGCAACACAGGGCCAGCAGACCCCTGAAAAAGCAGCCAGAGTTTGTCTGATCGGAAAAAGGGCACGCACTGTTGTTAGCTGCGCCACCGCCGTTGTTGTTGTTGTTGTCTGCACACAGAGACACATTTGTCATCGCAAGCACACTCTGTATTCACAGTAGACATACGCTGTACAGTCTCTGTTTCAGGTTCCGAGCGTCCATTGGAGACGCCAAAGACTAGCTAAATCCTGCATCACACTTGGTCGAGGCCTAGCTGCGATTAGCAAGGTCAATTTGCAGAAAGGTGACAGTGCAAAGTATAAGGCATAAGGACACACTGTTGTTTGCCGCGCCTCCACCGTTGTTGTTGTTGTTATTGTTGTTGGCTGCTGCTCCACCACCTGCGCAGCCGAGATCAGGTCAGCCACACACGACACAGAAAAGACCACAGTCCTTTTGAAGGAAGTGCAAGCAACAGCAGCTGATCTGAGTGCTCAATGCTCAGACTGGAACCGTCAGTCCTGAGCATACAGCCAACTCCAACATTATAAGACTCTTAGATGCCAAGGGGCATATCAAAGAAACAACGAGGGCTTTGTATTTGTCATTCCTTCCATCGCAAGGTTTCATTGGCAACACCACGCATGCGTTCATGTTGCATTGTTAAAATTTGCAGAACGCACCGTTGTTGTTGTTATTGTTGTTGTTTGCTGCAGCACCTGCACAAAGCATTCCATGCAGCTAAGATGCGCACGCTTCAAGAATCAGCACCCTGAATTTATTTGAGCCAACGCAGGCGCATTCCTTATTTCTCAAGCAAACTAGCACCCTCCTAGAGACTTACCCCAGCTTTCAGGCTACAAGTATGCTACTATGTTTTTTGTTCTCCCAGACACAGGAGAAACCATTTATTGGGCAGCGCATGCACTCACGCAGAGAAAGCAATGTCCATTGACATGATTAGGGGAAAGTGTCACGCACCGGCGTTGTTGTTGTTATTGTTGTTGTTGGCTGCCGGTGTCAGGAGCGCGGCTGCGCCAACGTTCCCTCCAGAAACTGTGCGCAAGTCACCTCAGCTTGATTAGTCACATGTGCTGCAGCAGATGCCTAGAAATGTGTGCAAGACCTCTTGAACCACACACCATCGGCATGTGACCTGACAGCTGACAACACATGGGAAGACCTATCAAGCATGCCCCTAAGGTTTTCGATAATATACAGACCCCAAAAAATGCTTTGATACAGATACACCGCCGGGCTACAGTCATCAGACCAAGCCAGGCACATCTGTCCGGTCTTGCCAGTTATACACGCTCTTTGCGACTGTCTGGCCGTGTGACAGGTTTGCTTCGATCCGGGCATGACCAAGCAATCCCCACTAGGACTCTTTACAGTATCAGGCGGAGGGAACGCGCACCGGCGGGGCCGAAGACATTGGGGATGCAGACTTGGGCGCCGTTGCGGAAGGTGTGTCGCGCCCCCTGAGCGAGGGAAGGCCGATTGAGGGATATGATAGCGTTCCTGAAAGCCTCGCCGGCTCCCTGCGCATCCTTCTGCACCCGCGTCTGCCCAGTGGTTGCCAGCGCGCCTGTCAGCCACACGCATGACACTGTAATTCAGCATTTCTGTCTTCCTACCTGATACCTTGGTTTTGTGACCCTGGAGATAGACTCGCATAATAAGGCATACAAGGTAACAAGGCATACAAGGTACCATGGCTGCAAATCAACTGTATTATCTCCGAAAAATTGTGAGCGGCAAGCGCTGCTGACATGGCCGCACAGAAGGTATGCAATCCACTCTGAAAAGGAGAAGTCCCAGGACAACTTCCCAAGCAAGGCATGTGCAGAATGCAGCACCACCAGTGCGTGAGAAATCTGCACAATGTGTTCACTGTGTGGTCCCTGACAAAGCAGGGTTATCTGTCATCTTGGAAGCCACCCGGCAGCTTGTGGCTCACACACGCACGGATCTGCCTCACAAGGGCTGAGTTGTGAGTAAGCGCTGTTCAATCTCGGACTCATTGCATTTTCTGGGGAGCCCTTCGGCTCTTCTGCACGCATAGTGTTTTGCGGAGCTTCCAATCTTCCTTTTAAGTCATGTTGATCTTGCTGCTCACCGTTAACGGAGGGTGTGACTGCGAATCCGCCGCCTGCCGGGATAGAGTTGAACTGCGCAATGGCAATCGCTTCCAGCGATTGGTCAACAGTGTTGGGCACCAGACGGGAGTTGAGGCCCTGCAGAGAATAGAAACAATGCTCTTAGAACCAGATTTGGATTACTAACTCGAGCCAGAGGATGTCAGGGAGCGATAGCTGCATGTGCCGGAAGAAACAGAGCCACGATTTGGGTGTCCTTTACAGTTCTGTTCGGCATGAGTTGGGACTGCACTTTCAGCGCAAGGAACAATGCTGTTGATGCTAGTCTGAATTGGGGTTTAAGCTGTGTCTTGACTTCCTGATTGAGGAAGGGGTTAAGGAAGGGGAAAATCTCACCCGGTCCGCGCAGCAGTCGGCACCGTTGATGTCACACAACGGTGCAGCTGCACAAACACAACCAAAGTTTAGTGACATCTCTTTTTTTGTCTGAATGATGGAGACAGAGGTGCAATGTGGGCCGTCTCAACAGAGGAGATCCAGTCAAGCTTGTCAGCTCTCGCCCAACCATCTCATGGTGCTGAAGGTCAATTTTGGCACGGTCACTGAAGATGGACGGTTCATTTCAGCATGCTTCTGCAAAATTACCGGCAAGGGCGGATTTTGAATTTGTAAATCGGATTGGGGTCTTCAGGGGTCAGGAGGGGAATTTACCAACGGCGGCGTTGTTGTTATTGTTGTTGTTGGCCACGACAGCTCCTCCGCCTGCACAACACCAAAGACCCAGGGTCGAGGCAGAGCAGAAAAGCCCCCTGGATGGATTGAATGCAAATTCGAAGCAACAGAGGAAAGCAACAGAGGAACAGAGACATGGGTTTCGGCAAAAGACACTCAGCAATGCACACATCTGGACTGGCATCTGCACACTCAGATCACTGGCTACTTCGCAAGTGCATGACACACCGCCGTTGTTGTTGTTGTTATTGTTGTTTGCCGCCCCTCCGGCATTGTTGTTATTGTTGTTGTTGTTGTTTGCTGCGCCTCCGCCGTTGTTGTTATTGTTGTTGTCTGAACATAGAGACACAGTTATCATGCATGCCCAAGTCACAGCAAGCCACACCAGATACACACAGGTTTAAAAGCTCCCACAATACAGCGGAAAACATAGGCATAAGAAACAGGCTCTTTCAAATAGAATAGGCCAAGGCACAGGCAACCAGCAATCTGCATTGCACAAAGAATCAGAGGGTGTAGGATCGCACTGTTGTTTGCTGCAGCGCCGCCGGCATTGTTGTTGTTGTTGTTGTTGTTGTTGGCCGCCCCGCCACCTGCAGAGCAGTACAGACTTCAGCTGTCAGAAAAAGGTGATAAGCACATGTACCCCGGATCACAACGCGCTGTCACACAATGGCCTAGCAAGTCAAAAATATGCTCCTCCAGCCAACTTGGCAATCTTAAGATCACAACTGGGCATCTGCTCACAAGAAGCTTTTGTGCGCGTGTGTCTGGCTAAAGAATGTGACTTACAGATGGTGGGCGCTTGGCTTTGCAGCGAGGAAATATGCTCCATGGAGTGAAACCTCATAAAGAGAGAGAAACATTACATCATGCCAGCCAACAAGGCTGATTAGATGTGTGGAATGCAGCAGTTCGCAGCCTCACCATTGTTGTTGTTGTTGTTATTGTTGTTGGCTTCTTCCAAGAGGCTGCGTGCACCTGCGCAGCACATGCAGAGGCCTGCTCAGTCCCAGCAACTGAGTCTGCTGGTCGAGTCTCGCATGCCTTGGGGCGCGCAAAGACACTGCTTTGACACGCTCGGGCACATGCGATGCCAAGCCATGTTCAGCATGCCAGCCCTGCAGAGCGATGGCAATGTAAGAGTTGGGTTTGTGTAGAGTCCTTGGAGGCCCAAGGAGAACCCAGCTTATCGCCTGACAAGCTCGCCCACAGACAAGAGGCCAGGGCCTGCAGCAGAGGCCAAGCAGGGCTGCACAGGGGCGTACCCATCACGGATCTCTCAGCAAGCATTTTGCGAGAGCCCTGCTGGAAGTCGCCAGCGGCGCTGCCAGCGGCTGCGGCCAGCAGGCACGCAGCCAGCAGCACCAACACACTCACACGTGGTGCCATCTCCTCCGTTCAGCTCCTTGGCAGTAATAGCAGGATGTGGCTGGTGATCCTGAAGCTTTGCTGTTTGTCCTGCATAGCCACACACAATTTCGCTCATAGCGCTCATTCAAAGGGCACGTTGCGCTCTCTAGGAATGCACCTATTCAATCGCACCCCTGCTGTTGTCCCGGTGGCTTGCACAAGTATGGCTACCTGACAATGCCATAACTTTACACCGTGACTGCCTACAACCCAGAGGAGGGCCTGCAACAGCGATTTCGCAAGTCGTAATTGACTAGTTGCTGAATGCATTTTATCTGTGGACTTAAGAACGGCTCGCTCTATTCTCTTCAGGGTGCAGCGCTGAAAGGCATTGCTTGATCCCAGTCAGCGATCCCTGCCAAAAAAGCAGGTTTCGCCCAGTTCTGGCAGCATCGGACGCTTCAATACCAAATAAATTGTCAGGACGTCACTTAAAACCCACACGAGCAAATCGCGAGGCTTTGTTGTGCTGGAGGGTTACAGCTTCCGGACAATGACGGCCTATCTGCCAGTCTTTTGAGACAGCAAGTATTGACGGCATCGATCATGCCATCACTCCATATATTTCAAAATTTGTAACCGGCAACGACCACACATTGCCGCACAAACTCTCGAAGGCCTAAGATAAGCCTGAGTGCCGGCGAAGGTTCCGACAAGCTGGCCAGATGAAAGGCCCATCACAAAAGGCTAGCAGAGGCGGGTTGTGAGTACAGTCTCTCTAAGAAAACAAAATCACACCTGCTGGTATGCTAAGACCCGAGTCTCCGGGAGGAAATTTGTGCTGACCTGCTGACACTCGGATGGTCGCTGGTATGTGCTGCTCGAATCCCAGGCACTGCGCACCTCCCGCCACAGCCTGCAGTAGATGTGTCACACGATGGCGCCTGATAACGAAGGTATGCTGCGAGGTGGCGGGCAAGGAGATAAAGCCCTGCAAGATCCCACTCTCATTTCCACGTGTCGATATCCCGCTGAGGTCAGCTGCTCGGCCAGCTTCCACGGGTTATGGTGTGAGCTCATATTGCCTCATCAAAGGCATCCAGGGCTTCGATCTTGCTTGCTTTCGTGTCTTGACTAGGCCAAGGGTGCCAGGTGTCCTTCTGCTCTGCCAGGGTAGCTTGCAAGCTTGCATATGCTCCATTAATTTTTACGTACTGGTGATGTAATGTGTGCATGCCATGGCAGTGCCCGTCATGTGCTTGAATGACTCATAGATGAAATGCACAAGGTTTGACATTAATGCAGGTTTTGGACTGAGAAGGGGACTCCGGAGTTGCTGTCTTCACACACGAGCGACTGGAAAGGCGGCTGCACAAGCTCACCAACATAGGTAGCTTGAAGGATACTGAATGGGTTATTGCGCATAACTGGACACAAGCATTGCCACAGTGTGCACGCAATAGATTGATCAGGATCATAATGTTGACTGAACAGCGCTGCTAACACCAAGGTGCCAGGGTTACTGAAACAAAACGTTGCTGCAAGTGTTGATAAAAAGCTAACGAAAGCTACAAAAAGCCCTACAAGTGAATCCGCGGCACACAGAGGTGCGTGTGCCTCTTACAACTTCAAACCTGCATATTACCCCGTTACTTAACTGTACCTTATCCATCCTTCCAAAATTGTTCTTGTCTCACAAGAAAGGATCGCGATGTCACAATGCACTCAGGAACCCAAAGAAGCAGAATTGTTCTTTCTTTTCCCACAATTTCACCCTGGCCCATAATATCTTACTGGCTTCAAAGGTGGGTCTGCATACCATGCACAAACGACCCAAATGCATCAATTCTCCAGCAGCAGTAGGCCAACCAGCATTTGCCACTGTCCCAAAACTTCACTCTGCATCGCATATCCACCCCACAAAAAATGTACGCTGATTGCCAGTCCACCACTGCAGGAAAGTATCATTCAATATTCCAACCTTGAAGCTGCCACCACAGATGTTCCCAAGCACCCAAGGCCCTTTTCTGCACACTCACAAGGCTCCAGTCACACTATCACCACCCAAAACATGTCCATTGTCCAACAAACTCCAGGCCAAAACCCCAAGAGTCACCCTCTTCTTACCGGCTGCCTCCTCTGTTGCGACAAAATTTCATTCAGACAGAGCTGGAGCCGAGCATCCAGCCGTGCATTGCAGACAACCATGCACCATCGCCCGATGCTCCATTGTCATCCAGAAAACTCTAAACCAAAACACCAAGAGCCGCACCAAGAGCCGCCTTTCAATGAGCTGCCTCCTCGAGGTAGGCGAAAGCTCACACCACAGGGCTGCCTCCTTGATGGCGATGGGCGAGTGCTTGGAGAGCAGCAGCCAGGGCATTGCAGATGACTAAGCTCATCTGAACAATTCCAGGCCAGAACACCAAGAGCATCCCTCTTCACAGGGCTGCCTCCTTGATTGCTATGGGCGAGTGCTTGGAGAGCAGCAGCCAGGCATCGAGCAGAGCATTGCAGATGACTAAGAGCACCATGCCTGCCCAGACCCCTGGGAGGCCCCAGCCCTGCGAGCCCACAAGGGAGAAGAAGCCGAGTGCCACCGCGGCCGACAGCACCGTGCGGCCCCCCACCCAAGTGATCTGGCTCGCTCCCAGAACTGTCCCCTCCAGTGAAAGCGCGCATGGCGCCAGCGGCTGCACAAAAGTTGCACAGAGAATGTAAGCATCTGACGTGGCGGGTCCTATTAATGTTTATATTAGTTTGATTGTATCAGTCATGGCAAATGTATCCAATAAGAGTAGAGAGCAAGATGCCCCAGAAGCGGAAATGTGTGAAATTTATTTCTGCAGACCAGCCATCTTCTGCTGCAGTTCTGCTTTGCGCCCACCGGGACAATGGGCAGCGCCGTGCAAGTTAAAGTATAAAAAAAAGCTTTCCCCAAGGGTCTTTAGGCCGCACCAGCCTGACAGCCACAATTGGCAGTGCAGTGGTGGCTGTGGTGATGGGGGCATAGTCCGCAAGAAACATAAAGTAAAAAGAGAGCGTTGTAAGCGGGACTTGAGCCGCTCGCTATGCTGAAGGCGACCAGCCGGCAGCGCAGCGGCGGCTGCGGCGAGAACACGGTGGGGTCCCGTAAGAACAGGGTCGGAAAAGAAAAAAAGGAAAGTAACGTTGCAAACGGGACTCGAGCCGCGCACCATGCTGGCGGCGACAACCGGCAGCGCGGTGGCAGCTGCAGCGATGACGGTGGGGTCGGGAGAGAAGAGCTGCGGGAGCACGTTGCGGCCCAGGAAAATGGCGGTGGCAGTCACGCAGCCGACGCTGACGCCCATCTGCAGCAGCCGCTTCACATAGCGCTGCGCCTCCGCCTTGTCACCCTGCACGGGCAGTGTTCAGCTGTCAGTAGTCGTCTTTAAACTGCTGTTAGTCATCCCCAACTGTTGAGGGCGCTGACGGATCAAGGTGCTGTTGTGATTGTACATTGTACTGTCAAAAAATCACCAACTTACTGCATGGATATCTGGATTAAAGTTGCATATGACTGCCCTGGGTGTGCACAATATAGATTAGCCTGCATAGGCATCAGATAGACACAGCAGCAGGCCTTCAGGCCCCACAGATGTGGCTGCAGACACTCTGTGTGTATGCCCTATGGCCTTCAGGCTTTGGGTTTGCCGACACTATAATAATAATAACAGCAGCAATTGGCGTTCCGGAGGATGCCAGCACAGTGCTGTGCATTGCTGCAATCCCACAGAACGCCAGTTGCAGCTGTGGCTATGCACAGAAAATATGTTGAGGAGCCCAGCACTGCAATTGCTGGGAAAACATAACGTTTGTTGTTTCCACCAGATTTCAGGGGCGGAAGATCATCAGGCGCGCACCTTGCCGAGACAGGTGGCAACCAGGGACTGAGCCACGGTGGAGAAGGTGCCAAAGATGGCCATGGCAAAATCCACAATCTGCTTCACTATCGTGTGCGCTGCCAACGCCACAGGGCCCAAAGCTGCACCAACACACAAACAATCAGATTTGCACTGTACCTCCGTCTTTTTGCATTTTTATGTGCGGTTGGGCCTTCATGAAGCGCCTAAATTCTAGTCGCTATCAGGTCAAGACAATGACGGGGACAGGTCTGCAATTTAGCAATGGCAGAGGAAGATCACACACAACTTGTCCTGGACTGTTGTCAAAAGATTGCATGTACTGTGCTGTGAAGGCAGTACACAAAGTATGTCAACTTGAGCAGCTACAACCCCACCAATGCGTTTAGATCGATGCTATTGAAGCTTCACACCTCAATCTGATCACCTCGATAGAGCTGCAGCTGTTCAAGGACAAATGAGCTGTCCTTGTATGGCAAGTGACAAGGCACGGGGTCATTAAGGCCAGATCAACAAAGATCATAAGCTGTGCTGTCAAGTACTGCAGCAGGGTAGCCTGATAATAAAAAAGAATAGTTCGAATTGGGATATGTATCTGTCATCATGCGGATAGTAAAGTTATGGCCGGAATGCGGCGCACCGGTGGCGAGGTTAGTCGCGGTGAGTAAAGCGGTGACTACCGCGGCGATGCAGAAGGCGAAAGGGATGCCAGGTTTCAGAGTGTCTGCCCACTGCTTGGGCGGCGGGAGGCTGCCCATGTCTGCAGGCACCAGCAAGTCTTTGCGCGTCATCATGTAGAGCATCACTGCTGCTCCTGTGTACTGGGCTGCTGTCGCTGCAGTCGCCGCACCGGCCTGTTGAACCGAAACAAGCAGTAAATACGCGTCTATGGACTAGGGCTCACTTGATGTGAGGCTCCAAAGGTAACGAGACAAGACAAAAAACATAATCTTATGGGGACCGAGATGGATTCATGCAGCTGTGCCGATCACTGCACATTATCTGAGATATGTGACTCGCTTCCAGCAGGAGGTTGCTGCACCAGAGGGGGCACTACTCCATACTCACAACTGGTAAGCACTACTACTTGGAAACTTGAGGACAAACTGTATCGCATAAAAACGTCTTCTGAGCCGCCTGTCAGACTGCGCATTGGGGTGTGCGACAGAGGGGCTCACCACGCCCACGCCAAGAGCCAAAACAAGCACGAGATCCAGAGACAAGTTGACGAAATTCTGCGCAACACCCGCAGCCAGCGGCGTCCTGTGTCAACACCACACAGCTGCTGCTTAATTTCTTGCTCCCCTGAGATTATCTCTAAACACGCCATCCACCCCAGCATGTGACCCCACAGGTATCACAGAAAATCTCTTATCCAGAAGGAAAAGACACTTTGCGCCCTGTCTCCCAGTTCAGTGCAGGGCCCACAAAGCTGCACAAAGACTGCAAAAGGACATGCTACAAGATTAACCATATCAAGGAACACAAGTGGCGCCCGCAGCAGCCGCTAGGCCAATCGACCCTGATGAGGGTATTGCTGATCACCCTTGCTTTTGCTCATGCTCATCACCCCATCTCTCAGGGGCATTGATTAGATATGTTCACCAAGCCAAGAGGTGACAAAGGCCAACCGCCCTGATGTCGATTGGCCAATAAATTTAACTTTAATTGGAACACACGAAATATGTAGCGGGGCTCACTTGGTATCGCGCGCGCCGCGGAAGGCGCCGTTGGCAACAAAGAGCAGCAGGGCGGCAGGGCACGCCAGCGAACGGATGCGCAGGTGCCTTACAGCGAGAGCCGCCACCGCCGCCGTCGGGTTGAATCCCCCAATGAGCCTGGGGGCGTTAAACCATAGGAACGCCGACAGGCCCGCGCCGATCGCCCCCGCTATCCACAGATTGTGAATCGTCGCCTTGGACGCCTGCATGCACCGGATGAGTTTTGGCATCTTTTCAGAGCCCTATCATCCTTCAGTGCTGGCTTGTTGCACGCTTCAAGCCTCACTTGTGATGCATGCTTTGTATACTTGGCGTTGAACTCCTATCGAGGCCTCAAGATTATCCGTGCTGGCTTATTGCACACACCTCATGCCCCACTTTGGGTGACTTGCTTAGCATAGTACACCCTCAAGCATGGCACATCACAGATTGCAAAGAGCACAGCAGCCACAACTGCGACATTGAAACTGCAGCGCATGGATCGGCAGCACAAGCACATGGCATACCAAGGCAGAACCACAAAAGAAAGCCCACTGACAAGGCAAGCTTGTAAACAGTTGCAGGCATTCAGAACACACCTCGCGGCGGTTGTTCATCGCGAGCGCGTCGGCGACGCGGGGAGTGGTGACAACGAGCAGGAATGAAAAGAAGACGGTCACGAAAAAGAACACCATGTTGCTCAAGCCAACCGCTCCCAGCTGGTGCATGCCAAGCCGCCCCACAATAACTGCGCGCAGAGTGCACCATGTCAGCAGCCTCTCTTGCAATGTCTAGTGTTCGAACTGGAGAAGAAACAGCTCGTTGTCTCCTGCAATGCTGCTCTGCTCCCGCTCTTCTAGCCAAAGTGACAAGCTCAGCCTGCTGTGGGCCTCTCCCTGCTGTTCTGATCATCGGAAAGCAGCCTGCTTTGCCTATTGTGTTCTTTTTTCTACTGCTTTCCGCCACACATGAGTTAATGAGTCTATCTTGTGCCAACACAAGGCAAGGATATTATAACGCTCATGTACCTGGTCTGAAGTGACACCAATATGATCAAGCAAGGAAGTGGTGCCTGGGGCGCAATAGGGAGGCAGCACCTGTGTCAATGAGGGCCATGGCAGGGTCGAGGAACACTGCCAGGGTGGCAGGGATGAGTAAGCGCAGGATCTCTGCATCCACTCCATCTGGAGCTGGCAGCGCCTCTGCCACTTCTCCCTCATCCGCCTTCTCCAGTGCTCTCAGCTGCGACCTGTGCCGTAGCTGTGCCGAGGTGATCTGCCCAAGGAACTGGCGGCCTGATACAGAAGACACTGCAGCGCCAGCAATCCAACAAAATTCAGATTTGAATTAAGCAATGCCAATGCACGGAGATCAAGTCCTCTGGCAAAAGCCACATGCAAAGTTGTTTAAAGACAGCCATACAAGTTTCTGCAGTGCCAGGAATCCAAGACAGGTCTCATTTAAGCAATGACGATGCAGACATTGAGATCAAATTGGCAAAGCCTACATGCTGAAGTGCCTGAAGACAGGCATACAAGGTGACAGGGCACATGCAGTTAAAGGGTTTAATTTGAAGGGCATACCTGTATTGTTGGGGATAGATCTGCTGTTATTGATCACCGTTGGTGATGAGCCTGTGCGTTGGTATTGAAGCTGCATGGTCGGGCAATGCCTGCCGCCAGATGACCTCAGCGGCCTGTGCTGAGGAGGCCTGCTTCTGAGGCTGGAAAGCCTGGCCTCTAAGAGGTGCCCTTGATATGAGCTATGTGTCTGCATCATACTCGTTCAATGAGCCAGGCGCATATATGTGCCCTGTGGCATAGTGGAGGGCAGCTTCTATGTGTGCCAAGCTAGACTAGTTGGTTATCAGGCACGTTCCAAAAGCTGGCGAATATTGTCAGGGAATTCAATGAGATCAATCGAACTCTGCTTAAAAGGCAGAGCCTTTTAGCAGGGCTGAAAGGAGAGAATAAGTCAGACACTTCAAAATAAAGCAGTGGCAGGTCTGCTGACTGTATAACTTCCTTATCCCTTCCTGCAAAAGCGTCCTGAATGTTTGCTGGATAAGCACCAAGCTGACTAGAGAAGTTCAATTCCTCCTTCAGCAGGAACGACTATACCTCTATCGAAGCTTTATCCTTTCCGAGTAAGCTCTTAATTAGCTAATCTAACAAACGCAGTGCCTCAGGCTTTGCCCCTTCGTTATGAATTCTCACAAATGATGTTCCAAATTTGTTTGACGAGACTTTCAAGCCTATTTCTGGACAGATTGCGTTTCTTCGGGACACCGACTGCCGATTGCTGTCGAGCAGCTTCATCAAGGGTAGCGGTCTGTTCAACGGCGTTCCTCGTTCTGGGTCTAAAATTAGAAGGAAAGCCTTGGAGAGAAGCCGTGTTGCGGGCAGATGTGCGTGCTTACGGGAGCTCGCTTGGACCGATCAAAGCTAGTTTATAAGTTCTATGAATTCTTGCCAAGGCAAGAGAAGGACGGGGGCAGGCGGAGGCGGAGGTCGGCTTCAGAAACTGTGAGCGATGCCGGACCCACCGAAGCCTGCAAATTCAACAAAGATTAATTAATTTCGCAGAACTAAATCTCATACTATCACTGTGTTGCACAGGTACAAAAGGGTGGCCCTCAGCAGTTCTGTCGATGAGAGTCTCTTCGGCTCCAGACGGAAATCGGCCGCAGGGCTCGCTAGAACCTTGTCTGGCGCCCTGAAGGCCGTGCCGCACGAGAAAGTCGTCCTTAAGCAGTGCGTTTCCGAATCGGATTCCTTGTAACTATGTGAAGGAATTGGTCTGCGCCCTGGGAAGTCGTCATAAACCCTTCGTGTTGTGGGAGGAGTGCCGCTTTGTACAGTGTGGCCATGCACAGGAGCGACATCGAGAGGATGCGCAAGCCGGTGCTGACGGCGGCGGAGGTGGCTGCGGCGCGGCGTGACGCGGCTGAGGCCCGGGAGGCCGAGCGCGCGGCCGCGCAGCTGCGCAAGGTGCGCATGCAGCAGGTGTGCCTCAGCTAATCTCACACTTCCAGATATTGGGTATGCCCCGGTTAGTGGGGCCCGGTAGACGGTTCTAAGCAGGCAGACACAAGCGCTTGGACCTTACTCTGATCTGGCAGGTCTATCAAGGGGCAAGACAGGTCCTGCAGCTTGTCTGCAGATAGGTTCCAGATCGTATCTCATTATATACATCGTGGCCCCGGCTGGTGTGTGGCGGTAAAAGAATCTGAGCACCGGCTTGTGATTCATCCGGGAACACAAATGGTCAGGTCTTCCTGGGATCTGGCGATTCCATCAAAGGATAGGACATCCAGCGACCTTTGTCTCCAGCTTCTCTGCAGACGCACCTTGTGAAAGTTATTTTTAAAATTTTCAACAGACGTTGAATAGCCGCAGATTAGTCTTCAAGGTGATTCTGCATAATCCTGAACATCAGGTTGTGTTCTGAAGTCTGAAGTCTGTGAGCAGCCCATGTCTTTCAGGTGCTGACTAGCAGAGCAAGACCTGCCCGGCGGCTTGGACTGCACCCACAAATATGAGCATTCGAGCATGAAGTAGGTGGCACAGTTGCTGTGAAATGACCGCGGCAGATATGTGTGCAGATGGAACAGCAAAGGCAGGAGGCAGAGGGACCGAGCGAGGTGGAACGCCTGCGTATGGCTGCCGCTGAAGCGGTGCGCGGCAAGGCAGCTGCCGCGAAGCTGGAAGCCACCGACGAAGCCAAGCGCATGAACCAGATGGTCCTCTACAGCAAGTGCATGGCTGTCAGGTGCGCGGCAGCTTCCAAGCCTGTCCGGGACCGTACTCACTGGCTGACAAGCATCTTTAACAGGTGCCCCTTGGTAGCAGAGCTACAAGTTCATTTAGTGTGCAGCAACAGAGTGGCAAAAAAACAGATGATCCTGCGCAGCAATCACATGGCCGGCAGGTGCGCAGCAGCTTCCAAGTTGCCTCGATTTATGTCTGCAATTCCTGGTCAAGCAAGCACTTGTATGGAGATTCACCCCTTGTGACAGAGGGCCAGGGGACTGCAGAAGCAGATCTAGAGTTTCCCAAAAGCAACAGTGCCACGTGTGCAGTAAGAGCATTTTGATCTAGCTGGAGGAGTCAAGCAGTAACACTGCACACACAGGGCCTCAGCTTTGAAATTTTGTTTCCCCTAGCTGCATGCATGAAGAGGGGTGCGTTCTTGAGCTTTGACGAGTAATCAGCCTTGTAAGCAATTAGTAAGGAGATGGTAATGCTGTGGTGCAGGGACCAGCAGGTAGAGGAGAAGAAGCAGCGCAAAAGGCAGGCTGCTGAGGAGGAACGCGCTGCAGACGCGGCCATGGAAGCAGCTCGGCAGCGCGCGCTCATTGTACAGCAGGTCTGCCACTGACATTGTCAGTACCACTGATATCTAAGTAGTAAGACGCACAGTAGAGACCACACCAAGCACACAATATGATGAAAAGATCACAAAGTTTTGTCGGATGGACCAACTTCACCTCAATTCTGGTCGAGTCAGGAAGTGCACTGAAAGATTCTTCCATCTGCTTACTTTTCCTGACATTTTCATTCATGGGTGCATTGTTCCGGTCACCACACTGCACAAAATATGCACACAACAGTTCGTGAATACATGGGCGTGGCTGCCAGCTGCCAGACAAAGATTACTGCTTTGAAGGTTGGTACATTTCTTCAGGCAAGGGACGCGGCGATATTGGAGGAGCGCCGGCGGGGGGCGACGATAATAGAGCGCCAGCTCGTTGAGCGCCAGCTGGCGGCGCAGCAGGAGCAGGCACGCCACGAACAGGTGGGCATCTTGCATAACCCTTCTTTATAAAGCACATGCACCCAACTCAGGAAGTGTACGCATGCAGAGCCAGGATCTTACTTCTTGGTCAAAAGAATTCATGTCAATCCGCCCCCTTGGAGCACACTAGAGCACTGAAAAAGTGCTGAGGACCTTCAGACTGATGCAACGGACAACAGGCTGTTGCCTAAGGGCGACAAAAGTTGCTTAAGTGGGGGAAAGCAAATGGGAACGTCAGAGGTGTCCTAAGTGCTCTCCTGGGGCAATCATGACTTGTGTTATTCCACGATTTCTGACAGAGGATGGCCATCCAGAAGGGTCTTCCGAGAGGTTAAGGCTTGCATCTTATCAGCAGCGCAAGGAAGCACGTTTTTAGAATTGCGTGCTATCCTCAATGGCTGTTCTCTGAGAAAAGGAGCCTTTTATCGTGCAGGAGAAGGCGCATGTGGCGCGGCAGACCGAGCAGGTCAAGCGCGAAGAGGCGGCGGCTGCTGCCGAGAAACGCGCGGCCGCAGCCGCGCTCATGCGCCAGGTCAGCATCAGATAATCTTGTTATGGTGCTCATATCTTGACACAGCAGTGCTTGAGACAGGACAGGAGGAGTCTGGCTAACAAGAAGGGCACGCGCGATGACTGATGTTACCGCATGACTAAAGCGCTGATGTGGCGGTGACAGGTGGCGGCCAGCAACGCGGAGATGCTGGAGCGCAAGAAGGCGGAGGCGGCCGAGCGGGCGGCCGAGGACCGCCGTATCGCGGCGTACCTCAAAGAGAAGGCTGCCCGCGAGCAGGTGACCCGATCATCATGGTATTGCGGTTCGTCCCATCACTCGCATGTTGTGCCATGAGCTGCGTTCACCGAAGGAAATGCCAGGTTTGCCTTAAGCAACAGCACTGGCATTGGCTCGTGAGAATATGGATTGCATATGCTGACCCGTTACACCCAGCAGTCATCTTGCTCTGAGTTTTGCGAGAGAGCAAAGGCAAGCCCAAGCTGATTCAGCATAGTTGCAGGGCGCCTCCAGCCACCTCTGCAGTTATTCTGCAGCCCAGCAGGTCTGAGCACGTGGGAATATTCATTGGCCAAGGCACCCCTTGTGATGCGGCGTTTGAAATTTTGAAACTGGTAATTTGGCGCGCAGGCGGCGCTTGAGGAGAAGGCACGGGCCGCGCATGAGAAGGAGCTGGAGACGGCGCGGCTGCGCGCGGCCCAAGAGCGCATGCGCGATCGACTGTCCGAAATCGACGAACTGCGCGCTCGGAGGTGCGCAAACTTGCAAAGTAATCATGTAGTGTTGTCTTACTGGCTGATGCCTGTACATGTGCGTTGTCTGTGTATAGACAGAAAACAAGCTGGTGAAGGCAAGACTGTTTTGTCCCACCCAATACCAGCGGCCTGTCAGGGTGCAGTGCCGCAGGCATGTGGAGACCATTATTTGGCCTGCGATCTTGCAGCAGGCTTTCCAAGATCTCGCACAGAGGAAAAGTAGCAAGCTAACTTTTGGGGGCTGTTGTGCGCAGGTGGCAGGAATCTGCCGAGAGGGCGTATCGAGCCAAGGAACGCGCAGACATCGACCGCGCGGCGGCGGCTACCGCGGACCTGCGCGCTGCCCGGTACTCGATTAAACTCTTACAGATTCTCTTTGTTGCATTTCGCCACACGCAACTTGCATGCCGTTCTTGCAGCTTGCAAGCCTTTCCTCGACTTGCATAGTAGGGGGCCCCTCTTAAAACTTGCGCCATGAACAGGGAGTCTCAAGCGGCCGGCAAGGCGGCGGCTGCCGCCGTCGCCGCTGAGGCCGATCGGGCCGAGGCCGCACGCATCGGTGCCGAGGCGGCCGCGGCCGTAGCCACACGGCAGCAGAAGGTGCGACGACATAATAGGCCTGGGACTACGTAATCAGAATATGTGACTGACGAGTCCAGTCATTGTCAAGCGGTCTGAAGGGGAGACATGTGACAAAGCCTGGAAGAGCAAGTGTTCTTCAGAGGGGGGTCCGCCTTGCTCAGAATTTGTGGTGTTTGTTGGGATGCAAATGGCCAAGAACTCACATGAGGAGCCCTGTGGGCGGCGGCACCTGTGTTTTCAGGACAATATTTCTGGCCTTGCTGGTTCCTTGTTGCCAGGGCGTAAGGGCCTGCAGGGAACACGCCGAGATTTGGAGTCCGACAGAGTGGCGTTTCTGCGCACTTGTGCAGGCGCGAGAGGAAGCTGCCGCGAAGCTGCGCCACGCTGCGGAGCTGCGTGCGCAGATGCAGGCGGCGGCTGCCCGGAAGCAGGCGGCCGCTGAGGTTGCCAAACAAGAGGGCGCTCGAGCTCGGGAAGCCACTGCAGTGCACCTAGCAGTCATCGAGGTATCACCTCAATCCCGCTGATCAATCTTAGATCGTTGCTTCTAAATAAATGACAGCACCTGCCTGATAAATGATTGTACGAACACCGTTCCATTCTTGTCTCTGCCTGAGTTGCCTGTCTCTGCTGGTATGTCCTAAGGCTAGGGCTGCTGGCGCTGCTTCCTGTTACCCTTGCAGCTTCACATGAACTGGCGGTCAGAGTAAATAATGGAGACTGGGCCTGCGAACTGCTCCGAATGGGATGTTTGGGGGCTGTGCAGGGCATACGGCAGCAGAAGCTGCAGCAGCTGGAGCAGGCAGGCGTGCCAGTGAAGTACCGTGCTGAGCTGGCACGCAAGAACTTTGTGGCCGCCAAGTGACAACTTGCTAAAAGCCTGTTCACGCTGGATCTAACCAGAGCTCTTGAAAATGCGGTCTCAGGACAGTGAAACTTGCCTACTATTCACCTTCCTGCTACATGAATTCAAGATTCAACAGCTTGACTTTATACCCAGGTGCCAATCTGGTTGGGTGGGCAGCCTCAGTAGCTGTCCTTGCAAGCTTTGCTAAGTGGTTATTGATTAAACTTATTGTGTGGTCGGGCTTGCAATGCACTTTGTTTTCCATCTGGGGTAGAGCCAGCCTGGGTGTGTCACTGAGTACCGATCTTGTATAGCCACCCTACTGGTTGCAAGTCCCATTCACTCAGTCACTCAGTCAATCTTACATTAATGCCAGTAATGTGGCTGATTTCTTAATTTTACACTATGGTAATCCCCAGGGGCTTCAACTGCAGCTTGTCTGCAATACGCACCTTGCCTCTTGGCAGGAAAAGCGTGTAACAATAATAATAATAATAATAATAATAATCCCCAGGCGTACAGACGTGCATGTACCTTCCTCAGATTGCCACACACATCTACTGCCCTACGCTCCACACAGATATCGCACAATTACTCGCTTAACATCCGTATAATTTTGCACCCCTTAACCTACTACGCTAGGCTAGGCTAGGCTAGGCTACGCTAGGCTCGGCTAGGCTAAGCTTATACAGCTAAGTGCCCGTAAAAAAACTCCCTCTTCCTGATGGGGGTGCTATATTCAGTAATGGCTCTGCTATAATCCGTGCTGGCTGGTGCCAAATCAGCTCTGGGACGCAATATCGAACTCATCTTGGCACCTGGATGCTGATGTCACCAGGAGCCAGCTTAGCATCAATTGAGTCTGGAGGAGCTACGCCATTGCCTTCTTTGCCAACCTTTTTTGGAGAAGCTAGAGTAGAGTCGTCACTAGGGAGGCTTGATGAGGATGGCACGCTGTGAGTGCTCCTCTTGGGACGGCATGTAAGGATGCGGATGATGACCTTACGAGACTCTATCAGGGGATAGAAAGTGACCACCAGCCCTGCAAGAACACAGCCGCCACATGAGCCTCAGCTTGCTGCTCAAGTTCTGCTTGCCAGACTGTAAAATGATGATGTAACATGTGCATATCCTACGAGTGAAGCGCTAGCATGCAACTGTGCTATTTTGCCTGCGCCAAGGTATGCATGCATCCTCTTAAATAAAGCTGGATCCATCCATAAGGTGGGTCTTTTCTGGGTCTTTTCTGGGTGCCAGAGTGTATTCTTCAAAAGGATTCCAAATACTGCGTTGGACTTTACCATGCCATAATATGGTCCTGCAATCAGCGCAAGGCGCAGAAATCTGAGAACAAGCTGTGCAAGTCTGTATGCGGTGCCGGGGATGTGGCTGTGCATACCTGCAACGAGACCCCAGACGATGGACAGTATAATCCAGAAGGTGAAGTAGCCCTTAGACCAGGTGGCACCAGCAGGCAGAGTCAGCAGGGGCCAGATCACAAAAGTGACAGCCGAAAGGCCGAACGCCCACCACAGGCTGATCTTGTATGCGCGCTTCATGGCAGGCGACTCCACGTCCCCATCCACAATCTGCAGCATCCAAGATAATTCAAGGCATATGACATCTTCTCAATTAAACCATGCGGGGAAAATTAAAATGCATGATGAACCAGAAATCCACCCATGCATGAAAGCAAGCAGCTGACAACTTTTGCCTATGGTAAGGATCACCCCAACAATGTGAGGGTGCAGAATGGACAGCAGGTATGATCTTCAGCACCGCATGCTGATGTGCCAATGTGCCAACAAGCAATGATCTGGTTTTCGGGCCATTCGTCAGAGGGCATAGCAAATGTCTGATTAGGGTTGGTATCTTCATCACCTAATTGTACTAGATAGACAAAGAATTCAAAGCTGCAATGTGGCTAGGTGGACCCCAAGCCTCTTCCCTTTTTGGGGTGAAACCACTGCACCACTTGCAGAGCATCGCTTTGCATGCGGTGCAGCCCTGCGAGATTGCAATCCCGCAGGGCCTTGATGCAGACACTGAGGAGAGTCCACAAATGAGTCACCTTGACATTGTCCAGGACGGAGACATGTTTGGCGAGATCGGTGCGCAGTTGCAGCCACGAGGCGTCTTTGTCCGGGGCGATCAGCGTCCACACTACACAGATCACCTGCCACACACATGAGCCAAATCCTTGCACTCATAATTTTGACTTAAGAGACGACATGGCCTTGAGTAATGCTGCATGCATGCAGCCAACAAATGTCCTGGATTAGTCCGCACACAGCAGTGGCCTACCGGGTGTCATAACTTATGACTCTTGAGTTATAAGTTATGACTCATAAGGAGTCTGAATCTAGGGTCTTCGGGTGATAATGAAAATATTAAGCTGCTGGCTGATAACAAGATAGATATTTGTATTTCTTCAAACCGGCAGAACCGCCACCGCACCGCTGAGCTGACGATTGCTGTGATGTTGCCTGAAAGGCTGGGGCCGTTTTGACTGGTGGTGATAGTGGTCAGCTCTCCACTCCTGTCCAAGCACACGCCGTTTGGTTGGTACTGGAACCTCTACTACATCAGCTATGCAAGCCAGGGTGAATTGGTTCGGTATTTGGGAGTTGCGATTCTGCTATTGCGGAGCGATCTTAGATGGGGGCCTGCCTTTCAAGGGCTGGCAGGACATCTGCTCGATCTACATACACAATCACATAACACTCTTGCAAGGCAAGATGCCATGCAAAGGATTGGCCGCTGCCCACACCTTCAACCTTTCAAAGAACTGCTGCCGCGTGCATTTCAACAGACATGTGATGATGAATGCCTAGTCAGGCACTGGCCACGGGTCGAGCGCCTGTGGAGACCTCATGCTACTGGAGACACTGTTGAAAATTTGGCAGTGACTTCTCATATACATAGACACTGCTTGGTACGGTTGCCCATACTTTCAAGCCTGCACATCACTTTCCTCTGATGAGATGGAAGGAAGCTTACAGGATGTGGGTGCTGGAGAGCCAAGCAGTGATGGCCAGGAACTGACCTCCCAGGGCACCGGCAATAGCAGCCCCCTCCATGTCACACAGCACACACTTCAAGTTGAAAACTTCATGATGGAAACAGGACAGTGCAAATGATGCACGCCTACACAAACCGGTTGAAAGATGCTGCAGCGAACATCCACACTGTACTTTCTGCTGCATGCTATGAAGTATGGTACACATTTTGAATGATACAGATCCAAGCCAAAGAGGAAAGGCTTACGCTGGGCACTGCATTCCAGATTAGCAAAAAGGAGATGGGAGGGAACACGCTGGCCACCAGCAGACCAATGACGCTGAACAGCCTGCACAGCACAGCCAACCTTTCTGGTACAGTAATATAGGTATGACTAATTCCCTGCTACGTTCCTACTCAGGCAAAGGGCCCATCTGGGACCCTAAGTCAACGAACCTGCTCTTAGCAGGTGTTATTGAAGCACCTCCTACTACCGGAAAGCTGTTCCGCTTCATTCTCAATCGCATGCAGAAGACTTGCATCCACTGATTACCAAGTCTTGCTGATCAAGCAGCTCCCAAATATGGGACTTTGTGATTGCTGTGTGCTGCTAATTTTGTGCGAAGACAGCGCCTGGCAGGCAGAAATCACGCAAAGGTAGTGCATGCGCAGGGTTAAACACACAATCATGTACTAATTGGGCTTTGTAACGATAAGGAAGGAAGAGCGCACCAGTTGATGTCAATACCGGCGTGGATGAGGCCGATGCAGAACACTCCTGAGAAAAGACCGAAGATGAGCACTGTCAGCCTCGATACCAGTAGAACCTGCATCAGACCATGACTGTCATGTGTATGCTGCCCCAACAGGGATCTCGATGCAATGGATGGTAAACCAACCTGAGGACAAGCCAAGGTCCTCTTCGAACCTCCACAATAATCCACCAGCAATCTGTTTCTTTAGAAATATTCAATCAATCTAGAAACCTTGGAATTACCCCTACCGCAACCCCTTATATACCATGAACCCTAAAATCCTCACTTAAGAACTTGAAAATGAGGAGGGCCAAAGAAAGCCAGGGCAAGAGATACGAGAGTGAATGTACAGGTTGGAAGTTACCTGTTTGCCGGTTGCCTTGGGGTTGATGTAAGTCTTATAGACATCATATGACACCAGAGAGCTCACTGCCACCAGTTCGGCTGAGCCGCTAGATGTTACCGCCATGAAGATGATGATGACAATCATGATGACACCACCCTGCAACAGCAAAAGACTGCTCTTGCCATATTGTCATGCAATGAGTGCTCCTCCCCAGGATGCATCTTGACTTGTGCCATAGTTCAGGTGTGCTTCTTGCGATGGCGATGGGCTGATGTGGTTAATATGGAAATTTAACAAATGGACCAAGTGCTTACAAAGGAAGGAAAGTTGAGAACGGAAAGCAATGAATTGGCAAGGCTATTACACAAAATCAAGCTCTGAGGGCAGCATGCTGCTCAGCGGCTCATGCAGCATATCATGCCTTCATAATATGACTGGCATCATTCTCTGCATAGTGGATTCTTCTCCAGTGGAGATGAACAGATGGTATAAACGTACCTTTCCCAGCAGGTGATAGGCAACAGCGGGCGGCACCAGGGCCTGCCCAATTTCTTGGGTGCTCATGGGTAGATCCAGGGCAAGCCCAGCCAGGCCGATGGTAGTCGCCATGCTGAAGGGCACCGCAAACCACAGCAGGCCTCCTAGTATGTACCCCCTGCAATCCACCGTGCAACTTTGATATAAGATTACAAATTGAAAAGGGTACTGAGCCCCTGCCACCCAGCATTTTGACGGAGAGACAACAGGTGCTTTCACCATTGAAGATCTCAGACATCGTAGAAGGATACTCAGCTAGTGGTTATGAGGAAATATCTAAGTACACATCAGCAGATTTTTGTATGATTGGATGGTGAAAGAAGTCAGGTCCGGGCCTCCCTGGATGGGCTGTCAGCGCATTTCTGCAGGAAGAAAAGGTTCACATGTCCATAAGGACCATTGGGCCTCATTGGCTCTCAACAGCTTTTCTATGCAATGATCATGTCCCATCCCAGTGCAGCAAGTATTGCTTCTGTCTGTGCTAGCAAGGCGTGAGGGCTCACTTGTAGGCAGCTTCAGGGCGGGCTGCAATGGCGCTCTGCCAGAATCCCTGGTCGGCCCACACCCAGCCGAAGCAGGTTGCGAAGAAGATCCAGCCAAACTCCAGACCCCCCACACTGTACATGGTCAGCAGGCTGCCATCCTTGTTGCCTACCACAGGCACTGCCTGCAGAAGTTGGCCTCAGTTAATTTGAATGAAGGGGTCCTTTCTAGGGCACCATCCCTCTTGTGGGCAGCCCTATTGACAATTGTGGCAGGCGCATGTTTCTCGGGAGGCAGATCATCCCACGCACTATGCCTGGGCAAGGAAAATGAATCAATAATTACAATTCAAGCTTCTCTGATCAGTGGCATGAGGCTTTATGGACATAAAAAGCCTTGCATGCCCTTAACTTTGGTTCAGAATAGCAGGGGTAATAGAGCCAACGTGACTGAATTCCCCACAAAACAAGGATGTTGGAGGAGGAGGAAGACAACAGGAAGACAGAAAAAGACAAAGGGATCTGCAAGAGCTGCCACAGCGCAGGTCAGGCACGCACCTCAGCTCGGACCAGTAAGTTGTTGTAGACATTGCTGATGCTGCCAAGTGTCGTATTAGTTGTGCTGTTGGGCACGAAGACTGTGAAGATGAGGGCTGCGATGACGGCAAAGATGATAACAGAGTGCATGTACGAGCTGATGAACGCTGCCTGCAGAAGCAATAAACAAACTCAGGCAGCTCTTTAGAATTGTGCAGGATTCCTTCATGTCCTTGCTAGACAGAAAAGCAAAGCAACAGATCCTTCAGAGCTGAGAAGTACAGAGATGCAGCCTTGGCAAGATGGACTGTAGCTGTGCCTGATGCATGTCATCAGCAATGGATTAATTGCATCAAGGCCATCCCGCACTGATCATGCTGAGCATTGCTGAATGAAATCTTTTAAAGTGTAACTGCTCACATGACAAGAACTCTCCAATCAGAACATGTCTTCAGCCATCCTCTACAGCCAGAAGGCCAGGTTGTAAGACAGCATCTTCAGTCTTCTCACCTTAAGGCCACCGGCAACGCAGTATATGATGATGCCTAAGGGGATCAGGATGCATGAGGCTTCCAGGCTGACCCCTGTCAGAGTGGTGATGACGGAGCTGGCGCCCACAATGAGCGTGGATGTGATGAAGAGGTTGTTGATGAAGAAGAGGTAGAAAAACACCTGCACACCATCAAGACATGCATTGAAACAATATTCACTCCTCTACTACTAAATCCTGATGATTCGTCTTAGCAGCCCTGGGCGGTCCAAAACATCCTATGAGTCCCCCTTCCTTCTATACAAATTGCCTTTGATTATCAGTCCATTAGGGGGATGACCTGCTTTGCTGCAGGGCAAGGCATCGCAGCCATAGCTGGTATATGTCGTGCACCGCATAGGTAGATCGACACTGTCATCAAAAGTACGGCAGATTGCGAAGAGCAGCACAAGTGGGGCCTTACCAGGTGAGCAGGTTTGCCCCAGCGAAGCCGCACAACTTCCAGAATAGTGTGGCAGTTCGGGGCCTTGCGCTTGATTTGGATGGCCATGACGCCAAAGAGCATAATCTGCAGCGTGGCTCCTGCTGAGAACCTGCACAACAGATGCCGTTTGATATCCTTAAGCGCAGGAGCTAATGTCCTGATTTCCCCAACTACAGCTGGTGTCACAGCAAGTTTTGCAATGCTGGTCGATTTCATATTGGCGAGCCGAAGACGTTAGTGCTTACTGTCCAGAACTTACCAGAGCCACCACACCATGCAAAGGGCCAAATGGTCTGCCGTTAACACATCCAATGTATCTAGGTGCTGACTACAAGACTCCAGAGAAGTGTCACAACAATAGTAACTTGTCAGCACTGGAGGGTTGAATGTCAGTCGCTCACCAGAATGCGCCACAGGCGCCATACTTGAAAGTCACAGTGCTAGACTGTAGCAGGGTGAAGGTCCATGTCCAGTGCGACACCACATCAACTGCAGCATTCCGTAATATTACGTCAATACCGACATTGACAGAGAACATGGCTACTGACACTACAGAGGCTGCGCAATAGCCTCTCGGTCTGTCGTTCTCATGATTTGAGCTGTGGGCGCAAGGGATTGACCTGAGATGAGCCCAGTCTTGATGCGCCGCCCTGCCGTCTGAAAATTTTCGGAATTGGAGTGATGCCCCGCAAAGTTGATGTCGAGCCAAAGCGCAAGGACGGTCACCACAGCAAAAACTGCTCCAAAGCCAACGAGGATGGCATATCCCGTACCCTGCATAAGAAACTCCATTTGATTTGTCTGAGGGGATCAGTGCAGTCGGCCCGATCCCGGGGAAGATATAGCAGTACTGCAAGTAATAGTACGGAGATAACGCACGCACGAGAGTTACATCTGCTGGGACTTTTCTGACATTGTAAGGCAGGTTAACTTCTACATTTTGCAGAGGATAGGCATATTTAAACCCCGTCTCCTCCGACATGCTTCAAACCGCAACTTCAAGTTGGGATGCTCGACCAGGTCTTTTATGAAAGTGTATGCCAATTGTGCAAATTCCGACTTCGTGACATCATAAAACATTGTTAGCAAATCTCACCTCGGAAAGGATGGGTGCCCCGTCGAAAAATCTGTCTTTGAAGTCGTATTGATGGAGGCCGAACAAGTTTGGAAGGTTAACTGGCATCTTGGGCACTCTGGACTCAGAGGATCTGGATCCAGTTAGTCCAAATATATTATATGTCTATGTCATGATGCAATCCATCGCACAATGCGTTGAGCAAAATATCTTCTCCAACTGTTCGTCTGGTTTTGCCCCCGTGGGCGCGAGTGCGCGCGCGTGCGCGTGCCTGCTAGGACATTGTGTACTCACTATAGCCACGAGTTCGCGACCTTTGAAGCGATCTCAATTCAAAAAGGCACTACTGTCTGATATTCAATCGTGCATGCATGTGCTGGCACACGCTTGATATCATATTGGAGAGGACACCCTAACCCGATCACCAAAACTTCTCCTCGTCTGTCAACTATGGCGTCAAACATATCATCTGCTGTCGTTAGCGAACATCATGCTGAGGGATCGGTGTTCGACAAGACATCTGGCCTGCGCGTCATCGACCTGAGCAACTTCGAGGAGCGCAAGCAGGAGATCGCGCAGCAGCTGGTCAGCTCAGCGAAGGATGTCGGTTTCTTCTTCATCACAGGTAGCCAATCAACTGTTGATGCTCATGTGAATGCGATGCGTTGGAGTATGGTTGACGGCGGGCATCGAAGTGCAACGCGTGAGAGTGACTTGTACTAGATGTAGTACGGTCGGACCGGCGATCTCACAGAAGTATGATGGCTCTTTATACCGAACACTCTTCTATTGCAGGTCACGGCATCTCGCAATCGGACATCGACAAGACCTTTGAGTATTCCAAACTCTTCTTCAATCTGCCCGTCTCCGTAAAGGAGAAACATCCCTTCGACCTCGACACCTTCGCTGGCTGGCGCGGCCTTAAGGAGCTGAGCGAAGTCACTGGTAAGAATCTTGTTCCCTTCTTCAAATGAATATTGCTCACCCACCGGTTGTGACTCTTGTGAGAGTGGCCATCGTCGCGTTGCCGATGCATGAGGCGATGCCGGACTTCAGCCGTGCTGCTTGTGCACAGTTGACACTTCAAGGATGGTGAGACTTGCTGCTAGTATAATACTAAGCTTAAGGTTTGTTGCTAAGTGAGAAGCACACTCCGATCATGGGTGCAGGGACACGCCTGTGGGAGCAGTTCGTTGCCCCAATAGACAGGCCCGGCAACCCCATTGCTGGCACCAAGTACCCTGAAGACAACCTCATTCCTGGCTTCAAAAAGCACGTGGAGGTCCGCATCCTGTCTCTTGGTACAACATGTCATTGTTTCAGAGGGCACTTGGCCATGTGCGTAACAGGAAGGACTTCCTGTGCATGCTACGCCAAACAGATTTGGTCATGCATGCTTGACCAAAACGCTGCACTCCAAACCATTTGTCTTGCTTCTCTTAAAATCCAGTGCCAACATCATGCTGCCTTCAAATCCATGCTCTGCAAATCCAATTGGGTGTTGCAAGGTCACCAACTCAACTAATGACATACCTGTGGACCCCAGGTCTCAACCTTTTGGTTCAAGGCTTGGGGCAAGGGCTTGAGGCAAACCCCTCACAAGGAATTTGATTTGTGTGAGCGTCTTCTATTCAAGCCACAAAAATATGTGCTTAGGCATTTTTCCCTTGCCTGCAGGAGTTCCAGCGAAAGTCACAGGCCGTGGCAGGCCTCCTCCTGCGCGGCCTGGCCATCGGCTTGGGGCAGTCCGAAGACTTCTTCCTGGGGGTGTGTACACTTCCAAATTGCTGGGACCAAGTCCTATACTTTACTCGCTGCACATGCTCATGGATTTAAGAGTTCGGATTGAAAAAGCTTAGTATGTCGCAAAAAGAACACATGTCCACATGCTGCTGACATGGCCTACATTTACAGCTGCTAAGCTCTTGGTCCTTCCTTTGTGAGTAGAACATAAGATATCCATAGCACATTGGGCATTGGCCCTCGCGTTTCTTAACAGGCGTGGCACTATCTGCCATTGCTTGTGTAAGCCTCCGGTTGATGGTGAGGGGAAATTGATTGGCAGGGACTGGACTTTGATGCCGATGACGTGGCAACCCTACTGGGCTTCAACTACTACCCCCCAACAGAGGGCCACTGGAAGGCGGGGGACGCCTTCCGTCTGCACGGCCACGCTGACTACAACCTCATCACCCTCCTGTACCGCCGCGAAGGTGACTCACTGTCACCTAATCACCTCTTGAACCAATGCTATTTGAAAAGCTTCAGCCTTCAACCGTGACGCAGTAGCATGACTCGTTTGAGGCGGCCCACTTGAACTCTTTCACGCTTTCAGCCACTGTTTGGTGTGACCTGCTTGGACCTCGTGGTGTGACTCAATCGCTGACTCAGAGAGACAATGATGAAAAAATCACTTGATGGCGGCTGGACTTCCTTGCACATGCAACTATACACAAGAACCCCAATAATACAATTATGCTAGTAGCAAGCCAGGTTGTTACTAGGAAATAAGTTGGTCTATGCAAAGAGTTTGCCAGGTGTGCTTTGACAGCACATGTGCACAGGCTGACCTCCTCACAAGATAGGCCCCGATTCCTGCGTTCACCTCTGAACGAGACTTTCCCTGCAGGCGAGACCGGACTGGAGCTGCTGCCTGGCAAGGATGCTGTCGCAGACCCGCGTGTCAAGAACCAGGTATGGGCATTTCACTATCGCACCAAAATTATTCAACATGGTGAAGCATCATCAGTAACATGCTGTTAGTGCGCTGTCAAATTTGCCACAGCATAAACCAGTCTAGAGAGGCTGGCCCGTATCTGAGGCCAGACCAGATAAGAACTCCCGCTTATAAAAGAAACATCAGGAAGATCTGAGTAGACCCATGAGCCACACCCTCTGACCTCAGAGAGCAACGTTTTTCCTCTGCCAATATGATCAGAGTGGCTTTTTCTTATTGAGATGACAGCTTATTGAGATGACAAAGTCTGTGACATGACATTTGGCCGTGCAGGACATCCGCGGCGCATGGCGCGGAGTGCCAGACAACACAGCCAGCTGGGTGCCAGCACCGCCTCTCAAGGGTACCATCACGGTAAGCAGAGGTCCCCTGCTGTGCATTCTTAGCTGACAAATACTGATGCCACTCCCCTTCACAATGTTAGGATATGCTCACAAATCCTTGTCTTGCAGCAGCTCTCAAATTTTTACAGCCCACTCCTGGCATTTCGTTATCCATGTGACAGGGCAGACCAATAATGCACAAGCTTAGTATTACCTGTTACAGATATGAATAACCCTAATTCATATACCTTGAAACCCGTAATAACAAGAACAAGCTATGCTGGGGGTGCAGGTAAACATTGCGGACATTCTGACACGCTGGACGGATGGCGAGCTGCGCAGCACCTACCACCGCGTGCGCAGCCCCGACCAGGCCACCGGCGAGCCTTTGGTGCGCCTCCTCAAAATAATACGTTACCCCAATCGGCACTTGTTAACGCGGCACCTGACCACAGCCTTGGCGCAGCTGTGGTTGCCTCCATTCCTGATGTTTTGGCTCTCAACAAGTGAAAACCTGTGTTCCACAATCCATGAATACCAGCAGCAGGTGACAATGAAATACTTAGACGGGATGCGGCTGTCGGCATATGCGTTTTGTGGTGCGGAGAGCCAAGTGCAAAGGCCTGTTTGCAGCGCCTCACTGAAAGTAAGTGTGTTTACTGCAGGGTGAGAGGCGTTCCCTGGCACACTTTGTGGCGCCAAACCGTTCTTTTGTGGTGAAGAGCATCAAGGGCACCTACCCTCCCATCACAGCGGGGGAGCTCATTGCCTCTGAAGGTGGGGCCACTTGGCATATATTGCTTCTGTTTATTTTCTTTCATTGTAGTGCTGTGTCACACAAATTGAGGGCTGTCAAACCTTGAAGAGATCCAGGGTTCGATGCACACAAGGCCTGGCAGCAGTGCGTTCAAAATTTAACATGAAGTTGCACCGACTCAGCATCTGGTTCGAGATTGTTGGTCACTGGATGGTCCCTTCCGTAGGTGTTCCCATGGATTGATGATGCCTCCTTAGTTTGTCTTAGTGCACATGCAATGAGTGGAGAATGATGCAGGACCTGTTGTTGCACACAGGCCATGCGTATGGCAGCAAGTTCAACGATCCGGAGTGGCAGCGCATCGCCTATTCCACGGAAGGCTTCACGGCGGCTACGGCCACCAGAGGCCCGGCCAGGCACGCCCTCTCACAGAACCCCTCAAATGTTTTCAGGGTTTTTGTAGGGTGCTTAGTCTGTGGTGTTTAGTGTTCAAGGCTTGGGGTGTAGTGGTGAACCCTAGAGCATGCCTTGCCATTGCCCGAGTCTCCAATAAGGGTGCAGTGCATTTGAGGTACTTGTGTGTCGGCCAATTGTGTTCTAAGAAAGACATTCTGCAAGGTCAGCCATGGAATCTATCTGGTACACGACGACGTCCTATCATTGGAATTAATTGGGAATTCATCCTTGTGCATGTCGTGGTTGCCAGTCTGTCACTCAACTTGTCGAAAAAGAGTGGCAACGGCAGCTCTGAGAAAGGTTTATTTACAGGCTTCAATATATTTGTGGGGGATTGTCGTTTTTTGGGGGATTTGGGGAACTTGAAACCTAAAATCCGACACATAATGCAACCATTTTCTGTGTGTAGGTCGGAGGATCTCTTCCCTGAGGAGGCGCCACGCATTGCTGTGGCCTAGGGGGATCTGCTCTGCACAGCTGGAAAAAACACTACCTGTTGACACATATCTTGTCTTCAACCAAAATGTTGGCATTGTCTTCAAGTGCAAGCAATAGATGTTTGAGTATACTATTGTGGTATGGCATGGGCTGACACCCGTGCTCGTAAGTCGGCAGACTTTTTTTTTGCCAACAACACTGGGGTTCCCTTCAGGAGTTTAGCTCAGGCAACTGGGATAGTAGGGAAGAGTATTTAGGTGCGTGGGCCCGGGGACACCTTTTTAGAGTTGCGAGGCAGGGATTACCTGTTTGCTTTTCTGTAGTGCTGTGGTCAAAGTAGTAGAGTCGTTGTTGCTAGAGTTTACAGTCAAGTTGGATAGTTGATAGTTGGTTAGAGTCTGTTGAGTATGCAATATGCAAGTTACTAGAATATTGTTGTAAGTAAGCTCATAACCGCGAGAACGGGAACGACATCACTTATGGTCATTCGATAGTGCAGGGTCTTGCCAGGGTGGTACTGCCCCTCTGGTTCAAGTTGCCTCTGTCACTTCTGTTGAGATCCGTTAAGATGAATGTGTTACAATGATTGAGGCCAAGGCCACTTAAATACACATGGGCTGGAAGCCACATGAAATTGCATGTCACTTCACAAGCATATTCTCACAAGCTTCTAAGAATCTAACGGAAGTTTCAATGTGACTTCCTTGAAGATCCCAGATCCTTCTAGAAACATGTCAAGCATAATTTCCTAATTTGGCAGGTCAAGCATTTCAGTTACTAACAATTAGAATAGGGATACATGATAGCATGCAGAGCTCATCTCATGCCACACATCTACTAGACACATCACATCTCACATTATAATCATTTCTCCAGGAAGACTCCCCAAAAGGTGCCATCTGTCCGGTGAAGCTGGTGGGCAGCTGAGCCGTCCCCTGAAATCCACCCTTTTCGCCTCCACATCAGACTTCTGCATCCCGAGAATTAAAATTAGAGGATCCCCGGACACATATGTGGAGTCGATAATAGACTTGATCGATAGCAGACTTGAGAGCAGTTGAAAGAGTACAGCAATTGTGACAGCAGTCGTCCACAGGCCGCAGACAGCGCGTGAGCGATAGAAAGGTGGGATCTTTCGGTGGATGTCAGTCTGACAAATGCCAGGATGTGTGTTTTTCTGTCAATTTCCATTGAGATTGATTGTATATGGCTGCGTCGATCAGCAAGGGTTCCTTTGTTTAGACTTGCACTAGCCAAACGTTGCGCGGGGCCACCGGTTCTTACATCGGCCCAACATGATCTGTCGGAATTTCGGAACTATCGTTTATCTGTCTAGTGGTGCCCACTTTGCCGAAAAGGACCGTATGTTGCTTTTGGCGAGTTCTTTACCCATCGCTACTACCTATTGGCGTCCAAGCATTCAATCTTTTCTGGTCTGGGACTCACCGCAATGCGGCTTGACCTCCAGGCCTCACTTGATTGAGTGGCATTGTTCCATATCAAGGTGTCGTTGCCTCAAACTGACTGTTGCAACATTGTCCGCAGAGTGACAATGGGCCGCGTTACGACAATCGCCGTACTTGTGATGGCACTGGCTGTGCTGTCCTCGGCCGATGCCAAGAGGGATCTGCTCCAAGCAGGTATACTGTATCCCACAGTCACAATAAATTATTTGTCCTGCATTGTGTGGTGCCAAGGCATGCATTCTTAGTGTGGTTTACCCGATCTCGACGTCCTAGCTGTCATCCGACATGTTTCGGCAGTCCAGTCTCATCTGTCTGGGCAGGGCACCTGCCCTCAGTAGCGTGCAATCATCGTTTTGATAAGGTTCTAGCTCTGTGTTGTATTGGAAAATGATATACTGCCGAATTGGCCCATCACGTCGAAACGCAATGTGGAAATGCCTGGTTGCGCCGCGACAAATCCTCATCCAGATTGTCTTGTGTATCGTAATAATTTTCGCGATTGTTGAGGCTTAAGCGAGACTGATTTGTGCACTTGCAGGCACCTCGACATCCCCATCCACCTCCCCATCCACCTCACCATCCACCTCCCCATCCACCACCCCATCCACCTCCCCATCAACATCCCCTGCAACATCTACATCCCCAGCCAGCCCTGCGGTGCGCAAGACCAACATGCTTCTGGCCTGCTTGTAAACCCACTGTCTTTGAACGATCTACAAAACACGCTTGTGACTGTTTAGGTCGGCCTGTTGTCTTGCGTGAGCGCACCTGACGGTGTCCACAGCGAAACGTCTCTGACAAAATAGCCGTACTTTGGCATGAGGCTCTTAGCAGAGCACCGTACCCAAGGTTGATTGAATTTTTGCTTGGATCTGGTTTTCCATCAAGGGATAGGGTTTGTGGCAGCCTCTATGCTTGACAGCCTGTGCGGCTTGTCTGCAGACGGACCTTGCTTCCAGGCATGAAACGCGTGTAATGATAAGTAGAAACAAGAGCATGGCAAGCTGACTTTTGTTTTGGCATCCCTGTGCAGGGCAGCACCTCTCCCTCCACCTCCCCGGCTGCTACCACCGGCGCGTCGCCCCCTGTGGCAGCCGCCGCGCAGCCGGCCGCCACCGCGCAGACCCCGGCAGCCGCCACGCAGCCGGCGGCCACCGCGCAGACCCCCGCAGCCGCCGCCCAGGTTCCGGCAGCTGCCGCGCAGTCCCCCGCGGCCGGCGCCACCGCTCCGGCCATGGGACCCATGACGGCGCAGACCCCCGGAAACGCCCCTGCCCCCGGCCAGCCCGGCAACAGTGAGTCACCTCTCATAGTCCCCCCCCTTCCAAACCACTGTTATAGCCAGTATATCTTTGCAGCATGTGAGCGTCCTAACTCTGGGTTCCCCCTGACAATGAGCCTGTGCAATTTCTACACCTGCTGTGAATCGTTGCACAAATAGCCGCTTGAGAGGCGCAAGTGGAGCTCAATTTACAGTGCTGCATTGCGATGATTAGTCCTTGTGATTGTTGAAGTTATCTGTAGGCTGAGAACTATTGTGGTGCTGTGCAGCGGTGATCAACAACAATAACAACAACAACAACCAGAATACCGCGGTCAACCCCACCTTCATCAACAACAGTGCGCCCCTTTCCCCTCAGTCACTCTGAAGTGCTCGCACCGAACCTCATTCTTTGCTGCTTGTGACATTGCCCACCAAAGCCATGCGGATTCCTTATCTGCTTCCTTCACTTTTGCTGCTTCGATGACTGATGCATTTGCGTCAGTGTTGGTGAATTGTCTGGGCGCTGACATGAGTGTGTGTGTTTCCGGCAGACAACAACAACAACAACAACAACGCCCAGCCTGCCATCCTGCAGCCTGGTGCGTCATGCTCCTTTTTATACTGTTACACCGGTGTACCGCTGGATCACTATCCCGAGTCTGACAATTGTCACATTCCCTTCCCTCGTGTGCAAAAGAACTTAATGCATGCGCTGCATCCCTTGCAGACACCAGCCACACAGCACACCAATACACAGCCTTTATTGATGTGATCGTGGATAGTGCTGGCTGGTGCCATGCATCCGCAAGCTTGCCGTGCGCTGAATGCTCTCAACAGGATGGCACGACACACATTTCGGCTTCGTGAATAAAGTCTTGGGAGGTATTACTAAAAACCGTATTCATCCCTCCCTGCAGGTGCCACCTTCCAGCCGGGTCCGGGCGCGACCACTGCCGGCCCCGTAGTGACCGGAGGCGCGCTCGTTGCGGCCTCGGCCGGCGGCGGCGTGTCTGCAGGGGGGTCCCCTTCCCAGGGCGGATCCCCCGGTTCCCCCGGTTCCCCCGGATCCCCCGGCCCCAACAACTGCCCCGTCACCAAGGAGTGCGTGCTCCCTCCCTTTCCAACTGCCTTTCACCTGGGTCAATTTTGTATTCAAGTCTCACACATACACCCTGCGCTTGGTCTTTGAACGGTGTTTGGCGCACTCTGTCTTGTTGCTGGAATGCCCAAGGGAGCAGCTTTGTCATGCAGCAGATTGACCTTTGGCAGAAAATTTTCTTGCGCAAAAAAATCTGTTAATAGCAAAATCCGAGTCCGAGGGGCCATTGCAGGCATGCAGGAGAGTGAAAACAATGTTTAGATTGGTCTCTTGCTGCAAAGAAAGCAGACTTCCGTAAGGTTTTTCACTTTCCCCCCTTTTTCTTTTGTCCGCCTAAAATAGTCTACTCGATCTAGTAATCTACTCGGGGGAACCTGCGGGTGCGGGGCTGATGGGTTGCTGTGTGCTGTGTGCAGCGGACTGACCATCACCGAGCAATTTCTGGCGGAGAGGTGTGCGGCGCAATCCGCTCGCTACAATGGGCAGTACATCCAGTCATCGCTGCTGCAGAACTCGGGCGGCAAGGCCGACAACGCCCTCATCTGCTGCACCGCCTGCCTCGCCTCCGTGAGTGCCTTTTCACCCCCTTATAAAGACCTCTGCAAAGGGGAGCTCCCTCTACTTAATTACCTGCGCAGAGTTGCTGCACTTTGCAGACTTCCTGCACAGCAATTGGTTGGCTGAGGCTGCCCCCTAATAAATACCTCCTCAAAAGGAGAGCTCCTTTTCCTTAAATTACCTGCGCAGAATTGCTGCACTTTGCAAATTTCCTGCACAGCAATTGGTTGGCTGGGGCTGCCCCCTTATAAAGACCTCTTCAAAAGGGAGCTCCTTTTCCTAATTACCTGCGCAGAATTGCTGCACTTTGCAGAATTGCTGCACTTTGCAGACTTGCTGCACCGCAATTGGTTGGCTAGGGCTGCCACCTCACGCACTTTGCAAGTATTATTCCTCGACCTGAGGTCCTACTAAGTTCAGGCTGACATCATAGAATCATCACCAGAGATCTTTGGGGTTGATGAGTCGGATATGCAGCCTTGACAGCCGGCAGGCTAAGCATTACAGAGCACTGCAGAACCACTGCAAATTGGGTTGCTTGTCCTGAAATGTCAAGTATGGAGCTTGCTCTGGTAGAGTTGTACACCGCACCAGAGGTGGGTATTTCCATAATACAGGTGCCCCAGCGCATCAGTATTTTTTATAAAGGGTTTCAGGGTTTATGGTTAAGGGTTCTATATTTAGAATTTAGGGTTCTGCCGGTTCTGAGATATGTTTTGGCTACGTGCGCAGTCCACTTGCACGGCGTGGAATTTCCAGGCCAGCGGCCAGGCAGCGTACGACGGCACCCCCTCTGGTGCGTGCAAGAATCACTCACATGCAACGCATCCATAGTACTTACTTTCAGATGATCAGTGCCGTGATCTGCCTGCATGTCTTGCCAGTTCTGGGGGCTCCGTATTTTAAGCGAGCTGGGCACAATATAATCGTCCATAGGGCATGCACAAGAATCGGCCAAGCGGCGATCTTTCTTTGCTCAGATTATCCAAGAACTGGCTAACGCCAACCTCTGCTGATGATGCCATTCTTTGCAATGAGGTGTTTCCAGATACATGAGTTTGAGAAGGGCTTTGCACAATTGCAGGTGCCTGCCAGCTCGTGAGCGGAACCAAGGGCACCACTGACACTTTGGCCTCCGGCTCTGGACAGCCATTCATCGGCGGTGTCATTGCGCGCACCAACCCCTGAACACACCCTGGGTCCACCCCTTGACTGACACATAAAGAGGTGCGCCGCTGCTTGCACTGGGCTCCCAGATAGCTTGATTTGTGAGTAGCTGCTGCCTTGGTGGTTGGTTGGAGTAGAAAATTACCCAAGGTATAGTATACCTTGGGTATACTCTCCATCCTGCGATGTAGTATTCGGAAAGTACCGTAGAGTGGACGCATTCTTGCAGGAGGACGTTGTGGCTGCCTGATGGATATCCACAGCATGATAGTGGCAGTCTTGAGGTGTTTGCTGCAGCGTCAAACTAGCGGCAATGTTCAAGAATTGTGCTGACAAGCTCTATTTTCCTGGTGTGCAGGACGAAGTATTGAGAAGACTAGCGGTGGAAGAATAAGATGCGCTGAAGGCACAAGCAAATGATCTTGCCATTGTTGCTGCACTGTCTGCATGTGCACTGCATGACTAAGGCTCTGGTCGGCTGTCAGCCACTGTCAGGACTTGAAGCGTCACTCTGTTCTGTTTCCCGAGCACGGTCTCACTTAGTATGCGCTCCTTACCTAGTGGTCTAGCGCAGTAGCAACAATCCATTGTAAAGAAAGCAAACCATTGTAAATCCACAAGACTGAACAGTGGGTCTATAATAGACCGTCTATAACAGAACAGCAGAGTGCAGGCAGTGTATCAAAAACATTGAGACAATGTCTTGCAGAGTCTCCTGTCCTCTTGACGCTTCAGCTCTACAGAACAAGATGACATGCATGCAGTTCTTGAGTGCATGCATGTGTGGCTATCTAGTTCACATCCGTGGAAAGTAAGTCCTTGATCTCCTTCTGCACAGCCTCCAAATCAGGCATCTTGAACACCTGCACAGATTTGTGCCCACTCAGTCAAGCCCAGGCATTGGACAGATGTTTTTGTGTGCACACTACGGCATTATTCCACAACAAGCCTGCAGAACACAGCCTGGCTTCATTGAAATGGCGACAAGGGACTCTGATTTTCAGCACACATTGACCATATTTGACGCGGGGGACTCTATTTCAATTGAGTGCACCATATCAAATTGAGTGCCCCATAGACCGAGCCGAAACTGTCTTAGAGCATCCCTGCTGTGCATGTCAGGTAAGGTAAATTACCCAACGTAGAGTTGGTCATCTGAGACCTTAGGTTCCAGAGCAACACAAGTACAGAGTCCCCTGAGGGCTTCTTGTGAACGGGTGAATGGTTGAAAAGCAGGTCCCATCAGTTAGCAGTTAGCAAAAAGCAGCACCTGGCGGTCATAGGTGTACAGGCCATTCACTTCGTCCTCCACGTCTGTGATCTCTGTGTAGACGGCCCCGCTCAGTCCGGAGCTGCTCTTGACCAAGTCCCTCACATGGTGGAGACCCCCGATGAACCGATCCTGCGCACCCACACATGCGCTCAATTATAAAATGTATTTATTGCTCGAGAAAAGACGGTGACACATGGGCTGAGGGCGCAGCCATGCAGCCCTGCTGCAGCATCATATGAGTGACAGACCGCCACTGCAGAATCCCACATGAACCCGCTTGCTCAGTAGTCACCCGGGGAAAGACAGGCACCCACGTTCTTGCAGCTCAAGAAAATCTGCAGTTGTGGAGGATGCGATGGCACAAGTGATGAGAGAAAGAAGTCTGCAGCGCTCAATACAGACCGGCCGTGGCGTTGTCATTGTGGCAGCCTCTCAATGGACATTTCGGCGTCCATTGATGACTTTAAAACATGATGGTGAGGCTTCAAAATGGTGGGCCGGGTTCCCACGGAGGGTGAACATCGCAGGGAGCCAGACATGCAGCTTGTTGGCAGGCGCACACCACACAAGCAACACTTCCCAGATACATCATGCGTGCACCTGCAGATTGGCGTTTGGTAAAGAAGGGGGCTGCATTGGGATGTAAAACCAATGAAGAAGGGGGCTGCATGCATGCGTGCCTGGTACTGAGTGGCGTTGTCCATGAGCGGGTAGGCGGCGAAAACTTTGTCGCGGCTATCCACCCATGTGTGGCCCGTAGTGAACAAGCCAAGGCCGCCGTATTCCCCAGCAACGTTCGCGCGAGTCGAAGTTGCTCCCGAGGCCTTTGCATCCGGATAGTTGTGGTCGTCGCGCAAGTCCCCGACCTGCGCATGCATGAACCCTGGCAGTTATATCATTGTGCGCGGTTTATGTTCCTTGAGCCCTGGGCCAGGGGAGTGAGGATATTTGCTCAACTTGACCTCAAAACCTGTGGAAACCCTCTGTATGGGGAGTTTTCATTTAATATTATTATTACACGCTTTTCCTGCCGAAGGCAAGGTGCGTCTGCAGATAAGCTGCATGTAAAGGCTGCCAGATTCCTACCCCTTGTTGGACTCGCCAGATCTAAGCAAGACCCAATCAACCGTGGGCACGGTGCTCAGTATTTGTACCGCCCCCTGCCAGCCGGGGCCGAGTGGGGAGTATAAGCCTGAACGCATGCACTGCGAGCCTCAGAACTGTGAGAGGTGCAAGGAGATCTTGCTGCAGCTGCGCAGCACGGTAACAATGACACATAGCCTCTGAAATTATGATCATTTGCATGCCGTGCTAAATTTCAATCTCAGTCCGCCTCACATGAGTCACCACTGCTCCTGCACAGCTTTGTGCCACACAGTGTAAGCCAGAAAGGAGTGTTTGGGATACTTTTATTCCTTTCAAGGGAGAGAGAAAGAGGCCTCACGTAGCCCTTATAGTGGTACATCCAGGGGCCCTTGTTGTTGAAATCCCCAAAGGCTGTCCTGTCCTGGGGGTCAATCCAGCCGGAGGCAGCGTCCCACAGTCGAGAGGGGTCGAGTGATTTGCCAAGCTGCACCATCCGCTGGGTGTCAAACTGGCCCCAGCCCTCGTTGAAGACCGTGTAGATTCCCACCGATGGCGACGACACGTGCTCCTGTGATGCAGAGAATGAAATTCAGCAACTTGCCGACCAAAAGTTGTTTTGAGACAAGTGGCAAGTGAGAGCATGCCTGGCCTCAAAAGCGTTAGAATAATAGAACATAGAGGCAGGCAGTGAGTGTGTAGCAAACTGGCAAACTATGCCCAAGTCCAGCTGGCTATGCATTACAGTTAAATGCCGTTTGCATTCAAAGTGCTCTGGCAGTCTCAGATCACCATTTTTCAAGGTCCACACTCGCATGCGCAACCCAGAAAACACCTTTCCGGCAGTGTATGCAAGAAGGCCTTTGGCGAAAGAATTGGCATGCATGCGGGGGTCAAGAGAGATGTGTGATTTGTACCTCAATCATGCGACGCATTTCCAGCTCGAACTGGGCCTTCACCCCTGCAGTCCGAAACTGCTCGCCCTCAGTGTACGGCTTCTCCCAGAACATGGACACCGCGTCTTGCCACACCATCAACCCAAGCCTGCGCATGCATCATTGAGTGTAAGAGAAAGATGTTTAGACGCAGAAATAACAAAAGTAACAGCGCCCTTGAGGTGTAGCAAGAAGCCTGCATGAAATTAAGGAAGCGCGCCCTTGCAGAAACGTTCACCAGTCACTAAGTCTCCCGCCAGGCAGCAGTAAGCTGCCCTGACCCGTGATTGGCAAATTACTAATCTCCATGTGATACGTTACTCACCACCCCAAGTTGAGACGTTGATTTTTGGCATGATGCTGACCGGGAGAGGGGTGACCGAATCAAGTGCCACTCATGACAACAAACCCATCAGGTGAAGGCTGACTAATCCAAGCCTCAGTCATGATGACAAATTAACTTATAGTAGTTCTCACCTGTCGGCGTGGTAGTACCAGCGGTCTGACTCCACCTTGATGTGTTTGCGGACCATGTTCATGCCCAACGCCTTGATTGCCTCAAGGTCCCACGCCAGGGCCTCATCCGTGGCTGCCGTGTAGATGCCGTCTGGGTGGTATCCCTGCAGATGTAATGTTTGAATATTTCAATTTCATGCACACTACTTCAGCCGTGAGGGCATGGTATATGCTGCAGACAAGCTGCAGGTAAATGCTGCCACAGTTCTAATCCTTGTTGGACTCGCCAGATCCAAGCAAGATGCAATTTACCCGTGAGCACCGTGCTCAAATTTGTACCGCCCCCGCCAGCCGGGGCCGAATGGGAAGGGTCCCTCATTAATTACTCGCTGCATGACAGAGCCCCATGACAGACTTGATTCTGATGCTCTTTTGGTTTCCTTTTCTACTCCTACGCCTTGCAGTGCCATACCGTCTTGGCTTCTCTTTCCAGATTGATCAGCAGGCAGGGACAAGCAGGTGGGGAGGAAAAGGGAATTTACCTGGTCCAGGGGTCCGAAGAAGACGAAGGGCTTGTTGTTAAGGTAGACGCGCAGTTCTCTTATATCGCCTGCCTTGTCAAGGGACCATTTTCGCAGTCCGATGTAGCTCATCACCTCGTCATGATAGGCGCTGACCTGCAGGCACCAAAGCACAACAGTCAGATTGAGACGTGTGTATAGGCAAACAGTCGAACCTCCATACATACTCCTGTTGTTCTGAGTGCATCGGTTGTCAGAAATGGCACTCGCAAGAGAATTTGTGGCGTATGAATAGCAACAAAAGGTGCATCATTTGCCAACTTGAATGACCAGGGGACCAATAGTTATACTCTTCATGATTCAAAGTCCCTAGTCCCTTCTCAGTACGGGGTCTCTATCAGCTTTGCATCCCAGTCCGGCAATTGTGCCACACATCTTCGCTGCAACCTAACAAACATGAAATTCAAACTGTGATGCCTCACCAAATTCACGACAGGCATGGCCTTGCGGCCAAAGCTCGAGGTGGATGGAGTTTGCAGGATCCTCACACGCACATCGTACAGGAAAGGGTCAGCCACTCCCGCCCACAGACGCTGATTGGGGATTGTCACACTCAGAGGCCTGCCCACAATGCCCTGGGCCGAGACAACCTGCAGCAGGGAACAGAGATCAAGATCTGGGATCAGACAGTGTCGCAGTATTCCCATGCTGTCTGCATTGCTCTGGCTGGTCGTGCCATCGCACGCAGCGTGCAAGGCAGCACTGTGGAGTACTGTTCTGTGAGAAGAAGAGCTGCCAGCTACGATCAAGATCTCATCGTTGCTGCATTTGACTAGGAGTGCAAGCAGTACGACACGCAGTGCTTGATTTTCAGCCTGCTTTGCTCAAGGCAAAGGCTGCAAACGACATTTCTATCAGTGTTGCTCAATTTCAGATTGCATTGCTCACAGCAATTGCTGCAAGCCAGATTTTTTCCGCCTAAGCAACCTTCTCTTTAGGTACAGCACAGGGAGTGCATACCGCGGTGCCATTCTGCGGAATGTACATGTCGATCTGCACAGTCAGGCCTTCCGCGGCCTTGCTCCCGAGAACTGTGACATTCAACGATGAGCTGTCAATGTCTGGAACCATGTCGAGGCGAGTCACGTACGCGGCAGGCACCTGCGCACATAATCACACATATTACATAATCACCCTTGTCATCCACGCCACTCATCTGGTTCTGTGCCGGAGCTTTGAAAGCCGACGCAGAGCAGATAGCTCTTCCTCTGCAATGCTAGCACAGTCTAAGACTCATGCTGCTGACATCCCCTACCAGGCATCTTGTATTCCTCTGGTCATGAGCAGACTGCATGACAGCACAGAGCCTGCATGTCTTGACAAATGTCTTGACAAACAAGTCTCAATTTGGGGAAGATGCATTACAAATTAGTTCAGGCAACAGGTCCCTTGCATCAGGGGGTATAAAATCTTAGTTTAGTAGGGTTGACTGGTACTCAAGCACCCGTGGCAGCAGCAGGTCAAGGGGTGTAACAGAGGGGTTTATGCAATACAAGGTGTGTGCTGGAAGGGTGGACCCACCGGCTCGAGCCACACAGTCTGCCAGATGCCAGAGCTGCCCTTGTAGAAGATGTCTCTGTCAGGCACGTAGTGACGCTGTTTTCCTGTGGGAATGTGCGCTGTCTCGGTCGGGTCATAGACCCTCACTATCAGCTCGTGGGTTCCGTTATTCCCCTTCTTCAGCGCCTCTGTGATGTCGTAGTAGAACTTGTCATACCTGCAGGAAGCCAGTGTCATGAGTCAGTAATGTGACAGCCTTGCCCGTGTGCCTTGATATAAATAAATTCTTTCCAAGCTACATGCAAGGGGTCTTGCATAAAGGAGCCTTCAGTAACCCCTGCTTCTTGACCTGAAGCACTGATTTGAATGTCTGATAAGACAAGAACTGAGGAACTGGCCTTTGATTTCTGGCATACAATATCCACTGCTTGCAGTTCACAGCCAGAGCTTCAAGCCAAGCCCTTGTTCACATACAATTGTCCCACACAGCTGATCAGGCTCCTGATCTCATAAGTATCATATAAAATCTACAGTTTGAGAGGGGTAGGATGCGCGCACCCGCCTTGGTGCTGGCCAAGCCTCTCTCCATTCACCCAGACCTCGGCCTCCCAGTCAATGGCCCCAAAGTGCAGCAGCACGTTTGTGTTGTGTCCCAGAGCCCAGTCCTTGGCCACTTGGAAGCTGCGCCGGTACCACATCCTGAACACGCCAGTCTTGTTGTGGTCCAAGACGCCTGCGCCAGCACACACACACATCTGTCAGAAGACCTTTCTTGCAGTTTGTTTCTGGGAGGGTAAACGTATAGACGTGTTCTGGGGGGCGGTACAAATACTGAGCACCGTGCCCACGGTTGATTGGGTCTTGCTTGGATCTGGCGAGTCCATCAAGGGGTAGGCTTTTGGCAGCCTTTACTGCAGCTTGTCTGCAGACGCACTTGCTTCTCGCAGGAAAAGCGTGAAATAATAATTATAATAATAAAACGTATTGATTCTCATCGGCAGTGCATGGGGCCCAAATGACTGGTGTTGAAACCCCAAAAGGGTCATCCACAACCAACTTAGTGCCTTTTGAGACCTCACAAAATTTCTGCGTCATGCCAGCCACTCATATGTGCATCCTGGCTTTTCTGTTAGCTGAAGGGTGCCTGTGTGACTGCCAGTCAAGGTGAGTGGCACCCAGAGAGCAGATGCATTTGGGATGCGGCTCTAATGAAGGTCACAGGTGACTCACCAGACAGGTCACCCTCGAGTGGGTAGGGAACCACAATGGACCCCTCAAGTGTCCTGTTGACCGGCACCGGACCAGACTGCCACGAGCTGCAGACGGCACATACTTTTAATATTGCAAAGCCAAATTATCGGTCATCGGTGCTGCAGGTAAGCACAAAGATATCACACAGCAGATTAGTGACCATCACTTGCTGCAGTCATAAATTCACAGAGCAGAAGAAAAGCGCGCACGCTGTCTCTGCACTGCAATAACCCAGTGCAAGAAGGAACAAAAGGGCCACGGCAAGTCTCCTTCAAGTAATTTTTTCTGAAAGGCTGGAAAGGAGGTGAGGGCGTTTGACTCACTCTGCGCGTTCCCATTCCCAAACACCATTGAGGCTCAGGTAGTCTGGGCGCATCAGCTGAGGCCGGGGGTATTCTGGCAGAGAGTTCTTGGGATCCACCATACAACTCCATGGAGTCGGCAGCCTGAACGGCTTGCAGACGCCGCTGACCGCCTGTACGGCTGGATTGCAGTCCTGCACCAGGGAAAAATCGGTCACCGGTCGATTTTGATTGTCCGAAGTATATGATAGACTCCGTGGTCGTCCCAGGTCAGCTCAAACTGCAAAGACGGACACATGAAAATCATCGCCGCAGACCAAGGAGCTTCGGCCACTCTGCCCTCTTGCTGCTGGCACCCCGCCAGTGCGGCAGCGAATCATCGGAGTTATCACAGTTAATGGTGCTCAATGAATGGATGATTAACAACCATTGCTATGTAAGCATAACAGAAGAACGTACGCATTTGGTTGGATCGGAAGGGGACGGCGCAGGAGCCGGTGCAACTTGATTGGCCGCCGCCAAGATGAAGAGGCAGGGCACGAGCGCGACCAGCATTGCTGCTGATGTGCCGATCCTGGCAGTTGCTACCATTTTATGACCTGCAAACAGTCATCAATGCGTCGCTGGCAACAGAGCTCTGGGCATTGGACAACCGACCCGACCAATGATCTGTCTGGCATTTTTTGGGTCCGCACAGCAACAAACCCTTGACAAGGTCTGTAAATAGAGTACCGGGTGCATCATAAAGGGCTACACATGCTTTGATACCTGCAACATTGTTTAGTGCTTATGTCAGGAAGACTCGCAGAGAGCATATTTGCGCAGATGGCGAGCGTTGAGCCTTACCTCGGCAGCGATCTTCACGTGGGTGAAACAGCCTCTCTTCAAGCTCTACAGCGAATGTCGTTATTCATGGCTGGGTTTGAAAGAAATGTGGCGTCTTTGGTGCTGGCTGTCGCCGATCGAACTGCAGCCGTGAGGTGGTAGTGGCGTTTGACCTTCTAGAAAATTGATACCATTTCGCCCTTTTGGGGTTTCGCCTCCGGGGTGTAAAACTTGGCGGGCAAGAAATTGGTCATGCGGATCAGCAAGGGGTACCAAGAATAAGTCATGATAGTCTGGAAGGATTAGTCTTTTGACTGCATTACAACTGCCAGTGACTGGCTGCCAGCGCCATATGTGACAATGGCAGCAGTTCACGCGTATGAGCACAACTTCGTGCTTGGAAAACGAAAAGGAGTGTTCCAAGGAAGCTCTTTGAGCGCACCATACCCCAAGCTCATCAAAATTGCTGATGCACTGCAAAACGGCAAGTTGCCATGGCACAGCTATGACCCCATGATCATAGCATAGCCGCTGGCAAAGCATCTCCTGCAGAACACCAATTGCAACAGGCATATCAAGGAACCTGCAAGAGCGCCGTCATCAAAGAAGCGACTACAGGACTATTTCAGGTAAGAGCATCTAGATCTGTTCTACGCAGCTACAGTGCTACCAACCCAGCGAGATGCAGAGCCAATGCACAGCCTCTTTTGAGCTGTGCTAACTTGACATGCCGCATGATTTTATCTGCGCTCTTTGGCATTGCTGAATCAAGGCACATCCCCCTCTCTCTCTCTCTATACCCCCCTCAAAAGTCCTGCATGACTCCTTTGCTTGCTTGCGTCCTCACTTTTGTACAGGTGCCGGGTGCCGGTATTCGACAGAAGGGCACAGGGGATTTGTTTCCTTGTCCTCCACCAGCATATTGCACCGCACCTCATGCAGTGTCATAAGCACACATGCACATTCAGATGCACCTGCATGCAACCGTTGCAGCCAATGGCATCTAACTTCTGCATCCTCTTGAACACAGAGCAATCTGCTCGCAAACACTGCTCTCCGAGTAGATACAGTCATCCCGTTGTTTCATTCAATCCCTGACCACTCTCAGCAGTTTGAAATCAAGTTCCCCTCGAAAATTGTCTTGCTCCGCATCCATTCTATGTACAGCAGCTCTCTCTGGACCACAATTCTGCGTTTCGATTTGCCTGGGTTTCCTCACAACTTGATACCGCCCTCAAATTTGTATTCCAAGTGCCCATGCTTTCAAAACTGCTGCACTCTGACGATGCGCAATAGACACTTGAAATGCCTCTCATACACCCCTCGTCTCTCGTGAGCGAGCAATCACATCTCCACCCTATTTAAGACTTGCCTGCTTGTTGCGAAGGCGAAGGGACTAATTACTCCCTGTGGCTGCAAAATGCACCAACCTCTGCTGCCTCTAAACTCTTGGCAGTGGCAAAGTCTGCTGCTGCGGCCCCTCTCGCACCGGCTTGAACTGGCTTGGTGCCAGATTATGGCCTGACGGCCGCCACGTTGCCGCGGTGAAGCTGCGGAGGAAGCTTCCCCACGTCGCTGTGCGGCTGCAGGCCCCTCTCACGCGACCGCTGCACCACCTGCGGGAAGGATACACTCTTTGCGTATAACTCACAAGGACAATTTCATTTGTGACTGCATGCGGGACACCTGTATCATGCGCTGCATGCGCCGACGAAGGGTTGAGCAATCATTGCAGGAAGCTGCAATGGTTGCTCTGCCCAGAGGAGGCACATGCAGCGCATGCTGGCAGTCTTACGCAGCATGATTAGCACCTCACCAGCTCCAGCGCATGAATCAGCACAGTCTGAGGACTGAGTTGCCAGCTTCAGCATGCTGATATTGAGATGGACACTTCTTTTCAGAGTGAGAGGAGCACATCAGGTAACAAAATTGCAGCACAGAGAAAACAAGCTTGAAGTGTGAATGTGCTTGAAATGGCACGTTTCCTGAGTGTATCATGCATGTGGAACACATTCAGCGTTTGACTATCTCCACCATTTGCAGCACATGAGGAAAGATTTTGTGCATGCATGCTGGGAGCGCTGACCTGGCGCATGGCGGGTGCTGCGCGCTGGTAGGCGGCGTCGAAGTGGCGGTCAAAGTCGCCGAGCGAGAAAAAGTTGACGCCGCTCTTGGGCGACCGCACCACCGTTATGCGCCGCTCTCCTGCGCGCCAGAGAAGGCACATCAGGACAGTAGTGCTGACACCAAGAGAAAGTTTGGCATAGCGCATAACTTGCGGAGATTTCTTCCAACCGAGGACTGCAGAGGGCCTTGCTACTGCCAAAGCGAATTGCACCCCATGTGTGCAGAGAGGAAGGCCCGCTGCACAGAATTCTGCAGCCCTTGCTGAAACTGCCTTCAGAAGGAAGTACGTTGGCGTAAACTCGTCAAGAATGGCATGGCCGAAATGAATAAGCTCGCATTGCGCAAAGCACCTGAAGTAACAATCCACACTCAGTGGCCAGGTATGTCTTCGCATTCCTTTCTTTCCTACCAGGCGCCTTCATGTGCAGCAGGTCAACCTAGAGCCTCAGGGTCGAGACAGTCACAGATGCTGTTGTGTGTGAAGGAAGAATGCATCTAGGAGCAATCACTGTGTAAGCAACCCAAAATCAAAAGATATGGGGTTGAGGTTAGGTCAACATGATAACTCACCGGTGGCCTCCACGTCGTCGTTGCCGGAGAAGTTCGAGGAGCGCTGGATGAGGTGGATGAGCGCCGGGGGGACCCCTGACCCGCGCAGGGAACGCCTCTGCCGCCACGCACCCAGACCAGTCCGGTCGACCAGGCCCCCGTCCCTGAACGGACCCCCCTCCTGCCCTGCGCACGCCACGTCAGCCCAAATGCCATGTCAGCAAGGATCTCTTCTTATCATCTTTAACTGGATTGCACCAGCACAGCTTGAAGCAGAACAACTGACTCAATTGTGAAAAACAATTGAGTCAGAGGAGTCCTTGCATGCATGGGCGTATCAGCCTGCACAGCAATAGTGCGCTCAATAGACACGAGCAACCCCACAGCCTTCAGTGACATGTTGAAAACAACAATCTCCACAACACCTGACAATTCTGCTGTGACGTCATTATCGTCAAGAGCCTGTTGCTGGTCATAAACTTTTCCCAGCGCCAGAGGTCCACAGGGCTTTCGAAGGCTGGGCACAATTTGTCAGCAAGGGGATTAGATCAGGGTGTTTGGGAATTCACTTACCTGGCACATGCAGGGGCTCAAAGATGAAAGGGATGGCCGCAGAGGCAGCCACCGCCTCTGGCAGGGGGCCGCTGTCAATCAGCCTGTAGCGCCCATCTGCGCTCACCACACCCACCGCAAACTCCTGCGCAGCGCCAGTGAACAATTGTTGCCGCCATTGGAAAAAGGATTGCACGGAGAAAGGCCCGCATGATGGAAAAGTGCTCAGTCAAGAGAAATGTTCACAACACGTGGCCTTAACATTCCAGCGCGCCCTTTCATCAAAACAAAGCCTGCCATGGGCATTCAGAGAAATCACATGCACAGATAGCGTGTTAGATCCCATAACATTGTCTTGGTGCCGACACGATGCCAGGCTCATTCTCTTGAGGCTTTCCAAGCTCCCCATACCCACCATGCTGATACAACAGATAGCATCGAGGCAAAGAGCAAGCATTCTTGAACTGTCCAGTCATGCCGCCACCCCACTCCTGCCGCAAGGGTGTAGGCAGCTCCACACTTTCAATTATCCATGTGAAGGGAGTCGTGATAGTATCTTGGTCAAGGCCGCAACCTCGTGACAGGGCTGTCACACTGCCGTTGTTGTCTTGAGGGCAAACTAAACCCCTCATGAAGAGGCTTTCGCCTCGAAATTGCCAGTTGAAGACCAAAGTCACCTTGTCCAGGTCCTCGAATCTGGGCGGCAGCAGCTCTCGCAGCCGTTGCACGACGGCGTCGAGAGAAACGGCGCCACCCGCCCACGGCCGACAGCTGGGCCGCAGCAGGTTGATCGGCGCCACCCGCGACAGCTCAGCCGCCACCTGGACGCCACACGTGCACCCATCAGACACATGGAGTTGGCCCCAATTATGGAAAGACGACAAGACCCCTCAGACTTCGGTCAAGTCAGAAGTGATATGTGGCATTCAACCTTGCTGCAAAGTACCAAACCCCTCTCTGGTGCGCAGGCATGCTTCTGCTTCTCCTCAAGCGCAGCTATCATAGATCCTCTGGCCACAGCATTTAATCAATCCGTCAACATGCTTCTTAGAGCAGGACAGAGGCTAGCATGTGATGACTGTCTCCCTGTTCCATCCTGCAGTAGGGGATGGACCAAGAATGTGAGACTGCGCTGATCTAATCATGCATGGTGCAAAGCAGATCCACCCACCTGTTTCGGAGAGTACCCAGCGCAGTACAACGATCCAGTCAGCGCTCCAGCACTTGTGCCCATGACTCCGCCCACCGCCAGCCCAGCACTATCCACCGCCTTGAGAAAGCCAGAGTGGCTGGCAAAAGCCAAGAAGCCACTGGACAACACCACATCACATGTGTTGTCCGTCCACGACGACCAGTCCCCTGCGCGGCGCAGCGAAGTCAGATGATATGCTTCTGCCAAATTAAGTTGAAAACTTGTGTTTCTGTGCTCAGCACTAAACGAGCGGCGTGCCAACACACCACCATCCAAGGCATCCGCAGATCTGGGCTTTAAAAATCTGGGAAAGACTTTTCCAGAACTGTTGCCAAGCCTTTCCAATGATAAAGTGTATGCCGGTAAGGATTGTTGCGATCACATGATCGCCAGCAGAAGCAAAGTGACAGGTTTTGCAAGAAGAGAAAAGGGCAGGCAGTGCAGGAAAGCACCTGAGCACAGGGGACAAAAGGGGGGAGCCAGTCAAGGACGCACCTGTGCCTAGATATGGCAACGTTCTGCTCTTGTCAGCAAAGCAAGCAAACGTCGACCTCCTTCCACTTCCTGCAAAAGGAAAGATCTTCAGGGCCACACACACAGGGACTGTGCTCACGACTCTGAGGAGACCACTCATTTCATGCAAAACAGCATTGCCGCTGTTTATGCATCAAAATATATTCAAAGATAAGTACACGTCAGGCCACTCAGGCATCCCAGCATGTGGGCTGATCCGGAGGCTGCACAGGGGTTTAGGTCAATGCACGCGCGAAACTGAAGGGTTGAAAGGCCCCACCTGCTGCACATCGCTTTGAGGTTCCCGAGGACAATGTCCAACCTGCTCCTAAGAAGGCTGGGGACCAGAGGGTGACAGCCTGCAGGACCACTTGAATGAAATTTGGCGTCGTGTGCTGATGCGAGCTCCTCTGCGGAGCGTTCCTAACGCTAGGCCGAGCCGGCTGTGTATTCAGGCCTGCGGTCTTGCCCGCGTTGAGGCCGTGTGCAGACGCCATGCCTAAAGCGCGCCAATCGCCTTGGAGCCGCACGCCAGACCTAACACCGCCACACCTGTGAAACTGCGCTATTCGAGTCACATATCTGCGCGGATAGGCTGTTTTAGCAATATCATAGGCAGCTCCGAGGGCGTTCTGACGTCCTACCTTGACACCACGCAACCGTTCCGGCAGGTCCGCGGCCTGCATCCAACGTGTCAGACGCTTTTGAACCGCCCAACGGCATCGACTCCAATGTTTTTGTTCCCTCAAAAACCCTGCAATGCATGCAGGTGTTCTGGAATGCAATGGTGCACGAAAGTACTGGGAGCAACGTCAGTTTGTTCGGCGGCGTTCCTGCTTGATCCGAGAAAATGCTCAAAATAGCAAAGAAAGTGATGTCGTAGTCTGAGCGCAGTGTTCATTGCCAACATGATCTCCTTAGTTCATCAAGGGATCACTCCATCCGCCCACGCCGGGCTGCAGGCGAGGAAGCTGCGGCTCAGGCTCCAAGCAGATCGGGGAGGGCCACCCCGATCTGGGAACGGTGCAGGAGCCACAGCTACTGAGGAGTCCCATGAGACTGCGCACCAGGCTGTCGATGCCACGCCAGCGCCGCCCAGGAGGCCTGCACATCCCAAGACGTGCGCAACTTGTCTTTCGGTCGTGACAATGCTGATCCTTTGCAGGGTCTGCCTCGTTAAGTTCAAACCACCACCGAAACGTCCGATAATTACTTAAGAACCAACAAATAGATCGCAGGCCGCCGTGGTTCCCATCCTTATCGAAGGCCGTCGTCTGCACAGCCATTGCAGCTGCCCAGGCCCAACGGCTGTGGCAGAAGAGGAAGAAAGACAGCAGCAGTGACCAAGGCACCTCCAAAGTGAGTGCACCGTTCTCGCCATCTCGAACATCAATGCATGCCAGGCATGTGCAAGCTGCTGACCTCCTGACTGCATTGGAGTTTGGTGCAGTCTGCAGTACACCTGGACTACTCAAGAGTTCCTTGAGCAGGCAGGGCCGCTCAAGTAGTATTATTGTCCGGGCGCACTGGTCCCTGCAGCTCTGCACTGCTCCAAGATCAAAGGTGGAAGCATCAAAGTGCAAAAAACCAGATATCTTGGTGTTTGCCAACACAGACGGCAAGGATGCATGCGCTGAAGCCGGGGTTGGCGGACTGCGCGCGGTGGCTGAGTAATGCTGAGTCAGTTGCGGGGGGCGACGCGGAGGCGCTGTTTGCAGCTGCCGACACCAATAAGTAAGATGCCTCCCTTAATGCCCATCAACATTATCAAGGTTTATCTGACTGCCCAGAATTTGGCGTTTTTCATCAGGTGCATGCATGCCAGTGGTCGAGACGAGTTTCCCTTATTGAATGCTCAAGTGCCGCCCAACATCTACCTCGTATCAGCTTTGGCAGAAAATTTGTAACAGGCTGGGCACTTGCGCATTCCTTGCGGCCATCATGACGTCACCGTTGCAACTGCTGATGCCAATGGGCTCCTTGACATTAATGGCAGCAGTGTCCCTTCGGTGATGTCTCGTGAGACATGATCATGGCCGGAAAGGGAGCATAAGCCGGCGGCCTGATTAGCTGCACAAGGAGGGCTCAGATCCCATTCAACATGATGTCCTTCTTGCTGCACTATCGGGCTTGAAATGCTGTAATTAGCAATTTTCATGATGATGCGATGGAAAAGGTTGCTAGCAACAGCCTAATCCACCCCACATGCATCTTGTCTCTGGCAGGAAACTGTGATTGTGATACTCATACACCCCGCGCAGGGACGGAAGGGTGGACCTGCTGGAGCTGATGCGCGCGGCATACAAGTGGGCCCCGCTCGCCGATGACTCACCGGCCGCCGCCGATGACTCACTGGCCGCCGCGCGCGACTCAGCCCTCGACTTCTTCCTGCTCCTGGGTGCCGACCCAGTCAGGTGTGACCATATCCGAGTTGTCATATAGAATCGCTGTGCATTGTGTTGTAGGACAAAGCATATGAGGAGTGTAGAGCCTGCTGCCCAGCGCCGTGCCGCAAGATGACTTTGTTATTCTGCGCTGTGACAGCTAGCCCTGTTATTGATGCATTAGCACAATTGCTGTCATCTGCAAAGGGGCAGCTTCTGGTGTTTGTCTTGATGGTGAGAGGACAGCCAAAATGGGTTTATAGTTTTTTAAAGTTTTTAATATGTACAAACCATACACCCCAAACCCTCAATATTTGTTTGGATCAATGGAGGGTGTGTGGCTCTCATGCAGGGGTCTCGACCGGGAGCAGTTTGCCAAGTTTCTGCAGGCGTGGTGCCTGCAGGGCGGCTGGGGGTTCAAGGCCATCTCCCACGACCTGATCAGGCTCCTGCATGCATCAGACTACCTGCGCCAGGCCCAGGTGTGTCCTTGGCAGTTTCAGAGGCATTCATTTCCCTTGAGCAGCTTCACCGTCTCACTGCCAATGTATCCACCACTACCGGCAGTGCTTGTGTTCTGAGCTGCTGTCACTACTTAAAACTTGTTCATGCATCTGCACTGGCTGCATTGTGGCTTGTTGTGTGGCATGCTGTAATTTAGGCATTAAGTTTGGGTGTGTGTTGGCGGGGAGTGAAACTCGGTAGAATATGCATTGGTCTTTTCTAGTTGTGGTGATGCAGGACGTGAACGTTGTGGGACTTTGCAAAGGCTGCTGCTTGCTCAGTGGTGTAAACCCCTTGTCACTATGGCGTGCTTACTAAGTAGTACTCATCCCGCAAGCCTGACAAGCAATCCACAGCCAATGACGGAAGATTCCAGCGCTCTTGCAAGGTGCACGCTGCAGTTGGCGCAGGTTCCAAGCAGGGTGCATGAAATGCATGACGCTGGCTCTTTGATCGTCGGGCAGTGGATTGTTTGCTGGTCTTTCGCGGATGCATTGCCAGCTCCGTCTTGGGCGTCCCTCCCCGTGATATTCACAAGATGGATTGCTTCTTGATACAATGTTCGAAACTCAAACACAAGGAGACAGCTGCGGTTATCCAGTCAGCTACGGCTGCAGACGTGGCAGAGTAAATAAAACATCAAGTTCAATCTTCAATTTAAACACAGGACAAGTAGTCGGTTGCAAAAATCCAGTCAGCCATGGAGACACCGGCGGCATTGGCGCAGTTTAAATGAATACCAGGTTATGACTGAATTTGAGGTTTTACTTTAAACGCAGGACAAGGAGACGGCTGCGGAGATCCAGGCAGCCACGGTAACACCGGCGACCGTGGCAGAGTGGATGGAACGCCGTCGGCCTGAGCTGCTGTACAACCTGTGGGCAGGCTCCAAGCACGCGGGCCGCGCCAGCCGCGAGCAGCTGTGCAACGCGCTGTCGTGGTGAGTCACTCCTTGAGTCACCAGCTGAGTCAACAGGTCGCTTGCCTGGCGCGCTGGGCTCTGGGATAGGTGAAGTCAGGGGTCTCTGGCTTTGGGGAAACAAAGACATCACCTTGACCTCAGAGATACAGGTAATGGCCCTCAAAAAGGTAAGGAGATGTACTCTATCTCCCGCAGCCATAGACACCCTGGTTCCGCCTTGCGACACATCTTGTTATCAGACAAAGGGATTGCAATTTTAAGAGCCTCTGTAGAAATTTCAACAAACCTTCCTCGTTCAACGTGGTTGTCACTGCAGGTGATGCTGCACAAATACTGCGCAGGTTCCTGGAGCATGTGAGTGATGACAGCGTGCGCGCGGCCGGCGGCAGCAAGGAAGCTGCGCGAAGGTTCCTGGAAGCCGAGCGGCGGCGGCCGCCGCCACATTTGGCACAGGAGCACTTCCGCCACCTGGAGCGCCGCTTTACTGAGCTGGCGGGTCAGCCCACTCGCGGGGTCAGCACCACAGCACTCCGCCTCACTCCTACACATGTGCATGTCCTGATGAATCTGGCTTTGTGGCATGACTGGAAAGACCCAGTGATCTGCCTGCTTACCAACTTGAAGTGGGAGCAGGGCAATCTTCTGGGCTCACCAGATGTCACTCCCCGAATCAGAGGGCTGCTGCCCATTTAGAGAGCTTTCACCCTCGATATCAAACCCCCAATTTTATTTGCTTTGCGATAGGCAATCAAGAGGCGGCAGTTGCAAAGAGTGCTTCATTTGAGTATGCATAGCCTGTAGTGCAGTCGTGCAGCAGAACTAAGCAGCTTAGATGTGCGTGGCAGGTGGATGACTACTTGATGACCCTGGCAGTGAATGGTGTCATGGGAGGGAACACGCAGACAGGCGCCGCTGATGACATGGTGTTCAGGAGGGATCTCAAAGAGAAGGATTCTTCGATGAGATGATGAAGATCCTGCCAGTGCTACCCAAAATTTGGGCCATGACTGCGATCAGCTGTATAGTGGTGAAGTGAGAATTGCTAGCGTGCTTTTGCAGTGCTCAGCATGTTTGAGTGCCCGCCATGCAAGCAATTACTTCAGCAGACTCCCTCAAATACATATGTCCAATCACAGCCTGATATTGCCTGAACTCAGCAGTGTTCCAGTGTTTGCTGGGCTGGTTAGCGCTGTCAACAATATGTTCAAAGTGCCATGCATGCAAAAAGTCTGGGTTCAGAGCTAATTTTGATATCTAGGTGCCGGTGTTATAAGGCTACCCAAGATGGTACCCTCGAGTCTGCAGTGAGTATAGGCCTTAGTATGCAGCAAAGTGCTCCCAATGGCTCCCACTGGGGGGCCCACTGACGTGATCTGACAATGTCGCTCAGTTGGGTTCCGTAACGACTATGTAACCGGATCTCAGCTCCCCCTCTTGCTTCCTCTTCCAATTGTGGCATTCAAAAAGAGAAGCGAAACATTTCGATTTAGACATTCTCGTAAAAGATTTGATCAAACAATCGCACTATCTGCAAAAGTCAGGCCTGAAACTTATCAGATCAACTCGACAATTCGGTCTTGGCTCCACCACAATGGCATCCTCCCTCGATGGTGTCTCCACAGAAGATTGCGTTGTTATCATAGGAGGGGGTTTTGGGGGGCTGGCAGCGGCAGCTGCCCTGCACAAGGTAAAAGATTGCCTGTTCCCTGTATGCATCCTCTTTTTTCGGGTATAAAGAACAATGAAGTCTTGCAAATAGACTTGCGTAGGTCAATTTAGGTAGTTCTGAGCCCGTAACACATCTTGCACAGGTTGGCGTGCCCTCCATAGTGCTCGAGAAGTCACGGCATGCGCGCTCGGAAGGCTTCTCCATCGGCACGTTCACGAATGGATGGAGGGCACTGGACGAGCTGGGCATCGGCGACGAGCTACGTTCGGCACATCTAAGGCTCGAAAGGTACCTTCCTCCGGCCTTGGCTATCTGCATGCTCCACATACAAAATGTCTAACTTTGCAAGCATCTTGCAGACTTGTGAGTGCGCGCCCAATACCTCAAATGGGGCTGAATCGCTCTTTGCTGCAGCTTCACGTTCTGCATTTCAAGCGGAGGAGTGCTTACCAAGTTTGAGATCAAGGACTGCCCCCCACCTCCCTACCGCCCAGACCATGAGCTAAGGGTGGTTATGCGAGAGGCCATTCCACGGCTCCTCACAGAACAGCTGCCACCTAACACTGTCCACTTCGACGCGGGTGTCACCGATGTGACTACAACACCCACAGGTAACGGAGCCTTGGCTTTCTCACATGCAGCAACCCAGCAGGCATTGATGTCAGAGAACTTGAGGCCAAGGCAGGACAACACTGCCAAACTTCATCACGCTTTGTACCGCTGTAGAGCTGCGTCATTGCTCACAATGGCAAAGCAGTGATGTGTCATTCTGAAACATGCCAAGCATGCCTCACCAATCAGAGCACAGATTGAAGCGCTTCCATGCTTAGTTGTGGGTGTAGGCCCCGGCTGGCAGGGGGCAGTATAAAAACTGAGCACCGTGCCCACGGTTGATTGGGTCTTGCTTGGATCTGGCGAGTCCAACAAGGGGTAGGATTGTGGCAGTCTTTAATTGCAGCTTGTCTGCAGGACGTACCTTGCCTTTTGGCAGGTGAAGCGTGTAACATTAATAATATATTTTAGTTGGTGGTGGTATCACCGGCTTGCCAAGTGTTTGATCTTGCTGCACCATAGTGTGACGCAGCCTTTTCATTGCAGCATAGATACGCACGTGCCAAACATTGTCAGAAAGTGATTCAGCTATACAAAGAGCACCTTGGATGCAAGCTACGGTATGGTGAGATACTCTCTGGCAATCCTAGCAATCGACATTGTTTGGAAATGCGCTTGCAATGTTTCTGCAGGTGCTGAGGTCACTTTGGAAAGTGGGCGGAAGCTGCAGTGCAAGTTTGCAGTGCTGGCGGATGGAGTCCACAGCAGGGTGGCTGCCAAATTGCACAAGGCCAAGCTGGAGTTCATGAATGACTACGGCTGGAGGTGCGGCCCTTTCAAAACGTCTCTTTCAAGTTTCTCTTTCCTTTTATTATATTGGTATGCTGTGGCCGTTCCTCCACCAGGTTCCACTTAATGATAATGATAATAACAATAATAATAATGATAATAACAATAATAATAATAACAATAATAATAAGACTGTGGCCTAATGGAGAAACGCCCAAGATAGAGAAGGTGGGAAGGCTGTAATAGAACGCTGCTGCAACGCACCTGATCCCGATGGATTGGAAAGGCGTGTAATAATAACAACGATAACACTGTGGCTATTTGGCCAGGCCTGCATGCACAATGAGTCCGACGGGCTTTGGTGTACTTTCTGAGTGAACTTTGTCTATAGGGCTGGTGCCCAGAAGTGAGGTGGCACCTAGCACTCATTGCACAACTGTGAGGGCTTTCTTGCCCCATGAATGAGCAGGATGCAAGGCAATGCAGCCAGCAACAACCCTGGTGAAGAAGATTTGAACGTGCCTTTAGACTTTGAGTTTGCCGTTGCCATTTGTCATCTATAGTTTGTCCATACATTCATATGTTGTGTGTGTGCTATGCAGGGCAATCACAGAGATTGACAGTGAGGGGTTGGAGCATCCTGGAGCCAATCTTGGCCAGGGCAACGGAGCCCGCATCGGCTACTTTCCAGTGAAGTACGATGCCGCGCGCAAGAAAGCCTTGTACTACTGGTTCCTGGCCTGTAGCGGCCGTGAGGATGTGAGTCATCCTTACATGAACTGCACAGTCGTCGTCACCTGTTGCTCATCTGCATGCCTTGCTGACCTCATTTTTTCACGGTTGATACTTTGTGCCACATAAACACGGAGCATGGGATTGACCATTACGCATGCGCTAGTATTCGTGCCTGTGCATTGTGTGACCTTGGGAGACAGTCCCAACAGCGCTCCATGATCATTTTATCCTGGAGTGGCCAAGGCAGACCCTTGTTGGGTGTCCTGGCAGACTGCTATTGCCTGGCCTGCCAACAAACTCACACCACCTTAGGAGAGACTGACAAAGAATCAATTGGCCTGCCAAGAAATTGCCGATGCTTATATGGATAGACTCAGAAGGAGAATCTGTCGGTGCAGGAGGACTTTGGGGACGCAGAGCAGCAGAAGGTGATCATGCAGAAGATGGTGAAGGGCTGGAATGTGGGCCCGTTCCAGCAGCTGCTGGAGGCAACGCCCCCTAACCAGATCAAGCTCAGCAAGATCTACCAAAGGTGCGCGCTGAACTTGTGCATATGGATTTCTGCATGAAATGGACATCTTATGAGTCCAGCAGAGCTTATTGTGCCGTCTTTCTGACTCTTGAAGCACTGCACCTGCGGGGCATGTCTTTTGATGTAAGAAGCTTGTAAGAGCATGGCCAAATAGTAGCCCAGCACAGCACAGCTCAGCACCACCAAATTTGCACTTGAGACTACTTTGAAGTATGCCCATTTGGAGGATTTGGTTAATGAAGATTTCGCTGCGGACCATTGCACTCGCTGCATGCTTCCTATACATGCTTGTGGGTCACATATGAGAGCCACAAGTTCTGCCCCGGTTGTGCGCGCTTGGGGAGGAACAGATTTGAGTTCTTATGCCGTGTCTTGATAGCACAGAATATGCATAGAATATGCCATGTGAAGATATCTTGATATGTCCAGATTTGAGTTCAAAAAAGGGTGGATTGTGCTGCAGGCAGGTGGTGGCCGGGCAGCCCTGGTTTGACGGGTGCATAACTGGTGTCGGAGATGCCTGCCACGCCACCACGCCTTTCCTGGGACAAGGGGGAGCGATTGCACTGGAGGTAAATGGGCTTCTTATGAGGCAAACTTTATTCCCCTTGCTCTGTCGCCTGTCGCCTTGAGCATGCGCACCATGCGCAGCTGCATGCAAGTGTCCTGGAAAGCTTCCGGTCATGTGAAGGATGCAGCAGGAAAAGAACAGGTGCATCCTTGTGTCCTAGCTTCTTTCCATTTGTCTGTGCAGAAAAGAGCATTCCCATATGTGAAGGAAAGACTCCAGTGCTTCTGATGCCTGGGGGTATTGAAACTTAACGCCTAGTTGAGTACTTGCAAATCCCTGCATTTGAACACATCAAAGTTCGAATTCAAACTCGAATTTCCTTTCGCTTGCAGAGTGGCGTGGAGCTGGGGGTGTTTATGAAGGAGGCCATGCATGCGGAGGGGGGCGTTCCCTTTGCGAAGCTGTCTCCAGAGGCGATCTGCGCTGCTCTGCGCAAGTATGAGACCGTACGCTCGGAGCGAGTGGCTCTCGTCATCAAGAAGAGCGCCATGGTTGGCAGAGGCCTCCGCAAAAGCAATGCCTTGGTGCGTCCAACTTCCCATGTTTCAATTATTTCGATCCAAGTTTTTAATTCTTTCAAAGGATGCAGTCAGTGGTGGGCAAATGGAGGATTCTGCCTGGATAGGGCCTTCTCTGAAGCTGCAAGAATTCTGAGGTCAAACATTCTTGGTTGCACACCTTGCGAATTTGTGATTCCTTGCTCATAGGCTGCATGACCTGAAGTGTGCTCAAGCTGCTCAGCTGCAATGCAGTCTGTCTGAGGCTCTTGAGGAAATCACACGTGTGCACGGCGTCATTGTTCGTGCAGGCCATAGTGAAGAGAGGTCTTTACACTTCCTTATGCTGTGATTGGCAGCTGTGCACATCATGCATGGAAAATTCCTGCAGGCATCTGCTGCATCGTGTTCAGCTTAAGAAATAGTATTTCTAAGATATTATACTGAGGTGGCGGTGCAATGTATGGCCCCGGCTGGCGGGGGGCGGTATAGATAATGAGCACCGTGTCCACGGTTGATTGGGTCTTGCTTGGATTTGGCAAGTCCATCAAGGGGTAGGAGTACGGCAGCCTTTAAGTGCAGACTATCTGCAGGACGTTCGTTGCCTCCTGGCAGAACAAGCGTGTCATAAGAAGAATGATACTGAGATTCACACTGCCCTGCAGGCCTGGCTGATAATGGGCGCGCTAATGAAGGTCGGCTTGCTGAAGGCATTTCCTCTCAACTCGGGCAACTTTCTGGATCACACCTGGTGGTGAGTCACTCCAATTTGCTTATACTCACTTGTGACTAATACCTCCTCAGCATCCCTCATTCATATGCCACAAAGTTTTGAGCAATTACCTGATGTCCTCATGTTGCTGCCCTGTACCATGTACTGGGGATGCTTTGGGAATCTTACGCTTGTACGGTGAACGAGTAGCACTATTCTTCTGTATTCTCTACTGCAAATATTTTTTGATCGGTGAGATTGACATCTGGCTTGCAGGGAACCCAGTGGCACCTTGAACACTACAGCCGACCAGGCAAAGACGGCGCAGCATGTCGAGGATTGACTACTCATACGACTCCTATGACTACGTCCCGGATGGCTATGAATTGGATCAACCAATTGTGGAGTCTTCGGCAAGCGAGTGGAGCTTGACGATTACTACTATCGTCATATACTACTACATACTACTGCTATACTTCATAGCAGTAGTATCTCGAGTATCACAGTTGCTGATTCTAGGGAGAGCTGCATGCGCAAACTGAGCGCAGTGGCACTTCCGGACCACAGTCGATGCCGAGATGAGGCCGCAGATTGCTTGGTGCCGCGCAGTATCACAATTAAATGCTTTTCCTGCCAAGAGGAAGGTACGTCCTGCAGACAAGCTGCAAATAAAGGCTGCCACAATCCTGCCCTGTGTTGGACTCCCCAGATCCATGTAAAATCCAATCAACCATGGGCACAGATCTGTATAGCCGATTTGGCTTGCATGGCAGGCGGCTCGCACACATGAAGCCAATTAGAGGCAGATATTTTGCCTTTACAGCCCAAGCAAGAGAGAGCCTTTTGAGGCCTTTGAGATCAAGGCTATTCAGAGCAAGCTGCACGGATCTGTCAATTCTTGCTTATTCAATGTTGTGTTGGGTGACTCCTAGGCGTTTTCCATATGAGACAGCATATAGATCTGTGCGGGGTTGCTACCAATTAGCCTCTATGACTGTCGCATTTTTGATTTGGGTGCTACTGCTTGTCTGGGCGTTGCCAGCAAGCAGAGTAGATTAGGGAGTTCATTACTGGGCATTCGAGCTATGAACTCAATTCAAATTGTAGACAGCGGCTGCTCATGATCTAGACCAATCGCCGGCGTTATGATACCATGCAGCAATTGGGTTTGTGAGTCTTCTACGCCGATTCCAAACAGTGAGGGAGCAATACACAAAATGTTCCTGCAGCAGTGGACAGCTGTGTTTCAAGTTCTGCATGTGGCATGCACGTGGGATTGTCATCCTAGATAGGCTGAGGGTGATGTGTTGAATCCAAAAATAATCATCGGATGTAAGCATTGGTGGGGACATAGCAATCGAGAACGCAGACATCGAGTGAACAATCGGCAATCATGGCTTCAATGTGTGCTCCATCACTCATTCGCCCGGGGTGCCCACTCTTCGGTGGGGTTCGCCCGAAGCCGCAAGTCGTGAAACATGAGAGGCATCCTCGGGCCCGTTTCACTGTTGCAGCGAAGGCTGGCATCTTCCAAAAAGCACAAGATACAGCTGGGAATGCGGAGAAGAAAGTGTCACAGGCCGTCGATGCTCACACGCCAGATCCTCCCCGCGTCCGAATGTGAGCTCAGATCCTGCATGTCGAGCCTTATCACTATATGTACGACGCAGCAGTTCGCCATCCTTGTCTGTTTAAGTTTGAAGGATTTAAATCTTTGACTTATTGATTAGCACTATGCTGGCAAGGTTGAAGCCTTGAATTCTCGCCTTGTGATCGGCAGAAGCAGGACAGCAATAACGACCGCCCTCAATCAATTCCTTTCTGAAATTAAAGCTAAACTTCGGTATCTGATTTATATTTTACTAAGTCAATACCGGTTCCTGCAGGCCGCACTGGATGCCCAGTATGTCCAACCTCGTCATCGTTGCCGCTGTGGCGTATGGCCTGACGCAAACGGTCTTCAAAAAGAGCCCGAAGGACAAGAACCCCGCCGAAGCCGTCAAAAAAACGGCAGCGAGTGCAGCAGAAAGAGTCCCCAAGCCGCCTCAAGTGGTATATTCTCCCTCCGAAACCCTGACACTCCCCGTGCAACCTGCCCTCTCGTCGGAGCCTGTACTCACTCCTAGCAAGTGCATGCATGGAGCCTTTTGCTGTCACACTCCACCATCAGACCTCTGTTGCCCTGTTCCGTGGGAGGCTGACCTTCAACAGAGCATGCTCCATAATTGTAATCACAGATCTCAGTGCACAAGACACAAGCACATGCACCTCAACCAGGAGTTTCTCTGCATGTCAGCAGAATTGCAAGTGGAAAATTGAACCTGCAGCTGTAAAATGACCCCTGTGTGCCCCTGCGCAGCTGAAGCCTCGGCCCATCGACGCAGCAAGGGCAGTTCTGGCGGTGGAGTCAGTCTCTCCAGAGGATTCAGGACGCCTGTTTGCAGTGGCAGACACCAATTCGGATGGCAAGGTGGATCTGAGGGAGCTGGCGCGCGCGATCAAGAAGCTGCAGGAACCTGCCAAGTCCTTTGAGGAAGCGCGCAACGCTGCTGTGGACGCCTTTGTTCTCTTCAGGGTCGACGGCACCAAGTGCGGCCTTGCCCCATTAATCCAGGGTTGTATGATCGGTCTTCTGAGGTTCATGCCTAAATTGATGTCGGGCATTGCATTGAGCTGCAGACCAGTGGGGCCGCTGCATGCAAAAGCCGAGACCACATCAGGACACTGGACTTTGGTGATGGCTGTGGCCATGGGCGGCACAGGTTTACCGCAATTCGTCTCTACATTTGTACAGATCTTGTGAAAGCCTGAGAATCATGGGGAACATGGAGCTCAGACCTCCCCATAAGATCTGTGGAGGTCTCGTCTCCATGTTCTCCAAGATTCAGGCTTTCACAAGACTTGCAGCTTCAGCTGCTGGTGTACGTCAATCTTGAGACTTGTTGAGGGCAGGGAACCTGGATATCGCCTGATAGGATCATGCATGAGCCTAGATTGGGGCCCTGGCTAGAGGCGCTACAGCTCCATACACATGCAACATGGCTTTCCTACTCAAATTCCATCAGTAATCCACAGGAGGCCGTCCACTTTTCTATTCTCAGCCGGCGCCGGCCGCAGCTGAGGCCCTCAGAGTACATTGCTCATGCACCGGCTACCGGGGGCTGGTAGAAATTGAGCACCATACCCACGGTTACCTGGGTCTTGCATGAGTTTGGGAACTCCAACAAGGGCAGCCTTTAACTGCAGCTTGTCTGCAGGATCTTCCTGGCCTTCTGGCAGGAACAGCCTGTAACAATAAACAATAAATAAACATGTTATTGACAGCCTGCTCGGTTATAGCGTCTGTTTAAGCACTTTGCTGGGCAGGGGAATGAGCGAGGAGCAGTTTCGGCGCTGGCTGCAGAGTTGGTGCCTGCTTCGCGAGCGCAACCTGAAGGATGCCATTCTGGGCATGGAGCGGGCGTTGCAGCTTCCCGACGCCATAATGAGCCCCGACGTGAGCCTTCCCCTTTCTAACTCACTTGGTTTCCTTAATTCAACCGGGTTGATTCATAAGCGCAGCATACTTGCTGGGTTGAATCTGCATTTCCGTTTCTGCGTGTGCTTCGCAGCCAGTGGGGTGAGCTTTTGAAGCTGCACGCCCGCTTCTGCGAGCTTTGATACCAAAGATATGAAGTAATGAGGATCCATCTGCTTTTGGTTGCTTTATTGAGGCTTGGGCTGCATGCCTGCTACTGGTTGTTTTTATGCTTGCTGTGAAATCCACACTGTAGACCCAAAATCAAGCACTTCCAATTAAAGAAAGGGACATCCGACTGATAATTCGAGGGAATGATCAGCAGGGGCACACACCTAAAGAGCCAGGTTTCAAGGTATCTTGTGATGGTTAGCATGTCCCGAGCGTCTCCCGTTGCTTACTGGCAGGAGCAGCCAGAAACAGTGACAACAAGGGTGTTGGACAGAACAGCAGGGAAAGCTCCCTTTTCAAGGAAATGTGCCTTGAAGAATTCCAAAAGACAAGAGAAAAATAGCCGGCAAGTTTCTTAGATTTTGTTTGAGTCGCACTCTTTTTGGAGTATTGTATCTTTGAGGCTGTAAGGAACCACAATTACGGTACAGAAATTCTAAAAATTTCCATGATGCTGCGAAGGACAAGGCAGTGTCAGACGAACTGGACGCAGCAATGCGGTCTCAGGAAAGCGCTCGGCGCTACTGGGATACACACAAGACGGGCGCGGCCTTCAGCATGTGGGATGCCGATCGGAACGGCAAGATCGGCCGCGAGAAAGTCAACAAGGCCCTGCTCAGGTGCGGCGGGTCTTACTAATTTGTTATTACTAAGGGTATTGCCAGTAGGATTTCATTGGTAGGCAGCCTGTTTCTTTGCATGCCCATAGTATGGAGGCGGCAGCGACATGCATGCATGCATGCAGCTTGCTGTGAAACTGTTGCTTGGGTGCTTAAGAAGGCGCCGTTCAGGTACATCAGCGCTTAGAAATCGGCCTAGCCGCGCAGATATGTGACTCAAATAGCGCAGTTTCACAGGTGCGGCTCAGACTAGTGACAGGGTGCCTGGTGCCTTGCATGAGCAAACATAGGTCAGGCTGCACCAACATGCAGGCATACCTCTTACAGCGGGCTTGCTGTGCGAACGCTGCCTGGGTGGTCAACAAGGCCCGGCTAAGGTGGTAGAGCCCTTGTAAATAGCGGCCTCTCTTTTTATCACATGGCCCAGGGGCCGGTGGCCGTCTTATGGCTATGGCTGGGGCTGATCCCAAAGGGAAGAGTGTGCGAACCTGCGGGATTGATCGCGCCGGGTTTGAATACCCCCCCTCCCCAACTCAAAGAGCCCGCACGGCCCGAGGTCCCATATGGGGGATTCTATGGGTTTTCAATAGTAGGCTGCAGCAAGATGGGTTCAGTTGTAATTGCGCTGCTTGGGTGGTCACATAAGCTGACTCGCGTCGGTCACTCAAAATTTTGAGGTCCGCTGGAATCTGCTAATTTACTGAAAGCCTTGGGTGTCTTTCTCTCGGGCATGCAGACAGCAGGTTTTGCATCCGCTCTTGCTTGCGCTTTGTACTTTCAGAACACAAAAGTGTGTCTGACACTGCAAGGCTCGAGCTGAGGCTGATGTGTATCATGTGCGGCATGCTCGTCGGTCATGCACAGTTGTGTTCCTTGCTCTAACATCATTAACAGCGCTGTTTGAAATCCCAAATACGCATGCAACGTGCGGGTTATTTGCATGTATGCGTCCAGGCTATAACCCACACCATGGCACCTTATGAGGATGTGGCGATTTTCCAGCTTCCTTGCAGGATCAGTAGCTGACTCCTATGTGCTGAATTCTCCGCAGGTATGCCTCGGAGGAGTTGCAGCACAAGTCGCCGGGAAACAAGGCTGTGCAAGCCGTGAGCATTGTGGAGCTAGACCAGGAGCTGGGCCCTGACTCACTCGACCGCCTTTCCTTTGACAATCTGCTGCGCCGATTCGCCGTGGCCTTCGGCATCGTCCCGGGGCAGGTGCGCGCATGTGCCGCCGTTAGTCATTGCCCTTACATGTTGGTGACCTGGCGATCGGAGTTGACCCCAGGCATGTGCTCGCATGTGCCGCCACTTTCACTATCATTATTAGTACTCAAATGGGCCCCGGCTGGAGTTTGAGTCTGTATACGAATTGAGGTCCGTGCCCACGGTCAATCGGGTCATGCTTGGTTTTGGCGAGTCCGTTATATCATGCGTGGGGCGATATATTTCGGCAGCCTTAACTGTAGCTTGTCTGCAGGACGTATCTCGCATTTCCGCAAGATATCGTGTAATGTTAATGATAATACTTTTCTTGGCTGTGGTCTTGTGGCTGTACTCTCACTGTGTTCATGTGGCCGGAAAAAAGTGGTGAGTCTGCAGTCAGTGAGCTGGCACAAGCGGAGGGGGGCACAAGCTTCTGTGTAATCAGCTATGGTGGCACAATTGCAACCAGCTGTGATTACACCAACCTACCCTGTGTCTTCTTCCAGCAGAGTCAATCCTAATGTAGAGCCTGAGATTCGTTCCAAGCTGGGTTGCTCTGACTCCTAGGCATAGGCCAAAATCCATTGTGCCGCCGTTGGCCTTAATAACAAGAAAAGGGAGCCGATGTGATATGTCTAGTAGGGAAATATATGCCATACAGCAAACTCCCTGCAGAGCATCATATTTATTGAGCACGACTTGCCGCCAGACCTCTCCAGATCCTAATCGACTGCTTTTGCATCTATCAGTAGTCTCTGATGAAGTGCTGAGCCTGACTCCTTGAGCTGCCACCATGTGCGCGCAAATTATTTACTAGTACTATTCCTCATAATGACAAGGCAGCTGCTGCCATGTATGCGCAGGTGAGCGATTACCTGATTGAGACAGCCATGCGCAAGGAGCAGGGAGAAGGGCCGGACCCAGACCATGTCCTGGATGACATAAAGAGCATGCGCGGCCTCCACAACAATGCAGGCAGGATCTCTTGTAATCCCCTTCGAAGTGTTCTTTTTATTTCTACTGCAATTACGCGGAGATCTTGCCGGAAGCAAGATGTGGCTGTAGACAAGCTTCAGGTGAAAGCTGCCGCATGTCCTACGCCTTGATGAACTCGCACGCCAGCAAGCAAGAGCTAAATTTGTGGGCACAGGCCTCAGCCATTATATTGCACGCTGCCAGCTGAGTCACTAAGGAATACTTGGATTCTAGTCTTTTGGCGGCCCTTGCCTGTGAGATTAATAGACCATATGTAGTTTTTTCTCCTCCTGGCGAGACCAACAAGGGGTAGAATTGTGGCAGCCTTTAGTTGCAGCTTTTTTGCAGGACACATCTTGCCTTTTGGCAGGAGGCGCGTGAATTGCCTAAAATATACAAAATGCGTGCCGGTCTGAATATTGCGTGCCACTCTGAGGAACCCTTCACTTACAAGGGATGAGTTGCGCACAGGTCATCAAAATGATTCAAAGCGTGGGGGAGCAGAGCAAAGCGCAGCGCAGCGCGGCGGCGGTCGTGACTCATCCCCGGCCAATGACCGCCGGCCGCAGGGACAAGATGGCCGTGCCGGCAAGTACTGACTCAAGACTTGCGAGAGGAAAAGGCTGCTTGAAGGGGATAGCTGCAGGCTTTTGACAGGGCATTTGGAAGTTGTTTGGGCCAAGACGTGTTGTTAGCAGCCCCTCAGAAATCCCAGAGATGTCCCCCCTGCCGATATCTTTTTACTGCTGAAAACTAATGCCTGTTAGTTGGCAGATGTGCTCTGCCAGCTGTTGGTTTGAGTGTGATATGCCTCGATGAATATATTCGGGATCAGGGTATTTTCCACGGGCGAACAGGTGTGCGGTCTGATATAGTGCAAGAAAGAGAATGTTGCACCTTGTTACAGCAAGGAAGGCGAGGACAGGTATAGTGCCAAGGTTTTGAGAGCTTGCAAGTGCATGTTAGAATTGAGCGGATATATGTGTTGCATGATTCACCAGCATGGGAAGAACAGTGGAAATTATTGAGTCTGATATCAAGGAAATCGGCCACACATATAAATGCTACTGTGCAATCTTCAAAGCTGCCCTGTAAGATTTAATGCCATTACATGGCAGCTAGTTCCCTCTGGGGATTCAAAAGACGAGGGTAGAAAATTTTCGTGATCTCGAATCTGCAAGTCAGCTGAGTGTCAAAGCTTAGGTCTCCGAGCGTTCCCTTCGACCGGGGTATCGTTCAGTGCACAGGGCCTCTCGAAAATCCACTCTCGCACAAGTCAGGTGATACCATGGCATCGATGAGCTCTTCGAGGTGTGCTCGAGTGCATCTGCTTGGAGCACCACGGCCAAGCAGGTTGCTGTGTGTTCGTCGTCCCTTGGCTGGCCGCTTTGTCACAGGTGTGAAGGCGACGGCAGCTGATGGAGGGCACCAGGAGCCCGAGAGCGCCACAATGAGCACCAGCGATCTCTCACAAGCGAAACAGTGCGTCCTCAGTGCAATCGAATGCAGAAAGATCGGTGGCGAGATCTTGCTTTGTCATACCCTGTTCAGCGTTTGCTTTCGAGAGCGATACGCACCGACAGATAAATCTCTCTCCTTTTCGAATGCAAATTATACATCTGCATTGCCGCTAGGAATTTTTGCAATTCTTTTTATGGTGTGCAGGAGCGAAAATGAAAGGGACTCACCACTTGCTGGCAAGCACATGAAGCAAGATGGACACCAGCAGGATCTGGTGAGGGCACTTCCTTATAAATTGAGCTAAGCTGAGCAAAAGAAAAACGACAAGTAGCTGTTGGAGTGTGCAGGCGGATGAGGGCATGCCTGGCCGTGCTTCAGTGCGCATGATAAGATGTGCGCAATCTTCTCCTGCGCAGTCGAGGCTGAGCCATGCATGCTGGTCATCCAGACCTTCTGCACTACAATGAGGCTCTACATCTGTGACACAAGCCGAAGAGACATGCATGCATGCAGCGCGCCTGCTCCATATCTTGTTGGCCATGCAGATTGGCAGCCCTTCTGAGCTCTGCTTGTGCATCACATCTTCTCTGTATCTGAGGGTGTCTGGCAGATTGCGCCTGTCGACAGGCCACAATACAGGTCAGCTGTGCATTGCTTCCAGAATATTGTCATTATTTATATCAGATTCTTTTCCTACCAAGAGACAAGGCGTCCTGCAGAGCAGCTGCAATTCGAGGCTGCCACAATCCTACCCCTTGTTGGACCTCCAGAATGAATGAAAAACATGACATCGGCGTTTGCATATTGGAGGAAGTGCAATCATCGAGAAGACTGGAGAGGAATGATTCACGTGCTGCTTGACGTATTTGGTCCTTAATGACTGAAAAGCGTGTAATAATAACAAAGTCTTTGCATGCACAGGCGTCGCAGATCGAGGCCCGGGGGATTGCATGCGCGCGAGAGCTGATGCTGATTCAGACAGTAGACGACGGGGACACAGAGGGTGTCTTTAACGCGGTGGACGCGGACGGGAACGCACGCGTAGACCTGCGCGAGCTGGCACTGGCGCTTAGTAAGTGGACGCTGCTGGTGACTCGCCCCGAGTCACCCCTGGTGGCCGCCAAGAACCTGACGCTCGACCTCTTCATGATCTTCGGCGTCGACCCCCTGGAGTGCGCGCATTATTCACCCTTGTTCCGCTGTGTGCCTTTTGTTTCAGACCGGCAGAATTCATCCTGGTCTTACTCATTTCATTGTCGATGGCATATGATGATGGTCACATGGCATTTGATGATGGAGTGGCTGAGGCCAGGATGTGGAAGACTTGCAATTTCTGTGATGTCAGAGGCCATCTGGCCAGATCCACCACATGCAGCTGTCCATGAGTAGGAATTTGTGGAGTCAATGCTGCTTGAAATATTTGACCGCTTTACTGAGAGATTCCTAGCTGCTCGCTAGGATTGCAGTGAAAGGCAATGCGCCCTTGCACACAGTGCAGGCATTGCAATGCACGCCCTCCAGTGCTGCCCTGGCACCACATGCATGCAGGCCTTGCATTGCATGCAAGCCTAGCCGAAGTGTGAGGTATCAGCTGAGTACTTGTTTAGAATGTAATCGCAAGGCCTGCATGCATGTGGTGCCATCAACGTCTCTATGTTGCACAGAATACATGAGACTCTCCCCGCACAGACGCAGGAACATTGCACAAGGATGATTAGCTGTTCAACAAGTTGGCAGCCTGGCAGCAACCAGCCACGCCAATGACGAGACGCAGGCGCTATTGCTCCAAGCAGCTCAGGGGTATATCTTGTTTTGGTAGACGCTTGACAAAATCAGGCGCCTGCATCACATTCTGAAGTGCTTGGATGCAATTCCGCTGCTTGCAAGGCTGGACCCATCAACTAGGAATGAGTCAATACTATAGCACAGCACAGCATTGGCTGACGGCTGGTGCGTTGCACAGGGGCTTTGACAGTGAGCAGTTCCGGCTGGTGCTGCAGAGCTGGTGCCTCTTCACCAAGATCGACTTCGGCGTCATGGCTCGCTGGCTGGAGACCGCCCTCGACCTGCCAGACATGCAAGTCACCCAAGAGGTGCTCCCTGCCTTATCTTCCTGGCGCTATTTCTATAAGGCCCAGCGCTAGCTATTGCTGTAAGCTATTGCTTGAAGGCTTTCCAGGACTAGGTCCATCTGGCAGCACCTGCATTACTGCTTTCTGGTCTTTTCGATCCTTGCACTTCCTCCACCAGTCATTCTGCCAATGACATCACTGACCTCTTCCAGCAACATGATGTGTAAGGTCTTCTGCTAGGGTCATAGCAAAAGCAATCAGCAAGGCAAAGAGCAGTCGGTGATGGTATAATGCTAGAACTCTTGCCTGTCACGCAAGTAATTCGGGTTCAATTCTCGGTCAGCGAGCTTCCCATTTTTGCACTGGTTTTTGGTACGCGTACCTGTATCAACATCCCAAGTTATCCTCACAGTAATGCTGCGTACCATTAACACTGTGGCTGTGCATCTCCAATTAACTCAAGACAAACCAGTGACTCATCATCGCATTGGCGGACTCTCACGCATGAGGCAGATGTCACAAGTTCCAGAATTCCTTCTGACAAGCTTCCCAACAATATTAACCAAAGCTCGCTGTGCCTCTCCCGCAGGACAAGATGGCTGCAGAGGAGATCACGCATGCCATGAGTTCTCCAGACGCCATGAATGCAGCGGTGGAGGCGCACAAGATAGACCTGGCGTTTCACCTGTGGGACTCCGACGGCGACGGCGTTGCCTCCCGCAAGAAGCTGACTCGCGCGCTCACCTGGTACTACAGGTGCAGTTGCATGATTAGTCGCTGCTATGTAAGCATGCTGTGTCACTGCTGCAACGGCTTACCGGGCAGTCAACCCGAGGTTGGCATCCTGTCTCATCTGCATGGTTAGGCACTCTTATCTGATCGACAAGTTACGGTGTTAGGCTGCCTGTGCGCAAAGCAGCAGCCTGCGTATTCCCTAGAAGGGCTTTCTAGGAAGGGAGCTTCTGTCTGCAGCGCTGCAAGCAAAGATGTTGGAATGAAAGGACGCTAGGATCTGTCTTTGTGGAATCAGTTTTTAGAGCCTGGCCTTGGGAGGAGCCTGACCCACGTGGCCTAACAATTCTGCATGCAGAATTCTTGGGGTGTCTGGGTCCGGCTCCTCCCTTGATCAACTGCTCATCTCTCAAGACTTTTTAAGGCCCCTGGCCACATCTGTCCTGCCACGCGTTACTCCCACACTAGCTTTAAAAATTGGCCTCTTTCCCAACCTTGTGGCTGCAGCCCTGGATGCCTGCAATGTGGGAACTCTGTGAAGTGGCACCAATGTGACTAAAGCGGTGACTAATGGTTTGCCATTGCTCCTGGGCGCAGGCTGCTGACCCAGGTGCAGGAGCAGACCGGCACTGTTGATGACGGCAATGCGCGCCGGCCAGAGGTGGGTGACTAATAATCCTCTGCTGAATCGCAGATTTGATGTCCGCATTTGAATGTTTAAGTAGGCACGGCTTTCACATCATGTGGACCTTATTCTGCCTAAAAGGGTGCTCAATGAGGAAGTTGTGTTTGGTCCCGGCTTGCAAGATGCCAAAGCTCCAGTGGTTCTCAAGAGTGAACTCTGAGCATCCAAGCCACATTCGACTGGGTGTTGCTTGGGTGCGGCAAGCCTAAAAGTGCACTTCGTGGGTAGGATGGGTGACAGCCTTCACCTGTAGCTGATCTGCAGATGCAGCTAGGCCTGCCTGGACAGCAACCGCTTGTGATAATAATAAAGGCATGCGTGGACAATTATTACTTGTCACAGGTGTCACAGCTCCTAGGCATGTAGGATCTAGGATTATCCAGCAACATGTGTATATCCGATTTTTCCATTCATGGCTCTTTCGCCACCAATGCAATGACAATCCAATGGACTCCAAATCCTCTTCTACGTAACCATTCCAACTCTTCTGAGGCCAGCCGCTGATCCCATTCCCACTCAGGGCGCTGAACATCATCTGCAACGGCATTCTTGTATTTCCCATTCTTATGTGGCAATGATGACATGGTAGGGGTTTACAACCCCAAGTTGCCGAGGGCTGCCCAGAAAAGGAAGGCCTTGCCGTAAAAGCCGGCTAGAGGTGGTAATGTTGTCTTTGCTTTGCCAACAGGTGATTGAGTTCCTGGAGCAAGAGCAGCGGCCGGGGCTACCGGAACTTGACATCGGCGCCTTCCGTAAGTTGGTGCAGCGCTTCTGCCAGCTCACCGACCTGCCTCTGCCCGAGGTGGACTGCCCGCAGTACAACTGTTCTGACCAGCGTTCTCTCCCTTACTCATGACACCAGAGAGTAGTGATGTAGATTAGAAGCGCTGACAGCATTGCGCCCCGGAATTTCTGCCTCAGGCTGACTCAGGCACAGCCGCTTCCAGATTTCTTACAGAATGTCTCATTTAGGATGTGCTCAACCTAATAAGATGGGCAGGTACTCTGGCTGGGAGAAAATTTGGCTGGCAATGCTGCCTGAGCCTGAGAGTGGTGTGATGGGCTGCAAACGGGGCTGGTCTTGGGGTTTATTGGCATGGAAAGCTTTCTTGATTCGCTGGCGCTCACATCCTGCACATGCATGCCGCATTCGTGGGTCAATGCCTTGTCGGGGCATGGAACCACTTCAGGGCTTGCATGTGCAGCATGTTCCAAAGCTGTGCGATCACACCGACCGTGAAGCGACTGCCCAAGCTGCAATGTCAAAGTTGAACAAAAGTTTGGTACTAGAATCAGATGGTGTGTTTGGTGGCAGCTATACTTGGAGCTTGTCTGCAGGCGCACCTTTGCTCTGGCAGGAGGGGCGTGCACCAATGTTTTATTATGATTAATGCTTGTTTCGTACAGATTTGCGACTTCCTCCTGTCGGCAGCGCTAACCGGGGGCAATACAGCACTCGATGCGCTGGCCGATTCAGGGTCTGATGCGCCCCCGCTGCCCGGCAACATCCAGGGGATTATAGAAGACCTAAGGGGCCAGCCAGAGCCAGATCAGGCGCAGCCGGCCAGCACAGAGGGCCGCCATGCAGACACAGGTACTCCTCCTTGTTTCATTGCCACGCTATAATGCCCTTCTTCTGGCAAAATCATCTCATCTCATTCATTTATAGATGACCGTGATATAATGATGGGCAGTGACGGACTGCCTACAAGACCAGTGAGCCTCAGGTGGCTCCCAACAGGCCTTAAAATGCAACAATAAATTAACAATCAATGACGCCAGGGGCAAGGTTTGTCCTGCAGGCAAGCTGCAGTCATCTTATTGGTGTTGCCAAATCTAATTCCGATTGTTCAGATCTAATACTGGGCGCTGATTCTGAAGTCCAGAGTCAGGCATCGGATCAGCCCTACTTTGGCTGGAAGCGATGTTATATTACTGACTGCCTGACAGGTGGTGGGAGCAGGGCTGAGTCCAATGCAGAACGCGGCCAAGGCGAGAGTGGGGCAGAATCTAATGCAGGGACCAGTCAGGGTGAGAGTGACGCAATATCCAATGCAGAGGCCAATCAGGGAGCAGCACCCGGCTCTCAGCAGGATCAGAATGCTCTGGAGTAATGAGGCATGTGACAACAAGGGAGTCTGATACAATGCATGAAGGGTTGCAGGGTGCGGCGCATGCATGAGATTGGTGGCAATCGTCAAGTCTACATGTGGGATCGTTGTGCGCTCAAGAGCACTCAAAAATACGAGATACAAACGGTGGCTTGAGGAAGGCTCAAGGAATGTCTGCAAGGTGCTGCATGTGTCATCCTAGATATTGAAAACAAGAGCCACTTGCCTGATGCATCATAAAAGCTGGTGCCAGCAGTAGGTCTATCATTGTCAGCATGATGGCATTAAGGATTCTCAGTTGGTTACACGGTTGTGTGTCCTTAGAGCAATGATGACAAAACGATGCAAAATATCAGTTCACCAGAGATGCAGAAGTCTTCACTGAATTCAGCCAGCAGCTTCCATCAGCTTCGTGCATGCCAAATTACTGATTGCATTGTAATGCAGTTTCCTTTATAACTGCCTGCCTTGTTAATCCCGCCCTCTCATGCAGGGCACCCGAGTAATCAAAATCCACTACTTTAGTGGATGTAAACGCTACTAATGTGGTGGATTATTGGCAATCAGGGGCCATGCCACCTGGTAACACATTCCATAGCATGCCATTTTGGTAATAAAAATTAGGCCTTTCGTCAGTAAGCATGGAGAATGATCAGTGATGTGTTTCTGTACCGAGCATGTCACTTATTATTGCTAGGATCCCGTGTTACAAGTGTGGCAGTGACAAGGAGAAGCTTCATCCGAACTGCGCAAGTTCAGAACGCTTGACTCGCTGTGTAGGTTGTGATTATATTATCAGATTCTATTCAGAAGGTCTGACAAAGGACGAATACGGCCACGACGCTGTTGCCGACTGGGTCTTCAAACAAGAGGCAAGGGTGCCATTGCAACGTTGCAATGCCGTGGACTCAGGGGTCAGATATTTCCATCAGAGCTGCCTTGGCCGAGATGAACCTTCAGCATTGTCCAGAGCTAATGGCTACTATTCTATTCGCGGGAAGATTGAGAGCGAAAAGTATCCAGAGCTCAGAAATATTACCCACAAATGCTGTGAGGACTGCGTCATTGCAGCCCAAACCAGGGGCAAGGATCTCAATGAGGATAAGTTGAATTTTATCATGCATCAAGGAGTGATTGGTAGGTCTCAATAAGCACTCCATCTTTGAAGGTTGGGAACACCTATGTTTTGAATCTCCCCATGACCTTGACACAGAGTAACTAACTCTGACTTTTGCGTTGCGTTCAGAGGCAGAGACCGGCGACTTGGAGAGGAAGAGAGCCGATAGGCGATCAAGCAAGATTCGAGGCATCATTGGTGGTCAGCAGGCTCGCCTCGAAGACAATGGGACGACTTCGACCGCCATCTTTGCAACGAGACACCTCAATCAGAAAGTCAGCTTCAGCAAGAGCGCCAGCAGATTGCTGGCAGCAGTGCCCAACCTGAACAGGACAGTGATGGCAGCCTCGTATCTCCAGGCCAGTGGACTTCAGGCAGGCCAGACAGCCCAAGGACAGGCGCAGAGGGGCGCCACAGCTGCAGCAGGCGGCATGCAGGGTCCCGCAGCCCCAGAGGCAGAAGCTGCAGGACCTTCGCAAGCGCCACAGCCAGGGATCAGCCGCAGGCAGCTCAGCGCTCAGGGAGCCGAGCAGGACATCGTCCAACGGTGGCTTGCGTTCAGCCTCAAGGCCTCATCCACCGTTGCAGAGCTGAAGCGGTTCCTGCTTGACAGAGGCCAGCGGCCAGTGATCTTCACCAGAAGCGCGCTGCTCGCCAGGGTGGAAGGGCTGCTTAGATTTGAGCATCCAGAAGGTAGCTATCCATGATGGCTGTAACGATCAGCGCCTACACATCTTATGCCTGGCAAATTAATAACATGTCCTCACCATTTCCTCTGGACATCTTATGCGCTGGCAGCTAATGGATGCTGTCATGCAGGTGGACTGGAGCCGAGTGCGGCGGCGGTTGAAGAGATCACAGCCGCTCTGCCGGTGATGGGACGCCTCCTGAGCCACCGCCACCCTGCACCTGATTCATCAGCCAATAAGCGAGCATGCAAAGCATTGCAGACTGCAGGATATATCAAGATGGCATCTCCCCAGAGAATCAGTAGAGACAGGTGCAGCAACTAGGAGGGGTGCATTTTACCTGCAACTCGGGGGCTTTGATTTGGGCAATCTCCTGCTTGAGGGCCCCCGTGGACTGCCGCAGTTGTGCCAGCAGTCGAGCAGCCCTCCTATGCCACTCAAGCAGCTGCTTGGGCAACCTGCGCTCCTTTTTTCGCTGCCAAGCCATCGCCTGCACATGGACCAACATTGTCACTTCTCGCACCTACAGGGTTACAAACTGCAACATCGAGCAAGGCTACAAGAGCTTGCATCATATGAAAGGAGAACTCACCAGGTCCGTCATGTAGTCCTCCCGCGTGGCAGTCGCCATGCGCTTCAAGATGTGTGCAAATTTCCTGTAATGTGCCCAAGCCTGTTCAATGTTGTCACCAAAGGAGTTTCCTGCCGCTAGCATGCGGCGGGCGCCATACTTTTCTTGGCATGCCGGAATGTGAGCCTTCACATGCCACGGCCCCACTGCCAGGCCAGGCATACCCTCCACGTTTCCTTGAACCATCCTGCCAGCACAACACATCACCATTCAAAGGGGACGCTGCTGTGCACTCCGACGAATCCACACACTCATAGCATGACTAGTACTAGACACTAGGAGTGAAATTGTTCCATGCAATAATTGTACAGGGCACATCTTGACGTAAACGCCAGGCATGATGGACGAAAGATTATACCTTCGCCAATATGGGTCAAACTGGCAAGCAATGTCAATGAAGAAGTACTTCAGATCCTTGCCCTCCTCAGGCTTGAACTCCTTCAGCAGACGCTGCAGGAGCAACTCGTAGTAAACAAAGCACTCCGGTGTGAACAGGTTTGCCGCCACGAGAACATACCCGTGGCGGCAAACTGCTGCTGCCACGCCCTACGCACAAGCACATGCGGGAGTGTCAGACCGGCTCCAAAGCACCAGCACATCTTCTTGTTACACGCTTTCCTGCCAAGCAAGGTACATCCTGCAGAGCTGCAATTTAAGGCTGCCATAACCCTACCCCTTGTTGAACTCGCCAGATCCAAGCAAGACCCAATCAACCGTGGGCATGGTATTCAGTATTTTTACCACCTGAAGCAAGGCACGCTAGGGTGCTGCCAAGTATTACCCTTGCCAGCCGGGGCCAGGAAAAAAAGAGAAAAAAATCATGGATATATGAGATGCATGCCAACATCAGTAAGCGCAACAAGATCCCAGAAAAATGCGAGGAGACTCACTTGCACATATAGGCGCAGCTGCGTGTCTGAGGCGGTTGGCGTGGCAGCAACGAACTGAGAGCAGACCGGCCGCTCCAGCGCCGCCGGGTCCAAGGCCTTCCGTTGAGCGAGCAAGGCCTTCACCTCTTCATCAGCAATGAAGGGGCTATAGGGCAGCTTCGGCTGCAGGAAATCAGAGGCTTTGCCCGCCGCCCTGAGCTGCGTGAGTCCCAGGCAGGCGTCAGCAATGGCTGCCACGCAAGTGCGAAAGCAGCAAGGACACTGCACAGTGGGGCCCCCGGAGGCACGACTGTCCAGAGATTCCTGGGTCGCCGGGCCCACCTCAGCTGCATCTCTGCCAGTTTGAGCCGCGAGGCTGCCTGCTTCCATTTCTGGTGGCGATGACGACGCTGCTGCTTCCCTCTGAGTGTTCTCCTGGGGCGGCGGCGGCTGGCCGAGCTGCAAGTCTGAGTCACCGCTGAGCCCTGCCTCCGAACAGATGGGCTGCACGCCAAGCCTGTTGAGGTCATGTGTGGCGATGTCCATTCTGCGCCACTGTCTGACCGCCACTGGGAGGTTCCTCCAGATATTTTTGGGCAGGCCACTCAGTTGCCCGTACGGCACACAGCCGTTCCTGACGTGCACCTCCTCCAGGGCGCTAGTCCAGGCGACCATTGAGGTTGGGCTGGCGAGGCTGAGCTCATGCGTCTGCAACATGAGCGCTCCAGAGTAGTAAACCAGCGGCCTCTGTGGCGTTGCAGGAAAGCATCCCATGCTCACAGGATCGACTGTGAAGGCGGCACTGCACCCGCCACACCTGAATGCTGGGGGGCTGACCTCTGTCCTGCCGCTGATCGAGACATACACAAGCCTGCTGATCGTCTCCACCTGCTCCCACACTGATCCCACCCTCCCAGCCTGACTGCATGGACTGCAAGCGGGCAGGGCTGCTCTGGCAGCTGTCAAAAACTCTGCCTGCAGCTGCTGCTTCAGTGCTGCTTGGCGTGCAGGCTGACCAGCTTGGAAACATGTGTTCCTGAATACATTGTCATCAAAGCACGCATCCCATGCTTGGTGCAGCCGTCTATTATCCTCTTGAGCTGCCTGTTTCCGCAGACGCCGGCGTGAGGGCGGAGGCTGATAATAGGCAGCAGCGGCTTCTCCATCTCCATCTGCAAAGCCATCCTGCTGTTCTTCCTGCTGAGCTGTGTTTCTTGCAGGGATCCGCCAGGATGGAAGGGCGCTGGCCGGCCTCCGGGGTCCCCTCGGTGCAGATGTTGCCACAGTGCTGCCTAGGTTCCTCCCAAATCTGCGGCCTGGCTGCAGCAGAGCAGGAGTGTCGGCTGATGGTATCACCTTGACACTGACCCTCCACCTCTTGTTCCTGACCATTCGTCCTGCATGAAGTCATCACACAACGGTTTCTGCAAGTGATCCACCAGGACATTAAAGGAATGAGAAGTACATCAGCAGCATGCCTTCTAGTACAAGTGATACAACTATCCTTACAAGCACCTGGGCTACTTGCTACTCTTTGGGGTGCACAGTCCTCTCCAGATGCTCCTCATCAGATTGGCATTCCAAGCAAAGCCAGGTCAGGGCAGACACCCACGGCTACTCACAGCAGCAGAGGGATCGTAACGCTCACCAGAACAATTGAACTTGATGTTGGTTTAGATTGTAGACGACTTCAGTGTCTGTCCGGTGCATCAGTGCTCAATTCAGGTGAACGCTCTGTGTTGCCTGCACGCATTTCATTTCAAGGAATTGGCTTGGCAGGGCATGCAGTCACTACGAAAGAAGTAGACATGCACGTCGATGGTCGTGACATTCGATTAGCTGAGTCCAAACAAGTCAAGGATGGGGATGCCAAAAAACCGGCAAAAGTGCGAACCTCACATGGCCAGCGACAGAAGACTTCAAGAATTCGTTTAAATTACTCCCATAAACATTTGCGGCCGTCCCACCCCCCTTTCAAATCCTACTTTGCAACGGTAACCTGGCAAATGGCATTGCTGTCTTCGCAGAAACGAGTAGCGCACGATCCTATAGATACAGGCTTGACCGAAATAATTAGCTTGACGGAGGTACTATGCAATGCTGAGATTGTTGTAGGTAAATCTGAAGGATGTGCAGCATTGCTTTTGTTATTGCACGCCCCGAAGGGGCGTGCTCAGAAAGAGAGCCAAATCCACTAATGTAGTGGAGTGCATGTCCACTAAAGTAGTGGATTTTGCCCGACAGAGTAGGATGCCTCATGAGCAACTGCGGAAGTACGAAATCTGACTCCTCTTGACAGGAACCCTGCATTGACTCGTATATGCGAGGACACTAGAAGAGATCCTTCGTTGATGTGCAGCCCCTTGGGGCACCGTAGCCACTTGTAAACAGATTTAACAATGCGTGGTGACCAAAATTGAGAATGATGGGATCCCTTGTCGAGATACGTCCCGGCAGGCGCATATGGGTTGAGGTTGGAGGGGCATCAACAAACGCTCATGGGCATTCCTCGGACACTGTGGCAATTCTGGTGCACGGCTCCTGTGCAATATCAGAACAGGTCCAACGCTTGACATGAAGTAATATATTGATTGCTATATCTTTTTCTTTTGGGCGATCAGTCAATTTTCATGGCCCATCCCTAAGTCCGCTGATGCCTGAACAGTATGCAGCCCAAGTGCCAGCGCTGCACAAGGAAGGCCTGGATACCGTCGCCTTCGACTACCTGGGATGCGGCAGGAGCGAGAAGCCAGACGATTTCGCAGCATACGCAGCAGAAGAGCTGTACCAGGACCTCGTTGCTGTCTTCCAGAGCTACTCCAAGGTGGAGCCTCACTGCTCTCCTTGCCACAATATCATGATTCTGTGAGAATTTAGGGGTTCCTCTGTATGTCAATCAATCAAGCACAAGTTCTCCGAGCCCCGATCTGCCACTTGCGTTCATCACACCACTGAAGCAGCACAGCTCACCGCAGCTGGCGGGCGGGCAGTATAAATACCAAGCACCATGCCCGCGGTGACTTAGGTCTTGCATGGGTCTAGCAAGTCCACCGCAGGGTAGGATTCATGGCAGCCCTTGCCTGCAGCTTGTCTGCAGACGCACCTTGCCTTCTGGCAGGAAGAGGAGCATGTGAGAAACATAGAAATACTGTATAGAATGCTAATCGGAGCAGAATAGTTCACTGCTGCTTGATGCATGCAGGGCTATACGGGCGTTGTGCTGCTGGGCCACAGTTACGGGACATACCTTGTGAACAGGCTGGCATCTGAGCAGCCGGAGAGGGTGGCAGGAGTGGTCCTCATTGGCGCAGGCTACCCTCTGCCGGGCGCCTTTCGACTGCGCTGGATTTTCCACCTTCCCCTCTTTGTGAGCCCCTGCCTTCACTGTGTAATTTTCTGCCCTTGAGTAAGCAGATGACTCTAGGTGGGCTTCTTATCTTGCCGAGCTTCAATAATGCAGATTCCAGATCTTTACATGAGCTGGCTCCCACCAAGAGATTCATGCGTGTCTCTGAGGCAGCGATTGTCACGAGTGACCTGCGATATATCCTGGAGAGGCACATTTTGGGGAGCGACGGTCCTTTTCGGACCTAAGTTTCCAGCCATTGGAGCTGATCTATGACAGCAATGCTCTTCTGTGCCCAGGTGCTGGGTTGGCTGCAGCCGTACCTGACAGACCAGTTCATAAAACTGGCCTTTCACCCAGACACCTTCAAGACCAATCCTCAGCTGATTGAGCTGGAGAGGGGACGCTCCAATGAAAATCCACCCTTCATGTTCAGGTTATATCCCTTCCATTTACCAAACCCCTGACCGCTTGCATCTGTACACATCTTTTCTCCCGCATGCCAAATGAGGCCGTCTCCAATGCCTTCCGAATCCCTTCCATTCCTTTCAACTGTAGTATTGTGTCTTTGCCCATCCTAAGAATTGCCCGCCAACCAAAGACAGATCACATTAGCACGACGCCATGGCTTGAATGCTATCTGATCCAAGACCATCCAGACATCATTCAAGCCCTGGCCGTCATGTAACTGTCAGGATCAGCTGGGCAGGACAGGTGCTGATATATTACATGCCCAAACTCGAAAATTGAATGTTTCGAGTGTTGGCATTTCAAAGAAACTCTTCTGTATAGCAGTGTGGCCGGACTCACCTAGCCTTGGAAGGGTGAGAATGCGTCTGACAGTAAGAGGAAGAATAAGAGTGTTGCCGGATTGATAGTGATAGTAATAGTAATGGGGCCCTGGCTGGCGGGGGCGGTATAAATACTGAGCACCGTGCCCACGGTTGTTTGGGTCTTGCTTGGATCTGACGAGTCCAACAAGGGGTAGGAATTTGGCAGCCTTTACATGCAGCTTGTCTGCAGACGCACCTTGCCTCCCGCAGAAAAGGGTGTAATAATAATAATAATAGTAATAATAATAATAATAATAATAATAATAATAATAATAATAATAATAATAATAGTAATAGTAATAGTAATAGAGCTGTTGGCATGTGCAGGGCGTTTCACCTGCAGGCGCTGAGCCTGTTTAGGGACGCTGACCAATACACTGACTGGCTGCGCTCCATTCGCGCACCCGCCCTGATCACAGCCGGAGACAAAGACTTCCTCACCCCTCTCGTGAGCCTCCGCTCCTTGCCTTTTGTCAGGCAGCATCAAATTCTTTGTCCATGTCCACTACTTTACTGTGACTGCTGAATGGGTATTCCTGTACAGGGCGACAGGAGATGTGTTTCCATGATGCATTGCTGCTTTCCTGCGCTATATCACACTCTTGTGATGATGCTCACATACAGAAGCATAGCATAAAAATCTTTCCGTGCAGGATGGCATGGGTAAGAAGGTGGCCAGCTATTTGAAGGATGCCAGGACTGCTGAGATCCCTCTGGGAGGGCATCAGGTGCTGTCCTGCCATATGCATGTGTTTTCTACCCACCAGATTGAAGCGAGCATACATCTGAGGAAAGAAGTGCTGAGCAGGCTGCACCATCAAATTGCATGCATGACGACAGTCTTAAACACTTAATGAAAGCATGTTCTGGCACTTCAATGCTGTAGCGGTTCTGTGTTGCGGTTCTTTCCCTTGCGTGCTCTCTTTTGATATTCCCTGTTTGTGCCTTCCTAGCCTAAAAACAGAACGGGTGGGACCTGCAGCTGCAGAGCTATCATCCAGAGATTCGAGAATCGAATTCCTGCACATGATTCCATCTGTGAAAAGATCTGTTACCTGCAGGTGCATGAAGAGCAGCCAACAGTCCTCAACGAAAAGATTATTGGATTCCTGCATGCTGTTCTGGGCAGGAGATGACATGGCTGAACTCAGAGCAAGTCACGCTTACAGCGTTTTGGACAGCCCCACAGAAATAAACAATACCGAATTTGAACCAATCATGGGTGTGCTCGTGATCATTGGCACACTGGAAAGAAAGCTTGTGAGAAATTTCAGGCATGGCATTATAATAAACTTGGAGGACGCACCCACACAGCCCAAATCCTGCACAAATCTTCTTTCGCCCATATATCGCCCTATAATATAGGGCCTATATAGCAGTGCTCTATCTGGCTCTGGGTTCAGCAGTACACAGTGACAAAGTATTACATAGAAACAAAGAGCAACATATTGCAGTTTCAAAATCAGACGCGCTCGGATATTATTCTCTCACGTCACTGCCCGTTGGGCAGCGCAAGCTCTCGCAGTTTGACATATTGCTCCAAGCGCTGCTGTGCGTAGGAGTTGAAGTCAAATCCTGGAACATTTGACGTGTGTGCCTGCATGCAGCATGGCTTCCTTCAAACACACAGACACCAGCAGGTATGTCATCGACCTTAAGACTAAAAAATAAAAAGGAGAAATCAACGTGCAGGAAAGACCCCATGTACGATAGCGACCAGAGAATGCATACATTGCGACGTGCAACTTGAACAGCATGTTCAAATGGCCTCTTTGAAATGGTGAAGAAAAGGCCCACAGTCAGTATAGGCCCACTTGGAAAGCTGCAATACAAAATTTGCTGGAACGCACCTGATCCATGGATGCGTACCACGTGTACCGAATAAAAAATCAGTGAAAAAAAAAATCAGAGATTATCTGAGATACACTCATAAGATGTACCTGTATGAGCCCCCAGAGGCCCCAGAGGAGGTGGGAGACTGGGAGGTACGCTCTGCAGGTTGCCTTCAGCTGCTCAACAGCTTCCTCCAGCGCAGCTTCCTGGCTGCCGGAAGCCAGCAGGCCCCTGCCGCCCTGCAGCGCCAGTGCCGACTCCATATACGCCCTCACAAAACGGTCCTGCAAATAAAGAACACAAATAGTAATCAATTTCTGTCCCATTTTTTGGTTTTACACATTGTTCCTGCCAGAGGCAAGGTGCGTCTGCAGACAAGCTGCAGTAAAGGCTGCCGCATTCTCGTCCCCTACACAAAGTGGATGACGGCAAACAGCACGCCAGAGCTTTCAAACCCATTTGGGGTCCACAAGGTTGATGAAAAGGTTGACGAAGAGCGCCGGGTGACACAGAGGATTGGTTTACAGCCCACCTCTATCCAAGTCAAGATGGTGCTCTGGTTATTCACCCGCTACAAAAGCCAGGTTGCCCTAGCCGAATCAAATACCGATGGCACAACATGACAGGCGCTTTCTGGGAAAGTCACGGCAGGCCTCAGAGCTTCCTGTCTTGCAGCCTCTTGTACTGCCAATCACAGATGGGATGACCTTACACACAGAAACAGACACAGAGACAGGGACACCAGGGTGTCTTGCCTGCTGTTGCTCATCTGGCATGAGCGAGTAGTCAAGTAGGTGGGGTGTGTCGGTGTGGTAATCCGCCCCGTACTCGCACCAGTGGTTTGCAATGTCGAACGCCACGGGGTTGGGCCCCGCATACTGCACATGCAAGCCCATCTCGGCCATTTATGTAAACAGTTTTGCACTCTTGAGCTTCACAGAATTGGCCATCAAGAGTTCTTAAGCACTCTGTAAGGCGTCTGTCATTTTGCATGTCTGCTTGCCGTGTGCACGGGTAGAAGGTTAAAGCATGAATTGCCACAGGAACACAAATAATAACACTTACAATTATATAGCTTATAGATAAGTATCCAACGAGGAGTACCTCATAGTCGATGAGGCGCACTGAGAGGCGCTCAGAGCCGAAGGCCCGGCCGCTGCGCTGCGCGTGCTCCCGCAGGTGGTGACTCGCCGCTGAGTCATCTGCCGGCGACGCGCCGTCGGCCGCCAGCCCTGCCTGCTCACATCACCAAGGTTGCATGAGTGCAAGTTCATGCAAAGGACAGGGACCATTGAGAGCTGTGTCCCTTCTTGCACGCTTGGCAGGTCAGGGGCTTGTGCCACCTGAGCGCTGAAATCGACAGCATGGAAAGGCAATGAGCGGAGGCAAGTAGGCAAAGAAATCCTGGGGTGCACATGCCTGGCTTGTGCCTCCTAAACATCAATATGATGTCGAAGGAAGCAATTCAGCATCAGCTTGTGTCACAGAAGGGAGTTATGGTTGAATTCCCCTGGGTTGCAGAAACCTAAGGACCATAAAGCCTGAGAGGAGTGCTCAAAGGGGCCCCGTATAAGGTGAGATTGCACAGCAGGGGCGCTTAAAGACAGTTGTTACAAATAATGGTAGCAGTGCACATGCCTAGCCTGCCTTTTGCCTTTTCACCATCAACAGTGAGTGCAAGAATTGCTCAGCAGTGGCACCAGGGAATGGGCAGCTGGCGTACACATGCATGGGTTGCGCTTCCATGCATGTGTATCGACTGAAAAAAAAGGGCAGGAAGAGAAGCTAAGAATATTAGTAAAGTAGCTGGAAGAAAATGCATGCCTGGCCGGGGGAGGGAATGCTGGCGTTGCTGGACCCCCCGGGGCTGCTGCCGGCGGCTGCCGCGCGGCCGACGCTGCTCTGGCGCTCAAATTCGGCGCCGGCGCGCGCAAGGAGGTCGGTGACAAGCTCGCCGTCGGACGTGCGCGGCTCCATCTCGCTCGGCGCAAACCCCTTGGAGCCCAGCCGCAGCCGCTCCCCGCTGCGCGGCGACATCCTGCGCAGCCGAAAGCGCGCGCGTTTTATGGTAGACATTTTGCGGTGTTTGAATCGAACCACAAATGGCAGCAAGAAAAGAGAGTTGCAGACATGCACACACCACCTGTGCACTGTGGATGGTTTGGTATAAACGACAGACAGTCTGAGGAATTAAATATTTGAAGCTCTGTCTGCTGGTCTAATTTCCACCCGAGGAGTATTTCACAGAGCAACTTGATAGCAAGCAAGCACCCATTGAGGTCATGCAGGATGGTCCTAAGCATCAGGATCTCCAGGGTGAAGTCAGCAGTGAGCTTTACAGGACAATGTCAGCAGTGGGGTGAGCGCGCGCACCCTTCCGGCTCGGGGGAGGTCCCCCGGGGCCCCCCGCGGCGCACGGAGATTGGGGAGGACCCGCGCGGTGGCGGCGAAGACCCCCGCAGCGCGCGCTCTATTGAGTGGTGGGAACTGATGGAGTCCATAGAGAGGGAGCGGTGGGAGGCTGTGTGAAGCAGCATGTTGCCATACTGCAGATCGTTGTGGCAGAACCCCAGCAAACTGCTGTGGTTTGCAGTCAGTGCTGCCTCCAGCGCAGCAATCTGGAAGAGCAAACTGCATTCAATTAACAATGTGGAAAACACTTTAGGACGCATCTCTCGCTGCTTGGAAAGAATTCTATGTTCCTTTGATGACATGAAGACTGCGTCCAGTCCTCTAGTACGACACGACCTTTGCTCAAGTGACCAAAAGAGTACATCATCTGGTATGACAGAAGGCACTGTGGAGCACATTCGACAGTTGTGAAACAAGAGCAAGCGTCTGTAGTAGTCCAGTCACCTCGCCGAAAACATCGTTGACACCGAACGCGCTCAGCTGCTCCGGCCGGTAGTGTTTGGCGACGGAGCCTGCCCACGACCGCAGCCGCTCCCACACAATGGCCCGAGGAGCCACGCCATTTCTGAGCAGGCAATAGAAGAATCATATGTTCAACGGAAACAATGATCCCGAGTACATCATACAGCCTAGTCTGGATGTCTCAAATTATTAAGTTGGCATGCAGCTCCTGAAACATGCCCCACAGGGACATGTTGAAGCAAGCAATATGACTTATTTGCCTGCATGCACCTAAGAAGCATGCAACTGCGGCACTGCAGGAGGAGGCACAGCCAGAAGGCTATGCATGCACACCTGGACAAGATGAGGGGGCTGAAATTGAAGCAAGCCATGGCGGTCGCTACACAGAATGCGATAGGTCTGCTGCGCATATCAGCAGCAGAGACGGCTTGGTCCAACAGAAATTCCTCCACCCGCCCGTTCCTGAAGTTTGCCTGCAATAGCCAACAGAGCAGGTCAGAGATTGGTGCATGTGTGCACATCTGCATGAAAGCATTGAAAATACTGATCGCCACTGTCAAAGCTGCTCAGCACCAAGCAACCCACATTGCTGTGGCAGCTGGGTACTCTTGTACTGCTCGCCGTGGAAAGGCAGCTCTGAGAAACACGCATGCAGGCTCCTTGATTGTTCAGCCGGGTAGTGTGAAAAGCTGCTGCGCTTTTTCGACAGGTTCGACCGCTGTGCTCACCAGCAGCTTAGGCCCCAGGCCCACTTGCGCAACTCGCCTGAAGATGTCCTGCTCGGCTTCCCGACTGAACAGTGCATCGTTTGTGCCGAAGATGCGTACCAGAACGTACTGCAGGCATGAAACACACTTGATTGATAAAATGAGGTTTGTCTGACAGAAAGTTGCACATGCATTTGGTCTTTTTTGCGTAATGCCCAGTTGGTTCACCTGGTTGGTCACACGGTTGTGACACCGGAAAATAATATTCGTCATGGCACCAGATATCTGCCAGGCATCCACATCCTCCTCTTCTACCTGCGGAAGGGGGTACACAGGTATCCATATGCCGTTCACAACAACATCCATGTGGACCTCGTCAGCAAAAGTCCTCGGAGCATATCAAACCTATCGTGCATCAATGCAAAAATCGTTCTGGGGGTGTAACGAGACATATGAATTTACGATGTTTGATTGTTGCTCAGATTTATGCGCAAAAGAAAGACAAAGACCTGATTCCAACCCTTGAGGTGTCGCAAGATGGGGAATAGAGCCTCGATAGGAGATTCCAACAAGAGCGGTACTTTCACCTCCTCTTCTATCACCAGATTGCTTGCCATCGCTGCAAAGTGAAGACTAATCTGAGCAAACAAGTGTGAAGGGAAGTTGCTGGCTCTCTCGGAGAAGTTGGGCCTGCATTCGGCCTGAGGCGTTCCTAGCGCATCCTACTCTGTCGGGCAAAATCCACTACTTTAGTGGACATGCACTCCACTACATTAGTGGATTTGGCTCTCTTTCTGAGCACGCCCCTTCGGGGCGTGCAATAACAAAAGCAATGCTGCACATCCTTCAGATTTACCTACAACAATCTCAGCATTGCATAGTACCTCCGTCAAGCTAATTATTTCGGTCAAGCCTGTATCTATAGGATCGTGCGCTACTCGTTTCTGCGAAGACAGCAATGCCATTTGCCAGGTTACCGTTGCAAAGTAGGATTTGAAAGGGGGGTGGGACGGCCGCAAATGTTTATGGGAGTAATTTAAACGAATTCTTGAAGTCTTCTGTCGCTGGCCATGTGAGGTTCGCACTTTTGCCGGTTTTTTGGCATCCCCATCCTTGACTTGTTTGGACTCAGCTAATCGAATGTCACGACCATCGACGTGCATGTCTACTTCTTTCGTAGTGACTGCATGCCCTGCCAAGCCAATTCCTTGAAATGAAATGCGTGCAGGCAACACAGAGCGTTCACCTGAATTGAGCACTGATGCACCGGACAGACACTGAAGTCGTCTACAATCTAAACCAACATCAAGTTCAATTGTTCTGGTGAGCGTTACGATCCCTCTGCTGCTGTGAGTAGCCGTGGGTGTCTGCCCTGACCTGGCTTTGCTTGGAATGCCAATCTGATGAGGAGCATCTGGAGAGGACTGTGCACCCCAAAGAGTAGCAAGTAGCCCAGGTGCTTGTAAGGATAGTTGTATCACTTGTACTAGAAGGCATGCTGCTGATGTACTTCTCATTCCTTTAATGTCCTGGTGGATCACTTGCAGAAACCGTTGTGTGATGACTTCATGCAGGACGAATGGTCAGGAACAAGAGGTGGAGGGTCAGTGTCAAGGTGATACCATCAGCCGACACTCCTGCTCTGCTGCAGCCAGGCCGCAGATTTGGGAGGAACCTAGGCAGCACTGTGGCAACATCTGCACCGAGGGGACCCCGGAGGCCGGCCAGCGCCCTTCCATCCTGGCGGATCCCTGCAAGAAACACAGCTCAGCAGGAAGAACAGCAGGATGGCTTTGCAGATGGAGATGGAGAAGCCGCTGCTGCCTATTATCAGCCTCCGCCCTCACGCCGGCGTCTGCGGAAACAGGCAGCTCAAGAGGATAATAGACGGCTGCACCAAGCATGGGATGCGTGCTTTGATGACAATGTATTCAGGAACACATGTTTCCAAGCTGGTCAGCCTGCACGCCAAGCAGCACTGAAGCAGCAGCTGCAGGCAGAGTTTTTGACAGCTGCCAGAGCAGCCCTGCCCGCTTGCAGTCCATGCAGTCAGGCTGGGAGGGTGGGATCAGTGTGGGAGCAGGTGGAGACGATCAGCAGGCTTGTGTATGTCTCGATCAGCGGCAGGACAGAGGTCAGCCCCCCAGCATTCAGGTGTGGCGGGTGCAGTGCCGCCTTCACAGTCGATCCTGTGAGCATGGGATGCTTTCCTGCAACGCCACAGAGGCCGCTGGTTTACTACTCTGGAGCGCTCATGTTGCAGACGCATGAGCTCAGCCTCGCCAGCCCAACCTCAATGGTCGCCTGGACTAGCGCCCTGGAGGAGGTGCACGTCAGGAACGGCTGTGTGCCGTACGGGCAACTGAGTGGCCTGCCCAAAAATATCTGGAGGAACCTCCCAGTGGCGGTCAGACAGTGGCGCAGAATGGACATCGCCACACATGACCTCAACAGGCTTGGCGTGCAGCCCATCTGTTCGGAGGCAGGGCTCAGCGGTGACTCAGACTTGCAGCTCGGCCAGCCGCCGCCGCCCCAGGAGAACACTCAGAGGGAAGCAGCAGCGTCGTCATCGCCACCAGAAATGGAAGCAGGCAGCCTCGCGGCTCAAACTGGCAGAGATGCAGCTGAGGTGGGCCCGGCGACCCAGGAATCTCTGGACAGTCGTGCCTCCGGGGGCCCCACTGTGCAGTGTCCTTGCTGCTTTCGCACTTGCGTGGCAGCCATTGCTGACGCCTGCCTGGGACTCACGCAGCTCAGGGCGGCGGGCAAAGCCTCTGATTTCCTGCAGCCGAAGCTGCCCTATAGCCCCTTCATTGCTGATGAAGAGGTGAAGGCCTTGCTCGCTCAACGGAAGGCCTTGGACCCGGCGGCGCTGGAGCGGCCGGTCTGCTCTCAGTTCGTTGCTGCCACGCCAACCGCCTCAGACACGCAGCTGCGCCTATATGTGCAAGTGAGTCTCCTCGCATTTTTCTGGGATCTTGTTGCGCTTACTGATGTTGGCATGCATCTCATATATCCATGATTTTTTTCTCTTTTTTTCCTGGCCCCGGCTGGCAAGGGTAATACTTGGCAGCACCCTAGCGTGCCTTGCTTCAGGTGGTAAAAATACTGAATACCATGCCCACGGTTGATTGGGTCTTGCTTGGATCTGGCGAGTTCAACAAGGGGTAGGGTTATGGCAGCCTTAAATTGCAGCTCTGCAGGATGTACCTTGCTTGGCAGGAAAGCGTGTAACAAGAAGATGTGCTGGTGCTTTGGAGCCGGTCTGACACTCCCGCATGTGCTTGTGCGTAGGGCGTGGCAGCAGCAGTTTGCCGCCACGGGTATGTTCTCGTGGCGGCAAACCTGTTCACACCGGAGTGCTTTGTTTACTACGAGTTGCTCCTGCAGCGTCTGCTGAAGGAGTTCAAGCCTGAGGAGGGCAAGGATCTGAAGTACTTCTTCATTGACATTGCTTGCCAGTTTGACCCATATTGGCGAAGGTATAATCTTTCGTCCATCATGCCTGGCGTTTACGTCAAGATGTGCCCTGTACAATTATTGCATGGAACAATTTCACTCCTAGTGTCTAGTACTAGTCATGCTATGAGTGTGTGGATTCGTCGGAGTGCACAGCAGCGTCCCCTTTGAATGGTGATGTGTTGTGCTGGCAGGATGGTTCAAGGAAACGTGGAGGGTATGCCTGGCCTGGCAGTGGGGCCGTGGCATGTGAAGGCTCACATTCCGGCATGCCAAGAAAAGTATGGCGCCCGCCGCATGCTAGCGGCAGGAAACTCCTTTGGTGACAACATTGAACAGGCTTGGGCACATTACAGGAAATTTGCACACATCTTGAAGCGCATGGCGACTGCCACGCGGGAGGACTACATGACGGACCTGGTGAGTTCTCCTTTCATATGATGCAAGCTCTTGTAGCCTTGCTCGATGTTGCAGTTTGTAACCCTGTAGGTGCGAGAAGTGACAATGTTGGTCCATGTGCAGGCGATGGCTTGGCAGCGAAAAAAGGAGCGCAGGTTGCCCAAGCAGCTGCTTGAGTGGCATAGGAGGGCTGCTCGACTGCTGGCACAACTGCGGCAGTCCACGGGGGCCCTCAAGCAGGAGATTGCCCAAATCAAAGCCCCCGAGTTGCAGGTAAAATGCACCCCTCCTAGTTGCTGCACCTGTCTCTACTGATTCTCTGGGGAGATGCCATCTTGATATATCCTGCAGTCTGCAATGCTTTGCATGCTCGCTTATTGGCTGATGAATCAGGTGCAGGGTGGCGGTGGCTCAGGAGGCGTCCCATCACCGGCAGGCCAGGATCCTCTCCAAGGCGGCGCTGGTGCAGGCGCAAGTGACGAAGCAGAGGTGTGTTGGTCCTTTTTGAAGGCTCTTCTCTAGCATGGAATAAGTATCAATGGGTATGCTAGTGAGAAGGAGGTGCTCAGAGGACTCAGAGTAAAGAGCTGCCTCAGAAGAAAGTATGCAAGCAGATTGTTTGTTTTGCACGCAGGGGTCTGCCCGGGAGCAGCGGCAGACATCGTCTGAGGGGGCATCAACAAGCGCGCCCACCATCCCGGTGCTGCTCCACTCTGCACCTTCAGTTGGCTGTACTGGTGCTTGTTCATATGACATGATAGGACATTTGACATGTGACTTATGACATGACAGGACAAGACATGACAGGATGTGCATACTGGTGGAGTTTTTGTAAAGAGCAAATGGGATGCACACCTTTGGAAGATACATAAAGATGCATGAATCACTGATGTCAGGATTCTTACTCGCAGGCCCGTCTTACATGGGAGCACCACTACCAAGGCTGCTTGGAGGAGTTGTACGCGCTGGGTGGCAGTGTGACTCTCGCAGCTGAGGGGCAGCAATCGCTCTCCGAGCAAATGCGGCATGAGCACCGCCGAGTCCTTGAGGGCAAGCTGGCAGCGTGGGAGCGCAGGCACCGGGTACAGCTGCGGTGGGTGGAGGCAGACCGGTTGTACCAGGAGATAGGGGGTCAGCGGAAGAGGTTCATGATTCAGCAGCTACATGCTTCCATTGCAGCCAGGTTCGTGGATTACTACGCCCTACAGAGACAGCTGGAGACAGCGGCATATCGTGAGCGCACTAGCCTGAAGCGGTTGCGGCGCCAGATGGAAGCCATCGTGTCCAAAGTCAGCGATGACATCCTTCAGCTGCGGCGCTGGCATGCCGCCCCTGGGGACTATCAGGGAGCGCAGTATGACTGCCAGCGCTTGACCGCCCCTGGCTTGCTCGCGGCAGACACATTGCCGTGGCAGCGACAATCTGCTCAGGCAGGGTTGCTGGCTAGGAAACTGGCCGCGCTGGCGGAGCAGCAGGAGCGCTTGAAGCGGTGCTCCGAAGAGATGACC